CCCCTCCCCTATGCTACCCTCCCTCCACATTCATTCCACTCCTTCGATAGAACCACTCGACACCAAAGATTTGCATACACACTACCAATTCCCTAATTTGCCTGTCTGGGCCAGCTCATCGGCGTTAGCATTCACTTAATCAGGGATGGCGTCCGGGCCAAAAAGTGGACAAGCAAGATGCCAGCTCGGCGGTGTCATTGCACCGAGGAGATAGTAAACCGCGATTCAGAATGCCCGTTTAGTACAGATATGTTCTCTATACACATCTTCCTGTGGCCCTTGGTGATGGTCATATGTCCAAGTATCACCTGTTTCGGGCCGCCATCTTGCAGCTACTAGCGCTGTGCCGCCATGATTTACGTAGATCTTGTGATTTGACAATGGAAGGATCCAGATGCACAAGAGCCTCTATTGAGATCTAATCCATTGTATAGAATGACAGATGGCTAAGCTTTTCAGGAAGGATTGCCCTAGGTAGTAGTTGAAAAACAGGGAGAGAGAGAAAGGTACCATCGCCAGAAGGAAGCAACAAAGAAAAACGTTGGCTAAGCTTTTTCTGAGCGGGTGCCGCGCACCGCGAGGTCCAGACTACTAGCCGCGCTTCCGACTAATCAAGAAAATATGAGGCCCGTAAAACTTGGCATCGTGTATCCGTCTCCCTCTCTTTTTTTTCAACCATTTCGTCTCATCTTTTGCCCTTCCCGATAGGGTTATTCCGACACGAAGTATTTGTAAGTCAAAAGGCCCAAACCCGGCAGCCTGGATCGACGTCGGACACCTGCTCAACGTTTGTTGCGGCCCCACACCTCGTCCCAATTCGGCCAAGTTTCCCGCCGGTTGGGCGCTGCCGCAAATTATACCGACACTCTCGCCAGCTGGCACCACCTGGCGCTGGCACTGCACAGGGCCCCGACTCAGCCCCACGCGTCCGCGAGAACTTCGGCCGGCCCCCACCAATCAGGTGCCTGCATTACCGGCCCTCACGCCTTCCCTGCAAAACGCAAAGACCATGTAACCGGATATAAGTGGACAGCGACGGCCGGTAATAAGGTTTTTGCTTGTCTTGTCCCCCAATGGTACACACCACGGCACACCTCATCCTCACGGCACACCTCATCCTCTCGGCCCCTCTCCCTGCCTTGTCTGTGCAAAAAGTATCTTTCAGCTGGCTACTGCAGCTGGCGGGCCGCGGTTTGATAGCCCTGATTTCCTTGCTTTTCAGTGCCCCCATTCATACATAGCTCTCTCTAATCGTGATTCAAGGTTGCATCTGGCTATCCGCATTTACACATACGCCTCCCCTTCTCTCGGACGTGACTCGCCAACGACGAAGGCGTTATAATTTCATTGACGACATGTGTAGGCTTCCTATATATGGTAAAAAAAAGCTTTTTGTTTATTTGCTCCGAGGCTATTCGAGGAAGATTGGGTATACTGGTATCTCCTTCCAAGAGGATAGCATGAGTTCACCAAAAACGCCGTCCGCCTTCCCGTTCCAAACATGAAAGAAATGAAGTACATTCAAGCCAAAGATATCCAACTCCGGTGTTCCAATGCTACTTAGTTATCCTAAAACGTGTGTTTTTTGTAAATATACAGATTCAACCTCGGCCCGTAATCTCTAAGGGCGTCGCTTGCATTTATCGTGAAGCATATGTCCGTTACGCGCTGTCGTTCGCGTAAACTCGGCGCCACAGTTGGGACAGGTTGACTTGGCAGATTGCCCAGATTTCTCACGCTGATGGCGCAAAAGATTGCTAAAGGTGGAAAACTGTCTGCCATTGCAGCCATGGTCCCAGCATCTAGGCTTAGCGCGGCCTTGTTTCCCAGTTGAATTGCCAACATCGGGACTGGAGCGGCTGGAGCGACTGGACTCTGCAGGAGCGCTCACTGGGGGCACACTGTTCCCAGGCAAGATAGCAGATGGTTGGGCCATAAGCGGAGGTCTATAGTCGTTGTACGCTGGGGCTGTGGGATAGCCTTGGCGATAATCCCCAGGCATGCTATATACCTGACCATAGTTTGGTTGACTATAACGTATTAGCACTAGGAAAGACAAGTCTCATACAAAAATATAACTTACACCTCGGGATAGGCTTGCCTGAATTGTCGTGACTGTGTTTCGTATTCCGGCATTTGGGGAACGTAATGGGGCATGTATTGCTGCTGAGCATAAATTTGCGGCATCTCGGACACAACTGGCATCCCAGTAGGGGATGCTGTGTACATGGGCATGGAGATGTCCTCATATGGCATAGTACCAAAGTTGGAGCCATTAATAAAATGCCCACTGTTGGTTCGGTGAACGCGCTCGATAAGGCTCGAGTCTCGTCTGCCTTGCTTGGCTGCGTATTCCTGCTCGGGTGTGTTTGCTGCAAGCATAGGGCTTGCGACAGAGCTTGCCGTGCTAGGAGGCGATGGGGCGTTGGTGCTGATACTGGGAGCAGCAGAAGAGAAGTCCATCTCAGGTGTAGGTGGGAGTTGCTGGGGAAGGTAATCAAACCAATCGTGGTCGACAATCGTGTTGGCGTGGGGTCCAATTGAGAAAGCCGAGTCAAATGGCAAGGCTAAGGCGCTATGATGAAGTCAGAAATACAGTCTTCCACTTCTGGGGGGAGGGGGGCATCCTACCTCATGCTGATTTTGAGAATGTCGGTCGTCGCTTGCTGCGATGACAGTGTGTGTGGATTTGGTGGGTGCTTTGTCCTTGAAGGATGGAATGGGTACTAATATTGAAAATTGTATAGACAGAGGTCGGCGTTGGGGGCGGTCGTCTTCTCTGGCGCGAGTATGTGGGAGAGGAATGGTACTGTCACTCCCTGTGGCACAGCGAAATTATGAATAGGACCAGTCGTATTAAATGCGCGTAGCACTGTTGTAGAAGTAATGTGAAGAGAAGAGAAAAGAAAAAGAGCCGTACACAAAACGAAAAAGAAATACTATTTTTCTTAGTGCTAAGGACAATGGCAAAAGAGGGCTGACTTTGGAGCAGAAGGAAGGGTCATGATATAAAAACTAATGTAGGGCGAGGGCCGATTTAGTGGGAATGACAGGTATATATCTGAACCGAGCTTCTGGATATAGGGAAGACACGAGCGATCATGGGGGGGCCTGGGTGTGAAATTAGAAACTAAGCCTTGCGTAAGAAAGTTTTGCTACCCCCAGGGCCAGTGACAATCGAAGCGTCCTTTGTCGATGGCCCCGTGTAACGCGATGTGAGTGGGCGCATCCGACGAGGAAATAGTAGCGAGGTCCGGCCCACACACACCCCCCCTGCCACACTAACTTGGCGAATAGGCCCGTTGAGGGGCGCTGTATGGCTCCGTGGGTTGCGCGGCCAATTGGCTTCGTCTGAAGAAGAATACTACTGGCTTGCTGTGCCTGCTGTATGGAGAGACGCTCAGCCTGCCGGGCAATACTCCGTGTGAGCTATGACTTCTTGTGTCGCCAGGAACAAAGTCGGGCATAGAGCTGTGATAGATGATTGCAAGATGATCGCACCCAATGGAGAAACAAAAAGCCGCCTATCTCTATAAACTAGCTAGCTTCCAAAGGTTTTTTTCTCTTCTCAGAGCCGCCCCTCACTGCAAGCTAAGAGTCGAGGGGTGTGGCGAGGATGCGCTACTTTGTCCCGTTTCGACGATTTGCGGGAGAGAGCGAAGCGCCGCCACGAAGCATTACGCCGAAGTTTGCTATCCACTCACACGCCCTCGCGAACGTACAGCACCAGCGGGTACGCTAAAACGCCCACCACGTTTTTTGGATTAGATTGTATGATCAGCCAGGCCGCTCCGTGCCGTGGTGTAAGGCATGGGTTCCTGCGCGCGTGTCAAATCAGGCCCTGAAGCACCAGGGCCAAACACTGTCAGACTGACAGTCGACTGTGCAGACAGAATGAGACAAACCGCGCATACGAGTGTGCAGATAGGGGTTTAGTAGTAGCGCGGCACTGGTTTGAAAAGACACTGTAAGATCGACGCCATGATTGCCGTAGCGTCTAATGCTTGCTCATGACGCAGAGTTTGGCAAGAGCTAATTGGGTATTGCGTGCCTTCCCAATGGGGTGGGCGGTTTAGTGCCCGCACGAATCGGGGCAACATCGGGTATGCTGCCTCAGCTTTTGGCTTGTAGGGTGTGCTATTGGTTTCTGTATTTAGCCCAAGCTGCATGCTTGCATACAGAGACTGGTATTGTGCGCAAGAGCATGACGGGGTGCCATAGAGCAAGCGCCAGCTGTTTCACGTTGCATAAAGGATGCCGGCAGATCGGATCTTCGTGCTCGACAGGAGCAGAAGCAGCTTGATGATAATCCTCCAGTGCCCAATGCGTAGACACGTCGTTTAGTATCCGCGCTGTCGGGGAAAGCGGCAGCCATGAAATTTCAGCCTTCTCTGCCATGCAGTGACGCACCGGTTGCGAGACAGCAAATCATTGGTAGTAAGACCCTGGCGAAGATAGGCCGAGTCAAAACGCTAGGCTCTGGCATGGTGGGGTCGGAGGGCCGCGGTGAATTGAACCTGATTAGGCACTAGGCGCATCAGGGCGCCACTAACAGCCGTCGACGGCAAACTTTAACATACACATTTTCAGTTAGGCGAGTTATGCAACTGGGCTTGCGGCAGCCGGGCTCCAAGAAGTGTAAGTTGTTGATTCCATCGTACGACATGAAAAGGTTTCGTAGTTGAGTAAGGAGACTGAAATAACCTTTAAACGTCCATCTCGGCCGCGCACGCCGACGTCTTGAGGCCGAAGTCGCGAAACGCGAGGGGTTGTAGCCATTGTGATGCAGAGGAGAAAGAAGAGAGCGTGTATCTTGACGGACGGCTTTGGCAGATGGCTGCCATAGGTGTGCCACATTCTGTCAGTGCCATGGCAGTGCCCAGACAGCTGCAGGCCAATCCAGCTTGGTTTTGGACACAGCGTGGCGCGCTCCGCGGTCTTCAAGCTCGCCAATAGCAACAATCCATGCTGAGATGAACTCCCGGGCCGTATTCTTTTCTATTAGTGGCTTTAGAAAAGAAATTATACTCAGCGAGAGCTGAGAACCTCTTGTCTGCCTCCCAGCGAATCCCCCTCCCACCCCAATCGGAGTCTCTCAAACGCCACCAATCCATGGCAAGTAGGCGTGGACGTAACCATCATTCACGCCTTCCAAGTTGATTACATATTATACTTGAGCTGTTACGGCCTTCTCTGAGCTAACTAACGATATGGATAAGTGTAGTCAACCGCACGTCATCGACGCCCTTCGCCTCGTGGCAACGCTTCAACCGCGCTGTTAACTCAACTAAGCTCCAAACCTTACATCCTCGGCAATAAAAAACAATATTTACGTTTATAACGACAATATATTTATTATACAGTTCGAAAAGCGTAAAGTCAATCCAACTGCAGTGTCAGGCGGGGGCTCTGGCTACCAGTAATAGTGGTGGCTCTGAAGGATTCGGACAGGCGCCACTCAAGCAAAACACACATTAGAAGCCCCCTAGGCGAGCCCAAGATCTGTCAAATCATCAAGTACGCGAGTAGGATGCGATTGGTATAATTTAATAGACAAAACCTCTCATGGTGGTAACAAAACAATCAAAGATCGTTGCCCGGAACCTGCGGCCGCGCCGAATCCACCAGCCACATTGTAGCCACAGTCGCGCCCCGTGAAGTCAAACCCTCACTTTACAGGATACACGACAACTCCGATTTCGACGCGGCAGCAGAACCTGACTCGGCTGGTGAAATAAGTTTTCACAACAACAGAAGCTCGTTTAGATCTTAATCTCCGTTTGCTATTTGCAAGCATTTCGTGGCCCTGCCCCTTGCGCGGTGACTCAACGCCAACTGCGACGTGGCCTGAGTTTGTGGCCAGGCAGCAGTACTTATATCATCAGTACAAAAGCGCAAAAGCCGATCGCAAAGCTCTAGCACTTGGAAGAAGTTCAAGAAGCAATACATCATCAATTACCAACGCTACACACCTTCATCATAACCACACTCCACCCTCACAGCTCAGCTCATCCACTATGGCATCCTTCGTAGTTGACCTATGGGAGTCCATCTTTGTACCCGGCCCTACCCCAGTTCTCCTGCAGGCCGCCAATGCGACATTTGCTGCTCTTCAGCTTCTCCTCTTTATTCTCCTCTGCTCAACTTACAGCATCCACTTTGTCGTCCTCTCAGTACTTTCGGGAGGCCTCTGGTGGTCCATCAACTGGTTTGCGGCAGAACTAGCAGCAGCCAAGGCCCGGGGAGACTTTGACGGGAAGAAGGAGTATGTGAAACCAGATCAAGAAGAAGACGGCGAAGAAACAGAGGTGGAAGATGTTGGTAAGAAGCCTAAGCAAACTACCGGCGCCGACGCCGACGCAAGCACCAGCACAGTCACCAAGCGAAAGGGTGGCAAGGCGGCAAAGGCAGAGGCTTCTGGAGTTAGCACAGAAGACGAATGGGAGAAAGTATCTAATAACGAGTAAGATACTGTGTCACATTGCCTTCGATTATGGACTACGCGTCTGTGGCAGCAATAGTCTTGCAACGACCAAATTGACGCAAAGAGTACATCACCTGTTTTTGTATCAACAGATAGCTATCCCATAGCCACTCCTGGAATAAATGGGGTATCTTTAACAATTTGCATCATCAAAACCTTTTTCGTATTGTTTGTCTAGGAAAACGAACTGCTCTAGAGCGAATTCAAAGCTCGGTATAATTACAGCCAAGTGGGGAAAGGAAAGTAAGTAACAAGGACAGAAAGACAATGCAATTTTTGAATCGCTTAGCTTCATACAAGAGCAGGTGAAAAAAAAAGTCAAAGAAAGTTCAAAAACAAAACAGAAGAAAACGTGGGTAAAGTAAAAGGGCAAGTCTTCATCCCTGGTGTCATGATGTCCCGTTTGCTGTGTAAATGCCTTTAATAGAAAACGCCTTCCGTACATCCTCCTCATCTTTTTTATCTTTCAAATCTTCTCCAATGGTATTTTGTTACTGTATTGGCAAATGGGGGAAATTCCAATTTGCCTCGTCGCTGCAGTGTACCTTTTCATCGATTGCTTTAGGAATCGGCTAATCTGGCAAAATGCTTAGACCAGATCCAGCCAACTTGCTGGGTATGGTCGTCCTGGTTCTTGGCCAGCCAAAGTTCTCCCTTCTCTGCAATAACGTCGAAAATCTATCAAGTTGGTTAGCACTCGAAAGCTATAAGTCATATAAGAGATTGACATACTTCTCCAGCTTGGTACGTAAGGTAAGGATAACCGGCCTCATGCTTTGTCGTGGAAATATTAAACTCAAAGAGAGATGCTGCAAGCCACAAAACTGTATATCCGCTACTTGTATCGCCCAATTCGTGAACAGATGACTGTGATGTGCGGTTGATTTCGCCCTGGCCGTCGGGCAGCGCTGAGTGGAACATGTTTGAGAAGCGGTTGCTTTCTTGTGACATATAGCTGACCGTGCTAGGATTTCCAGATTCCCGTTTATGTGCTATCGAGTCGACGCTTTGTCGGGTGATGGCGGTCGAATCGCCACTGCGACTGGTGCTTGGTCTTGTAGAAGCAACCCCTGTTCCAAAGGTAGATCGAGGCCCAGAGCTTGCATCTGTAGACTTGGGAGACGCTGATGCAGTGCCATGCGCCGACGTATAGTAGTCTCGGTAGTAGTATTGGTGAGGGCTAGGTGCCGCAGTTGAGGAGCCTACGCCGCTGCTGCTGAGGTTAGGCGACATGGCTGCTGATCCACTATGGCGCTTCGACCCGTCAAACACTGGCAGACTGGAGGTTGAATCATCATTCATAGACATGCCACGGCCACGTCTGTCGCCGTCCACTGTACGCGATCTGTGTCGGAACTGATGCTCGTCTGTGCTCGTCGAGGTGGACTGAGAAATTCTGCCGCGATATGCTGGGTTTAGGATACCAATATTGGCAACCTGCTCTGCCGCATATGGAAAGTCGGCCTGGAATGTTGCAACAATTTCGTTGATGTCTGGGACATCGGCGCAGTTGGTAACGACCATTTTCATCTTGTCAGTCCAGATTTTGTACCAGTTTGTCTGAATGTTGACAAGATTGCCCAGGCAGATATTGCCAACCTTTTCGGTTAACTGCGACAGTTTAGGTAGCTCCGTCTTTAGCGCATCGTTAAGAGCCTCGTACTGCTCTACCTGTTCCCGCAGTTTGGAGTCCAAGGTTTTGCCGCCTCGGCGTAGTTGTTCAGCGCGTTCGTAATCACCCCGACGCTTTTCTCGTTTCTTCATAGCCAATGAAGGGTTGCCATAAGCCTTAATGACTTGTTCAAACGGTTCGATAACATTCTTGCGAACTTGGGTCAACTGTATACAGTTAGAACAATCCATCAATCAAATACTCTGTAGCCTATGGACTTACATGTTCTTCTAAAACGACTTTTTCCAAATCTCTCATTGAGATGTTAAACTGAACCCATTTGCTCTCCAGTTCTGGGTAGGCACCGGGCTGTAGTCGCATTACCAATTCGATTGATGACAGATACTGAAGGAACTCGTGGCAGTATTCTGATACTTGTCTGGTGTAGAACTCAACATCGCGTAGGACAACCTGCAAACGAAGGTAGTCATCGCCGAATTTCTCCTTCAACTTATCGTAGTCGGGATCCTCAATAGGGCGGACGCCAGCGGTTTGAAGCTTATCAACTCGTTTGCCGAATGCTCTAGCCAAGCCAGTCTTGACGTCCGAGTCTCGGCGTTTGCGGCCGACGATTTGGCCCACCAGTTCGAAGTTCTTCTTCGTCTTATTGATCTCCAAGATGGAACTTTCTACAATATCCTTGGCTGTGACAAGTGCTTCTCTGTCAGGGTGGTCTTGTGCAGTGTGCTGGAGCATGGTGAGAATGAGGTTCGGATACTTGGTTATTCTCTGCATTGGCTTGATCAATAGCGAATCGAGATCCCAAGCCGCAGTGAGATCCTTCGCTACCTCATTGCATTCGGAGAGCCAGACTTTGACCGTAGCATCTTGCTGGATTTGAACAAGTCGTTTCACAGCCTGGTCGCTGTTACGCAAAAACACCTCGTGTACATTCTTCATATTCTCAATATGGCGAGCAAAGAGTGGGCCAATGAAGACTTCGCGGTCTGCTTCTGGTGTAAGTTCCAGCTTGGGTATGCCGTTAGTATCGGCTGTAGGTGTTTGCATCTGAGTCCTGCGGGAGCCTTTGGGGATGTAGATTGGCGTCACGGCTTCTTTCAGCTCAGCCAAAAACACGGTATGGAACTCGACAATCTCATTAGTGTTGCGGAAAATGAGCTTCACCGTCTGGTCGTCAAGTTTCGGGCAAGCTTCTGCGGTTCCTTTGTAGATTTCCTCCACAATGCTCATATCGCGTACAAAAATGGCTTCTGTATCGACGAGCTCCTTGATAACATTTCGACGCTGAACCAGACGGCGCTTAGCCTTCACAGCCTCTTCGTCGACAATGGGGGGCAGTGGTTTCGAGTTTAGATCTAAAACAGGGGTTTTGATTTGGTCCTGTTCAGCAATCTCGACAGACCCCGTGTCAATAGACTGTGGCGTAATTGAGTGCGACAAGACGCCGTCACTGTCCCGTTCGGAATTGCCATGTGTGCTACTATCAAGAGGTTGATCGTAAAAGATGCTTGACGCTCTCGATTCCAGTGCTGACCCTGAAATAGAGCCAGAAGTGCCCAGGCCATCCTGATCAGGGTTGAGCAGTGACTGCCTAGAGCTATCATCCACCTCTGAGAAGTCGTGTGTTGAATTGCTTTGGTATTGATGGAATGCGCTGTCGTTTTGGATGCTGTCTCGGGTCGAGTGAGTCGATTGCCTTGCTACATCAGACATTTCAGAGTATTCTGTCCAGCCAGATTGGCGGCTAAATCGGTCAGGTCGAGCTCCGTATGGAGGTAGGCTAAGAGCTGTGTGATCATGAAGGCGCTGTTCATATGTGGTATTTGTCATGTCGTCGAAAATGCCGCCCATGTCAGATGAAGCGCAGGTTGACGCCCGTTGTGAGTCCACGTGGTCGTATAGTCCATGGCGCGCTTCATCGTTTCGAGAGTGATCGTCGGTTTCCTCTGTACATGCATCAGTATTCGCATCGTCAGAGCCGCGCCGGCCACTCTGAGAAATATCTGTTCCGTTCTCGAGCTCTGAATAGCAGTCGGATTCGTCAAGAACTGAAGGTTGAATCGTCGATGTTTCACGCGAGGGCACGGCTGTTTGTGGCATAGAATCGGAAATGATGGTTACTGTGGTCGAATAGTTGTTGAATGTAGGAGCAGGCGGGCCTAGGCTTAGGCTTTCTTCAAAATCGTCTGTAAACTCCAAGGAGATCGATGGGGGTAGGTTGCTAATGGGAGCAATTGTAGCATCGCTGGCTTTTTGTTCGTGTCGCCGGTAGTAGCTGGTCGCATCACGCTCTTCGGCTTCCTCTCGTTGAGTCGACTCCTGCAACTGTGCATCTGAAGTATCTTCTGTCCTGTTTCCAACTGCAAGAGGTATCGATGTCGTGGACTCATCCTGTTCATCAATACCAATCTGGGGCTCAATGTCGAATTCTGTGACGGCAGAGGTTGCAGAATGCGGTGGTTCGTTCAGATCTGATGACGAAGGGGTTGGGAATGAACCTGGTAATTCCAATGCTGGCGAACTCTTAGCGCTGCGTGAGACTCCGGTTCTGTTAGAACTGGCCAGTGCAGTAGAGATGGAGAGTGTAGCAGCTAGGCCCTCGGCAATGCCTTTTCGCTCACTAGTGGAACGCGACCGACGCTTAAGTAGTCGAGATGTTGCAGAGAGTTGAGATGAGTTGGATTGCATCGAGTCTCTAGCTGTGGAGCGATCATTTCCGCCTGGCGTCAGCTCCGATGACTTTGACGCTGGAAGCTCCGCCGGTATGCGCTGAGCTGATTTCGACGCTGGAAGTTCAAACCTTTGCGATGACTTTGACGCCGGGAGTTCAAATCTTTGGGATGATCTCGAAGCAGACAATTCAACGGCAGCAGTTTGTTCAGCCTCTTGTTCACGACGATCGGCGGCCTTCTGTTTGGCTTCAAAGGCTTGGCTTTCTCGGATTGATCGAGTATATGCCAGGCGGATGTGCTCTCTTCGTTGTTCAAAATCGACCGGGCCAATAGAGACAAGTCTGCGCCTTGAGCTACCTTCTTGCGTCTTATTTCTTGCCCTCTCTGATTCGCGCATACGAGAACTGGCGGTCGTGGCTACAGTTACAGGTTGTCGTGGACGTGTACCAGTAGTAGGAGATTTTGTCGGGAGAGAGGCAGACGAGTTGCCTTGTCTCGTCGAATTAATACTCGTCGGGGGAGCTTTTCTCTCGCGAATTTGATGAGTAGGGGTTTTGGCCCGTGCTGTAGGAGTCTTGGCTCGGGACGGCGGTCGAGCCGCGCCGGTTGGAACGCTAGGCGGCAGCGGCGGCTTCGCGGTGCCAAGCGAAGGATCTGAAGACGCGGATGCATTGGGGGCTGTTTGCAGGCGTCTGGTCGGAAGTGGGAGTTTTGAGGTTGGAGATGTAGTTTCGGTGTGGGAGATTGGTTTGGCGGGTGTGGCTGTTTGGGTGTGGGATTGGTCGGGCGTATGGTTGATCTCGTCAGTGGGGAGTTGCTGAAGTTGCGCAGAACGATACCACTGAGAAGGAGATGCTGGTTCTGGGTCATTGTCATAGTTCATCCGCGGCGCATCAAGTTCATGAAGGCTGTAATCAGATGGATATTCGGGTTTCACAACTTCGATACCGTGGCCCGCCCGCATCGAGTCATCCTGGCCCGGCCGGATCTCCCCAAATAGAAGAGGGCCTGCTGCAGCACTGGACGCTACTGCTGCCGTTTGCTGCTGGATTTTATGTAGATTAGAGTTGTCGGATCGATTCGAATTCTGCATGCGGTTTGCAAACGACTGCGGATTATCAGTCTTTTCCGACGCACCGTCGGTTCGAACGCGAGGATTTGACGTATGCCGTGACCTCAGAGCACCAGCAGGGTCCTGCTTGGCTACTGCTGGGGCAGATGGACGGGTTGGAGCCCGTGGTGGCGGGATCAGTTCATCTTGAGGTTGGTCAAATCGCTTCTTGAGATCCTTGACGCTGATATTTCCAGATGGCAGCCGGCCGCCAGTGCCAGCACCGGGGGCAGACATCAGTTTAGGATTAGTAGTGGGTAGGGTCCGCGTAGAGAGGAGGCCAATATGCCGTGTAGTTGACGCCGCACCATTGGAAGCCGCGGGGGCGGCTGCAGGCAAGACGTCGCGGTGGTGGTGATTTTGTTGGTAGCCTTTGTAGAAATCCTCGGCGTCTAACTCGACTGGGACATTATGGCGGGCAGCGGCGCGAGGGTCGGGGGACGCGGTGGTTGTGGTTGTGCTGCGGTCGGCAGATCGAGAAAAGAGCGCGGGCGGTTCCAGAGAGTGGTGATGATGAGAAGAATTGCTCAAGTGCGATCGCGAGCGGACGTCTGGGTCCTGGCGCTCCATGATGAGAAGAAGACCAGGGCCGGGCTGCGCCTGTCACTGGTCTCTTTAGGGAGCTAGTGGAGGTCCGAGTGCTGGACTAGAGGTCCACACATTCACAAGCATCGATGCGCCGTAGGTGTTCTGGTGGGCGTTGATGAGATATTTTGGCGGAAACGGCAGGGTTTGCGCGTGTTATTTTTTTTTCCTACTGCCTCTGGTCGGTTTGGCTAGTGAGCAGGTTGGAGGGGGCGCCTGTCTCAGAAGTGGTGTTGTCGTGTTCTGGCGCCTCTGCCCAAGGCACAGAAACTGAGATGGGGACAGCAGTGGGAAGAAAAAAAGAGGAGCTGGAGCCCAAAAAGCAAGTGACTTGGTGGCCCCATGCAAGGTTGGTGGGGTTGGATGTACCTTTGTTTTCGCGAGCGCTACGGTGCCTGGAACTAAGGGAGGGGAGGGCAAGGAAAAAAACAAGGTGTGGTGGGAACCAGAGCCTGGCTGGCCCATTGTCTGGTGGTGGTGGCCCTGTTCCAAGCTAGGTTTGGGGCGTGTTTAGCGCCCCGCGTAGTGGTTGGTACGGTACCTTGCCTCAGTAGAAGGCCTGGAGAAGGCGCTAAAGCTAGCCAATTTTAGCGGCAACAGGATGTGACGCTTGTGAAGCGAGTGGACGACGTCAGTATGAAGGCACCACCAGTCGGTTACATTTTGGCGAGGAGCCAGTGTTGAAGATCCCCTTTTTTTAATCAATTTAATTTTCCATTGTGCTTTCTTTAGAGTTCCGGTCCTTAACTTTACTCTATCTAGCAGTACAGGGTGGCTATTAAGGAGGCGGCATGCCCATCACACAACGTTTGAGAAGCCTACCCTTCATAGCCAACCAACCCCAAACCATCAACCCTCCATTACTCAACGTACCAATGGTAGTTGCTACAGTCACAGGAGACAATGACAGTGTTCGTGTTGTATGCCGGCGGGAGACGGGAAACTGGCGGATAGAAGCGAGAGGGATTGTGGCATTTTCGCCTGCAGCAAAACGAGGCTGCACTGTGTAGTTCTGGGATGCGATTGGGCTTTGACAACAATTTGGTTCCGCACCACATATATGCGCTGGCCTCGGACTAGAGCAGACAGTAAGTGCGGGTGCCTGAACCTGGTTTGCCCAATGCATCACGCTGGCGTCATCGAATTGGGAGGTATCGAAGACGATAGCGAAAATTGCAGCATAATTGTAGGGTTGGCAACCACCGCCGCCGTCTACAGCAGGTAGATCACCCAAGGAACTGACGGACTCTCCTGATTGACTCCCCCGCCCAGCAAGCGAGATGGTGCTCCCTCTCTTCATTTGGCGACTTCGGCGTTGGCTTGCTGCAGCTAAAACTCGGTGGTGGTGCCACTGCATGCACTGGCGTCGCAACGGGACAAGTAATCCGGACAGGCGAGGCAAGGAAACATGTCCCGTCCCCTGCACCCACCAATCATTCACAGGCCTCCAGCCCGTCCGTGGCCCGATGGACAATGAGATTACCAGTGTCAAGAAAGACCATAGCAAGCTGCCATCCTCCTATTTTATCTTACGAGTCGTGGCAATTTCTGCAGCATCCAGTTACCTGGTACATCTCCAGCCCCCAGCGCAAATCACTGTGCTGGCCACTGAAACCCAATCTGTCCCCCCCTGGCAAGCTCGGCGTGTCACTGTGTGAAGCGCTGGCAGGTCACCAAATCTTGCCCCGCCCACTTATGCAAGGCACTTAAACCGTGGATCGGCCTGCGCCACAACCTCGTACTTTCGTGTCCATTTGCGCCACAGTCACGCTATCCATGGCGCCAGCGCGTCTTGCCAGTTGCCTCCATTTACACGCCAGTCCTGATCACCACCAAGTTATCCTTTGCCGACATGATGAAGCCGCCGTGATGCAACCATATGCAACATACATGGATAATGACCAAATTCAAGTACCTAGCCCAAAACGGGTGAAACTATATCCCCAGATTCAGATGTCCGCTGTCCGAAGAGACCTGCTAGAACTTCGCTTCACCCACGTCAAGACGCTACGGGAGTATTTGCTGTGTAAATTACCGGTTTCGTCTCGACTAAGAAGACGTAAAATAGCTCAACTTGGCCTCGAGGCAGCCTGTGGTGGTACAGAATACACCCTGTCTCAATTGCTTGATACCTGTCTCGTTGGGTTTCGAGTCCTCCACCAGCATGAAGACACAGCCCGATGGGCTTCCTGGTTATCATTCTCTCAAAAAGTAGAGGATTCGTATGTAACTGTGTCAGGGGGGCCAGAAAATGCCCTGTATTCCCAAAAGGAGGTATGGTATAGTCACTCTTGTGGCAGCATGTCAAACTAACTTCGGGATAGATAGTCGAATTTGTCATATGGCTACTCTTTTCTCGCGAGAAGCGGCCAGGGTGCTGGCCCCGACACCTTATTTGCGATGGATTTCGTAGGGGAAACATAGACAAGCAGGATGCTCCCATGAATATCCCCGGCATTTACAGTGTCTTCGAAAACGCAAACGTAGCTGCTCTCTGCTCTGACCCCTGGCCCCAAGTTTTGGCTTTACTCGGACAAGCTGGTGAGAGAATCATGATTGATCTGTTGATTGACTGTTCTATATTCCTGAGAGTGCATTCAGGATACAATAATTACTATCAACTCAATGGTGCGTGTCTTGGGCTGTCTCACGTCACTGTAAGTGCTGACCAAGATCAGGGTTACCATTGGCCGAGTATGCTACTGCACCCAATGCTACGAATCTCAGCTCTGAAAGTGAGCAAACGAAATCGAAGACTCCATCTGAGATTTCTATAGTTAGAAGCCGTGTTTTTTATGGCAAACCGTCGTTCAACGCAGGCGGTTTCATTCAAGCAGGGCTTAAACCTATACGTATGTATCTGTGTTTGTGTAGCAATACTGCGTCTAACGTGCAATAGATGCATTAAATCGTCTAAAAGTGTCCCTTCCCTCGCAAAGCAAAGGGTCACCATCAAGGACTGCGAAAGACGATCTACACACTCTCAAACTCATGATGTACATATTCCCGAGACAGTTCTGCTTGCACAACGTTTTCACCTCCGTCGTAGATTCGAATCAAACTTCACAAAAGTTTCAGGACTACACACTACGTGAGGATGAAATATCGGCAGTTATACACGCTGTGAAACAGCGGGACGCAACTAAGTTACCAAATATACCTAAGCGCTTGCGTGGTGACGCTAGGAGGCTGGTACGGCGAATGCAGCTCAATCACAAGAGGTGTTCCTACCATGAACTTCTTAACCACTACTGTCCATTGCCGATTGATATCAATACCGACTCTCCTGTAACGGTAAATACACCGTCAACCTCTCAACAACCAAAGGCAGACAATCCGCCAAACACTTACCGCTGCCCGTCAATCAAAAAACGACAAGAGTCGGGGTCCAGGACACGAGCAAGCCAGATGCGTGAAACAATATTGAAAGGCGACACCACCATCACGGATCTTGCATGTACTGGGCATCACGTTTCGATGTTCTGTCAAACAGTTTTGTCTAGGCTGATACCAACCGACTTTTGGGGTGTCGGTGAGACCGGGCTCCTTAATCAAACGGAATTCTTCAAGAAAATAGGCCACTTTCTTTCACTTCGCCGATTTGAAAATATGAGTTTGCATGAGTTGGTTCAAGGAATCACGGTTTGTTGTCTCACATCGCTATCCATCCAAAAGCTAATTGTGAAGCAGATCAGCAACATTGCTTGGCTACAATTGCCATCGACTATTAATGATAAGCCAAGCAAAACAGAAACTACAAAACGGATGGAGATATTTCTCGAGTTTTTATACTATACTGTTGATTCTCTGCTTATCCCACTCTTGCGCAATAACTTTTACGTTACAGAGAGCAATACGGATAAATACAAGGTCTTTTATTTTCGGCAGGACGTATGGAAAATGATTTCAGATCCGGCCATGGACGGGTTGAGAAATCAAATGCTGGAAGAGTTTACTCCTCCCGATTTGAAGAGCATTACCGCATCAAGGAAACTTGGTACTGCTAAGATTAGACTACTACCGAAAGGGAGTAAGTTGCGACCAATCACCAACCTGAAGCGGAGGGAGATGGCCGGTAACAAGTCCAAGACTTTGCTGCGGAGCATCAACTCTATTATGAAACCCGTTCACACCATGTTGCAGTTAGAAAAGGTGCGCTTGCAAAGTACATCTCATCACGACCGGCTTCTAACCTTCCCTTATAGACCCTCAATCCTTCAATGCTTGGAGCATCCATGTTCTCAGTTGGTGAGCTTTATTGGAGAATAAAGTCGTTTCGAACACAGCTCAAATCTCCGCTACCATCTCTCTATTTTGCAAAGCTGGACGTACAAGCAGCCTTCGACACGATACCACAAGAAACGGTGTTGAATCTCATGTCAACAGTCCCGAAACGAGCTAAATTTCGGGCCAACAAACATACAGAAATAAGTACAGGCGAGAGGCCGCTGACTGGTGAAGCACCAGCCCCCATAAAACAAGTCAATAGATGGCACAACGTTGGCCAGGATATGGCTGACCGAGACACCCTCGTCCGTCGCATCGAAGCTACAATGGGGCATAAAAAAAAGAATACAGTTTTTGTCGGATCCGCAGCTGTTGCAGTATATGATACAAGGGCAATGCTTCAGCTTATGGATGAGCATGTTGCGCAGAATCTAGTCAAAGTCGGGAACAAGCTATATCGGCAGAAGAAGGGAATCCCACAAGGTTCTGTGATATCATCCTTCCTTTGCAATTACTTTTACGCCGACTTGGAGCGGCGACATCTTCCGTTTCTCGCAGAAGAAGGCTGCCTCTTGGTTCGCCTAATCGACGATTTCCTCCTCATAACGACTGACGAATCGAAGGCGAAGAAGTTTGTAAGGGTGATGCACCGCGGATTTCCGGAATACGGTGTGCAAGTCAGCAAGAAGAAGACTTTGGTCAACTTTGACATGACTCTAGAAGGGGAGAGAGTTTGCAAGGTTGATGGAAGAGGTTTTCCGTACTGCGGGACAGCGATAGACTGCAAAACGCTCGATATCAGCAAAGATCGTGAACGCAGCGCTACAATACGTGAGATTCAAGACTTTTTGATACCAAATACTATGCTAACAAATTCAAGATATTGCCAACTCCTTGACAGTCGAATATGGCCGACTCCCAGGACAGAACTTCCAGCGCAAAGTTTTGAGTAAGTTTGCTCGGCTTTGTTTTGGTACGACCAAGTAACTGACTCTCGCAGATGCTTTCAAACTTCAGTCGCACCAAATGTTCTTTGATACCTCGCATAACGCAACACGAACAGTTTTGGATTCCCTTAGAGCTGCCTTTGTAGAAACGGCGGCCAAGATGTGTGCATATATGAAGGCACTGGCGTCTGTAAAGAGGGAGCCAAACACAGCCCTAATTATTCGTACGTTTTCTTTGGAACAATATGAAATTTTGTATTATACTGACACGGCTATTTCTTAGGCACCGTCGGGAAGACTATCGATGTCGCATACCTTATCCTGACTAGTAAGTCGAGGAGGTTGCGGCACAAGGACTACGAGTGTGCCATTAGAAGAAACCAAGTACAAGCGTACGTTCATTCCACATATACCAATTCTAAGGTGGTCTCCAGCTAACAAGAATCAGGGCCGGCTTTGCCGCATTCTTGGAGGTACTTGCGAAGAAGCAGACGCAGTACAAGGAAGTCCTGGCTTGGCTTCAGACTGAGCTGGACAAGGTTACTTGGAGTGCCCGAAAGCATGTATTATAGTTTGGCAAATGGACACTAAAATATTCGTGTATTCATACTTATCTAGTATTGACCAAGTGCCAGACATGATCAATCTATATCTAGCAACTAAATGACAAGCCCGCTCAAAAACCAATTTTTATCAAGATGCGGTTGTGCCACATAATATCTGTCCCATCGCAACCACCCAGCACCAGGCTCGCCCATGCCAAGTCCACGGAACAGCGATACAGGGACGGGCTCCAGGAGCCACAGGCCTAGCGCAGCCAAGTCATCAACAAACAGCGGCGCCGTCAAGAACAACCACCCAAGCACGAACAAGAAATTGCTTGCCCGGCAGATGGCCCTCGGGGCTGCTTTCGACACAGGCTTCAAGATGGCCAGGATAACCTGCTGAATGCAAATGCCTACGCCCTGACAAAGGAAGAAGAGCAGTGGCCGCCACGGCTTTGTCTGCGGCATAGAAGACACACTGCCTGACATGTGCATCAGGCCTGACTGTGTAAAGCTGATAAACATGGAAAGGATGGCAGTAAAGAGTGTGCCTTTCTGAAGATAGCCGTGACGGATCATCCAGGTCGCTGGCGCAAGAAACTGAATCCGGAATGTCTGATGCCACCAGGCTCCCCACATGCCTGCGAGGCCACGATCAAGGACCTGCGAGAAGGACCCATATGTAGAGGCGTACATCCACGTGTTGTCCCTCAATGGGAAGAACCTCTTGATGACAAAATACTGGACGAGATCTGCCGCGGCAAACACGCCATCAACTGTGGCGAGGATGGCTACCATGGAGAAGATTTCGCGGTAGAGGAGCAGCGCAGGTGCTGGTAGCGATGCAAGATACCATGGCAGCGGATATAGATGGTGCGGTTGATCAGGACCGAGAATAGCGTATGGGTCGTTGATCATGAAGCTGGTGAGAAAGTCGAGCAGGAGATACGACATTAGCAATGTGCGGGCTCTGCTCCAGACAAAATCGCGTTTAGTTGCGCAGCGCACATAGCCAGATGCCGTGACTAGAGGAATAGTAGATACATCGACGATTGATCCATCTACAATGGTTTCGAGGATGTCTGCTGGTCGAGGGATAGCCGAGGAGGACCAGTTCCAGCCTATGCGTAGTTAGTAGGGATACCATGAAGTGAATATCACGGACAGTGGGGGCATACCTGCGCCGCGAAAACTCGATACCAGGTCCCAAGACCATCCAAGCCGGTTAAGAAATGATTCATTCTCAGGAAACTTTTGCCAAACATGAACAAGCTCTTCTTTATTGTCGTGATGGCCGTGTCCATTCGTCTGGCCGTTGCCATTGACACGACGGCGTCGAGCAGCAGTGCCATTTCCATTCGTGGCTTCAGAATTTCCACTCGCCCTCGCTTTTCGTTTTATAGACACAACTCTTGCCGCTTCAAATTGAGGTCTTGTCCAAATCAGTAGATTCAAGCAGGTCATAGATCCCCATGTAGCCGCTGTGCCTGAAGCATACGACGCGGCGATATTGGGGCTAGACACTCGAAATGTATGCTCCAGGTTCAATATGACTACCAATGCTGTAACAAGCCATCGTGTATGGTATACCCACGGGCGCTTGGTATGTGGGATCGCAAGCCATAGCGTCGTGATGCCAAACATGGGCACCAGCACGTACGGGATACTGTATGGGCGGCGCAGTCCAGCCGCGACCTCCTGCGCAAATGCGGCGCGGTATGCATCCAATGTGTCTTTGGCTAAATGATGCATGGTGCCGAATACGATAGGGCAGTCTCTTTGCGGCGAGCGTCACGATGGCGGATATCAATGAAGCGGTATTTTGATATACCGGGCGATCCGGGGGGATGCGGACTTGGCCGGGACAAGCGCTGCCTGGAGCTGAGCGAGGCAACAAAATACCGCCACTCTTTACACACGCATTGAAATGCAGCAGTTGATCGGCTTCGTGCAGGTTGTTGCGCTGGCTTGGCTTGTGTGCCGGTTGCGTGCGCGTTTCTTTGCAGTTGTCGCCCGATGAGCCGCGCCAGTGACGACATGGATGCTCAGCTGTTGGGCGCTCCACCCACGCGGCTACGAGTTGGTGTTAGTAGCACGCGCCAATATGTGCGAGTCAGTGCGACACAGTATATCTGGCCATGTCTGAACAACGCAAGCCGTATCAATGCTTTACGGCAGAATTGGCCAAAAATATAGTTGCATATTAATTAACAACAAGACAAGACAACCCCACAGAGACCACACGCCCACAGCGTCTATAGTATTATTGGGGGTTTGTGGAGCGTGTTAGTGCCATAGGGTAGGCCGTGGCGTCGCAGGGAGTGTGTAAGCCAAGTTGGAGACTGGACAAGCCACTTTTTGCACGTTAAACAGGCCCTGGGCTATAATAAGAACCATAGCCACTGGATAGATATTTACGGGGAAGGGGCCACGTCTAAGCGCCGGCAGATGTCCTCGGGTTCAGTCCAATGGCGTATGCGCACGCGCAGAGGGGAGATCGCGTTGCCCTCAGCGGCGGCAAAACAAAAGCTTGTCTGACATCGAACGGCTGCGTCTGGATTAGGGCCGAGGATGTTGGTCGACTGCCTCGGGCTACTGCTGCTGCTTCGCTATCGGTGACAAATAAAGTAATCCGATGAGCGGCGCGCTGCACTGCACTGCACTGCACAGCAGAGCCGCCGTCTTGCAGAGCCCGCCCCCCGTCTACGCCCACGGCGTGTGCTTGCGTAGATTGTAAGATTTTTTTTTGCAGGGACGTGCTTCACGGCGAAGCGATGTGAAATGCAGGACCCAAACTCAACGCTAACCCACTCCGATGGCGCACCGGCCTGCATGCCTAGGGCAGTCCGATTCCCACCAACTGCCACGTTACAGACGCTCTGGGCGGCAGTCCTGGCCTGGGCTATCGATGAGGCGGTTATTGCCGGTGTGGATTTTGGGGCGTCTTGCCTTCTTTGCTTGGTATAATTACACATGTCTAGCTCAATCAGGCACATTGTCCTGCAGTGGTGGGCGACGGGCACCATCCGTCTGACAGGAGTTGCTTCGAACCATAGCGCCACATTGAACTCTATAAAGCCCTCCCGCTACGTGCTCTGACGCCGCCACAGTGTCGGGGAGGGGCAGCCAGAAACCTCCAGGCAGACGTTTAGCAGTGGTGGTCAGCCTTTGGTAGTGGGCGCTGGTGGTGCATTGTATATTGCGCAGTGGCCCAGTCAGAACGTTCGCTTGGCGAGGCGGGAAAGGTTCCCTTGGGGCCGCCACCTTGACTGCCGGCTTTTGAAATGCCACAAGCACGTTAGCGCAGAAAAAGAACGAACGGCGGGGGTGGTACTGGAGAAGCAAAAACGAGGCTGCAGGGCCTCAGCTGAGCTATGCAGAAAGGGGCCAAGCAGGCCTGGGGGCACTAGTCCAGGGCTCGCGTCGTTTGGCCTATCCTTTTTAGACTCCGACTGTAACGAGACAGTGCTTGCGAGGATGAACAAACCACTCTGTTGGTACCGAAAAGAAGCGGTGACGTTGGTATTGCGTTTTTTCTGCAACCTTGTTCTACTAGACAAGACGTTGGACAGCACGGCCGATTCTAAGCTAAACTAAGCTGACGCTGGCCTAACCGCCGTCGCTACTTCTGACGATGATGTAACTTGATTTCGGAAATTCGGAACTGCCACAAAACTGTCTTATCTGGCGAATATATTTTTTAATTTTTTTCTCACCTCAACCAATTTGGGCATGCCCTGATTTGGAGTTGATTTTGGGTTTAATGACAAGTGTATATCACAGAAGCATGTGATGGGCGGCAAAACATACAGGGCTAGATCTGGCCGCCATGTCTGTTGATTGGTAAGTCTCTCGCCACTGTACTGTAAGGCGAGGATAAAGGTAAGGGTTGCACGAATGTCGTGTGGGCACGACAGGGCATCTTTTAGCCGGGAGCACGAAGCGTTCAGTTTGCCCGATGGGGCTGCTGACGGTGTCGGAATGATGGTAGCACCACTTCCGCCCATGTTCCGAGGACGCCTGTGAGCAGAATGGCGATCACCGCCCAGCTAATAAGCAGAGACAAGTGGCCTTAGAGGAGGAGCCATCTCGAATTAGAACAAAAGCCACCACTTGAATCTTGGTCCCAGAATCGGGGGTTGGTCTCGACTCAGCCTCCGCAAACGCTAATCGAACGGGCCGCCATGACCAGCGTTCGTCTTGGCCGTCTCACCGTGTTTCGTGTATCCAGCCATTAATTACTCGCGACCTTAGCTCTTGCGATGCTATCTTCGCCCAGCGTAAGCGCAGGCTGGAACTTGCCGTGGCGTGGGCCGTCGCCGCCTCGTTCATTCAAGATGGTGTCGATCGTCACACTCGTTGGCGGCGTCTTGTTAGTCGCGAGAAGCGCAAGGAAGTCTGACAAGGGCTCGGGTGCCTTTCCTACTGGGCAGACGGTTTCCCCTGTTCGAATTGGCTCTTCGAGCCCCATTTCAATTAACCAAGGCTCGCCAATGGAACCTCTAGAGAAGCTTGCAAATCTCGCGGAAGTCTGCCACCACCCATAAGGAAGACTGGACCCACGCCTGGGATGTGGGCGTGTCGATATTCTACAAACCGGCAAACTCTCCTGATATAATCTTCTTCATTTTACGGGATTGTGAACGAAGAGGCCATCATGCGTAGCCCTGTTCGGAGTACCGAGACCGCGAGTCGCCTATTACCCTCCCACGGCGTCGGATCAAGGCTGCCATACCACGTTCTAGGGGGCCAAACCAAGCTGACGGTTCGCAGTGTGGCCCTAGCGAGTTGACTGGTGAGCGTCCAGTGGTCTGCTCCCCCAAGCTATCGAGGGAAAGTGGGCGATCGAGCCAATGCCGGGCTCCATCGGGGCTCCTCTTTGTTATGGCGACCAAATTTGGTGGGCATTTCATAACGTTCATAATTCTTTCTCGGGGGCGGGGCATCCGAGTTGATGCACCGTCTCGGCCGGTAGGTTGGCCTACGCACCAATTTTAGGCCTCTGACTTCGGGTTCGGGCTTGTTGGAGTGTGCGAGTGTGCGAAGGATACCTCAGTTACTTACGGCCACGGGCTCACGGGTGCCAGCCACAGACGGTATATTATGCGTTGTCCTGAAAGTAATGCGTTGCCACGCGACAGAATCACGATGGATGTGTGAGTCTCGATGCGAGTGACGATCTGCCAATGGGCTCGATGGTCATCATGAAGGCGTCGTCGCTTGTGTATGCCAGCATCGTTCAATTCCCGCTGTCGTCGTTCGTCTAATCCCCTTCCACGGCCCAATTTTTGCCCTTGCTAGTTGGCCACGTCCCACGAAGAGCCATTCGGGTCGGAGATCTGTTGTCGCCACTAATACCCAACTCCGAAAGGAGATGACTACCAAGCTGCTAGTGTAACGAGGTGCACGGTTCAAGAAAACATGGAGCCGTAACCAAACCTTAGGGGGGGTGCTTCATAAACAGCGGCAAGGCCGGGCAGTCTCTGGAGCCCAGAGAAACGGGGCTCCCTTGTAGGTAATGTGGGCGGTAGAATTGCACGTGAGAAATATTTTGATTGATGTATTTACCATGGGAAGAAGTGAATCTTGCGTAGAGCGTGTTGAAAGGATGGTCAGCAACATGCAGTAGATGAAGAGGGAAGAAAAGGGCCGGTTTGGAGTGCACGATGCAACGTGGTGGCAGCAAGCGACAGGTGCCAGTAAAGGAAAACACAGCGAGGTGCCGGTGTGTATCTGGCGGGGAGACCGCCGAGAAGATCAAGTAGCATTGCCTATAAATCATACTTGCAGAGGCTCTAATAAAAACATGGTAAAATCTCCCGCCTCAAAAATGCCCGATGCATAAGCATAATTAAGCTCTACACGGCGGATTACACAACCCAAGATGAGGGCCGGAGGCGTGCCATTCTCTACTGGACCTGAGGTACCATCGCGATCTAGCGCCGACAGCCTCCGACAGCCAGCCATCCAGCCAGCGACGCCCGCTGGTGCCACAACCTGTCGGGGAACGGCGGACATTGGCTAACGTTCAGGGGAGCGCATCCCCTACCAAACGCCTATTCGGTAGCGCCAGTACCCAATCTACAGTGGGTGGTGGTACCGGAGGTGTCTTTCCAGCAGGTGTGGATCTCCCGTCGTAGATGGGCACTGCTGACTGGCCAGGCCAGGGGGTGGTATGGGGCCTGTTTCCACAGGGCTGAGCTGTGACTGGGTGGTGAGCGAGCTGGATTACAAAGAAAGGACGGCGAACAAGCGTAATTGCAGCAAACAATCCCTGTATACGAAATAGGGCAAGCGTCTTCTGGGGGATGACGGCTGGAGTGAGGCCTGGCAGAGCATGGTAAGGGAGGAGATGGACGATCTGAGGCTTAGCTTCCACGTCGACCCAGCCCAGGCAGGCCAATGGACTACGTTATTTCGTTGATACTACGTAGACGTATAGCGTATAGCGTATACAGATGCGTCGTTGCGCAGGAGCATCGGAAGGCCAACACACCATACGTACGTCTGCCGTCAACGCCCCCTCCCCCTGGGCTGGTCTGCAGCGTATTTAGAATGACAGATGCAGAAAGCAAGGGCAAGGCGGTGCTAAGCCTTGGGGAAGAAGGCTAAAACTCAAATACCATACACACATGCACGCGAATTGACCAGTCATGGCCAAGAAACAATCTACTGACTCCTGCAGCAGCAGACTCGTGGCGTTTTTGGGTTCCCTTCTTTTGCTGTATTATCACGGCATTTGCAGAGGCAGCCGGTGTTGGCCGGCACTCGCTGTAAGGGAAATGGGGGCGACAACCGGATTGATAGGCGCTAATAAATTGACGGGCGAACTATTGCCTGCAGCAAAGCCAAGAGTCAGTCAGGCACTATGATCGTCCGCTAAGCAAAGAGGACGGAAGAGACACAGTGCACGAGTCAACGGCGTGAGCAAATACTGTGGTGCAGAAAGCCACTAGTTTCTGGTGTAAATCGTTTTGGGCAGGTCAGTCTGTCTGGTGGTGGTTTTTTCTGGGGGCTGCCTGACAAAGCGACGGCCGTCGCATCCAGACTCACAAGCAAGCAAGCTAACGTTAGTTGACAAAATAGGACTCGGCCGGCAAGGGGGCTACAGCAGCAGCAGACTAAACCACCTTTGGTGCTGTAATTAGACGGAAGAAGCGCTGTGAACTGGCGAGCTTGGCGGGTTGATGGACTGTCAGCAGGGTCCTGGGATAAAGTGCTAATCTTTTCAGTTCCAACTATTACAGTTTTGTGAGGCCTACGACAGCTAATTACTGGAGGCTAAAAGAAGAAGAAGCTACCCACAGCACTTGTACAGTACAGTATTAGCGGGGGATCCACCGCAAGAATGGCTTCTTCCGCGAGTCTTTTTTTGGCCCCCCTCCCCGCTTCTAAACGGGTGTGCCATTCCCTGTCAGACTTGAACGAGCTACAGTGGAGCACCCTCCCCTGTTGCATGGTAGAAGCAGGCTAGAAGAGCGCAAAGAAGAGGAGAGCCGTCAGAACTGAAAAGCGAACGCACCAACAGGGGCGGTAGACCAAAAAAAAAAACGGGCTGTCTTTTCGTTTGACCTGCCTGCCAATGGCAACAGAAAGAGGCCAACCAACCCTTGGATACAGTAGATTGGTTCTGCCACCATCGGACAGCACCAGTCAAAGGCCCCTGGCCCCTTGTCAGAGAGGCGGCATTTGCGGATGGACGCCCCCCGGCCCGTCCAGGTTCGCGACGATTGCTGTGGCTGGCCGCTGCTCCCAGGCTGTTGTTCGAGGAGCAAGTAAGCAAGCAAGCAGGCTGGATTTGGTTTGTTTTGGAGCTCGCCGACTAAGAGCGCAGACATTAGGAATCATGGACAGCAACAGCAACAGCAACAGCAGCAAGACCCCCCCTTGAAGCGGATGTTCATGCTCTATTTCTGCAGGTCCAGTATCAGGGCGCAGCCGTCCATGATGACGGGCGTTGTTTTAGAGTGGTCGTCTTGAGTACCGGGGCACTGACTCTTTTTTGACTTTTCTGCTTTACACCGTTTGTATGGAGAAACGGTTGGTGTTTCTGCACGTTGCCCAAATGGAGGGCGATGCGCCGCTACGGCACTCACTCCCACTTACACAAGGTGGTGGGCAGACTGTTGGAAGTTCGTGCGCAACCCGCTCTACCCCCGTCCCGCAGTTGAGTGCCGGGGCACTGTGAAGTTAATACAGTGCAGTGCAGTGCAGTGCATCAACAACAGCCGCCGTCATCCGCCAACGAGTGCGTGCATTGGGCGTTGGAGCTGGGCGGCGTGCCTGCACGGTGCCTGGGCCAAGATTCCACACCACGATGAGCACTGCCGCGCACATGGCACGGCCAGGGCGTCTCAAAGATGCACATCGTTTCTGTTTTGCCGGAAAGGCATACTTTCCAGGACGAGCGTCGTCTTTCGAAGGCGTAGGGCTCGCTCGTCGAGCCTCGAAAAGCCAACCGAAAGAAGATGGGCGATCCCCCAGCGCTTGTTGCGTGTCCGGTGCCAACGGGTAAAAATAGACGGGGAACGGCGGGGAGGAGGAAGTGGTGCTCTCTTTCTCCATGGGAAGAGCCACTCATAAGCGCTGGGGGTGGCAATTCCCCCAATGAGAATAAAAATAAAAAAAGAATAATAATTTAAAGCACCCTGGCCGACAATACAAACAGCAAATCTCTCTCTCTGTCTCGCTCTCGCCCTCTCGGTCTTTGTGGTAGCTCCAGTGTAAAAAAGAACTGGGCTCCACCCGAAAAGCAAGCCCCAGCACCCACAAGGCGACCGCAAGTCCACTACAGCACAGAAGGGGGGGCGTGTCAACCAACACGCTGCGTGACTCCCCCCGGCACTCTACTGTTGATGGGGGCGTCGGCGTCCAGGCGCTAAGGCGAGTCCGTCTTCCCTCCCCCCATCTAGGCTAGGCTGTTAGTGGACTTAGGGGAGGGGGAGGTGACTGGGGGGCTTCGTCTGTTCGTCCAGTCATTGCTTGCATTGGAATTTGACCAAAACCTCCACGTACTGAAAACCATATCTTCTGCCACATCTGCCCTCCTCCAAGCCTTGCCTCTCCTCTCTGCCCTATCTTCCCGCTCCATCTACCGCCTTATTTATTAATCCTTGCTTACCTCGATCCTGATACCACCGCCTTTACTTTTTTTGCTGAGATAAAAAGGGCACGCTCGCACGTTACCTGCCACTTTCCACCACCGCCTGTCGCTGGTGCTGCTACCGCCGCTTGCAACCGTCCTTCACTGCGCCCTTCACCTCTCACTTTCGTCTTAACCCCGCCAAACTCCGCAACACGCTCCTTACGCCGCGTGGTCGCCATCATCAAATACTGTAGTAGTCTGTGTCTGCGAGGCTCTGGCAGTTCTTTTTCTGCAATTTTATCGCCAAAATTCCAACGTCTAGCGTTTCCACAGCCATGGCCGTCACACCCGCCGTGGATGGCGCTGCTGTCCCCAAGCACAGAGCCTGCGATGAGTGTAGTATGTGTCTATCCCCTTTTCCCTTTTCAAAAAGCAGTCACGGGATATTCTCGCCATAATAACAGACGAATCTCGTGTGTATTTCTTTGTTCATGCCACTAACATGCAACTCTAGGGGCAAGAAAGCTGGCCTGCTCCAAGGAACCCGATGGCTGTGCCCGCTGCAAGCGTGAAGGCATCGCATGCTACTACTCTCCTCAGAAGCCCATGGGCCGTCCCAGAAAGAGACGCAACACGGATTTAGAAGGACACACACCGTCATCGTCATCATCTTCTTCTGCACAAAAACGATCACCAAGAGCGAGAAAGACTTCTTCGGCACCTCGCTCGTCTGCCTCGCCTCGACCACCCACCGCTCCTACCAGTGCTTTCAACCCCTTCCACACCCTCTCTCTCCCTTCAACAAGCGCCTTCATCGACCCTACTCTTGCCTTTGTGGACCAGTCACAAAGCCCGAGCATGCCCATGCTCGACATGGAGCCAGACTTCTACCAGCAATCCTGTGATAACCTCAACCTCGACATTGGATACCCAGGACAACTCCCCATTGAAACCTCACAACCTCTCAACTTTGGCCTTTCTACCATAGCACCTACTAGCAACTTTGACATGGCCGACAGCTTCTTCCTCGATTCCTGCCCTTCCACTCTGGATGAGACTGTCCCGTCTCTCTCCCACGGATCACACCTGGGCTCCCCTGAGGCGTGTGCATCGCCACTATCCGACCCAGCCTATCAGTTAGACGCCCGGCCACATGCTGTGGGATCCCCGAGGCAGCCCGCCCCCAACGTGTCGTGTGGCTGTCTCTCGTCGCTATACTTTGCCCTAGAGTCTTTGGCAAACCTGCCGACGGACATCCCCTCAGCCATGCGTGTCGCCCGTGGCGCCAGCAAGATCGTCCATGATGTCGTTGGCTGTAGCATATGCTCGGGCAACTCCTTGGGTGTCGGCGAGCCCCTCCCCATTCAAAGTTTCCAGAATTTCACATTCCTCGGCAGTCTTATCCCCTCGGCTTGCAACGCCTATGCCACCATTGTTGAGATGGTGCACCAGCAGAGCAACCGTGCCAAGCAGGAAAACCGCACTCTACCCTTTTCTTACTGGCAACTTGGTGGGCAGTGGCCAAGCAGTTTACAGGCTGATCCTGCATCGTGCTTAAACTTGGCTGCCTACGACAACAAAGATCTCCATCCAGATGTCTGGCGCGAGGTGATGTGCTCCATCATGCGAGTCGACGTCTTTGGCAGCGACAGCACGGCCCACACGCTGCCAAACGGTGCCTTGTCGCCAAGCGCGGGCCTCAAGGGCGTCGTCGCCTATCTGGACACCCGCAGTGATGACAGGCACATGAAGATGGATGAGCTGAACGCCGCTGGCGGCATGCCCAAGCACAATCTGCTCATGTGCCCTGCCACTTATCACCCTCAGCCCAAGAAGGACCGACACTGTATCCGCACGCTGCACCTCGCTCGCGTTGCTCTTGACAGCATCGTCATTGGCTAGCAAGCAGATCTACGGTTGATCGCAGCACGAAGACACACGCCCTACTTGAGATTTACTTGGATACTTGCAAGCAAAGCGTTTCTCTTCAATATGTATTAGAAATTTGACGTTGCATTATGTTTTTCATTGTTTCTGTTCAAAAGATATTCAGCTCGAGGGTATGGGTTGCTAGAACGAGCTTTATCACGGGTGTTTTTTTCTTCTTCATATATTGTTTTTACTCTTGGATGGATATACCAGCGTCGGAGAAAGCGCTTCTCCCCTCGTTACAACGTTTTTTGTCTTGCACTTGGCGCTAGCACCATGATTCGATACCGCAGCCAGTCTCTTCTACCTGTTTGTAGATGTATTTTTCAATGGAATAAAACGTGGCATTGCTGCGTGGTTTCTTTTGCAAAGAGCTTTTCACTGTAATTGTGACCGACTTCTCACACCCCTCTCTTGTGCAGCAGCCCCAAAATTATTACACTACCACCAGCGCCACCACCACCACTAGCAATCAGCGCACAGCCTTGCCAACCACAAAAAAAAGTCGGTCATTTGTAAACGAAGAGGTAAACGACGGGGACCCGAACGCCGCAGCATACGCCTCGCCAAAAAGTCCACCAACCAACCAGCCACGTCATGCAACACCAAGCCAGTACAACAAGGTGGGCCGGCGCCCTTCACATGGAATGGGGATGGGAAAGTCTAAATGACCAGACAGGGACAAATCAGGAATTATTATATGCAAATGCTTTGTATTTACTTTTTTGCTCTCGAAATGGATCCCTAACTCATCTATAGTACGAAACGATTACCCAAAACAATAAAAAAGGGGTGTTAAAAGAATGCTCCCATTGGACTGGGAGATGACGCTATGCTCGCAAGATGCTTCCACAAATGGTAATTCAATTCGCGTATAAAAAAACAAGAAGAAACAGAATAAAAAGAAGAATCGAAAGAAGCCCCTTCTCTCGGCAGTGATGAGAATCAAATGTTTAAAAAAAAAGGGTGCGGAGATGCAGCCTTCCAAAGTTCCAGTGCTTGGGCAGATACGAAGGATCGCCATTCAGCCTTATGGGTAAACGGAGCGACCAATCGCGGCAGAGCTACAGCGCCATTTCACTCGCACAACAACGGACGGCCCGAACTGACTGAAATGAAAGGCGCAGCTGAGGCTGTAGGGCATCATTATTGGTGGTCTTTTCGGGGACCACCCCAGTCGCCCCAAATGCCGGTCGGCTTGTTTAGTTGGCCGTCTGCCGAAAGGTTGGTTGAGCGAGCAAGGCTTTGGGGGCGGATGATGGCCTTTTGCGTTTCTGCATGTGGGAGATGAGGGCGATAAAAAAAAGGAACCTGGTACGGCGCTCGGTAGAAAAGAAAGAGCGACAGGCGCCTCCAGCCTGATATCGACGAAATGGAAGAGAGCCAGGAGTGCATGTTCTTCTTCCTCTGAATGATTCGGCGTGTTTTTTTTTCTACTCCTCGTCCGAGAGAGACAAAAGGTCCATTTCTGTCTGGACAAGGCGGGAGAATTCCTCCCGATCGATGCCGGACGCCCGGGACAGCAGAAACAGGCTGCGGATGCTTCGGGATACATGTTGCTTTACGCCAAACTCACTCTGCTCCTTCATGCCAGCGGTAGCCTCTAGCCTTGCTACGGTTTGCGAGCCGTTGGACGACGCGCTCGACTCAGGGCGAGGGTGTGCTAGAGCGGCAGCTGCTGCAAGATACGAGGTGTCGCTGGGAGACGATGCTGCGGCGGCGGCAGCGGCCAGGGCAGCCGCGGATACGGGGATAGGGGCTGGGGCGAGGATGTTGGATGTGGAGGACGAAGATGCAGGGAGACCAAAGCCAAGAGGGGGTGAGATTTCGGCAGCGGCCGGCGCTTCGTCCGGGTCGTAGTTGTCCATGGCCGGCTGGACGTCATCGTATTGTGCATAGTAGTCGTCGTCGTCGTTGTCACGGCGCAGCGAGGCTCCGTTGGAGTACGAAGCCGACGCACTGCCGTTGGAAGCGGCGCCAGGCGCCGGTGAGCGGTTGTCCGCAGGTGTACGGTTGGCCGGCGTGGCGTCATATTGTGCCCAGTATCCATCATCGTCGTCCTCATCCATGGCATCTGCAGAGACAGCTGGGGCGCTTACGGCGAGAGAAGAGCTGGCCGGCGGGCCTGCGCTCTTGTCTTTGAACTGGCGCTCGGCCTCTGCAATGGACGATACGCCGCCAAACTTGGAGAACGGGGACGACTTGTCCGCCGGTGTGAGCTCGCCGACTCGCCAGCCGTCGCCGCCGCCCTCGGCATCGTTGATGCAGTATACTAGCTGGAATGCGAGGCCAATTTCGCTCAGAACGACGAGGGCTTGCAGTGTCTCGTTGTCAACGCGGCGATATCTCGTCTCTGCGTCGTAGTCCCAGTCGACCTCTACCTCGCCGGACACGGGGTGCGGCTCAAGAGCTCCGCTGGCGGCGATGCCTGTCAGTTGTGCGGCTTTGGACACATCGTAGCAGAGTAGGCGAAGCCACGGGTCTGTGCTAGAGCTCGAGAGGATGTTGACGCGCTGGCGGAGGATCGGCGAGAGAAAGGGGAGAACGCCTTCTGCTGGGTGCGGAGATGCGGCGGCCGGCGGGATCGCTGCGAGGATGGGGGAGAGTCGTTCGTGGAGGTTTGGAGGAGCGATGGAGGTCATGGCTGTCATCTTTTTGGGTGGTGGTGGATGACGCCGTTGGCGGGGAGAGAGAGAGGAGAGGAGGGAAAAGCGAAGCGTTGCTCGTGATGCTGCTGGCGATAAAAATGCTGTTCGCGAATGAGAGAAGGGCAGAGATTTTCGGTTCACGGGACCACGCGGTTCGTGGAAGCTTGTGACAATGAAGCAGATTTGTCTGGGGGTGTCAGATCACATGTAACGTGGTGGTGAAGCTTGGACGTGGGGTTCGTTGTCAGCGTGGGCGCGGGGGGGGCGGCAGTTGGGATGATGGTGGTGTTCGTCTGGTGTGCAGCAGTATGCAAGACTGGTGATTGTCGAGAAGAGAGGAAGAAAAAGAAGAGAGTAGGTGTGGAAGAGTTTATGAAGCGTGCGAAAAAAAGAGGGAGCGCGGGCTTTTTGGCAGAGAATTATCATAGAATCGGGTAATGAAGCATGGAGTTGTGGATTTTCAGTGGAGAATTGCTGGAGATTTGGGTTCGGGGCAAAGGAAGCTGGCCGAAGTAGGTTTAGCGGTCATCCGGTCCCCGGCCGAGGGCTTACAGCAAGTTAGTAAGCTTATTATGCAGAATTTGGAAGGAGATGGGAAATGGAGGATATAATTTATTGGAAATTAACGCGATACACAAATTAATGGTTTGAGGTAGTGAGTCAATTTTATACTACAATTATTTATCTTGCAGAGTTTCCCCAAGTGGTGGGCTTTTCCCTGCTGGTAGACGGTCTATTGTCATCCTGCCTGCTTGAAGCCCGAGATACGATACCTAGACTTCCTCCTACGCCCCATAGTAGTATTAACGGTCCTTTTAGTTTTAATGTGGTTTTACCTGGTCACGAAGTTGAGTCCAGAGCTTTCACAATTCCTCTTCGTCGTGGGCCAGTTCTTAGCAGCGACCGGCTGCTGGTGCCCAGTCTCTGGCTTCGCTTGACTTTCCAGGAAGCTCATGGAAGCGGAGGTGGGTTCCGATGTTTACTGTGAGATAGAGGGTCTCCTCTGAATCTTGACTGTCCTCTAAACGGATCACAAGCGTATATGACACAGCATATTCTAACGCATCGGACCAAATTGATGTCTGAGACTCCTCGTCCCTTTGTCTATTCTCGCAAAGGATGACCCTCTTCCCATTACTATCCCTGACAGAGCAGGTAGTGAAGTCATCGCTCTTTTTATGTATTCCTAGTTGGCTGGCAGTCCGTGCCTCCTGCTCGACGCCAAAGAGGTCTCTCAACGTGAAGACATCCTTCAAGAAGTTGAGATAGAACGTATCAACATCTGACACTGATGAGCCGGGCTTGTTGATCTCCTGGTAGTACCATAGGAGCAGAGGGTTTGTCAGATACTATGACGTTATGAAGACTTTATAATACTAAGATAGTAGAAGTGAAACTTACTTCTTTAAAACCTGACACTTGAAGAGCTTGTGGCTTCTCGCTTGACTTGGGCATTTTGCTGGTAATTGAGACGAAGTAGTAGCTGGTTCGATGATCGCTTTAGCGCCGTGCTGGTCCAAAGTGGCGGTGCCGGATGCCTGTCCGCCGTTGCAGCGAAGCTTTCCACCACAGGGCCGCCCCCACCTAACCATGCACAGCGCAAGGCACCACTGCAACCACTAAGTTAAGCGGGAAATGCTTCAGAGCCTCTTTTTGGGTGGTGCTTTCAGGGCAAAGCCGCCTTCTACCGCCTCTCTCTCGTGTGCCGAAAGCTTCTGTAACATTCAGTTGCAAATTATCTACAACAATAGTTTGTTAGAAAGTAAACCCCCCAAAATGCAGCATAAAAACAATGCGTCAATATACACCTTCTTTATACCTTTACAAAACCAATAACCATATACACACACAAATACACAAACCCACAACCCCCTTTCCCATTCCTCGCCCTCCCTATTCCCATTCCCACCCAAGACATTGAATCCCCTAACCCTCCCAAATTCACCGGCCCGCCCAACGCCGTCGATCGGAGGCTCCACCCTCGACTTCCAACATTTTTTTGCCTCCTTCTTCATTGGGACATGCTCAACTTCAACTTCTCATCCCAACATTTCGTCGTTGTCGACTTTCTCCGTTTGACATCTTCTAGATAGTCCCCATGCGACAAGCTACGAAATAATAAACACCCGCGCCCGTCCACAACGCGTGCATCGCTGCCACCGCCTGGCTCTGTCTGTTCATCGTCACCATATCGTCCCTATCTTCAAGGGACGCTCCCTCAACACCCTGCATGTCGCCTGCTGGCACGCGACTCAAGGATGAGGTAGCTTTGTCCCATGATGCCGCGCAGATAGTCCCCATAATCTAACCTTGTGTGTATTTAGGGCTCCCGGCTCCAAGTAGTCTCCGCAGGCGCGTTAGCCGGCCTCGTCTCTCGCTTTGTCATTGCCCCCCTCGATGTCGTCAAGATTCGCCTCCAGCTGCAGACTGGCGCATTTGCTACACAAGCCGGCCACCTCTCCAACACATCCACTCATCTTTACCAAGGGCCGATTGCTACGTTCCGCCACATATTAAAACATGAGGGTCTGACTGGCCTCTGGAAAGGCAACGTCCCTGCCGAGATGCTCTACGTCTGCTACTCTGCTGCTCAGTTCACTGCGTACCGATCGACGACTCTTTTCCTACGAACCGGACTACCGTTCAAGATCCCCGATGCTGCAGAGAGCTTTATTGCTGGCGCGTCTGCTGGTGCCGCGGCTACGACGGTTACGTACCCTCTCGATCTGCTGCGCACGCGCTTCGCCGCGCAAGGCACGGAAAGGGTATACCGGTCGCTGGCTGGCGCGATTCAAGATATATGGAGAGACGAGGGTGCGAGAGGCTTCTTCCGTGGTCTGGGGCCAGCCGTTGCCCAGATTGTGCCCTACATGGGCATCTTCTTTGTCGCCTATGAAGGGCTGCGCCTGCGCATGGGCGAGATGAACATGCCATGGGGCACAGGCGATGCGACTGCCGGTATTCTAGGCAGCGTCATTGCCAAGTCGTCCGTCTTTCCCCTCGATCTTGTCCGCAAGCGAATTCAAGTCCAGGGTCCTACGCGCTCGCGCTATGTCTACGGTGACATTCCTGTTTACCGAACCACGTTATCGGCGCTGCGTATCATTCTACAACGCGAAGGCTTCCGCGGCTTGTACAAAGGCTTGCCGATTAGCTTGATAAAGGCAGCTCCGGCAAGCGCTGTAACAATATGGACGTATGAGCGCAGTCTAAACTTTATGGTATCACTAGGGTCCTCGGCGCAGGAACAGGAGTGTACCAGCTCATTGTAACACCACCAGCACGTTTTTTTTCATTTTATTTTTATGGCGCATAAGATGGGTTTAGCATGAGTTCTCAGGAGCTACGGTCAGGATAAAATAAGCGAGTTTGCGGTCGTCAGACTGCTCATTAATGATATCTATATAATACATCTTTCATTTTTCGTTCAGCCCATGTACCCCGTGTATACCAGTCTTTTTGTCTATATTTTGTAAAACGTCTAGAATGATTTGCCAAGCGCCTTGTTAGCATCATCAGCACGCTGTGTGCACTCCTCCATGACCTGCCAGAACTTGGCCACGTCCACGGTACGGGGTATTCTGACGCCGCCCTTGCCAATGTCGACCACGTTCGCAATAGTACGGCCGGTTTCGCATTTACCCTCCTTGGCATCCTCAAACGTACCATCAGTGACCACCTTAACGTGGAAGCGCTCATTGTGTCTCTCGCCCTGACTGCGCTCGTCGTCCCAGTCGAAAAAAGCAATTTCGTCCGGAGTTCCAGTAAGAACAGCGGCGACAGCAAGAGGATCATGGACGGGGGGACCTGCTGTAATGCCAAAGATGTCGGCATATGTCTTTGCGAAAAAGGTCAGCAGCTCAACGAGCATCTGACGGAGGACGGATTTTGCCGGGCCCGTCTTGGCGCCATCTTTGCCGTGGAGGATGAGGTTGCAGACCTCTGGTGTTGCCGGGACCTGATGTGTAAGGTCGAGGGGCACCATGGTGGTTTTCGCCGCCAGGACGGGGTTGCTGAAGATTTCCGAAGCGGCCTCAGGGTCGACGAGTACGTTAAACTCTGCGTACGGTGTGATGTTGCCGATTCGCTCGTGGCCGTCCACACGGCCAAGCGGCGCACTGGAGAAGTTGTTGCCGATAGAGCCACCCATGACACTCAGGCCCTTGATGTGCTCTGCGAGTTCTGGGTACTTGCGGAAGACAGCTCCAACATTGGTAAAGGAGCCCGTGGCCACGATCCATGCGGTGTTGGGCGGTTGGGCCTTGAGCGCGGCGGCCATGGCATCGATTGCCGGGACACCGGAGGGCTGCATTTCCGGGGTGGGCAGCAGGTCAGTGCCGTCGAGACCAGATTCGCCGTGGATATCGGGGGCATGGAAGGCCGGTCGCTCGAGGGCCTTGCTAAGGCCAATGTGCAGAGGGATTTGGTTTTGCTTGCCGATGGCGGTTAGAATCGAGGCGGCGTTGCGGGTGACGTGCTCGAGGGAAGCGTTGCCGAAGACGGAGGAGACGCCGAGGAGGTTGATTCTGGGGTGGTGCGCGGCAAGGATGATGGCGAAGACGTCCTAATAGGCAAAATATGGCGGTTAGATATTATAGAGAGAGAATATTGGTTGGGCTGGGCATAAACTCACATCGTGGCCGGGATCGCAGTCGAGCCAGACGGGGATCTTTTCGATAGCCATTGCGCTGCGAAGAAACTGTGTATACGGGGAAGAGGATAAACAAAAGGTTGTAGCAATAGTATGAAGCGTTCAAGTACAGAAACGCATAAATAACGGAGTCGGTGAGCGGTTGGCCAGGGAGGAGAAGGATGTAGAAACTGGAGAAGAACGCCACTGAGCCGGGCTTTCGAGAAGCGTTCGCCGGAGGTGGCCGGCCGCACCCCGCAAAAAGGCTGCGCGCTCCCCCACCATGACACAAACGCCGAACAGCGCCAGACGTTTAGTGGGTTATAGCGGCGTTTGCGGGATTCCGTTCTTTGTTTCGGCTATAGCATATAAATTGCTAATTGACTTGACATGCGGTAGTTTTATAATGAAATAATCGACAAAATGTGTACAGCCTTTTGCGCAAACATCAAAAAAGGGGGTATATATTTTGTTTACAGGTAAAATCTACATTTTGTGTCTCTCCTATGTCTTCTTTCGCTCCTCCATAACGCGAAGAACGTCGGCAGCATTGTTGACATCGCCCTTTCGCTTCTTGGGCGCCCTCTTTCGTTTTCCTTTGCCCCCTCCAGCATGGCCTTCTCCATCGTCATCATCATTGCCCCCGCCCCAGCGTGATAGCTTGGTCTTTGTATCGTCAAAGTCCTCCTCGTCCTCAAAGCGGCTAGTGCCGAAGCCCATGTCCATGTCTTCGTCATCGCGGTTCGAGTTCTGTAGCATTTGGCGGTGCCTCTCTTGGCGAGCTTTACGCTCAGAAGCTTTCTCATCGTCAGAGTCGTCGTCCCGGTCACCACCCATGGGGCGGAGTGCGGAGGCTCGCTTGATCGCCGCCAAGATGGCCGGGTCAGACATGGATGGGTTCTTTGTCTGCTCCTCAGAGAGTAAACCAGTCTTGGAATCTTTAAAGTAGTTCTGTTTCAGCGCTGGTTTGGGTGGCGGTGCCATACTGCCTGCGCTTGGTGCATCACCGTCTGTCTTATCCTTGGCTGGCTTCTGAGTGTCGGAGTCGTCGTCAGAGCTAGAGCCGCCAATTCCTCCTAATGGATCGTAATCGTCGCCAGCATCGGCAAAAATATCGCTGTCGCTGTCCTCCTGTGGCTCCTCTTTCTTTTGATATTGTTCAGGGACCTCCATCCCTAACGGTCTCGCATTCGCATCTGGCATCATATCCGGTTCAGGCTCTTGACCAGGCTGCAGCTTACGAACCTTACGCTTTTCATGGCCGTCTTCATCTGTGATGATCATGACTTCACGCCCTTTGCTGTCTCGTTCGAACCTCGTGCCAGCTTTATGTGTGCTTCCAATCTTCTTGAAGCGATCGCCTAGTGCTGGCTCCGCTTGTGCCTTTGCTGCCGCGCGTGCGGCTTTCATTTCAGCCAAGATTTGATCTCGGCTTCGTTTCTTTCCTGTAGTTGTCGCAAGTGTAGAAAGTTGGCCCTTTTTCTTTTCTGTCTTCTCCTTCTCAACGGCTTGTACTTCTCGATCCTCCAGTTCGTCAAACTCGTCGTCGACATCGGCAGCCTCTGCAGCGTCGTCTGACTCCTCTTTTGCCTTTCCGGAATATACGTCCTCGCCCTGTCGAATACGTGCTAGAAGTTTAAAGTCGAGACCTTTGACCATATGTGTACTTTCCAAATCGCCACCAGCAATATTGGATCGCAATCGATCATACGTTTCCTGGTCGATTTCGTCGTTCTTTAAAGACTCCTCCAAAGCTTTTAACCTCTTTTCTCGATCGTCAGACTCTTCCTGGCGAGCTTGTGTTCGGTCGACATATCCAGACGCTAGTTTAGAGCCCTTGGGAGCATACGTTCTAAATTTCTTCGACGGCTGTTCTGATCGATTTTGATCGGCAAGCTGTTTCGCAAAGCTGGGCTGTCCTCCTAACGAACGCCTAGTAAAGTTAGCCTCCCTTTCAGTTCTCTTCACCACTCTCGACTTACGGTGTCATGGGAATATTTGTCCGTTGTCTAGATCCAAGCGCAACGTTTGAGCTGCTTGGTCTCGTTGACGATGCGCCATCGCCTGATTTGCTTTCCGCCTTGGCCGAATTGGCCAGCATAAGCTTCCTAAACTGTTCATTATTCATTATGCCTACTCGCCTTCCCAGCATAAACAATCGCAAGTGTTGCTGGTGACTGCGCAAGTCGGAGCAAATGTTGCAAACTTGGCCTCGCCGGTCACGAGTTATCGTGTTGATAGCGCGACTCCACTTTACACGCGGAACCACGTTCAAACGCCACCACGGTTCTTCAACATCGTCGACTTAGCCGTTTACACGACCACGTTTTTTGAAAGAAAAATTGCAATAGGTACCGGTTTATTGCAAATACAACAGTTCATAGCAGCGTTCACGACAGTCGCCATGAGCTGAGTAACAGCGCGTCGATTTTCGTGTCTTGTCAAGATCCAGTCTCTCACCACTCCAAGACACCGAGTTGGATTTATGTGTTGCTTTCAAATTCACGGTGCGCCGTGAATTCCCCTGTTGCAAAAATGGGCGGCCTTTTGGAAAAGAACTCGTCCTTGGTGAGGAAACGCATCGAAGACCATAAATTTGAAGACGAAGGAGGAGAAGAATATGAAGGAAGCGAGTTTAATGGTTTCGGCGATTACTTTCGGCGCAAAAAGATTAAGCTACAAAACCTTGATGCCGCAATGCGCGAGAGTTCCGACAAGCCGCAGATATTCAAGGGCATAGTCGCCCATGTCACAGGATATACGCAGCCGCCGCTCCATATGTAAGTTCTACTACTACGCTCTTGGATCTATTACTGACAGACTTGCAAGCTTACATCGCCAAATCGTTGAGCATGGCGGCGGCTTTTTGCAATACTTGGACTCCAAGACCATGGCAACCCACATCATTGCGTCGACTCTGCCGCCGAAAAAAACGGTGGATTTCAGCAGATATAGAATTGTCAAGCCGGCATGGATCACCGATTCTATTGCGGCTGGGAAGTTGCTGCCATGGGGCGAGTATCGAGTCTTGGACGAAGGCCCTCGACAAAAAGTGCTGAAATTCGATGGCTCAAAGGGTTTAACTCAGGCTAGCCCTGTTGCTAAGAAAGGATACAGCGAGCAGATCGACAATAGCTTCTATACTTCTCAGCTCAAAGGTGCCGGTCCCGAGAGTCAGAGATGGAGCCAAGTCGTACAGCAAGCCGGAAATACAAGCGCAGCAAAAGACACCGACCCAGATACAAGTCTTTCAGGCACAAATGATCAAGGTTCAGATGCCGTTGATGGAGATGTGGTAAAAACTGAGGCCCCAGACCCCCCTGCCGCTCAAGGCATCCCGCCGCCGCCAAGCAAACCCGTTGGTGAAATGACGTCTGAGGAGCACAATGCCTGGGTACTTTCAGACCCAAAGCTGCGAGAGGCGTCGTGTCAAAATCCTAATTTTCTACAAAAGTTTTATGCAGAGAGTCGACTACATCATCTCTCTACATGGAAAGCGGAACTCAAGTCATCTATGCAAAAGCTGGCTACAGAAAAGGGCTTAACTGAAAGGAAGTCCAAGTCTAAGCCTGGATCGCGCAAGTACATCATGCATGTCGACTTTGACAGCTTCTTCTGCGCCGTTTCGCTTAAGAAATACCCCGAATACACTACCCTACCTACAGTTGTCGCCCATGGATCTGGCTCTAGCTCGGAAATTGCGAGCTGCAACTACCCCGCGCGCGAATTCGGTATCAAGAATGGCATGTGGATGAAGCGGGCCATGGAAATGTGCCCAGATCTCAAGGTGATACCATATGACTTCCCGGCATATGAGAATGCCAGTCGCCTATTCTATGAGGCCATCATGGAGGTAGGTGGCATTGTCCAAAGCGTCAGTATAGATGAGGCCCTCATCGATGCTACCGATGTTATTTTGAACGGATTGGGCTCTCAAGGCACAACTATCCGTGAGAGCAGCATACGCTCGGAACAAGAAAAGGCAGAGGAACTAGCCTTGGATCTTCGCAGGAAAATCAAGGAAAATGCTGGCTGCGAGGTTTCTGTTGGTATCGGCAGCAATATCCTACATGCAAAAATAGCATTGCGGCGCGCCAAGCCAGCTGGCCAATATCTGATGAAACCAGAAGAGGTCCTTGATGTTATTGGCGAACTCAAGGTGGATCAGCTGCCGGGCGTTTCGTACAATCTGCGCAGCAAGCTCGAAGAGCTCGGTATAACCCTGGTCAAGCATATTAGAGAAACAACCAAAGAGAGATTGGTTGCATCGCTTGGCCCCAAGACGGGCGAGAAGCTAGCAGACTACGCCAAGGGAATCGACCATGCTGAAGTTGGGCCACAGCCGCCGCGAAAGTCTGTGTCTGCAGAGGTCAGCTGGGGTATTCGGTTTATCCATCAAGCCGAAGCCGAGGAATTTGTTTTCAATCTTTGCAAAGAACTAGAAAAGCGTCTGCTGAACGAACAAGTCAAGGGCACAAATCTCACAGTCAAGATTATGAGACGGGCGCTTGATGCGCCTCTTGACCCAGCGAAGCATCTTGGACATGGGAAATGTGACACTTTCAACAAAAGCATTACGTTTGGCGTAGCAACAAACAATTATGAGATTATTGGTAAAGAAGCAGTCTCGGTGCTTCGATCGTACCGGTTCAATGTTGGCGATCTCCGTGGTCTCGGTGTGCAAATGACCAAGCTTGAACCGATAAAAGCAGGCACCTTGAAAACTGATGGCAGCCAGAAGCGGCTCAGCTTTGGTGTGGTTGCTGGTCCTTCGGAGCCACGGCGCGCCCGTCAAGAAGATATTGACGATATTGAATCCCCAACGAAACCTCGATCTGCCGAGAAGGCTTACCGTGAAAATGACCCGATTGCGGACGACCCTTTGACACCGCGGAAGGCCAAAGTTCACCCAGCAATGGCGCTTGCGCGAGCTGGGGAGAAGGATAAAAAGGCAAACAGCCCCCTAAATATCAGCGGAACCCAGTTTATCATCCCGAATAACGTCGACCCAAGCGTTCTTGCAGAGCTACCAAACGATATCCGAAGCAAATTAATGGGACAGCGGCCGAAATCAGGAACACCAAGATCAGAGTCGCCGCTTGCAAGATCTCGACCAGAGTCCCCTGCTCCTGAAGCATTACCGTCGCAAGTAGACCCTGAAGTCTTTAATGCTCTGCCCGATGACATGAAAGCAGAGGTTCTTGCATCATATGGCCGTCACCCACAGTCTCACTTATATGCACAGTCACCTATTCGACCTAAACCAGCCGTCCCCAAGAAACCGCCTAGTCCGTCCAAACGAGGCGGTATCCGAGGGTTGTTTGGAAAAGCACGGCGACAAGACGATGCTCGGGCTGGTGTTGTGCAGACTAGCTTTGCCAGCGCGGCCCCAAACAATGACGAACCCCCAGAAGAAGAACTAGAGGAAATCGATCCCGAATTCTTAGCCGAATTGCCGGAGGATGTGCGTAAGGAAGTCATTGCCGATCACCGGCGCCGTATGCTTGCACAGCGTTCGGGCCTTAATGCTCCTCTGAAACGACCAACAGAGAATGTTGAGCCTAGAACCGGAGGCCAGCAAAAGATTGAGTTTCCCGCAGCGCCCTCTAAAGTCACATTTGCCAGCTCTGGCATTTCTACAACGCAGGAAGTCAAGGACATGATTGAAGCATGGCATGCGGAGACAAAGGACGATGGACCACACAAGGGCGATGTTGACGTATTTGAAAAGTACCTCGTGCGCGTCGTGCAAGAGGAGAGAGACATGGAGAAAGCATCGAGCTTGGTAAAGTGGTTGAATGTGATAGTCGACCAAGCGACAGCAAACATGGGCAAAGAGGCGTGGAGAGCTTCCCTGAGGTCCATCCGTAATGCACTGAAGAACGCCATGAAGCAGAGGGGACTTGGAGCTTTGAACTTGTAGGATTTGATACCATGGGATGAATTTTGGAGTATACCGGGCTCGGCTGGGTTTGTGTATGGTTAGCCGTTTATGAAATCATGAGACACGATTTGTACATTTCTATAGTATCTATCTACTTGCGCGCTATGCTAGAGTCAAATGCATGGTTTTGGAACAGTCATAACTTCGTCATCTTGGTCGGCTCAAGGGGCATATTTTTACAGGAGACATGCCATTACAACGCCAGCCACAGCCAGTAACATGGAAGCAGGCTGTAAAGACGGCGACGCTGCTGATGTCTTATATACAGTGAGCTTAAGAGCGCCACCACATGTCATGGTCTTGTTGCCGTCGCAGGCCAGATTGCATTGGCTGTCTTCAAACTTTGTCGAGATACCGGAAAGTGTGTTGGAGCACCAGCATTCGCTGCAGCATGTTAGCCTACGCCGTTCAAAGCAATTTCAATGTGCTGGAACCTACCGCGCAAACTCGAGTCCAGCGTAGAGATATTTGGTGCTACCGTCGCCACAGAGCGATAGACACATGGGTACCGTCATCTCGCCTGGTTTAACTTCGCTGATGCCATGGGACAGTGCGCGCTCGCCGGTGGAATCCGCAATTCCTGTCGTTTCGTTGTAACAGCCCAGATAGGAGTATTTGTTGGAGTCCTTGTAGATTGTCGGGGACGTCGAATCTGCGGCGAGGGCTGTCGATGCCAGAGCCCCAATGGCAGTGAAGGTAGCTGAAAGCTTCATTATGTGACGTGTTCCTCTCAGAATCAGAGTGTCAGAGATGGTCGCGATTCATGCACAGCAATAAAATGGTGATTTGGCAGCGTAGTGCTCCGTTTTGGCTTGCGCACGAGGCTGGCTGGGCTAGGATTCAGCCGGCGCCCAAGGATACACCGAATGCGTTAGCATTTGCCCGCGGCCCACCCGCACCACCACTAACAGGCGCAGGGTCAACCCGAAATCCCCAGAAGCTCCCTCCCCACATGCGTTTTACCAGCAAATGTGGTGCCCCAGCCATTGCATTCTTCTTCCACTTTGCGACCGACAAGCAACATCCCCACGATACAAGACGGGCTTCACGGCGCTGACGAACTGACGAGACGATTGAAACCTGCAGCATTGTGTACTTTGTGACTGAACGAATTGCGCCGACACGACACGACTCCGTCAATACAATCAACACCAACACGCAAGCGTCCACAGCTGCCTAGAACCTCAACAACATGAGCAGCTACATTGACTGGTCCAAGACCACAAAGTCCAAGGACTACCGTGGCTCCGGCTCCTTTTCTACCCTACTTATTGTCGGGCGTAAGACACAAATACCCGCAGTGGCCTCTTTCGGCGCAAAGCAAGACTAACGATTCCTAGCCACCTGTTTCTTCCTCGGTGTTCTCTTTGCCTCGTTCCCCTACGACTACCCGCTGCTCTGGAGCAAGGATGTCGTGGCTCCCGAGTTCTACGACCAGCTCGAGACACATCTCAAGTTCATGCATGCTGCGCCGCCTCTGATTGGCCGCCTGCTCAACATTATGATTAGCGTTGGCTTCCTCGGTCTCTTCATCAAGCTCTTCCGCCCCAGCGAGGCCAACTTCCTGTTTGATGGCGCCTCGCTCATCCTCTACGTCATTGGTGTTGCCGTCTATGTCTCCAACATTGTCACTGGTCTGCGCACCGTTAGCTCCGGTCTGTGGGAGAAGGACGAGTACCGCTTCACGCATGCGACAGAGAACGACGGCGAGTTCTTGCTCGGCCGCGAGGACTCGCTGCGCGTGCTGGCTGCCAGCAACACCATTCTTGCCTTGGTCTTGATTGGTGTCCTGGTCCTGCAGGCCGGTCAGTGGTATGCTGAGAAGCGCGAGTGGGATGACACTGCGGAGGAGGCTGAGAAGAAGAAGAAGGACGGATCCCCTGCTAGCAAGGCTACCAAGAAGAAGCAGTAAGCGAGTGTAGGTCGGGATGGGATGCGGAGTTGTAGTGCTTTTTTGGAGATTGGCTTGGCTGCGATACGAGAGAAGCGGGATGATGTCATGGGGGGTTGGGGAATAGCCGCCATGTGAGGGCTTGTTTCTTGTTGCGGCTTTGTTTTCGATAGTATGAGGTAGATATACGAGCAGTGGAATAGTGGTGCTACTGTTGCTGCTGGAATATGGGGATAGTTTACGGTGTGCTTGTCAAAAGCGCCTTAACGAGAATACACACGCCCTGACATTTACAATCGTGTCTAAGTGTCAAGTTGGAGTTTGTGGACTGCGCCTTTTGGTTGAGCCTCCATTTCGAGATGGTGATAGAAGACCAGAAGGTAGGGTTGTCAAATGTCAAAGGCCCGCTTTGATCGGCAGAATGCGCATGCTGATTGCGACATTGGGCAGTACGTCGTACCATGCATGTCCAAGCAGCGTCTATATGTCACCAGCTAAGCACGATTCGGGCTAGAACTGCGTGATTTTTGTCACCTTGTAGGCGGCTGTGCAGATGGTAGACGATTTGGAACAAGTGCTAAACATTCTGCAATGCTGGTACGGCCACGCCATCATATACTTCAGCTTTTGCAATTTAATATTCCATGGTGGATTGACACAGTACACATATTAACGAGAGCCTCCACCGGGCACCGAGCTAACCAGTGGGCGTGCCTAGATCTGATAAGCCCCAAAGCGGATAATGAAATTTTCGACTTGCGCGCTGACTCCACCGCTGCTTCGGCAATCCAGACGCACCAAAAAAACGGCGCTTTTCGCTCGCCCGCCCGCCCGCTCAGCAACTATTTCCCTCACAGACGACCCCTCTTCTCGCTTCTTCTCACGCTTGTCTCCTATTTCTATAAAGAATCGGCCTCGTGCTCCCTCGGCACACGACATCCTGCCTGCTCTCCCACCGCTACCCCAGACTGCGACGCTGCAGTGACATTCGCCGATCCCAGTGCTGACTTGCCCGCGCTCTCTGCACCACCTGCGAACCGACTGACCTCCTCTTCGGCCAGTAAACCGCGCTGCTAGACAGCCGCTATCCACACACATATATTTATAACCACGAGGCGTTGCGCTTCTGTTGCACAGTTCTCTGCTCCTCACTCGCGCGGGTGACCTGCAGTCGAACGCAACTGCGCAGCAAAGGCCTTTGACCGACTCCCTTCTCCTCCTCACCGCGTCTCTCTATCACTTCGACTTGCGCACCATGGACCAGGCCGCAGCGGCCGCTCCTGTACAGGCCATCGTCGAATCTCGTGCTGCTGTCCTGCCTGCCAAGTCGAAGATGGCCGCCATGGAATCCGTCGAGAACTTTGTCTATGGATCCGTACGTTACTCAAATCGCTTGCCACTGGGCATATAGGCTAACATGACACTACAGTTTGCCGGTATGGTAGGAAAGTTTATAGAATACCCTTTCGATACCGTCAAAGTGCGACTCCAAAGCCAACCCGACCACCTACCGCTACAATACAAAGGCCCCATCGACTGCTTTCGACAATCCTTCCGCGCCGACGGCTTTGCGGGCCTATACAGAGGAATAAGTGCGCCGCTTGTAGGCGCAGCGGCCGAGAATGGATCGCTCTTCATATCTGAGAATGTCGGCCGCGAGCTGTTATACATGAGTGGAATTTCTTCACGAGAAAAGGGCCTGGGACTTGGTGCTCTATTTGCCACCGGTGCCTTTGCCGGTGCCTGCACGTCACTGGTATTGACTCCTATTGAATTGGTCAAGTGCCGTATCCAAGCACCCGTTGCAGATGCTAGCGGTGTTGTCCCCAAGCTTCGCCCGCTTCCTGTCATCCGAGACATCTTCCGCCTGGAAGGATTCCGTGGATTTTGGCACGGCGGAATGGGTACACTTATTCGCGAATCTGGAGGATCCTCAGCTTGGTTTGGTGTCAAGGAAACAGTCACCGCCATGTTTCAGCACTTGAGAGCCAAGAAAGCCACATCGTTGGAAGCAAAAGCGGCTCTTGCGGGCACCCCGTTGCCTTTGTGGCAGCAGGCCGTTGCCGGTGCCTCGGCAGGCATTTCTTACAACTTTCTGTTCTTCCCTGCCGATACAATCAAGTCACGCATGCAGACGCTTCCGCCTCCACCACCAGGTGTGAACCGCACCTTTCTCTCTGAAGGCATGTCTATTTGGAGACAACACGGCGTGCAAGGTCTCTACCGTGGCTGTGGCATTACCTGCTTCCGTGCTGGTCCGGCATCTGCTCTAATCTTTATCGTCTTTGACAGCCTAAAGAACAATTTCCCCATGCATTGATATCTACAGGGGTATAGTTAACACGTTGTATTTTGTATATAGAAGAAGTTTTGGTGGGTGGCGGCGCTGCATATGCATTCAGAGGCGTTTTTGTTTTTGCATTTCAAGTCATATAGATGGGGTGGGATAGAGAGATCAAATTACGCTACAATTGGGAGGTGGTATTACATATTAAATATTACAAGTCTTCGACTGATATCGTGCTTGAAAAGAGAAGCGTCTCCCGGCTCGGTGATCATCACATTAGCTTCTCTTCAGGTCCTTGCCATTAAAGTCCCACTTGTTGAGGTGGCCAGCTCCAACGCAGAGGTAGGTGGCAAAGCTTAGCCAGCCGAGGTAAGGAACCTGAAGCCAGGCCGCTGTCTCATCAATACCGCTGTACAGGTATGCAAGGTAGCCGTTCAAGCCTAGAAGAGTAACAATATCGACCGATGCTTCGACGGGGCGCTTGGCGACGAAGAAGAGGGGCATCCAGATAAGGTTGATTCCGAGCTGCAGCGAATAGATCGACATGGCGTGTCTGGTGTTTTCGATGACGGATGGCGCAGCCAACGCGGAGAGACCTGCAGAAGCGACTCTGTGGGCGCTGTAGCCCATAACACTGAAGATTGTTAGCCGAAAGTGTGGTGTATGGGTTTCGCACAAACATACGCATAGAGTACGGTCCAGACGGGGCCAAAGACCCAGCTCGGCGGGTGCAGGGGAGGCTGCTTTAGAGCCATATATGTCTTCTTTACTTCAGTAGCTATGGTACAATGCCATTGTTAGTAGGAATTCACTTTGGGAGTAGAATCAGAGCACATACGTCGAGTGCCGTAACCAACGGCTGCGCCAAGCGCTACTGGGAGCAGCACAGAGGCAGCCTGGTTCTCGAAGATCGAGGAAGGGATCGTAAGAGACTGGAGATATGTAGTCATTTTTTTTATTTCGGTCGCTGCGGCAAACAGAGAGTCGTTAATGAGAGTGTAGATGGTGAGCTAAGCTAGCTGTTGCTTTGTGATTTTAGTCTCGGAGCTGGAGCTGAGAGCGGCTGTTGCGTCATTGATTTGGAGGGGCCAAGCTGTAAGCCCGATGGCCATATAGCATAAGTAGTGTGAGCATCGGCGGTAAAATTCATACGGTAAAATTCATAAAATTTGCACTGTTCATAAATTGTGTTAATTTGCTGTGAAACGCATTCATTCTGACTATTTTTTTTAATTTTTAATGTTTTTTCGACTCCTTTTGCGACGCTTTGGTACGACCCTGTAGTGACATTTAGCTGGCAGCGCAATAATTACAGGCTCTGCCAGTGGTTGCCAGGTGCCACTACGGGTGCTGCCAACTGCCAGCGCCAAAAGCACAGACCACCACTTTAATGGATTTCGCGAACCGACGCGTTCTACACGCGGCCCACGTCGCGGGCCGTGCAAGGGTGACAGGGGAATGCGCGTTACCGCCGCGCTAAATCTTACTCCTCCCTAGTGGGCTTAAGTGGTTTTCTCCAGCAACCACCCACCAACGCCCATTGTTCTACTTTTGCATCAAGTTATTCTATTTTCCTTTTTGCTTTCTGCATCATTCACATACCACATTCCATACCACTAGCTTTGATATACCTTGTTATCAGCATAGCATCCTTTCATCACCATATCTGTATCGACAACCACATCAGATATCGACTCGTAAAGCTACATTCAAGCGGTGCACGAGGCAACTCACACGCTATAATGTCTCGAACGACGCTTGGGAAGCGAAGCCGCGTAGACGAGGAAGAAGGTTAGTATCGCTGCAGTTCGATTCGTAAAGCATAGTCACTCACCCGCCAGCTGCAGAAGTCGACGTTGTTCAGACCACACCGAGCAAGAGACCTCGCCGTCAATGCAAGCGAATCATCACCACATATAACGACGATGAGAACAACGCCCCCGAGGATATAATCACCCCTCTTGAAGAGGATGACGAGATTCAGCCCCTGCCGAGGCGACGCATCGCCCAGCCCTCGCCTGTTAAAAAGAACCCAGTTACCCCTTCTACTCCTCGCCATCGAGATGTCCTCGGCGGATACCCCACGACCCCTCGCCACGCCGTCATGTCTGCTGGTAAACTCTTTAAGCGTTTAACACCCAATACACCACTCTCTCCCGGTGCCACACAAACAATCTACCACTCAGCTCGCCAGCTCTTTGCTCGCGGTGCCGAACCCGGACAGTTGGTTGGCCGCGATTCGGAACGAGAGCAGTTGACTCAATTTCTGGACCGATGCACCTCTGAGTCACCGAGCGGGTGCCTGTACGTTAGCGGCCCGCCTGGAACTGGCAAGAGTGCTATGATCAACTCTATGGTTGAGAAGTATGCCAAGCAGGACAATGTCAAGACGGCATACATCAACTGCATGAGCATCAAGTCATCCAAGGACCTGTACGTCACTCTTCTTGGAGAAATCAACCAAAACAAGGAAAGCCATACCGAAGCTGAAGCCGTCGCTGCTCTGGAGACAATGTTTTTGCCCAAGGACGACTCAGAAGACGTTTACGTGGCGATGCTGGATGAGATCGATCACATCTTGACACTCGGACTGGAAAGCCTATACCGGGTATTTGAGTGGTCTCTGCAAAGCAAGTCCCGACTTCTCCTTGTGGGAATTGCCAACGCTCTTGATTTGACCGATCGATTCCTGCCGCGACTCAAATCCAAAAACCTCAAGCCCGAACTTCTCCCCTTCCTCCCCTACAACGCCGCCCAAATTAAGAATATTATTACGACACGCCTCAAGACTCTTATGCCTGCTGATAAGCAGACATATGTACCTTTTATTCACCCAGCTGCCATTGAGCTGTGCTCACGAAAGGTTGCTAGTCAAACCGGTGACCTGCGCCGAGCTTTTGAGATTTGCAGAAGAGCATTGGATCTTATCGAGTCTGAGACCCGTAGCAAATATGAGGAGGAGGCACGGGAAACTCATCTTCAGTTGACTCCTACAAAGAGACCACTGGGTGAGAACCCCAACGGCGCTTCTGCTGGTGGAAAGACTGTGGTGCAGATTCTGTCTGCTTCTTTGAAGAGTATGACGGCTGAGACTGCCCCGCGTGCCTCTATTAGTCACCTCAACAAGGTCACTGCTGCAGCTTTCAACAACGGCACTGTCCAGCGTCTCAAGGCGCTCAACCTGCAGCAAAAGGCTGCTCTTTGCTCTCTTGTGGCATATGAGAACCGAACGCGACAGGCAAATAAGATGGTTGGCGGACCAATGACGCCGAGCAAGTTTCAGTCTTTGGCACCAACCATTAAGGCTTTGTATGATGCTTACTGTCGTCTATGTGTGCAAGATTCCCTATTGCACCCTCTTTCTAGCTCTGAATTCCGCGAAGTCATTGGCAGCCTGGAAACCCTCGGGCTCATTGGTGATGTGGACGGCAAGAATGGCAGTTTTGGTACACCGTCGACACCAAGCAAACGCCGCAAGGTGTCACTTGCCAGCAGTGACGACAAGCGCGTGTCGAGCAGCGTTAGCGCCAAAGATATGGACGGTGTTGCCGATGGCATTGGATCTGGAATCCTGCGCAGCATCCTAAGCGGCGAGGCCCTGGATTAAGCCGGAATTTGCTTACTGGGATCTTTTATCTGAAGCGGGGCTGAGGCTTCATCTCCCTTTTTACGACCATTCTATTCTTGTGTTATTTTTGTTTATTTTTGGATTGCATTGTATTCGGCGTTTTGGGCATCTGCCTCGGAAATAGGCAGCAATTCTTTTTTTATTGGCGTTTTTTGGAAACATTGTAACGAACGAACGGAAGAAACAATACCCATCTAGGAATAGTGTAGAAATCATTTTTGTACAAGCATTCTGAAATTACTTGATGTGCAATTATGGCTGTGCTGTAGCAGTGTATATACGATTCGCGTAATGTGGTAACTGAGTCATTGGAATACTCTGCGAGCTTTCCGCTAGCCAGCTTACAGCCAACCATCACATTTACATTCACTCATTATTTGCGAAACAAGTTAACGTCAAACTTATTATACGCTCTAAAGATGACGTGTCTCTTGACCAGTCTTCCGCAAGAACTCATAGACTACATATGTGACTTGCTCTATGGTTTGAGACGGTCAGACAGCGAAGACAAAACGCTGCAAAACATGTCTCTTACATGCAAAAGACTCAATAATTGTGCTCAACCTTTGATGTTCCGAGGTATATGGCTGCGAATGGACCTCAAAAACCCAGAAGCAGCTAACCGCAGCAACTATAGGTTCTTGGAGACGATGCTTCAGAGGCCGGCTATTGCATCGACAGTGCGTGAACTATGGACTAATGATATATCGGAGTTTCCAGTCGCCAACAGCAGCGAAATCTTTCATCTCTGGTTGAAGAGCCAACCTGTGGATTTCACCAACGATGCTGCCGCCCTCGCAGAGCTAGCTGGGTCTGATGTCTGGAACTGCCCGCCTCGGTTTGCCCCTTTTGGTCTTGAGATGCTGGTAACGTCGCTACCCAACTTGGAATACTTGTCCCTTTCGGCAGGTCATTTCGGACCCTGGGATGATCCAATGAGCGAGATGTACCATCCACCAGCTTGCCTAACGAGGCTGCGAGTGCCAAGCCTACCAAAACTACGAGACCTCCATGCCTACGTCCACATGTATGGTAAGCATTTCAGCCTCATGGATGTCGGACTGAACGCACTGCTGGGAGCAGCTCCCAATCTTCAAAAACTGCACTTGGAAGGAGTATCCACGGTGCATGAAGACCTTGATCTGGCGACCATTCAAGCACGGGTGCCTACGCTGGACAAGCTCGCCACCCTTATACTGGAGCAGTGCTGTGTGGGAGATGACAGTAAGAACCGGATATTCAATTACCTACGAGAGTTTGCGAGCCGTTGTCCTGAGCTGCGGTGCTTCGAATTCCAGGCCGGGGATGAGGACTCGGCCGACTTCCCAGTAACTCGCCTTCTAGCATCGCTTGAAGCGCGCAGAGAAACGCTGGAAGAAGTAAGGCTTCGCAACAAAAGTTGCGGGGTGGAAACTCGCACACTCCCAACGATGCATGACTTTGAAAGTCTGCCGAATCTCAAGGTCCTGGGACTAGACAGAGCCGCGTTTTGTCGTCATCGCGAAGGTATTACTGGTGGGCCAAATCATGCGACTTGTCTGGTGGATGTTGTCCCTGCGTCTGTTACCAAGCTGTGTATCGATTTGTCAGACGACTTTGAGATGGCGTTCAAGGATGTTGAGTTCCTTGCGAAGCGGACCAAGGCCGGCGACTATCCGAATCTCCAGCACGTGGAGCTTGAGCGGTCTGTATACAACTGTCTTGTTTCGCGGCAAGCTCACAGTCCAGCTGATGAGTTTGTATCCGATCATCCGCTGGGAGATAAGTTCCGGGACCTTGTATCTGCTTTGCTGGCAGCCAAGATTACTGTGAGTATTTGCGAAGATTTCCTATAAGAGATATGGAGACTGTATTCTTCACGAAGCCGCATTCTACAAACCATCATGGTACTTTGTCCTCGCTTCGTATTCTGCGGCCCGTGTCCGCAACGCCACGCCACGCACAGCACATCCCAATGGCAGCTGCGTCGAGAGCGGATCGGCGATGACATTGCTATGGCATTTGATGCTCCATGTATAGTACTGTAGCTAGCGGCGGAATTGGGCGGGGCGGGACTCGGAGCCTGGCGCAAGGTTGCATGGCGCTATTTGCTCAAGGTGCATGGTGCATGATGGTGGTGGAGCTGTGGTGAGCGCTCATTGGGTCGATGGGGAGGACTGTTTGGTCCGTGAGCGCGAACTGGTGGACAGATTTTGATTGCGGTGTGTGTATGGCCGGACACAGGCCGGGGTTTGGCTGGCAATGTTGATGCAAGGCGCAGATTGAAGGTGGCGGTGATGGTGGTGAAGTGGAAGCTAGTCAAGTGACAGGGTAGGCCTGCTGATATGCCAGTTGATTGGTTATCAATTTGCGAGAGGGTGTGGTAAGTTGTATATACAATATGCGGAAATGAACTGATTGAGTAGTGGAACAACCAAATAATTTAGCAGCAATTGGTTCACGTTCGTCCACATACTGGAAGTCAATTAAATAAAAGTAGTATACGACTCGTTACAGGTTAGTGGTATCACACGTAGTGGTTGAGGAACACCCGTAGTACAGCCCAGCAAACAAACCCCGTAATCGTAGACACGAGAAACTTGATGATAATTATATCAGCAATATCCAAAAATGATGATGAATATTTACAGATCTACTACCCTGCCATGCGCAATGTGTGTGACAGAACGCACAGATGCTGAGAAATTGAGATTTGCGCAAGGCTGGCTAGTGTCACTTCCACTGGAAATAAGTTCACATACAGCTGCCTAAATACCATTTCCTTGCAAATTCATGCCTTGCTCGCCAATATCAACATGAGTGCTGATAATCCACTAAGCTCTGCCGCTTTTCTGCGACTCAGGTGGAAAGTAGCAAAAAATCTTGCTTTAGCAGAATGCATTCATATCGCCGACGATCCTGAAGATGTCAACTCTAGCTTATCATCCTATCAACATGCCGACGGAACGCTGCACCCAATTCACACCAAAGCTGTTAGTTATCCGCCCGTCAAGCGTTTCACAGTTGTCCTCGACAAGCTAGATGGATTTCAATTATGAAATGAAGAGGCAGACAACGAAGCTATTGAACAAAGAGCACAAACTGTTATAGAGGCCAGCGGCCCAGATAGCTGGGCTGGACCGTTCCTCCATGTTACCTCGTCCGGTGATTTTATTACTATTGAAGAATACATCAATGCCGTATTCCCCTGGTTAGTTCCCTGCGGACAGTCTATATCCAGGAGCGCATTGATGAACAGGGCGATGGTCTACCAGAAAGCATGGAAATCTGGGTACATCCGAAGCATTTCGTCCAAATTTGGCTCGCAGACTCTGAACAAGACGATTATGACGATCGACGGAAGATCGCTACCGAATATTTTTCTATTAGAAAGGACTGGATTTAAATATATTTAGTATTCTGTATCTGTAAATTTTATTCTTATAAACTATCTCAACTTTGGTGCTTTCACAAGCTTGGTGATGATGCCCTCTGGCTTAGCACCTACTGCAACGTACGATGCAGTAGTTGTGGGGGTCGACGCCAGCCAACAAGCCTAGCTTGGTTCGTGCGTATATGCAGATCGCGGATTAGGCTGGGTGAGAGGATAAAAAGAATGGAGAGCGGTGAATTTTGACGGCAGTTGCATGGTGTGTTTATTGCGTTGCGTCGTGGGCGTTCTACACTACTATCCATAACTTAGTTATCACGGTGAGGGGCTGGTTACTTGTCCATGGGCAGAACTGCTATGAAGAGAATAAATGCAAAGAAGCAGCAAGGAAGACCGGGAGAAGAACAGAAGGCGGCTTGGCAACGCAGAAAAGAAAAAAAGGCGTGCTTTTCCAGTCTTGGCGTGATAACGATGCGTGATACGCTGCCAAAGGTTTGGGGGGATGGGCTACAGTGGGTTGTAGTGGCCTGTGTTTGCTGGGCTTTGGGCTGATGTTGCGCGAGTTGGTGTGGGCGGGCAGTGCTTTTTCTTGGCTTGGACGCGGGGGAATCGCGTGCAGCCTTGTGCGGTGGTGTAGTGGTGGCAGTGATGATATTAGTGGTGGGAGGCTTTTATTCTGTTTGATACGAAAAAGAGGGAAACCGAATAGAGCCGAGGCTTTGAGCACAAGTCCATACTCGAAAGAATCGATTGCCGGCAAACCGGCTATTCTATTTATACCGCATGCTGCTGCACCGTTAAGCTTGTTTTGACGAGTCAACTGTGCTGCACCCGCTGTCACTTTGCAAACAGCCTCTGTCACTGAAATTGGTGCAGCAACAGCAGCAGCAGGGTGGCGGGGGCGGCGGTGCCCACACACACACTCACAACAGTGGATGGCTATCCACTAAACCTACATGTCTGTAAATTTACGACTTCCCTCGTTGCGTGTGTTTCCGTGGGTTTTCTTGCGCGGGGGTTCAAAATTGACATTTATATTGTACAAATCATGCAATGCCTCATCCTCATAATATATACCTAAGCTCGCCATACTGGCCCTCGTCCTCCGAATAAACACGTGTTTCAGGAGAGCAGCACACGCCATGTCATTTCTGTCCCTCTGTCTGTATGCCCTATTCTCTGTTAGGAAGGCCTGTAACGTGTATTTCGAAAAAAAAAAAGAGGAACAGGGTCTCGGCCACAGTCCATCGCATATTTCAACATGGATCGGCACCCGTCAAACAGGGCCACACGACGCTATTCCATTTAACCTTGAAACGGGAAAGCCAAAACAAAAGGTCCTTTCGCCGGACCGTGTCCTATCCCGTCGTCTTTCTTGTCCAGTAGCATGAACATTACTAGGAGCATGGTAGTATATAGTGCCTGTGCGGGTGCCGTGGATAATGGCGTCAGACGCTATTTTGGGGGCGGGTAATGATACTATGATTACTGCAATTACTTTTGCTGCCACCGTAACTTACAAAAGTAATGCGCTTGGTATCATGCCACCTTCCCCCTCCCCCTCCCTGCTCTTTGCGCTGAGAGGTGAAGGCTGGCTCGTTTCAATTTTAGTTCCTGGTAGGTCTAAAACACTAAGCTACACTATCCTATACAAGAAATCCAATCGGCTGGGCATCTGACTCGGCGTGCATGTTTGAGATTAACATGGTCTTGTTTATTCCTTTCTTCCGTCACCATCACCGCCCCTCTCCGCCTCCGCTCTCTGCATTTCTGCAACAGCGGTACTCGTGTCTAGAACACACATCGATCCTCGCTCCCTCGCTCACTGTACAAATCAACCCACAGCACTCGTCTCCGCACCTAAAAAGGGCGCTAAGGCACAAGGGGGGAGCCTCCTCCGCCGCCCGCCCGCCGTAGCCCATTTCCCCCAAATCGCCCGCCAGGCAGCCGCCCGCACCACCACTACCACTACCACCACCACCGCAAGGGCAAAAAAACCATGGCCCGCCCTCTCTTAACCCGCATCCGCCGCCGTCACTTCCGCCTTCACCTCACCTCTCTCACCCTTTCCCTGCTCCGGGGTCACGACATCATCGCCCAACCCGCACGCACGCACGCACGCACGCAACAACGCGTTTCTGTATAGTCTTCTCCCGGAAACACAATCATCCTCCCGAATGAGCTTGGCACAGTCGCTCTCTTTTCGCCGCTCATGCCGTCCGCTTCGCTACGGGGCATAGGTCGACCCTTCAAGGCGCCGGCCGGGTTGGCGTCGGCGGCAACATCACCAACAGATCCCTCACAAACAACACCCGACGGCCCTTCTGGTGTTGCTACTACTGCTACTGCTGCTGCTGCCGACGCAGACTTGCCAACTCCGTCCAACACTGACCCTTCTCCCACGAATGGCGACGCCCTCCCACCCGCCTCATCTTCGTCACTCCCCGCGACCACCACCAACGGCCTCATCGTCCCTACTACCACCAATGCAAACTCCCTCTCACCCTCTTCCTCCGCCGCCTCCGTCTCCGAAAAACCCTCCAAGTTTGGCATTCTCTCCCGCCTAAACATACAGCTGCCTGGCAGGCGCAGCAATCGCCACATCGTCGACTTTCATATCCTCCCCGATGAGCCGCACAAACAATACGTCTCTGGCGACTCGGTGCGCGGGTCCGTCATCCTTGCCGTCGTCAAGCCGGTGCGCATCACACATCTCGTTGTAACACTCCACGGATATGTCCATGTATACAAGGACCCGTCTTTGGGGCGCTCCCAAACCGCCACGATAACACCTCGCGGCGGTTCCTCGACACTTCCACAGTATCACGGAAATGGCGTCGCTAGCTTGTTCCAAGACGAGCAGGTCCTCAGTGGCGACGGTAGGCTCGAGGCAGGCCGATACGAGTTTGGCTTTGACTTGTTATTCCCTGACAAGAGTCTGCCAAGCAGCATAGAGGTATGTCGCGCGCACCCAACTTACCTCCCAGACGCCTCGCCTGTTTTCTTCTTCGTGGGCTAACTTATTTCGTAGTTTGAACGAGGCACCATTGCATACATGATTACCGCTACATTAACAAGACCAACTACCATCGCGCCAACAATGAGCTGCGAGCGCAGGGTCATGCTCGCACAACACATTGACGTGGGCGATGTCCCGCCACCACGCCCGCGCACAATCTTCTTGGAACCGATATCAAAACGATCGCGCAAGAAGCGCACCGCGACATCAGAACGAGCCAAATTGGCATCGCAAGAATCACAGGCCACCGAAGTCGGCTCCGAGGTAGGCACTGATCCGTCCGTTGCTGGCGACGCGAGCCGAGAGAGCGCGACAGAGCATCGAAGCGGCACCGATGGCCGCAGCGAGTTTAGTGGCGAAAGCAATCGCAGTGCAAGCACAGGGATGAGTAGGTCGGAGCTTTCGACATTGTCCAACGTTACGTCCACCAAACAGCAAGCGGTAGACGACAAGACGATTACCGCCACTATCGAGCTGCTCAAGGGCGGTTACATGCCTGGCGATACACTGACTATTCGCGTCACCGTCCAGCATATCAAACATCTAAAGAGCATGAATGGTGTCATTGTTACGCTCTACAGACAAGGCAAGATCGACTCGGCACCATCCGCTACGCTATTCATTGGCAACGGCGACAAAGCGCTGGACGAAGCCTACCCACGGTCCAGAACAGGCTTGGCTGGACTCTCCATTTCCTCCACGAGCTCGCGCAGCATGTTTCGCAAAGACCTTGACCAGAACACTGTGCCACTTATCATCGACCCGATTACGCTGCATGCAACAGTGACGGTGACTCTCAAGCTTCCAGACGACTGTTTCCCGTCGATAAAGGGCGTGCCTGGTGGCATGATTGGATTCAAGTACCAGGTAGAGGTGATTGTTGATCTTGGTGGCAGACTATCGAGCCAAATAACACAAGGTGGAACGTCTTCTACAAGATATGGCTCGTTTGCTGCCAATGGCGCTGAGCAAACTAGCGTCGGCTTTGGACCTCGAACTGCCACAACCATCATGGATACGACACCGCTGCGGCGCCAAAAGGGCGTCATTTCCGTATCTATGGAGCTCATTGTCGGTACGCAAGACAGCTCCCGTACTCGCAAACAAGCTGCGCTACGCAAACGAGTCATCAGAATCGCCGACGGTGACGAGCCAGACGAGACCGTGATACCTGAAAGTGCACCCTCGAGCAACGGGCCTTCAGGCCCGCCACCTCTTCCTACGCCCAACAGCCGACCTCCATACTCTGCTGCTGCAAACCCCATGCTCCCACCACAGGCTGGTCCTTCTTCTGCACCCAGCTACCCCCAGCAGAACGGGTACTTTAACGACACCGTGCCCGCTTACATTCCGCGTCCGCAGATGCCCTCACAAAGCAACATTAGTGAAAAGGACCGTATTCGCCAGGCAGAGACAAGACTCTTGCCCAGTCAGCCATCGCCACCAGCGGAGGCATCATCTTCATCAGCCCCACCAGACGACGACCTATACAGCAATCATGACGCACCCGACGCACCGCCAGCTGACCTCTTGCCCTCCGCTCCGTCCGCCGCTGACGCAGGGCCATCTGCCCCAACACTGGATGAGGTTGTATCACCAGCTCACCCCACTGAGGACAAGCAGGAGCTGGAGCGTAGGCGCCTAATTGATGAGGCCAGTGCACCTCCGGAAGTCCCTGACGATGTCGAACAGCAGCAGCCCGATGCACCGTCAGCACCAGACCTCGACAATGCCGAGCCCAGCGCCCCCGTTCTCAACGAGGATGACGACTTTGAAAGCTTCGGTATCGAAGCCGCCGGTCCTTCGAATGCCGGCCCCAGCACCAATGGCGAACAATTACCAGCCTATCAGCGATAAACCCCATCTCACACCTCTCTCAACGTACATATAAAATCATTACACACCCGCGCAACCTTTTAACGCTTGCTTTATTTTCTTCTGTCTTTTTTGTTCACGGCCTCTGGCACGAGGATCTTTCATCATGGGGAGTCACTACAGCAACTACAGCCCGCATGCATTGCAAACTATGCTTGGCGGAAACTACGGCGTTTTTTTTGGAGAGTCTGGATATTCGACTCGTACTTTATACATTACTTTTACGTCATGACATGCTAGGGGTTACTTCTTTTGAGATGGCGGGCGTATTTTAGGATAATTATAGTGAAAAAATGGAGAGTTGATCGAAAGTCGAAATCATTACTTGCCGTGACTTGCACGCATTCCGTGACGTATATGCCATTCTATATCTATAAGCTAGTTTTGATGCCCCAAGCTATAATTACATATGTCTTTTTGTACATGCAACACCCCTTCTTCTCTATTAATGCTGGAGCGTCACTGGTCGTCCTTCTTCCCAGTTACTCAAGCTCTCCCTGATATTCACCCAGTATCTGAGCCGCACGGCCTCCTTCTTCGCAGCATCAATGTCGTCCTCATGGAACGCCTGCTCAAGCACCTGCTCGCTGTCAGCGATACGCTCTTCATTGATACGTTTGGGCTCCTCGAGATCCTCTTCCGATTGAGCATCCTCAATCTCCTCCTGTGCCTCCAGCACTTCCATCAGCAAGCTGGGCTCTTCGACCTTGAGCGTCTCGTCATTGGCCACGTCCACGCCGCGCAGGGCCAGAAGATATTGTGCCCGCAGCAGCGGATTCGAGAGTGTCTTGTATGCCTCGTTGATGCGTGCAGATGTAGCTTCCGCGCGCGCCTTGTTCTCAGCAGGGTGCATGTCGGGGTGTGCGCGGGCCTGGAGCTGGAGGAATTCGCGGCGCAGGGCGCGCGTGTCGATGGGGAAGCGGCCGCTCGGGGGAGGCCCTTGGGGTAGCGATGTCGGGAAGAAGTCGTAGTGTGTTTCGGGTTTGGAGGAGAAGAACCGGCGGCGTGGTGTGAGAAGTGTGCGGGAGACGCGGCATGCGCAAATGCCGCGGCGGGCGCGGGATGTGATGGTAGCTGGGTTCATGATGTGTGCGTGCAGTCTTCCTCTGTGTGTTGATATCGCAGTATCAGCCAGCGAGGGGAGTTGTAGATGGGCTTCCGGGTTGGATATGCTGCTACGTCATTTAACATAGAGGAAGCGAGCGATGCTGGGCGAAGAAGCGTTGCGTGTAGAAAAGAAAAAGCGGGCCTTGTCCTGATGGGGAACTGCGCGCCGCGAGTTGCCTTTGCTGGCCGCAAGGTGGGGGTCTTGCGGTTGGAGTAGCGGCGTCCACCAATGAGCACGCAGGAAAAGCATCGGGGTCACCCAGCGGTTTCTGGGCGATGGTAACAATGGTGTCTGGTCGCTGGACATCTTTCATCAGACAACGATTGTGCAAACTCATCGATTTGAGGGAAGCAAGAGACGTTGTCTTGGAGTTAAGACACGACAGAGGATATTCTTCCGGGCAGCATCTTGACCCTGTTTTCCCTGCATCTTCAACCACCGCTCAGCGTACCCGTCTGCAAGCATCGCCATTCCGACGCCGGACCGGAGCTGACCCCAATCGGCATTTCACAGCGTCACCGGCTATTGACAAAAGCACCGTCGCTTTAATTGCAGCCGCCGACTCTTTTTTCTCATCTTCATCTTTCTCTCTTTTATAAACTCCCATTGCATCGCTTGCATTGGAGCCGCTGCAGCCATGGCCAAGATCTTTGACGCCGCAGAAGGTTTGTTGTCCGCTGGATAGCTTCTGTGCCAGACCATACGTTTTAGCTGACCATCTATACAGTTGCCAAACACAACACCCCAGAAAGCTGCTGGGTAATCCTCTACGGCCATGTATACGACGTAACCAACTTCTTATCGTCGCACCCCGGCGGCGCCAAGATCATCCTGAAGCTCGCCGGCCAGGACGCCACGGAAGACTACGACCCGGTTCACCCACCTGGCACTCTAGAAGATAACCTCAAACCAGAAGCTAAGCTTGGAAGCGTATCCAAGGAGAGCTTAGAAAAGGCAAAGGCGCAGGCTGCATCCAAGGCCGCTCCGTCTCCGCCACCTACATCTGGCGAACAGCTGCTTCCACTACATGCGCTGCTCAACCTCGACGACATTGAAAAAGAAGGTACCAAGCGCATATCCAAAAAGGCCTGGGCATACTACTTTTCAGCAGCCGACGACCACATCAGCAAGGAGCACAACAACCGTGTCTTTAAAGACATCATCATGCGCCCTCGCGTCTTTGTCGACGTCACAAAGTGCGACACTTCAACAACGATCCTCGGATACAAAGTCAACTCGCCCATCTACGTCAGCCCGGCGGCCATGGCTCGTCTTGCTCATCCTGATGGCGAGCACGGCATTGCAAAGGCCTGTGCCAACTACGGCGTCATGCAAATCGTCTCTAACAACGCATCCATGACACCAGAGCAGATTGTGGAAGGCGCCTCGCCCGAACAGCTGTTCGGATGGCAGGTCTACGTGCAAAACGACCGCACCAAAACCGAGGACATGTTCTGCCGCATCAATGCCATGCGGGATCGCTACAAGTTCATCTGTCTCACACTAGACGCTCCCGTTCCTGGAAAGCGAGAGCTTGATGAGCGAGGCAGCATCGACAACAACGAGGTCGTTGAAGCAGCGGGCAACCCTGGCGCGGGCAAGAGACCTGGTGGTGGTGGTGTTGGACAGCAGCTTTTCTTCGGGACAGCTGCGGACCTGAACTGGAAAGAAACGCTGCCCTGGATCGCAAAGCATACTGACCTGCCCGTTGTGCTCAAGGGCCTACAGACACACGAGGACGTCTACCTAGCAGCGCAGCATGCACCGCAAGTCAAGGCAGTCATCTTGTCCAACCACGGCGGCCGCGCCATGGATACGACAAGTCCGGCCATCTACACTCTCCTGGAAATCCGCAAGTACTGCCCCGAGGTGTTTGACAAGATTGAAATCTGGATTGACGGCGGAATCAAGCGTGGCACAGATGTCGTCAAGGCTCTATGCCTTGGAGCAAAGGCCGTCGGTGTCGGCCGCGCTGGTCTATTCGGTCTTGGAGCCGGCGGCCAAGCTGGCGTTGAGCGAATGTTGGAAAGTAAGTACCACACGTTTTCCCCAAACCCTCTAGCGTCTTATCTTTGTCGGCTATCGGCAAACTATACCATCGTGTCTACTATTGCCAGCCACGGGGCAGAGTTGCACCGTCAACTATATCCCAAGACGTGCGTTAATACCATGTCGCAATCTCATGGGCGGGATTTAGTTCCCCTTGCTGAGCAGCTGTCGCCGTCTATAGGACGATAGCTGGCTGCGAGCAGGATATATGTGCCCCTGGCTAAGACACAGAGACCAAGCATCGGCGGCGTTTGAGGAAATTGATACTAACATGATGGCGCTTACTAGTTTTGCAAACCGAGACCACCGCTACGATGCGCCTCCTCGGGGCCACGTCTATCCCAGAATTGGGTCCAAAATATGTATGTGTTTTCTCCCATTGTCCCCCCTCTTGCCTATCGCCGAGCCATATAAGGAACCCTGATGCACCAAGAGAATAATGCGGAACGAGTTGGGCGCTTCCCCGCATCCAGTGCCCACCCCCGGATTACATCTTGCGCCAAATCCGCATTATACGCGAACTACTGGATTTGGAATTTGGACCCTTTTTGCTGACCATTGCTTTCCTGCTGCAGGTAAACACACGAAAGGTAGAACGGGATATTTACGACGGAGAGGATGGCCTCGACCGCCGCGGGTTCTGGACCAAGTCCAAGCTGTAATAAGGGCGAGAGATTGTACATAGAATGATGTGATATATATCAAGTTGCTACACCCGCTGTTCTGTCGTGATTGTGTGTAATCATCTACCGAGTTCCAGCCAACACTAGACTCGGTACCAGACCCGAATGCCGCCTCGTTCGGCCGCCAAGTTACGAACTAGCCAAAGAAGAAAATGGGACAGGCCATACTGCCGTTCCAACAGAGCGCTGCATCTGCGCACTCAAAAACGCCCCGTTTGCTTCACGCAGCAGACAGTGGCAAACTCACCGAAAGTAAGCGTATTCGCGACACGCCCGCAGAGAGCCAAGGGCCACGCCAAAAGTTGGGGAAGTCCGGCATCCCCGCTATGAGGCGGCATGCTTTGCTTGGCAAGCCTTGCTCCGTGGACGACTCAGAGCGGCCGAGCATCATTCGCAAATCAGGCTACGCGTGGAACGGTGGGAAGAAGGATTCCAGGTGGGCTGACATGTGGTGTAAGCCACCAACCCAAAGGGGCTTGCTTGCCAGCGCCGCAAACTGCATTTTCGGATGGGCAGCCAGCAGCAGTTCTAAAATAGACTCTGCAGGCAAGTCATTTACACAGTAGCTCAAGATCCCCTGGACCGTCGGTGGGCTTGTCCTATAGCGCAAGGGTTTCCACATGCAATCTCTCTAGATTGATTGACTGATTGCGTGCACCTTGGCAGGCATTTTGACAGCACCACTTGTTATGTCGCCAAATATACATGCACCTGGCTGGGACGAGGCTCATCTGCTCTCCAAAAACATGCTGATATAGCCAGCCAGTAGCGGATAATGTTTTCAGGGGTACACTCCAGTTCTTAGCGTCGGCCGCGGTACAGTAGCCACCACTAGCTTGGGAGGCGCCTACAGTACAGAGGCAGTTAGTTGGTTAGTGTGCGGAGAAAGAACTATTATTTCTTAGACCTGGATTGGTGGCTGCTGCTAGTTTGACTCGTCGCTACTTCTGCCCGCTTTGGATGTTACTGCAGCGCCATGTCAGCTCAAGGACCAAAGCGATTTGCTTGCTCAGCTGGGTAACAAAAAGAATCCGGTTGCTTGTTATTTTTTCGTCGGTTCTGTAGAAACGTTCCATCCAACCAAGGCAAGGAAAAAGTTCTTGATAGGCGGATGTAGTTGGCGGATCCCGTCTCTCTAGCAGGGGTGCACGCACCAGCGAGCGGGCCGTGCTTCTACAAACGGCAAATCTAGCTGCAAATGAGGATCTGCTCCGAGACTAAATCCAGGTTTGTACCTGGCTTGTACCGCCTATGCTACTGTAGATGGCGTCCAAGGCATAGCAACCAGCCGTAAAAGTTTAGTGTCCACCACGCGCGGTGTATTTTAAAATCGGTGTAGTTTGCTTTTTTATCTTCAGTTTGATATATATGCTTGTATGTTGTGATTCTAGATGTAATTAGTGACATGCTTATCCAAACTCAATTCCAGAGGGGCAAAAGTCAATTTGTATGATTAGACTCTGCAGAGCGCGTAACGTCGTATGCTTTGTTTGTCCCGGCTACGACGCTGCACGAAAAGGGCTATCAACCTCGAACCTACGCTTTGACCGACAAAAGCCTCTATTCGCTCACCGTGTTTGGGCAAGGGCATATATCGTTCGGTAGCACGGCAGATATCTCTACGTAAAAGCGCAGTAGTATCAACGGTGGATAGCAATGGAGAACGTATGATGCCACCAGAAGAGGGACCTTTGACCGAATCTGTGCATTGATCCGCGAGCAGGGGGCGGCAGCAGGACCGCTAAAGTGGTTGCTGAAACAGGCCGCTGGGCAGGCACGCCAAACCGATATCTAAATAGCTGCGTCGATAATGCTTCCCGCAGCGTATGCTTTTACTGGCTGCACGGCATCGGCGTTGTGGTTGGTGTAGTTGGCAGGTGGCGCTTGTTGGAGGAGACAACACCAGCAAGCGCTGTAGCAGATTTTGGAGGCGGGAGGCCTTTGCGTTCGGGGCTTCGGCGCAGAAGCAGGCAAGATTTACATGTGGGCGTATCAAACAGCGGCAAGTGTCACAAGCAAAGGGGAATGTGTGCCTGATGATCCAAGGAGAGAAGCCCTGTTTTTAGGCTGTTGATCTGAAGCCGCTTCTATTGTGCTGTTTAGATGTGCCACATTGTATCAGCCTGTGATATCTGCAGCAGCAACAGCAACAGCCGCAATTCATCTGATAGCACTGTAATAGAATGCCCTCACGCGTGTGGGTGGCATCCAAGATCTCGCCAAACGTCGCCTAATTCTGTAGCGGAATCCATCACCCCACCAGGGAATAATAGGTTAATATGGGAGATGATATGTGAAATCGCCGCTGTGTGAATCTAACATGTCAAACAAAGAAAAAAAGTGTGTCACTAATTAATTAAAAAAATTATAGGAGTAAGACCTGCGAACGACATGCTACAGCGAACATCGTTGCATCCACCGCCTAGCCAACTGTGGAGGGGCGGCACAGGGGCTTGCAGCGGGCGAGCCGCCCGAAATGGGAAAAGCTCCTTGCCCTGGCACGCCGTTAGTGGGTTTAGAGGCAGCCACAGAGCGGTGGGAGGGCCACTGGGCCAGCGCTGGCCAGCGTGGGTTTTGCCACATGTGAGCGTTTAGGGCCGATTTCAATGCGGTGGTTCCACCAAGAGCTGATGAGTGCTGGAGGCTGGCCCTCCAGCAGGCCCTCTGGATGCCCTTCTGCCCGCTGTGGTTGGACCCGGACTCGCCGCCCACTGCTGAGACCCTCTCTCCCCTGCTGAAATCCCCTTCGCGTGACCCTCTTTTTGTTATGAAGAAAAGGTTTTTTTTTCTGAGGTGATGGGGCCGGTGAGAGCGAACACGAAATGCACAAAAATCTAAAAAACGATGGAAATCTCTGGGGGATGCACAAATGGGTTGGGTGAGCCAGACCGACTCTGGCGGGCGGCATCCCCCGATTTGTGTGCTCTGTAGTGAGAGTACACAGAGCTATTAGCGCAGGGGACGGGCATCTTCACGTGTCCATGCACGATCATCAGCTTGTGTGTAGGGGCGCAACGGTCTTCACGAGCAGCCGAGGAACATCTGAAAAAAGAAAAAAAGAAAAAATAGAATATGCACAGCAGCGAGCAGCAGAAAGCGCCATGCGACAGGCTGCAGCTAGCACCGGAGCGCCTCTAAATCCAAGCCCTCTGTATGGCCAGCGCTGCGACGGGGGGCGCAAGCGAACCGCTACCCACCCCTCTTCAGCGCTCCAGATTCACCATCCCCAGACTGAATACAGCAGTACAGTACCCAGGGCCCGCTAAACCCGCCGTGGGTTGGGCGCCGCTGTCGCTGTCGTTGTCGCTGCTACTAACCAACCAAACACGGCGCTGGTCTTAATTTTCCCTAGCGCAATTATTTTTTTTCTCTTTCGGCGGGATCCACAGCCTGAGATGATGGTGCACGCAGGGCCCAGACGGATCCAGTTTCCAGTTGGAGATCACGGCGCATGTGCACCCGTATCCAACGTGGCGCGGGAATGTGTGTTTTTTAAATCACTTTGCTGTTGTCTGGTGTGTCTATCTTGTGAGTTGATGTGTTTGAAAGGGGGCAGTGAAGACGGTCCCATTGGGTCTCCTTTTCCTCACCCAGTCGGCTTCAGTGGCCTCTCGTTGCCCCAGATCGTAGCCTCGCGTGTCACGGGGGAACGAAGCAGCGCAAGCCACAGCGACCTTTGAGCTGCCCGCTGCCAATTTTCGTTAGTGCAAACCTGGGGGACCGCGGGTGGGGCATGCTCCGAAATGACAAGGTACCTCATCCGTACTAAATTGCAGGCCACGGGACTTTATGCGGTGGTGCTGTGTGGTGTGAGGGTTTGTATTCATGTAGTTGATTTGTATTTCGTAAGTATAACAATACATGTGTGTTTTTATTTTTATTTTTATTTTTATTTTGTTTTTATTTTATTCGCTGAGGGAGTGGTTGTTCGCCATATGCTTATTTTTTTTGTCGGTCTCCTGCTGGGCCGCCACCGAATTTGCCTTTCCCGTCACCACCAACAAACACACACACACACCACCACTCCGCCCCATATTTTCCTTTCTGACGCCCCCCGCCGTCCCCCAAATCTTAGACTGGCACTAGCGCCACCTGCTTCTGCGCGCTCTTACTTGCCCGAGCAATTGGGGCACAGGCCAGGCCCAGCTCGCTGCTTGTCTCGCCCGTACTTAAACAGTCGCGATCTCCAGCACATAAACTTTTTCCTTCCCTCTCCTCCCCTCTTCTCCTCTCTCTGTGTTCTTCTCCTCCTCTTTGATCCCTGTAGTCCCTTTATCCCACCGGGTCCAAGAGCTACTACTACTACTACCTGCTTCTCAGTGTTTTGTTTGCATTCAGGATTCCAGTCCCGTTGCTTACTGCTTGTGTTTTTCTGTCCCTTTTTTGAATCATAACCCTCCCTCTTTCCGCCAATCCCGCCACATCTCTTGACTCAAAATGTCCGACTCCAAGAACGACTACTCGCAGGCCGAAGCCGTCACTGGCAAGAAGTCCAAGCGAGATGCCTGCAAGCGCCACTGCGCCAAGTGGTGGTGGGCTCACCTCATCATCTTCATCATTGGAGCTGTTGTCATCGTCATTGTCGCGTAAGTTTCCACCCTATCAGTGCAATTGTCGATAAATGAGAACGGTTATATGCGTCTCAGCACACGCAACCTCATGTCTTCGTTCTCAATCACTTGGTGCCAGCAGCAGCAACAACAATAATATTACCAGCGGACGCTAACCCTCGCTCTGTAGCATTTACGGTGTTACCCCTAGAATCGCCCAGGACAAGATTAACGCTGCCGACCTCCAGGTCCAGCATGTCAAGATCTCTAACCCTACCTCCGATGGCTTCGACATGACCATCAACTCCACCATCACCACTGACGGCCAGGTCAAGGCCGACATCGACCCTTTCCAGGGCAGCTTCTACCTCAAGGGCAAGGACAAGCCTTTCCTCATCTTCCCCTTCCCTGCCACGAACGCCGACAAGTTCCAGAATGTCAACGCCCACGAGCACATCACCATCCAGGACATGGAGGCGTTCACCGAGTTCAACGCCGCCTTCATTGGCAGCGAAACTCTCGAGGTGGAGATCAAGGGCTACACCTACGTCACCCCCAAGGGTCTTTCCAAGAAGTACGGTGTCAACTTCTACAAGTCATTGAAATTCCCCGGTCTCAACTCCTTCAAGGGCACCGTTGTCAGCGACGCCAAGGCCAATTACACGGCTGACCCTACCAAGGTCGACAACTTCTTTGCCACAGCCACCCTCCAGAACCCCTCCTACTACACCATTGAGCTTGTAAGTCGAGCCGTGCTTTATCGCACAACCCCAGTGAATCATTTGCTAACCTTTCCTATAGGGCAACGCCACTTTCAACAACTACTCTCCTGCTGGCGCTCTCCTCGGCAAGCTCTTCATTGACAACTTCAACCTTGCTCCAGGCGAGAACAAGGTCCAGACTCGTGGCCGCCTTAACCAGGGCGATGTTGTCTCATACCTTGTCTCCACCGGCGATCAGTGTGGCAAGCCCAACCCCCTGGTTCTCCAGGGCGTATCTGTCAACAACCATGGTCAGGATCTCCCTTACTTCGGCAACGCTCTCCACCAGGTCAACCAGACTGTCGAGGTTAACATTGGCGAGGTTCTCTCGGCTTCTCTTGGTTCCAATATCTGCCCCAAGAGCTCGTAAATGCTTGTCTTGTCACCTTTGACTATGTCGACATGACTGGAACACGCGGGCCCCTATTCTAGGTGGATTAATTTTTGTGTACATTGAGTTTCCCGTTGAACGGGGGTCTTTGTGTGTCTCGCCAGTGGCACTTTTGTTTTTGGAGTCAGCTTTTGCTTTTCGTGTCTCTCTGGGCACTTGTTGTTTTGGATTGTCACCCCGCGCTGATTGTATGATGGGAATATGTTTTGCCGCGCTACGAACGATTTGTTATACGAAGCGACGCGGTCGAGAATTGATGATACCTTTTAGTGTACTTTGTTCAGAATAGGTTGTTGTTACGTACTTGGTCACTGAATTCTAATGCTCTAAACTCAAATTGCCCTTTCTCGCCCAACAGTGAATATGTTTCATTACCTTAACACAACTAGTGATATGTACAGAGTCTATAGATGTGTATGATAGAATCCCCATTCAACAAGGATAAAGAGTACAACCTCTCATTTCCTGCTCGACGAGGCTGTCCCACCAGCCTCGATAGCCGGTACAAACTCCACCGTGCTTCTATTGCCAGACGCTCGCTCAGCCTCACGTTCCTTGGCCAGCTTGTCGCGTGCTCTACGCAGCTTGCCTCTAAATGCCTCCTCTGGGAATCCGCCGGGGTTCCACAGCTCAGGGCTAAGCGTTGTTTCGTACTGCGCCGGATCCCCATCCGGCATCCCGACAAAGGCAAGTAGTTTGCTCGCCAGGGCCGGGTTTCGCATAGCCGCTGAATTTTCGAGCTTAGCATTGAAGTGCGTTCCTTTCTTTTTCAGTGTTAGAAATTGCTCGAATTTCTTATTGGTAGCAGGTGGTGGCGATCCTGGCGGCGAGGGTGGAATGTCAAAGTCTGGGACGGCGGGTAGGGTGAGGTCGTGAAGAAGACTGCGATTAGATGAGTATGGTGACGGTGCGTCTTGGGCATCTTGGACTGTAGGCTCGGGATTATCCAGTGAAGGTAATGATGGACCAATTGGCTCGTTATCTTGACTTGATATCGGTAGTGGTATCGTTGGCGCAGGTTGTGATGGTGGTTCTAGGAGACGTTAGTATATTGCAAACGGAGAGATGTAAGAAGCCCGACATACCTTGGTGTGTCTTTTTTGAGGTCTGAATATCTTGAGTGTTTGCCTTTGTGTTCGCCTCTCCTTGTGTGTGCAATTCCTGTTGAAGAGTGATCCAGGTTAGTGGCGATGTTGCTACGGTGGGCGATGAGATGTTCAACTCACTGTTTTGGACACTGGAGGCAATATCTGGGGTGCTGATGAGCCCGTCTCACTTGCATCATCATCACTGCTGTCATATGCAACTAGTCCGCTCATTGTGAATTGAATTTCTGAAGCAATTGCCCGTCAACGCATGTGTATGCTTAAAGCTACCCTGGTGGTGTGCAAACCGCGTAGCGCTCAGCCGCAGGCGCCGCCAGCGGGGGTGGCAGCCTGGAATGGAGAAACCTCGGCCAGACACTAAAGTCTCCCAAAACTTTCCAACATCAAGTCAAACACTCTTTTTTCAATTTCATCCGTCGCAACTTCGACATCGCGGGCGCATCGATATTCGGAGACGTAAATTGTTCAGTTACTGACTATAGTATCGGAACGACTCTTATATTTCCGCTGAAACCGCCGCATTTGCTACAGAGACGTCTGTTGCCACCAAGCTTTGGGCGAGGCAAAGCGTGTGCGACGAAAGGCAGAGTCCAGAAGTAATACTCACCCTGCTCTGGTAGAGCTTTTCTGAGCCTACGAGACTATCGGATCATAGCAAGCAAGCATGGTCCGACCAAGAGACTCGCGCTCACCAAGTCCTGCAGGCAACCAAGGAACTCGTCGCCAACGCAGAGATGACGATCGTCGCGACAGGGACCGCCGCGACGATGGACGAGACTACAGAAGGCGGTCGAGATCGCGCACACCAGAGGTGAGGGATTGGCAGCGCAAGAATGCCGGCAACGTTGCTAATGGGACTCGATGGAAACAGTATCGACGCCGGGACCGCGACAGAGGTGGCCGAGATCGAGACCGCGATGACTACCGCCGCCGAGACCGATCGATTGGCCGAGACCGAAGAGACGACGACTACTACAGAGGCGGTAGGGATAGACGCCGCTCTAGAGACCGCTACGGAGACCGCACGAGATCACCAGAGAGACGCCGGGAGCGCAGCCAAGACGGCGGTGATCGACGCAATAGAGATGACCGTCGAGGTGATGACAACCGTTCAAACCGTACCGATAGTCGCAACACACCTCTTACAGACAGTGGCCGGGCCGACTCTTCAAAATCCACACCAAATGCAGCTCAAGTAGATGCCGATAAGCAGGCGCAAAAGCTAGCCAGGCTGGAAGCATGGAAAAAGAAGAAAGAACAGGACGCGCACAATCAAAAGGACGTGAATCCTAGCCAAACGAGAAGTCTCCTCGCTGAGATGGACAGAAAGCCTAGTGGTGCGTCATCAGCCGTCGCTTCTCCGATGGATTCTGGAATTGCTTCCCCCGTCCAGCCGTACGCCGGGAAGTTTGACCCCAAGTCTATTGCAAAGAAGTCTGCCGGTACCCGCGCGGATTCTCCAAAAGGTGCCCTTGGTGGTTTGAATATCGCCCCAGAGACACTTGCAGCGGCGCCTGCCAAACCATCAACAGGTGAGTTTCACGATACTGCTGGTTATGACACACATTCTAATTACAATGATGCAGTCTCGAAATTACCAACTGGTGGAGTAAAGACTAGCGCTTTTGGCTTTGGAAAAGTAAGCACAGATAATGACAAGCTGTCTTCGAAGCGAAAGTTGGATCTGGATGAAGAGGACGACACCAAACGCAAGTTGACTAAGTTGCCAACGCTACTTGATACGGACGATACGCCCTATGCCGACCAGGATGACGACGAAGACTCTGATGGTGACAACTTTGCAGAAAACGAGGAGGAGGCTGCTGCTGCTGCTCGTGCCGCACACGAAAAGCGCCTCCAAACCGAAGCTGAGGCTGCTGCTGCGGCCGATGAGACAAACGGCGATTCAGCAGCGGCCACCAACGACGTTGAAATGAATGGTGCGGAAGCAGAACCTGCCGCAGCAGACAACATGGAAGTGGATGAGGAGGACGAAATCGATCCCTTAGACGCTTTCATGGCTGATCTGGGTGACTCGCAGGCGAAGAAACCGGCTGCTAAGACCACTAAATCCAAGGCCTTACCTGAACCGGAAGCCTATTTCAGCGAGGATGCCTACTCAGAAGGAGAAGAAGAAGACCCAGATGCCAAGCGATTACTTGCGATCGCAAACAAGCGCAAGAAGAAGGAAATCCCCACCACAGACTACTCCAAGATCACGTTGGAACCTATCCGGAAGAACTTTTGGGTGGAACCCGCCGAGCTTAGCATGTTATCGGAGCAAGAACTTGCTGATTTGCGGTTGGAGCTCGACGGTATCAAGATCAATGGCAAAGACGTTCCGAAACCTGTGCAAAAATGGGCGCAGTGCGGTCTTACTCGCCAAACTTTAGATGTAATCGAGGGTCTAGGCTACGAAAAGCCTACATCCATTCAGATGCAAGCGCTTCCGGCTATCATGTCAGGACGTGATGTTGTTGGTGTTGCCAAGACTGGTTCCGGCAAGACAGTGGCATTCTTGCTTCCCATGTTCAGACACATCAAAGACCAGAAGCCGCTCAAAGACGGCGAGGGTCCCGTTGGCCTGATCATGACACCGACCCGAGAACTGGCCACTCAAATTCATCGAGACTGTAAACCGTTTCTCAAGTCGATGGGTCTTCGCTCCGTTTGCGCCTACGGAGGAGCTCCAATCCGAGATCAGATTGCTGAACTGAAGCGCGGCGCCGAGATTGTCGTTTGCACCCCAGGTCGTATGATTGACTTGCTGGCAGCTAACCAAGGCCGAGTTACCAACCTTCGCCGAGTCAGCTATGTCGTCCTTGATGAGGCCGATCGCATGTTCGACATGGGTTTCGAGCCGCAAGTCATGAAGATCTTTGCCAACATGCGCCCAGACAAGCAGACGATTCTCTTCTCAGCTACCATGCCTCGAATCATTGATTCGCTGACAAAGAAGGTGCTGAAGAACCCTGTGGAAATCACAGTCGGTGGTAGAAGCGTTGTTGCGAAAGAAATTGAGCAAGTCGTGGAGGTTCGCGAAGAAAACACCAAGTTTCTGCGCGTCCTCGAGCTGCTGGGTGATCTCTATGACAAGGATGAAGATGCTCGCTCGCTCATCTTTGTGGAACGACAAGAAAAAGCCGACGATTTGCTTAAGGAGCTTATGACCAAGGGCTACCCCTGTATGTCTATCCACGGTGGTAAGGACCAAATCGATCGCGACTCTACCATTTCCGACTTCAAGAAGGGCGTGGTTCCAATCCTGATTGCCACGTCAGTTGCTGCTCGTGGTCTCGACGTCAAACAGCTCAAACTTGTCATCAACTACGACGCCCCGAACCATTTGGAAGACTACGTCCACCGTGCCGGCCGTACTGGTCGTGCAGGCAACACGGGTACTGCCGTGACCTTTATCACTCCTGAACAAGAGAACTGCGCTGTAGGTATTGCCAAAGCTCTCGAGCAGAGCGAACAGCCAGTACCAGAACGTCTCGAGGAGATGCGCAAGGCGTACCGCGAAAAGGTTAAATCGGGCAAAGCCAAAGAAAACAGCGGTTTCGGCGGCAAGGGTCTTGACAAGTTGGACCAGGAGCGCGAAGCTGCTCGACTGCGCGAGCGCAAGACACACAAGGTCGAAGGCGAAGAGGAAGAAGAAAAGGAAGAGACGAAGAAGAGTGGCAGCGGCGGCGGCGAGGACGACGCCAACAATGTCGAAAAGGCCCTTGACGCTATCAAGGCCGCTACATCGTCGATCCAGTCCCGTGATGCCAACAAGGCGGAAGGCGCCGACTCCAGAGCCGAGCTTGTGGCTGGTGCATCCGGCGACAAGTCGGGCAACCCTCTCGACAAGGTCTCTTCGGCCGTCAGCGCCATCAACAGCCGTCTCGGCAAGGCTGGCCAGCTACGCGCTGGTCAATCGATTGACAACAAGGGTCCTGATGCTGGCTCATTCCACGCGACGCTGGAGATTAACGACTTTCCTCAAAAGGCTCGCTGGGCCGTCACCAACCGCACCAACGTGGCCAAGATTCTCGACTCGACCGCTACATCCATTACGACGAAGGGTAACTTCTACCCAGCTGGTAAAGAGGTTCCTGAGGGCGCCGAGCCGAAGCTGTACATTCTTATTGAGGGTGATACGGAGATTGCGGTTAGTGGTGCACTCAATGAGCTGACGAGATTGCTGAAGGAGGGAACGATTGCGGCGGCAGAGTCGGATAGCAGAGCCCCGACGAGTGGAAGATATACCATTACTTAATGCTGCTCTGGTCGTCCTGGGAGATCAGGATGGGAGACAGTTGTTTTTATGTTACATTTTTGGGGGGATTTGCATTGCGTGCTTGGCGTTATATCGTGTATCTTTGTATCAAAATTATACATAATGCATTTTGTTTCAATCTTCGTTCCTCTGCTTGATAGTGCTAAATGATCTTAATCCGCTGCGCCTGAATTTCATGAATATCCAAGCGCTTGGTGGCATCTGAAACCATTCCAGCTTTGATTGTAGATTCATCATCGTCCGAATGGACAACTTCTTCGTCGTGTCCTTTGGTCTCTTCGGCCTCTCTTTCTTCTTCTTCTTCCTCCTCCTCTTCTTCTTCCTCCTCTTCTTCTTCCTCCTCTTCGTCGTCATCATTATCATGGTCGTCTATACTAGTGTTTGATTTCGTAACACCAACGTTGTTTGCCTCCGATGCTCTCAGTGCATCCATCTCTTCTTGTAATTTATCGGGGCAGAACATGTTGCAAAGATTGGACATATCGTCATATATTCTATTGTCGTGTTAGCTTACGTAGTTCGATGGGCTATCGCAACACTTACACTGGTCGTTGAACAGAGTCTGGAACAAAGGCAGCATTGCCAATGTTATATGGAAGCGAGTAGAGAATGTTTCTAACACCCCACTCCTCCACTACAGCCGCATTAGAAGTGTTGCCGTCTACTTTGTAGGTCTATCACTTACCTGGCTCTGATTTCGGCAGATGATTCTCATAGTTTGCCAAATATGCTGGATTGCTAAGATCATGTCGTGGTGCTCGCCAGTTTCCTATGTCATATTCATTATGGCCATAGAATGAACACACATCAAAGATGAAGGCCTCGCCTGTCTCCGAATCCACAGCAGTGTTGCCATCCCAGCAGTCACCATGCACTAGACTCGGTTTCAGAACTCGTCCGTCTTCTTGAAGCGGTCGTAGTAAACGAGGCACAACATGTTCGACTATCAGACGGCCTACAATGTCAAACTCTGGCCACTTCAAGACAGGTGATGCCAGCTCGACAGCGTGACGGAGATGGCTTTGAAACACATTGCTCCAGGAATCATCCCAAAAGTCGACAGCTTGGTCAATTAGAGCATGACAGGTGCGGATATGGAATCCAAACTTTCCAGTTGGTGATTTCGACTGCAAATGCATGCGAGCGAGGGCTGGGCCTAGTTTGCCTGGCGATGCTGGCTGCGTGGTATTAGTGGATGCAAGTTGAGTATTAGACGTTATGTAACGGTACCTGGAAAGCGACCTCACGAAATTGAGCTAACAGGAAATATGTATCGCTCTCTGCTTCATCGCATTTTCCCCAGGCATATGGCTCGGGACAGAAACTAGGGCATGCAGCATGGATAGCTTTAAGCGACTCGAACTCGCCTTGGCACATGACGCGGCCAATATCTCCTAGAGAGACGGTCTATATTGAACAGTTAATTTTTAGGAATACTTATAGATGTTGTTAATACACTTTACCTTTAGAAAATAGTCTTTTGTTTCGCCATTTTCGAGTTGAACAATAATTTTGCCCGTAACGCCCCAAAGCGACTCGCCGTGCTTGAAGCTGTCGATTTGATGTGCACCCTTGTCGGGAAATGCTAAAATATTACCCTAGTTTAGCACTTGTATAGCAGATTTTGATTGATATATCCTGGGTAACTTACCTGCTGTTACACTCTTATCGACTAGGAGCGTGCCTATTGCGGCTCTTGGGCCAGAGTAGTCGATGCGGCCGTCTTGGGCTGTGGAGCTCTCCATTGGAAACACTGTCAGTTCGCGTAACACAGCACGTGAGTTTCGAAACACGTTCAAATTAATTGGTCTGAATGGCTGTCTCAATCCCTTTTCTGGAAAGTTGCAGTTTGCTATTAAATAATAACAAGTTTCTATTGTTATGGTGCCTCATCAACAGGGACGCAGGGAAGGTAGCGCCTGCCTCCTCTGCGGGGTTCTTGAAATATGAACATCCCCAGTTTATAAGCGCCGACTGTTTCAACAACGCCGTTGATTCGCCGCCCCCCTGCAATGCCAGCGTATACATCATGCAAAACAACACCAATAGCAACTGGCCCTGATTAAAACTTTTGGGGCTACCCGCAGCCCATGTCAGCCATCCCGAGGGGTACTTGTGCGAGTGCCATGGCTAGAGAAAGCGTTGGGCGCGTCCGACACGCCTGGAATTCTTAACTCTGCCTCTTTGCTATTGATGGTGATCAGGACACGCAAACATACCTGATTTCGTATGGCCTTGCATATTTAGGACCCTTTTTAGAGGTGAAAATGGTATGTGTTGACTGTGCCTCATGAAGACAGCTTCTAGCTAACCTTCACAGTTCGCCAAACTACGCTCCGAGTCGTCTGCGGGATTGCCGGGTTCCATTCAACATGACACAGACCACAACGATGTTCGGCCGCCAGACTATAACTCTGAACTTCACAACCGACCACAGTTAAAGCATAGTTTTACGTCTACTTCAATATCATCGACCTATACCATTCGCCCTACTGCCACAAAGGGCGTCTCGGATCCACTAGGTCTTCAAATCGCATATCAACCCAAAGATACAGCTGGCGATATTGTCTTTGTTCACGGCTTGAACGGGTCCGCTTGGAAATCATGGTCTGTCAATAGCGATTTGGATTCATTTTGGCCTCAGTGGCTCTCCGATGATGAGACTCTGTCTCGGTACAGAGTATCTACCTTTGGATATAGCTCCAAAGTGAAGAGCTCATCAACAAATTTGGACATTGTTGACTTCGCCACCAACCTTTTAGTTCAACTATTTGCTATCCTGCCTGCTTCTAGTAATGGAACAAGCCGACCCCTGATTTTTGTCGCTCATTCTATGGGAGGTCTGGTAGTGAAGAAGGCAGTGATGATGGGCAAGCAAGACCAGCAATTTTCGGCAATCATATCCAACGTTCGCGCTATTATGTTCCTCGCAACACCCCATAGGGGCAGCCATTATGCTAAAACTCTCAGCAATATTCTGGCTATAGCCCCTCTTGGCCTTGCATCTAAGACATACATCAATGACTTGAAGTGGCATGGTAGCGCCCTTCACGATATCAACGAAAACTTCAAGCGGCACTGTGATAATATACATCTTTGTTCTTTTTTTGAAACACTAAAGAGCTCTGTCGGTCTGAAACAAATTTTGGTAAGAGATTCTTCATAGTTCTTCGATTAATAACTAACAACGAGTAGATTGTGGAAAAGGAATCGGCGGTTCTAGGCTATCCTGGAGAACTCTCGGCTGCTCTGGAGGCTAACCACAAAGATATATGCAAATACACCAGCAAACTTGATCCCAATTTTCTAACAGTGAAAGGGATTCTAAGTCAATGGGCTGCGCAGTTTCAGTCCACAAGTAAGAGAATATTCCCTTCTTGTTGTTCCTAAATATTGACCGACTCTACTAGATGAGCAAATAGTTTCACCCGATATACCACAAAATCCTCAAACAGTCCACCCTCATAACTGGTTGGGCCAAGTCAAACGAATCTTTGGTTTAGAGACTATGGCTGATGATCGTCTTGAAACCCCGTTAAAAACGGTGCATAACTCACACAACGCTGGCCGGTGGCTTATTGCTAGAAAGCAGTTTGAAGAGTGGTTTCAGCTGAATCCAGGTTGCATACAATCGAAGACTCTGCTCTTGATTGGACCTCCCGGAACTGGTAAAAGTGTTTTGTGTCAGTCTGTTATTGGACACCTGCGTTCAATCGGCGCCGAGGTTCAGCATCACGCCTTCAATAAAACGCATCAGCTCAAGCAGACTGGTAGTTTCTGTTTGAGATCAATCGCAGCGCAACTTGCAATATCACACCCACAATTCCAACATGCAATTATGGAGCTACATGAGAAAACTGGTGTCCGATTCAACCAGGATCACAGCTTTCAGTTTCTCTGGGAACATCTATTCGAGCAAGTACTATTCAAGATCAATGGCCAGAATCCTATTTATTTGGTTCTTGATAGTATTGATGAGTCTGATTCTACTATTCCCATTCTACAAAGATTTTCCGAAGTTGAGTCTTGTACTCCCATCAAAATCTTTGCCAGCTGTCGGCCAGTCAAAGGTGTCCCCATCGGTGGAATCTCGCCTATCGTTCCTTATTTCCTTCAACCAGAAGATACAGCTAGCGATATGGACGACTATGTCACAAGAACTGTTCAACAGACTCTTCCTGATGACCTCGAGACTCAAAAGTTTGTTCAATGGGAAATCATGAAGAGATCTGGTGGTTCATTCCTATGGGCGAAACTTGCCCTTGAAATGCTTCAGGACAGTTGGCATACCAGAGAGGATATAATATCCACATTGACAGAGGTCCCTAGTGGTATGACAGCTATGTATAGTCGCATGGTTGATCTTATTAAGGCACAAGGATTACGGAATCAAGACATCGCACGTAAGATCTTGATGTGGGTTGCCTGTAGCTGGCGACCGCTGTATATTGCAGAGCTCCAAGAAGCTCTGAAGGCATCATACGGAACATTTACAAACCTGGCTTTGACGATCACCCAAATATGCGGCCACTTCGTCACCATCGATCGATCTGACGATGCTGGCCCTCGTGCTGTTTTGATTCATGTTACGGCAAAGGAATTCTTAACCGACACACGTCAGCTAGGATCGTTGTGTATTGACGCTAAGCATGGTCATAAAGAAATTACCGAAACTTGTCTATCATATCTATGTAACGACAGATGGCGTGGAAGATTGAGTACCATGGGTGGGCTATCGACAATCAGCGATTTAGCGTTGAATACAGTTACCAAGAACAGGCTGCTAGCTGCGTCGACCGAGTTTCCATTGCTTCCATACGCAACATGGCATTGGGCGTATCATCTTAATAAGTCACCTTTAGATGACTTCTCATCACTGGAAATGCTCGAGACATTTATGCTCAATTACTCTCTATCATGGCTCGAAGCAATTGCTGTTTCCGGGGACATGAGCCATGTCATACGGTCCGCAAAATACTTGAAGTCTTACGTGAAAAAGACATCCAAAACTTCTTGGAGTAATACACGGTGGATCAAAGTATGGGCAACCGACTTTATACGCATTGCCAGCAAGTTTGCTGCCAATCTTGTTGTTAGTCCGTCATCAGTGTATCGCAATATTCCTCCGATGTGCCCAAAGAGTTCCATGATTGGCAGGGCATTCAGTCTGCAAAGTGCAGATGCACTTACAGTAAGAGGCTTCGCTATGGAGACGTGGGATGATTGCCTGGCCAGTGTTGTGCTTGAAAATGACGAGTATGTTGCGCATGTTGTGGCAAACGACAGTCTATTTTTCACGCTTGGTGGCTTTTCCAAAAATATAACTGTCTGGAACTCGGATACCTGTGAGAAAGTTCGTGACTTGGATCATGGGGAACTGGTTAATATCATGTTCGTGGGAAACTCTGGCACAAAGCTTGTAGCAGCAAGTTTCGGCAAGTTTCATATCTGGGATGGTGCATCTGGCCGTGTCCTCCACCAAGTTGCCAAGTCCATTCGATCACGGGTACACGATTTGATTATATCCCCCAATGAAAAAGAAGTGCTCGCTGCATTTGAAAACTTCAAAGTTGAACATATCGACATCGAAAGTGGCCAGAGCTGGCGTCAAGACTTGGACGTTACATCGCTTGACTCTGGATATCAAAACTGTCCTATCTGCCAGGCAATAAGCCCAGATGGGACTAAGATAGTCATGGGTTGGCGAGGACGCCCACCACTAGTTTGGGATTTAACCAGTGGCAATAGTGGCACTCCTTTGAAATGCCGTTCTACTACAATGTCGGGCTCGATAATGAGCACCAAGAAGCTCGTGTGGTGTCCCGACTCCTCCAAGGTTTTCATTATATGCCAAGATACGTCCGTCTTTGAATGGAAAATTTTCGAGGACGAATTGTCGGAATGCGTTCAAGTCAAAGCTCGGCACCTATCTATTTCAGCCGATGGCACACTGCTTTTGACATCGGATAACGAGGGCACCATAAGTATCTGGACACTCCCTCGGTTGTCGCTCATCTACAGTCTGCAGAAGAATGGTGATTTAATAAATGCACTCACATTCAGCTCAGATCATCAACGATTCTACGATATTAGAAATGGGTCTAGTTGCAATATTTGGGAACCAGACGCCCTGGTGCGAACTGACGACCAGGACTTGGAAGATACAGGGAGTATGAATGGAAGTCTGCCCACCACTGAAGCTGTTATATCAACGCAAGGTCAACCTATTTCAACAATTACAGCTATTACAGTTGGTCCAAATGACACAGTCTATGCATGTGCATACAATGGGGGATCAGTTATTATTCATGAGAGTGCCCATGGAGCCAAAGTGAGAAAAGTTTACAGCCACCCAAGCTCGCAAAAGATCACGGCGCTGTCTTGGTCGCCGACGGGAAAGTACATGGCATCATGCGATGTCACTTCACATGTCATTATCAAACGATTGCAGTTTAAAGATGATGGCAAATGGGCAGTCTTCCCCGTCCTCGATTTCCGCCTTGGGTATGCTTCGCCTCAGTTATTCTTTTCGCCGGATGAGAAGTTTATGATGAGCTTTGCCAGCACTAAAATTGATGTCTGGAACATGAAGAGTAAGGAGAAGATCTGGACCAAAAGCCGCAATGAGAAAACAGACTGGTACTGGGCATCGGGGCCATTAAAGAGCAACAATCTCTTCTGCTTAGGAGTTAATGGCATTTCCGAGATTGTGGACTGGGCAAATGGAAACGAGCAGGTGGAGGCAACGCCCAATAGCCTTCATCCCCAAAGCGTCTTCGAGCGACTAGCTGAACCGAAAGCCGACATTATCATCACGGACACTGTGGTTCAACAGCATATAATATGGACAGCTCTTATATCCGGCGGTCAACATTTTGTCGTTGCCACTGTCGAAGATGCTAATGGCAGATGGGCTGCATACTACCGCAACTTGAGACTCAGCGTGGTAAAAATGGCGACATCAGCTGAACGGCCACAGCAAATATCACCTGAAATTTGTCGCAAGATCAAACTTTTACTAGGTGTTAAAGGCAATGACCTGCTTTTCCTAGGATTTGATGGCTGGGTATGCTCCTACAACATCTCTTCTCTTATTAATGGAAGACAACGCCGGCTCTCGACGGGAGTCATGGTGCGGCAAGAAGACGTCGAAGGGTTCAAGAGACACTTTTATATTCCTAGGGATTGGCTCAACACGACCAGTGCCAATGCTGTTTCCAATTCTGAAGGGACTTTGTTTTTCCCAAAACAGGGCGAAGTGGCTATTGTCCGAAATGGGCTGAGATTTGAGTAGCCATGCTCATGATGTTAAGACGGCGTGATTTATGATTTTTGCTATTTGGCGCAATATGGAGCATAGAATTTCCTTTTTACTTTTATTAATTTTCAAAATATTTGGTATTAGACATATTTTGGTAGAGCTCTCTATAAATTGTCACGGGCATAGCTCTGGGCCTCCTCCAAGCTATTTTATCTCATTTCGCTCACTCATCAATGCAGAAACATCTATAGTACCATATCCGTCCTCAGTATCAGTTAATCCCAGTTTCTAATATCGGCAGCATTTTCATCTGCTCTTCGCGCCTGCACCTCTTGCTTACTGGCTTCTCTCAGAGTGCCCGACCTCGTCTGCTTCTTTTGTGCCGCAAGCTGCTGCTGGAGCTTCCCACCCTTTTTGTTTGCGGCCTGTGCCCGAGCCTGCTGACAAGTTAGCAATCTAACCCCCTTTACCAATCACACAATGCCAATAGGCCTGTCATACCTCTGCTGCTTCGGCTGCGCGCCTCCGCGCGTCACCAGGTTCTGATGCTGTGACGGACCGCTCACCCAGGGTACGCGCGGGCCCGCCTACCTTGACGGTCTTGGGGACCGGGGCAGTCGAAGCCTGGGCCGGACGAGATCCGACAACGCGACCAGGTTGTGAGAAGTTATCCGACTCTGTCTTCCCGCAGATATTGCCCATGGTAGACGGTAGATGAGTTGGCGAGGGAGGAGATGAGGGAAGGGCACTGCGCCAGCCAGCGCTTAGCGGAGTGTGCGAGCTTGGAACGAGAAAACGATGTCTATACGAGGGATATTGTGGCCGCTAGTTTTACGTGCTGTATGCTGTTAAGATAGAATATTCTGGGCTTGTGGGGTTTCTAGGAAAGTATATGCTGTTGCTGGTTTTGAAAGGTGTTGTGCTGGGAACCAACAGTCGTTCGAGGCGCAGCCTTGGGGTCGTGGCGGGGAAGCAAGCTATGGGCAGGCTTGGCGGTGCTCTTGTTACTAGTTAGCGAAAAGGCCGAGTTGTAATGAAATGTCGGAAAATATATATAAAACATGTGATAAGTATTTCAAGAAATAAAAACAAACGTAAATGTAGATTTCCTATTTCAATTTGGTGTTGTCTTGTCGAGGACGTGAAAATACAATACAAAAAGCGACTCCCACTAACACCACCGTACCTCAATCAGAGCATATCCCTTATAGCCACTGATACAGATCATAGTACAAAAGCAATCGGTCAAACACAAACTTCGAATAAATAGCAGCTTCTCCGAGTTTGTCGAGTATATTATTTCCATTTCTCTTTATTTGGCGTTTCGGCCCCATGTACTTTGGCGAGCGTGTTAGTATATCAAGACACAGAAGACATTAGCCCTAGGTTCATAAAACTTACCTGTGGAAGAACTGGCCAAAGAGACCGGGTTTAGCATTCTGATCATGCATACTCTGACGTCGGGCAGTAGACTGTTCGCCGTGGCGATGCTGCTGGAGAGAATCAAAGGACGGCATGAAGCTAGAGCTCTGTGGCATTTGTTAGCGGGATGATGGTCTATGCAGAGACAGCGTCGCTTCAACGAGACTGTCTTTCCAATTTCTATGTTTGTTACAGAGCTGCAACTTACTCTGCGGCGCGGCTGCGTCTCAACAGTTGGTGGGTTTGGGGGTTGTTCGGTGTTCATTGTTGCTAGCGAGTATACAGGAGAACGGCGTAGTGGACGGTGGAGAGGCGATGGGTTTGCAATTGAATTTATGGTTTGATAATATTATGTTAATACAGGTAGACAGAGATGTATGAACCACCACTAGCTTAAAAAAAGAGACGAGAGCGCCCTACCTCTTTATACATACAGCTGCCGTTTGTCGAGATGCGGGGTCGACCCGATCCAAGCACGAGACACTCGATGGAAGAGGAAAGGCGCGAGGGCAATTGCGTGCATCCCTACTGGTTGAGGCGATCGAGACAGTGTGAAATACTACAAGGGTTTCCGACGCACTTAGGTGCTGGAGGGTGGCTAGTGTGTGGCAGCAGTGCGTTTAAGTGGTGGGAAGAATAGAGTTTGGGTAAAGTCACGATGACGCCAGACCGTAGCGGCGCACTGTGCTGCTGTTTGTGTGCGTGTATGTGGCAAGCTGCTTCTACTGTATCGGTGTTAGATAGCGATATCGCTAGTATAGTATATGCTCTGTTGCTATCTTGGGCATATTGTCGTAGCGAGCAAACAGATACACTAGGACATGACTTTGGGACATGGCCGCGATCGCGTCACGCACCAGCAAGGCTTTCGGTGACCGACGTATACACGGCCTACGGGCCGTCGGCAGCGGAAGGACAGCTACACTACTACTCTAGGGCAAAAGACAAGGCAAGGCGGCGGGCCAGGCTGATGAATAGACAAAACTAGGGGGGCTCCGCTTCGACAGTCAGTAGACTAGTCGTAATTGTGTCGTAGCGAGAAAATATGATAAAAGTAGTAATTTGGCAATCTTTCCAGAATATTGAGGGGACCATTGATCCCTGGAGCCAGTGGAGCAGCAGGCAAAGCACGCCATAGGTAGTGTTAGCCAGGACTGCTATGGACGGAGCTGCAGGTGCAGGTACATCCACTACGAAGCCCACTGTAATAGCCCTGTATTTGTTTTTTTCAGGGCACGAGATGGTCCAGGCTAGCGGCTCTGTTGTTGCCAACGGCCAATGTTAATCGGGTATCTGCGTTGGGACCCCGCTTTTTAAATTCGGTGTTGGATTCGAGCCCGCACGCTAATAGCTGGTGCTGGTTTGGCTAGTATTAGTGGGGGCTTGCTAGTGTACCGCTCGCTGTGTGTATGTATGTACATACAAACAGTGGTGTTCTTTTGTGGCTGGCCGATGATGGGGCGGGGAACCCAACACGCAAACGCAAGTGGGATTGCCACGGGCGGGCGCCAGCTGGTCACAGCCCAGCCCAGAAAAAAAAAGAAGGAACCTGACCATCCGGGTTCTCATCCACTCGTCACTGGTCCCCTTGCACCTCGCATCTGCGCTCTGCTACTGGCTGGCCATGCAGCTCTGGCGCGACTCAGTTGGATCGCTTCTGCTCATTTTTCTCCTTCTGTGCAGGTCCCGGATGCCCTGCTAGTTGCTGCCGCGGCGACACGGCCGCAACTCATTTCGTTCTCTTCTTCTTTCCCATCACCAACCAAGCCGTTTGCCGCGCCTATCAAAGTGTCGACATCGCCGTTTCTCTTTTGCCTGGCGCACAGCACCACACTTACGTATTCACTTCTTACTCACTCACTCTCACCTCTCACCTCGCCTGCCTGGTCTCACACCTCGCCTACATTGCAACGGCCCTGCGAACGGGTGTTCCTCCAACGCCGCACCCGCCCCTCCCCCTCATCAGCTTAAGCCGACGACAACATCGGCGAGCAATTTTTCTCAGCTTCTACACCTGCGCGCATCATCAGCATCATCGCTACACTTGAGTCGCCTTTAGACTTACTTTACGCCCGCCTTAGATCATGGAAGGCTCACATGACGGCGCCTACAATGGCGCCAGTGCACAAGACATCATGAACATCGCGCTCAACTTTGATGGCATCATGTCTCAGGATATTGCCCTCCCCGGTGAGCTGGATGCCTTTTCTACAGCAATCCACGATGATTCCTGCCTGGACCACAACGGCTATAGCCACTGCGCCAACGGCAAGGGACATATGAACCCTCCGCCAAAGCCCACCGCCTCTCAGAGGCAGCCTGCGCGCACGCGCCAAAGACACAGCATCTCTAACCCGGCCCCCTCACAGTCGGCTGTTTTTACGCCGTCCTGGGATTCCATCTTCACAGATAGCCTTCTCTCCCAATCAAATGCTTGCGCTGGCATCGAGGCCTGCAATGACGTGGATTGCGCATCTGTCTCGTGCCCATCGGACTGCGGCGCCGGCCCTTGCTCCGTCGACTGTGCCGACGATGTCTGCTGTGAAAGCGGCCACTGTGCACCTTCTGATCTCTGCCTTGATGGCAACTGTCACGGAGCTGCAACATCCTGCACCAAGCCTGCATGTGGTCTATCGGAGAATGAGGCTGCTGCTGCCGCTACCCTCACCTCGTTTGGCGAGAACCTCATGGCAGCCCCCACCATCACCACTTCTGCCCCAACGGACTCCGTTTTTGCCAACATGGGACTCCCAGCTGTTCCTTGTTCATCACTCTCCATGGATGGCCCCCTTGCAGATGGCTTGGCTGGCATTACGGACCAGATCTGGGGTATTCCTCCCGAGTTCATCCTTGCCAACCATATCATGCAGTATCACGACCCCGCCCATCAGACATCCCATGTCGATCACAACTGTATTGCGGGTAACCCCAGTTCCGTTGTAGCTATGTGCTCGCTTCCCAAGATGGGGCCCGATTCCCCTCTGCACGAAGGCATCTGTGGCTTCCCTGTCCACGATCCCCAGTCCTTTGCCCAGCACATCTTCCAGCAGCATCGTCCTGCGTTGATGCAGCATGGTAGCTACCTCAAAAAAGAGGAGGGAAACAACAGCCACAACCATGGTGCTCCTAGCTTTCCCTACAACAGCGGTCACCAGTTGTCGGCATCTGCCTCACCCAACACGAACCTCTCCATGGGTACCTCCGTCTCCCCTACTCCCGTCTCCCTCGCTACCCCATCCCCCATGGACGGCCAGCACTACTTCCTGGACCTCAACACCGCCAAGAAGGAGCCCGTTACTACCACTGGAGTGGACAGCCAATACATGTGTCGCTGGACAGGACCAAACGGCCAGATTTGTGGCCGCATCTGCGGTGGCCACAAGGAACTCCAAGAGCACTGCAAGACGGAACATCTCAAGGAGATCAAGAAGGACCATGCTGGATTCTACTGCCAGTGGCAAGGCTGCACAAGACAGACTACCTTTAGTCAACGCAGCAAGTTGGAACGCCATATGCAGGTCCACACCGGTTTCAAGCCCGTCGAATGCAAGATTTGTGGTGCCCAGCTCTCTGCTAAGCAGTCTCTTGAGCAGCACATGCGTACACACACTGGCGAGAAGCCTTGGGTATGCTCGTTCCCTGGCTGCAACCAAGCCTTCAAGCAGCAGAGCGCCCTGACCATGCACGAGCGAACACACACTGGCTCCAAGCCCCTGTCCTGCGATATTTGCGGCAAGAAATTTGGCGAGTCGTCCAACTTGTCCAAGCATCGTCGTATTCACAACATTAGAGGCTCTCATGTTTGCGGTATCTGTGGCAAGGACTTCCACAGACTTGACCAACTCAGACGCCACATGGGCACAAACCACAAAGATAGACCCGAGGAGGTCAAAAAGTTGCTGAGCCGCGTCAAGACAGGGCGTGTTACTAAGATTCCGTCTGTCATGAGCGCAGCCTCATCAGATGTTGCAAGCGAGATGACCGAGGATAGAATGACTGTCGACATGCAATTGTAAGAGTTGAATGAGTCGGAGGCACATGCAAACTGTGTCTCTTTGTCTTCTTTTTTTTCGTCTGTTTATGTTTTTGACCTTCATTTCTGAATTGGTCTCATGCGGGCATGATAAATATTTTTTATTTACTGGCGTTTTGGCATTTCTCAAAGCAGGGTATAATTTTCATTACCCATTTTATACAGGTTACAAAAGGGGCGGCGTTTTGGGGGCGGCAGTTGGAGTGTACTGTCCGAGAAAAGTGTATGATACCATAAGAGTATATATCGTTTCTAAATGACCATCACATGACTTCAATGTCCTTATAAGATTGTCCATTCTAAAAGTGTGTCTCACTGGAAAACCTAGAATGATACATAACGTACATGTACGTGGTGCGTGTAGTTGGGTTGTTGATCAGATCATTACACAAAGACAACAAGACATTTTTGGAGACAAGAGTGCGGGGAAAGACACATCACACAAGGCGCAGTGAGAAGAAGCAGGGATAGTTTAGAACAAAAAGTTTCATTGACTCCCTTTTTCCGTAAAGGACCAAAAAGAAATTTCCACTGCGATGCAATATAATATGCCACGCCTTCTATCCCCCCGCTGCCAGCCTCTTGTCAAGGCCCTCACCCTTCTTCGATGAGACTCAACCCAAAAGCAGACAGCATGATAGACCCAGATCGGACCTTGACCTGAATCGTTTTTGTTTTGTCGGCAAAAAACTTTTTCGTCTTCCTTCCCCCCTTCGTGTGCTTTCTAAAGACGCTTTGGGGTTGTGCAAGATGTCCCTTTTTGTCGATTTGATTCTTTTTTTCACTTTTTCCCAAGTTTCCTCATATGCATTGAAAGAAAAACTCCAACATCATCTAGACATTAATCGCTTAAGCCTGTAAAGATCGCAACCGCGGTTAGTCGTCTGATGTTTTGCCTTCTTTTATAGTCGATCATGAACATACCTTGATGGCAAACTTGCGCTGGGGGAAGTGAGTAGCGCGCTTCTTCGTCTTCTCGAGAACGCGGGCCTTGTCCTCAGGTGATAATCTGCGGCGGATGGCGCGGGTCTGCTTGGGGCGGAGGTCGAGGGGAGCGTACTTCTTGTTCTTGTAGAAGAGACGGAGCTGGTTGCGCTGCTTGGCGTTGATGATGGTCAAGACACGGGCGATAGACTTGCGGATATCGTGGCTGTGAGGAGGTATGTTAGTATTTGTTCGTCGTCGTGAACAATCGAGGGAATATGCATACATCTTGGAGAGCTTGGAACCAGAGGAGACAACCTTCTGGATGCGGAGCTGGCCGAGCTCAGTCTTGAGCTCGCCGAGCTGCTTCATCAAGTCCTCCTTGGACTTGTCCCAAAGCTGGACGCTCTTAACCTTTCCTGACGACTGTGATTTGAACTCTGGTTAGCCTGGGTGTTCCTGTCATAGCAGTAGTGCGTTTGAGGCGAGTGCAAGGGGTGCAATATGTCTGGTGGTGGTGTGCAACAACGAAGCGGCGATGGATATCTCATGACGAAAAGCGGCGCGGCATCAGGTCAAATTCGAGACGGCTACCGAGCACGAGCCGCCGAGACTCGTGCGAATATTATGCATAGCTGGAATAGCGAGTCCTGGCTCGTCGTGCGTCCCAGCACAAAAGCCTTTTGCGGTGTCCTTCGATCGTCGATTTCGAAAATAAGATTGACCGGGCGTGCGTCGTCGTCGAGAGATATCCAGAGCCGTGCGTCGGTTGCAAACCAGGCAATTGCGAATTCGAGGAATAATAATGAATGCATCAAAGCACGCTGATTTGACTCACCATCTTGAATTATCCTTCGGTGTGCTGTGACGAAGTATGGTGTCGACAAAGTGCAAATTGGGGCAACTTCTTTTCGCTTTGTTGGCGGAGAGGGTCCTCTGAGAATTTAGCAGTTTTGCCGACAGCGTGAAAAATTGCCCTAGGGCTTGCGTCTGGGAAAGCAGCGCTGGCGAGGCCGCTGGGTGCTTGTCCTGCGTTTGCGAGCGATGAGTGGGGTCACTTTTCAGTTTTGGCGATTTTTCATTGGTTCGTGGGCAGCGCTAAACCGCTTTTGTGTGAGCACCACGTGAGATGTCACATGATGCGTCTCGCTCGTTTTCGGCGGGCGGTGAGGACAGCGCGTTCGTCTTTCTGCCGCCTCGCCGCCGACCTAGCTTGGCGGCACCTCGGGTTTAACTGGGTCAGGGGACGGGACCGGGAGCGTCGTCATAAGGTGCTGGCAACCACCTGTCATCCCGACAACCCTTCCCATCATCACCACCACTCCCGCACACTTCGCCATGGCTACAACAGGTAATGCTGGCTGGGCACAGCTCAGACAGCAAGCGAGAACATTAGAATCCCAAGTATGCTCCTTGGTGAACAGCCCCCTCTATCCATTACAAAGGCGCTAACCATCGACTTGTCGTCCCTAGACGGAGAGCATGTTTCATACCTATTCACAATTCTCATCCGCCGCAAAGGTCTCGCCAAAGCCGACAGAGGAGGAAACCGAAGCAGAGACGAAAATCGAAGAGCTGCTGGAAAAGGTAGGCGCAGCGCTGGTTCACAGCTTACCCGCATAACTAACACAAATGCTTGTCCCAGCGCGAATCGACAATCGCCCAATTAGCCAGACTGCTCGACAGCGAGTCCACGCTCACATCGTCGGCCCTTAAGCAAAATAACCTTTCGCTCCTCCGCGAAAAGCTCTCAGCGCATAAGCGAGACTTGACGCGGCTGCGCTCAAGCCTCCAGACAGCCCGCGACCGAGCAAATCTCCTCTCCAATGTCCGCGACGACATCAACCAGTACCGCGCCAACAACCCGGAAGCCGCGGAGGCAGAGTATATGCTGGACGAGCGCAATCGCATCGATAACAGCAACAACATGACCGATAGTATCCTGAGCCAAGCGTATGCCGTCAACGACAGCTTCAACCTCCAACGAGAAACGCTGGCCAGCATCAACCGACGCATCACGCTCGCAGCTAGCCAGGTCCCTGGGATCAACACAATTATCGGCAGAATATCAGCGCGAAAGCGAAGAGACGGTATTATTATGGGCGGCTTTATTGCATTCTGCTTCATTGTTTTCTTTTGGTTCATGTAACACTATAGGCTGGCACCTTTACGACAAAACAGGGCAAGCAAGTTTCATGGGATTCAGGCGTTTTAGAGAGAGAGGTTACCACCAGCGCATTTGTTTATTTCAGCGTGCAGCGCCGTTGTTCTTCTTCGTCTTCTTCTTTTTTGTAAAAAGAAACCTAGCAGTAGCGACGGTTCAAAAGATGTCTATTAATATACAAGAGGCAAGTCTTACTAGCCTCGTAAAATGTTATACATGGAGAATGGTTTATGCTTTTTGTTGAACAAGATGTTCCTTGCCGCGAGATTGTTCTCTAGCTGATGCTGGTAGCTTGGCCTCCTTGCCAATATCGTCGACAAGCTTGGCCAATCCCTTGGCCAGACTCTCTCGCTCGTGCTCCTCACTGGGCCCACTGCCTGCCCAACGAATGCGACAGTGCTGGTCCACCAGATACGTGTATCCGACCTTACTGTTCAGCAGGCCAATCGATTCGCGAATGTTGTCGGTAATACCACCGCGGACGAGAAAGTACTTGTCCCAGTCACGCTCGGGGAATCGCTTGCGCAGAGAGCCCATGAAGAAGCTGACGAGCCACGCCTTGCCTGCATTATCCTCGTAGTTGATGTTGACGTGCTGTGCTATGGTTGGGTTTTTCGCAAGAACTTCATGTAGCGCCGGGTTAGCCTCCTTTGACGCAAATGTGGCGACCTGGGACTCGGCCCATTGACTGCTGAAGATGGAGACGACAGTGGCTCGGCCAGTCATGAGGGGTGTTGTGTCGCGGGGTTCCTTGTCGTCCTTGAGAATAGTCTGGCCGTAGAGGTTGGGGAAGAAGAGCGATACTTCAGCCTTGAAGAGGCGAGGCGGCGCAATAAAGGATTTACCCTTGTGATGCTGCAGATTGCCCCAATCACGGAAGTAAGGTCGGGCGAGCTTAGCCGTCCTACCCAAAGTTGTCCGGTTAGTACAATCTCTATACATCATGTATCGGTATGCTGTACATACAGCTCTTTTCTTCGCTCGAGATGCTTGTCGTAATCGGAAAAGTCTTTCTTGCGCTGTTCGCGCGTGCGGTTGTCGACGCCAGTGTTCTCGCCTGGTCGTGGCGGCAGCGGCATGCCAATCGGACGGGGCAGTGGCATCGGCGTAAACTCTCCTTGGAATTTCTTGCCATAACTTCGGGGCGCCTCAATGGCCGGGCCGGAGATGTCGCTCTTGGGATCAAAGGAGGTGCCGGCCGCGGGCTTTTCGGGACGAGCTGCACGCAGGGCCGACGAGGTAAACGATCTTCGCGATTGGCAGTAGAGACAGGTAAGCGGTCGCCTACCCAGGCTCATGAGAGCCATCTCTACTCGTCGAGACGACATCGGGGATGCGATTAAATTAGGCGGCTGCCGAGAAACGCGGTTGATGCAATGACGTTGCGCCTCGCTATGTAAAGCCGATGCTGTCAGTGGCCAGTGGGACAGAGACCCCTGGGCTTTGCTTAGCTGGGAAACTTTTTTTGGTTAGGTAAGCTCGCCAAACGGCTGTAGAAAATCATAGTTTACAGCGGGTGCTGGTGCCTGAAAGCGTCATCTGGGTCCCCCGGGCTTAGGCCGTTTAGCGGGTGGGCTGCCCCGGACTCGGCTATTCACGGTGGCCGACGCTTTTGGGCGTGCAATGCCGACTGAATGCGCCTAAGCCGGGCTACACTGGCTTGCTATGCCGCGTTTCTCGACTTTTACCCCAACATGCCATCTGGATAACCTGGTTGGCTTAGCGAAATAAAATACTTGGTCCATTCACAAATACAATTCTCTTCTGCTTCCCCCTCTACTTCCTTACCCTCCTTTCCTTTCGCTCTCCCCTTCACAAACGCGGACTCCCTCGTCACCATAACAACATACCTGCCCGCCATGTTTCTGTCTCGAGGTTCCCGGGCTCTGCGTACCTCCATGGCCATGAGCCGCGTTGCCATGGGAAGAACGCAACCCGCCGCAGTTCCCAGATGGTTCTCTGAGTCTAGAAGACTCTGTGCTGTCAAGCCTGTCGTCTTGGCTGATATTGGTGAAGGTATGTCACGTCGTCAATCTCCCTCCCCGCACTATCATCAACCAGCCCGCTAACGCGCTACGTCACTCTACAACAGGTATTGTGGAATGCGAGGTTATTCAGTGGTTTGTCGAGCCCGGAGCTCAGGTCGAAGAGTTCTCTCCTCTCTGCGAGGTGCAGAGTGACAAGGCCTCTGTCGAAATCACCAGCCGTTTTGCCGGTACCGTCAAGAAGCTGTACTACGAGGCGGGCGAGATGGCCAAGGTGGGCAAGCCCTTTGTCGACATTGATATTCAGGCCGACACCAACGATGCTCCCGCTCCCGTCGAAGAAGCCAAGCCTGCTGCTCCCAGTGTGCCTGTCGAGGAGACTCCCGTTCCCGCTGCTGCTGCTGTCGCAGCTGCTGTCGAGACTCCCAAGCCCAAGGGCACCCATGCTTCCGTGGCTACGCCCGCCGTCCGCCACATGTCCAAGGAGCACAATGTCGACATCAACGAGATTGAAGGCACCGGCAAGGGCGGCAGAGTGCTCAAGGAGGATATCCTGCGCTTTATTCAGAACAAGGGAGCTAAGCCTGCTGCCGCTGCTCCTGGCACTGGTGCTCCCGCCGCTTCCGCTCTGCCCACCGACACAGCTGTCCAGGTTGAGACTCGCCAGCCATTGACCATGATGCAGCAGGGCATGTTCAAGTCCATGAGCCGCTCCCTTACTATCCCTCACTTCCTCTACGCCGACGAGATTGACTTTTCTGATCTTGTTCACCTCCGCACCCGCCTCAACAAGGTCCTCGCCAAGAGCCCCGCCCCCGGCAGCCAGCTCTCCAAGATCTCTTACCTCCCCTTCATCATCAAGGCTGTTTCTTTGGCCCTCTACCAGTTCCCTATCCTCAATGCTCGTGTCGAGATTGACGCTGAGACCAACAAGCCTGGTCTGGTCATGAGATCCCAGCACAACATTGGTATTGCCATGGACTCGCCTTCTGGCCTTGTCGTCCCCGTCATCAAGAATGTTGGCTCGCTCAACATTGTCACCATTGCCGAAGAGCTTAACCGTCTCCAGGGTCTCGCTATGCAAGGCAAGCTTGCACCTTCGGACATGACTGGTGGCACCATTACCGTGTCCAACATTGGCAACATTGGCGGAACGTACTTGAGCCCCGTTATTGTTGAGCGTGAGGTCGCTATCCTTGGCATTGGCCGCATGCGTACCGTCCCTGCCTTTGATGAGAACGATGAGATTGTCAAGAAGCAAATCTGCAACTTCAGCTGGAGTGCTGACCACCGTGTTGTCGACGGCGCCACCATGGCCCGCGCAGCCGACGTTGTCCGTACCATTGTCGAAGAGCCCGATGTCATGGTCATGCACCTCCGATAAATTATGACAACGCTGCAAAATCACGATGACGACAATCTAACGTCTTGCATACAATTGCATCCCGTCGGGAACGTGTGCGATTGAGGAATGCCAACCTCTTGCCTACGGCCTGATCTCTCTTTACGCACCCCCTCCATTTACCTCTGCCTATGATTTCTGTATGCATTTAGAATTCATGCCTTGTCCTTCACTGGACTCCTCTTTTAGGCATGCAGCCTTGCTTACACCGGTCGACGACGCCAGCAAACACCATGCAAGCTCCCGCAGCTGCATCACCCCTGTCGTCTATGAGCCATTGCTCCTCTTGCCCCAGCACTGGTGGAAAAGGATGCATTTTTCTCTCCAAGAGCCGCGAATTGCAACGCTGCTCATCAACTGCCGAATCTTTTTTCATGGAGCTTTCTCATTACCATCTCATTCTGTCACCAAGTCCAGCATCCATGTGCCCTGCCTGCTACCGTGATGATTGCCGTCACATTTGTATATATTTGACCGCTTGCTACACGCAATCGGGAGCGAAGGCGGCAGTAAAGGGGTTTTGTTTTCTATATATAAAAGTTATACATAGCTATTTTTTGAAATAAAAAAATTATAAAATAATCTAACAGCGGTTGGCCCCGACTCTTGAGGCCTGTTCAATAGCCTATTGCGTGCACCCCCACGTAACTTCGCCATTGCTCGGCGGGAATCCCTGCCGCCAAACAAGCCCACTTCAAGCTGCAGCTAAATACGGAGCGGTGCATTGTTAAGGCGTATCCTCAGTCGCTGCAGACATGGGTACGGGCAGCGAATGACGCACGTTGTGCATACAGCGGGAACCTGCATGCGCTGGCCGCAGCTCCTGCAGCCGCCGTGACAGCGAGTTGTCTTCGTCCGAAGGTGGACGACGTTTTCCTCAGGGCATGAGTAGTGCAACTAGTGTACAAGAGGACTCGAATTGAAGCCCATCAAAACTATGCTACAATACAGTAGACTTGTCTGGAACCTGTGTGGTTCACTTTTCAACAACGTGTGCCCCGGTCATGGGAGTCAATGGTCATAAGATTGTGTTAACAAGTAAACATACAGAACAGCTCGAAAAATGAAACCCAACGACCAAACGTTTCCATGCATAGCAAATGACTCTCAAATTCAATGTCTTTGTATCCCTGTGAGGTCTGCAGCAGGAGACGGACACCCGCCGACAAGCCACGCCGCTGCAGAAGTCGTCCCCGCGAATGCAACGCTCAGCTCGTGCATCTGCGCAAAATGGTTATGCGCTCTGTAAAACTCCAAAAAATAATGGGTGGTATCAAAATATCCAAAAATGTCTCGTTAATCCCGTAAAGTAAATGATAATAATAATAGTAACAGCAGGCCCAAGGACCTGTCTCCGAAACGTCAAGGGTGTGGTCAATGTTCAAACGACAAGAGAGAAGGGTGAAGGTGTTCCGAGCGCAAGATGGAGCTTAGGCAGTCTCTGCAGCCGCATCTTGGGCAAGGATATCGCGCACACGGGCGAGCGCATCCACCTTGACCTCATCGAGAGATCGGCTAACGTCGATGCCTGTGACGTCCTTTTCGTCGGCGGACGGGCGCTCGAGGATATCGAACTGGCTCTGGACCATGTTGGCACCCATGTAGTGGTTCTGGCGTTGCGTAACGCGGTGCAGCAGGACTTCTTCCGGGGCGTCGAGGTAGATGAAATGGACGAGGATGCTGTGGTCAAAGTATGCAGCTACGCGGATGACGTCGCGGTATTTGCGCTTGAGTGCTGAGCAAGTGACGACTACGCCACCAGCGCCGTCGCGCAAGCGGTGAATAGCTTCTTCGCGCAGCAGCGTGAGCCAATCCCAGCGATCGGCATCAGTAAGTGGCACGCCATTGCTCATCTTGTCGATATTCGTCTTTGGGTGGTACTGCGGGCGGTTAAAAAAAGGAACGAATTAGCAAATGGCGGCCCAGGAGGAGTGGTGGCGGCGCATTCAGTCACTTACTGAGTCACCCTCAATGTAGGGCATATCGACAGCCTGGGCAAGATGCTCTGCGACTGTTGTCTTTCCGCAGCCAGCTGGGCCAGTGACAAGAAAGATGTGATGATGGCCGCGGGCCTGCTCCGGAGCCGGCGCGGCCATTCTAGTAGACGGTTGTTGGCGAATCTGAGGAGGAGCGGCAGCAGCAGCAACAGCAACAGCAACGGCTTTGGAGGACTCGGCGCCGACAACGACGGGGGAATCGTAGGAGAGCATCGTGGGGAAAGGCCGGAAGCAGAACGAGGCGGAGGATACTAGGGCGAGGCGGCGAGGGACCGAAGGATTTATAGGGCGGCGCTACTTTGGATTTCGGGCGTTTAGGTTTCGCAAAAAAACTGGTCGAGAGGGCTAGCTAAGGTGGTGCGCCTACTGGGTCATGCAGCGAGATCGACGCTAGAGGGAGAGAACCACGCAGTCGGGTCCAGCGGAGTTTGGGAACGAAAGAATGGGTCTCTTGTTTTTGGAAAGGGGAAGAAGGTCTGTTGCAACGCTGTGAAAATGAGGGAGTTGCTGGGCTGTGACCGGAAGGATGCAGACAGGTGTGGTGTGTGTGGTGTTGTCCGTAGTGGGCTTGTGGAGGTGAGAGCAGAGAGCGAGAGAAGAGACGTCAAGGAGGAGGAGACGAGGTTCAGGGGATTCTACAGATGATAAGGCTGCTTTTGTTACCGGTGGACTTGATGGAGTGTGGCGGTGGGCAAGCCTCCTTTTTCTTAATTTAAATCTCTCTCGGGGGGGTTTTTTTTCTCTCTTCTCCTGTTGGCCTCCGCGCTCGCTGCCAAAAAATGCGCTGGTGCCGCATCGCCGGAGAAAACTTGGTGTCCTGGCGTACGGGGGCGGAAGTGCTCTCTTCCCCCCCGGAGGCGTACATACGGGCGCTGGAAGACAGCCCTTGTCCAGATTGGGGGCGCAAAACGAGCGGGAGGGCTGGTTGGTTGGACGGCTGCGGTGCCGGTGTGCGACGATGCAATTTACAGCTCCCTTTTAGGCCCTATTGCGCCGAAGCATTCCCTTTTCGCTTGGTGCAGCAGAAGCCGAAGGGGGGGTCCCGTCGCGGCAATAGCTTTGTAACTCAGGGAACTGCACTTTACGTAGTTCGTCAGGACCCTCAGGGCTGTGAGACACATTTGTCGCCTGCAAAAGGGCGAACAATCTCACAACTTGCAGTGGTAGTAAAATATAGAGACACACACACACACCCGTTCGTTGGTCGGCTCGCAACCGTTGCGAAAGTATGTCTTGTTTGACCTATTTGATTAGTTGACTTGTCAGTGGGGGGTGGTGGGCAGGCTCTCCGGAGTCTTCGGCGCGAATACCGCGGGCGTGGCACGCTGCTATTTACTGGAGCCCTGTTCAAAGGGGCCGCTGTGACGCTTGGCTCCTATTTCCCCGAGACAAGCGACCACACTTGCAGCTGAGCCGGACCTGAAAATGGAATGATGCCATTAGCGACCTTAGTGTAGTTGTTGCTGGCCGCAATCCCCAGCTTTTGGCTGGTGTTCGCCTATTGATTTCGGTAGGGCTACGTCATAAGGGCCACAGCTATTAGAAATGCTAGTTTCTACAGGAGTCTTTAAAATGTAGCAATAAAAGGTTTGGAAATTTGTAGAGGGCCCATCGGTGTAATTTGATTTGCGTAGTAGGAATTTTACTAGCAGCGTCACATATTTTTGTTGCAGCTTTTGTTGTCCTAGGCACAGCTGGCTTGGTTTGGACATCTAACTTACCCTGCAGATATTCCAGTACCTCGTGTAACGATCCCAATTATCTGGCAATTTTGTATAAATTATGCAATACATTTATTGTTATGCATTTATTGCTTTTGTGTGTCTCTTGTATGTTTTAAACCCGTAATTATGCTTGTTTTCGTATTGGTAGCCATGTAACCTCAAAAATACTCAGTTAATGCTACCACTTCTTAACTCTGTTAGCCTCTTAGTTCAGAATTTGTCCCGACGAGTGATACAATTTTGTGGATTAAACACGATAATTAACATCTTCAACAATATATAACACACAAATCACCAACATTAATTCATTTAGCTACAATCCAAGGTATAAACACGCAGTAGCACCGTTTTTGGTAATCGCCCAATGAGGAAATCCATGTATGCCCCAGGCACACACCACACTGTTGCTCATTTGGTCTAGCGCCGGCACTCAAAGGAGAAAAAAACGACGACGCGCAGCCCGTAGCTTGCACAGTGCTTTCAAACGTCCACCACCACCACTGTTTTTTTTTGATATCCCACGGCTGTTGTATTATTTCTTGTAATTTTATCGCGTGTACTATTCAAACAACAGCAGCATTCTTCACGCCAACAACCCACCCAACCCCTCTCTCTAACACACGCAAACCGCATTTTGCTCCTTGCGGCTTTACTGTGTCTCGCTCCTTTTTTACCACTCAAGCCACAACAAGCACCAGTAACAAAGGTCCCCTTGGCTCTTACGCAACACAACCCCACCACCAAGGCTGGCACAGCGTAGCCCATTCGCCCCAGGTGCTCAATTAGGCAACTGTCCTTCTGTAAGTTACAAAAGGACAGCGCTATTGTTACGGATTCCCCGCCGTCAGCTCAGCCAGAGTTTTTGCCCGCGGCAGCGCACGACAGGGCCCTTTTGCGCTCTCCCCAGGCAACGCAACGGCTTAAGCAACGGCCACCAAGCACCAGCCCACCACAGCCCCGGCACAGTCGCAACCGCGGGGTAATCAAGCCCTGGCCCGCCTTCGGGATGCCGCGTCTGCCTCTTCCTCCCTCCACCTTGTTCAAAAGGCTTTCCTCTCCCACAACACCATCGTGGCATCTTCACACACGACTGCCTCGATTGAATTCCACACATAAGCCGCTCTCCTATCCCTTACTTGCTCGGTCCGCATCTACATCCACCATGCAGGCACACGAGCTCGAACACTACTACGCTGACCGCAACCCGCCGGTGGTGCGTCTCGAGATTGAGAAGCACTTTGCGCCGCTCTCCGATAAGCAGAAGCGCTATGCGCATCACATTAGCAGGTAAGATGAAAGCAGCTACTCCATGACCTTGTTGGAGGAACACCGTGTGCTGACAGCCGCCCCCTCTATTAGAGCCTCCTTCCTCGGAACCAGAGCTACCTTGAGACAAGCCTCTCCTGAATCAGAGGCCATCTATGATTTCATCATGGCTCTTAGCGCCACCGCTGCTGGCGACTGGAAGGCTCTGGGCCAAAAGGCTGGCATTTCGGAAGAAGAGTTGCAGTACTTCCTCGACTACGCTGCCCAGATCCTTGGCAACGCTGGTAACTACAAGGGTTTTGGTGACTCCAAGTTTATCCCCAGAGCCGCTGAGGCCAGCTTCGCTGCACTCGCCGCTACCTCTCCCGAAGCCACCAAGTTCTACGAGGCCACCCAGGGTGGCATCTTTCGCGCCGATAATGCAGCGATGCTGCATCTCGGCTTCCTCGAAGACGGACACATGACCACATACTACCCCGACTCGCCCGATATCCTCAAAACTGAAATTGAGGCCGTCGCCGATTGGATGGCAGCAAAAGGCCTGCTTCCTGAGAACACACGACTTCGAAAGAACAAGGACGGTAGCTTTGACCTCCTTATTGCATCCGCTGTCACCTCCATGCCTGCTGAGGGCAGCGATGCCGGCAAAGAAAGCACATACGTTTTGGAGGATGGACCCCTCAAGGGCAAGACCATCAACCTTGTTTTCGGTGACCACTCCAAGGAGATGGCGCTTATTGCTGCTGAATGCAAGGCTGCCGCCGAATTTGGTGACAACCAGACGCAAAAGGACATGTACCTTGCTTATGAGAGTGCTTTCACAACCGGTTCCATGAACAAATTCAAAGACAGCCAACGCTTCTGGATCAAGGACAAGGGCCCCATGGTCGAATCAGACTTGGGATTCGTCGAGACCTACAGAGACCCTGCTGGCATTCGTGGTGAATGGGAAGGCTTTGCCTCCATTGTCAACCTGGAGCGTACCCGTGCTTTCGGCGAGCTTGTCAATGCTGCCCCTGGCCTGATTCCCCTGTTGCCCTGGGGTAAGGACTTTGAAAAGGACACTTTCCTCTCTCCCGACTTTACCTCTCTTGAAGTGCTTAGCTTCGCTGGAGGCGGCATCCCTGCCGGTATCAACATCCCCAACTTTGATGACATTCGTCAAAATGAGGGCTTCAAGAACGTGTCTCTTGGCAACGTTCTCTCTGCCCGTGCCACCAACGAAAAGTTCCCATTCATTCTTGAGAAGGATGATGAACTGTACCGCAAATACCGTGACGGCTCCTTCGAGGTCACTGTCGGACTTCACGAGCTCACTGGCCACGGCTGTGGTAAGCTGCTTCAGGAGACTGCTCCTGGTGTGTACAACTTCGATGTTGCCAACCCCCCCATCAGCCCTCTCACCAACAAGCCCATTACAACTTGGTACAAGCCCGGCCAGACTTGGACTTCGCTCTTTGGTCCCATTGCCTCCTCCTACGAAGAGTGCCGTGCCGAGCTCGTTGCCTTGCACTTGGCATGTGAATTCTCTACCCTCAAGATCTTTGGTTATGGAGATGGAACGTTGGATATGGACGGAGTTGGTGGTGATGTCCTCTACGTTACTTACCTGTCTATGGCCCGTGCTGGTCTTGCTTCGCTTGAATTCTGGGACCCCAAGGCTCAGAAATGGGGCCAGGCTCATTGCCAAGCTCGCTTTGCCATTTTCAAGGCCTTTATCGACGCAGGCGATGATTTCTGCAAGCTGGTCTCCAACGAGGACGATATGTCGGATATGATGATCCATATGGACCGCTCCAAGGTTCTCACGACTGGTGCCAAGGGTAAGTTGCCCCCAGATTTCATGCTCTTATATTGAGCCGGATATATGCTAACTTTCTTTTTACACAGCTGTTGCCGATTTCCTCCAGAAGACCCACATCTACAAGTCTACTGGTGATGTCGAAGAGGGAACCAAGTTCTACAACCAGATGTCCCATGTTGGCCTCGAGTACTGGGGCACCAAGGTCCGCGATGTGGTTCTGCAGAAGAAGCAGCCCCGCAAGATATATGTCCAGGCCAACACCTTCCTGGATGAGGCGTCTGGCAATGTCTCCATTAAGCACTACCCCGACACTATCGAGGGTCTTGTTCAGAGTTTCGTTGACCGCAAGCTTTAAAAGTAAAAGTAGCAGAAGTGAGTTGAGTTGCCCAAACATTGGGGGGGCGTTTGGGCGTTTGTGGGGAGTGGAGTTAGTAAGTGGTTGTCGGGCGTGGCGTTGGCGCCGCACATGTACGTAGAAAAGGCCTAAAATATGGCGGATACAGTAGTAAAAATACAAACAGTTTTATATATCCAACGTCCAACGGCTGCGCTAAGAGTTCAATTGCTACAAAGGTATATTGCACATTTTCACATGGGACGAGACTAAGAGTGTTTAAATGGTCATTTAAGATTTTTGATTCTTTGCTGTAAAAACCTGATTACAGACGCCAAGATGTGACCGATGCCGTCGACTTCCAAAATGCAATGAGCTAAACCAGCTCGTTCGCAGACACCCATCCCGTTTCTACAACTGCGTGAACGTTGCAACCGTTTCCATTTTCTTCCGCACTGCAACGCCTGTATCATCCTCCCCTGATTCCCCGAGTTTTCTTTTTTCCAAGCGGCTCGCGAGAGCGAAATGACAAGTACTCTAGCCCATGGGGTGCAGGGTCCTTTGATACACTCTCCGTCTTCCTTCTTTTTCCCTTGCGTAACAAAAGCACTGGTTCACCGAGGCGTTTGAAGCAAAGTAATAACAAAAAAAAAGAAGACGTGTCATTGTATCAAATAGTTTCCCATTTTTTCCATTTTCTTTTCCTTGCCGCTCCCTCGTTATTTTTTAATAAACAAAAGCCGCTTACCAAGCCATCTCGTGGGGCTTGTCACCCTTTCTCAAGCTGAAAGAGCTGGCGAGGTAGCTGGGCAGCAAGTCGACCTTCTTGATGCTGGCAATCAAAGCCTTGTCGATAGCCTTCTGGTCGGCAGCACGGGTGCTGTTAATCTCCTTCTTCTGTAGACGCAGAAAATATTACGGTTAGCTGTCTGTTTTCGTTGGCTCGCAAAGTTGGGGTTTTGGGTGGGATCTCTCCCAACCCTCTCCCCCGATAAAAAAGACATACCTGAGCCTTCTCTCCCTGCTTGAAGAAAGCCTCCTGACCGGCCTTCTCCTTAGCCTTCTCGGCGGTGAAGTACTTTGGTTGAGCAACCTCATCGACCTTCTTCTGGTCGAGGCCGGCAAGGTCGACCTTGTAGGAGGTGGCAATGACGTAGCGGGCGTTGACGCGGCGCAGAGGAACACCGTTGATCTTGAAGGGGCCGGTGACGAGGAGGACACCCTGGTCGAGGGACTTGAGGAGAACGACGCGCTTGCCACGGAAGCGGCCGGCGAGGAGGATCAGGACAGTACCGGGCTGAAGGGACTTTCTAGGAGTCCAGGCACGGACGGCCTTGCGGACCTGATTTGGAACTTTGGTTAGCGCAAATTGCACAGGCAGGGTCCTGGCATCGTCTGCTTTCGATTGAAGCAATCAGCGGGAAGAAAGTTTTGTGAAGATTTTCGTCGATGTTTGTGGCCGTTGCCTTAGCGTGCTCGGGCGTCGACGATGCCAATTCTCGAGGAATTTGGGGTGTATTTGAGCGCGGCAGCGGTCGCCATATCGATTCGCATGCTGTATCCTCTTCGAAACCTTCTTCCAACCGATCTATCATGACACAGACGACAGCATTGAATGCAAACTCACCTTCTTGGGGTCGGTCTCGTCATCGGCGTTGTACCACTTCTTAGCCTTGTCCGCGGCAGCAGGGACCTCACGGCTCGACTTGCCGAACGTCTTGGTAGTAGGCTTTGTCGACATGGTGACTCTCTCTCGGGATTATCGTGTCTTGAGGGGTGGTTGAGATGTGGAGTGGGAAAGGTTCGTGATAGTCGCCGCAAAATGCTGGATTTCTTTGTGAAAGCCGCTAGCGAGTTTGTGGGAGCAAAATGTGAACCCTCTGGCGCTAAGCCCTTTTGGGTTGCCAACCTTGCCGCACAGGCGAGAGGAAAAATTGCGGAAACGGGGCTCGTGGCACGTGATGATAAGATAGAGTCTCTGCCAGCAGAAGGTGGCCCATAATATTTTTTATGGAGTCCAGCCAGCGACCGAACGTCCGAGAAGTCACTGGTGATGTCGCTCGATGCCCTCAGGGAGGCTCTAGTAGAAGAGGCGTGAGTTTTAGCGCCGACACGTCTTTTCCATCTTGGATTCTTCATCATCACAACAAGACGCGTTGCAAGATGCTAGCCAGAAGAAATGCACTTATTTCAGCCCAGCGGGTAGCTGGTGCTGCTGCGCGAAGCACTCAACGACCACTTACACTGCCAGCTGTATCCCAGCTTACTCGACATGCTGCACGACCACTTCTCCCAGTATTAGCTGTCCGATCGTATGCAAATGGACGACCTCACCCGCCAGGAGGAACACATAGAATGAATATGGGCGGAGGCGAGGAAGAAAAGCCCGCCCTGGAGCAGTTTGGTGTGGACTTGACAGCTCGCGCTAGAGACGGCAAACTTGATCCCGTCATCGGCCGAGATGCGGAGATCCAACGAACAATCCAGATTCTATCACGAAGAACAAAAAACAACCCTGTGTTAATTGGCAACGCTGGCACAGGAAAAACAGCCATTCTGGAAGGACTAGCACTGCGCATCGTACGCGGCGACGTCCCAGAGAGTGTCAAGAACAAACGTGTTATTAGTCTCGACCTTGGATCGCTCATTGCGGGTGCCAAGTTCCGCGGTGATTTTGAGGAAAGACTCAAAAAGGTACTCGATGAAGTACAAAAGGCAGAAGGCGAAGTTATTCTGTTTATAGACGAACTGCACACTCTGCTTGGCCTAGGCAAAGCTGAGGGGTCCATTGATGCCTCCAACTTGCTCAAGCCAGCTCTAGCAAGAGGCGAATTACAATGCTGCGGTGCGACTACGCTAAACGAATATCGACAAATCGAAAAAGACGTTGCGCTAGCCCGTCGATTCCAGCCCATTGTTGTAGAAGAACCTACGGTTGAAGATACCATTAGCATCCTCCGAGGCATCAAGGACAAATATGAAATACACCACGGTGTCAGAATCACAGACGGCGCTTTGGTGTCCGCAGCGTCGCTCTCTAATCGCTACATTACTGACCGCTTTCTTCCGGACAAGGCTATTGACTTGATGGACGAGGCGGCGAGTCACCTAAAGCTACAACACGAGTCCAAGCCCGAAGACATCATGCGCCTCGACCACAAGATTATGACAATCCAAATTGAACTAGAAAGTCTTCGCAAGGAAAGCGACATTGCTAGCAAAGAACGCCGCGAGAAGCTGGAGAAGGACCTCAAGCAATACTACGACGAAATCTCGGAGCTTAACGCCACTTGGGAAAAAGAAAAGACCGAAATCGAGTCTGTCAAGAAAGTGCAAGAGGACCTTGACAAGGCTAAATTCGAGCTCGAGCAAGCCCAGCGCACAGGCAACTTTGGCCGTGCCTCTGAGTTGCGATTCGGCGTCATCCCGGACCTCGAATTGAAGCTACCCAAGGAGGGCGAGCAGACCAAAAACGACCACACACTTATCCACGACGCTGTGACCGCTGACGACATTGGAAACGTTGTCTCCCGAATCACCGGCATTCCAGTGACGAAGCTTACCTCTGGTCATATTGAGAAGCTGGTTCACATGGAAGACAGCTTACGCGACGCCGTCAAGGGCCAAGACGAAGCCATCAAGGCCGTTTCCGACGCAGTCCGTCTCCAGCGCGCTGGCCTCAGCGGTGACAATCGCCCTCTTGCATCGTTTTTCTTCCTTGGCCCTACGGGTGTGGGAAAGACGGAGCTCTGCAAGAAGCTGGCTGGGTTCCTCTTCTCCACTGAATCCGCCGTTGTGCGTTTCGACATGTCTGAATTCCAGGAAAAGCACACCATCTCTCGTCTTATTGGCGCGCCATCTGGCTACGTTGGCTATGAAGATGCCGGCCAGCTCACTGAAGCCGTCCGTCGGAAGCCTTATGCTGTCCTGCTCTTTGACGAGTTTGAAAAGGCACACCGCGACATCTCTGCCCTCCTTTTGCAGGTCCTCGACGAGGGCTACCTGACCGACGCCCAGGGCCACAAGGTTGACTTCAAAAATACAATCATTGTTCTCACCTCCAACCTCGGTGCTGACATCCTTGTCGGTCAGGATGCCGCTCATCCATACAAGGAAAACGAAGCTGGCGACATTGATCCTTCGGTCCGCAAGGCCGTCATGGACGTTGTCGGACACGCATACCCACCTGAATTCCTGAACCGCATCGACTCCTTCATCCTCTTCAAGCGTCTTGCCCTCAGCGCTATCCGTGATATTGTGGACATTCGCCTTGCAGAGCTGCAGAAGCGCCTCGATGACCGCCGCATCACCTTGGTCGTTCCCAACGAGATCAAGGATTGGCTTGCTGAGCGAGGCTATGATCCCAAGTACGGCGCTCGTCCTCTCAACAGGCTGATTACGAATGAAATTGGTAACGGTCTAGCTGACAAGATTATTCGTGGCCAGCTCAAGATGGGCGAGACTGCCGAGGTCAAGATCAAGGAGGACGGATCTGGTCTGGAGGTGTTTTCATCAGCCCCTCCTGCCGCTGCTTAGACATGCAGGTGAAACTTGTAGTCTAAAGAACCGCCACTATGTATTTTATTGCACCATCCCATCTACCGCGGTTTTGATGATTTCACGTCCACAGTTTGCGTTTGTATATTAGTTGGATACACACATCTCACTGTACCTCTTTTGATACCCCAATACACTTAATTTTAATCACACCTCTTCTACATCGGTGACCTCCAATTCGTAGTACCTGGTTCCCTTTTAAGAGTTACAGCGCTAATGGGGAGATGTGAATCAGTCAATTTCTTAATTAGTCTACTTGCTCGCGAATCATCACCACATGCAGCTTCACCACCGGCCCCCTAGCTTTTTTTTAAGAGTCAACGAGTATCCTGTGCTACCACTAAAACTCCGTTGATAAAACGCCAATACTGTGTCTTAATCGATTACCGCGCAAAGCAGTCTACCCTCTGCCGCACTCCCGCTCCTGCAAAACACAGTATGCATGAACATGTAGTGAAGAGCAAGAGCGAAGAAAAAAAAGGCGTTGGTCGTGTGACCGAACTCACACGACCTCAACAAGACAAATGACACGAATGACACTGAGAACGAAAGAAAACGGAAGACGGACGAAAAGAATCGAAAAAGAGATAATCGGTATAAAGTTATGACTAATTTCGAATTTGGTTGACGAGCACCATTGCAAATTACAACCGAATCCTAGAGATTTTGTTTTTGGTTTGACAAGTGCCCGGCGAGAAAGTAGGCGTGCCAATCTTGAGAGCGTGAGAAGGTGAGATTAAATTAAGAGGGCTTCTCGTTCTGGGTTTACTGGTGACCGGCCTTGCGGAGGGTGGTGGCGAGCCACTCAAGACCCTCGTAGAGACCGTCACCAGAGGTGGCGCAGGTAGACTGGATGAACTGTAGAATTGGCACGTTAGCATTTCCATCAGATGTGGTGATTCGGGGTCGATGGCTAAACCTACCCAGGCGCGTTGTCTCAAGCTGTGGAGACCGAGCTTGTCGGTGATCTCGGCAGCGTTCATGGCGTTCTAGAGAGAGCCTCGTTAGTGATCCGGAATATACGCAAGGCGGATTTCGTTGTTGATAAGATGTGGTGCTCGCTCATCGTAGACAAAAACTTACGGGAAGATCCTGCTTGTTGGCGAAGACGAGAAGGATGGCGTCGCGGAGCTCATCCTCGTTCAGCATGCGCTGAAGCTCTGAGCGGGCCTCATCGACACGATCGCGATCGTTGGAATCGACGACGAAGATGATACCCTGGGTGTTCTGGAAGTAGTGTCTCCAGAGGGGACGGATCTTGTCCTGACCTCCGACATCCCAGACGGTGAACTGGATGTTCTTGTACTCGACGGTCTCAACGTTGAAGCCTGCGAAGCGGGGGTAAATCGCGTTAGCATGTGACCCTTTTGCGGCGGACGCGGGAGGTCCTCAGGGGGGAAAAAGCGAAGGAGGTAATTCGCTTAGGGGCGTAATGGCGTACCGATGGTAGGAATGGTGGTGACAATTTCACCGAGCTTGAGCTTGTAAAGAATCGTGGTTTTACCGGCGGCATCGAGACCGACCATCAGGATTCGCATCTCCTTCTTCCCCCACAACTTATCGAACAACTTGGAAAAGGCGAGACCCATGATTGCGACTTGCGGCGACCGGGCCTGTAAAATTGACTATGGTTTTTGGGTGGTTTGCGTAGGAAAACAACAGACGGACGTTGTTGTTGTTGGCGTGGCGGGTGGGATGTCGGCAGGGAGAGGAGAGAAAGATGTGTGTCCTAGTTGTTGCCACGCGTAAGTAAGCGGCCTGAGCCCATAAAAATATCGGAGCGGCCACTAAAGGGCAGAAGCGCAGTGCAGATGCAGCGAGAACTGGGTTTGGGAACAGGGGAAAATAAATTACAACAAAAATCCCGTATAATCCGGTGCTCACGATTTCAGCAGTCTGGTAGATTTAGTCGCTGCAGAAAAATAAACCGGGAATCTTGGACGATTTGCTAGCCAACGGAGAGCCGTTCAACAACCCCTCTTCTGTGTGTCTGCGCACCGGAGTGGGAGCAGCCAAAAAAAATATTCGGAGCGTAGCGGGGAGTTTGACTTGTCGAATGTTTCGGTATGGCCGAGGCTTGCAAAGACGACGAAGAATTCCTTTCTATTTATTTTCCCCAAGCAGCAGTCATGGCCAGATATCCTCTGCAGGCGTCATCTGAACCATCACCGTTTGCCCGCAGGCTTCCGCGATTCAACCACAGCTGAGCAAGAGGGTCGTGCTGTCCTCTTTTCTGTGGGGTGGCGGGCAACAAGGGCAAACCTTGGGTGAGAGAGCTCTCTGCCTGGGCTAGGAGGGGCACTGGAGGCGGGGGGACACAGGGAGTATAGTGATTGGGATGCAGTAAAAAGAAGAAGAAAGACCAGTAACTTACAGGTTGATGTAAATCCCCCAAGAAACGGTGGCAGATCCAAGCAACGGACGAAAAAGGAAATAAGAGAGAAGTAAAAAACAGAGGTGTTTCGGTGACGTTGGGAGGAAGAGGTGGGAGGCGGGCGAGAAAGGGAACAACTTGGCTAGTTTAGTCGGTGAGGCGTCCATCTGGCTCCCCTAAGCCTCAGCCCCGTGGGCGGCCTGCAGCGCTGTCGTGCCCGCTAAAGCGTGCTACTGGGCGCTGTGTCTGGCGGGCCTCGGACATTGTTTAACCAGGCTCTGGCGCGATACGGTGCTGCTAGGAGGGTACAAGCCGAGTACGCCATTTGCAAGCCGGCTTCGCCCACTTTGCTGGTGGAGTGCAGCGGCCCGTGGAGGTAGCTGGCTGGTATCTGTGCCGATAAGAGTTTTCCTACCCCCTGAAATTCACAGGTCGCTAAGCAAATGCCACTGTGGCTCGGGAACAAGCCAAACACCCACTAGTGTGGCTTGTGTGCGTGCACCACAACACGAACTCCTGAAGGAAGCTCTGCTTGGTGGAGCTGTGTGTGGCTCAAGCGTAGCCGCACCGCAAGCCGTCATTGGGCACTGCACTTGACAGCAAAAGGTGGCCAACTTGCAAACCGCCTGGGCAATTAAGGAGAGAAAGCATCAACGATCCATCACCGATTCCACCCCCAAACAACCCCGTCGGTCGCTCTTTGTATACGCGTTCGCCGCTTAATTCGCACGTTCTTTCTTTCTTTTTATAATACACATAATATCACCATGCAGATCATCTCTGTAGCGAGGTCGCTCCTCGCCGCCGCCGTTGCCTTCCAGGTCGCCGCCGCACACAACATCGTCCTGCCGTCCCACGGCCTCGAATGCTTCCACGAGAACCTCCGCAAGGATGACAAGATGACTGTTACCTTCCAGGTTGGCGATCGCGAGTTCGGCAGCGCAGGCAACCTCGATATTGACTTCTGGGTACGTCATGTCACGATGCCCGTGACCCCATGGTCTCCCTTTTCCCAGCTGCCTAGATGGCGAACCCAGCAACCCATGTTGCGGTCCAAGGCAGACGAATTGAACCCATGGGCTATTTATCGCATTATATCCCAAAAAGAATTGAACCGTGTGACTAACCAATTGAGAACAGATCACCAACCCTAGCGGCCAATACGAAATCAACGAGCGCTCCATCTCCAACGGCGACCACTCCTATACCGCCCTCCATGACGGCAAATACACCTACTGCTTCGGCAACCAGCACTGGGGCGCCAACAGCAAGGAGGTCTCGTTCAACGTCCACGGCGTAGTCTACGTCAGCGAAAGCGAATACCCCGTCGACCCCCTCGAGGCCGAAGGTAAGCATAGCATTTGCGAACCTCGTGGTCAACCAGACAACTAACCCGTCTTTAGTCCGTAAACTCTCCGATCTCCTGGCCCAGGTCAAGGATGAGCAGCAGTATATCGTTATGCGTGAGCGCACCCACCGTAACACCGCCGAGTCCACAAACGCCCGTGTCAAGTGGTGGAACATCTTCGTCATCGGCCTCGTCGTTGGCGAGTCTGCCTTCCAGGTCTGGTGGCTGCGCCGCTTCTTCGAGGTGAAGCGTGTTGTTTAAACGCTCTGCCATCTTGCACATTTTTTATATCGACGAAAAGGAGCGACTCTCGAAAGGGACCATTGCCAACCGAGGCGTTTTTGTACTTGTGATAGCCTCGTGCGGCTCTCGTTTCTCACTTTATTCAGCATGGGTTGATTGCGTTTCTCTGTACAACGGAAGGGGGAGGAAGAATTATGCGGAAAATAATGCTGTGGCTGGCGAAATGTTTTGTCACATCGCTTATGAATTCATTGGCTCTGGCGTAAATGGAAACTTATCAAAAGGAAGGACGAGGCTTGTGAATAGCAAACTACGTGGAAGAGTAATAACATGGAGAGAATTGGACAATAATAGCCTTCTTTTCTTTTGACGAATACAGCCGTTTAATCATTCACTACTTGTTAAACATGCACCCATTGACGTGAACACCGTGTGCAAAAGAGACCGTAACTTCTATTATCCATAAAACTCTCGTGACATATATACATACATGGCTACCATTTATCATTCTGGATTTCCTTCATGCTGCCAAAACAAAAAAACAAAACGCCGTTCAAAGACACGTGCTGGCTGAAAGCAGAAACTGTACAAGCGCTTGGTTACGCTGCTGCATCTAGAACCTTTGCGTTTTCAGGCACCTCCTCCTTCTCAAACTCGTCCTCTCTCACCTCAGCTGGCAAATCCACCTCTTTGACGGGGTGTAACAGCATCGGGGGAAGACACATACGCCCCTCACCACCAGGCATGTTGTTAACACCAGGGCCAACCTTGGTCTCATCAACATCCTTCTCAAAGGTTTCGCCACCATCATTGTTCACAGTCATACCAAGCCAGCGCTTGTACAAGTTGGGTCCAAAGCCCGAATTGTAGAACCAAGTAAAGCCTCTCAAGTTGTGTTCGCGATCGCCATAGACACTGTTCTTGTTACCGCCTGTGGCGCCGTTGTGGCCAGAGTTGATGATCTTGGCAAGATACTCGACTGGCCACTTGCGGTCTACGTAGATGGGATGAGGCACGTACACGGCCTTGTAGCCATGCTGGAGTGCCATAGTGGCAGGCCACATTTCGGGGAAGGCAAACTGCTTCTTAAATGCTGTTGCTCTATGCATGCTCATCAATAGACGTCTCGACATGCGAGAAGTGGTAATGATGCTGGCACGGCGCGGAGGAAGACCGCGAGTAGTGTTGTAACCAGTGATATCATCTTTTAGCAGCCAAGTCGTGCCTTCAGGATTGAAGATGGGGTTCAAGGTGATCAAATCAGCCTCTTCGCCCACACCCCACTCGTAGCGATCGCGCTCATAGGCGGTGGGAGGTACGGGGTCATTTTCATGCTCGAACCAGTCTTCCTGATTTTCTGGACGAACAGGGCCCCAGATGACCTTGTTGGCGCGGGTAGCCTCTTCTGGAGCTGGCTCTGGCATACCGGCAATCTTTGGCTTGGATTGAACACCCATTTCTGACTGGACACGAGCCATCTGAGAAAAGTCTTCCCAAGTGCCATGCACCGAAGGAATATAGTAGCGCTCATTGCGCTCCCAGAGACCCTTTCTAGGCTGCTTCCTGGACCAGTCTTCAATCTTTGACAACAAGTCATAGTAATGACCAGTGTAGCGAATATCCATTTCCCACTGCCAAAAGTAATCGTATTCGGGATGCATGTAAGCAAAGTGCTGCATTGCCATGGGCAAACCGCGGTAAGCACCGTGTACAGGAAGCTCAGGACCTCGAGCCCAGACGTCGTGAATACCCTGGTAGAGAGCCAACATCTGCGTCTCAGTCCACATGGTAACCATGCCTCGGAATTCCTCGGGTACACTCTCCTCAATGTGTTTTTGGTACAGTTCGTTGTCCGCCCAGATGGGATGCTTGGCATCATTCTTGACTTGGACAAGCAGGTGAATGTCATAACGGCCACCCGAGCTCAGCGACAACTCAGTGATCATTGCTCTCAGGTTAGCCAGGTCGTCTTCTCTGAAAAAGTATTCATCCCAGCATCGGATAACAACTGCGGTACGAGACAGGGTGGCGTCATCGTTCTGAGGCTTGTTGGCATCAGTGGTGTTGGAATCGCGCTTCTCATTCGTCTTGGCACTGCCCTCGCCTACGTAGAATCCAAGATGAGGCTGAGGCTTGGCCGGAGTAGGGTTGAAGTTGGCAGCGTTGGATTCGAAGCATCTTCGCTGAGCGGCGGCCCAATCCATCTTACGGTAGTCGATAGGCGCAGTATTTCCCCACACAGCTTCAGAGCCCTCGTTTTCACCAAATTGACCGATTCCGAGTCCTCCCTCGCGAGGGGAGTAACCGAATCCATAGGGACCAAATCTTCCAAAGCGCTCAAAGCAGACGTCCTCGCGAACCGCGAGGAGGTCATAGGAACCGCCAACATGCTCGGGGAAGCCAGCAACACGGCCTTCATAGAAGCGCAAATTCGGGATTCGGATAGTTTTCTCAGCATTAAGGAAGCACTCCTGCAGACCTTGGGTGTTATTGGCCACTGTCTGGGACCATTCGAGACTCGCAGGAATATCTCGTGACTGAGGCTGCGTCGTAGCGGTGGTTGCTGGTGCTTGGGGCTCTTCATCAAAACGGGGATACTCTGGCTTCCATTGCTTAAAAGGTTGGAGAGTGCGGATACCGCCGTAGTATCGTTCTAAGAAGGGGAACTTCTCCCACATAGGAGGAGGCGGCGGTCTGGCTGGTCGTTTGCCATTGGCAACCTTCCAGTTTTCCACTTGGCTGGCACGGACCAAGCTTAGTATGAAGAGTAAGAGAATACCAATGATGATGAGGGATACATATCTTGCCAACTTTGCCGGTAGGCGATAAGGTGACAGTTTGAGTCTGCTTGGACGGTTGAGTTTTCTTTTGACAGATGAAATGGACGAGCTGGAGACGCTGCGAGAGCTATTCCTCGAGTGGCCAGCACTGGAAGCTTCTGTCTCGTCATCTGAGTAGTAGTAGCTATCGCTTGAATATCGTTCTTTTGTCGGCGATGTAACCTTTTTGTATACAGGCAGTCGGTCCTCGCGCGGCCGGAGCGGATTCGACAAGAGACCCATGATGGAGTTGTGTAATGATAAGAATCAACCTGAACATAGTACGACAATTAGCGGAAGCAAAAACCCCCTCTAGAATATTCTCCTTACCCTTTAGCAGCTCATGGGAAGCTCAGGAGTGTGTCTCAGATGAACAATAGTGGAAAGGCTTCTGGGTGGAATGCTATTTAGCACCAACTCCACGTGCGATACTGGAATGCAAGTATTGCGGCAAATGGTGATAAAGATGTTGAGTGTAGAATCTCGAAATTTGACGCGAAGAAAAATCAAGCTGAGGAGCCGTTGAAATGATTCAAGGTTGAAAGACGCTTGTGACGAGTACTGGTCAGGGTGGCGGCTCAAACAATGACAAGCCGGGTTGGCATAGCAACGCGCCCAGCAGCAAGACCCGAATCCCAGCGCATAGCAGGCATGGTGCCCAACGGCGGATACTGATGACGAATCAAGTCAAGTTATATTTTTATTCGTGGATTTGGACAGGGTCTGTGATTATGAAGATAATTGAATAATCAGCAAACCGCTAGCTGCTTGTCTGTTTTGTTATACACCACTATAGTACATTGATCTTGAGTATCCTATCTCAGCTCTAGCCTGCAATTCTCCTAAACAAAACAAAATCATAAATCCAAGTAACAATGTAAAAGAGAAGAAGATCTTCACGTCTATTCAGAGTCATCATCCTTGTTGTCCTTTGACTTTCTAAACTTTTCCTTTCCGGTGGCAAGCGAGGCTTCGACAGTTCGCCCGTCAAACGCTCGTCCATGCATAGTCTTGATACACGCCAAAGCTGATTCAGAATCTTGAAACTTGACAGTGACGATACCATCTTCTTCCTCATCATATAGCACCACACTCGTGACGGCGCCCAGTTTCGAGCATTCGTCGCGGATGTCTTCCTTGATCTCCAACAGCGCCGCCGGGTCCTCTTCCAGCTCTTGCAACGTAAACATGTGAACCAGAACAACCGTTTTGTCCTTTTTCGAGTTCATTCCCGGTGGTGGTGGTGGTTCATCATCATCCCAGTCGGCCAATTTCGCTGCCATCTTTTGTGTCTTCTTGATAATCTTTTGTCTATCGCTGTTGCTTTGTTTCTTTGCTTGTGCGGCGGCCTTATCTGGCTGCGCGTCGCCGTTTTCTTGGTTGTAATTCATCTTTTTATAGCTTGAGTCAGCTTCTTCTACCGATATTCTTCCCTCTCGAGTACCAGTGGGGGTGATTCGAAAGTCTGTGTCGTCGAGCAGCATCACTGCCATTTGTACACTTTGGGGCTTGAAGAATACGACCAGCGCGTCGCCCTTGAAGTTGCCATTGTCGTCCGAGTACATTTTGATTCTTGGTGCGCCGCTGTCAATCTCTTCCGCAATAACTCCTCCTTTTCGGGAAAACATCTCGTGTATCTCGTCAATGGTTGCGTCAAGTGGAAGACCTCTGACGTAGACTGCCGTGTTTTGTCGAGGCTGAGGCGGCGCCTTTTGCTTTTTGTTGGGTCTATTGGGCTTGGATGGTTCCTACAGGGTGTCAGTAATCATGTGCATATAGTTTATCTGTTTGCGATTGCGTCTGAGGTGTAGAGTTTGCGTACCTGTTGTCCATTGGATTCTGTGTCGTCGTGCCGTCTCTTCGCGCCTGCGCTGTGATCGCTGCGCGCATCTTCTACGGATGCCGGGATGTTGTTCGCACCGTTCTCGTCGTCATCGTCATGCAATGGCTGCCAGACCTTCTGGTCGGCGTCGAATTCGAACTCGGTTCCGTCATCGTGGACGGCAATGAATTTTTGGTCCAACCTCGAGAAGGAGATGCGATCGTCCGCGTCGAACTCCTGGACGTCTGTGGGAAACCCGTGACTGGCCATGATGGCAAAACGCGTACAGTAGATTCGTATTCGAAGCGCAAGCGCCTTACTTCTGGTGATGCCGTTTAGTCGAGGAAGCGAAAACGTTGGGAGACTGATCACCGACCGTAGGCAGCTACAGTAGCCCGCCACGTTGAGTACAGCACCGGAATGGGTCACTGGTGGGGGAGGCACAACAGCAGCTACAGTACCTAGTAAAAACAACACCAGCTTATTTTTTTTTTTTTCAGAAAACAGTATCTGATACGATTGCTACGACGTACAATTAAAATATACAAAGCTCGAGCCTGCTATTTACTTTCTAGCATAGGTTCTACAGTAGGATTCATCGATACTCTCGAGGTAGTAAGTACCAGGCGCCATGCGCTCTACGCTTCCAGTCGGCGTGTAATTCTTGCGACCATACGCCTTTGATCTCAAGGAACAGGCCTGTGACTTCTGTTAGTACCGAATATTTGATGATGCTATGCAAAACATTCTTACCTCTTCGTATTCCTCAGGCGTAGCAATGTAACGACGTGCAAGGCGGTTCATGAGATCGACTTTCTGCACAATTTCCGAGATGTCACCGGTAACCTTGATACCAAAAAGAGTGCTGGCGATGCCGCTTCCGTACTATAATCTCTAATTAGAGCGTCATTCTGATCACCAATAAACAACCAACTTACACTGAACATGCCGATGAGCTTGCCTCGAGCGTCCTTGGCGTCAATATTGCTAAGCAGACTGAGAAGAGAACAGTAAAGACTGGCAGTATACATATTGCCACATTTGCTAGGAGCAAGGATAGAAGGCTCAACGCGCGTCTGGAAAGCCTCCTTGGTCAACGACACAACTGTTTTTTCTAGAATCTTGTTCGTCAATGATTCTTGGTGCTGGAGGTTGAGCAGCTCTTCTGGGATTCCCTGCCAAGCCGCCTCGTCTGTCGACATCAAGCAGTCATTGTACAGCAATCTTCCATAAGATTTGCTCACAAGCTTACAGTTGGGAGTATGAAAGGCCATGTAATCAAAGAGGTCCATAACTCGGCCGGTCTCGTAGTCCGGCTTGACTCCGTTGGTGCTAGTGTTGCTTTTGTCATGTTTTTGTTGAAGACGCTCCTGAAGATTCTTGTAGCAGCCATCCAGGGCGCTAATATAACATCGAATCGACTCATGGCCGTTGACAATTGGATACTCGACCGAAAAGTCAGGCTTATAAAAGTCGTATGCATGGGTCATGTAAGTTCCACGAACGTTTGGCGCTAACGACAACGGCGCGTTAGGGCCAATTAGCATGGCAACACATCCAGCACCGCCTGTGGGACGGGATGCAGTCTCCTTGTATATCGCAATATCCGATGCAACCACAATGGCGTCACGACCATCCCATGAGCGAGATTCCACCCAATTGACAGCGTTGAAGAGTGCGTTGGTACCGCCATAGCAAGCATTGACGGTGTCTATACCTTCCAAACTTGTGTTACCAGCTGGCTCAAACAGCTGAGTAAGGACTGACTTGACCGACTTTGCCTTGTCGAAAGGCGACTCAGTGCCGACTTCCAAGCGTCCGATGGAGTTGGGATCAATATTGTACGTTGACAGAAGAGAAGAAACGGCGTTGAGCGCGAGAGAGCAGACATCTGCTACATGTTAAACGGGATCAGCATATACAGGTACGGAAAGGTAGTAAATACCTTCTCTATCAGTACAATAGTTCATCGATTCAAGCCCGAGGCCAATGGTGTATTTGCCAGCTGAAACTCCCTGGTGGATTTCAAAAAGTGACTGATCCAGGCACTGCGTAGGTTTGTTAGCGCGATGTACGAGTTGAGGCTCGGAGATAGAGCCAACGCAATACCTGAGCAGGCACGTAGATTTCCATGGCCTTGATGCCAACATTTTCAGGGTAAGACATTGTGAGATAAGTGCCGCGCTAGTTTGCGTATAAAGGTCGAAATAGAAGATAGAACAGCTTACGAGTCGTGGAGGGGCCGGGGAGAGAGGCATGGCTGTATTTATGCTGCTCCGACCGTGAAGCAGTCTTCTAGCAGCCCTCCACATCTACTATATTATGAAGGGGCTTACGCAGCCGAATTTAGATTCCCTCTCTGGTACATCGTGTCCGCATCTTGCCGATGGAGATGTCGACCGGATACGTCGTGTTCGCCAAAATAGATGATCTTATTCGGAAATCGGGACCGTTGCCCCGCCTGTCAAATATACGATGTGGCCGGCAGGGGATTAAAATGACTTTCGGTGATATATGCAATGAATAGGCAACCTATCCAGCCTCAAATGGTTTCTATGAATAACGAGGCTGTGAATAGTATAGTTGGTTGGGTTCGTCTTTGCTCGTCTCCTCAAACCCCGAATTGGTGGCGCAGCCTCGTTAGCCGCACTTTATACACGCATATTTCCTATGCCTGTTCTTGATTGCTACATCTACAATTACAGTTAATAGTTTGCACCGAGCCTCAAGTTTTGCGCTCTATCATTCATTTGTATTTTATCACAGTGTTAACCCAACTTCATTCCTTGCGTAATGGGTTCCCTTCTCACCGCACTCTTCACCAGAGTGATGCCAAACCCAGCTTCCCGCCTTCGCAAGGCCTGCAAGAGCGGTACTATTGATGATGTATCTCATCAGTTGACTCTTCAGATGGGTAACTACCAACCTCCGGAACTATTCATGGCTGCAATGGACGGAAATAACTGCCCTGTTCTGGAATATCTCATCACCAACTTTAGAGACGACAAGCCATCGCCGCCGTGGTACACCGACTACAAGGTTATAATGCAGGCTACTCAACGACTAGAACATTTCAAGCTTTTCTGGGCAGCCGATCCTTCTGTCAGCACAGCGTACTTGGGCCATACAGGAAATGCGCTAGGGCTTGTAGTTCTGGGTGGAAATGTCCCTTTGCTGCGCTTCCTACTCGAGGCTGGAGCAAACCCCAACGATGCTCAGTTGATGCACAGACCAGCTGCCAATTTCGCTATTCATTCTGCATGTTCGGAAATTGTGAATCTACTTGTGGATTATGGGGCGAGTATCAAGGAGTCGAATGCGTTAGCTATTGCACTAGACGCGGGCAGGATGGATATTTTAAAGCTCCTGATTGAGAAAGGCGGAATGGATATTAATATTATCCAAAAAGATGCTACATATAGTTATGAAGGCGATAACAATGGGGATGAACCTATTATTAGTGGCACCGTATTGCATCTAGCTATTGCAAAGGGGCAAACAGACGTGGTCAGGGTTCTTTTACATGATTTTAAAGCCGATACTAAGATTGAGGATGACAAAGGCAGAACAGCCTTGCTGGTAGCTCAAGAGCACGGATACCAGGAAATCGTTAGCCTATTAGAACAAGAGAAGTCGGAGTAAACGAAAAGGCCGTCCCTATTCCTATTGCAAATATACAGTTCCGGTGTAAAACATAGTTACCACGAACGGACCGCCCGCCTCAAATTTTATAAATATTTAAAAAAGAATATTGCGACGACGAGCGGGTTATCAGTTAAACTAGCTTCAGCTTGTTGCGTTTGCTCTCATATGCATTATTTCCCTCGCTAGCGCCAACCTGTAGTCGTCCTGATGGATAAATGTTAGCTCTAATATTCTACCACCTGAGCTAGCAAAGCATACCTTAGTTGAGGCATCAGTAAAACTCTGCAACTCAAATTCGCATATTCTCTTGACAAGCTTGTCTAACTCATCTGTGCTGCTTGGGCGGGCACCGCCTAGTTCAATACTATGAAGAAAGTAAGCCAGTGGATCGAAACAAGTCCATGTACACCTGTAGAAAAGATACATACAGATCTATGATTGCGCTCATGCGCTCACGTACAGTAATTGTAGACTGCCATGATGTGGGATGGGGGGGAGAGGTATATCGAGCCATGGATTGGTAGATAACTTGCTGCGCTTGGCGTTTTTCAGATGCACTCAGTTCACGACGCGCGGAATCCGCAGTCTGTACCTCACCCAGACTAGGCTCCCAAAGAGGTGCGACAAGATCCTGATCACGAACCCAGTGGCGGTACGTGTCTCCTCCCGACTGTGCCATTGATTGTTTGCTGGCCACTATTATTTCTTGCCATTCTGAGCTTGGACTGTCTTTTCGTTGCCGCTTTTGAGACTTTTGAGCTTCCAAAGCTTTTCCTTTACCTTTAGTCCGTCGCCTGAGTGCTCGCTGTCGGTCCAAAGGACGCGGTTTACAGTCGTGGCAGGAGTGTGCAAAGTCTTCCCTAGTAGCCTCTTCTTGATTGTCTGGATAGAAGCACTCTATGTGCTGCCATGTATCACAAGTCTCACAGTAAATTATGTCGCCATCATCGTCAGGACGATTACAAGGGCACTTGATCTTGCCCCCTTCCTCTTCTGCGTCGCTTTCCTCGTTCGCCAGATCTCTCATGCGAAGTGTCTCCGATGCATTGGCACCTCTGGGTTGGCTGGTGCTAGTAGTGGTATCATCTTCTGCTTGCTCTGATGCCTGTTCTACTACTCGCCGTTTGTTTGATGCCATGGTATCGTCGTGTTCCTCAGAATCCGTATCGCTATTAGTCTCATAATACTTGTCCGAGTCTGAGTACGACACCGGTTCGGGGTCAACCTGAGCTTTCAGCCAACGGTTGTGAAATTCTTGTATTGATTCTTCATGGCTCTCGTCGCCACCAAGAGATCCGGGTATTTTGCTGACGGGGTTATTACTGAGCTTAAATCTTTCATCGGGTTGTGCTTGTCGCATGCGTTGCCATCTGCGAAGTGCTTCTTTAATTTTGTCTGGTGGCATGGAATTGAGGCGCCCTGCTTGCTCAGGAGTTATGGCAGTCATCATATTATCAAAAGAGACAATATCTGATGCCGCATTTGCGCTTGCTGAGATTTGCAGACGTGCATTTGCTATGTTATCTGCTTCTCCAGGGGCGATATGACTGTCTGAAGCTAACAACCCTGCTTCTCGCTTTCTTCCGTCGGCTATGTCAACAAAGGTAGACCATTCCGGATGGTCACTATCTTTCCCTCGCATATAATAGTTTTTGACCATGGTTGCAGTCTTGGTACCCAAATAGGTGGCAATACCAGGCCAGTCTGATCCAAATCTTCGGAGAAGATGGGGAAAACCGTTACTCTCAGATACACTCCAGTAACTTGATGGTAGATTTGGTGGCTGTTGTGATGGCTGCGAGGGCTGATGCGCTTGTTTGTGACTAGTTGACTGGCTGTCCCTATGCTTAGCTAGGGTGTTTTGGATATATCTATATGCCATCGAGTTGGTATAATCCATTTCTTCTGTTTCTCCATCGGCTGTTGTATACACGGCACCTGTACTAGTGCTACTGCTGGAGCTTTCGGCTTTTTGAAATGCGTCAAATGCTTGCTCGTCATCACCATCGTCACCATCATCACCATAGTCATCTTGCGTGCCCTCCATAACAATGTCGGACTTGGCTGCATTGTAGCTGCTCTCATTGGAGAATTCCGCATCTCTAAGAGTGCTTCTACTCAAAGGTTGCGATACCGTGTGACTATTTTCATCGATTTCCATATCTTCAATTGCCTCTTGATATGTTGGAAGAGATTTGAGAGCCAGAGATCGCAGGTGTCCCGTAATGTGATGCTCCAAATCACCGTCAATTTCGTTGGCATCCTGTCCACAAAGAGGGCAAGAGGAGAACAGATTTTGTTTCTTCCTGCCGTTTCTATTTGCCAGAATACGGAGCTGAGCATCGCTTAGATTGCTGTTGTGGACGGCTCGGATATGTTGAATAAACTCGTCGCCAGTGGAAAAAGCCCCCAGTTCCGGATGAGAAAGGCACCGCCAGACTTTGGCATGTTCTTGTAAGTGATCGCGCCACTCTTCGCTGTGACTATACAGTGTATCGGGGTGAGGACAGTCCTCAAATAGACAAATGTATGGATCCAAGTCATTTTTGACATGTCGGCTTTTAGAGTAGTTAGCCTCGCTTGTTGTATCAATAGATGGATAATATTATAGATCGTAATACGTACTGCCAACTCTGTTCATTTAACACCTCCTCCGCTGGAAGCGCATAGAAGCAATATGGACATGGGATTTCGCCTATATCCTGTAAGACGGCTCGCAATGACTCATTCAGTGCGGCGTTCGCTTCCAGCTTTGGTTTCCCAAGCTCAACGGCATGACGGTAGTCTTCCAGGAGGCTTTTTTTAGTGGCGTTATATTTTTGTTTAATTGCATAGCCAGGTGCTATAGGAAATGCAAGGGATTCATGGCTTCCTAGTGCCACCGTTTTGCTTGCCGAAATAACAGACGGATTTAGAGCCGCCATTTTGAACTTTGCCGGTACCAAAGTAGTAGCACTCATGACTTGAGATTGCACAACAGTACCTTCTGCGCCAATATTTCGTCGACCCGATCGTTTCTTGTCTAAGGCCATTTGGGCGGATGGTAGAGTAACTGGTGCTTGGGCAACTGTCTCTAGAGGTTTGATAGCGGCAGCCCCTTGACGCTGCCGTCTATAGAGTACTCTTTTTCGCCGAAGCAGCATTGCACTAGCAAGTCGCTTTTGGATAGTTTCACTACAACCACGAAACCGATTGGCGATGTAATATTCAAAGTTAGCGAGAAGTGTAGGCTCAACATCGTTGCCCTCGTCATCGAGCATTCGAAAGTTGTTGGCTCGGAGATTTTGCGTGTCATTTCCTGCCCTTCGAATGGTATTGGTCAGCTTGTTGAGATGGCTGATTTCGGTAGCAATGTTGGAGAGGGACTGTTGTACCTGTGTGTTTGCTTCGTACACAGGGATTGTTGCGACGGTTTCTAACACACTCGTGCCTTTACTCAGTCGGTAAGTAGAACACAGAAGTATAAAATAACTTGGAAGAAACCGCCTAGAACTTTTTCTTCTTGTTTTTCCCATGTTGATCGAATGGCTAGTAAGACATACAGGAACGAATGCGGTAGTTCAGCCCATCCAGCAGGCCGGTGACCACCTTGGATACGTCTGGCGTGTAGCGGAGGCGGTGATCCATTGATGCTCGCCCAGAGCCAAAGACGCCAATACTGGTAGCCCAAGTAGAGAATCTAGCCAGCTGATCATCTACTAGGGAGAGTTCGCGTGGGTGAATGTTGGCGGCTGCTTGAAGACATTGTTGGAATGATATGAGGCTTTGGTTGGCGGACACAGCAATGCTTGGTACAGCAGTAGTGGGCAATCCTGCTGTGCCGCCCTCTTCTTCCATCGTTTCGATATCGTGGATCGGTATTATCTGAGCATCGTTACATTGTCTATACGATCTTATTGGTGATATCGTAATGGAGTAGCTTTAGGAAACTGTTGATGCGACCGTTGGTTACGGAACGGGCCGCTGAGAGCTAACGGCGGGGGTGGCGCGTCGAAGGCTGACAATGTCAGACAAACAACCCCGGCGATAGCCTTCTAATACTATGAATTTGCCGACTATTTCCCAACATATCCGGTTTCGTAATTGCGAGATACAGTAGTAAAAGACCTACCCATTTCTGCTGTCAGCAATAGAAAGCCATGGCAAATCGCGAAAAGTTCTACTTTTACCCCCCAACATGGGACTTCCCCCCTGAAGGTCCTCTGAAGTTGGGCAATGTTCTGTCGTCTATAAAAAAGCCAGAGCGGCCACTTTGCTGCTTGAATCCGTCAAATGATTGTTCCATCTTCAGCACCGAGCAACAATCCGTTAAGCTCACCAACGACCAGCAACAGCATGGAAAGCTCTCAGTATCGACCAAGATTATGAGCATATTTGGCCTCTCTGTTGAAGCATCTCCCAATCTCCAACACAAGTGAGTTCACTTGTTAAATAGCAATGACGCTTCAAATTTACTGATACATTAATAGAAACGAAGAGACATTTGCGTTTGACAGAATGAAAACGACCCAGTTCACACCAACTCCAGGATACTTACAAGCCTGCATCGACACAGAGAGCGTTCACCGGTTCTTAGGCGCAACTCGTTATCGAAAACCAGTCTATATAATCACCGGCCTAAAGATTGTTACCGGAGCTCAGGCAGCTACGCTGAAGTCTCGTTCCAAGGGATGCTCAGTTGGTGTTGAAATCGATGCAACTGTCTATAGCGGCGGTATGATACCACTTGGCGGAGGCCCATCTGTTGAGGTACAGACAAGAAAATCGGCTAGTACAGCATGGGAAAATTCTGGTGATTTTGTCTTTGCATATCGTGCTATTAGAGTGGTTGTGGCCAAAGCTACAAACCTTGTACAGAGCGAGGACGACTATCGCAAAGGGGCCATGCTTGGGAATGAGGAGATAGAAGAGCATAGAAGACCGGCGTTAGGGATAGCCAATGTCGATTGGCCAGATATAGAGATGCATGGGTATGACACGGAGCAGTTGCTTGATGATGCTGATGTGCTCTATTGTACAATTCCTAGAGAGGATGACGACTAAGTACACTGGAGAGTGCGCAATAAATAAATCAATATATACATACATACACATTCGAATCCGCCTCCACTACTACTTTTTTAGTACATTTCTGATTTCATGGTTTGCCCATTCCAATCCTTGTCCAAAGAGGTTATGTTTATGCAAACTGAGCTGTACGCAAAAATAGTCGTCCCTCGGTTTATAGTTTGGCCCTCGCTGAGCGCATCTCTTCAAAAGGGCTTGCATTGTGCTTTTTCGCTTCAAGGATAAGGCCTCAGCTTCTGATAAATGCGCCCGCGCATATTGAAGCAAGAAAGCTGAGATACCCGCCATAATTGGTGTTGCGTACGAGGTGCCTGACCTAGACACAACGTAGTCGTCATCTTGTACTTTCGCACCACTGCAAAGAGCTATTGGCCACGCGGCTTCAATAGATTGACCGACAGTCGCAATATTGATGGTGTTTGGCTCAGCGGTCGGACTAAAGTCGGATCTTGAACCATTGGTGTTGGTGGAGTGTACGCAGATTACCTCCGAGCTGCTGGACGGATATGCTCGACCAAGTCGTCCGCCGTTATTTGATGCAGCAGCAAACATGAGAACCTTCTGATCGTAAGCATGATCGATGGCTGATTGAACGGCTTGGAATCCCTCAAAATCGGATGACGGCCACCCAAACGACATGGATATAATATCGACTCCCCATTCGTCTGTTGCAAATTGGATAGCCTAGAAATGTCAGCATCGCCAATAAAGCAAGAAGCCAACGGCTGATACATACTTCTGCTACAATATGTCCATCGGGGATAGTGTTCTCTTTGCCTATGATCTTGATAACATAAAGCTCAGCATCTGGGGCGTAGTCAAGAATCAGGTTGGCTGTGAAGGTCCCGTGTCCGTTCCAATCCGCCACGCTCTTTTTGTTAGAACTGTCGTGGAAGTTGCGCTTGCCTTTGATTCTATCGTCACAGTTGTCTAATCTGACATGGTTTCGATCAATGCCTGTATCAAGAATGGCGATTTTAACGTGCTGTGTAGTAGTTGGTGGAATGAACGCTTCATATACTTTTATGTATTCAGCTTTCCATGTTTGATATTTCTTTGTTCTATGTTTCAATGAGTTAACATAGAGGCGTTCATAACGGTACGGAATTGAGCTTGTTAATACGTACTCTGCCACAGACACATCATGGCCATCGACTTCATCATCAAAGAATTGAGATATACGGTAGTCCGAGGCGGCAATCGGCAAAGGGGTTTGCTCAGGAAGCAGATGCGGAATGATATTCTGGAATGGGGGATATAATGACACTCCGGGTATAATAGTACCGGGTCCAAAATATCCAACTTGACCATAGGCTTGCGCCGTTTTCTCTAGTGGCAAAGTGGATATAGCTGGGCTTGCTGAGCGTCTTGTAGCTGAAGCTAATCGAATACTGCGTCGATCAGCTCTTTTGTCAGTCATATCGTGTCCCCAATTCATAAAATCCAAGGATTGGGCATATTGATCAATATTTTCCAACGGAACATCTTGAAAGGCATAGCTCAAATCACACTCGAGCAAAAATACAACCGTCTGGTATATATTCGTTCTGAGTTCAATACTGTCCCAAGGTTGACCGATATCATCTTGCCACAAGGAGATATCCAGACAGTTTTTGATGGCCTCGGATAGTGGCGACCTTGGGGGCATATCTTTAATAACTCCTCGCACACCACTCTTCTCATCACCGTGGAACAGCAGCTCGACATCAAGTTGGGAGATGGGGCCATCGGGATCTCCAAATAGATCAACACCGTGCTCTTGAGCGATCCTCTTGAATGGCTTCGCATAGTACACCTCCATTAACACTGCTGCCAACGAAATGAGAGCTGGACAACAGTGCTCACCACAGTTGTCATGACTATTGGCCTCAGCATCATCACTATGAATAGCAAGACTGATATCTGACGGATCACTGGGATCCATCGAGGGCAGCTGTGTCTGAATAAACGGTCTTAAGGGGGTTTTTGATTTAGTTGTCTGAAAGAATTTAATATTTTCAGAGCTCCACCCCGACTGTAGCCATGGAGTGCCTTGGAGATGTATAACTGCGTAGCCCAAAAGAAGAGAGAGTATTCGCTTAGTCCGTTCAGAGAAGCATCCGCGTCCTTCCTCCAAGTATTCAGATAAAGCCATTGGTTCGACGTTGGCATCTATTGGGAACGTACTTCTTTCGAAGCCCATGTCGAACAGCGTGCCCTTGGTGAGTTTGAGCACCAACCGTCGCTGCATGTTCCTTTTTGTCATAATAATTGGCTTACAAAGGCTCTCAATCTGTTTTGAAGCTCTCTTTTCGAGTACCCTCTGTCGCTTTTTCGGTGGTGAGTCATCCTGGACGGCAAACGAGACAGTCCTATCATTTGCTGCCTGAACACGGACTTCCTGCAAGCCTTGGTCCATGGAGAGGAACATGCCTAGATCAACGTCCCCCGCCTCTAAATCGCATTGCGCTGGTTGCTGTTGGGATTGAACCGGAACTCGCTCCTCCGTTTCTATATTTGATCGCCGATAACTTCCAAGTTGGAGTTGCGCGCTGAAGTCATGTTGCCCAGGACAGGCACATTTACAGCTATTGAGAAGTGCGTCAAAGGTCGATCGTGCTGCCTTGTGGATTTCGTGTGGTGGTTCGCCGACATTAGATGGTTTAGATGGCTTCACTGGAGCAATGTCTGCAGGGTCGGACTGCTGCTTTTCGAAGGCGTCGGCGCAAGCCTGTAACGTCGCCTCGATGGTCTGTCGCTCTGCGCTGGGTCTCAGCCATTGCGCTACAAATGCCCGTTTCGCTTCTGGGTCCTGTTGTAGTATTTGTAGCCAGGATGAATTTATATTCTCCAGCTGTTCTTCCAGAGGGCTGGCGTTGGCAAATAAGGAGCCCAGTCGCTCGATCGTCTGTTGGATAAGCTCACCGCACGCTTGCGTCGCTCTTTCGTCGAGATGGCCTGAACAGGACTGTATTCGTAGGCAGATAGCGGTTAGATGGCAGTAGAATATTTTATTTTCGAAATCAGCATCGTGTTCGCGAGCAATGTCGGCCATCTGCATAATGGTTTGGGCGGTCTGCGCTAGCAATCCCCCGCCTGAGCCAGCATCGGCGGCCAGTGTCATTGTATCTGCTGTGCTGACCAAGTACCGGAATATACTTGACAAGTGTTGTACATGCCCATATATTCACCAACAAGGCTGGTGTTCCCGCGCTATAGTTCCCCGCCAGTGGTATGTCAAAGACAGGTTAAGCGCCGGGCTGAGCCGCTCGGGTGGCGGGCTTTGTTATGTCACCCGCTTCCATATTGAGTGAGGCTGACAGCGCAAAAATGGGAAAGAGGTATTCGTTATAAATGCTTTTGTGAAGAAAATAGCAATGCTATGTAATATTATTATTTAATTCAATTTGATTCTCAAGATTCATAGCGCATTAAACCTTTATAAAAAACAGTTGACGGATATAGAGCTTATATAGACTACTACTGTTAACTGACTAACTTGTCTACAAATATCATTTAGTCGCTAGTGTTTCACTCTCTGCTGCACCCTTAGGATCGTTACTCTTACGACGACGATGGAAAAAACTATATAATTAGCATGGAGGCGCATCTTAATGGAAGGGATTGAAAACTTACATGATTGCTGCCGTGATTGCAACCAGCAATGGAACACCCAGGCCAACACTCAGCCCAATTATCAGCTTGTTGTTTACGCCGCCAGTTGACCCGCTGATAATATCTCCAACACTCTTTGGTGATGTTGTAGGTGTTGGTACAAACGACGTTGGTTTGCCTGATGACGGGGCTATGGTAACCGCATTTGCACCAAACTCTACCGGCACTGCTCGTGTTGTCTTGGCCTGTTGAACAGTCCACACTACATCGGCGCCAGCGGGAACACTTGTAGTCAGCGTCGTCTTGATGATGTTTGTAGACAAAGTCATCAATGATGCAGGGCAATTGATGAGTTGTGATGCGCAACCGAGGGCCGAATATGTGTATTGCGTTTTTGTTGTCGTAGTGGACAAATCAACTCGGTCCTTGAGTATTGGCGTTGGCGTTGCCGTTCGTGTCTTGGGAGTAATACAAGCTGGTTTGAGGCTGGTATAGTAGAGAGGAATTTCAGTCTTGGGAACAGGCCCCCATATGTGATCAAAGAGTTGCACTGAGGCTCCAGCTGCGGCGCCAATAGCGAATTGATAACCTTGCTCCACAGATACTTTACACTTGTTCTGATCGTCAGACATATCGGCCGCTGTGACGTTCGTAGTAAATTCCGCAATGTTAGCATAGACAGAGGCCTCAATGCCAGACATGAGTTTGAGATCAGACATGGTATGGTTGAGGATCTCCACGGGTTGGCTATAGTCGATTCCAACGGTGAAGCCCGTCTGTACACCGAGACGCAAGACGGCCTTGAGGACGACAGAGCTAGTCTCGATCGTTACTGGGAGAAAGTCGAATTTTCCGCCACGGCTACACTATTAGTTTAGCTTGTCATGTATAGAGCGCAGTGAAGAAAACAACAACGTACAGGTCGATATGGGACGCTTCATCGGCAAACAGGGTGATGTCTATCAGGGCCCGGTCAAGCTTTATGTGGAAACCTGTACTCAGGTCAACCTCGGTCTCGGTAGATAGAATCAAGTCCAAATTAACAACCACGCCCACAAGCACGTTGCCAACCTTGGCACCCAACAAGGATTTCGAAGAGTAGAGATTGAGTTTGTAAGTGAGGCTTGAGGAGAGGACAACTCCTAGTTCAGCGTACACATCGAGATCTTGGAAATTGATTTGTAACTTTGTGTCTGGCGCGGTGACAGGGATATTAAAGTCAATCTGGGGTGCAGGCAGGTGGAAACCTTGCAGGCTTCCAAGATCCAAATGTGAAATAGACTCAAGGCTCGTCCCAACAAAGTGTTGAACTTCGTCGGCTAGCACCGAGGTATATTTCTTGATGTCGCCAAAGGTCTTGTTGAATGCATTGGCGGTAGACTGTGTGAATTGAGTCGCGTTGAATGGTTCGCTGGAAGTGAGTTTGACCTGAGCAGAGCCCAGGACGTAGCATTTTGTGCAGACGATTTCGATTCCCTTTGAAAGGGTAGTTGTTGAGCTGCCGTTTTTGGTCGACACCTCATTGGAGCTACTTGTGTTAGCCAGGTCACTGAAGAACCATGGAAAAGTTGCGAAACTAACTATTTAAACAGCGTGAAGTCCTCCAGAGCAGAGTTTATCGAGGTACGTTTGTCCAGAATGACGCCATCTGCGGCACGGTGGTGTAGATATCGAGCAATGTCACTGAAATCACTATGCGGTTGAACAGAAGCAGATGCAGAAGCAATTGGCCCAAGGGCCGTGACCCAAAGTAAAGCAGCCAACGACAACATGGCTTAGTGAAAAAAGAAAGACAGTGCAAAAATATTAGAAGAGCCGCGCGGAAGGAAAGATTGGGCGTCGCAACATGGTTATGTATTTGCTACTCAAAACACAGCCCCAAGACCCTTCGCAGAGACTACCTAGAGCGTAACCACACCATCTTTGCGCATTTGCTTGTCACATACATGCATGCAGTCAGGCCGTGGCGTCGGCACGCGCCGCTGCAGGGTTGTCCATCTCAGACTTTGGTTTGCGACAGTCACCCGCGGCCCCGGGACGAGAGAGTCATTCAGCTGCCGTTTCATGTCCGCTGCGTAAGAGAGACCCTTTGTACGCCATCTGCAGAATAGAGAGCAAATCATCGAGTTTTGATACACTAGAGAGGAGCGGGAGGTAAGATCCGTCCAAGTCTTAGACCGAGGTGAAACAAGGTCAGTGCGTGCATATACATACAGCTTCACAGCCTGACTAGCTATCAAGACGGGCTCAGAGTTCCGGGGGGGGGGGGAAGTTGTATCACTAAAAACCCCCCCCCCCCCCCCTAAAAAAAGAAACGACAAAGAGGGAACAACAAAAACACGCAATAATGCAGCGCCCTTTTTTGCTGATCGCTTTGGGTTGGTTGATGACCTACGTGAACCTCTATACTTGGACTAAGTGTTAGCCAAAGCGTCAACTACACCACCGATCGGCGATGGTCACTAAGCAGCTTGCCATAACTGGGGCGCAATAGCTACTTTGTTCACTATACCGTACAAAGCAGTACAAAGAATTAAATATTGATTGAATTTAGCGTCAAATATAACGTGGAATACGTATCTACTCCTTTGGCTCCGGCTGGCTGCAGAGGGGGGAAATGGCAGATGCAAACGTCTGCAAGTAAGTTGACATAGCTCTATCTAAAAGTACAACGAGATTAGTCTTTGAGAATTAAATTAATAAATATAAGCATTTGAAACTTACAGCTTCTGACGTTATTGTTCAAGTTCATCTGCGCGTACAGAGTGCGGTTCTAGAAAATGCTGGTTAGTTACCTGTAACTAATTGTGCACGGGTTCAGCCTACGTTGTCGTCGGCACCATCTTTGAGCCAGGATAGAACACTTTTAGCCTCATCAACCGTGGAAATGGAAACGGCCGGCATAGCGGCTATGCAATCGCCAAAGGATGAAATGTTCGCTGTTTGGGTTTGCTCAACTTCTTCTCTAGCCTGTCGGACGGCTTCTAGTTCTGCCCCAAGCTCTTCTTTTTCCTTGGTCTTTGCCGCAATATCACTCTTAAGACCTATATTTATATTAGTATGTGATGCTAGGAAGACTCCAGCAGGGGATCCTGTTCTGTCTTACTGTTGATTCGGTGAACGAGAGCCGTCGTCGCAGCCAAACTCAATCCAGAGATGAGCAGCCCGCCAATCTTTGGACCAACCAATGATGTGTCAGCATGTCTATACGTTATAATAGGATGGAAAATCTGGCGACTTGCGTACCGCAATAAGCCCACTATAAGGCGGGAATGCTGCACCAAGCGCCGTCATGATCGGTGCAACGCCTTGTGACAAATGGGTCATAGTTGCCAGAGATGTTTCGGCTTCACCCAGTTGTCTAGCAAGGGAAACAAGCTGTTGTTTAATTATCCGAATCTTTTCAGTTAGTTCTCCTTCTTTATCTTCGCTCCACTGGAGAAATTCGGTGGTGAATACGTCGAGAGACGTCGTTACTCGCGTCAGTTTGTCAGTGACGCCGGTGCTAGCGCTTTGTAGCTCCTCAGACGTCTACGTAAGAACAGGTCAAAAGCATTAGCGCAGGCAATTGAGCTTTGAAAAGAAAGATGCTTACCTTAATATACTTTTCCAATTTTGTGATCCTTCCTGCGACAGACGCACGAGCGTCGTGGGCATACGGTAGTTCGTTACTGTCCAACACTTTACACAATGCCACCATGGTTAGCAAACACGACTCAGCGAACTGGCGATGTTATAAATAACGTCAAAGACATACGTGCAACGCTCGCCGCCATTTTGGCCGCTACGCTTCGGCTTTCATCTACGGTGTCTTGGAACCCCTGATAAGAGATATGTTAGATACCGCAACAGGAAACTATGTTGATACACATTTGAGAAACTAACAGACTTGATAGTAATGAATTTCGATTCAAAGCTGGGTCGTGAGTGTTGGTCGACTTTTGCCAGCAAAAACTGGACTCTATTGAACGAGTGACTGACATTTGCTGCAACCTGTGACGCCGCATTTGCCGAGAGGGTCAGAAACGGAGTCATTTCAGGGGAGCTGGATGTCTCTGTTGCAGCCATAACGTATTGCTTTGTATCATTTTCGGTCTTGAGAGGGAAGTCTTTGCTGTGGTTGGCTGTTAAAATCTCCAGTTCCTCCGCAGACAGGCAATCTGCCACGTCCAAGACGGCTTTGGGGTCGCGAGTACCGCCGACTAAGCCATTGAACTTGTTCACAACATCCTCGTATGAGGGAGGGGCATCGGTAGGGAGACTTGACATGGTTAAAGCGAAGAACTTAGTGCTAAAATACTGTAGTTAACAAAGTACTCTCTGTTGTTCGGTACACCAGACGCTCTGTTTCGATTGTTGATTCGCCTACTTTATACCAAGCCGCTTCTAAAGTTCAAGCAATCATTTAATACGCGGAATAAGATCTTCACCGGCCCGTGTCTTGGTTGTTGGCGCCCCTGGTGCATGGATCAGCTGTAGCCATGTTCGCTCTAGACCCCAGGTCTGGTTGTCATGTCGCCACCATTATGCCGGCACATTCATATCGTTTGACCAGAAACACCGTAAACGAGGTTAATACGGAAGCAGATATGTTGATCGGGCGTACTTGGCGTTGATAAGCTGAAGTCTTTGTTGCGAATGTTGTCTATCAACCCCGCCTGAGAGGCGCAGAGTAGGCGAAGTGCAAGCGCAGGGCAGGCTTGCATGAAGCATGGACTACATTGCAGATGCCGTGCCGCTTTTGTTTTCAGCCGTTGGAATTGGGTCGAAATGCTAAGCGAAGAGATAGCTACACGTATTCAGTGGATTTAAGTTGCCGTTAGCCGTGGGATGTAGTTGATGGAAGAACTAGGTTGGCAGCTGCTACCGTTTCCCAGTATTCACATATTTCGGTCAACAAAAAATTCTAAATTATTTACAGGACATTACTAAATACAATGGCATCAGAAATCGAATCATCCACACTGGTCTCATCCATTCGCGAACAGCTTGGTGCGGACAAGTATGACGCTCTCATTGCCAACAGTTCACCCAGTGAATATCTGGAAGCTGGCAAAACCCTAACATGGGATTCTATCAGGCCAGTTCTTGACAAGCTATCCAAAATTATTCTGAATACGGAACAACAAAAATTGTATACAAAAGGTGTAGCGACCACCATGTGCAGTGATACGACTCCCTCAACCCAAGACACTGGTAGAACGCTTCGTGCGCTCTGGGACCAGGCTGGTTGGGCTATTGTGGAGGGAGTTGAACATTTCGTTGGCGTTGAACCTCAGCATCAACAATTATACGATTTGTCTCATGTATGTATAAGCTACTATGTGGAACTGCTAGCCTAACAGCGTGTAGAGAAATGGGCTTATCGTCCTTGATAGCGGATGGACGGCAACACAGCTCATCAAATATTGTCGAGGTAAGAAATAATGACCTATTTTACCGATAGAACAGTGATAGACTAAGTTAAGATGCATAGCCTTCGACAACAGGATCGTCCCGCTGTGTCTCGATGAAAGCATACCCGTTGAAGAGAAGCTGAAAGCTGTTGAACAAATGGAAGTAGTATGCTCTCATTGTGGTTCTAGTCCATTGGAAATAAAAGCATATTAACCGTGATTCATGGCGAATAGGAAGCAATTCTCTTGGCCGGTTACAGCCAGATCAAGAATGCTCAATTCACCAATGTCAACACAGTGTATCAAACCGCCCTTCTCGGAGAAGCAAAGTCTGCTGCATCCTCGGCTGGTATTAGTCCAGAAACCTTAGTACAGCAACTTCTCCCTGAAGTTGAATTGCATTCGTTCCCTTTGACGCAGGCAACCAACATGCCTGGTCTTTTGGGGGCTCATGTTCAGGTATACCCAAGTATGACGATGAGTTAGATTCCGCGGATTGCTAACTTAGAGTTTATTTATTACAGATTGGTGGGCTTTTGGCAGTAGGAACTGTTGAATGCAAACTTGCTAGTCTTGTCTTGAGTGCCGCGGCTCATGCTATGGGTAGTCGACGCGAGGTCAAGGCGACTCAGGGCCAGACGCAGGGCAAAAAACCAATTGATATTCCAGCACGCATCAGGGACGTTGAAGATTACACTACAACGTTCAGGAAGTACTGGCGTTTTACTACAGATGACGCCAGAGCCATTCTGTCGTGGTTGAAAACTGGCGCTGCCCTTGTAGTAAGATCAACCAAATCGTCGCAACAAGATTTTATGCACCGGCCACTAATAATACACGACTAGGACTTGCCTCCTTATCTATGGTTGGCACTTAACGAGGGGAGTAAACTCTGTAGGTCACGCTTCTTAATTCCTCACCTGATTCAATAGACTAACGAGTTGCTCCCGTACAAGATCTGCAAATGGCAGACTACTTGGACAAATATGTCGACCTGACAGCAACTGAGCATCCAGAAAGTCTTCGTCAAGCAGAAGATGAAGATCCAGTAAATGCTGAGATTTCCAAGCTTCTGAGGTCTGGGTTTGCCGACAGTCTTAAGAAGTATAGTCGAGCGTAGTGCGGAGGCTAGGTCATGGATTCCTGGCTGCAGAGGCCCAAATACTCAAATACTGCATGTTATCCCTCTAATTTGAATCTTAACAGAATGAATAATCACCACAAATTGAATACTACTTGAATTTTTAGAACCTTGATGAGAAATTTAATACAGAAGGTAAGCAAAAGTTACAGGTAAACTCGTTTATCGTCAATCTTTCAAATATTCTTTAATAAATATTATAAAATTACGTTTTCTATCAACCCTTTTTAAAACATCATGTGTAGTGTAAATAATTTACATTTATCGAGTTTTTAGATGATTATTACATACAAAGTTTGTTTAATATATATTTGGAATTTGTTTGTTGAAACACGGACTACTTGTAACTTTGTTTACTCCAACTATGAGTTCTCCTATCAGTCGGCAACTACTAGTCATATCCTGTAATAATTTACCACAGATCATATGATTTATACTGCATGCATTACAAATGGTGACGTGTCTTTCATACGCCTTGGTAAACGCCATGCGGTATCCTCCGTTCCAAAGTTGATCATGACATCGCCTAAGCGACATATTGATATCCTCAACCATGACCTACGCGGGCTGATAAATTGACATACAGAATATGCAATGCACTCATTCTGCATGTTTTTGATCGTCTTTAGCCCGTCAAAGCGGAGGCGGTATCATCCGAACAAAGCTGAAGACGTCGCTTACAGCATAGATGGCAAATGTCAGCACTCCTTGTTTCTGATCTGAACTTGTGCCGCTGATAATTTTGTATTTATCTTAACAGATGTGGATATCCCTTACCAATCCTCTTTTTTGAGTAGTATTCTAGACTTTTGAAGCCCTCATACCTTCACCATGTCGACCACGGCCGCTCCCCCTTCATACTCATCTGGCGCAGCTCCCCCATCTTACGAGAGCCTCTTGAAAAGACTCAATGATGAAGTAGGACCAAATCCTACTCCTGAGAAATATCTCTCTGTCTCTGAATCATTCACCCCTGAGGAGATCAAGATCATTGCTGAGAATAGCCCTGAGGAACCACCGCCTATCGACACTCCAGAGCAGAAGAAACAATTCAGAGTTGCAGCTAGCAAAGGAGTCTCTGCCAAGGTTACCGAAGATGCTTTGAAAACAGCGGCGGAAGAGGCTACCGAAGCTGCTCAAGTACTGCGTGACTTATTTCGGAGCGCGCATAATAAGATCCTTGAGATTGACCAGATCGTGGTGTCTGGGTTCGAACCTGACATGAGGCGATTCAAAGATGTAAGAGACACAGTCCAGAGAAGCTACATCTAGAAGAGAAGATATTGACCCCAATAATAAAGGAATACGAGAAAATCTTAGACGGTAGCCGTGCCGTTGCCAACAATATCAGCACGTTTGGCTTGCGTATGTGTCTGCTCCCTCGCCGCACCATCTGCCCAGGCTCATTAACCTAAACTGCAGAATTTGACACCATGATGATTCCGCTAGCACTCGACGACAAGGTTCTGCTCGAAGCAAAACTTCGTGTCATTGGCCTGTTCGTATCTGTAAGTTTCATCCATTGTATATCCTGGTGCTCAGAAATAACCCGTCTAAAATAGCAAGCGCAATCCCACGGCAATGCTGCAAAAGAGGTACAACGTGACCTACGAACGTTGCAAACTGCCTTCATTTCCTTCGTACCCCGATTCGACACATGTGCTCAAGCTCGTGAAGGCAATTTGGAGCAACAGATTACACTTCTTCGTCGCTTGATAGGCGATCTTCAAGTAGACATCGCCAAAATAGAGAAGAAGATCCTGATTACACAAGCCGCCATGGGTATCTCGGGTGGTCTTATGGTGGCAGCTTTGGCCGGTGGCCCAGTGGGATTCATCGTAGCAGTACGTGTGGTTTCTGCTCAATTCATGCGCGAGAGATTAATAGCTAACACAATGGCCAATACAGGCATTCGGGTTCCTAGGCGTTGCGGCATCGGCAGCAGTGCTGGTTGGTCTCTACAAACATCGTTCTAGTAAGTTGGAGGATTTCTCGTCCAGCTTCCCTCTCAAATCAACCACCAACACCAAGACTAACCACATGAAGATCTTCAACGTGAAATCAATGAAAATGAACGGAGAATTGAGGTCATTGCACGCGAAATAGCCCTGATACAGAAGACAAGAAGCGAGCTGATGGCGCTTCGAGATGAGCATATAACCATTGTCAATGATAACATAGCCATGCTGGACAAATTCTGGCAGTTTGTGGTTGCCGATGCAGAGTATTTGCTGGCATATTTGGAAGGCGCTGGGGATATTGAAGTAAGTTATTCAGTCTTGTCAAAGACGGTTTTGCTCACGGATTTGAAACTTAGATCCCTGAATACGTCGATGATTATCTCCACGAAGGTGTTAGAGTCTGTAAGTGTTAACCCTGTTGATTTAATATGGTGTCGCGGTGAACTAACGATGGGCCTGTGCGTTAGATACGGCAATGGCAAACCACATCAAAGACTACGGCCGAGGCATTGCTGGCGTCTTGGGAGAACCTGTTTCCGACACTGCCACTGACTAGATTCGTCAGATGTTTGCAATGTCACTGTCAACAGTCAAGATAAGCGGTGGATGAAATTTCATCAGACTGGTCATGATCATTGTCATTCTATGCATAAGTTTTGGTAATAAAGCCTTAGTTCCAACTCTCTTCGTAATGCGTGCGTAGTCTATTTTTTGCTCTGCTTCATATACTCCTTTGCTGTCTTTGTGACAGCTTCAACAAAAGCCTGAACTGCTTGTCCGCCTCCCAGAGGCATGCCACCTTGTCGTATATAACCTCCATTCTCTACTTCGACGCCCAAGGCGCCAGCAACACTTGGGAGTCCACCGTCCCGTAGGGCCATCGTCAATGTCCCGAGACCTTGGCTGAACTGAGGGCTGCGTAGAACCTTCTTTATCAGACCGCGTTTACGGTCAATAGGCATGTTCTCTTTCGCTTCCTCCACTTCAGCTGGATCGGGCTCGGATCCAGATTCATCTGCTTCGCCATTTGCAGCCAAGAGAATGATAGAAGATGGGATATAGTTGAGAAGGGAGTCGATATACTCTGGGGTTGCGGCATCCACCATCGGTACTGTGATTGATGTTGGAAGCAGGTGGTTCAGGTAAGGATAGGGCATATCCGCACCTTGTTGTCCACCAGCAGCTAAGCCCTTTTGTCCTCCAAGAGAAGCTAGAAAATTGCGGACGGCGGAATCGGCATCGGTTGCAGAGGATCCAGCACTAAGTGGCACATGGTTAGCTTCGTGAATCGCACATTCGAAAACGCACAAGAGCGACACCCGCAGAGGGCTGCCACCAAACTCTAATAATGAAGCAAAAATTCAAATTCCCATTCGCATGTGATGCACATAATACAATGCCGACAGTAAACAGATCTAAAACAAAAACAAACAAAATTGCCAAGATGGGGAGATTCACCTACGCTCGAGCTCCATCGGCACCTCCTTCTCTGGAGTCCTCCCCTTCTTCTCTAACATCGCCGCCTGTGGCATCAGCACCAGCACCACCGGTGCTACCGTGACGGGCACGTGTCACACGTCGAGCAGCGTCGGCGTCTTCCATTTGCTCATCTTCGTCGTCGTCATCATCGTCGTCTCGTCGTGAAGAGGTGTTGCGGACAGCTGCGAGCTCTCTGGTAACATTCACTTCCTCGCCTTGCAATAGACGATTGACAATGTCACCAATCTTGCGATCGCGAGGACTGAACTGAGAAGGGTCGCCGTTGCGGGCCTGAGGCTTGGACTGCATCCAGAACAGGTGTCGCTGTGACGAGGAGGCAAACTTTAGGACGAAAATGCGGCCATTTGTTTTTGCCGTAGGCTTGGTGCCTCGTTCAAATTCGTAAGGTGTAAATGTTCCATCGGTTGGTACCATAACAAGGTCGAGCTTGGGGCTATCGATGGGTTGGTCACGCTTTCGCCAGCAGAAGCGAATCAAGTCTAAAGGGCAATTAGCAACTGGTGCAGCAACGCAGAAGTATCAATCCCTAGCTAACCATCTTCTGAGTATAGGTAAAGATATCCAGGGGTCTCCTGAGGTGTGACTTTGAACGGGGTGGAATCAGACTACGAAGCGTTTGTCAGTAAGCTGAAGCCCATGGAGATGGCGTTGCGCTGGCGGGTAGACTTACATCCACCTCACATTCGCCGGCCTTGAACGTGATCAGCGGGGTGATGGGCATTTCAAATAGCTCTGAATTGTCGCTAACTAGGTATACAGATTGTGACTGAAGATGGAATGCGACAGACAAGACTAATCGTGGGGGGGATGAAGCGTCGCGTGGGATGTCGTCGATGCGCAGCGGGCAGGCTTCCACAGCTCTTACGTCGAGCTTACAGCTTGCCCACCTCCGGCAGCGGGTTGGCGGCGCATCATTAATCCGGACCAACCCAAACCACGGGCCCCTGCACGCTCCACCCGCAAGGGTCCGCCACTTTCCAAGGTTTCCAGAGCCAGCGCCAGGCCCAAAAATTTAGGTAGGGAAAGGAAAAAAATCCTCATTAACCCCACCTACATTGACCTGACAACCACCGCACTTCCCAGGTTCCTATAACTTCTTCTACTTTCGCCTACTCGATACCCCTTACTTTTTCCCAAGTCGACAACTTCTAATCAGACAAAATGGGTTTCGCTGATGTTCTTACCGATGCTGGAGCTACCAGTATGTCTCCTCGTTGCTTGACGATGCTACCCCTCCCATACAGCCGCTGACCAGTTTACCAGTGCTCAACAGCTGGTTGACCACCCGCTCCTACATTGTTGGGTATGTTTTAGCTCTTCTTCCTCTCGAGCACCTCTTCCTGCTTCCCCTTCTTCCAAAATATAACATGATGAGAACAATTGGTCCGTGTTTCGGAGGCGGACTCAAGACCCGCTATTTGACGAAACAACAAGCAGCAATGCATCTCTGATTATATCACATTACCCCTCGTTTTCGAGAGGGTTGAAGTGCCTCGAGTGTAAAATCTCTATTCTGGAACGTTGTACTAACCGATTCCAAACAGCCAGGGCCCTTCCCAGGCTGATGTTGCCGTCTTCAAGGCTTTCTCTGCTGCCCCCGACGCCGAGAAGTACCCCAACGCCGCTAGATGGTACAAGCACATCGCCTCCCACGAGAGCGAGTTCGCCACTCTCCCTGGTGATGCCTCCAAGGCCTACACCGTCTACGGCCCTGAGTCTGGTGACCTCGCCATCAACCCCGCTAAGGCTGAGGCCGAGGAGGAGGAGGATGTCGACCTCTTCGGCTCTGACGATGAGGAGGAGGACGCTGAGGCTGCCAAGATCCGTGAGGAGCGTCTCGCTGCTTACAGAGAGAAGAAGGCCGCCAAGCCCAAGACCATTGCTAAGTCTGTCGTCACCCTTGACGTCAAGCCTTGGGGTAAGCCACCACCACATTAGATTCCTCTCAAAGACCCGCCTACTAACAACGTTTTACAGATGATGAGACCGACATGAAGGCTCTCGAGGAGGCTGTCCGTGGCATCGACAAGGACGGTCTCGTCTGGGGTGCTTCCAAGCTCGTCCCCGTCGGTTTCGGTATCAAGAAGCTCCAGATCAACCTCGTCATTGAGGATGAGAAGATCTCTCTGTCCGACCTTGAGGACGAGATCCAGGCTTTCGAGGACTACGTCCAGTCCACTGACGTTGCTGCCATGCAGAAGCTGTAAAAAGCTTTCAGCAGTAGCGTGTCTGGCGTAGATGTATGAGGCATGATAAAAGGGAATGATGACTCCGATGATGATATTTAAAGTCTTTACGATGCTTCATTTGTATTGGAGTCTTTGCCATGACTGGCCTCGTACAAGCTATTATAGACATGAAAATAAAAGTATATGAAATGCCAATCTTGTATCCAAGCAATGTGTGATGGAATGCTAAATTTTACGACTTAAAAACAGCGTATAATTCTAACTGTTTTACTGCAAACGACTCTATGTGTGGAATTGAGGGGTAAAAAAATGCTGTGGTACTGGCGCTATTGGCGTAAAGCTGGCTTTGGCGGGGTAGCTCGGGGTCGCTGAGTCTGGACGACGCGGTGCCAATGCAGGGCGCTTTACGCGTTCCGGTTCCACGAGAACCCTCCAACCCTTTTCACAATCTCAACTATTTTCACTACATCGTCTCCCCCAAGTGCCAGACCATTTGATTGATTTGCAAGATGTATGGTGACTTGGGTGTTAAATTGGTACAGCATAGAATACTGCACGAGTAATATTAATACGTTGGTGCTAACGGCGTGACAAGGTCCAACATGCGAAGCGTACGCAAAGCTTAGCACATCTTCCGCCATACCAGACCGAGATTGTTCGTTCAGTTACACGAGAAGTGCGTGATTTAGACAAAGATGTGGCAAATCTGCTGGAGCCTTTTCACGGCTCGTTCAACCCAGCAGAGGACCAAGCTATTGCCTGCACACTGCTAGTCAACCATCTTACTATGCGACGCAATAAACGATGCCTGCTTGCCTACCACCGCACAAGAACAGACAAGCTGGAGGAGCTTGTTTGGAACGGTGCTGATATACTTGACCTCTCCGGTCAACAAGTTCGTGAGGGAAACTCAGCCGGTGCTGGTGGTACAACAGCCAACGCTGCAGCCACGAGCAGTTTGAGCCCTCAAGAGGAAGACTATGTCAGACAGTATAGTGACTTGCTTGCTGCGTACAAAGGCCAATACACCGATATTGACCTGACCGGTAGTCTGCTTCCACCGAGGGATCTGTTCATCGACGTTCGAGTATTGAAGGACGCGGGCGAGATCCAAACAGAATATGGGTATGTTTCACGATGCCAATTTCGACATGACCTCGACCTATTCTAACACTGACGCTTGGATAGTGCCATTACATTGACAAAGAACAGTCAATTCTATGTCCGTCAGGGAGATGTTGAACGGCTCATTGCACAGGGATACCTGCAGAAGCTTGATTGATCAAGAGGTGCCTAAGCGAACATACGGGGATGCTAGAGCTCAATATGTCAAGCTTGGATATCACAGATGATACGCCTGGGTTGACTCGGTCTACAGAGCTACTGATACACAGATGGCGTAAAAGATGCCACCACACCAGTTGCTTTTTGGACGAGCTATGCAGGGCGGCGTCCTGCACATGATAACCAAGGACACATGGAAAAGGCGGTCGCAATGCCAACGACAGCAAATAGTATTCAACCATCACAAAGCGCGGGGTACAACACAAACAAAAGAACCACAGAGCCTCCTCTTTGGAGAGCGTCACGCGCCTCGCAAATCGCTCTGGAACGGGCCGGGCACGATGGGTACACCAACAGTGTAACATTTGGCGAGAGGGGCGGCTCGCAGGCAAAGCGACCATGTCTCACCTGGCTTGCACCCCAATGCACCATAGTGCTTTTTTATAGCGCATGCGGCCACAGCCCAGCCGTGTCTTGCAGATCGCAGCAATGGAATTACGCCACAAATGCCATGCAAGCCTGATGCGGAGCTGCGAAAGAGCGTCATATGGCACAGGGCAGAGACAGGAGCTACGTAAATAGATATATCACTTCAACTTAAACGCAAATATTACCACTCAAACGAAACAAGCGCCTGCTGGACTTTCTTGATTCGCGCTGGGCCCGTCTTATCATTTCCCCTAATCCCCGCTTTCGCACAGGGGCTTCAGCGCCCCAGAAATTCCTGCTTCCAGCGCTAGCTACCCACTGACAGCACCATGTGGCTTTAGCTCACAAACCAATGACGACCACGGGAGATAACCACGACACATCAACCAAGATCGCGCCGGTTGGCAACGGACAAGCGTCTCCTCCCCTCCGCAAGCGCGAAAGCCTGGCCGGCTTCTTCTCTCACGGTCATCCCCTACACTCGGAACCATCAATCGACGATAGCAGCAAGTTGTGATTTCCATGCCAGCACAATAACCCACAGCTTTTGCTGCTCCCAGCCGCCGTCGTCGGCGTCATCGAAAACGCCATGTCGAATTCTATCCTCACTGGCCTCGGCCCATTCCACAAGAGGACCGGCAGTTTTTCTTCGCAGCAAGATCAGAGCCAAAGCGACGTCCCTGACTCCCCAAGCAATTCGGCGTTGCCTCTCTACGGTGGTAGCCAGCTTTCGTCGTCGGTGCAGTCTACCCACGGCTTTCGCGAGCCCATCAGGTCCTTTATCCAGGGCACAATACGCGACGTCGGTAGGTTTAAAATGAAGCACTTGGCTGTAGCATACTCTCTAACTATTCCAACCAGCACCGGTCGACAGTCTTCAGAACGCGAGATCCGTCCGTGAGGACACCGCAGAGCTCGCTGATTACCTCCTATCCAACGGGTCTTCACAGCGCCGACAAGCCCTCCTGCAGCGCTCACGGGCTTCTATCCACGATGTATTCAGCGCCGAATCGGATGTTGTGTCCACTGATGATAACATCATCACCACAGACACTATTCCAGAGGTGTCCGAACCTGAATCCCCTCCAGAAGATGCCGATGGGCCACTGCCTGACGATGGCCCTTCTGTTCTCGCAAACATGCTGAGGCGTTCGCCGCCTCAGTCGGGAGTAATAACCACCGAAAGCACTCAGACACGCCATGTCACCATTGCAAAGGCCGATCTACCAACCACAACCCAATCACACGTTATCGAAGAGGAGGAGGACCACGTCGACATTTTCCCTAACGAGAGAACCTCTCTCCTACATGGGTCATCATATGATAGACGCGCTCACGATTTAGAAGGACAAAAGAAGCCTCGCAAGACGTTCTTCCGCAGGGTTGCAGACAACGGAAAACGCCTCGAATCCAACGTTTCGTATGCGGCAGCTGTTGTTTTCAACCCTCGCCGCTGGGACCACAGAATCATCTGGCAGAATGCAGTTGTTGACCCTGTTTCTTGTCTCCCAGCCGTTGCTGTCGGTTTGCTACTCAATATCCTGGATGCTCTCTCATACGGTTAGTTGTACTTGTTCTACTAACATCTGAACTTTACTAATCATTTTCAGGCATGATCTTGTTTCCCCTTGGTAACCCCATCTTTGCGAACTTGGGCTCCGCCGGTATATCTATTTACTACGTCAGCACCATTGTTGCACAGGTCATCTTCTCCACTGGCAGTATTTTCAAAGGTGCTGTCGGTTCAGAGCTGGTAAGATTTAGTCAGCATCATTCTTCTCTTGGAAAGTCAGTCTAACCATTCTCAGATCGAGGTCGTGCCATTTTTCCACAACATGGCAGCTAAGATTGTTGACATTGTAGGACAAGATAACCCTGAAGAAGTCATCGCTACCACAATCGTCGCCTACGCCTGCAGCTCAATGATGACGGGACTAGTCTTCTACTTAATGGGCAAATTCAAATTTGGCTACATGGTTGGCTTCATCCCTCGACATATTCTCATTGGATGTATCGGAGGTGTAGGCTGGTTCCTGGTTGCGACTGGCTTCGAGGTCTCTGCGCGACTAGATGGCAACTTGGAATACAACTTGGATACATGGAACCAACTAACTTCGCCTGACAAGCTGTTGCTTTGGATCTTCCCCTTTGTTCTATCCATAGTACTCTTCTACGGACAGGCAAAAGTTGCGTCCAAGTACTTCCTGCCACTTTTTATCCTGGCTATTCCGCTCGTTTTCTACATTCTGGTCTTCTCTGTGGATGCATTGGATACCGATCATCTTAGATCAGACGGGTGGATATTCGAAGGGCCACCTCCAGGCGAGCCGTGGTGGTTCTTCTACACCCTCTACCGTAAGTTTTCAATATGTCGTTGGTCGACCTCTCCACTAATATTTCCTAGAATTCCAACTTGTTCACTGGGACGCCATTATTGAGGTTATTCCAGCAATGATGGCACTTACCTTCTTTGGCATTTTGCATGTGCCAATCAACGTGCCTGCATTGGCTCTACAAACTGGAGAGGATAATGCCAATCTCGACAAAGAACTCAAGCTTCACGGCTATTCCAACTTCTTCTCGGGTTGCATTGGAAGTATTCAGAACTATCTTGTATACGCAAACACAGTGTTTGTGATCCGATCGGGCGGAAACCGCCGCCTCGCAGGCTACATGCTCGCTGCCGCCACTTTTGTCGTCATGATGATTGGCCCTTCGATCATTGGGTTCATTCCAATCATGATGGTTGGAACTCTTATTTTCGACTTGGGCTGGGAACTGCTCATGGAAGCCATCTGGTTGCCTCGCAAAAAGCTCAAGACTGTAGAGTACCTCACCGTCATCATTATTGTTCTGGTTATGGGAATGTATGATTTCGTGGTTGGTATCGGTGTTGGTATTCTCCTCGCTTTCATCACTTTGGTCGTCCAAACGTCTAGAGTTTCTGCAATTCGAGGCTGCTTTGACGGAGATATTGTGACGTCGACTGTTCGCCGCAACCCTTCTCAACACACCTATTTGCATCAGGTTGGACAGCAAATCTATATCATGAAGCTCACGGGATACCTCTTCTTTGGTACCATTGTCAGTGTCGAAGAAAAGATCCGCGGACTTCTTGAAGATGAATGCTTCGCGGAGAAGCCAATTAAGTTCCTTATTTTGGATCTCTGGCATGTCAGTGATTTGGATTACTCTGCAGGCGAGGCTTTCAATACTATCAGCCGTATCTTGGACAAGAAGGGCGTTGTATTGGTGCTCAGCGGTGTTGACGCAGACGGTCAACTGGGACGCAACTTGCGAGCAGTTGGCATTGGTGGCGGAGGCATTGAGGTTATCATGCTCCCTAACCTTAACTCGGCGCTCGAGAGCTGTGAGAATGAGCTGCTCAAGACACTATATCTACGACAGGAAGAGATCAACGAGAACCGCCGCCTCTCAACAGCGAACCTCGATGTGCCAAGCTCATCGAGCGCCAAGTTTTCTTCTTTCGACGCGCCGTTCAACTCTCCAAGACAAAGTCACCTTGTCGAAGCGGCTCATCATGCGCTCAGCTCAGCTGAAGTTCAAAGACCGCTGAAATGGCAAAGCTTCAGTGAACCGCTGCGCCTAATGCTCCAAATTTTCCAGGGTCTGAGCGACAGAAACGAAGACTTTTGGTTCGAGGCGATCCCTTACTTCGCACGGAAGGAGTATGCCGCTGGCACTATACTCTACCAGAGAGGCGAGATCGCAAACGGCTTCTATCTCCTTGAACGGGGTATACTGAGGGCGGAATATGACCTACCTCAGGGCTGGCTTTGTGAGAGCATCGTCGCAGGGACAACCTGTGGTGAGCTTCCGTTTTTCTCGGAGACGGAACGCACAGCCACTGCACAGGTAGAACGGGACTGTGTAGTTTGGCTTATGGATCGGGAGGGATGGGAGAAGCTTCAGAAGGAGAAGCCGGAGATTGCTCGGGAGCTATTGAGAATCTCTTTGAAGCTTACGAGTGAGAGGATGAGTTCTATTACATCCTACATACTGACCATGGCCGGTTAGTTGCATTATACTGCACATGTTTGTTGTTAATTGGTTGAATTTGTGAATTGCATTGTTTCTATTTTGATAATTATTTTTCTTGCAATTATTACATAGCCGCACCGCCGGAATGCATTGTTTAAACACCTTACCTCTATCTGCCTGCGTCATGTTGTCTCACTGCTCAAGCTATCCCAAAGCGGAAGCCGGTGGCGTGGTTGTGTTAGTCATCCAATATTTTGTAGGGTAGCCAGTGTGTTGCTTTCAATGTTGAACTACCCATCATGGAAAACCTATGAATATGTAATTTTTGCTGTTCTGTGATCTATAACGCAGCCAATATTAAATATTTGCAATCAAACTTCCACATCGACGACTCGACTTGGTTAGCCTAGGTCGTATATACTGTCCGTCAAATAATCTTCCGAGGCCAGCCTAAATCCGAACCTGTCGCAACTACACCAAGGCCAACAATATCACATTAACAATGCCCAAAAGCCTGAGATCAATATTAGGGACATCGAATCGCGTAACAAAATCACCCCGACAGCCTACAGCACGTCGCGCCGACAATGGCGAGTCGTCACCGCGCAAAACGAAGCTAAAACGCCAGATTGATGACGAGCTTTTCCAAGAGAAGCTGACTGATCTGGGCGCTATCAAACTAATGGAAGAGGACCTAACCCTGCGAGATGTTGTCCAGGCTATGAGGTACATTCGGCAAAAGATGTTTACAAGGGTTCCAGAGACTGGGTTTAAGTCGACGCGGTCAGTCGAGATTCTCAACTATCGGCTCACCATACCGGCTATTATCACCGTTGGACATCTCAACGCCGTGCTCTCATCGCCTAGCTTAGTCGAAAGAGAAATGGCGGAACTCATTAGCAAAGGAATACTGAGAAAAGTGCGCGTTGAGAGACGAGGAAACGCAGGAGAGGCGTTGATCGAACTCTCTGACCTGTTTGAGATGATGAACAAGACTCGACTGGGAGACGATGCCAAGGCTGGATTTATAGCCTTTCTAAAGGCTAACCCAACATCACAAACAATGTCTAGACAGGCCCTTCCGCCGGCTCACTTTGACGAGCTTGTTCGGGCTGGGTTCCTCACGAGTATCTCAACGCGCGCCACACCGGCTACGACACTACATGTTCGTCCGGAAGACCGTACAACACTCACTTCCATAAAGCACGTTTCGCAATTTGCATCGGGGACCGTCTCGGCTGTTGGGGGCCAGAATATCATTCACATGGCCGGCGGAGGCGGCGGTGGACGCGGGTTCACGCTCAGTCAAGGGTCGGATGTGGAAGCCGACTTTCGCATAGCAGTCCCGGGCCATGGCCGGTACCTGAAACTAGCCGAGGCCGCGGTGGACTGGATACGAGAGATGCTTGCAAAGACGAAATGGGGAGAAGCACCAGAAGAATGGCTACGGGAGAGGTTTGAAGGGGGAGGCTTATATGGGACGCGATGGAAGGAGTTTTGGGGCGTAGAATGGACTTGGGCTATTGGGCAAGCCATTGGCTTGGGCGTAGTGGAATTATTCGATACTGGGAGTGTTGGAAAAGGCGTACGGGCTTTAGCACTGTGAACACGAGGGGGGAGTTATTCCCTAGCAGCCGGATTTACTTTTTTTAGTTGGGTTCTGTCTTCGGCAATTCAGCGACATACATACATGTACATACATATATTATATTATAGGCACATCTTCCTCAGTTGGGGTTGTGGCGCAGGGACGCCCATGATCATTACTGAAAGCAGAAATTAGCTATAAACCCTTTCATCTAACAAACACCGGTGAAGCTGAGACGGGCGCTCGTGAGTGGTAATACTACATACAGGAGCCGCATATAGTACCGTGCAGACAGGCTGTTTGCTACAGACCCAGCATACTCGATAAGCTAGCCCGGGGCAGTTGATGCTATGAACGAGCTCCAGTTGTCAGACCATCTCCTCGATTTGCCGAGGGTCCTTGAGCTCAAGGGGGGCCTGGCCTGGCGCCGGCGCGGCGACACCGTTTATCCCAGCCGAAATATATTGATACTTTCATGCAAGTGGTTCCGGAAGACCCTTCCGATGACGGGTTTTCTTAACCTTGACTTGCATCATGGCCGCGCCCGCATTTACTGTGCAGCATTGGCATGCCCCGAGCTCGGTGATGTGCCTGGTTCACAGACCATACCGTGCGCAGCGCGCATAGTTGGCCCTGGGCAAATCTTTTCTCGCTCACCCAGGCACAATCTATCGGGGAGCTCGTCATCGGATCACTGCCGCGGAGGCGCACTATGCGTATGGGGGGCAGCAGCGCTCTGCTGCCCGGCTTAAGGCCTGATCGCGCAGTTTGCATGAGAACGCATGCAGGTGCCAACCGAAACCGCAGAGGCGATCTTTGCAAATCTTTTCACGCGTCGAGTTGCATGGGCACCACACCGAGTATCAGACAAACTTAGTAGACGGCTTTCGGCCTGATTGACTGATCGGGAAGTTCCCGCAATTCCTTCTACAGCACACTACCAAAGCCAGCTGTAGTGCAAGAACTAACTGAGTTAGTCTGGGTGGAGGAGACGACCCAAGCTAGTGGGAAGGACTCGATTCCTGCTGAAGAAAGCCGTGCGTCAGCAGGCAAGCAGCCTCGATCTCATGGAGGAGGACGGCACGCGTTAGGTAAATGTAACCTTGACTAGCAAAACGCCCAGTGGCAAACTAGTGCTGGAAGGGCATGGTCCAGGGGTAAAAGAGCTGCGTGGCAGGCACTACTGGCTTTTGGTGTGGGTGAGAGAGAGTCGCGATTGGGCAGCCCGGGCGGTAGCGTCCCGTTTAGATTCGGTCTTTTGTTTGTTGGTTCCTGTTTAGCTTTGCTTGTTTGAAGGATGAGGGATGAGGGGAGGGTGAGTGAGTGAGCCCGAGTCTCAGGGCGGCCGTCGCAAGAGGAGCTGTGATGTTACTACGCGTAAAAGGGCGCCGAGTTACAAAATAGGGGAGGAGAGAGAACAAAAGAGGGGTGGCGCCTCTGCCATGTGCTGCCAGCTGTGCTAGCTGGTTGGTATACAATGGACGAGGTGTCTTGGGCGTTTTCAAACATAAAAAGAAAACGGTCGAACCGACAACCAGCCATCATCTTATTGTACAGTAGATGGAAACTCCGCTCCAGAAAGGGAGATTAGCAGCAAGTGACCAAAACGGTTCTAATTAATCACGCGAGACGACGCGATAATTTTCTGGGCGAATCCAAATTTACGCAGTGTTCCATTGTCGAGGTGACGGCCGGGGGGACCCCTGGCGGCATGGCGTAGGAGAGCAAACACGACAAAAAAAGTGTGGTTTCTGGTCTGATTCTGTTTCTAGCGCTCGGTAGCCACGCAAAGCAAGCAGGTAGACAAAAAAGATACAAAGCAACAAGTACACACGGAGCAGTCCATTTATGGGCTGTTCGTGATAGCGGCCGCTTTGTTCACTGCTCCACTGTGACGGCCCCCGAGGAAGTCTCACGCAGCGCCCGCTGTTGGGTGCTGGTTGGTTGGTTGGGTGCTGCAAGTGATGGTGCCCCGCCCACTAGGGGAACCAAAGGCCCCAAACATAGGGGAAAGGCACTACGGCTTCTGTACTTTGCACATCCAACCGTCTGTGGTGATCACATCGAATGCGCTGCTTGTTGCTTTTTCCCGCATCTTTAGCTCAGCTTTTTAGACGCCTGGCTCGCTTCCGCCTATCAGGTCAGGTATAGTGGCTCTCCTGCAGCGAGAATTGCCTTTTTCAGGCGCAGGTTGTCGATGGTATTGCATACGCATCGTACGCTATTGAATGGTCAAAAAGTCTAAAAGTGGTGCAATGCAGGCTTAATCTCCGCAGTGCATTTGGGGCTGCGCTTACAGGTCAGTGTTCACTGTGGGCTTATTCTATAGGCTCTGAAACGCCCTGTAATGTCTTTTTTAGGTGCCTTTCCTTTGGGCTGATAGGGGAGGGGGAATACCCGGCCCTGTTTGGTTGGTTGCAGCAGCCACCGCCAGCACAATGGAATTGTCCGCACCAGCGCAAAAAAAAAAAAAAGGCTTCGGGCCACCCGCACCGCGTGCCAGAGCCTGTGGCGCCAGCTTTTTCGAGTGCCGGGTGGGCGGGGGGTTCTAATCAGTGGACCAGGACCTGTCCATTGGGGCCGGTACCCCTGGCGGCTTAGCGTGCTTTTGCCCACACTTCCCTTTCCTTAGCGGGCCCCATCCAGAGGCACTGGTGACCATTCAGCAGCGTGCTCCGAGGAACAGTAATCAAGAGCCAAATTGGCATTTTTGCAGCACAGGTACACGCTGATGGCTGTGCTGGCCGGGCCATTTCCGTGTACACGCTACAAGTCTCTTGGGCAGTCGAATCAGCGCCCCGGAAGCCGCCCCTCCTTCTGCGTCTGCATGCGCTGCCCGCAAGCCAAATCGCGCCTCTTGCTCTGGGCCCCCCCGATCGTCCATGGGCCGGGCCCTGTGGGTGCTGTTGGTGCTGCTCTACTACCTACTCTCGCTTTTTTCCTCTCCTCCCCTTGGCTCGTCGAGATACTGTCGACATCATCGCATACCGTAGCCTGCACTCCTTTCTGTCACCTTCGTTTTCTTGTCTCTGCTTTGTCTTTGCCACCGAATATAGCAGGACTTACCAAGATTCACACTACACGGCATCATCAGGTGGGTACTCGCCATTGTCTTGCTTTTCCCCTACACTGCACTGCACCACCACACTATTTGCGCGCTCCCTTCTGGAACTGTGTCGCTTGTTGAAACGAGGGCAAAAGCTATCTTGTTTTGTCTTGCTCCTCTCGTCTGGTCTGCATCCCCGCAGCCACACTTTTGTTTGCTTCGAGTCCGTTTTCTTTTCTGCTCTGTTGGTTGCTTCGTTTCTACTCTTTCAACTCTCGGTGCAAGTCGTCGATCCGCGAAGCTGCATTTTCCTGTGGCACGGCCCGCATCCAACCCCAAGCTGCGCATGCAAGACATCGCTACGGAAAAAGAAAAACCACATAGGCGAATCACATCCTCTTTCGACGACTCCGAAAAGCAAAGCCTCGCCAAATCGCCAGCAAAGCCCGTTGGAAAAAGAAATCTTGCCAACACCATCACCAAAGTACGGCCGAGACTTGCGCCAACACAGACCATACCCTTCCTACCCTTGTTTCCGGTTGCGGCGATTTCAAACAGAAAAGACGATTGAGCTGGATCTTTGGACGAGACGCTTCGGTCAAGAAACAAAGAAAAAAAAGACCAAGTCAAAGACGGGTCGGTGGACAAAGTTGCTGTTGCTGTTCGGTTGGAACACCACGGCCAAACACCGTAAGTGTGCGGCACACTTTGCATCGACTAGGAAGCAACAAAGAAGTCTTGTTGCTGTTTTTCTTGGCTGATTCTCTTGTTCCAAAGTCTCTGCTGCAGTTGTCATTGTTCAACCGCCTGATATCAAATTCTATGCCGCCACCGTTTGCCCTGCACGCCACGAGTCATCCTTCTTCATATTGCTTCTTTTTCTCTTTAGTGTTGAATACTGCACTTTTGTTGAAACCCCTGCTGCACTAACCGGCCTCTTGCCCCAGAACGCAACTCTGGAGACTCTTCTGCGCATGTCATTACCGCAGCAGTGGCTCATGCTTTCTTTTTCCTACCCTTTCCCACCACACCATTGATCACTCACATATTATACACCAGCCACATACGTTGGACGCGCATAGCCACTAACACTGCAATCATTTTATAGATTAACTTTTTTCTTTGTTGAAACAATTTTGCCAACAAGCCTATTCCTTTTATTTCCGCCAGGCCGCACTTTTCTTCTCTCGTTTTTTTTTTCACCGCTCGCTCCAGGTGGCAAAGTCGTCCAGTCGTGTTGGCCCAACTTCACGACACCGACTTTTATCAACCAACAAGCCGTTGCTTGCCCGGCCAAAGTCTCAATATATCGACTTTCCATGGACTAGATCAGTCCTGAGGTGCATTTTCAGCCCGGTTTGTCTCCCAAAACAGCCGCCGAGGACGACCCCCCCAAAACAGCGACGTACGCCAACCACCTAGCCGCGCAAAAACCGCCTGAGGGCGTCAGTCCACGCAATGTCCACAGCGCTACCCCGACCCTCGCGCCCATCCAATGGGCCTCCGAACATCGCCCTTCCCGCCCTCCCAGTTCTTAAAACTCGCAAGAGCATGGGAAATCTCCCGACCCCGACAGCTCCCTCTACTCCTGGCAAATCTGGCACTTCAGCATTGCCTTCATTACCACAAAAGAGCAGCCTTCGAGCCCCGTCTGCGCATTTCGGCCCACCAACCCCAGCGCCTACGTCTGCGCTGCCTCAGCCAAAAGGGCTCTCAACCCCTGTCACCCCTGCTAAAACTCTTAGGAAGAGCCTCAGCATTAACTCGTTCCCTCAACCTCCGCGGGACAACAGAATTAGCAGTTTGCCTACCAGCCCCCTCGCCGTCAGCAAGTCGCAATCCGCCAGACGTCCGAAAACCTCAAAGGAAATCCCGCAGAGCGCCTTCAACGTTGCCACACCAAGCCTGCTCAACGGCGGTGGCGAGGGCAAGTCTGTTGGCATTCGCACCTCAGACGGCATCAACAGCGTTGGATCACCACCCCAGAGTCGTAGTTCGTCGGCACAGGACTCATATTCCACTTCGGCCACTACCTACGACGAACCTGCCGACGGCATGACCCCCAAAGGCGAGCCGGCGCCTGTTTCTAGCCCAACAACGACCGAAAAACGAAGCTCAAAATTAGAAGGACAAGGCAATGTCGTCGTCAGCGTCCGAGTTCGTCCTGATACCTCGGCGGGCAAGGAGAGAAACGATGCCGATTGGGTAGTCGATCCACGAAAGTCGTCCATCCTCTACCGAGGCAAAGAAGGAGGTGACCATCATTATGGTATGTATCCTACACTTCCCGGGCATATCCTGCAACATGTGCTAATTAATGATATAGATAATGTTTTTTCCACACACGACAACAATTCGCGCGTTTATGACCACATTGCAAAGCGATTGGTTCGAAGAGTTATGGAAGGATACCACGGCACGGTCTTTGCATATGGTATGACTGGTACTGGCAAGACGTTCTCCATGCAAGGAACCGCCACATCACCTGGTGTGATCCCCTTGGCTATTACCGACATTTTCTCCTACATTCGCGAGACGCCTTCGCGAGAATTCCTCTTGCGCGTGAGCTACCTTGAGATTTATAATGAGAAAATCCATGATCTGCTGAGCATGCCCACTGCCAGCGGTGTTGGCGGTGCAGCCCCTCAAGAAGAGATTAAGCTCCGCGAAGACGCCAAGCGCGGAGTGTATGCCACCCCGCTCAAGGAAGAAATCGTACAGAGCCCAACACAGCTGTTGCGAGTAATTGCACGCGGAGACCAAGCCCGACGAACTGCCAGCACACAATTCAACGCCAGAAGTTCGCGAAGTCACGCAGTGGTACAGATTGTTGTCGAAAGCCGTGAACGTTTACCTGGTGCTGGCTCTGATATTACCAACAAACGGTCTGCTGCCATCGTCCCTGGAGGCGTACGTGTCTCAACCCTGAGTCTCATTGATCTTGCTGGTTCGGAGAAGGCTGCTGAATCCAAGGAACGACGCCAGGAAGGTGCTCATATCAACAAAAGTTTGCTGACACTCGGTACCGTTATCGCCAAACTATCGGAATGGAAGGACAAAGGAGGCAAGGCTGCCGACAAGGACGGAAAGCATTTGCCATACCGTGACAGCAAGCTCACACGTTTGTTGCAAGGAGCGCTGTCAGGTAACTCTCTCATCAGTATTCTTTGCACCATTCAGATTGGCGCCCCTGGTACGCCAGCTGCCAACGGTACAAACGTGAGCGAGACTCTCAGCACGCTTAAGTTCGCTTCGCGTGCCAAGAACAGCATTGTCAGTCACGCGAAGAAGGCAGAAGAGGCGCTTGGTGCTGGTGGTGAAGGCGGTGCTCGTGTGTTGCTCGAGCGCTATCGTATGGAGATTGTAGAGTTGAGACAACAACTTGACTCTCAATCAAAACGCAAGGCGTCTGGCGAGGATGAAACAAGCAAAGAAATCAACGAAGAAGAAGAGCGCGCACGCGAGTTGGAAGTGGAAGCAACAGAACGCCGCGAGGAGCAGATGGTGGAGATGCAGCTAGCCCGAACGGCGCTGAAGGAACGCATCGAACATCTGAATCGTCTTATCCTCAGCTCCAAGTCTATTGGCGTTAACACAAATGGCTCGCTCAGCTCGTTGGGCCAATATGGCCGCTTTTCTCAAATATCGCTAACAGGTTCTATTCGATCTTCTGTGGTAACCCCCACTGCAGGTGCCTTTGATCGCACGTCGTCCATCACCTCTGCGTCCACCATTGGCCGACAATCTATCTTCGCACCCAAAATGAACGCAGATGGCGAGATCATCGAGAATGAGGAGGAGACCTTGGGCGAGTTTGCTGATGGCAACGCATCACTAGCTGCGCAGAACCAAGCTCTCCAGGCAGATTTGGCGGATAAGAACCGCTATATTGCTACTCTGGAGAGGCGTTTGCTGCAGGCCCGAAGGACGAGCTCATCACGTATGTCGGTAGGCTTGTCAGCTCCTAGCAAGGCCATTATGGTTGGCGAGGACCACAGCGTGTCAGCAGTGCTTAAGGACAAAGACGCCGAGATTGCGGACCTGCGAGCCAGATTGGATGACAAGGACCGCATGCTTGCCGCGTTGCGCAGCGCCGTTCGATCAAAGGACACAGCAGACGCTTCCAGCGAGCGACGATTGTCTGATAAGGGTCCTAACACGGGGTCTGGTGCAGCAACCGTGGCACCTGTCCGTCGACGAACGCAGAGTGTGGATGAGATGAACAAGGTCCTGGAGGAAATGATCCAGGATAGAGTGGACAGCGGCCAGATTATTCGCAATGCTCGCGGAAGTGTCCGCCTGCCTTCCGGACTGAAGCTAGACACTCCAGCTGACGCAATGCAACAGATGGAGCCTCTGCGTAAGACGCCGTCTCCTCCTGGCACTGCCCACGCCCACGAAGCCCCAGCCTTTATCACTGTGGAACCAGCTAGCTCATAGAGAGACAACGTGAGAGATGTGGTGATGGTTGCACAAAGGCAATGGACTATTGACTCGGCGCATCTTCTTTGACGGCATTGCATTCCTCATTGCTGATATATTGGTTTCTTTTTTTTTCTCTTGGAGGATCGTACAAGCCCACTGGGATAAACGATCGCCGGACTTCATGCATGAAAGCGAGTTTTTGTATTGGTTTTTTTTCTTGTCTTTCGTTTTACTGCGGTTTTTGAGCAGGAGCTACTGGATGTGTGTTTTATTTTCGCATGGGAGTTTTTGGCTCAACTTTCCTTATACCCGGCGTGTTGAGGCCTTGACGGCCATGCTGACGGTTCTCTAATACAGGAGAGACCTAATGGATGGTGCTGGCGGCCAGTAACACGGCCTTTGTCTGTTTGATGGCTTTTTTATTTTCTTGATCCGACTTCACTATTATACTATATATTACACAAGACGAAGACTATGGACGAAGAAGAGGAGGATGAGTAGATATCTGTCTGGTTCGAAGCCGATACCCCCATTGGTTCTGTTGGCTGTTTACCCTTTTTTAAGTACATTGCTTACCATGATGAGAAATAAAGACATGGAATATTTTACTACCCTTGGTGTCTGTGCAACAAACCTGTAGTGTGTGTGACAATGGTGCTAACAAAATTGTATGACCAACTTGATGTTAGCGTACCAAAGCGTCGGGTTCCTTGTTGGACCACATAGCAGGCTGAAGATGCTGCTGCCATGTGGCCAGCCCCCACGATTTTACTTTTGTTATACGTGTTGAAAAAGAAAAGAAATTTGCAGAAATGCCGCGATTATGGTCCCTTGACTTTACCGAATACAGAAGGACTCTGAAGTGAGGCTAGCTAGAAGCCGAACTGGAAAGCGAGGCGAGGCGGAGGACAGAGGAGAAGCTAGGCTCGGCGCACGGACGTGGGCTATGAACGGACGGACAGGAACGAGAAGTTTTGTTGGTCCGGCCACATGGGAGGGGCGGGATGATGCGCGACATTGAAGCTGGATAAACGACCGTGCGCTGGGATGTGATTGGGAGCATGTTTGTCAGGATGTTTGGTTGGTGGTGGGAAGTGTAATCGCTGTAGAAAAGAAATAGAGGAGTTGTTCAGACCATACAGTAGCCTGTTGGTGGTATGGACGGCTGAGAATACGCAAATCCCAGCGGGACAGAAATAGCCTAATTAAATATGTTATACTTTGATAATTGTACCATATGAAATTTATTATCGTCTCTTGTTGAGTTCCGTCTCGTATCTCACGGATTTGGGACATGGATAATAGTTGTCTTCGGCTATGTGTGATATCATACCACTCAAGGGTCACAGCTGTAAAAACAAGGCGGGCGGACAGACAGCCCGCAGGCAGCCATTACAGTGGGTTCCCGAAACACAGGGGCCGTTTCTGGCGCTGGGATGCTTTGCATGGTGATTGGCTCTTGCGCTGACAGGCTGTGAAACACTTTGTTACGAAGGGGGCGTGAGTGTCAAAGGGTTGCGCCCCTGGGAAAGAAACGTGTGATTCCATGTTTGGTTTTCTTGTTTTGTTCCTGGTTATAAAGACATGCGCAAGTTGAAAAAGAAGGGAAGGGAATCTTTAGCTATCTCTTCACCGGCCCTATCGGCAAGGCAAAGTCCAACCGAAACCAACCTAAGAATAGAAAAGCCTCAGTGGGCATGTGTTCACCAAGAGGCGGGGCGCAGGGAACTCCGGCAGCGGCCACTTTTTTTTTTGTTTGGTTGTCTGCAAGGCGAGCCCTGCTTGGGTCTGGCTTGCTTTAGCGCGTGTAAGTGGTGCTGGTGTGGTGGTGCGCTGGACGTGCATCGTTCGCTCACCCAGTGTAGTGCAACGGGTATTACGTTACGTAGAAACTGGGCTGGCTTGCCCCTACGGAGAGCCGTCTCAGCTAAAGGATGCAATTGTATGTGCAATTTATACCCTCTGCTAGTTTCTTACATGATGATATTAAGCAACCGGAATAAAAAGAACAGGAAAACAAGACCAAATCAAAATGATGCAGCCCATACGCTCGCACCAAAAATTGCTGCTAAAAATGCCGCTAAAGACACTCACACAATGGGCCGTGTTCAGCAGCCCAGCCCAACAATGTGTCCCGCTAAAGGACCCCAGCCTGGCTTAGCGGGTGGATCGCCGCACTAGCCGCCTCCTTCTCCAAGTGGGAACCGCCGAGTCGTTGGCCACCTTTTTTCTTGTTAGCGCACTTGCAGTGCACTGCCCAGCACCACAGAGCTGCCGCCAGCTGGGGCACCTGGCCGTGGGGTGCGTGCGTTGGCTCGTCCCTGTTTCTTCTTTTCTTCCCCAGGCTTCCCGCTCCTTCTTTTTTGTTTCTTCCATCTTTTATCCTTCCTTTTTAAAAACTTCTTTTTTCCTTTGTTTCATCTCCTATCTGTCGGGTGTGTTACTGCTGCTGCTGTTGCAAGTCTACTTAGCCGCCTCACTTGCTCACTCATCCCATATCGTCCATTACTTGCTACCACCATAGAGTTACATTCTACAACGGCTCACCCAGGACACTCTCACACACCTCCCGTTTCTTATTGTTTCGACTTTTGTCTTACACACGCAACTAGCATCTTTTTCAAAACAGATCATCAAAATAGACAGGCATTGTCGTGCATGCCATTGCCGCCCACTCCACTCGCCACACACATCATTCCACCACATCAGCTCACCTCACCACCAACCTCGCCATATGGAGTGACGCAACTTCTCTTCCCAATCTCATATATATAACAAAAAATAGGAACCATGAGTCCGCCGCTTAAGCCATCGCAGCCAAGGCTCATGGTCGCACCGCCTCGCATGAATCTTCGACGAACAGGCTCCTACAACACCATCTACGAGAGCCGTTCGCCAGCGTCCACATCGGCCCGTTTCAACTTTGACCATCTCATCTTCTCGCCGCCTTCGCCTAGCTTGCCGTCTCTTCCGCGAAAAAGACAAAGAGCGTCATCAATAAAGGTTCTTGTCAACAGCCCCAGGCGAACATTTCGCTTTGTTATCTACCTGGCTGGCTTCGCTGCCCTCTTTTACTTTGTCGCTGGCCTTGTGAGAACACAGCTCGGGACGTCATACCTCTTTGATGAATACGAAATGGTGGCAGGCGACGGGCTGCCCGACTTTCCAACTCCTATTGTAGTTGGTGACGGACCTAAGCACTCCAAATGGACCGTTTCGATTCCTCACAAGTACCGATTTCCTCTCCTTATGAGTGAATACGCTGAAATGATGGACCACTGCCGCGAGGCTTCGGTTCGTTCCAGAAGCTCGGATATGGAGATGGACTTGTCGCTGCAAAAAGCGTTGCGTACTTCCATTGCCCGCGACGACAAGTTTGTAGATATTGCCGAGGCCGAAAAGACGAACGTGTTGCCGCCTGCAGACCGAATTTTGACAATTGAGGGAAAAGGTCATTTCATTGGAGCAAAGCAAAGCATTGGCAAGCCTGTGTGCCAAAGCTCATTTACATATGTGCTGGAGAGCACCGATGCTGGCCTTGGACAAGCTCTCATGAAGATGTGGACATATTATGGCCTTGCTAAAGCCACTGGGCGAGCATTCTTTTTGGAGGATTCCAACTGGGGGTACGGTGAATATCTGGATATGTTCCAGGTTCCGCCAGAGCCATCTTGCCGCCCACCTCCTCGCCACCACATGCTCCCGTGCCCTGTCGATGCTGCACATCTTGTGATTTCCAATGTCAACGCCAAGGAGCTTCTCCCAATTTTGCTCGAGCGACACATTCCTATTGGTGAAGACGACAATCCCGAGAGGCAAGTCATGGAGCTGGCGTCCGTCGGATACAATGCCATGTTCAAACTCAACAAGGATGACCAAGCCTACGTCGACCAGCGAGTGCAGTATTTTAAACAGCAAGCCAAATCAGATGAGTTGATGACGGCCAATGCACCAATCATTGGTATGCACGTTCGACGTGGTGACCGACACCCGCTCGAGTTCCAATACAAGCAGACGTATATCCCGTCAGAGGTGTATCTGGACCGTGCCAATGCCCTTGTTGACGAACATTACAACAACTCCATGTGGGCAGCTGAAGAAACTCACCGATCCATTACGCTTATTGCGTCTGATGATCCCATGGTGTATCGTGAGGCAGTGTTTGCTGGCTCTGCTCTCGCGCAGGACCGCATCAAGCTAGCTACAAAGCCGCCCAAGGCTGCCGACGAGGACTTGGACCCCATCCATCCTTTCATTGAAGAGACTTTTGGCTGGGAGGGCGGTTTCTACTCACCCATGTTCTGGAACCTAGGCACTGAGCGCCGAAACAACGCGGCCAATGCCCCAACTGGAGCTGCAAGCTACGGAGTCGAGGCTGCCACATCGCGCCCAAAACCCAAGAAGTCCACCTTGCAGTTGAGAAGCTACATGGGCCGTGCCTATATGATGGACTTGGCCGTTCTAGCCGGAGCCAGCGACAAGGTTGTGTGTGCCGTCAGTGCCATGGGTTGCCGCCTGCTGGGCGTTATGCTTGGGTGGGAGGAAGCGATTGAAGAAGAGCGATGGGTCAATGTTGACGGTGACGAATCGTGGATGGGATGGGATTGGTGATATCCCCAATCATTCTTGTAGACTTTTATTATTTTGCATTTTGTATTCATTTTTGCATGGGCGGCGTTTATTCTTTTAGGTTATGGGGATGTCTCTATCCTCTATTTTGGGCTTCATTTTTACGCAACTGGTTTTGCATACAAGGGAAGGAAAAGGACGAGCAGGTGCTCCGTCCCAGCATATAGAACACCAGCTACAGGCTGAGAAATTCATCATGATCTTTGCATCACATAGTCTCATGTCCAATTGGCGCGCACCAGTACAAGCATGTAAACGAAAACAAGTCTATTCTTTTCTCTAGAGGGCCAGAGCAGCCTTGAAGAAGATGGCTACGGCAGGGTAGATGCTGACCTGGAAGACCAGAGTACGGAGATAGCTGCCCTTGCGCGAGCTCGTGACAACATAGAGGTAGCTGTAGATGGCTCTCGAGACGACATGGATGGCTGTGTAGCGGAACATTTGGTCCTGGGGGATCTTTGCCCACGTACCCAGAGCCTATAGCAAAGACACAATTCACATTAGCATTACGTCTTTTGTCAAGTAGTGAACTTTGTTTGTATTACTTACAGCAGCGACGGCCCATACAGCCCACCACTCAAAGCCGTTTTGCTGAGCAGACTGGCCACGGAGAATCATGGACTCAAGGTCCGACAGCTTCTTGCCCGACGCAGCCTTTGCATTGAGGCGCGCTACAAAGGCACGCGGGTTCTCGTTGGTCCAGCCACCCTGGACCTTGTTGGACTCGGCCAGATAGATTGTGTACCAGTGAGGCAGGGCCGAGAGGAAGAGCGTCAGTGGGAGGGACGCGATGGCGTAGTTGGCGTTGCCGGAGAGGAGGGCCTTGGCGAGATCCATGGTAGCTGTTGTGGTTTGAAAAAAGAAAAGTAAAGAAAAGTAAAGAAAAGTAAGAATGTTTGTGTGTAAAGAAGAGAAAAGAAAGAACGGTGTACAATTGTGTCTTGGTTTTTTTTTTTTTGTTCCAGAAGCTAAGCTATGTCTGAAAATGCGATGGAGGAACGGGCATCCGGAGCCGTCTTTTAGCCCGCTGTTTGCGTGTGGTTCCCCGGAATGCCCCCTCTCCGGCGATGGTGGGCGGCGGGCGGGCGCTGTGAACCTCGGCACAAAGGCCGTGGCATGCTTCTGCTTCTGCTGCTACTGCGCTAAGCAACGTGGGACGACGACCAAAGTCCCATTTCTTTTTATTTTATTTAAAGAAAAAGATTTAATCAATTTTAGTTTGCTCGTTTAATCATGTATTTATTTGGTATTTGATCTTGTTCCAGAATGCGATTAAGCCAATTTGGGAAACGTTCGTCTTTCGTAGAGTAGCCTCCTCCATCATTCTATATCTTTAGCGAAAGCTATCTCTGATTTCTCGGACGCCCCAAATACAGTCAAACTATACTCGTAAAACGTATTTATTTGTTGTTAAGCTTTTACGTTCTGTGCTGCATGAAAACGTATAATCTTGTAGAGTACATGTGATCATCTCGAACAGTCTATAAAGTAGCAATGTTTTCGTCTATATACAAACAAACGTTGTTTTATTTTTGAACGTCCGGGAAATCAGCATCTCTCCACTAAGGTAGAGTTTGCATCTAATCGGCAAGACAGTACTACTTCTTTAACAAGGATGCAGGGACTGACTTGATGTTTCGTGGATATGTCTCATAGTCGAGATACCACATCCAGTCGTCCCCCGTATCGCTAAATTCAGCGTCACTCTCTTGCGGCTTCCACTCCTCAGGAATCGACATGACTAACTGCAGGCGCTTGGTACTGCAGTATACTCCATCATATATAGAGCGTTCCCACTCCATTGTGTCCGCTCCTATCAGCCCCGACGGCACCGGAATCCTGTACGGATCACCCACCTCGCCATGGGCTTTCGTATTGCGGACCGACGTTTCGAGCCACTGGTTGAAATTGCTACTTTTTTGTAAGTTTCTTCTGGAATATCTCTTTCTTTGGCAATGCGATCCATGGCTTCGCAGTAATACTTGTCGTGACTATACACAGCTTCGTTCCAGAGTGCGTAGGTCAGCTCAACAGTTTCAAACTCTTCGTTTGGTCCAATGACCATCCAGTCAAATAGTTCTTTATATCCAGCGTAAACGGCCACTTTTGCAACTTGCGGACGCATCCATTTCGTAGCTCGCGCTAGAGCCCTATATGTTGCTTCTGGGGTCACGTCGGGATAGTGTATCAGCTCTAGGTACGTGCCGCGCCGTTCACCCGTATCAGCTTGGATGAGCTTCAAGATCCAAGATATGTCACCATTCATAATAAATCGGGCATAAATGGCTGTCCAGATCCGATAGCCGGGATTCCCGCGTGGCTCAGCTGCTTGGACCACCAGACTGCAAATTGTGTATTGTGGTCTGGACAGGCAGGCTTGTTAGCGATGACGATAATCTCTCCACTAGATGCTGCAACATACAGATGCCCCGGACAACACACTCCATTTCGTTCCCGATCAGATATGGGCGCCGAAGTCGGTTATAAGGATCAATATCGCCATAATATGCCGCCATGCAAATCATGACGTTTTTGTCGCATGGTGGCAAGTCAGCGGGCAGTGGGCTGCTTAAAAGCTCCATTGTATTCGTCTTGGCGCTCGATGGTTTTAACTCTTCTTCTCGTCGTCGCTCCTCGTCGGCTTCTTCCTCTTCGAACTTCTTAAGTCCCATGGTTCTACGTTCCTCTCGGCTAAAAGATGCTAACTCTTTCTCTGTGTAACGCTTGAAGAGCCCCATGTCTCCCTTGATATCCGCTGTTAGAGGAGTGAACCCGAACGGATCCGAGAACGCGAAGAGTATATCACTAAACTGCTAGAGGTTAATGCTTCGATATAGAATCGGCGTTCTTACTCTTCATCTGGCGGCGTCTCAAATGACTGTTAGAAAGCCAATGAACGATAGAGCACTGTGTCATGATTCAGGTTGGCCGGCTTCGGGTCAAGCATGCATACGTTATAGTCATAAAAAACTTTCCACCGGACAGGTTTCTCCATAATCAGATCGAAAATAGCTTTGTTACCTCGGTCTTGAGCTTCCTCTGCTATGGCAACTTCAGGGAGAATGTCGAGCGTCTTGTACAAGTCATTATACCCTGCAAAAGCGCATACTCTCCCTACTTGGTATACCATGTCTGGGTATCTTTCGACGAGTTTCTGCAACGCCGTCTCCGAAGGAAGGTCGGGATGCCAAATGCAGTAAGGTCTATCCTCGGGTCCATCCATATCGGGGATCTTGTTACTCATGATAAGTCTTGCGTTGACGGCCTTTTTGAACATGGCAGGTCCTTTTTCAAACGTCGACGCATTTACAACCGCAAAATCTAGGTGATGCCGGAGTCCACGAATGACACAGTAGCGAACAGTAGGAACTCCAAGATCTTGAGGCAGTTTTCTGCCATGAACAGCGTCTACAGCCTCGTCGTGGTTGAAGACCTCTGAGTTGAGCCTCTCCAACAAGGACGCCTCGATGCCTAGATCAGCAAACTCGACGGTGATTTCGTCCATAATGTTTAGAAGTTTAAACAAAACTAGAGAATAAACAAACAAATAAACAAATAAACGAAAAATAAACGAAAAAAAAAAATGCTGATGTGTCTATTTTGTTCAAAAGGAAGTTGGGCAACAAGGCTTTCGCGAGAGGGTGGTGGCTGTACTTGTACTTGTAAGGACAGGCAGACCCACCAGTGCGTTCTTACTGATGGCATCGCGGCCTGACTCGCCTTTCTCCTTCAGCATCCTCCAGCATTATCAACGTCTAGCTTTCCGCATCACCACCACAATGGCGGATCCAGGACCAGGCGCGGCCGAAACGCCAAAGCCGCGGCTCAAAATCAACGTCAGCCGCTCAGCATCCTTCCTGGCCGACGCTACACCAGGATACAAACCACAAACTCCCGCGACTCCAGCCGACGGCTCGCGAAAAGTCAAGCTCAAGATTAGCGCGTCGCAACCCCCAACGCCGCTCGATGCCATTTCAGTTAAGACAAAGGCTGGTAGACAGTCAAGGCCGACGGCAAAACTCGTTGAAAGCAAGAAGCGATCTCGCGAGGATGACGACGACTTCTCCCTGTCCAACCCGGCGACCAAGATCAAATTCCGACCGACAAAGTCTTCGCAGATGCAAGTTGTGCTCAAAGCGCGCGGCAGACCCCCCATTCACCCCCCAGGCGATGGCTACGACTCCGAAGCAAGCGACCGAGAGCTCGACCCGGCCATCGAAGAGCAAATCATCTTGCGCGTGACGCCTGGCGAACACTGCGACTACGTGCGAACGTGCATCGAAAATGGCAAGATCGGCGTGAGCAGAGGGGCTGGCGGTGCAGACATTAATCTCAAATTCTTTGATGAAGAGTCCCACCGTGCCATTGTCACCATCAAAGGCCAGCCCTTTGCCGCCGTGATGCTCGACTTGCCCACCATCACCGAAGCCATGAAGACATGGGACCGCAAGGCGTTTATGAAGTCAGCTGACATCTGTCAGATGCTGTACGCCTTCCAGGCCGTTAGAAACGAAGAAGAGGCTAAGCGAGTGCCGTTGCCATCCATGATTGATAACTTCAAGTGGCCGCACGGCCTGACGCCTCCGATGCACGACTGCGTGAACCGCCGATTTGCGAAAACCATTAGCAGAAAGGAAATCGAAAACAAGGAAGCCGAGGTTGAACGTCTCCTTGCGGAAGACTCGAGAGCGGTTTCGTCGTCGTTTGAATGGGTCGACGATCGATTCCAAGACCAGCAGATGGATGAGGAAGAGGACGAAGACGCCGAGGGCGAATACGAGGATACTCAGATGGACTACTTTGGCGAAACGCAACCTGATGAGGAAGGCATGGATGAGGGTGATCTTATGGCCGATCTCGAAGCCGCCTTTGCAGACGACACGATTGTCGAATCGGCAGAGATTGGTGCGACGCCTCTTACCACACAAGCCAACACGCCGGCCGTTCACGAAAGTGTCGAAATGCAGGAAGAAGACGACGATGACGATGATGATGACGACGATGATGATGATGACGATGACGACGATCTCGACGATGACGAGCGTGAGCAGCGAAACGAAGAACAGGGTGTCAAGGCTATCCTTAACGATCTTGAACGCCGTCTCACTGCGCGCAGAGCAGAGCTTGAAAAGACAACCAACAAGATTCTACGCAAGAGAATCGAGGATGGTATCAAGCAGCTCAAATCCGAAATCGAGCTCAAGAAGTCGTCTCTGGGCATGGACGACGACTAAAAGCGTCTTTTGTTTACCGTCTTCCTCTTCCTTGTATATTACGTAGCACTACATGCATCAACCTGGGCTGTTCAACAGATGGGATACTGGCGTTTTGGGGGAAACTATATATCAGGCGTTTGTTACATACCTACCACCAACAATGAAGGGACCAAAGAGTCCCGTGTCATCTGTGGTATCTAGGTCCTTTTTTAAAACATTGAAACTTAATCTGTTCCATCATACATCATCCGAGCACTCTCATGACTTCATCTGTATTAGTGACCAATGTTTCTTCAATAGCGCTCTTGACATCTTCCCACAGGACATCCTTGCAGAAATCCTCCAGTGAGTCTGGCTTGACAGTTCGTTTAGCGAGTCTCGGCTGGATGCGACGCTTGATTGACTTTTGAATGAATATAGCAAGCTGTGGATCGCGCTTGAACTGTTTCCGTAGATAGTTTGCAACAAACGCATTGTCTGCCAAAGTCGTTGTTCGGTGCTCTCTATTCCATCGTCTTGTCGAGTTGACTGTTTCTCTAATTCGAGATTGTGGTGATTGCGATCGCAAAGGCAGTGTTTCTAGGACTTGTTAGTTATATGGACCATCATGAGCTATCATCCAAGGCGTAGGAAGTTTACTTGAGCGAGTTTGTACTTGATATGGCGGCCGACTGGGAGCCGGGACGTCTGATTGGGACCGTGTTGGCTGTGATGGAGGCGGAGATAGCTGTTCCGGTGGAGGCAGTAGGAAAGTAGGTAGAGACTTGAACATGTGCGACAAGTCCTGTATAGAGCCCTTCATGATGTCCATTTCTTCCCGTAGATCGTGGACTGCGAGCTCTGTGTTCTGCCTTGCCTGTTCTAATTGGGCTGGTGAGATCTGCTCGACTTCCTCCATTCGATGTTTGACAGCTGTGATTTCTTTATATATGTCTTCCATTCGTCGTTCATGCACTTGTCGGAATAACCTATCTTCTGATGTGCTTAGTACCAGGCTTTTGACGTCCTGCTCTAACCGTTCTGCTTGATTGGACACCGCGCGCATGTTTAGTTCTAGCGTCATTCTAGCGACAGCATCGGCCTTTTCCAGCAAACTCGAGGCTGTGTTGGCCCGGACCATTGTCGGGACTGAAGGTATCAGGTTGGATTTTGTGGTGGCATTCTGGGTACAACTCCCCGTGGAGTTGGATCGGGGACGACCTGGTCGATGGCGAAGCCTCATTGTGTATTATAGCAAACAGGTGGCGGAGCAGTGTAAACAAAGCGCATTCGTGGATATTAACATTAAAGTAACTAGTGTTTGGTGAGAATAAGAGTAAAGAAAAACTGTCGCGAGAAGCGAAATAAAGCTTGCCACTGCGCATGCCAGCTGGCAGATGGTCCTTCCGCTTCGGATCACTCGCAACTCAACGCCACCCGCAAGGCTTTCGACCGCAACACCAATTTTCGCCTACCTATTTTCTCTGAGACGGAATCCATTCCATAAACATGCCTACATCCTTGGCGACAGCACCTGGTACGCTGAGCTTTTGCAGCCAGCTCGGCAGCCCGCCACGAGCATCCGACACCGTGCCCATTATCCACTCGATACCCTTTTCTTGTTCAACAACTCTTTCGATGCTTGTATAAACTGCTTTAGTGGCGTCACTGGGAGTAGCCTCTCCAGTCTTGTCGCTTTCAGCAGGTCCATCGACACAAATTTGAATGGTGACGAATTCTCGTTTATCGCGGATGGATGCGGTAGCCTGTAGAACGGGAAAGTATCGCTTCTTCAGAGGAGCTGGAAGCTTGTGCGTAGACGCTTCATACTTCAGTGTCCAATCCACCCACATGTTACCGTCATGTTCAATTTCGACGGAGGAGCAATCCCATTGACGGTGTAGTTTGGTGTTTAGGATTGAGGCCGTAAAAGCCAGTTCCGATTCCGCATGCTCATTTTTGAAGCAGCGGACAAACTCTTCCCATGTGGCTGTGCCTTTGGTGGCCGCGTCCTTATGAAGACTCCTTCTCAGGAACCATGTTTCCGGTGCTATTTGATTCTTTCCAGCATTGACAGAGCTGTTGCTCTCTGCGAGCTGCCGTAGGTCACTCACCGCAACGTCCCGCTGGAACAAATAGACAGGCGCAACGCTGTGTTCAAACGATTTCAAGCCTTTCGGCTTCCAATTCGTGGAACCCAAAGTTTCAGGGTCCGCGGGGACATCGCTAATGAATGACAACGCATCGGTAAGAAGAGGTGCAAGGAACTCTTTGAGCTCCTCAGGTGTCGATGTTTCGCTGGGGAACTGAGCAGGACTAATACCCCATAGGCGGATGCGAGGGCTAAGTGTGGCACTCATTGTTTTGACCAGTTTTTCGTAGCGATATTTTTTCTTGAAGTATGACGAAATTGTAGTGAATAATACCAGAACCAGAGTGAAAACTGGTGAGCTGTTTCAATGTTTGGAGTAGGTAGGAGGTTAGTTTCGGAACCAGCCTGCGCCGAAGAGGAAGTGGGCGGCTGGTCGATCTTGACGCGACTACGATTGGTGCCGCTCCATCCGCTTAGCGCAACCAAGCTCTTTCTATACAGGCACCGACGGGAAGCAAAGGGAAGAACAAATGTATAAGTAAAGTGTATTAAGCGGAATTACATATGTACGGTTGTATTAAAAATCTAATAAATGGCTTTGGGCTGGGCAATCCTTTGGCACAGGCCAGGCGCCTGCCAATCGTTCTCGAAACGCAAACGAATCTTATTAAAACGCCGTATAAAATGGACACCCTGGTGGGCCAAATCAGTCTTGGCCAGTTACTTCAGAGGAATGACGTTTACTCCTCAACTCTATTCATGCTTTTTCTTCTCCTTTTGTTTTCGATTGTTCCGCAATACTATGTCTAGTTGCGTCTCTCCCAGCGGATCTTGGCAGGCTCAAGAGGGCGAGAGAAGAGCGAAGCGTAGTCGGTACCCATCAGAGAGTCGCTGCCGTCCACGTTGCTGAACTTGAAGAGGCGGACAGTCTCGGCCACAATGGTTTGCAGCTGCAAGTTGGCAAACTGCTCACCAATGCATCGGTGACGGCCAGCACCAAAGGGAAGGTATGGCGAGGCGGCACCCTTGGAGACGATACCGTAACCGTAGTCAACCTTCTCCTCTTCCTCATCGGAGCGCACAAGCGTGGGAGCGTTGGAAGAGCCGGGCAACCAACGGTAGGGATCCCACTCCATGGGGCTGGGGAAGTAAGCAGGGTCGGTAGCACTGACGATGGGGGCAGCCAGGAGGTTGTGGGAGGGAGGAATGACGTATTTGGTTCCAGGAACAGGCATAGGAGACTTGACGGCACGGAGGATGGAGTGAATGGGGGCGTGGAGGCGGAGGGTCTCCTTGATGATGGCCTGGTTGAGGGGAAGCTTGGCGAGGTCCTCGTAGGCGAGCTCGGGGAGATTCTTGCCAAAGGCCTTAACCTGCTCCTCGTAGAGGGCGTCCATGATCTTGGGGTTCTGGGCGAGGCGGAGCATGATCCAAGAGCTGGTAGAAGAAGAAGAGTGCTGCCCAGCCATGAGGAGCGCAATCATCATGTGGGCAACCTCGTGGTCAGGGACCTTGACGCCGTTCTTGTAAGAAGAGTTCATCAGATGCTTCATGATATCGAGTTCGGTGTCCTTTTCGGCGTTGGCGTGGCGTTCGTTGATGGTGTCCATGTAGATCTTGGCAATGGTGCGCTGAGCATGATCACGTCTGCGGTTCCAGGGGAGAGGGGCCCAGTGAAGAGTGAAGTTGATGGGGCTGAATCCCATGTCGAGATCGTGGTAGAGGGCGGCGAGGGATTCATCAAACTTGGCGCGGATGGCACTTCCCTGGAGGGCGTGAGAAGCAGTGAAGATGGTGATTTCAGCCATTTTCTTGGGGATGTCAACAATGCCAGAGTCTCCCTTGAAGTCGGCGTTGCGCTTGAAGTAGGATGTGACTTCGTTCGAGATAATGGGCACGTAGGATCGGAAGGCTTCGGTGGTCAAGGCAATCTTCATGAACTTCTTCTGCTCCATGAGCTTGGCGTTGGGGCAGTCATAGACAACATCGCGTCCGAAGACGGGAGTGGTCAAAACAGTGTAGATTTCTTCGGCGTTGACGTCCTTGAGCTTGCCGTTGAGAATGAAGTCGTTTCCGGCCGGGCCAACAGCGACAGTCGTCTTCTTGCCGAGGAGGACAAAGGTGAAGACATCACCATGCTGTAATTGACCTGTTAGTAACGATTGATGAAATCGAGCAGATCGTTGGGATTGCTTACCTTCTTGCGGTTCTTCTCGAAGAACGCGGGAGGATCCATACCGTAGGTAATGGTGCTGCCAAAGAAGGGGACCCAGTGGAAGACCATGGGAGGCTCGTTGGCCTTCTTGAAGAGAATTTGGTTGGCGACATTGAGGACAATAGAGAAGACAATGAAGGCGGTAAGGCCAATAACGACTTGGAGACCAGTGCTCTGGCTGCGGAACTGCTCGACAAGCGGATGGCTTGCGGCGTCTTGGAGAAGACCCATGGTGGGGGTTTAAAGGATGATGTTTGCTGAGGCGAGGATTCGTAGAGAGGTCAACGGCGAGGGAAATGTCAACCGATTTCACCTGTCAAGAGAAGAAGCCCTTTTCTAGAGAAGCTTATCGGGAAAGGCGAGAGGCGGTGGCGGAAAGAGGAGGATGAAGAAAGGAGAAGGCAAAAAAAAGAGGCACCCCAATGAAATTAGAACTAAAATCTGCAGAGCGTATCTTGGTTAGCGGTGGTTAGTAGGGGGCTCCGCGAGCCATCCCACCAGGGGAAGGCCGGGTGGCTCCACTGCCGCGCTGCAATGCGAAATCTTGACCCAGATTTAAGGGACGCGACCAGTGGCCAGCCAATCAGGTGTAGCAGATTGGACAGCCGTTTGGCGATTCGTATTCGCATTTCGCCAGGGAACCGAGAACTCTCGCATTGGACGACATTTGTCTGGCATGCATGCATGCATGTGAATGATTTGATGGCGCACATTTATAGTGAAAAAAAGAGAATAAAAAAAAGTACCAATCACAATCTATGCATATACACGTATTTTCTGTACAGATGACATGTTTGAAGTTAATACCACTTAAAAGCGTGGTACGAATAAGAGACTCAGAGCATGCCCTCACAACCATTGCCATGCTGCGCCTACACATCACTTCACATTAATTATTATATATCACAAAATAGAGGCTGCACAAGGACAGTGATAACTTTGGTTGCTAACTGCACTAAAAACTCGATCTGAAAGACAGTAGAAATGGAAAAAAAAGTAGGGTGTATGTATATAAAGTAGGATATATACCGTCATTATTCCCGCGGCCGACTTGAGAGGCAGGCCAAGTCCAAACTCCAATAGCAAAATGCGCAGACATTGAAGAAAATCAAAAGGGTAACTAAAACCGTAAACAGATGCGTTTTATCGGCCCAGAAAATCAACAGCAGCAAATCAAGTTGAAACTCCATACATGCGAAACTTTCAGCTGAACAAAAGAAAGCAAAACCCACACCATTTCCTAGTATTCCATCATATTTCAGGCAGGTAGCGCCGCAGCTATTTTGTGAGCAGATGAGATCATATCTCCATAGCTGCTGATTTAAGCTTGAGCAACAAGGCTCTTACCCATGGCACCCCACCGAAGTCTGCGCAGTCCACTACCAGAGGAGCGCATCACTTCCTGGCCGCAAGTAGTCGTCTCGTTCATGCTCGAGCCAACACTAGCAGCCAAGACGTCCTGAGCCTCTTGTCTGCCCACCTCACGGCCGATGACGTAGCCGGCTCCAAATCCAACCACAGAAACCAGGACAACAACACCGGCGCTGACGACCCATGTCATGAGTGTGGGCGAGATGAATGTAGCCTCTTCAGCGGCCACGACTGTTCGCTTTTTCTTGGCAGCACGGGGGCTACGTCCTGCCGAATCCGATCTTCTAGATTTAGCGGGTGTCTGCGAGCCATAAACTGGAGTTCTTGTTCGTGGCTGCGAACGAGGAGATGGTGCGCTGCGTGCCTCGTCCAAGAGTTCAGATTCGGCAACCAAGCGAAGCTCGACTGGCTGGCTGCTGGGCAATACGCCGGTGCTGGCCGCTCGTCTTGCCGCAGCCTCTTCTTCCGTCTTGGGGAGGCTTCTGGCAGCATGGGCACATGATAAGAGTGTGTTTAGTGAAGCACGTAGTGCGGCGTCGTTATCTTCCCGGATACTGGGAGACATGAAGCTGGGACCGCTGCGGTGGACCCTGGTTTGAGACCGCTGGCTAAAAGAGGGGCGTCTAAATTCATTATGAGGATGAGTAGGCAGAGATGAGTTTGTAGAATGTCGACGTGTGTTTCCAAAGGACGGTGGGTGTGAAAAAGCGTTGGGTTGTGGGCGGAATATGGCGGCATCAGTTGCCCTGCCTAGCGCAGTTGCGTTATCGCAGTCGTCCGAGTCGTCGTCCGAAGCCTCAGACTCGACATGCTCGCTAGAATGAATATTTTCGGCAGAGATGGTCGTGATGTGGTCTTCATCGCTATCACTTTCGTCGACTTCTTCTTGGCTGCTTGTTTCAGCAGCATGGATGGCTGTGTTGCTCGAAGGCAGAGATCGGGCTGCGGCGTGTAAGCGCCGGCGACGCTGATGAGGGTTGGCCACGTAAAGGCCAGTCGTGACGATGTCATCTCCGATACTAGAAAGGGACGAAGACGAGGGCTGCGAGGAGAGCTCAACCCAAGATTCTTCAGAGAGCAAATTTAGCACCGAAATCGCGTTGTTGTCATGATAACAAGACGTACCGTCGAAGCGCCGTTGGGGCAGGCCTGGGCTGGACTGGCTGGCGACCGAAGCCGCCATGTGCCGGCTGTGATTCTGGGTTTGTTCCATGGCGATTTATCTCATACAAACCAAAGCATTCGTAGTATGACGCCAAGTCTATTATTATTATTTTGTCTCTCACAGAAAGGAGAAGGGTTGTTGGGAGGAGGGGAAGTCCGTCGAGATGATCGTTATCAGAGGGGCGGTCTGGTTGTCACTGACCCCGCTCGCTGTGCATGCGCCCGCTCGTGATGCTGTCGGGGGGCAAACGCTCGCGTCAAAGGATGGCCACTGTTGTAGAGAAACTTCGCAGGAGAATATTTGAGATGGGATCTCGATGGAGGAAAGACAGCAGATGACGATGTTTTGTGTAGAAACGCACTCGTCAGTCCGTTGAAGACGGATTGTTGAGGTTGGGCTGAGCACGAGAGCCTGTCAGGCGATGGGGGGACTGATATCGGCTGCCATGTAGTGCTACCTCCAACGGTCACGTCGCACTGTGTCGACGCGCCCTGGGCAGCGGTTGCACTGCGGTGCGGCGACAGTGTGCGCAACGCCGCAACAGTGATATATGAAGCAATGGTAAAGCAGCGTGTCATAGGACGACACGGTGAATAATGAGCTGGGGGGTGCCTCACCAGCGCTGTCTCTGCTCAAAAATAGCCACGGCGCGAAATCTCCAAACATCTTGTCTTCCCCGGAGAATACCACCCGGCGCCTGGATCAGGTTTGGACCCTGGTATTCGGTAGGTGGGCAACGCCATATAGTAAATATGCCCAGGCTATCCGTAAGTCTGACGTGTTTTCTGATTTGTAAACCGTCCATGCACATCTCCTCATCGCAGGCATCATCTCATCTCGAGCAACTATTTCCATGCCGGCAGTACTGCGTAGCCATCTGGGTGCTGCTATGTGGCGGACCACAAGTACTGGTACAAGTTGGTGGACACGAGCCAGACGACTTGATCACACGGCGGGGTCCATAGTCAGCGGAGGGAGAGCCAGAGGGAGGAGCCCAAAGTGGTAATCTTTCTGGAGTGGCAAGGCACTGCAGGTGGGGCTTCGATCGCGTCCGTTGTGGTGCCCTGTTTGCCGGCTGGCACACCTGGCGTGCGTGTCTGCACAGTTTAACGAGCCTACGTTTCGTGAAGACAGTGCAACATGGCCGCGCGGCGCTCTCAACTTTCGCACCATAACTCGCTGCATCGCGAGCTTCCATTCAGGGAGACCATCTAGTTTTTATTTTGTTGCACATAGTACCAATATCTCGTGAGCTGGTGTTTTCTCTGGTTTCTGTCCTGTATGAAATGCGCCGGACTTACAGCCTTGATGTGACGCTACAACAGATGGGTTACCGAAAGGAGCCAAGTAAGCACAGCACGCTGGTCGTCCACCAAGCTTGGGGGCCGCCGTCTCGAAGAATCCTTAGTAGCTAAAAATATGCCCGAATAACCTCACAGGAGAATACGCCATGCCGAGCTATCCTTGAGGTTGTTGTGGACTTTGGCGCTAGGGATGAGCCTATTTACCCTGCACCTGCTCCATGCGTCTTTTCATGGGTCCAACGCATCACACGGTATTAGGGAATAGGCGTCTGAATAATCACACAAAAGCAATGTTTTCCGCGGCTTCTTACGATAACCGTAAGTAGTTGTTCAGCTCTGGGGATCCCAGTTATTTTGCCGTCCTATTCCATGTGTATGCCATGAGGTTTGGTCGGGTAAAGTTGATACCCGAAGGATGACGGGCAGCCTAGTTAACCGATGCGCAGACACTCGTGCCAGCCCAATATGCAGCCTTTAAGAGACAATGGGCATCCCTCACCGTCATTGGTTACTGGATCTAGATGCCGCCCGGGCACTGACCACGGGGTAGGGGCGTGCGGCTCGTTCTACAAATTGCCCAGCAGAGGCCCTGGCACTGGTTGGTTAAGATTGGTGTTGGTGGCCACGATACTACTTCCAAGCCTGCTTGGAAGTACACACGAAGCAAAATGGAAGGTGTTAAGTCCGCTGAGGGGGCAGGGCTATCGGCCCGTCAGGCTACGGCATCGCGGCTTCGGGCGTGTTGATCCACATCCCCCGTAAAGCTGGCCGACTTTGCTAGCATAAGCCATAATGGAATCCTTTGTGGGCTCCTGATGGAAGTTCCCCGGGCACTTCTCGTCGAGGAGTCACTAGACGCAGAAAAGCGGCGTGGATCGCCTTTGGTACCATACCCCAAGGAGACTTTTCCGTGGGCTAGCCTTGTGTGCTAACCATGCCACTAGGTACGCCCCAAGGAGTGTGGCTCTCAAGGGAAATCAGATACCCTCTAAACATATGAGTAATGGGCGCTGCGGATATATTATCTCAACGTGATCACTCACATACGTTTGTTCTGCACTACCGCTCTAGCCCTTTCGTCGACGGGTTACTATGGCCTCTGCGGTAGATGCAGGCCAGACAACAAATGAAGCCCAAAGGAGCCCTAAAGCCAAAATGCCGGTTAAATCAGCCTGTGATGTGTGCCATAATAGCAAAGTCAAATGCAGTGGCGGCAATCCGTGTGCTGTTTGTGCCAAAGCCAATCTCGAATGCAAATACACACCAGCCAAGGGGATGGGCCGTCCAAGAGGTGTCAAAAACAAAAAGACTCGACAGCGTCTTCAAGAAGCAGCTGAAAGTAGACAGGATCGAATATCATCTACCGCGTCAGAATCGTCCAGCTATTCTCAGGCTTCAACGGCGCAGGAACATATCCAGGGCATGGCCTTTGGTTTCAATCCACACGGCCCATTGGAACATGAGTCTTTGGGACTCCCTACAGTCAGTTGAGCCCCTCATCTTCGAACGATGGAAACTAGTATTGATCATTCCTTTTACAGACCACCTCCAACGACATCTCATATCTCTACTCGCAGCACCCAGACACATCCTCCTCAGATTATCTTGTTCTTTCTGGTTCGATGCTAGATGCCAATGTTCCATTGCCAATGGGCCAGACAATGTACCAAGCGACGGAAGAATTCAACTTCTCCAGCACCAGTTATTTGACCCAGCAAATGACGAACCGATTACCCAACACAGAACAGCCATGTGGATGTACGCCTCTCCTGGCAACTGAGCTGGTTAGGCTACAGTCCCATCCGGGCGCAAACGAGAAATTTTCATTTGTTGTGAGCGTTATTGAAGGAAGCATATCCACATGGCAGCGACATCTGGCTTGTAATATTTGCTTGGAAGCATCGGATGAGTATAGATTTACGTTATTAGCGCTTCAGTTTCGGCTAGCTCTCGAACGCCTGGAAACATTTTGCGATGCAAACACGACAGAGACATCTCAAGGATCCGATAGAGATGCAAGACTTCACGGTTCAGGAGACAGTATAAGAAGTATTAGAAGATCTTCACCATCTGGCGTAAATCAAGACCGCGACGATAGGGTAACGGACTTTGTCACCCATAAGCTTTCTACACTGGCTGAGGTGATAAGACAGGCGCGCTGCCGCGTTGGGACGCTCAAGAGGTCCAATTCCCTGAACTGTATTATTCCCGTCGGATCCCCAGAGTCATTCATGGATCACGAATCCATGGATATGCAACTGCAAGACCTGCTTGGTCGGATATACAAAGTGCAGTTGTGTTTGATGCTTACGAAGACATGATTCATTTGATACCATATAGATTAAGCGTTTTATACAGTACATAGGAAGTATACAATTTTTATTGCTCTCATTGTTTCGTCTACGACCATATATCATGCAGGCACAAAGCCCGTCTAGTCGACATATAAAGACTACCAAGCACATGCTTTGGTGCTTGCCCAGTAAAATAATTGCATACAGCACGCCAGGAGAGATGTTGCCTGAAGAATTATGTATAATTTAATCATCAGGAATAAATTATCCTATATTCGTCGTCTGGGTAAGGGGTCTATATACTTCTGAGACTGTGTCTCTTCATTGAGGTCCGCAGCAGTGACCATTATTCGATTCGAAATGCTTTGAGCATCAGCCCTTATCTGCTGGAATAACGGACCGACGGTGTGTACGCGTACCTTCAGCTGGGCCAATTGGGGGCCTATAGGGCTCTCAACAGGCTCGCAGCCTCGCACGGCGACTTTTTCACGAGCCGCGCGATGCCTGTCTGGTGTTCCCTCAACAAGGGAAGTAGTGGATCAGCGAGATATCTGTAAGCGGGACTTTGCGGAGTGCTTATTCCGAGGCGTACAGCCTTACGGAACTACGCTTCCGGCGATACCTGCTGAACGATGTCGTGGAGATGTGCTTACTGCCCATGCCGTCAAGATGAGATCGTCGGCCGAGAAGCAGACTGCCTTGGTAGAAGAGCGTCATGAACTAGTCGTATTCTTACAAAAGCAATAGTCATAACAAGGCATCAATGCATGGGACTTTGGTTTGTGGAAAGAGGAGGCTTGCTCTGTGGAACTTTGTAATGATGTGCATCAGTGCGGGGTGTAGGATTTACACCACCTCCGCCATTGTGAGCTAGAAGGGCCGAATTTCGAGGAAGCTGCACCACTAGAGGAGCAATGTTGCGAATGAATACGGGAAAACACTACACCGTTTCGTTGCCACTGGGATGCAGCAGGTCGGTGATCGGCCGGCTCTCGATGTATTTGGGTGATCTTTGCTGCGAAGAGCCCTGCAAGTTTTGGGGGCTAACTCGCATCATCAAATGCATTTGCCTTGAAGCCACTCCCTTTTAGGATCAACAGAGTGCAGGGCTTCGGTCTAGGCAATCCACAAGCCGGAGCAATGGGGTAGGCAGCCGTAACAATTGGAGTAGTGGAGAGCGCTTCATGTGAGGGTTGTTGAACGAGGAGAAAACAAGGCTAGTACTGCTAGCGTGATGTGCATTTGTGCATGCTATATCTATGTACAGGTACATCCAAAATATACGCCCCTTCCAAGTGGCTCAATGCAGCGCTGTTCTGACAAATATGAAAAAAAAGAGAATAAAGAATGAAGAAGAGTATGATAAGAATAACTGTTCGAGAAAAAGAAATCTCGACGGAGAGATTGGTGTGTGAAATGATTGGTTGGTTGGTCTTAGTGAAGGAGATAGTTTGTGACTATGTCTCTGTAACGGGCGAGTATAGGAAACCACCCGGCACGAGATGCGCCTTTGATGGCAGCCACAACCAAGCCCGCGGTCAACATCCAGCTGCCAAGCTTTGTGATGAGGCCGTAAATGACAAGCATTTTGCGAAACCTGAGTTGGCGAAGCAAAGACTCGCGCTCGTTGACATGGGGGAAGGGCATGTCTGGCACCGGAACATCGAGGAATTTGCAGAGAGGCTCCCAGCCGTCCTTGAGGTTGAAATCAAGGAGCTGGTCTTTGGGAACTCGCGCGCGGACCATTGCGTGATGCTCTGCATGAAGATCTGGCAGACTCTTATACGCTCCACTGCGGCTAGAGGCACCGATCCAGCCGTGGAAAGTATCCCGAAGACCGGTCATTCTGCGGTACCCAACCCAGTTTGAAAGCGTGGTGAGGAACCAGTCATCAAAGCCGAACAACCAGTGGTCTAGGAAAGACTCTCCAAAACTTCCAGTCCATGAATCCAACGAACGTTCGACAAGGATGACCTTTGCTTCTGGGTAGCAAGCGATGATATCTTCGCTAAAGAGACTGGCAACGTCTGTGATTGCGCGCTGACGGCCAATAAGCTCATCCCATTGGCTTCTGCCCCAGGGAAGTAATGGATCTTCATCGTCGATGTACCAGGGCCGACTATCGCGACTCTGCTCACGAAGAAACGGAAATGTGCACCATGCTGCGCGGCCCCAGTTGAAGTATTCTCTAAAGTCTTTGAGGTGAAGGGCGTGGTGGACAGGAGTGATACCAAGGATCTCTAGAGCTGCTTTGAGAGAAGATGTGCCAGTTCGGGGAAGACCGGCACACAGAATACCGTGCCCATTGGCAAAGCTTTTGGGCGCTTGGTGTGCTCTTGTCTTGGACATTGTGAAGCTAGGGGAGTGGGGAGAGCGGGGAGAAAGAAAGAAAGGGGAGAAGTCAAATGACGAAGGCCAGTGGTGGTCGTGTGAGACGCGGTTGCTGGCCAAGGGTAAGGACGAGCTATAATACTTGCGCGTGTAAGTCGATGGGGGGTATATATGAAGACGAGGACTACACGCTAAGCGAGACGCAGGTGAAAGATATCCGAATCGCAAATATGGCATGGAAGCGAAACCGGACAAGGAACTGTAATTATATCCACGTCCTGGTCTTCAATCCTTTTACAGCCTCATCGATCCGAGGTTCCATTAAAAGTCAGAATTTAATTAGGGAACGAACTGGCTGGTGCTCTGGGCCAATGTAACCCCGACCAAGCTTATCCTGACACCAAGTCCGCATAGCTTGCTGTTTTCGGTATCTGCTTTTTCATATTGGACCAGCTTTTCTGTTGACATTTCATCATCAGTTCTTGCGGTGGGCACGCTAGTTTCTCACCTTGCCGCTGCGGCTGTCGAGCCAAGAAGCCAAACCAAGTACCGTCAAGAACACTATTCAGCCCCAGCCTCAGGCTGAATGGAAATCCGTCTTGGAAGTTCACGGTGCGCCACGTGGAAATGCAGTAGTCATCAATGCCGATAGGCTATCGAGAGTTTACAATTTATGAGACCTGTGTGATAGTCATGAAAGCACTATATGCATGGGTCCCGCGTGGGGGAGGTCGCTGCGAGCTGGGTGGGCGCCGTAAGCGTAAGCGTGACCTAGCTCCTCACCAGGGAAACGTTTTCCGCAGCTGAATTCCGATCGCCCAGCAGCTGAAGGCTTCGAAACCCGGATTTCGTAGAGAACAACCAAAAAGGTGAAAATTGGGTAGTTGGTAGTTGAGGAGAAGATGGTAAGATAGGTTGAGCGGTAGCAAAGACGGACTAACAACAGGTGTTGCAGCACTCGACATCTGTCACAGCTGGCACGACTGGCAGCCAACTGGTCATGATCTCAATGGCCATTGTCATCAGAATCATCATCGGCCCTACTACAGCACAGATCGGGGCGCAGCAGAAAAAAACATACTGTAACAACTGAACCCTGCATTGGCGGAATTCCTCGCTTTTGACCCTCTCTCTGCGATCCACTGCTTCATCTGTGTCGTCCCCGCCACACTTGGCCCGTGCTAGGATCGGGAATCCATCAAACATTGGGTGCGGCCTCTGTCTGAGCCGAACTCTCTCTACCCAGACCAGCTAGCCAGCCTTCTCGACCCTTCCCACGCGCTTCGTTCCGGCTTCTATGCATGTCAGCTGTGATTGTGGTCGAGGTCTACTGTTACACAGATCGCAAGATGCACACGTGCCATCTCCCAAACGGCCAGCTCCGAGGAACGACTTGTCCCGCAGTGCATAGGTTGGGTTTAGTTTCGGTTCTCGGTCGAATTCAAGCAGAGATATGGATGTCATGGTCCATGCGTCCCGCAACTTGATTGAACTATTCATCGTCTCACCCATGCTAGCAGCGGCTTCACCTCGGACCGGCCGCCGCAACATCAGCGCGGGCCAGGATTTGGCCGAGAGCAGAATCCATTGGCAAAAGGGTAAGATGTGGTGAGGAGTCTAGTATTGGCTAATATTGTTGCCCTACTCGCCTTTGTAACAGGGCTTGACCGTATCCCTCGTGTTTTGTGACGGGTAAAACGTTTAATTCTTATTAACGCCAAGCCAAAGGACTAACGCCCATTCCCGCCTGATGACCAGAGACAAGGATTTGAGATCTTGCGAAATCGGAGTCGGGATACACAAGCTACACAAAGGGCGCAAATCACAATTGTAAAGAGAGAAATGTTTACTTTGGATCAAACTGTGTCATTATGGACTTTTCCGTACCTAATGCGCCTAAAACTACAAAGGAAAAACGAAGGAAACTAACTGAAAAATACATAGCCAAAGATGCACATTCAAGCGACATGTTGCTGGACAGCATACTTACAATGTCCAGCGATGCGAGAACAAACAAAGATGGGAGTGGATGGGTGGTGCAGATATACAAAACACGGACGGCGATGGGTGGTTTGGATGGAGCTTACAGATGCCATGTAACATCCTCTGAGCAATCGTCCCCCTTCATGGCATGGACACACTGAGCAAGAATGCTCAGGCGTCTCTTTACAAAGCCCCCAGGATCCCTCAGAAGTATTCGTACGAATGCGATTGCGGCAAGTTCATGCGCGCAGATCGTTTACCCGCTCAAATCCATCAGAAGCCCACTGGTATAACTTTGACACTTTTCCAAAGAAAGAGATGTCAAGATCAAAAAGCATGTTTTGATTCCCAACTGCCAAATGAAAAAAAAAAGGATTGAAGTAGCCACAAGCCCACGGATCAGATGATTGTACAAGCCCCCAGGTCTATCAAAGTCTCAAAAGCCCACAGACTTCCCGAGAAGTCGCCAACTTGTTTCAACCGACAGCCCACAAAGCCCACAGCCCACTGAAAAGTAGTGTGTTTTCCCGCCCATGTTTGAATATCATTACACGTTGCACTCGTCTCCTTCGACTTCAATTTAGTCGAAAGAGATCTTGGTGCCAGAGTAGCCGCCGCCACCACCACCACGGCCGCCGAAGCCGCCACGGCCACCACGTCCACCAAAGCCACCACGACCACCGCGGTCACCGAAACCACCGCGACCACCACGGCCACCGAAGCCGCCACGGCCGCCACCACGACCACCACCGAAACCGCCACGGCCACCGCCGCCGCCGTTTTGAGGGGGACGGGAGCTGGCGTAGTCAAGACGGATAGCACGAGACATTCTGCCGTTGCCGATGGAGGCACCGTTCTTGGCCTCGAAGACAGACTTGGCGTCGTCAACAGAGTTGAAGGTGACGTAGCCGAAACCCTTGAGGTTACCGGAGTCAGGGTCGGTAGGGAGACGGACGGAGGCAACCTCAGCAACCTCGCCGAAGAACTCGCGGACGGTGTCCTGGTCAACGTCGAAGGGAAGGTTACCGACGAAGAGGGTCTCGCTCTCAGGGCTGATGGAGTCACCGTGGCGCTGGGCACGGTCAGCAGCGCGAGCCTGGGGGTTGGCATCGGCGGGCTTAGCGTTGGCGTAGTCAAGGTTGAGGGCACGGCCGTCAAGCTCGAAGCCTTGCATGGCCTCGTATGCCTTCTTGCAAGACTCGTTGTCCTCGAAGTCGACGTAACCGAAACCACGGCTGCGGCCGCTCATCTTGTCAGTGACAACACGAGCACCGGTGAGACCGGCGAACTCCTTGAAAGCCTCGGTGAGGGCAGCATCATCGATGCCCCAGCTCAGGCTACCAGCGAAGAGAGTGGTAGGAGCGTTGGGGTCAGCCTTAGCCTTCTTGGAGCTGGAGTCGCCCTCATCCTCAGCCTTGCGCTTCTTGGAGGGAGCACTGGTCTCAGTCTCCATAGCATCGTCATCATCCTCAGACTCATCAGAGTCGTCGCTGTCATCAGAGTCTTCCTCGTCGGAGTCGGAGTCCTTTAGAGTATGTTAGTATGTAATGTCTTGTAGTTGAACAGGTGACTTGAACGAACCTCCTTGGCATCAGCCTTCTTGTCAGCCTTAGCAGGCTTCTCATCCTCGGACTCATCAGAGTCATCAGAGTCGGAGTCGTCAGAGTCCTCCTCAGCCTTGGCCTTGCCGTTGACCTTGGCGCCGTTGGCCTTGGGCTTGGCCTCCTCCTCGGACTCATCAGAGTCGTCAGAGTCATCGGAGTCTTCCTCCTCAGAGCTCTCATCCTTCTTGGCCTTGCCGTTGGTCTTGCCGTTAGCGGTCTTCTTGGGCTTAACCTCCTCTTCCTCCTCAGACTCGGAAGAGTCCTCAGAGTCGTCGGAAGCCTCACTTTCAGAGTCGGAAGACTCAGGCTCAACCACCTTCTTCTTCTTGTCGACCTTCTTGGCGAGCTCCTTGGATTTGACCTTGGGCTCCTGAGCCTTGACCTTAGAGGCCTTGCTTTCCTTAACACCGGACTTGGCCATTGTGTTTATGTGTATGTGAAAGGTAATGAAGAATTTTTGAAAAAACAAAAAAACAAAAAGGGGAATAAAGTGTCAAAACTAGAAAATAGTCAGACAATGCAGGATGGGGAAGAGAGAGAAAAAAGAGGTGGGAGGGCAGCAGCTTTTCAAGCAACTTATTTTTTTTTTCACCGGTGGTTGGTTCTGCCCAAAGATTTTTTTTTTTCGCCGGACAAAAGGTGGGGCGGGCAAAGGCGGTGACGCCGGCTTCGAGAAAAGAGAGAACCACAGTGTGGATATGGGGGGCAGACTGTTTTCATGCCTAACAACAAAGGCACCACTTTTCAGCACTGCGCCTGGAAGCAGCCAGTGAGGCATTGGACATTACAGACCTCGAAAACACGCCAGCTTGAGATCCCCCCTTCGCCCACTGACGACCACCAATTCCTCTAGCGACGGACATCGACACGTTTAATTTTGCATTACAAATCATATACCCTATAATCCTCGCTATGCCTACCCCCGAGTCCGAGCTCTTCAAGAGCCAAAAGCCCAAGGTCGCTCCCACCTTCAACGGCGTCGATTTCGACGACACCAAGGCCTTCAAGGCCGCCGAGGATGCCGTCATCCGTGAGCAATGGGTCGGTGCTATGATGACAAGGCTTGTTGGAGAAGAATTGGGCAAGTGCTACGTACGAGAGGGCGTCAACCACCTGGAGAACTGCGGCGAGCTCAGAGGTTAGTAGGCCATGTGTCGCATGGGTGTCGCGGACATACGACATCCTTGGCTGTGGAACAAGGGTGCTAACATGAATGCTTCAACAGAGAAATACCTCACAATGCTTACCCAGAACAAGATCAAGGGCACCAAGTTCATCCAGCAAAACTACATCGAGCAGAAGGATGCCGATATGGACCTCGCAGCCAAGGTTCACCCTAGCGACAAGATTGCCAAGATCAACCAGGGCAGATTTGCAGCATAATCGAATAAAAAGCAATAGAAGAGTTGGTGGAATGCGTTGGGAAGGTCATAGAGGATTTACTTGTCTTATTATTTTTTGTCAACGGCAGGATCGCATTGTGTTGAAGCCGAATGCAGCTATAGCATGGGATAGCGCCTCACCCGCCCCTTAGGGGAGTGTATATCACTGATAAATGATTAAAAAACCCTTTGTCAAATGTCAAATCCCTGTGTTGTCTATGATTACAGTGGTGAATGCGAGTCTATCAACTTCACATAGCCACAGACTTGCAGCCATTCTGCTTGCAATTCAGTAGTGAATGGCACAGCGTTGTTATAACTTAATTCTTTAAACAGCTTAAGAGTAACTCAAACCAATATTTAATTTTGTGCATATTTTCTTATTCATCTTTTTGTTAGTATTCAACTGGTCGCGGCCACCCGTTCTTGGGGCTGTCTGCAACTCGTGTGGGTCGACAGATTCAGGGCGCCGACGCCAAATTTCTGGCACCCAGACCAGCAGATTTGCTCTCCTTCCAACCTTCACCAACCACATCACAACACTTCCGACCATGTTCTGCATAAGGTGTCTTCGCACCAATGTGGTGCGCCGACCGATGACTGTCGCGCGACAATTCTCAATGGTAGCCTACCGCCGCTCAGCCGAGCCTGCGCTCTCGACCCCCGTCACGCAACCAGGCGATGCTGCCCCCAAGGACGCTGCGAAGGCGCCCCTCTCGATTTGCCCCGAGGGCACCGTTCTTGTTGGCTTGAACTATACAAAGGGCGGTCAAGACCCTGTTGCTCTCAAGGATGAGGAGTATCCCGAGTGGTTGTGGAAGTGCCTGGACGTGATGAAGAAGAGCTCTAGCGGCGAAGAGGACCTTGGCGATGAATTCTGTACGTTTTGTCGACGCTGGTGGGAAGTTTCACTGTAATGGCCATAATCTAACATTAGTCTGAAATATAGCAAAATCGAAAAAGCAGCGTAAGCTGGCCGCGAAGCGACAACGAGAGCGCGAAGCCCGTCTACTGGCCGAGGGCAACCTGGAAGCGCTCGCTCCCAAGATCCCTATTCAGCAACAGTCTATCAACTTGCCCGGAAAGGAGGGTGGCACACTTGCGGAGAATCTTGATGCTGCGGCCGCGCGAGAAGAGCTCAAGAAGGCCATGCGCAAGGAGAGAAGGGCCAAGATTAAGGAGTCCAACTACCTCAAGTCTTTCTAGTGGTTCTGCGTCTACATTTCTCGCAGCATCTACTTGTATTATATGTTTAAAAATTACTGTATCTTGAAATGAACTACTTTTCACATTGAACATGCAATGCCCCAGTAACCTTTGACACCTTGTTTATCAAGTAATTTTCGCTCTTATTAACGATAACCTAATCTTTACAAACATCTATAGAACAGAGAGATCCAATGGCACACTGCTTCCTCGGCCGGCTCTGTATTTCCTTACACCTCCTGTGAAAGGCCTTGGCTTTGGTAGCGAGCTATCCTCTTTGAAATGCCATCTTGAATCAGATATAACAATGCGTCCACCAAAGCTGGGGCTCGGCGAGTGGTTGGCACGACCTGATGGAGAAGATGTGCCAGACCCGTTGGCGCTTAGCGTGAAAGCGGTGGGATCCATCATGGCTTGCCGCAGCGACGATGCTCTATTCCGTGACTGGGGAGGCGGGGGAGGCGGCGCAGGAGGCGAGAGCGAACTCGGTGCTGAAGGAGCGGCACCAGGTGGAGGGGGTGGTGGAGGAGCAGCAGGTGCCGATGCTGTGCTGTTGGACGATGGTGGCGGAGGAGGAGGAGGAGGAGGAGGAGCCTGAGTACGGATAGCTGGAGCAGGTCTATGAGGTGCTGCAGATGGAGGGGGGGGAGGAGGCGGAGCTGACGGTGTTGGTGCAGAAGTAGCTGGTAGAGGCGGCGCGGATGAAGGTGGAGGAGGAGGCGGTGGTGCCGGAGCCGAGGGTGCAGAGATGCTGGCGGAAGCAGGTTTCCTGCCTACTGGAGGAGGCATTGGAGGCTTCTTGCCCACAATTGGAGGAGGTTTGGCTGGCTTCTTCAGCGCACTAATACCTCCTACCGGGGGAGCTGGAGGTCGTCCTGGGATGGGAGGTGCGGCAGCGCCAGGTGGTCGAGGAGCAGTGGGCAACCTGGGTGCGCTGGAGCTGCGTGCAACCTCTGTATCAGAGGCATAGGATGTATCCGCATTCGCACCGGTATTGACACCACCGCTTCTCTTCTTGAGCTTGGGCATACCACCAGCAAAGAGACCGCCAAGCTGAGGTGCCGATTCCATACCTGCTACGCCAGCACCTTGATCACTATTGCTTCTCGCTCTACCTCCGGGAACAGGAGGCGCAAGACCTCCCGGAATTGGCGGTGCACCGCCTACGGGTGCATTTCCTGAAGACGATGATTTCTCGATGGTAGGGGCTGAACGATCGTTGGTAACGGCCTTTCGCAGCGCTTTACCTTTGTTAATATCGGCGAGCAGAGCACCCTAGTAAGAACCATAACGTTAGCACACTCGGATCTATTTGGTCGCAGCTGATAATATGACTTACTCGTCCCGCGGGAGGTCGGGCAGCAGGGCCGCCCCCAGGGGGAGGGGGAGGAGGAGGAGGACCTCCAGCGCCAGGTGGAGGGGGTGGCGGCGGTGGCGGAGGGCCTGGCATGATGATTTATATATGTATGTAGTTGGTGATACTGACTACCAGCAAGTAGGGTTCCGGAGCTTGACTTGGAAGCCGCCCAAGATGGTCGTGTGTGTGGTTGGGGCGATCGCAACGAAGGTGTGCAGGCGGCCTCTCGCGGCGAAGCTGGTCTAACAAGTAAGGCAATAAAGCCCGTCTTCCAAGATGCAGCGAGTGTAGTGAAGCAACTCCGCAGTGTTGCCCAAGACGACAGCTTGATATACAAACAGTCGCAAGTTGTCTGCCGGTGAGGAGAAGAGAGGCTGCCGTTTGGTGGTTTCGTCATCCGCCACGCAACAAGAAGCAAATGGGTGCTGCGCGCCAAAGCAGTGCCCCGCTTTTCATGCAGGCAGCGTCCAAACGGGGGGCACTGTTTAGCGCGGAAGCGCTGTATTTTGCATGGCCAGTTGTCTATAATAACAAGTAAATAAAATATAGAAAAATAATAGTATAGATATTAAGCAATGCATGATTGTAATTGACGGGTTTCCAGTAGTGTGTAACTACATAGGACCCAAAAAGCAGTGACCTCATAACCCCCAGCAACTGCCGCTGTTGCTCCCTAACGTCGCCCCTGTTGGGCGCCGTCTTCCCCGGCCACAGCGGCCACCACAGTGGGTTAGGTACGCTTTTCAATTTTCTCTACACGTTGCCAAACTCTCCACGGGCAGCATCGCCATCACATCCACGCCGTACTGAGCGGCCCATCGCCACAAAGGAAGACGGGCCCTAGAGATTGCGGTTCTCAGCCGGAAGCAATCCTTAATGCGGTCTTCAAGCGCCCGCCAGGCCGGCTTCGTCTGTCGCTCCTGCGCAACCGTCATCACCCGCTCGACGCAGCCCCTAGCCACTCGCTTGGTCGCCATATCGACTCTCCAACGCAACAGCACCCTCACATGGAAGCAAACTTCGCGGCGGTTCAATTCTACAGTAGCAGCGTCCGCCAACGATGACAAGGTGACCGCGGCAGCGCGCAAGACCGGCGCAGCGGCTCCTGCGGCCATTCCCAACATGGATCCTCTACAAATTGCCACTGTTGCCGAGACGACACGCAACGACTTGCTGTCTGCAGAGGGCATCCCTTCGAAAAAGGAAACTCTTGAAGCCCTTGGAGCGTGTCTGCACGCCGCTGCTAGCCTCCACCCGCAACTGAAGCGAGCCGTCGTCCAATCCAAGGTATCCGCATCACGACTTGCGTCTCTCGGCGCGGAGCGAACGGGAACACAGCTACCAATTGATGCTCGCATTACCGAGGCTATTAGCCGCATATCGCATGCAGCATACACCATCATTGCTAGCCCCAATGTCGAAATGACACCTGAGGTCCTCGAGGTCTACGTTCAGACACAAGCACAGCTCGGCCGGCCCGAATCGCTCCCCTCCGTTCTCTCACTTTACGCTACGAAGCCTAAACCGGTTCTAAAAAACGGGAAGATTGAATATGTAGCCACGAACCCCAACGCGGCCTCGCGCGCCATTGAAGTCCCTGTCGCTGACATGGCCCTTCAAACTGCCATCGAGACCAAGAGCTTGGACTCTGCGCTGGGTATTATCGAGGCTAGCTACTGTGTACCTGCCTTTAAGCGCCAAAAGCTCATCAAGCATGGTACAGCGCCGGCAATTGGTCTTGCTACCCTGCCCTTTGGCATTCTCGGTCTCTCTACCGCCTATGCAGCCTACTGGCAGAACACCATGGATCTGTCTACAGCTACTGCTATTGGCTTTACCGGTATCTCTGGATACTTCCTCGTGGTTGGATCTCTAGGTGTCATTGCCAAGTTCAGTAACAAGGATCAGATGAAGCGTGTCACGTGGATGCCTGGTACGCCGCTGCGATACCGCTGGATGCGCGAAGAGGAGCGTAAAGCCCTCGACAAGGTGGCCTGTGCTTGGGGTTTCAAGGAGCCTTGGCGACACGGTGAGGAGATGGGCGCGGACTGGGAGGGCCTGCGAGAGTATATGGGCTATAGACAAATGCTGCTGGATCGTGTCGAGTTCATGGAGGGTATGGGCTAAGCCAACCCGGAAAGAAGACATTGTAACATTATGCACAACTCTACAGATAGCCAAACCTGTTTGCTTTTCTTTGTCACAAGATAGATTATATATGGGATGTAAAACATGTATAAACAGTCAAAAAAGTCCGACGTGGAAAAAAGTATATTCAAAAAGTCATTCCGTCATACACGCTCCAGATATAAATAACAATAAACTTGGCCGCAGCCAAATAATAGTAATACTAAGCAAGAAGAGTTGATCAAGCCTGTCCGCTGCGCTTTGCGGGTGGTATCATAAGTACATAAGAATCAAAGTGCAAAAGTCCAGGCCGAGAAGCATGCTAAACTGCGCTGTCATTTGTACTGAAACTTTTTTTTGTTTGCATCTCGTAAGATACCTCGTATTGTGTCGTCTTTATAATAGAGTTGTCGTTGTCAACCTTGGGCGAACCTGGGTATGCCAAGATATGCTCCTGGCTGGCGTCGGGATGCTGGACGATGCTGCGATTAATGCCCTCAGAGGTAGCAGGACCAGTGTACGGCTGCCATTGCCCTCCCTTGGATCGCGTGCGTCGTTGTCCAATCGTAATGGTAGGTCCGGTGCTTTCGCTGTCGTTCTTGTCCGCACTGGCAGGGTGATTGGCAAACATGCGCGGGAAGATCCAAGCAAGAACCATGCGACACATGGGAAGGCATGCACAAATAATAGCAATATTCTCTTCGACCATTGTCCATAGAGTAGATGCAATATCGTCTAGAAAACCATTAGGGAAAGCTCACGTGGCTGACGTGTATCAGAGAGATACATACAAGTAATATCTGGCGTGGTTGTAGAAAAGTTGAGCGTTGTTGCACGGGCAACGGAAGTAAATGTCGCGCTGCAGGTTCTGTTAGTTCCGGTCCAAATATTTCAACGGAGATGCAAATATACTCACAAACCACCAAGAGCAAAAACTAGCATCAGCGCTCGCTTTTGGTTGACAGGTAGCTTGCTCGTCCATATGGGTTGCATCGGTAAGATGAGGATCATAAGATCTGTCGCAATGGCGAAGCCGGCATTGGCATACCAGTTGACAGTCAGGTTAACACCACAGTGCATTGGCTTGATGCTCTTGTCCCAGGCACCAGCAATAGGGCTGCATTGCCAGATTGAAGCGCAAACTGTCGCAACCATGAATGCAGACACAACGCCAATGAGAATAGTAGAGCTTATCCTGAACCATCTTTGGACAAAGATTCTCAGGTACAGCAAGAGGATAGAGATCTTGGTCAAGTTTATAGTGAGCTTATAGAAGATCTGCGCAACATAGAAGAGCTAGAAATTGGGAGAGTTAGTTGGGGACTGTCTCGCGGCTACGGCGCTTCAGAAGCAACCAGGGCGGGTTGACCATGGTCGTACCTTTAGGGCCATGTGCAAGTTGTCTGGTGATAACTTCTTAACATGCTGTCCAAAGCCATAGTTACATGATATCATCATCAAAATTTGTACTATGAGGGTACAAATCTTCGCAAGGGGTCGTATTAGCTTCTGTAGCGGTTCTCGGGTTATGTGGACACTGTCCGACTTACAAACGAGAAGACAATCGTGATATCATCTAAGCCAATGCCAGTTTTGCGAACAATGCGGTTATACAGGCGGATAAAGACGAATATCGGAGTGACGATGAAGAAGACTATGCAAGGCACACGGACGTAAAACGCCGTGTCTGGGGCGTCTTGGCTTTGGAAGGCGTTGCCCATTGTGGCGGTCGGGTGGGTTTGACTCTCACCGTCAACCCAAGAAAGTCAGCCGGTGACAGGTCGTCTGATCTAGCGATGTGTTTGCGAACGGTTAAATTCGACAAACAGGCAAAACAGCGATCATGACGGGGAGCAGTTCCACTGCCTTATGAGGGATTGACGGTAGTGCGAAGATGGGTGGGGGATCTTATATCCGCGCTGACAGGCTGAGCTGACCAGGAGCGCAATCCTGTCAAGTTTGGTGGGATCCGCTCCTTAGCGCTCTGCGGCGTCGGTTGACTCGGGCACTTTGCCGTGGCTGCTCACGAAGCATGGGCCAAGCAACTCCACCTTCCCAAACGTGTTGAGCTGCGGAGCGTCTCCCCAAGCCCAAGGTATTTCAAGGCTGCTCGTGCTCGCTTGCATGGTGGTGTGGTGTGGTGGTCTTTGCCTTGCCGGCCGCGGTGGGCGGTGCGGCCGATCTTCGACGAAGGGTTGCAGTCGACGCCCAGCCAAGTTCCGTGCGAGGTCTCGTGTGTATCAAGATGCAGTTCACACAGACACTAGAATGATATGCATTGTCCAGTTTGCGGGGAATAGGACAGTGGCAACTGGCGGTCCTCGGCCGAACTGCAGTTGTTCCAGGTCTTTGTCCTCCAAGCACAGGCCGCGACCTATAGAATACGCACAGTTTTCTCTTCACGCAAACATTAAGTGCTCCGGCTTCTTGGTTCTGGTAGCGTTTCATCGTGAGCGGCAACCCTAGTCGATTGCCCGCCCTTGGCCCTAGCGCTAGCAGCTAGGAGTTCATCGAAGTGAGTAGCGATGCAGTCAGTTTCACCGCTTGAGAATGTGTGGTAATAAACACACTACTGGTTGCGCTGTACGACGCCTCCAACGCTAACTACGAGCCGAGTATCTGTGTGCCTGGACCATCGTTAGGCTATGCACATCTGCGTATCCAAGGCTCTGCGCGCTGCTCGATTTAGAAGCGAAGCAGCGAGTGTACTGTACCCATTTTCTTGGGACGTAACACCCCACATAGAAACCCGCTCGAACCATTTCTAGCGCGTACACGAAGAGATTGACCATTTCCCACAGTGGCCTCATCTCAACTTTCCTTCCAGAACTGAACAAGGCTACTCAAAGTTACGGTGATTGCTCCGTTTTGTGGAGTGACTTTCTGAGCAACATGGCCACGAGGTATCAACCTGACCACCATCTCTATCACCAACCATAGCCTATTGGAGATGCGACAAGATAAGCGGGTGGCGTCGCACCCGCAAGTTTCTGCAAGGAGCGAGAGCGACGTGGTTCTGCCCAACATACCCTCCATTGCAGTAACCAAAGCACTGGTCGAAGATTACAAGGAAACACAGCCAAACATTGCGCTTTTTTGTAACGGTTGCTACGTTTGCAGTATCATTGTCTGTTTCGGCCAATATTGTGGCGCCAAATATAAACATGGTACCGCTTCTCCTACCTTGACGCCTGCTTCTTCGGGGAACTTGGGTTGCGCATCCTATGGCGGAAGTGGTGGCGCAGGTTCTGTAGCAAATTGCCGCAGGCTTGTTACGCATATTAATGGCGTTGAGTGCATTCACTTAGTGAGCGCAAGCGGCCAGGAGGTGCAGCCATCACGGCGCACAGACGAAACATTGACCCTCCAGCACGACCAAGGCGGACGGAGGATTCGCAGTCGCTGCTATGCTGGGGACTGCCAAGCTCAGTAGACGTGTGGTTTCAGACAAGACTAGTGGGAAGTAGGGTGGTGGGCTGCGGTGGCTGTAGAGTCGGCCGAGGCGGCTTGATTAGGGACCTAACGCCGAATAATGCATTGCAGGTATTTTCTATGTGGTAACTTGTGCGTTAAATGGCACTTGCTCAAGTGGCGCACAGCGCACGGAGCAGTGCTACAGCACTCAGAGTGGAGGGAATGACAGTGCAGGCCTGCATTGATCATGCAAGAGACAGTTCACAAGCACAGAGACTAGAGTCGTATTTGACATCGAGAGACAGAAGGAAGGCCATCTGCCGACAGTGCGCTGGCGCATGGCACAAGAGTGTCCGGCAGCGCCCAGCTCCCCGAGGTGCGCACTCTCAAGCATGGCTTCATAACGCCTCCTCAACACCGGGCTCAGGGTTGTTAGGAACTTTAAGCCGCAGAACTTCTTTATTCCTTCTTTAGCATTAGCGAAATGAGATGGCGTTAGTTTTCTCGTGTTCCTTGCAGTCCGCCGCATCACCTCCCGTACTCGGCCGAGGCTGGTGGGTGACTCTAGCGGCTCAAACGAATCGCGTCGACTTAGCCACGAGAAAGGACTACTTTCCTCGTTTGGCCAAGCCTTTGCTCCACGGGTAGTTTCTTGTCCCTTGGTCGGCCCTTCGCGGGGCTCCCGCTGTGGCTCCCCTCGTCTTCAGTCTCTCTAGCGAGCTTCCAGTGGAGATGTGGCGTTGGACTTGAGACTTTCCGACTCGGGGACCTCACGCTCGACGTCGATGCAGCTTACACTGCATACTGACTGAGCGACTTGCTGATAATGAGCGCGGTATCCCATTCGAAATTGCGTAAATAACACTTGATCCCCTCTCTGCTTTGACTTTGGTAGTATGTTTCGCAGTTTGGAGCCCAAAACTTTGCGCACGCCACGAGACCTTTTCGAACCCCAAAAGGTCCCGCGCGAATGGACAGAACGGGACGTTGTTGTGTCGATCGCCGGAGACCATCCCAACAAGGGCTAGAAATGGTGCTCGTGGTGGCTCCTAAGGAAGCTGAATGGCAATCCAAAGTTCCTTTGGGTGCCATGTATTGAAAAACACTTTAACCAACGGTGATTATTGGCTTGAGCCACTACTCCACGCGCAGCCCATGACCCTGGCATTCGTTTAATAGTTCGTCGAGTCGAGCATTGGCGAGCTTTTCATTGCTACCAGCAACAGACTAGTCGGTTCAGCTTTTAACGAATCGAGTAATAATATTTGCTGCACCACCAAACCCTTACCCTGCCCTGGATCAAGGTCCGCATACGATGGCAATGGATTGACCACATGGACCTGCGAAATGGCAGGCCATTCACAGAGCTAATCTGTACCTGTCATTAGTACTGTATAATCCTATACACAGGCTGGTCTATAGCATCACGAAAGCTAGTCTTTAGTAGCTGCGATGTATCTGAATTACTTGGCACAGTGTTCGGAGAGAGCTGAAGTCTGGGTCATTCACCCGGATCGGCGTGCGCATGGATTAACGCACTAGATTGCCCACGTTTTGGCTCCCATCCACTCCAGGGAATAAGAACAGTGTGCTTTGTTAAAGAGAGTAGCCATACCCTGCGTTGTTTGCTGCAGGCGACATGGAATTAATGGGCCTGTTCCGCCCAAGCAAGCCTCTTGGTCCGTACACGGCATATGAGAAAATGGTACGCGATGTTTATGCTTGAGAGCACCGGGCACTGTTCATTTCCGCTACTTAAGTGCCTAGATCTATTGATGTCTGCAGGAGCAACTTATCGGACATGACCGCCGTCAGAGAAGAAGCCAAAGAGGGCATCGGTGTCCAAGAACCTTCGGTCCATTCATATCGGGCCGTTGCTGAATTCCAACGGCAGCCAGGTCCGGTGATGAGGAGCGCACTGTGGGCTCTGGTTCGGTCGAAACCCCTCAATTAGGACATAGACGGACCAAAAAAATGCCTGGCGTAGATTTGAGGACCTGGAAGAGGGGGGCGCGGCGTTTCTTAAGCGAGAAGGCGTTGCTGTTAGTATTTCGCAGGTCGTGTAGCACATTGCCAAATGTTCGCCAACTGGCAAACAACTGGCAGCTGGCAGCAGCAAATCCCAGATTTATGCTACATGATGATATCCGCCGTTTTATTTTCGCGTCTGAATTATGCCAGATGCACCATGAAATCACCTCCAAAGCAGCGTCGCCCACCCAGCCTCCCTCTCATTTGCGCTGTAAATTTGCTGTACAATGCTCCACCCTCCCTGCATTTAGTGTGGTATCCCCTGTTTTTTTACAGGCACCTCAAGCCCGCCCCAATTGCCTGGCTTCCCCAAACAAACGGGCCTACCACTTGCTTCCACATGCTTTTGCTGCTGTTGCATTGATAATATTTTTTTTTCAAGCCTCTCCGTTTTCTTGCTTCGCATGCCACCGGACTTGGCATCTGAAAACATGCTCGGTAAAAAGTTACTTGCATAAAGACCACGCGGAAAAGCCTCCCGTTTGCAAGTACATATTGACCACCTTGCCTACCCCAACGCCTGCACCATCTGCGACGTCACCTCGTGGTCTAAATCCCCTCTTTTGCCTCTCTTCCTTCTTCTTTCCCTTCTGCGCAGCCTCAATCCCTCTCATATCGCTCATACCGTCGCCATGCGCATATCATTCGCTTCTATACTGGCCGCGGCTGCCACGCTAACCGGCCTGGCCTCTGCCGGAGAGGCAGCTAACGGAACCATCGACAATGGCCCATTTCCCAACGACCTCAATGGTTCCAACTTTACGTATCCCTTCCCAGTGAAGCTCTTCAAGTTTACAAGTCAGTTGCAACAGCTTGAAATGGCGTTTATGGACGTCAAAGTCGACTGTAAGCAAAACGGCAAGACCGCTGTCCTCTTTCACGGCAAGAACTTTTGCGGCCCAACTTGGGAGACCACCATCCGCACACTCGCAAACAAGGGCTACCGCGTCATCGCATTGGACCAGGTTGGCTTCTGCAAGAGCTCCAAGCCTATGGAGTATCAGTTCAGCTTAAACCAGCTTGCTTGGAACTCGCGGGGCCTGCTGAACGCGCTCGGCGTCGGCAACGTCACTGTTATCGGCCACTCTCTCGGAGGCATGCTAAGCTTCCGCTTCGCACTCCAATACCCCGAAACCGTTGACGAAATGGTCATTGTTGACGCTGTTGGCCTTGAAGACTACGTCCAAAAAGGAGTGCCATATATCAGCGTCGACGACCAGTACAAATCTGAATCCATGTCAACATTCAACAGCATCAAAGCCTACGAGTCGCATTTCTACTACGTCGACCAGTGGCTCCCGGCCTACGACACCTGGGTGAATATGCTTGTCAACATTTATAACGGATCCAAGCGTGAGGCCTACCTCCGATGCCAGGCGCGCATTGTCGATCTCGTTCTGACCTCGCCCATTGCGCACTACTTTGGCGATATCAAGACCAGGACGCTGCTCATGGTTGGTGGAAAGGACGCCACAGCTATTGGCGCTCAATGGTCGCCACCCGAGGTTGCTGCCAAGCTTGGCCACTTTGATAAGCTTGGCCCAGAAGTTGTCAGCCAGCTTCAAAATGGCGAGCTGATTGAATTCCCCGACTTGGGCCACGCCCCTCAGATCTCAGCCCCCGACCGATTCCACAGTGCCCTCGTTAACTGGCTGCACTACTAAAGCGACCACCTGGAGAAAAGCATTTGTTTTTGTACCAATACCATATTCATTGCACGGCGTGATGAGCATTCTTTTTTACATATTCCTTAGACTTTCGTAGCAGTACATATTTTCACCGAATATACATGGCAAATCTCTTTTTTTTTATCTTCGTCCCTTCTACTTACCCCAAAAACGCACCAGCCACTCGGCCCGCCGGCAGCTAAAACATAGCTGTTGCTCCATCGTATGCTGACGGGCTTCGCTTCCCCGTGCGGCTGGAATGTCGGAGCGGGTTTCGTTTCCTTCTAGAAGTCAGCAGCCAGCTAATATGCCGCCCACACGAGACAAACTTGGCTCTGTAAACCGGTTTCAAAAAGAGGTATGGGTCATAGTCGGAAAATCGAATTACATCGCTAGTCAATCGCGTGCGCTTTCGCGAGCGTTTTGTACGCTACGACACGTCCACCAGCTGCTCCAGGGCAGAGGACTCTACGCTCAGGCCTCGTCAGCCAGCTCCTTGGCTCCAACTTGGAAAAGAGCATGAAAATCATGCTCTGTGAACAGAACGCGAATGGAAAGGCCTGCAAATTTCCATTCCCCATCCACCTTGCGGTACCAATGCGTGTTAGCGCTGTGCGCGTGGCCCTTCGCCGCCACTGTCTTCTTCGTTTCGTCGGCATAGCGCTGGTGTGCCGCGCGTATTTGATGATAGCCAACGATCTCGTCATCGGAGATCTTTTCCCATCGCGAAGCGCCAATTAAGTGCTGCGTCTTCAGCAGTGGGTTGCCGAGCAAGTTGGGCCGTGAGATCATGGCGATAAATTCATCCGCAGGCATGGCTTCCCAGATCTGGTTGATCGTCTCCCGATAGTCCACCTATGCAATTGTCATCAGCCATGAATATTTAGTAAATATAAATCCTGCATATAGGCTTACCCGAAGCGTAGGGGCAATGCATTTCGTTAGACGCTGCCAGTCTTTGCTGTCGTAACAGTCTGCCCATTCGTGCAGGACGCCATTGACGGCCAGATATTCTGCAGTCGTGTTAGATCAGGGTACCAAATATGTTGAGCAAATATATTTGCTTGCCTTCAAAGGTAGGAGAGGTTCCCATCTTCTGCTGTGGTTGTTTTTTTTAGATGTTTGAACCAAGTTTCCTCACCACCGTCCCCAGCAAACCCGCCGGCTACCACCAATGCGCTAGTCAGGTTGCGGGCGCTGACAACAATAAAGAGCCGCCCGCAATTGCTATATATACACTGCGGCCACACTTGACCTTTGCGCAGTTCATTGTTAGTCAGGGCTTTTCAGTCATGTTTCTTTGTTATTCTCCTTTATCCCGAACAACAGAACAACACAAAGGACGTCACAAGAGCCACGTTCACTACCAATGGTCTATGAGGTTATAAAGTCTAGCTATCGTCCAGAATAGTATTTTTGATTTGAGGAAATGTAGAAAATATATAGAAAATATTCAGTCGACCTGTTCATCGCAACAATCTATTATGCCCTTCTTACAGAAAACTCGCCAAGGAGTTCGAGATTACTTCCTGGAGACTCGATCCTTCTACGAAGCTCTGGCACGCATCCTCCTCCTGACTGGCAGACTGTTGTTCTACCCCAAGTATAGGCCCTCTTACACGACCTTCTTCATACATATACTTTTATTTATAATAGTACATGAATGGTCTATTGTGGCACCATACCTTTCATGTCTCCGGACACAGGGAGCAAGATGCCTCGCTCGAATCGCCCGCGCCTATCGGTCTAGATCTGCAACAGTGCACAGATGGATTCGCATACTGATAGTGACCTACATAGTCTTTCTTCTTTTAAGGATTGCTATTACTCCACGATCGATAATATTTATCTTGAAGCGATTCTTGATTTTACCACCTTACCTTTTTGGCCTATTGCTGGGTCGTGGTCTAAAACACGGATTCTTATATGCCATAGAGCAGTTAAGACAATATTGTTTAAGGCTAATGTACTCTCTCCTAGCGTGGTATTTGAACGATGTCTGGAATAGTGAGGCCGCTTGGCGGATTTTCGACATCGTCTACAATCCTTATACCATTGCGGCCGCTATTGTCATTATTCCCATCCTTCTAATTTGGTTGATCTTGGCAACGCGGTCCAAGCCTCTGAGCTGGCACATCATATTCTGGACACACTTGATCGTGTTTACTCTTATCCTTGAGTTTGTCTTTCCTATTTTGCCCTTTTACGTCATAGTGGCGGATATAATTGCCCTCTCGCTCTACATATCGATGCCGGTTTGGACTGGGCACTTTATTTAGAGTGTGAAGTTAGTCACTACTAAATTAGGACACAAGGGGAGGCAATGGTAACGTGTAACAAATTGGTATAGAAGCTAATGCAAAAAAGCCAACCCCCTAAAGCAACTAATTTTACAGTAACGGTGTGACAATAAAAACGGCCGACCAATGGTCTAGGAAACTCCGGCGCTAACATGCTATAAAATGCAAAATCGTTCTCGTTAAAACGTAAAAGCAACTACACTCTCAGTGATTTGCTTAGCTTGCCACGCGACGCACCCACAAACTGGTAGGCTCATATTGTGCCTCTTTGTCAAGACGCTTATAGGCTCTGTGGCGTTGGAATCCAAGTTCATGCTGCTCTCTTTGGATCTCGGAAAGCTCCGCTCGCAGAGCTTCAATCTTCTTCTTTTCATCCTCGCGACGTCGGATGACGGCGGCGCTGGCTAAAATGTAATCGGTGGGCATAAGCTCTGTCATTTTCTTGATACCGCGCTCAATGTTGATCTGTCTGTTGGCCAACCCAAAGAGCTGAGCATCAAGATGCTGAATACGATCAGTTGCAGATACCTCTGGTGGCGCAAGAGGGAGCGGCTTACACCCAGATCCGGGTGAGAAGAGATCAGAAACACTTGTAGCCCGCAGATGGGGATCGCTCTTTCTAGGAAGTCGCTTCGCGCCACCAATCAGAGCTGGTGATTGTGAAGAGTGGAAATATTCGCCGCGTGCCAGGGGACGCTTGCGGTTCATGACTGGCGTGCCAATTGGGGCCGGATCGATGACTGACATATCGGCCTCGTCACCCTCGGCGTCCGCGTTGGTGTGAGACTCGTCGCTAGTAGTGAAGCTAAAATGAGATTTAGGTTCCTCCTCGTCCTCTTCAATAATGGATGTGTCCGTAACAAGTCCAAGTGCAGACTGGGACCGTCCTCGGGCTGCCAAAGGGATATAGACCGGGCTGGACGCAAGAGGGTTGGCGTGAGGAATAGGCTTGCTAGTAGGAGTAGCTGGGGATGGCTTCCTTCTGATAGGATTGCTAGCCGGTGTCGGTGAGTCAGGCTGCGAGAGTGTTGTGTCGATGCCAGCTGTGTGTGCAATAGGATCACTTGGTGGTGGGCTAGGGTAATGCTGAGAAGCTCTTCGAGTTGGGATGGTTATCTTTGGCTGGGGTCTAGCATCTTTTTCAACTCCCTTGGAGGGTACCAGTTTGCGTACCGTTGGGCCAGACTTGCCGGTCTTGTTGTCTGCAGGTTGCGTGATCAGGAGCGACGCTGGGCGCGGCTTACTGTAACCCTCACGCGAGACAGCACGCCTGCTTGACCGAGCCGGGATGTTGAGGGGTGCGACACTTAAGTCATCTCGCAAAGTCTTTAGCTGAGGTTCACGGCCACTCGCACCTTTCCATGGTGGTCGGTTTTCAAAGGCATGAGCTGCTTCCTTGCCGAGTCTCTTGAACCGCTGGCCCAACGAAGGCGATGTTGCCCCAGCATTGCGGGAAACAGGACCAGGGTTATTGGGAATAACAGTAAATACTGGTTGAGTTGAGGGCCTGACTGGGTCCGTCTTTTGTTTTCTCAGTGGCACCTGGAGCGGCTTCTTTGCGGCGGCAGTGGTTGCTTGGCTTGGTCTAAGACTCTCGCGGGTGGCAACCGGCAGGCTGGAACTAGGGTTGCGTTGCTGCGAGGGAATAGGATCACGCTGAGCTGTCACGGGAAAGTCGTCAAAGGATGCATCCGAGTCGCTGTCAATAGGCGAGACAGTGTCGAGAGAGCTAGAGTTGGCGAGGCAAGGTGAGTACGATTACGCGATGCAAACACGGTGGTTTCAGTTGAGAGGCCACTTACTGTTTCCCATGAGCGCTAACCTCCGGTGAGCTCGGAGGTGAAATTTGCTGGAGAGCCTGTATTCTTGGCATATCTCCAGTAAGAGCAGCAACGTGTGCAAGAGGCCGTAAAAGATGCGAGTCACTGTCGTCTGTGAAGGACGAAGCAGGACGAATGGTAGCAGGAATCTGAGATTTGCGGTTGGCTACAACAATAGGCGTAGGACTAACAACGCGATGAATAGTGATGCGGCGAGATTCGGAGAGCTGCGCGCTATAAACGGGTAAGAAAAAAGAAAAACGTCAGTGTCTTGGTCAGGTTGGCTTGGAATGAATGACGTTTGTGTCTTTTTTGCGAGGAGGAAACCCCACGAGGTGGCGATGGCAGTGCAGCCGCGCCACTCCAGGGCCTACGGTGCTGTTGCTATTTAAGGGAAAAATGGGGCGGAGCTTGGTCTGTAGCCTGGGCCAGGGACCAACGGTGCTGAAGAAAAAAAGTATTGGCAGGCGACAGGGGCATAGGGCACCGCTTGGGCTAGTGTATTTTTTTTGTGATGTGATTCCGAGTAGTATGCAAGGTGAGGGGATGAGATAATCATGCGAAAAGATGCATGGCTGTTCATGCTTGTTGCTCTTCTGCATTCAGATTATACCTCAGGAGGCTGAGCGCTTAGTCCAGCGTGCCTTGTGCGAAGGGACAGCTTTGGGTAGCATCGAGCGGGAATGAGGAGCTCAATGGGCAGAATAAAACAGGACTAAAGAAAAATAGACCAAAGAGAACAAGCAAAAAAAGTACTCACGAATCAGCGGCTTCGTTTGGGTCGCGTCCGGCGCTCTTTGCCTGAATCTCGCGGAACTTGCAAATCACGTTGGTGATGCCAAGAGCGTTGAAGGGATCCTCGAGACCGGGGTGCCAGTAGGCTTTGTATTCGTCCTGCTGCTGGTGCTGTGGATTCAAGCGCGATGTCAGCGCCGAAGGCTTGGTGCTGGGCGGGCCAACAATGGAAAGGCGGGCTGCTCCCCACATTGTCTCGGAGTGGCCTTTGTCCTGTGTTTTCTAAACAAAGAAGCCTAGCAGCCAATTGAGCAGGCAGCCAAGGCGCTTCTGTTTGGGACGCTGTCAATAAACAGGGCAGGAATGCGGATAGCGGAGAGCGGATTGATAGGCTGTGGCCTTCTCTGGGTCAGAGCCCGCGAGATGTATTCTGAAACAGCGGGCGTAGGCGACGAGGCCACTCCTGAGCAGATCAGAGGGTCAAACGCTAGCGTTGAGTTGAAGGGGGCCGGGGCCAGGTGGGCTTTGATTGAAGCGAAGCAAACGAGCCAGAAGTGAATAATTGAAGTGAAGAAGAAAGAAAGAGAAGAAGAAGAGTTTGCGTGATAAAATTCTTTTTGGTGTTTTTGTGGTGCGACTCTGGCAGTGCCCGAGTGCCAGCGGCCGTATATAGAAAGTTGCCAGTTGGCAGATGCGAGGGCGAGCATACAGCGACGTTGCTTTCCTGTCTTCTTCACAGAAACTGCTCAGCAAACAAAGGGCAACCACGCCGTCGACATGATTGAACTGGCTTCCGTAGAAAAGAAAATCAAAAACCGAAAACTACGCATTCTGATGTCGCTTGGGACATGGTCTGTTCTTAACCATCCGCACATACGCTCCGTCCCCGCCGCCATGTCCATCATCGCGCAGTAGCAGCTCGCACGACTCGACGTCTGTTCATTCTTGTCGCGCCCCTGCTGCATGCTCAGCGCTTTCCCCTTGCAGTCAGGTTTGGAAGCTGCATAAACACTACAGCTCAGTGCCTCTAGACCGCACAGTGCTGCGACACTTTGGCCCCAGCTGGCGTCTGCAGGTTCCAGATCAACGCGCACAAAGAACCCACAAGCTGCCCCCGCTTGGGAGCTTGACCAAACTCTTTGGTTGGCCTTCCAAGACATGCAGAATCGGCTCTCACTTCCCGTACAGTACGGTAGCGGTAGGGGGAGCGTGACAGGGTTATGGCGGCGGGCTTCGCGCTTTGTCCTCCTGCATTGGTGGGCCGTCCACTGTGCTGGGCGCCGGACAAAGCAAGACGTGGAAGCCGACAAACTGTTGTCCGCCGCGTAGTTTCAGGTGGAAACCGGCTGATCAAAAAGAAAGCAGAAAGAAGGCAAAACGAATTCTACGCGAGGTAATCTCGCGACATGCAGGGCAGCCAAAGATCCAATTTCAAAGGTTTCACCTCTGCATCGTCCTGTTAGCGAACACTGCGTTTCTCACTAGTGTTGCCAGTTTGCATCGCGTCCGAGAGAAGAGCCGTCAGGCAAGGATTAAGGAGGCCGGTAAAATTCGCACAGCAAAAAAAAGCCGCCAACAAGTCGAGCATGGTTCTCGCACCACCAAAGACTACCAGGTCACAGCGGACCTTGGCTGACAGACAGCCTGTGTGCACGGCGCTCCTCCCAGAACGAGTCCAGCACCCATGTTAGCTAGCCCTGAACCGCTAGCTAGGAATCCTCAGCCTCGTTTGGATGCCTCCGCCAGACCTATTGGGTCCTACACCCGGTCCGCATAGAACAATCAAAGACATTGATGCTGTCGAGACAACTGTAATTATAATCCTGTTTGGGTCAGAGATAGATCTAACTAATGTTATGATTAAAAGTGTCGGGGGCCAAGAGGAGCGTCACGTCTGGATGGCGTTTGCACACGTTCACGACTTATGCAAGCCGTGAGCCCCTGCGCAACAATGCATGCTTGACCCAGTCTCGTCCACTTCCACGTTCTTGTTAGTCTCCGTCACACAGAGACAATCGAAATCACGGGGCCACGATGCCCTTTAAATATATCCACTGCGGGCCGTTCTTTAGAGCTTCGTCTGTCATTAATGATTGCGTTTTGGTTTGTGGGAACACAGAAATACAAATCATTTACTGTTCTGGATATGTTTTACAGTCACGAAATCGCATGTAAACCTTCCAAAGCTACCAGCTTTGATGCGTGTTGGGTCCGAACCAGTAGCAATCACTGCTGTTAGTCTGTAATTCTAAAACACGGATGCCCATGAGGGGTTCGGTTCAACATATTCCTTACTTCGGGAAGTTAGCATGAAATCTATTCAGAGGCTAGCTATTTACACGACGCCTTGGCACCGGATACCGGCTGGTATGTTGATACCACGGACCTCTCATTCGCCCAACCATCCTGCCAAAACTGAAGGCAAGTGAAAGCCTCAACTGCTCAGCCTAGCCTAGCCTCCTGGAAGGAGACCAACCAATTACTTTTTATAGTTATAATCGCCCCCTTCTACGCCTGAATTACTTGACAATATCTAAATTCGGAATCGAGGCTCTACTAATCAATGCACCTTCACAACCTTCAGTTTCGGAGCTCAAATCACCCGCAGAACAACCCTATTCATCTCCAAGAAGGACTCGATTCGGAGAGACTGATGCCTTTAATACCGTTTCACTGGCTCCCACCATGCTTAAATACATGGTACAGAGGGTTAAGTGTCCGCATAGCTGATGGCTGGGTTAGTACAACAATGCGGCGACTGGGCCAGCCTTGGACAGGGAGAGGCCTTCCGCACACCGTAAATCGCACAACATAAAAATGAGCAATTATTTTCTACATCAGCCCAGTCCAATCTGAGGCTCGGAGACACTAACCCAGCTGGTTGGTACTCTAGCAACAGGTGGGACGGTCTGAGCGCACCTCGTGGGCGGGCCTTTAAACTACCGAACCCGTGCCCAGTTGTCGGGCGATCCTTCTTTTGCTCGGACACAGAGAAGCCCAATATTCGACTACTATCTATTGGACTAGGCTGCTTACATGAGACCACTTTTTAATGCAGCTAGCGTGGATTCCCACACACTTCAGTATCACGACAAGCTGACGACTGGGGAACCGGGTATAATATTATGATATATGTACAAGAAAGTTGGAATTGTCAGAGAAATACCAGAGTAACTATTCCTAGGCCTGCAGCAATCATACTTCGTCTCATGAGATTCATGTCTTTATCATAAGTTGGCATGACTCCTCCGCTGGTATAAGGCACTTGCTGGGCGCTCGGGTCACTCTGTATATGAAAGTCGGTCGTTAACCCCAAGGGCACACATGTCGTCCCAATCGCCGTGCTCATTATTACGCTCCATCTGCCACTTGCGCATCGTTGCCACGAAGTTGACATGCATTTCCATTGTCCCTCCTGATCGCATACGGAGCCTGGATCTTCAGATCGGTGGTGCAGGGTAGGATATCGTGGTTTGGGTAGTTGCGTCGACTGCAGAGTATAGCCCCTCATGGCAGTTAAAAGAAGAAAGAATAAGATAAACATCTTGTTTTTAAATATTGCTTTAGTATCCATGGTTATTTTTAGAATGGATTGATCGTAGGATAAGCGAAGAGATCAGGATTTGGAGGGGTCCCGACTTTCTATGAAGTCGTCTTCGCGCCCGATGTGTCTCACAAGAAAGAATGTAGCCAGCGAAACATTCGCTACAGTAACCAACCATCCCGTCTTATATGTAATGAGCACCAGGTTTCACGAAATTGGGCACGCATCACAGCCCAAGTAATGTACGCTGTGAATTGGTGCCCAGTACGGCAGAAAATATGCAATGTGATGGCTTGCTTTTTGATCTGCAGCGAATCATCGCCCACGAACATTTTGTCAGTGAAAAGAAAGGGGTAATTAACTGTTATTAATCATCAAAAATTATCAACTAAATCCACAACCCATACTATGCGCTGGGCTTCCGCCCAACCATTAAATACATGGGCGTAAACAGTTTCTGCTTGCCGCCTGCGACAAGCGCATCGGCCGCTTTGCCAAGGCTCTCCGCCGTCTTTTTTGTGCCTGCAGGAAGAACTCTAACTGTTTCCAGGACCTGGAAGAATGCATGAGCAAAAACGCGACCCCATCTGTTCATTCGCAGAATGGTCAGCGCGTCCCATAGTGACTGGGCGTGACGTAAATCGGTACCCAGGGGCCAGTACCACGGCGACTCTCCCTCGTCGGTATCCGCAAGGTCTTCGTTGTATTCTAGCTCGAAGCCGGCATTCTTCATGGCCGAGAGGCCGTCGGAAATCTTGAACATTTGCGCGATGCCGTCGCCTTGCTCAATGTCCAAACGAATCTGGCGGTGCTGGAGATTATCGTTATCGAATGCATCTGTCATGAGCCACTCGTAGACACCAAAGACACCGCCAGGCTTGAGAACCCGTAGAATTTCTTTGTAAACTCCTTCGAGCGATGGAGCATGTACCGTGGCTTCAATTGCATAAACGGCGTCAAAGGAGTTGTCAGGGAAAGGAATATTCTGTTGCGTCGGCATTAGCGTGAATGGCTTCGTGAGAACTCCAAGGAAAACGTACCATAAAGTCTGCCTTCACAAATTCGAGCTTGGAAGACAGTTTCTCCTTCTTAGCATAGCTAGTGGCTCTAGATACTTGGTATTCGTTAATGTTGAGCCCGGTTACGTGGCAGCCAGTAAACTTGACAATCTCGCGAGCCGGGCCACCGACACCACAACCGACATCGAGAACTTTCATGTCCTTGTTGATGCCGATTTTGCTAGCCAAAAAGTGTTCATGTCGAGCTACGGCTTTCGAAAATGATTCTCCGTACGCGAACCGGCAAAAATGGAACGACTCTCCCCAGGCATGCTCGTAAAAGTCGGTAGCCAGATTGTAGTATCTAGAGGCAGAAGTCAATAAACCAAACTCACAACTTCCAAAGCCTGTACGTACTGTCGAGTTAAGCTAGCATAGTCATCTGTACGAGCTTGTCGAACCTCGTCCGTTTCGTCCTCAGCGCGCTTATCATCCCAATGCTGAAAGTATTGCTTGATAGCAGCAGAGTTGGCATCGGTATCTTTGCCCACCATGGCCCGCAGGCCACCTTTGGCATTATTGGATGTCCCATGTAGAATGCTATCAAATGCTGAATTTTTAGCATCTTCAGCTGTGATAAGGGTGTTTTGGACCATTGTGGCTGGGATGTGAGGAGGGAGCGGGAAGGGGATTTTGGTGTGGGAGAAGCTGCACCATCACCATTAGGGATGGAGATTTGTCGACCCTTTTAAACAATTCTGGTGATTATATTGTTATAAAGCTATTCGCTATCTATTTCATCCTCGGTACAGCATATTTCAAGTTGATGCTGGCTTACACTGTGACGAATACGAACACGCTCCAGCAAAGTGGACGGACACAGTGGGCTACTACTTACTGCTGGAAGCGAATACGAATTTTATTTCCCAAAACAGTAAATCTCTCTTACAAGACGCCGCCATGGGCCAAGACCCCACGACAAGCCTTGTATTTGACAGGAAAATATTGGATACGTTTTATATTTCTTTGCCGAAGCCAATAACAGCGCAAGCAAATCACACAGGGGCAGAGTGAACGAGGCTATTTGGCGCGCTCCGCAGTGGCGGCGTGGTGCTGGTGATTGGGGGTTCCAACTACATCAGTATACGCGTAAGTTTTGTGCTCGTCTTCGTATTTGATGCTAAGGACGTACGTTTTCATCTGAAGAGAAATAGGAATAATTTCAAAAAGCGTCAATTGTCATTCTGCTAATCATTATATACTGGATAGTTTCGGAGAAAGAAAGACCAACTCATAGTCGTGAACTAAGAGACGGGAACCACTTTCGGCGACGCTCCCATATCTTCTCTCGAAGTTCAATCTCTGTCAAATATGGTACTGTGTTCGGAATCATGAAGTGGAATCTCTCAAAAAACCAAGCTGGGTCATCTTGAGCAACTTTTTGCAGTTTCTCCGCCGTCTGAAATAAATGAGCGTGCAGCTCCTGCTCTTTACTAGTAACACAACTAGGATCATCACACCAGGAAATATTTTTGAGGTCTGGGTCTGTAGAGGCTCCAGAAGTCTCGTCGTCCATTAGAGAAGCCCACTTCAACCTCCCAGAACGTGTAGACTTGTTCGTAAAGGACTTGATCGTGCGTATAAGCGGTGTTTCACCTTCCGAGTTTGGGCATTTGCTATAAATTTGTATACCAGTTGGGCAGGATGAACAGCTGACGAGATCGCAGCCGTCACCTTTTTCGACCAGATCTGGGCGGCTGAGCCTGTACGGGTCGACTTGCATGTGTGGACAGAAAGCCTTGTTGTAGGAGCGATGCTTGGCTCTCAATAATTTCAAGGCGTGAAGCTTAAAATCGGAAGTATCATCTTTTGCTTCAAAGCGATGTATCCATCCAAAATCACACTTTACGTCTTTGCCTGATTTTTTTATTTCAACATAAGGCGTATCCGGGCAATCCCTATGCTTACACTCTCTCCGCCAAGTCTTGTGTTTAGTCTGCATTTTCTTAAAGGTATTCCAGGTCATTGACAGATGTGGACAAATCGTGATCTGACCACGCCATACCATACACCTGCGATCCTTGGCCGGAGTATCATGGCGGTCTTTGGCTGTGAATTGAATTGCTGGATGGTCAGCACGGCATGCACTGCAATACATTGGCTGAAGAAGCTGCCAAACACGAGGCAGGAATGTTTTTCTAACTCGGTGGCAGTCGCGGCACATTTTATGCCTGAGCCCGACAAGGAATTTGGCCTTATTCCACAAGGATAGCTCGTCGATGGGGGTGTTGCGATCTTGTTTTTGACGGGGTTCATCTTCTGCCTTGTTTGTAAACGATGTTGAGCAAGTCAGAGCATTTTGTAATTTCGTTCTGAAGGCTGAACCCTTTTTGGCAGTAGGTTTGCTGGATGCTACTAATTCGGAATCTTCGTAGACAGTGTCCTTAGAGCTATTATATAATAGCTTAGGATCAGATGAAGTTTTATTACCCATCGTGACAAAGAACAGAGAACGAACAAGAACTCTGAGGGTGCAGTCAAAATGATATGAGTGACTTGAGAAACGACTTGCATTATATGGTCGGGGTTTAGAGTTTACTGTTTCGTTTTTCTCTTTTTTTCTATTCAACTGACCTATTGTTTTTCTAAGTAAACTTTCAAAATTAAAACTTTTCAACTTTTGACGCCTAACATATTAGAATTAATGAGTTTGGTTTTTCCAGTTTTTCCAACTTCGCTTCTCTTCCTAGCGGAGACTCACCCACGTATCCATCTGACCACTCAAGTCGGAAAAAGAGCGATGGTGGAGACTTTTCAGGTGCCAGTAAGGCTGAAACTAATCTTAGTATCTTTTGTACTGATTCTAAGGTCTCGATTCGGTGATATCCGGTGTTAGTCGCGACTCGATGTATTCCGGGCAAGCCACGTTCGGGAAATGGGCGGCGACTCCGGACGCTGGTGACATTTCGCAGCGCCACACGGTAATAAAAGCAGAACAAGAGACAATCAGAGCAATATAGACAGTGGCACAGTTTGTATGTTTGCTTGCTGTTTTATTGGGCTAGGGTCGATGGATGGTGGTTCGTGCAAGAGTGAAGCTGCGATCCTGCAGGGAAGCGTCGGTTGCGAAGCGAGGAGCGTGAATGAGCGCAGTACATGACTCCTTGAACCAGTGACGACAAACAGTATGCGCTGGCCCGTTTTGAGATTTTGGCCCCTAGTTATGTCTGACAAAAGGCAACCTACCCAGGATGGGTGCGTGCTCAGCGTCACTGACGGACGACCATGACCTGAGACGCTTGATTAAACTTAAACGACACCATACAAGCAAACCTTTGAAACATAGTCTAGAATGATTTGTTGCCAACTGAAAGCGACGACGTTGCCCGGAATGTGGGAGAGTTTTGTGGCTGATGGCCGGTCAAGGCAAGACAACCTTTGGTGGCTTACGCAGGATGGGAGGACGGCAGCCAACCAACCAACAGCACCGCAGTGTGTATCGAGACATGTGCATGTGATGAAAAGTAAAGTATATTTACAAAGTAGAATAAGTCTATGGTTGTGGTGGTATAGCCCAGGAGGAATCCCCCTTTAGAAAACGCCGTGCAGTTGTTTGTAGAAAGCCCACGCCAGGTTCATGGTCCTTTTCAGATACCAGAGCTGGTTAGATAGGCGTACAAAAAAGGGAAAGCGGCTTCAAACCGATAGAGAGGTTTTACCGGCCAAGTCTGCGAATTCTCGCGCCCTCAGTTCCATGGCGCGTTGTTGTGCTCGTCGTCTATGGCGAAGAAGTGCGGCTGTGATTAAGATGGTGACAAGAAGACCACCACCTAATAGTGACGCTATTACCGCAGTTTGTTGGCCTGGCGAGAGTCCTGATGAGTAGGACTTTCCCGCAGCGGGAGAGAGGATTGTTGTGGCAGCAGCAGAGGGAGACTCTGTTACTGTAGATGTTGCAGATAAGCCAGAGAGCTTATGAGAGAGACCAGCGTCCATGATGTTGACGTTTTTAACGGAGAGTAGAGAGAAAATGGAGGATATGATGACAGATTATGGACGGCGGTAGATGTATTGTAGAGAAACAGGTGATGTAGATATAGTTTCAAAAACGGAGAAGCGGCTGGTGAAGCATCTTATACTGGCGCAGCAGCTGAGTCAAGAGAAAGCTTCCATGGAACATTCCGTGAAATCTACAGTCAAGCCTCAAACGGGGGTAGATTACACCGGTGAACGAAGTCCATGCCGAAAACAGAAGCGCTTAATTTGGTACAGCAAAAAAGAAAATAAAAAAAGCAAGGGCCAGCTGCAAGCCATGACCACATCCCACTTCTATTCGCGGGCGTTTGACTTTGGCGGGCGCAGCGCTCTCCACCACTCACCCAAGAGGCGTGAGCCTGTTCGGCTGCCTGCATGTCATGGAGAAAGCTTGAGCCAATGGCGGTGCTGACCACGAGGCTGCATTGCAGAAGAAGGAGAATATGACGCTGGGTGGCGTTTGTGGCCGCTGTAGACGAGCAACATATTTGTTTGCGCGGCGATAAGACCAGGCAACAAAGAAGAAATAATAAGGAGAATAATGATGAAAAGTCTATATTCGTAAACATTAAGAAAAGAGTCTCAAAAAATACAATGCCGAAGCCTCTAACAAAAAAACGCCAATCATCTCCCGGGTCTGAGCCCTGTCTATCATTACAAGCTGGTTTGGTCTATATGCAATGCAGTTTCCCGTCATCTTCACCGCCGCCCCCTCCCCTCGCGTCTCACCTCTTTTGGTACATTCATTACGTGGATATAGCGCACATCTCTCTCTCCTGCTACTGCAGTCACCCGAGACGATGCATCATAGCAGTGTTCATGCCAGTTCGTAAGCGTGCCTCTTATACGCCATCAGAGCGGCTCCTCCCACCGCCTAAATGCGGTAGCGTCCCGTCGCAGCGGTAGCGTTCCACGGGGGATATGTCGTGTGCCACATGCCATTATCGTAGGTGCGGCTACTCGTGGGCACAGGAGTGGCGGTAGTGGTCAAAGGAGTGACTTGTGTTCCTCGCACAGCTGTAGTGTGCAGGCTAGTCGAGGGCGTGTGGACCGCCATGGTACTGTTCTGGCCGATCGTAGGTGCGGACACGGCGTTAGAAGAGGAGGAGTCGGCGATAACACTGCTGCCCGCAGGCGTAGATGTCGCAGGGGAGGCCAATGTCTCTGTGGACACAACGGTGATTGTCTTGACGCTGGCGCCTGAGCCCTGCACCACGGTGGACACGACGGTCGTGGGCACAGCCTTGGTGACGGTCTGCGCGTCAGGTGTGACGGTGATGTACTTTGTTTGCACAGCAGGTGTCTGGACAACAGTCTGGATCACAGTGACAGTCTTGTCACCAGCTGGGTTATTACCGCCGCCGCCACCACCTGGAGGTGAGCCACCGCTGCCAGGCTCGAGAGGGACGACCGAGTACTGAGGCTTCTTGGGGGCATCGCTGCGGACCTGGATGTATGGCAGGGCTGTTGTGGTGGAGAGGCAGAGGGCCAAGTTGATGGCGATGATGCCGCGCATCTTGGAGTGTTGGTTGTAAGTGGGCGATGGGGGTGCTGTTGAGAAAGGAAGGCAACGAAGAAAAAAATCACCAAGTGTTGAAGGTGTTTATTTTTCTCTGGCCGTTATCGATGATGAGATGATCGACAGGGTGCTGTAGGGATTAAAAAAAAATAAAAGCAGGTGCAAGTTTTGGGTGGCATCGCGAGATGCATTTTGTCCGAAAAGAAAAAGGCTGGGGAAAATGGCGATGGCTGGAAAAAGCGTTTCTGGTGGAGGTTGGTGCAGAATTACCACATCGGGCAATGCGCGAGGGCCGCTGTAGAGATGAGGCCAGGGGGGTCTGCCAGGGGCCGGGCATAGCGCCAACGGTGTGCCTGGGCGGGGCTACATTAGCGCGTTGTGTTGGCGCTGTAAGGCAATGCTATAGGGCATGCTGCAGAGCAGGTAGTAAGACTGACGAAGCATTCCAGTGGTGGATTGTGTCTCCAGCCACCAGGATATATTTTTTATTTTGAGCAAATGGTGTGTGAATGAGATGGTGGTGGTAGAAACGTGTATATCTTACGATTTGTAAAATATGCAATGCCTTCTTAGGGAGTCTAATCGTCTCATCTGGCGCCAGATCGGATGGTGAGCGTTCTAGCGCTGTGCTGAGGATGCAGCGGCAGTGTGATCACCAGCAGCAGAAAAGTGGCTGGCGTTGTATGCACATCATGGCTGCGGCTTGCATGTCACGATCTAACGGTGATGATTCGTGAATGCGAGATGAGTTTGAAGAAAGTCGTATTAGTAGTGAAACCTGGAATTTGAAATCGAATGATTTAATTAGATGTTGGTTAGGTGTATATCATTCGCCTGCGTTTAGACTCTACTGGTGACGGGCGAGTGTATCTGCTAGTGAGTACCCTGGACGCGCATTACGACGACACCGTTCACCACGATACAAGTGGATGTAATCCTTTTAAAATATGGAAAATAATATCTTTCATTTTTAAATATACTGAAAACAATTCCAATTCAGTGTTTTGATATATTCAGACCGCAATGGATCGTATACCAATTTTTTCTTCCAGGTCACACCTCCCCACCTAAAGCTCACTAGTTTCCCCGGCGCGGCACGGGAGACCTCGGTAGCTTAAATCTATTGAAGTATAGAAACTAGTATAATCTAAACTAGCCCTTATTCTAAACAAAGCGTATTCCATTCAATTCACATCTCCCACCCCCCAAATCACCACTCTTCCTTTCACTCGCCCACCAAACTTCACCCGTAACTAGTGATCCCCTCCCCTCTCTCTCAGCCAGCCTCAGCCCAATTGTGGCTCAGCATGTAACTTCACACCACTGCCACTGCCACTACCACCGCAAGCCCACTTTTGCCACAAAGCAACAAGCTGCCTCCCGCCAAGTGATGTCAGCTGCTGGAGGGGCACGCGCCACTCACCTCGCATCCCGAGTTCCCCACGTCATCTCTTTCTTTTTTTTCCTCTCTCCGCGCGGCTTCTTCACCTTCATCACTGAAACTCACCTCGTCAAGGCCTGAATAAACAGCACGTCGTACGCCTCCGTCATCATGTCGTACAACGGTTACGGGCAACCTCCTTATGGCCGTATGTCAATCATGTCCCAGCTACCCCGCCAATGTCATCATCATCATCAGCCATCACCATTTTGCTAACTACTCTAAACAGAGCCACCTCCCCAACAAGGCTACGGACAACAGTATCCCCCTCCTCAGCAGGGCCATTATCCTCCTCCCCAAGGACACTACCCCCCTCCTCAACACGGCGGCGGCTACTACAACCAAGGACCTCCTCCTCCTCAGGGACACTACCCTCCGCCTCAGCAGCCGCCATACGGACAACCTCCTCAACCTCAAGGCTATGGTGGCGGCTACCACCAACCTCCACCTCCCCAACACGGTTACGGCGCTCCTCCGCCCCAGGGCTATCAGGGCCATTCTCCCGCTCCATCGGGATCGTACGGCGCCCCTCCTCCTGCAGGCTACGGAGCTCCCCCCGCGCATCAGGGACCTCCCACTCCGCCTACACTCGGCTATGGACCCTCCCAGCACATCAACTGGAGTGGCTCGGCGGATGCCAATGCCCTGCGAGCTGCCATGAAGGGATTTGGTACTGACGAAAAGGCGCTCATTCGCATTCTCGCTGATAAAGACCCTCTTCAGGTAGAAGTCATCCGAACAACATACGATCGAGAGCTTCGACGCAACCTCATCAGCGACCTCAAGTCTGAGACGAGTGGCTACTTTGAAATGGGCTTGCTTCAACTTGCTCGTGGACCCTTGCTTTCTGATGTCCATAATCTCTTTGACGCAATGGCTGGCCCTGGCACCAAGGAGCGTGTTCTCAACGATGTGCTTCTCGGCCGCTCCAACGCCGATATCCGCGCAATTAAGAGCGCCTACCAGCACACATATCACCGCAGCCTAGAGGATGCAGTCAAGGGCGATTTAAGCATGAAGACCGAGAGACACTTTATGATGGTCCTTGCTGCGAACAGAGCTGAAGACTCAGCGCCTGTCCTGCCTCACCAAGTTGACAACGATGTCATGGAACTCTACAAGGCTACAGAGGCCAAGATGGGCACTGACGAAATCATGGTTTGCAACATTCTTACTCACAGAAACGATAACCAGCTTCGCGCCATTGCCCATGCCTACAAGCACAAGTTCAACAAGGACTTTGAGTCTGTCATTAAGAGCGTACGTGCACCATATCCCCAGGATAGACAATCACCCCCTACCTTCTTAACACTAACTTGTAATTGCAGGAATTCTCTGGACACATGGAGGATGCACTCCTTTTCCAACTCCGACACGCAGTCGACAAGTATATGCACGCGGCGAGCTTGTTGGAGGATGCTATGGCTGGAATGGGCACAAAGGACTTCCTTTTGGTTTCCCGCGTTGTGCGCTTCCACTGGGACCGTAACGAGCTCGCCAATATCAAGGGTGCCTACCAGCAAAAGTATCGCACTAGCCTCGCAAACCGTATTAAAGGCGAGACTTCTGGCGATTACGAGCGCCTCATGGTCGCCTGTGTTGGCCAATAACCTAATGACATGGTACTGATCGTAGGAAGGTTATATATATTCCACCGGACCTTGGGGATTTAGGGGACCTGCATGTTTGCATAATGAACTTTGTATGAATACTGAAACAAAACCAAATTTTATGATGAATATTTTTGCTCTCAAAATTGCCTCTGTTGCGATGTAGACTCTGCGACTCCTGCCGCCGCCGCTGCATGATGGCACCTTCTCCCCCAACATTTTGAAAGTCGAATCCACCTATTATCAGGTAACGGTTGCTACCAACCTGCATCATCTACTACTGTCACCTATGCTACAATTTGGCCCAGCTGCCTATCCCTTTGAAGGAGCGTCGTGGGCTGCTCACTTATATTGGTCTTTACAGTAGTCGTTAAGCAGACTTTTCGGTACTCTTTTTGTTTCTTTTTGAGATTTAGATATTTCAGCATGTCTAGTTCATCGGAGAGCCCAGATTAGGATGTCGGTCTCGACCTAAAGAAGCCTTGCACACCCGTTGCAAGCTGGAATGAGAGCGATCACCTGTTTACCAAGTTGTTTTCTGCATGGGACAGTCTGCCAGCTTTCGAACCTGCCAACGAGACGGCGCTCCTCCTGGAGCTGGACCAGATTATATCCGCATTTGATGCCTACATTGAGCATAGCGATACAGGTTTTCGTGCCTGGGTTCGTCGACACCAGTGGGCAATGGAGCAAGGATTTACCGACATCCCAACGTGGCCAAAGCTATATAAAGTATCCAAAGCAGGTATCGTCTGGCAAGACAAGAAATGGGAAGAACGCTACGCATATTTAATTCGGCAAAGGAACCTCATTGCTACGAGCCGGTTGGAGTTTGTCAGTGGATGTGGTGAGGGCGACACGCAGCGCTTTTTTGGAACACGTCAGGATACCTCGAGACATACGCTACCGGCAGCGCGAGGCAAACCCATGCAACAGGGAGATTTATGGTATCTGCCGTTGAACGCGCTACTGGCCATCATGTCGTATACATCGGCATGGAAGCCTCCGGTGAAGGAGGTTCAGCGGCAGTTCTGGGGAGACTCGTACGCAGAGGCGTGTAGGGCACTGACTGCCGATGTCGCGGAAAGCGATCCAGAATGAGGTAGCTAGCTACAACAAAAGCGGCAGAGCGAGGCCCTGTGTACAGTAGTATTGGCACCCGAGGGGGCGGGAGGATGGTCGTGTCAGAAGAAAACCAATCTGACATTTTCAGAGCTGACACGGGATGATCGTGCGCAAAGGTTTCAACCATGTAACCAGACGGGTGGGCTGTGGCAGAAAGGCGCATGGAGCCAAAGTATATTTAGACGTTTTATTACGCCAACAAATGCGAGCCTAATTATCAAGTAATGTACGGCGATCATGGCCGCCTACGCTGATGAATGATGTACAGCACATGCTGCTGATCCTTTTTTCTTTTGGTCTGTGTGTCTGTTCCCAGGGGATGAGAGACGGACGGACTGAAATTAGACGGAATCCTTTCGCCACAGCCTGATGCCACTGAGTCACGGCTTGTAAGCCAACCAGACAAGCGATCAGACGAAGGAATGCAGGGGCTTGCGGTCTTTTCTGTTGGTGGCGTAGACTAAAGAGACAAAAGAGACTGGCCAAGGTATTTGCCATAAGATAGAAAAGCAACACCATAGTATAGCTCGAGTAAGCAGCACGCAACGAGCGGCAGCCGCAGCCGCAGTAGTACAACAGACGGAAAGGAACTATGTGGAGCAAAGTTATGCATGCGCTAGCTCCAAAAAAACTCAACCCTAGACTATTGTTCTGTTTAAGGTGGTGGTGGTGATGGCAAAAGATGGTGTGCTGGAGGTGTGGTGTGTGTGTGCCACGGCGTAATGTTTTAGTGCTATGCATGCCCTGTATTACGGGCCGCGCGCAGCACCATCAGCTCCCATTATTGCACTGTACTGTTCGCTATCGGCCTACTTTTTTTTTTGGGCGGCGGTCTTAGGGGAGGCTAACATCGGCTGGCATTTTTTATTTTATTTTGGCAGACACCGGAAGACGGGGAGGGGGAGGAGGGAATAAGAAAGCGACGCCACCATTCATGCAACATGGCTGAAGGATGGCATCCTCTTCTTTTTATTAATCCCTGCCATAGAAAGTGGATGCGTCTCTACAGAGCCTGGCGCTAGGGGTTATAAATTAATTTTATCGAGCTATTATGCTGATTCTTATGACTACAATTATTCTACCGTCTCCTCGGACGACGGGTGGAAGCTCCGGCACGGGAGGGGGAGGGGGGACAGGAGAACCAACCAGCCGGCCTGACAGGGGACGTTGATACCTGTCTTGTCTACCGTAGGGCCGTTGTCTCGAGCGCTGGAGTAGGATTGTCTAGGAAATATATTTTTTTGATGGCCTAGGCGATTACTACTTTGTACAAACAATCATCCAGAAGCGGCAGATGGCAAGCAATTGAAGGGTGTCTTTTTGGTGTTGGCAAAAGCACGGCTCTCCTTTTTTTTTTCTAGTTTCTTCAGCGGGCAGCCTGGCCAAGGGTTGCTGCTACAGTAATTACGACTACTGATGCAAAAAGACGGGACGGGAAGGAATCGCGAGCGACGACACACGTGTCTTGTAGCGCGGCGTGTTGCGGGATGAGGGGAAAGCGGGCAACTTTTAGTCTCTCTTAAGAAAAAAAAAAAGAGAAAAAATATTAAAATCAAAGGATGGCGCGCCATACTGTACGTTACAGCTCAGAATCGTATGACAAGGGAGCCAAGTTGGCTCTACTTTACCAAAAACAAGGCCACTTGCGATAGAAGTCGCAGAGATGCGATTTGCTATCTTCCGCTGTTGGTCCCATTTTTAGCGCGGGCCTTAGCGCTACACTAGCCCGTCCGTTAATTATTAGTAATTAATTAGTTGGTAGTCCATTGTCCCGACTAAGAAGCGCTTGCGAGCGAAGGGGGGTGAACCACTGGAGCTAGTACCAAAGAGGAAAAGAATTTGTTCGACGTCGTAGAGGGCTGCATGCGCCTGGAATTCGGAAGGATGCGAAAGCATGTTTCGGCTGTCTGGTTTCCTTTTTTGGTCCTTTGCAAGCTCTGTTATGTGTGTTTTTATGACAGATCACGGATTACACTGAAAGCAGGGAGAGAGAGAGAGAGGTCCTGTCGACAAGTGGTGGTCTGGTCCGAGAGGGGAAAAACATGCGTGGCGGTGGTTTGACAAACCGTCGGCCGAGGTTTAGCGCCAGATGGGCGAGGCTAGCCGTTAAAAAAAGAAAAAGAAAAAAGAAAAGGCCCAAGCAAGCTCAACCCAACTGGGGGGGCTGGAGAGGAAAAAAAACCGAAAAGTCTTAAAAAAAGAGGAGATTGCGTTATAGCTCGGCCTACAGCGGGTGGAATGTATTCTCTAATGGTACGATGTATATCATTATGTACTCACTTGTATCTGCGGGACGGGGGGAGGAGGTATGAATGACAGCGCATATAGTTATTAATATATTGTGAAGCGAGAAAGCATAAAATATCAGCCACGGGCGAAAATGCATATTATAAAAGGAGAAGAAGAAAAGATACACGAGGGACTTATTATCGGGGCAAACATGCAAAAAAATTATAGCAATCAATAAAAAATTTGGACGAGCCTTGTTCTCGTTTGGGTCCTTCGTGTTATCTGGCGTTTCTCAGTGTACTGTAGGGGCCAGCCCCCCAGTCGGATGGGATGCCCGCCCCTCTCCCCCCCTTCTGGTCCCCTCCCCCCCTCTTCGTTTGCTCTCTATATTATCTTTTTTTCTCGTAAAATTACCCCAACTACTAGGACAAGCGAGCGAGGAAAAAAAGGTACCTACCTACCTCCACTAGTACGAAAGGATGGATGGGTACGTACGCAATGGGTCTCCGCCTGTCAAGTTCGGGTTAAGTAGGCTTCAGCGGGGCCCTTAACTGTTTACTTGTGGTGGCGTCCTTCCGCCGACGCCCACTGGATCCAACGAAGTTTGTAATAAACGCCCTATGGAACACGATGTATGTACGTACTTACTACGCAGGATTTAGCCCCAGAAAAGGCAAAGTGGCCAAATAAAAAAATTAAAATAATAATAACAATAATAATAAAGTTAATAAAAAAAATGCTAAGCATCGAGCCCAGCTGAACTCGGCTCGGGGTTTCTTAGGCTAGCGTCTTTTCAAAAAGTAGCTTGTTTCCGCCGCCTCTTGTTTCTTTATTTTTGGGACTTGCCAAATATCTTTTACTTTACAGTGCATCTGTACGCTACAACTTGGCTGCTGCTACGACCGTCCGGCAAAGACGTTTTTTTTCCTTTTGCTTTTCCTACAGGGCCACCCGCACCACCCGCCGAGGCGCCGCAAACACACACTGTCCTCGCCTGTTACTGTACTGTAGACACGCCCCCCTGTGGCTACTGTGCTCGCTCTTGGTTCCCCTGCGACTACTGGCCTGGCGCTAGCTACCGTGCCTTCTTCGGCTATTGCTTTGCTCTTTTTTGTTACTATTTGTTTCTTTTCCTATTTTCTTTTTATTTCTTTTGACAGCTCACCACCGCACTGGAACCCAAGCGTTTCTCACGGCCAAGGGAACGTAATTAAACTCGCGCCCCGAGCAACATCTCTCAAAAGTGCAAAGACGAAATCCTTCCAACGCTCGGCTTCCACTTTTTTTTAGTACCCTCGCATCCTTTCTCGTTTCCCTCTTCTACTTTAGACATCCTTGCGCCGGCCTTCTTCTCCCCTTCCCCATCATACTACTTTCGTCTTTTAATCTTTCTGTAACGGCCGACTTATCTGCGTGCTTTTTTCTCTTCTTGCATCGTTTTGCTCTCCCGCCTGCATACACATCTCTACTCTCACCAACACACACAAACACTACTCCAGTCGTTACTTCTTTCTTCATACTTCACTCACCTGTCGTTCCCGGTGTCCTCTCGCAAAACCACAGCGCGCCGCCACCTCTTCACAGCTGTCTTTGCTCGCTCGCCACCACCTGCAAGCCAGCCTAGAATCCGCCAACTAAACGAGACGCGATTACTGAAGCACACAACGCCATCTTCAGCATCCTACGCCTGGAAATACGCCGAGCTGCCTAGTCTCTGGTTTTTTTTAATACGCCCTGCAAGCCAGTCGACGCCGCGATACCTTCGATTCGCTCATCGCGCCAGTCAGCACTCAAGTTAGCGAAAGCTTGCAAGCTGCTGCACCACATTCATCACCACCACCCCTGTCTCACGTGCTGCCTAGTGTTGCGCCTCGTCCGTCCTCTATTCACCGAGACGCCAGACGTTTAAGCCAAGCTCCGACTAATCTAATCTTTCTTTCCCTTCTTTTTCTCAACATTTCCCATCTATGCCTTAAACAGGTGTCACAATGATGGACGTTAATCCCCGCACAAGTTGGCGGCCTGTCAATTCCCAGCTTCCGCCGCCGCAGCCAGCTCACTCATACCCTTCGCCGCAGCCAGCCTACCACTCCTCTAAACCGCCACAACAACCAAACCTTCTTCGATACCCATCCCCAACACCAGATGGCCGCCAATTAATGTCCGACCCTCACCTTCGCTCAGAGGCAGAGGACCTCTCTCACAGACTGACTTCGGCCCGTCCAGAAGTGGTCCGTCTTGTCCTCCGCAACTTATTCGAGATGTGCTTCATAGGCTCCGAGTATCACGCTTCTTTCCTTCTCAATATTGTTATGCATGAATCTAGCCCAGAAGTCCTCCGCAGAAGTATAGACCAATTCGGCGGCCGTCTTGCCAAGGATTGCGCGCGAGAGATCTCTAGTCACTGGGGACCAACAGAGCTTGACCAGCTCGCCCCGACGCTCTTGGCTAGATGCGGCAGCTCATTTCTCGACAAGGCCATTGAAATGCGCCTCGAAACCATCCCTGCCCAAAATCTTGTTAATGCTCTGGCAAAGGCCAACCGTCTTGGATACAATGCTGGTGACATTGTCCAGACATTCCCTGGTCCCGGTACGTAGATGCGCTTCGCATCCCGCACGGTTCCCATATTTGTAAGAATACTAACATTTCGCTTTAGCTGGCCACCACCACTCGCCACAAAATACCCTCCCGCCCATGGCTTCACAACCCGTCATGGCGCCACAGCCAGCTGCGCCATTGGCTCCTCCTAACGCAGTAGCCTTGCCTGATCCTACTGCTCTGAGCCTGGGCATTGCGTACTGCAATAGCTGTAAACGCCCCTGCAGCGGCAAGCTTGCCCTTAACCATGTAAGAAACTTTGAACTTGCTCTGACTTTTGAAGCCCGATCTAACGCCCCAGCAGCATCAAAAACGACTTCCCTGCTCCGGATGGTCTCGTAGTGTCATTGGTAAAGACGTCTGCCTGCACTGTGGACAGCGATTTGACGGCAATGGTGGTCTAGCCTATCATGCCAAACATAGCGTTTGCGGCACCTATTCCGATCAGGTTATTGAGAAGATGGAACACCTCATGGCGGCAGCTTACACCGTACCACCCGGCGCTGCACCCGGGCATGCGCCGATGCAGCCTGCACCCATTAATAACGGCCATAGCGGTGTGCACTCCAACAACCACAGCCCATCTCATCACCCTCATGGAGTTCACGGAGGACACGCTGGGCATCCAGGACACACAGGACATGGAGGGCCTCATGGAACGCCGGTATCTCATGGAGGACATGGACACCCACACGGTACACCTGGCAGCCATGGGCCACACGGATCCCACATGAGCGCACCGGGGTCCCCCTCAAGCGATCCATACGCATCATTGACTTCCACCCAACGGCAGATGCTTCAAAAGGAGATTCAAGATGCTGAGGATAAGTTTGCTGATCGAATGAAGGAAGCTATGATGTTGCCATCATCTGAGCGAGACGTGAAACTGGCCAATCTGAAGAATGGGCTGAACAACAAACAGAGTATGATTCGAAAGAAGTACGGCATCCGCCTCCGCGGCCGACGAACAAGAGCTGATATGCAAGCTGAACGTGAACGTATGCTTGGCTCAAGTGCTCCCATTCCCCGTCCTTTGGCCCCGTCGCACCATTCTACAGCGCCGATGCCGTCTCACGACCGACGAGGGAGCACTCCTGGGGAACATCTAACAGCATCATCGTCAGGCTTTTCTCAGCGCAATGAGCTGCCCCCGATACGGGCCGAGGGCTTCCCCCCGCCTCACCAGTATGCAGACTCTCAGGGAACCTTTTCGCAGAGCCCACAGCCTCAGGATTCCCAACAGCATACCCCACAGCACCGGAGCCCGCACCAAGACTCTGTGACACACTCCGTCTCTCGACCACAGAGTCCGCATCCTCGAAGCCCACATCACCAGAGCCCGCCTCAAGAGACATCTCGGTTGGATGACTCCCGATTGGAGAGCCCCAGGCTTCACCATCAGGCGGCCCCGCCAGCCCAGGCCACAGGAGACGAGTCTCAGCTCCAACAGCGCGGTGGCGCCAGCAGTCCTGAAACCGGTCCAGCGTCCACCAACCAAGGACAAGACGACAGGATGGAGATTGACAATGAGAAGGAAGACACCGCTATGGGACATAGAGACGAGGGCTCAGGCCAGGCACAGGAGATGAGCGCGTAAATCACCCAAGGCACCGGTTGCATGGGGAAGAACAGAACAGAGGCATTATCCTCTGAGGAGTTGGGACATGATTTTTTTTCTTTAATATTGATTCTTTCATTTATTCTTTAGCCTATATGGGTAGCTGGCTAGCTGCCTGCAATGGGTCAAGAAGGAACATTGTATCATTTGGGGTGCGAGGTATATACCATTACGGAATGCAATGGAGTTTGGTTTTAGCCACGAGGAGACATTAGAATAGCGAGAAGCACATACGTCGGCGGGAGATAAATATTTTTGACTGGCCTGTGGCCAAGAGGATTGATTTTTAAGGGGTTTTACAAGATGATTTAGCTGTTTTTGTTTTGTTACCTGTCTTAGGGATACCACTATGAGCGACTAGGCTCCTCACAAATACATATATGCCCATGTTTCTACTTGTGCTTCCATCAGACGGTCAAGACGTGCATGGCTACCAACCTCGGGGTAATGCGATCCGATCATGAACGTGGCGAGTTCAAGATGCATGACAACAGGGGCCAGTCTGTGTGCAGCAAGGACGGGGAGCACGGATAGCGCCAAACACGACGGGACCTACAGACGCTAGTCGATAAGCCAGTGAAGTGTTGACCTAACGAGATACACCTGTGACGACGAGACCGGAAGCACGCACACCAGCGGTAGGCTGCTTTTGGCCAAGCGGTGACGAAAAATCAAACTAGAGCTGTGCGATGGTGGGTTGCGAAAACGGGTTCAATGTGCGAAATGAAATGAAGCAGTGGCAGAGGAGAACGTCTGAGCGTACATGATGAGACGTGCGTCTGTGCGGGATGGCGCTGTAGAGCGTGCGTGGATAGAGTGGGCGGTGGCGCCTGTATATGGGATATTTAAATTATCTACAGGATGAAGGCTAAAGTGGATGCAAAGTATTGATTGTGTCTATTCTCCCGTCGCTCCCGGCCAGAATCATTTATTGTTTTTGTTGGGCACATGTTTGTGCCAAGCTGGGTGCATGCTGTAGTTGTCGCAAGTACGTGTTTGGCGCCAGCAACAAAAAAGATGGTGTGAACCGTCAGCAGTAGGGACAGCTTTCTTTGTTTCTATTTTCATAAACAAACTCTGCGTAGGCACAGAACAGGAATTGGTTTGTGCAGGTGGGCATCCCTTCGTTTCAGATACCCACGTCCTGCGTACCCCCCGTAGCAGCCAGCCAGCACGCCGAGTTTATTGGTAATTTGCAAAGCCTTTCTATTTTGCTTGGGTGTATTGACGTTTCTCTTTCGGTGTTAATTAGAATAACATGCAATTTTTGGCTTGGCTTATTTGCGGGTATGGCAACGTGGTAGGCAGCCTGCGGGAGTCCGTGTAAGCGAGAGAGGACCGAGCGGGATCGACGGGCGTGTCTGGGAGAGACAGATGATTGTCACTACCGGTGGCTCTAGCGGCGGTTACAATGGGATTCAAATAAGTCATTGATAGGCAGTTGGAGCAGGGGTGGCCATGATGTTCTCGTGCAGCTAGGTAGATGATGCAGTTCTGGTCGTTGCTTTCTACCGTGGCACGAGGCGGCGGAGAAAGGGTCGGTCTCCCCCACGGCCAGTGGGCTGACTGGCCGTTTGTATTGTTTAGCTGAGCTGCGTGTGTAATTTGCCGCCTTTTGCTGCCTGCGTGACTTTGACTAACAGAAGCATTGGGCGGGTTGCGGGTGCAAAGTCGACAAAAGGCGTTAGTGATGCGGTCTTCTGCCAGGTGCGCCAGCTGCCTTGCACGTCACCACCCCCCGCTCCTCGCTTCTTCTTCTTCTTCTTTTCTCCTTTCCCTTCTCCTATTCTTTTTATCTTCTTCATCTTCTGAACACGACAGCCATCGTTGCATTGTTGCTCTCGGCTTTGCTCGCTCGCTCAACTCCCTCCACCACCTCGCCACCACTTGCTTCCACGCCTTGCTACCACACAACATCCTAACACGGGCTGGCTCTTCCCACGTCTTGGGATGAAACAACTAGCTTGACCAATCACCATCTCCCACAAACCAGCCTGTTTCGAATCTGCCACCAGCGTGTAGCAGGCCAGCCAAGGCCACAGAATCGTGGCAGTGCCTTTGCCGCGCCCCTCCCTCAAAACAAGGCGTTTGAAGATCGTTGCATGACTGCAGCTGCCGCCTGGGTGGGCTTGTTTGAGCTTTCCACAGCCCGATCTGCACTCTCTAATCTCCTACCCTTCTTAATCCTCTCAGAAGAAGCCTAAATCAGCATCGCTGCCTACTGTTGTGCAGCAACGAGACGCTGTATTGGCCGAACTCTGGGCGACGACAACATCGCCATGTCTGAGGTCATTGACAGACATATTCACATCACAAATAGCGTTAACTTATAGCCCTCACTATGATGTCCTATCAGCTTTCATCCTTCACCACAACTCATCATGCGTTACCCTTTGACCAGCCGCATCTCGACTTCCCATCATCATCACAACAACCCAGTCTGCAAAAGAATCACCTATCCGTCTTGAACAAACGCCTACCTCCTACGCCGTCATCAAGGAGTTTTGATCCTTCAGAGCTTACAACTGTTCTTGTCGGATCCAAACAGCGTCCATTCCAGGTTCATCGCCGGCTACTGTGCGATGCGTGCCCTTCCTTTGCCCAGCAGCTGCCTGAGTATATGCCAAACGCTGCTGATACAGAGCCGGTGACACTATGGCTTCCTCAAGAATCTGCTACCATGTTTGCTCTCTTTGTAGAGTGGCTCCATGACAAGCCTTTCTTCAAGGTCCATCTCGACGAGTCTGTCCGCAAGGCCAGTGAGCGAGGGGTCCCTAAGCTACTTCTCGACGTCCACTGGACCATGGTCCGCTTACATCTATTCGCCTCCCGCTTACAACTCCATCAACTGCAAGACTTACTCATGGACACCATCCAAGACCTTTATCTCAAGAGAGATTGGGACGTGGCTCCCAATTTGGTCGAGTTCCTCTATAGGCAGTGTGACGCGCTACCATCTGTCCGCCTTCGCCGCTGGGCAGTGGCAATGGTTGCCTTTCGCCTAACAGTCTCCTATCACAATACCCCTCTCAACGACGTAGCGGACTGTGACGCCGCCGAGTTCCGTCGTCTCTTCCACCAACTACCTGAATTCACCACAGACTACGCAAGACACCTACGCAATATGCGCGCTGCTGGGTTGGATGTACGCTTCAAGAACCCTCAGCTGCGTATCGGAGCCAACAGATTGGGTAGCGAAGAGCGGAGCTTTGGATTCCGTCAGTGCTCGTTCCACTCTCATAGAAAGACTATTGGACAAGCACGATGCCTCCACCAGGTGGCTGACGCAAATGCTGGCGAGAGCAGAGTTGTCAGCGCCATCTATGACATGGGCCGATCACCACGGCCGCCGCAGAACAACCATTATTACCAGAGACAAGAATACCAACAGACGGATCATCTGGGCCCGCCGCCAGGTATCTTTCCTAGTCGCCCATGGATGTCACCAGGAGCATCGGTGCCGAGCACTGTCGAGGACTGACCCTGCGAGGCCAGCATAACGAATGTACATGTATAATGAAACGGCCGATATATTTTAGTTTATAACCGGGATGTTGATCCCAGCTACTTAGCATAGCATAATACATAGAATCTATCTTAAATATTGAATCTCTTTACGTCAAAGTAACAACAGTCCAGTCAAAACAAGCATGTCACAAAGGATAAACGAATATATGGTGAAGAATAAACAGTTTGTATGCTAGCTCAGGTCATCATAAACTCATGGGGTTTCTAAATTGCGTACATGCTATCCCGGCGACCACCGTTCCAAACCCATCTGCGTCTTGCAACCAGCAAGCTCCGCACCTTCTTGCGACTCAAAGGCCAAAGAAGTGAATGCAAACTGCTGTCACGAGAAGAGCAAAATCTGGGATAAAGATAGAAGTACCCCGTATATATCATAACTTCATAAAAAAATAACAAGATAAAGATATCGCAAAAAGCTCCAACCTTGCTGATGGCAAGGGCAGTGCAAGCGAAACAAGAAAGCCAACAAACCAAAGGCATTCAGCTCATAGTGATTGCTTAGAGGTTCGTGCGCAGGGTTTGTGATAGCAAGAAATTAAAAATATTTCGATCAAAACAAAAATCAAAAGACCACCGTTTCCAGAGGCGACTTACTCCTGTCAGCCTCGTGTCTGTCATCATGTCGTAAGTGTCATAAATAGCGAAACGAAAAAAAAATAGTCAAAATATCCACCAAATGAAATCGCATCTCCAGTTCCATCTGGTTGCCAAGTTGCATCCAAAAGCTGAGATATATATGTTGCTTTTCTTGGTTCAGGATAGTTATGTAGATGTGCGTTCATAGCATCATCCTCAAATCCAAACATCAAAGGATATGTTTCCTAGATATCTTCTATAAGGGTTCGTGTGTGGTTGTGCAAGTGTGTGGTGTGTTATGGTAGGGGCAAGTCAAAACCACGTGTTTGGGGCATACAATAGCCAACACGGGCGACAAAGTGAGTACAATGTACATTGCAGTCTATGTTCGTGGGGGGAAGGGTATATGGGCGTAAATCGTTATTGGGGAGACTTGGAGCGGCGCTCGCGGCTACCGCGGCGGCGGAAAGCCTTAAGGCGCTGGTCAATGTATGCAAGGCGAGTCTGGAGGCTCGACTTAGAGCTGCTTCCTTCAGAAGCCTGCTGGACAGTAGCAAAGGGCTTGCGGATGGCGCTACCCAGATCCAGACGAGCTGGGCTGGAGAATCGGTTAGGAACCGAGTGGCTAGAAGACTTTGCTGTGAATGGTGAGCCTAGGCGAATCGGGGCAACCAGCTGCTTGGTGCTGGAGGAACTAGCCAGTGGCTGTGAAGCTTCGAAAAGCTCCTGAATATTTGCGCGAGGCACAAATAGAGCGTCACGCTGGCTAGACGTGGTGGAGCTGAATTCAGCAACAGCAGCAGTGGGGTCCTCTTCATCAGCAGGCTTGGTCCAGAAGTCGGTACCAAGGCTGGGGCGCTTGCGGTTTCTGGTCTCCAAGAATGCTGGGCGACGCTTCTGAGAGCAAGGCTTGCTCTGTGTTAAGCGAGCAGGCGATGCCAGGCGACGTCGGTCAGCTGTTTGGGCTTGTCTATCACCAGCGCTGGAGATGCTGAAGACATCATCCAAGTTGCTGCTGGAGCTGGGACCATAGCTCTTGGCCATGAAGGGCGAACCAAGACGGTTCTGGTCCTGTTCCATCGAAATAGCATCCGCTAGAGCGACCAAAGGCATCTGTGGTTGGCTGGGGGTGGGGGTATTCTCGTCGCGAGCCGGTCCCGGCACGGAGCTAGTAAGCTGTGCCAATGGACCATCAGGCTGCATGGATTCAGCCGTGCTCAGTGTCAGGGAAATAGACATGTCCGAGCTAGAAAAGACACCGCGGGGAGACATGGCGGGGGCGGAACGGCGGGTGCGTGTTCGGTTGGCAGCACGGCCAAAGGGCGCAGGGCTGTAGGCCATATGTCTGTGGCCTCTGGCCGAAGAGCTGGTGTTGGATTTGCAGAGCTCTCGCAGATGCGCGCGGGTCGCAGCGCAAGTATGGGGCCAGCTGGAAACAGCAACAGCAGTCGAATCGGCAGTAGGAGTTGCGCTGCGTCTGGTGGACTTTTGCTGTCCCTGTCGCCAACTTCTTCTAGCCTCTCGAGCAACTCGGTTGCAAACGCCGTGAGGGGGGATGCCGCTCTTGCCAATGTTGAAGGGCGTAACTTTGGGATCCTGAAGATAGGTAGCGTATGTATTCCAAACATGCGCACTCATTTGTCTAGTCCAAGGCGCTCTTCGGGATCTTCTCGACTGGGTCGGTTCTCGGATGGCGTCGTTGACGGAGAGGAATTCACCAAATCGCTCGGAGGTGTCGAATTCGGGGCTTACACACTGGCTGATATCGGTCGAGTGCGCCGAGTATTGGGTGAAGAGCGAAGCGCTAGTTTGTGAAGAGCGTGCTGTAGATGGTCGGCTGAATTCCCAGTCAGGGCTAGAGTCTCTGCTGCTCAAAGGCGACTCGATATCCCAGTTGGGAAACTGGCGGGGAAGGATGGCTGTTGTAACTTCGGGTGCAGGTGTCTTTGGAGGAGAGAATGTGCGGCCACGGCTTTCCTGAATGGCGCGGGGAAGCAAATCAATAGGGTAAAATGAGGAGAGGGCAGGGTCTTCCGTGTCTAGCATATCCTGGTCAACGACCTGGGGTTCTTCGATGCTAGGAATAGGGATGTCAGCTGCGGCAACAGACTCCAGGAAGTGTTGAGTAGGTGCGTTGAGGTGCGTAGCGGCGCGCTTTCGAAGACGAAGTCGAGGGCGTGATGGCGAAGTTTGCGAAAGGGCCTCTGGGTCGGCAAACGGCTCTGGGGTCTTGAATGCTTTTGCATCTCTAGTAGAGATTTGTGGCTCCTGCGCCACAAATCGGTGCAAGGGGGACATTTTGTAGAAGAGGCGTAGATATTGGTATGAAAATCTAGTCGTAGCGTCTGGATGATACCAGAATTTCGCTCTGTAGGGATGGTAGTGGTGTGCTTAGCCGTAAGGGAGGTGTTGTGCTTTTGGGCTGGGCGAATCGAAGAGAAGAAACAAACTGCAGCTGGAACCACTGGTTGGGGCGAAGAAGGATTAGGACAATAGGGTTTTCGGGGGACGAGAGAGGGAAATGTCTTGGGCTGGACGGGGGGCTCCAACAAGTTAAGACACAAGGTGTCTCTTCAAAAGTAGGTGGCAGTCTTGGTCCAGAAGAGATAGATCCACCGTACAAGGTTGGCAGCTAACTGGTTGCAAGATTCCGTTTCGTTTTGACACCTCGTTTCTGTGACAGTAGCTAGGTAGGGAAGGGGCAAACAGCCCAAGTCGATGGATGGATGAGTGAATGATGCGTCCAACCAGCTCCAGAAACAAGATGCGGTTTGCGCTCCACCGATTACCAGGCGACCGTAAATTCGTCTAGGTACTCATGAGTGTCACTGTCGACTTGAAAGAGTTGGCAAAGAAGCGTCTATTGCATGCGCAAGGCGATGGGACAGCGATGTTCTGATGCGATAAAAGGTGGATGGCTGGGATAGGTGGTATTGGCTGGCCTGTCGCAAACCGTCAAGACGACCCTTGTGCGCAGCAACAGGACTGCGGTGGCGACGGGGCTGTGACGGGAAGAATATCTCGGCGGTCGTATTCGAGGCAGCGATAGCGAATGTGGTAGCAGCGAGCAATACAAAAAATTCCGATCGAAGGGCGTTTGGGCGGCTGGTGGTGGTGAGGAAGCAACAAAGAAAAAGAGGTGAAGGAGGGAAAGGCGACTGGAATGGCGGAGGTGGATGAAGGCTTCACTTTGGGGGTGGGCGGATCGCTGCAGGACAAGAAAGGGGACTGGGCGACAGCACCAGCGCAAGGAAAAGGAAAGAGCGACCGGGGTGTGTGGGCGACAGACGCTACGGACAAGGGCATGGGGGGCTCTGTAAAAAAGGGCCCTAGGGGTGGTGCGGAGACAGCCATTCAGTGGGCGACACAGAGTCACAGGCCCTGTTCGTTTGGTGCCAGGCGCTGTGGGTGCAAAGGTTGGCGTGGCTTTGGGCGGTGGAGCTGCCCACCCGCCCACGCCCACAAAGTACAGTGTTCACCCCCCCTGGCCCAGCAGTCAGTAGCAGGACATGGGGCTGGGAAGAGAGGGGCCAGCGTGCTGGATGCGCTGTAGCTCAGTGGACATACCGCTAACTCACAGCCCCAACATGCATGTACCATCCAAGTATCCAGCGCCGCATTTCTTTACGGCCGGGGTACTGCAGCATCGTCTGGAGATACCAACAACCACCAACCAGCCAGCGAAGCCGCTCTACAAAGTCGCCCAGAGCTTGCTTTCCTCTCTGGCACCCTGGTCATCGGTGCTCTCGCAGGTCCCTGTACTTATCCAATGGTGCTGCGGTGTGCCTGCTCTATAGCTTTCTGGTAGCGCTCCCCCGGAGGGCCCTGTACTTGTACTTGTTGTTGCTGCTCCCAACAGATAGCATCCACCCAGGCTTACATGCTTCCATCTGCCGGCGCATGGGAATAAAATATCTTAGAGAGAGAAAGACGGTGCAAAGTAGGTGTATTGTGGGAACAGGAACGCCCATTCTTGCTGGCCTGTCGAATCGGAACTCATTCCAACCCTCCAGCTCTCCCAACCGGCAAACACCCTGCTTTTCGATTCACTACTGTCGCCAGCATCCTTCCCCCAGGCCACATCCCTTTGCCGCGTAGCTTAATCTGCAGACGTCATGAGGAATAGATTACCTCTTGCATCCTTTCATCTATGATACAGACGAACTGTGCGTGGCTGTCTTATTTGCTTGCCCAATCGCGCAAACGAACCTGTTTCCCCGCGGGTGTCTCGTCTCCGTACAGTACCTACCCGTCTTGCTCTCCTCCGCGGCCACTTTTTTTATTCTATTGTATTTTATTTTTGGGGCAATACTCTGCACTTCTTCGCCGGGGAAGAAAAATGGCTGCAGAATATTTACTAGCTCAGTCTATCGGCCGCCAAAGCAAGGGGCAATGAACCCACAGGGCCCTCATGGATGGGACTTGATGGAGGCTGTGGCAACTTACGGTGAAGATGAACCAGGGACACTGACGAATGCCTTTGAGTCTTTGTCTTCCCCAGTACCCATCCCATCGTTTTGCAAGAGGGGGATGTTCTCGCTTATCCCCCTCTCTTGTGCATGCTGCTGCTGTTGTGGTGCATCCTCCTCCTCAAGGTAGCCGTTTTTATATATTTTCTTTTTTTTAATCCTGCTCACGGGTGGCTACGCTGTGGACCTGATGCGATCTCGCGCCGTCCCTCCCAAATAAAAAAGCAAGATGGGCGGCGCATGCGTAGAGACGAGGAAACAATATGGCTGCTGCCAATATTCGCAATTGGCGGCGGCCCCAACTGAGACCTTCTCGACGGGCCCTTCCCGCCCCGTGCCTTTCCGCCCGTCTTTAGTGCGCGGCAGTGAGGGTCTGAATGGGCTAGATGCTACCTTGGAGGCCAGCGTCTGCGGCGCACTACAGTCAAGGACAAATCCGGAGGTGTATCCCAGATGGATGAATGACACGGTCACACTGGACATAGCAAACCGGTAGTAGGCGGGGTTTCTGTATAGATAACCCAAGCCTTAATGAGACAAGAATTCAGAGTCATGCGAGCATGGCGAATGTCCCTGTACAATTTGCCAACTTTTTTTCTCCGTTGCCAAAATGCACCCCCTCCTTTGTCTCTGGCGCACAGGAACGCCTTGGAAAACGAGGTCCGGCCTATTATGGCGGCCACCAAACGGCCGCTCCGAAAGTAAGACCAATGCTGCTTAGATGCTGCCAATAGCAGGTTGCAGAAGAGCAGAGCAGAGTGAACCCAACCAGAGACAACGTTGGATCAGACCGTGCAATTGGGCGGTACGGCAGCGTCCGAGTTGGGCTAAAGTGTCTCAAAAGTGCAAGACAGACACACCAACGTCTGTCTACACAGTACAGAATGGCTGCCTCAGCACCACAATTGGGCTTGGCCGGGAAAAATTCGTCGGGGGCATGGTGGGATGTCTGAACAAAGCATAGCGGCAGACGCGTCGTTGAAAATCGCGTTAAGTACGCGTTAATGGCGCGTAAGGAATTGTGGGGCCCGGCGACTCTGATTGGCTCGGTGGCGCGCAACCACTTTAGGTGCGGGGCGCTCGATGCTGCGCAACCTTTGAACCACCACGCACGCTGCCCAAGACGAACCAGCGCAGCGAGTCAGCAAACGAGGCTCTCTTTGGTTCAGTTTGGGCTTCCATGCTTCCAAAATGCCGGTAAGAGATGATCCTCAATGGGCTAGAAACGCCATTTTCGTCGTAAGCCGCAGGCAATTGCATGGCTTCTAAAGCTCACAAAATCAGAGCTGTCACTTGCGAGGCGCGCCTCCGATGTAAGCTACCAATGAACTCGCTACCACCGCACACCCCAGGCTTGAATCGATGCTGCCACGGGTTTCGCATGCAGGAGCGTGTGATCGCTCGAGGTGCAATTTTGTGACAGCCCCTCGAGTTCAGCGCCAATTTACAAACCCGGCCATTCACAGCCTCTCCAGCAGCACGCTGCATTGTCTGGGCAGCACGGCAGGTCATCTGCAATGTAGCCATACCAGTAGGCGTTGTTATCCAAGAGCCTGGGTCCTGGTCCTGCGGTTTGACTCGGAGCGTGGCAGCAAGGAAGAAGCATGTCGTAGCCGGGTAAAGATGGCAGCATCGTGGTGAACAACGAGGAAGTTCTCTCTCTCTTTTCCTCTATCGGACCAAGGTGAGACAGACTAAACCCATAGGTTTCTCTCTTTGAAAGGACCCTTGGTTGCAGGATAGCAGGAATGTACAGTAGCCATGCTTGTCCTTCTATGTCTTGAATCAGAAAGCATGTCACTGCCGGTGGATGCAGCGATTCGCTTTCTTTTTTTTCCCACTCTTTCCAGCAATGGTGGTGGCAGGACAAGGATATGTTACAGCGACTCAACAAGCTTGGCGGCACAAGGCGCACGGCTCGTCGATTCCGCTTAGGCTTTCTTTTTTGCAGCAATGTTGCCCGTAGGGACCAATGTGGGCGCTTTCGATTGGATTCTCATTGCTATCCAGCATGCAGCCAGGCAGGCAGTCGGCGCCAATGCAGGCAATGTATGCGTAATGCATCTGGCTCTGCCCAACCAAGGGTTTGTTTGGTGCTGTCAGTGGCGCAACCTGGCTGATTGGGTACGATCAAACAACGTTTAGGAATGCAGCTGCATCGGCAGTCCATCGTAGCGAGGGGTCCTGTCTACGCCATCCCAGCAAAACTGCAGCCCAACCCCGCGCCATAGTGACTGAGCAGGAGCAAACCCCAGCTTAGGCTTTGTCGCACCGCCATTGAGAGCAAGCTAGACACACCCCGTCGGAGAGACGCCGACTGAAGATGCAGATTAGCGGGGTATCAAGCGAGCAAGGAAGAAAAAGAAACGAGTTACACGGTCCTGACCTGGGCTTCGCGCCAGCCTTCAAACGGTGCATTAGACCAAGGAACACAAAAAGCAACGACTGCATGGGGAACACACGCGCCGTACCGCTGCCGACTTACACGGCAGACGGACGCCGCCAAACGCGAGATGCAGGCCAACAGCCCCTTTGCAATTATTTTTCCTAGCATCTGCTATATCTTGGAGTTGCGTATTGTTTGATACACACAAACTCAATTCAACAGATATCCTGGATAATTTTTTTCGGGGTTCCCTGTTCTACAATGCTACCACAGCATACTGGGTGGGCTACCCGCCCACGCTGGCACCATCACCAAAATCTCTCCACTTTGGCCCGATGTGGCCGGTGCCAGCCAAATGCGGCCCGCACCAAACGACACCAAAAAGCGGTTTTTTCCAACGTCACCAGTCAGACTGCGCCGCCGCCAATTGCGAGAAAAGAAGCCTCGGACTCTCGAAACGCATCTGTAAAAATTAAACAACCTCTTCTTGCGCTCCAATTGGTGCCATCTTCCGCACACTTTGGCCGCCCGGTGACTCTTTGCCGCCCTCCATCAGCCTAGCACGCGCGCATCGCCAGACCCTGGTTCAAGATGCCGGCATCCGACGTCGTCACCCTTGCAAGCTTGCCAGAGAAGCTGGAGACGTGGAGAAAGGATGCGGGAAACCATCTCTACGCCATCGTGGATATGGGAAGGTGAGTGCGCTTGACAGCTGGCTATGCAGCTATTCCCTGTTTGCTGTGCTGACAAGATCTTACAGTAATGGCATTCGCTTCTCAGTTACGTCGCTTGCGCCGCCATTCACTCGTTTGCTAAGACCCGTGTTTGCAAAGCGTGCTGCCATTTCCCTCTTTGACGCCCTTACACCGTCGCCAAAGGGCCTCATCTTCCAGAAAGACACCATCAACAGCGTCGCCGAAGCTCTTGCTGGCTTCCACCGTCTCGCTGTTGCCCACAATGTCGCCCCCGAACACATGTTTGTCTTTGCGACGGAGGCTATGAGACGCGCAGACAACGCCGGCGATATGTTGGCCGCTATCAGCAAGGCTACTGATGGCCTTGGTGTACAGATTCTCGAACCCAGTGTTGAGACGCTCTTTGGCGCCGTCATGGGTTCCAGAAGCGGTGTTGTGGGAGTTCCCAAGGGAGCCTTGTTCCTGGATCTCGGCGGCGGCAGTGTGCAAATGACATGGGTAGACACAAGCGCGAAAGAGTATGAGATCAAGGCTGCGACGGCCGGATCGAGCATGCCGTACGGCGCCGCAAAGCTTATGCGCATCCTCACCGAGCAGCCTGTTGAAAAGCGCCAGGTGGAAATCAGCACGCTGCAAAGCGGCATGAAGACGGTCTACGGGGTCCTGTGCTCGCAGTTCCCGGCCCTCAATGCCCTCAAGGTCGCTCACGAGCGCGGCGAAAAAGCCCCCATCGACGTCTACATGTGCGGTGGTGGCTTCCGCGGTTATGGAAGTATGCTCATGTACAGCGACAGCATCTCACCGTACCCCATCTCTTCCGTCAGCACATACACAGCCACTGGCGAGCAGTTTAAGCAAACAGCAAAGATGAAGACGTTGAACATTTCCGTAGACGGCAAGATCTACGGCATGTCAAGACGGCGCAGACAGCAGTTCCCTGCTATCTTGCATGTTATCGAGGCCTTCATCCAAGCGGTGCCCAACATTGGCAATGTGACCTTTTGCGGCGGATCGAACCGAGATGGCGCACTTATGATGCTTATGGATAAGGATGTCCGCGAGAGCAATCCGCTAGAGGTCCTAGCCAATATTTCCGATGCCGAGAAGCCCATCTACGATGCGGCGTTGGGTATCCTCCGAAAGTCTGTCCCAGAGGACGTACCTCTGTCAGAGATTGCCACCATTCTTACTCCCGGCGTGGGATACCTATTCCTCAAGCAGCTTTGGAGCCGGCGCGGATACGGTGCCGATACGAATGCAGCGTATGCTCTGCATGATGCTGTTCAGCGTGATTCGGACTGTCCCGGATTGACACACGTTGCACGTGCTGCGCTGGGCGTCACGCTTTGCTTGTGCGCAAAGGGCAAGCTCACCGCTCCCGATTATGCCGTTCTCACCGGCCTGGAGGGCGTCCTGCGGCGACAACACCCCCAGGCAGCCTTTTGGGCTCGCTACCTGGCTGCCATGGCCCGGGTCCTCGCAGAGGTGGTGCCTTGCCTACCTGCTTCAGCGGAAGATTTGGTCAAGGCTATCAAATTCGAAGGCACATTTGTCACCAAGGACGAGACGAAAAATGTCTCGCTGGATCTCGGTATCTCGCACAAATACGAGCGCGGCCTCACCTTTGAAGACATTGGCGCCTCGGTAAAGGACAGCTTTAAAAAGAATAAGGAGGCTGGCGCTCCCAAGAAGGTGTTTACACAAGTATATCATCTCCCGTAAACTTAAAATAGAAAATAGACTTAATTGCTGTTATGTATGTAAATTCAAATATGCCGAAATAGACCAAAACTTGCATGTCATTCTCATCAATCATCAAACATTATGTGCATCAATAGTCATCGTCGTCGTCGTCGCGTGACTTGCTGCCCGATTTAGGGCGCCGTGAACGAGCATTCAGCTTCTTCAACTCGTGGTTAACCACTACCATATTCAAAAGGCGATCGATGTCATGCTTTGAGGATTGCACTTTTGCATCTGCACAATGTATCAGTTAGTTTTAGGGTAACTCTGTGATATGCTTTTGCAAAGGTCAAACTTACAAAACGCCTTGCGTGAATCGAGAATCGCGTTTGTCAACTGGCGTAGAGCTTTGCTCTTGCGGGCCCGTTCAGGGTAGCCAGAGCTCTTGAGCCAGTCATCAGGGGGGCTCAGGTTCTTCTTCATTCTGAATTGGTAGTGATAGAATGTGGTGATGAGAGGGAATGCGGTGTCCCCAAGCCATCTGTAATTCCCCTTGAGATTCGCCACTACAATTACAATCGGGTCAGCAATGCTCTTTTTGCACCGGATCACAGGGAAGAGGGGCTTACCATAAGTAGCATCGCTCGCCTTGGATTTTTCCATGTCGGCAATGTGGCCGGGGAAAGCAAGCAAGAGCTCACGGTGCATCAGAATGAGCTGCCACATACTTGCTGACAGCGCGAGTCTTTGGGTATCCTTTGGGGTTCCCTGGCGGGCCAAAATATCATCCATCTCCTTGAGCACATCGTACTCCAACCCCTTGAGCAGGTTCTTGCAGTGGTCCCGGAGCCGGGCACGAACCGAAGTGGGCAAGCTAACAATGTTTTTAGAGGGATCTCGGCACCAGAATGATGCTGTCTTCCAAATTCTGAAGAAACAATACATCTGATGAACCTTGACCACAAAACTATGCTGTTGGAGAGATTGGGATTAGCGGCAGTCATTCGGGATGATACCATATAGGTTTGTACTATACCTTTTCTAGCCCATGACCGTCGTGGGCATAAGCCATGAGAAAGTTGGGAATGGCCGTCTGAAAATTTTCACGGTATTCCTGCCTAATCTGCGCCTCGGCCCAGGCTTGCAGCTGTTGCGCGCTTGGGGCCAAGTCGCGGGGGAACGCCGCAGTTTTGGTGGTGGCTCCATCAAGTGACGTGCGGTATGCTTGGACGGTGACGGCAAGTCCGACAGCGTTCTTAATGTCTTTGGTAAAGTATACCTCAATCTCTCTTGGGGTGCCAGCGTAGAACTTGGGCTCCCGAAGATGGTGGAACTCTTCAATGGCAGACTTGCTCCAGACGTCTTTTGTTCTGTCGGTCAGTAAAAGGGTATCACTGTTAGGCTATCCGGTGTAACCGGGAGGACACGTACCAGCAGCCTTGCCCAAAATGGGCCACGCCCTCAAGGGGGTCTCACGGATGCACACGATGTGAGGGTGGTCGGGGAAGTCCTTGCGGCATGTAGGACAAACGCCGTAGTGCTGGCACTATAAGAGGCAAGCCGTGTCAGCCCACCACTGTTTTCCAACCGCCACTCAGTTTTTTTTCACCAACTATTCCCATGGAATCATGAACCAAGTACAATAACAACTGCTGATATTGTCACAAGAATAGGGAAAAAAATGTTCCTCTTACCTTGAGCTTCTTGACCCGACATGGGACACACGCCCCGCTCTTTCGAACGTAGGCCGTCTCCTCGGGGTCTGCAAGATGTCGTTGTCTCTTATTAGAGCTTTCTTTCTCTAGCCGGCCATAATTGGCGGTCGTTGTGGAGTTATCCAAGACCGCATTTTGTGAGACTTGAATTTCCCGGGGGTATTGGAACGACACGGGATGCTTGTGAGCCGTCACTGTCCAGTGGTCATCACCAGCCTGGACCTGCTTCAAAGAAGCGGCCGAAGGGTGATAGGGTTCTTCAGGATGACGCTCATAGAATGAGTTCTCTGAAGGGGACGTACTCTCAGCATGGTCTAGCTCTGGAGGAGAGTCCCGGGGGGAATGGGTGGTGGAATCATAGGGGGACGGGTAGGCTCCAGCCATTTCGAAATGGCGGGCAGAGCTGTCAATGTGGAGGGATTCAATGATGGAGGGGATGTCGTGGATGATACCAGGCAACTGATCGTCAATCTGGTAGTACTTTTGCCAGTCAAAGTACTCCGAGTAGAGCTCGTCGTCGAGCTCTGGGGAGGAGGAAGGGCCACGGGACCTGGGAGTGCGAATTCGGGAGAGGTCCCTTGCAGTGCTCATGTTGACGACGGTATAGATGCCGCGGTCATGGGTCTGGGTAAAATGCAGTGGACCCTTTGCGTGCCTCTTGCTGCGTGAAGCCTTGCAAGACTGTGTGGTTGGGTATAATTGGAGTGTATGGCAGCAGGCTTGCAGGGCTGCGCTGTGTAAGTGGAAGTGCGGGTGATGATGCAACCAGAAGAGGTTAGGCTTTTGCAAGCACGGCTTCTTTCTTCTTTCTTGGAAGGAGAGCAAACTCGAGGAAGAAGCAAGATGCAGAGAGGAGAAGTCGGGAATCCTCTCTTGGGAGCATATAATTCGGCCGTCTTTTTGTCCAAGGCGGCCCATCGTCGCCCGCCAACTTACACGCCATGGGGATGGTGCATTTTCGGTAGGGACCAGGGCTGTGATTGGCCAGAAGGGTGGTTTGCCCCGCTGTTTTGGGCCAATCAAGGCATGGGCTCTCACCGATTTTGACCAAAAACCACATGGGGAACCGACATTTTGGTGACGGCTGCGTTTGAACGTGGCCGTCTTGCGCGGCCGAGAACATAAAAAAAGCATGGAAAATGGAAGAAAACTATGGTAAAGTGGAAGAAATACAATGCCATTGTTTCACAATAGAACGGGGTACAAAGATGGCGGGCTGGCTGGTTGTCTGCCTCTGCATATGATACATTATACCGGATCTGTATGAACGATGTATGTTACCTACGAGCCCGCCTTCTGGACAATATTTTCACAACAAAAAATGTTAAAAAGGCCATAGATTCACTCCCGTTTGTACATCTCCGAGCTTTCTTTTCCCCGTCACACCAGCGTTACAAGTACACAAACGTACTACAGCCAGGTCCCTCGCACCAGGAGGCCGCTAGTCCCGCTTGTCACCATTGCCTTCCTCTCGGTTGTGCCCTCTACGCGCCAACAACACCACTCGACCTACTAACATGTCCTCGTTTTTGCAATACCTGATACAAAAAAAAATTGTGCGCAAGACTAACCACTATAGAGCTCCCCGGGGTTTGTACATCACAGTGCTAGCCGCCCAAGATGTGACGGCGCTTCCAGAAGGCATCCCTGCCTCCACACCCATGTCTGCTGCATACTGATGCGTAGTAGCCTTGCATGCGAACGCGACAGTGGCACAGCATCTCATATATCGTACATGGCTGTGTGGTGGGAATGGAGGGATGCGATGGCATAGAGTTGCCAACTACAAATCAAGAGTAAGTTGGACAGTCATCCGAATACACAAAACATAGATCTGGCTACTACCCGCACTAGTTCCCTGACCCTCCGCCCATTCGCACTGCCCTCTACGCGCCGTTCAAGGGTGGTCGGTCCACCATGAGACCCCTAACCAACCCACACGGCGAAACTAGTACAGTTGCAGGTACCATAAGTTTCGTTTACCCAAGGCGCTAATTGTTGCCATCACCCTCATCTGAGCACGCTCGGGAATCTTGTGTGCTGGCTTAGTACGCTTAAAACAAGGCGTCCTTGGCGGGCTGTCGGGCCTGCCTTATGCCACCCTACGCTGCGCCGCCGTGTTGCTCTATGACTTGGTTCTAACCGAAAACATAGTGGTACCTTCTTTTATGGTATACGAGCGGGTCTCGACGTCAATATTAATATCAAACTCCAAGAGCTTAAGTATGACGTTATTCTGGCCTAGCCAGGTCGACACTTTCGTATTTTCGTGGAAGCGCTCCATTGTGTTAGCGTGATCGGCACGATCGCCAGGTCTTTGTTCATTAGCATAATGTGCACATCTCTTCGGTCTCTCCACTAGAGCAGAAGAGGCCCATGAGCTGGTCCCTGCATGTTTACTATTTATTTTGTTGGGGTTCTGCCTTGGTCGCAGCCAAGAAGCCCCTATGCATCCTAGAGAAGACTGGAATGGAAGTGGTGTTGTTGGTCCGGGGACAAGCTCCAGCCAAGGCTGGTGTTCCGCCTGAATACTAGTGGCACCATGAATATAAAAAGGAAAAAAAAAGGAAAAAAGAGGAAACGAAACGAAACCAGAGGCACCTCATCAAACACATTATACGGTGATGTCTTTTGAAGAAACGTAGGAAATAGATTCCGAATACCTTTTTCTCCGATGTGGTGCGTGTCCCCCATTGACGAGACTCATTCCAAAAATATCCCAGACTGGAATTCTGGTGAGTCTAGACCAAAATGTCGAGACAGAGTAGCAGAATGTAGGATCGACATGCAAATCCTACTGCTTTATTTCATCTGAGAGGAAATGGTGCTCAAGGGGCGCAGCAGACTACTAGAAAACAAGGGCAGCGAGGTCATATGGAGAATAGGAGAGAAGACAGGGACCAACCACATCCACCAGGGCGGGCAACGGGGTAAAAGGGTCGGCTGGCTAATTGGATCTCTTGTCAGAGGGAGGGCAGCCACTGGAATTGCAGCTCGCCTTGCATGGCAGCTATCGAAACAGAACAGCTGATATATTGGCCCAATAACTTGGAGGACAACCTGCGAGGGCAAAAGTAGCCGAAGGGCACGCACCGGGACAAAGGCGCCTCGGGGACTAAGCTGTAGTGCTATGAAAGTAAACGATGGCGAAGACGATGCATTTCTAGCAGTCTGTCCAGAGGCAAAGTTGAGCGACAGAAACTTAAAAAATGACTCGCAACTTTGCCATTACTAGGTGTAATCAGCACTAACGCTATGAACATTTTGCGTGCGTTGTATTTTTAGCTGCCGGCATCGCAACACGGCCAGACTGGGCTGTAGCGTGGCAACAGCATGGTGCGCTATGCTGCTAGCTAGAGGGGCTCTTGCGCGCTGGAAGAGTGCTGTATTGGCTCCAGCACAGGCGGGAAATGTCCACGTTGCACTGCGGCCCAGGGACGGACCGAAGACTAGCTGGGGTGGTGGACCAGTGGGTATTTCGGGGCGTTTCAGCCTCGACACGATTTCGCACTGTTTGCGAGGCGGTGTATTCTAATGGCCAGCACAGTGCACGTAAGCGCTGGCGCAGCCTGATCCCCCTGCGTTGCGCCTCGTCTCTATGACGCTATTGCAGCGCTGTAAACTAACTAAGGCACCCGCCTGGGCCCCTGTTTGCCGCCAGGACAGCTGGCGCCATACCCCATCGGGTTTGCCAGCTGGTGAAGCTTAGCGACGCCTGCGCTTGCCATTTGCTTGGAGGGGAGGAGGAGGAGAAGCTGAAACTCGCATGAGCGTTCTTTTTTTCTTGACGTTTCTTCCACCGCAACACCAAATTAACAGCTTATCCCGTGGGCACAGCTTCTGCTACTCTGCTATTTCGTCTCCCGGTACGTTTTATTACAGAAACAATCCCATCGATTTCAGGTGTCTCGCTCGCACCACTCAACCCACCGCCCTTGGCTGGCCTAGCTCCAACTAGGCCGTTCCCCTCCCACACCGGCCCTCCCAAGAATGCAATGCTGGCCCTTTGAGACACGCGACTCACATTTTTCTTCTTCCCTAGGCCCCTTTCTATTTCGCCTGTTCTTTGCCTTTGCCCGGCTGCAATCCCTTTGCCGCCGTCGCCACCGGCCGTCTTGTCCCCGTCTCCACACACCACCCCAGGCGTAAGGTCGATCGCCTATTAGCTACAAGGCAACCTAATTTGTATGCACATACCAAGTGTTCCCTTGGCTTCCAGGTTTTGCTTTGGCCCGTTGGACGGCTGGTCCATATCGGAACCCCATCTCAGGAGATAGTCGTCTTTTTCCGCCAATGTCTCAGCTCTGACACGCCTGCTCGCTTTAGGTTTGCTCTGCGCGTCGCTTTGCTGTCTCGCCCAGCAACAGGCCGGCCCTGCTCCATACGTTGGTCAATCTACCTTTAGACCGCCTTCGCTCTCTTTTTTGTCCTCCTTCGTCACTGCATGTAATTCTGTTTCTTCAACGTTTTGCTGCTGACGGAAGGACGGTCATGTTGCCCAATATGGCCTCCAGTAAGTCCTTTCGTGGCACTATGATGCCGCCTTCTCTCTCTCTTTCTGCTATCCCCGAAAACCGCGACTTCTCGCCTGCCTCGAGTCCTCTTCGTCGTCATATTCGCCAAAAGTTTAGCTTCGAATCCGATCACCACCCGCTTCCGCCCATTCCTACCGACCAGTTCGACTCTGATGACGACGATGACGACGAAGAGTTCAACTTTGAGGAGGCAATGCAGTCATTCCCGGCTTTCCGAGACGAAAAATCGAAATATTGGAACGACCGCGTTTCTTCTCTGCTCCCATCACTCATCACTTCCTCTACAGATCCCTACCTAATCCAGCGCAAACCGTTGGCTATTGAGAAATCGCTCCCCGCCAACACGCCTCCGCCTCCGCCTCCGCCATACAACGAGCACGAACCCAAGATTTCTCTCGACTCCAAAATCGAAGATCCCGAATCCTTTTCACCTCTTACGGATTCCACAGCACCCTCGGAAAACAGTCCATCGCTAAGCCTGCCTTTGCTGCAGACCAAGATTCCGGGTGCCAGTTTTTGGGACGACGATACGACATCGCCTACGTCACACCCGTTGCCAAGCCTTCCGGCAGAACTTCCCGCGGCAGTACCGGTAGAAATGCCCGTAAACTTTGATATCGAAGAAAATCCAGAATCGACCCAGCTCGACGTTTCCAGACATGGTTCCACGGATAGCGGGAGCGATACGAGTTTTGCCGGTCGCCGAAAGCTGCGCAAAGACAGCCCCGGATCCAGAAGGCGAAGCAACTCGTATCAATCCTCGACAGTCCCTCCACCACCCCAGCTGGGCATTAAGTCTCGCGCAACAGCTACCATTCCTGAACCCAGAGGACGCAGCGTCTCGTCACACCCAACGGTTGCCGTTACAGATATGTCCCCAATTTCCATCCCTGTACCCCCAATCCCGATGGCGCGGGCATCGTCTGCTCAGCCAGCAAATCAAAGCCCATCCCGAGGCCGCGTACGGAGAAGCTGGATGCCGGGATCGAGATCTCGGTCCAATTCCGTCGAAGTTAGCCAAGCTCTTGGTTCAACGTCATCGTCTCAGGCATGGATCATGGGTGAGGAAAACAAAAGCGATTACAATACATCATTCTTGAAGAATGCGGAAAAAGTTAGTCAACGCTCCCTATCACACTGTCTTAATAGCTCACATCTAACAATGATCTACATAGGTCCCTGAACTATGGAATGAAAGTGGAAGTGTCCTCGTCTTTCTGTTCCCCAAGTCGACAGGTGCTGCTCCATCTTTCAAAGTACCCGAATTCACCATTGCGTCATCCTATCTGTTCAACGAATTGATTGCCTCGGAGCAAGAGGCTCTGGCTGCGAGCCCGTCACCAATTACTCCTTCTCGACATCGCGCCAGAAGCTTTGGCGGCCGTGATAGCTTGTCAGTAGAAGACGCCAGCCGCATGTTATCACCACCGATGAACCAGATACAGGCTGATTTTGCTGCCGATCTCCGTCTATATATTCCTATTGTTCGACCTACAGCCACAACCGGACATCTAGCATCGCCTTCTTACGGTGCTGAAGCCGATATGGAGCGTCTGATTGGTATTCGAAACATGTTTGCTTTCTTAACCGGCCAGCCTCTTGTCGGTACACCGTCTTGCCCTAACATGTTTACGGCCTTTTTGCAGATTGCCGAACTTCTCGAAGAATTTGGCTTTATTGGTGTGGACGGGTGCGGATTTGGGCAAGCCGTTGACATGAGCTTCTCTTTCTACTGCGATCAATTTGGATTCTCCGACTGCAGAAGCAGCCGCGAGAAGACAGTCGAAGCGCTGATTTTGGGCGAACGTATGCGATGCATGGATCTGTATGGTGAGGCATTTGCTCATGCCGCCGGCAAGTACTCTGCTATTATGGATCTTCGATTGCCTTTGTATGACCGCTTATCGCCGCGCACACGACAGCGTCTCGAAAGGTCTCACATCGACTTGCTCAACAGACAGCATAACGTCAATGAGCACTTGGAACTGTTTGAATTTCCGTCCATCTTTGCTGGTATTGCAAACTCGACGTCCGTACCAGAGCTGCGCCAGATTCGCTTCAAAGTCTGGAAAGCGTCGTTTAGTAAAATGCGAGCCTTTATCTTATCATACTACAAGGGTACCTTCGGAAGCTGGCCTCCCAAGGCGACGAGCAAGAAGAATCCCTTTGCTGAAAGTGGCTTGAACCGACTAGTACTGAAGCTCTTGTATTCAGATATGTGCGCCCTATACGATTTGATGGTCGATCGAGAAAATATCACAACTCGCATCATTGATCACGCACCTACGGTGACCAAGGCCAACGAAAAGGTACACATCTCAGCGTTACGCAACATTATGTCTGAATTTGACCGCTCGCGCCCTCCCGTCCTACCTCCGATTCCTTTCGACGTCCCCCAGCTTCCCAACATGGCGGCTATTATGGAAACATATAGCGGTCTGCAACCCAAAGAGCAGGCCAAGTTTGACAAGAAGATCAAGGAACACGAACTAGCTCTCATCCTGAACAAGGCTTACAACTATGACACGAACAAGATTAAGCTACCATTCTTGGACCAATTCAAGGAGTTTGAGTTACGCGAGGCCAAGGGCAAGGCCGGACAAGACTTGGTTGACCAGCGTATCGGCTACTGGCTGTTTTTGTACGCGGTCTTGCAGTCGCTACCCATGCTTGTTGTAGATGCTCCCGGACTCAAGCATACTGAGGGAACAGAGTACTTCCTATGCCAGCCCATCATGGGACAACCACCATGGGCTGAGGATGGTCAGGTGCGAAAGATGTGGTACGAAGTCGCCGGTGGCGGTGGTCTAGTAGAGTTGTCTGCCGATGCTGTCATGTACAGTGTCGAAGCAACATACCACCGAAGCCACTGCTGGCTGGCCGCCAAGCAATGGGAGAATATGGAAGAGGCTACAGAAGATATCCCTGTAGCCCCTGCGTTATCACCACTGGCACCGCCCCGGCCAATGTTTGAGAGCATGAATGATGCGCTTGGTAGCGGTACACCACCTGCTTCTGCATCATCTACGCCTCCTGGAGTTGCTCCGGCTCTCGCTCTCCGTACCCGCAATCTTTCTCCGGCAAGGAATTCGCGCGCAAGCCCGTCTTGGCGATCCAGCATTGCCATTGGCATTGAGCCTGTACCTATGGACGAACCCACTACGTTTGGACCCCACCAGCGCAGTAGTTCCATGGGCCCAAAGCAGATGAGCATTCACAGTGGCCGCAGTCAATCTTCAGGCAACCTATACAGCATGGCTGCTAGCGTCGCGTCTAGCCCGCGAACAATGACACCAGCACCAACGCTGACTTCCAGCGCAACTTTTGACGACATTCTCGGTACCGTTAGCGGTAACAAAGAGAAAAAGGAGAAACTGGCGGTTACCAAAAAGAGAAGCCGCTTCTTTTAACATAGATTGGGCATTGGCGTTTTTCATATTTACTTGGCACTCTCTTTCGACATATCCAGTTTCTTCATGTTTTGCATTCATTGCATGGGGCTTTCTTTTTTGGAAATACGATCTACAACCTCTACCAACCAATCAACTTAATATAGAACCATCGTTTTTCTTAGCAATATAAAAGAGAGCCATCTCAGACTTTACATTAGAATAAAGTACCTGTCACTGTGAAATGTCGTACTAAAACGGGTGATAGCCATACACAGTAGACAAACAACATATGCATGACTTAGGGCGTGACGTTGATCGAGAGACATAAACTAGACTTTCAAGTGTTTACAACTAGTCACAGAGTCACAGTAAATAGATGGGATCTTTGGAGATATTGAGAAGAAGCGAAGCTCAGCATCGCGTGGTAGTGTATTACAATTGATTCTATAGGAGCAATTAAAAGAAATATATAGCCGTCGAGGTGTTTTATTCTAGTCGAAGATCTTGCCATCTTCCGCGTTCCGTATGCCACCATTTTTCCTTTTCCTTTCTATCGGCAATGACGCCCTCGCGCCAATTCCAGCTACCAGTGCATCCCTCCTTTTCCGGAGCAATGAACTCGCCACCATCGGCAGCTAGGTCAGGCACATCAACCAAGCCACCCTTGTCATCGCTGGATCCTGGATCCGGCTGCAAGCAGTACTCGATTTGGCTGCCCAAGGTACCCAGGTAGCCTCCCATAGTGAAGTTTTCCACTGCTGAGCCATTCTCGTCAAATACGTTGACTTGGAAGCGGTGTTTGAACTGGCGCTCAGCATTGATGCGCGACTGGGCGGCAATTCGTGCCGAACGCAGGTCTGTGCCGTGTGGAGGAGGAGTTGCAAAGGTCGTAGGGAGCGAAACTACTGTGGCAGAGCGTGACAGGCTCTTTATGGGAGACTTTGAAGACAAGCTCGATGCTGAGCGCAGGCTGACAGCGCTTGAGCCGGTGTGAAGTACGCGGTCTGAAGCGGAGGCGATGTACTCTAAAGGTCTGCAGAGTGCTTGGAAGGCACCACGGGCATCGTTTGGTGTGCGGATGCTTCGAATATTGGGGAAACCGCCGGCCGCAATACTGCGAGACAGAATATCATCGGCGTCGTTGACACTGCCGGGCATGTGGCAGGTAATGTCCCAGTGCAGTTTGACCAGGCTGGGTGAGGCGAGATAGGGCATCATCCAGAGGCTGAAGCAGTCCTCTTCGGGCATCATTGGCGAAAAGTCTTGGACCAAAGAGAAGTTGGTGAGCTTGTGAAGGTGGGAGAAAAGGCGAGCCAATGCGGGAAGAGCCGTCAGCGGGCTGTGGCGGAGATGCAGGACGCGCAAGTGCTGACTATTAGGCTTGGTAGCAAAAGAAGAGAGGCCAGCAGAGGTAATACCGGCAATGTGCGAGAGAGTAAGGGTTTCAAGCTTGGGGAGAGAAAGGAGATTACTATCGTTGAATGTGTTGGCGGGGAGGCAGCTTAGATGGAGGTGTTTGAGCGAGGGGAGGCAGGTGAGGGTGCGCTCAAGGAGGTGGCCCTGTGCAAGTGAAGCACCAGGGAGACAGTGGATGGATAATGTTTGTAGATTTGTCCAGCCGCGGTGGTGGTCGAGGAAGACTGTCGCCTGGGCGCTGGTGAGCTCTGCCGGCAGGGCTGCAGCGCTGCATGACGAGTCGGGTCTGCAGCCTTCTGGGCCGGCGATGGCTTCTATTCGCCAGTCCATGGACTTAAGCTTTGTCCGTGTAGACAAGGCATGGAAGATGCGGTGGAATGAGTGGTCGTAGCTGGTTATTGGGCCAGCAAGGCGCTCCAAGTTGGGGCATGCCATGACAAGCGCCGCCACCTTGTTGTCGTACTGTTCGATGGGAGAGCCGTCTCCTCGAGCGAATATGGCTGATGCAAGACCGGTATCGAGAATAGGGACTTTGAGTGTGCGCACCAGGGCGGCTAGGCGCTGGTTCTCGCGAAGAGTGCGTCGAAGGAGTGTCATTCGGCAGCCTTGGGCCATCTTGAATCGCTTCTTGTGTGAGGCAGAGTCTGGGCCAACAAGCTGTATGTCCCGGTACCTGGTATTACTGTTAGCCGTAGCTGTGGCATGCGTTGTAGTAGACAATGGTTTGGACTTACATGGAGAATCGGGCTACTTTACACCAGCGGCGCGATGTGACTGCTAGACTACAGAGATCTCTCATCCAGCAGGTGGCACAGCTGTCACTGTTAGGTGCAAGATGCAAATCCTTCAAGTTCTCGAGAATCGTGTCGAGGATCTCGTCTGGTAGCGTTGCAAATAACTCGTTGGGCTGGAGACCGCGAGATGCCGGGCGATTCGACACTATCGAACCGGCAGCAGACGGCCGTCTGAGGATCTGCTGGGCCCAGGCTTGGGCATCGAGTTGTTCATTTCGATCCGCTCCGCTCCAGTTGGACGAGAGGCTCATCTTTCGGTCTCGAATTGGTCCGTACTGAGCCCCAGAGGCAGAAGTACCAGCAAGCTTTCGGGGTCGGTTAAGAACCATAGGTTTCGACTCGGTCTTTCGCGGCGGTGTAGCAGTGCTGATCTGCAGTCCAGGATACATTGGATATGCCGACGTTGTTGCAGGAACAGAACGGACTGGCGACGATTGCGTGGTCATGGTTCGAAGCGCGGGCTTGCTAATCTTGTTTGGTCTTTGTTGCTCAACACCACGGTACTCGCGGATAGGATATTGCTCCGGGATCGGCTCAAAGGTCGTCATGAGCTTCGGCCTCATCGCGACTGTAGGACCCATGTTGACGGGATGGCAGCAAGCAGTAGCTGCTTTTTACGACTGTGTTGTATCCTCCAGGGTCGTGACTCCCAACCTCTTGTCGGGACCGAATGCCAAAATGCGTTCGAGAGGATCACAAGAAGAGAGACTTTGACGTTGACCGGCCAGCGGGTGACGCCACAAAGTAGAAAAGCTGTCGAGAAACAAGCAAGCAAGCTGTACACCTTGGTAGGAAGGCTTGTCAAGGACCAATGAGAAGGGGTGGTCGCGAGGCAAGGGAGATTGGCTGAGTAGAAGGATGATGGGCAGGTTGAAGAGAAAAAAGTAAAAAGCCCAGTGGGAGGTGCAACAAGTGTCAAAGGGTGGGCAAAAGGTTTTATTAATTTCGACAACCCTTCGGCCTAAGACAGGTGACGGCGTTGGGGTCAACGGCCACTGTGCTTCAGGACACAGGTGGACAGCTCCGGTATGTAGAATGATGTCGAAAAGCTAGTCTACTGAACCAATTGACCGTAAGATGAGCCACGGTGCAAGCTTTGGCCCAAGGCTCAGCCCGCCATGCGACATTGGGGGAGCATCGCGTGGGTGCCTTGGGGGGGATCCCTGACGTTTAGCGCGAAGCAGCAAAAATGTAAGATGGGTGTATTGAGTGCCTGGATTTGTACATCCTCCAGCGTCCTATCCAAGCACGGCAGCCAATCAATCGTTGGCATGGTGGTACTGAAAGACAAGATGAGCACCACTCACTTCCGAGTAATGGGTTGGCACCAGCCATGTATGAATGAATAATGCGCATTCCAGCGAATGCTCGATCGATGCCCAGGTATGCCGTTTCCGATTCATTGTCAATTATTGATTTGCCTATATTTTCTTGTGCTTTTTTCGTCATTTAACTCCCATGAGAGCCGGGCCGAGACAAAGCAAACAAGGGCGGGGGCAAGTTCGGAACAAAGGGCGGCAAGACGCCATCCACAGCATCGGTACCTAAGACAATGGTGCCAATTAATTTGCCTATCGTGGAAATTAGCACTGGGGCTCCTTAGCTTCGCTACTCTATTGTTGCAGGCGCTGCCCCTTTCCTTAGCTTCAACTGGGCCAGGGTCCCTCGTAGCTACAGCGTAGCATTGCTGCAACCTTGGCCCCAAACAGCCGCCCATCAAATGTTGTATACTGTGCAAGATGGTTCTTAGTGAATACTGGTTCACCGCATACCTCATGAACTGTATCGGAAAGAAGCCGTGATCGAAGCTAGAGTCAAGGTCGATCATCATGCAGTTATACCGACATCATGCATTGCAGTGAAACCTGTTTGTCTGCGTTAACAAGTCATTTCGCGAAGCAAACAACACATCCCATTTGGGCAATATGATCTAACGATGCAAGAAAATTGCACCACTCAGAGGTGCTAAAGCCGTAGAAACACGAATTTGATTACCACATGAAAAGCAAACGCCGCAACATGGTCTAGAACTATACAATATGGAGCAAACCCAGTGTTCCTCTTTAAGCACCATCGTCGAACCGAACCCTTCGTGCGGGCCGCGTAGTAGGTGCCGCCTCTTCGTCTGTCGTATCGCCCGTCGCAGCGTTACTTCCAGGGCCCATGGCATGGGTTCGTTTCATGCTCTGCCCTCCATTCCTGACAGCCGATTGGTCGCCGCCTCTGGCGTCATTTATCTTCTCATCCAAACTCGTTGCATCGTTTGCTGGAGCTGTAGCATCCTCAGTTCTCGCGCCAGGCTCAGTTGAAGTGGTCATATAATCTCCCACAACAAGGCCATCGTTTGGATTGACGGTCCGGCCGAACCCAACTCCAAAGACTGGCAAGGGAGATGTCAATGGTGCCATCTGCGATTCTGGGTTAGCGTCGCATGTGTCCATAGGTGCAATTTTGGCGTTCTTGATCCAGTTGTAAATGGGTGTAATATCCAGAATCGACTTTGCTCGTCTATGTTCTGCTTGAGTCATATGTTGCTGCTGGTCAAGCAGAACTTCGTCAATACTGCCTCTTAGGACCAGTGTTTCTACTGACACCGGCTTTTGCTGACTGATACGCCGCACACGTCCAATCGCCTGCGCCTGGACTTGGGGGTTCAGCACTGGGTTGATGAAATAGATGCGGGAAGCTATTCTCATGTCCAGCCCAAAAGCTGCCTGTGACAAATCCATCAGTAGGACTCGAAACGAATGGTTGTAATGAAACGTCGACACATAATGCGCTCTGCGTTCTACCGTTAAAGATTTAGCGTAGATTAGGTGCTGAATTTGGAGAACATCAAGCATTCCAGCAAGATACCATGCAATGTTCTCGTTCTCGTAAAAGATGATAATCTTCTCATCGTCTTGGTACATGAGAAGGCTGTCAATCAGATATGTGAGTTTAGCCGACACTGTGCTGGTAATTCGTGCGTCCATCAAGGGACTTAAGTCAACTTCATCGCTTATAGAAAGTGACAAATAGTCGTCCTTTGCAGGCCGCGGATGAGCTTTTCGTGGACTGTCATCTCCTAGTTTCGTGTTTCCGGCCATTATATCGTTTCCCTTGATCGCTTTTTTGGTCTTCTTTGGAGAAGACGCGCTGTCCATGTGCTTCTGTCTCTCCAAGAGGCCCTCTTCGATAAGGCCTCCATTCATAAGAGAGTTGAATTCTTCGACCTTACATGCTGCTTTGAATATACGCTTTTGTAAAGAATGTAGCATGCTAGCAGATGTACAGATGGTGTCTGCTTCCATACCATCTAAAGACCAAGCATATCCTGCTCCAGCCGGAAATCCCGTAACACAAACCGGAAGTTCATGGAAGATGTTGCTATGGTTTCTGATTTCGTTCTTCATTATCAGATGTCCAAATTCTATGGCATCTTGGAGAAGATATTCGTCTTGTTTGGACACAGAGACAGCCTTCTTTTGAAGAAACTCCTCCGCGGTCTCTACAGCAGTTTTAATTTCTGCCCAAGAGAAGAAAGACCCTCCAAAAAAGCTGGTCTGCTTCAAGTTGTGTACCATCAACAGCAGATTCTTCCTTTGCTTGGGATGGAAGAAATAGTCGAGATCGGTTCGTTCTGACTGAACCGCGTTGAAAATGATAATCATCGAAAAGATATTGACGGCTAGTTGATCTTGGTATGAGCCATCTAACATGACGACCTTTTCTTCAATGGAAGGTAAAAGATACTGAACGTCACTGATCTGGTGCCGGACAATCAGCGAGCTTAACGTTGCCTTAAGACAATCCCATCTACCACGGCCGCTACGCCTGTGTCGAGGGAGCATCAAATATGTCGTCCAGCTGGCATTGTCGTCTGATTCCATAGACAGCTTAGCCCATGGCCTAGCTTGTAGGTATAAGACGGCGATAGATCCAATTCGTTCCAAATCTTTTGATTCCATTTCCAACTGGCTCTTGTCCATAGAGTTTCCTGAGTGCGGTGAAGATCCCTGCCGGTCGACACTGCTGACAGATGATGCGATGTCCTGGGCATCTACACTATGAAGACCTTTCGAGGGAGTTCCGGTGACAGCCCAGCGCGCAAAAAAGCTCATCACTTCGAGTCCCATCAACAAATTGCTGCGTCTATTTATACTTGAGTTGCCAAGGACGTGTCCCTCGTCGACAAAGCATCGCTTAAATCGAATAAACGATAGTGGCGAGTCCGTGGTTTCAAACTCGGGATGCATGGCCTCGAAGCGACTTTGGCTCATAAGAATTATATCTTGCTCAAGAAGGGATTCTGTTGGAGGGATAAAGTCGTCCTTCTTAATTACGAGGACCTTTAGTCCAGTCGTATGCTTCCTGATTTCATCTTGCCATTGTGACAGCAAGTTATTTGGTACAATGACCAAACTGCATGTGCTCAAATACATCTTCCGGGATGGACGCACTTTAGCTGACAACCTCAAGGAGCGTCGAGGCTTTGGCGGCGGAACAAAGTAACATCCTGGATTTCTCTTGAATAAGTCGGTATGGAACCGGTTGCCGAAATCTGAATTTTGCCCAAAATAGGTTTTCCATGGCACTGAGTGGCGCGTTGCACAAGCTGCAGCCATATCGCACAGAGATCCAACTTTCTTTCGAACTGTCTTCCGCGGAGGATTGTACAAGTCGGGTGGTACACTGGGGCTTTCTAGTGTAGCCAGGATGAGAGCCAAGCAGATGAGCGTCTTTCCGGAACCCATTTCTTCGGCAAGAATGCCGCCACGTACTTCGTCGTAATATCTCTGCTGCGAGCATGCCTCACCACTTACGCGATCCAAGTACCACGCTGGCCCGCATGGACTCTTCACACAAAGTAGGCGGGGGTCTGGCATACGACCAGGCTGTGCTTCTTTCTGAAGCATTGTAGCAACGGATCGCTTCTGATGCGGGTGTAGCTTCGTAATGAGTCCCGGAATTTTGCCATCTAGAACATTTTTCATCTGCCGTCTGGCATGCACGTCTTCAACGACCTCCAGGCTTGGGGATGGTGACGGCATTTGGTTGAAAAGCTCTAGTAGAGAGCTGGCCTCTTCGTCAGATGCCGCAGCGGGATCAACTGGAATAGGCCCAGAGAATGCGACAGGCAGACGCACTCCATCCCATGCTTCTGTCGAATAATCCATCTCTGAAACCAGCTGCCGACGACGCACCCAGGCACGCGCATTCGTTCGATCAATCGAGCTTCTATGCACATCATCTGGAAGAAGGGATATTCTTAAGATTCCAGTGTCAGGGCAAATGTCTGAGACTCCAAATTCAAGATACGCCCATTGCGCCTCGAGCAGTTCTCTATATGCGAGAAATCGGGGTGCTTTCAAAAAGGCAGACAGAGTCTCTGTTGACACAGCCGCCGCAGCCGAGGTGTCATCGGAGGAGACGGTTGTAGAGAGTATATTCCACTTCGCCAAGCTGAGTTGCTTCCAGAGGTCATCATCCAAACCAAGTTCCGTCTTCGGCAGCGCGACACAGCCGGCGGCAATGAAGTGAGCCTTATTCATTTTGCGTATAGAGGAGTGTATATCATGCCTATAAACATGGTTGGGCGGCAGAGGTGTATGCCAATGTTGTAGAATATGCTTTATGCGAGTGTTAAATTTTGGTTTGCGTTATTTTCTAAGTCATTGCTGATAAATGCAGAATGGCTGATGCTGCCTCTATTGATGATGGAAAAGTGAGGTGTGGTTGGTTTGATGGTGGCAAGACTAAGACAAAAAGCGTCTGCAGGTGCCTGGCGTCGCACTGTAGAGTTCTGCGCTGAACACCACAATGCGCTACAGTGCGTGGACGCCTCCCCCAAACTGCACGCTACCACTACAAGGCTGGGGCAGATTCAGTCTGTTCTATTCAAAGGTTGTGAATTGTTGCTTTGGAAGCAATTCATTGTTTAAAAAAAGTAATTACGCCTGTATTTTCCCATTTTGTACACCCGTAAACATTACATTACCCATTGTGATCGCCATTGCTCTCAGCATCATTAAAGGTCCTTTACTGGCCAATCCCAAGGCTTGTCGCAGCTCGCTTGCTTGTCAACAAACTTCTTGATCGTTTCAAGCCTCCAGCCGCTATATGTGCGCTTGGCGTTGTCATCCTCCTTCTTGGCTGACACGCCATATAAAATCTCTCGGCCAATGCCGCAGACGCCGTTCAGATAACGCCACTGAAGGCAGTCGTCGTGAGACTCACAAGCCTTCTTACAGTTGGTATGGCTCTTCCAAGCCTCTTTTTCGACAGGCGATAAGTTGTCCTTCTTTACGCGGTTTGGCAGCTCTCGCCACTCGTCTTGATTTCTGTCGTCGGGGTTGATTTTTGGATCAATGTAGAACTCATCATCGCTCGCATTATCCCAATCAGCCAATACCTCGCGCAAGTTGTCCTTGACAAAGTGATTGTAGAGATCCCTGAACTTCAATGCGTTGCCAGACTTGACAACGTCGTTCTCAAACGTGTACATGAGGTCGACGTCTTCAGTTAGTAGCTTGTGTAGGGTGATGATAGGCTGGCACCATTGCTTGTCACTATATTTGACCGTGTTTGCCTTTTTGGGATTCAGTGCTGGGAACTGGTTTACGTTTGCATTAGCATGGATTCCTGCAGCCGTCAACGATACTACTTACCATCTCTTCCGGTTCCAGTCCGGTCTCGTTCACCATTATCTCAGCCCACATAATATCACCGCAGCAGTGATGGGAAACACGTTCGTCCCACTTGTTTCCAAGTTTAGGTTCCTTGGTAAAGAGGTCGCGCATCGTAGCTTGCGATAGGAGATAGCCAGTACCGCCATGGGCAAAGGGGAAGTAGCCGGAACGCTGGATGCCTCCAATGTAATGCGGCTTGGTCGGGTCGACGTTCTTAAGCCAGGACATCAAGTTTCGCCAGCTGACATAGGTATCGGCATCGATGTAGAAGTACCAGTCGTAATTTGGGTGCATTTTCCAGGCCTTCTCCGCAATGTGCGAATTCTTATACTTGTCGAGGTTCCAGCCCTCAGAGCCAGTATCGTAATTCTTGTTGCACTCTTCGCGCGAAATATGGCACTGCTGTTGGCGATGGTATAGCAGAAAGTCGTTGTTGTGCTGTTTGACAGCGGGCAACACATTGTCCAGACTGTCGTAGACGACGTGTCCACCCACTGTTTGGGCCAAGTCGCTAAAGAGCAAAACATTGTCAGGCATGCACTTGAGCATGGACATGTAATGCATGGGGATTCTTCGATAAATCTCGGAGGCGCCCGTTTTCAGTAGAATTAATACGTTGGACGTGTCGGGGAAGTCGGCGCATTCGGGATCGACGCGGTGGGCGACTTGAGTTTCTCGCGACGGCTGCGGCGCCTGTGGTTTGGTTGGCAGCTCGGACTGTGGTTGTTGTGATTGTTGTGCTTTCTGTCGGTAACCTCCAAGACGTATTTGATGCTGATCGGTATTTTGCAGCGCATACATAGCGAGGGTGATGAAAACAATTAGGGCCACCCATACTGGGACAAGCCTCATGGACTTGAGCGTCATGTTCGCAAAGGTGCTGGGGTAGCAGAGAACCGTCGTATCCAACGTGGGAGGTGTCAACGGCGCTGTCAAGATGGAAAATGGGGGAGATGCAAGATGCGAAATGGGTCAAGGAAAAGGAAGTGGCATTACTTTAAACTAAACACGAGGAAATACGGGTTGTGCCATGCCTCATTAGTCATAACCCTTCCACAAGCCTCAGCCGTGCCAAACCAAACGGCCACCCGGGGCAAACAAGGCTCCCAAAGCCAAGGGACACGAGCTTTTTTCCTGCAAAACCAAAAGCCACTTTTTAAGTAAACGTGGCGGCCGGATTGGCGGGCGACGGTGCGCATTGGCCGCCAAAGCGGTGCTCAAAAATAGCCACATTCTTATCATTTCCAGGGAATGAGGATCCGCGCTTGGGCAGCGTTGGTTACCCGCGGATAGGGGGGCCGATCTGCGCACAATGGAGATAGGCAGACGGGTAGTAAAAAAAAAAGTCAGTGAACAATTAGTGGGCAACACGCCCTGTAAATTTAGCTAAAAAGCCTTTCTTCACGTCATTAGTGGCTTCTCAGTAAATCTGCAGCGTTGGAAAAAAGTATATATTCGTTAAGCTATGTTATTACAGATGTGCACTGCGCTGCCGCCTTCCCGTTGCCTTAGCCACCTGCATGGAAAAATAATTATAATACAATTACAGTTTTATGTCGTAAACGTTAAACGCACCGCTTTTCATTGACGTCATGGCGACCAGCGCCTCAGCAGACCAACCGACCAAGCTTGGAACGACCGCTCAGAGTGAGGTAGGATTGACGTGCTCCATATTAGTGCTTCACGAGCATCAGCAACAGCTGGTCCTGGAAATACAATATCTTGGACGTCTCCATTCAAAGAATCCGCCATCTTGTTGGCTTCTTGCAGCGTCGTATCCTTGTAAAGAATCTTGACGGCTGTCTTGACGCCTGGATGTAAAGAAGACGAGTATACAACGTGGTTGTTCAGCACCCAAAGATGTAGTGGCATCGGCACCTTTTCGCTGTCATCTGTATTTCCATTCTGTGTCGCCGGTATTATTACAGACTTTGACGATCCAGATCTCGAAATGGTCGATGTAAGAGCAGCCACCAGGCACTCCGAACTTGACGGCTGGCTGCTGGGCTTATTTGTCTCGCATATAACCCTCCATTTGAATAAATTAACCGATGCTGTAATTACGTTGAAGCTGCCGACCTCTGCGCGGCACTGTGAGCAGCAGAGTCCAAGCAGTTTCACGTTGGTCTCGGGATTCAAGACGGATCGGCTCAAGGGGAAAGATTCGCCAAGCGGGGAAAGGTACTATCAACAGGTATTAGCAAACGTACAAGTGAATAATGTTAGACATAAAATGTGCCTCCATGTCAGACTCTACGCTTCCATAGTATCGGAGTCGAGAGAACACGACGAGAGATACAGAGCGCTGCGTTGGTAGAACCCATCCGTAGAGGAGGATACCCTGACCACTCAGCGAGATGCCCTTTTGGGCTTGTAATATTCATATTGGGGAATAGTATCGGTAACCATGCCATTGAGCGGCTAAGCCGGGTGTGGCCACCTTCTGGTTCCCCGTGTAACATTATCAACGCAGTATATGTATGGGAACGTACCAGAAGCGATTTGCAGTCTGTCCCTGACAGCATAAAGGACATCAAATCAATGAATCCCGTCCCGGGGCGAGATAAAATGGCACTGTTGGCACCGTAGCCTCGTTTAGTAAGATGTTCTTCGTCGGCTGCGTGATCGTGGGCATGGTCGTGGTCGACAGGTTTATGGCAATGCCAGAATTCCATCATCTCCGCCCAGCCTTCACTAGGCAAGTCTTTCCACTCCTTTATGCTCCCATTGGCGACGATTTCCGTATTGCAAGCCCGGCAGCTAATATGCGACCCTGCGACCAGGTCTACTGCTGTCCAAGGCAGTGGTTGCTGTTCTGCGACGAAGTGGCCGCCTTGCAGCTCATCTCGAGCAATTGGTATGCGCCACGTCAAGTCTTTCGACTGTCCTCGAGACACGGGAAGAGGTCCATCTGCCGTTATTCTTGCAGGCAATTGCAGTTCTTGGACCTGTTCGCCATGCTTCACGACCAGCGTCTTGCCGCCACCGACGACTTTGGCTTCTGTCGACGAATCGGCAACCGACGGCAGCACAGCCTTGACAGTTACCTGTCTCAAGTTGGTCAAAAGCTCTGCGTATATTATTATGGCATTTTCGCTCGGGCTCGGTTTCGGCGGCGGCGGCGCCATTCGGTCGGCGCTGGGTGATGCCGCTTGTCTGGTGGCGATGCTTGTGACGCGACGGCGAAACGCAGGCAGCGCTGGACGCAACAAAAAAAAGACGACACTCTGTACTCGGCGACCCCACCTTGGCCCCAACAACCCAACGGCGACTCGATCTGCTTGCGCGTCCTACTGTCTCGCGCGCTGGAAATACAAACTGATATTTACTGTCGACATATTCTTTATCACCTCTGGGTTGCTGAAACAGAGCAGCTGCAACCTCAGCCATGTCGGGAATCTTCTCATACTTCCTCGGAGGCGGCTCCCCCGCATCATCAGGAAAGCTGGAACCTATCAAGATACACAGCATCGAGAATAGCGATGACAAGCGCGCAAAGTCTGCAAGCTATCTCATCAAGGCCAACCACGTCAATCACTCTATTCTTTACAACAACGGCAAATTTCACAACCATGCATCGCATCTCATCAGCTCCGCCTACATCCTCGGTGCAAGTGAAGAACAACTCCGCACCGTCTATGAGGCTGAAGGCAAAGAGCTGGAGCCTTGGGTTCCTGCCCCTGCCGAGGTAATTGACGAAGACTGGAGAGACTTCCTCGGAAATTACGAGTATCAGCGAGGATTCATTGATTTCTTTGAGGACAAGCTCGTCGATGCCGCCTATGACTGGAAAAAGGTCGTGAGCGAATGGTTGTTCTTGGGCAAAGAGCCCCTCTTCAATGCACTGATGTCTGGACGTAAGTGTTCTACTATTTTAATATGATTTCCATCTGATCTATACTAATATAGCTAACGCCGCTCAGTTGGTCATCCGCTTATCCACCTGGCATATGCGTTCGAGATGGACAGCAAAGACGTTGCTATGGAAGCTCTGGCAATGGCATGCTGCTGCTACAACTACATGCACAAATACTCAGACGATGCCAAGTATACAAGACCATCCTCTATTCCTAGCGCATCCCCGTCTGAGCTTCTGAAAGCAATATCCACCGACGCTCGGTTTGACGCCGTGCCGAAGGACTTGGCAACCAGCGCGAGCTTGGCCGATCTGCTAGCTGATTTTGAGGATCCAATCATGGATTATTGGAATGCGTGGGATTTTGATGACCCTGTCAAGGCACTCGAACATGCCCAAGAAGCAGCAGTGGAGGTTGTGATTGGCTCGGCGAACCCCTCAACCAAATCGGGGCCGTACAACTTCTACTACGCGCATATACTGACAAGCAGTCATGCAATGAGAGTCTTATTGCCATTGATACCGGCGGATCGACAGACCTCTATGCTTCGCCAATGGTGGTTATTTACGATTGCCGTCTACCTCTTCAGAAATCGACCTGCAATTGACTCGAACAATATCAACAAGAGTCTAGACGGCCGCGACTGGGCCTATGTAGAGGATAAAGCGATCAATTCCGATCGAATAACAGAGGCACATTATATCAAAGGTAAGATTATTCTTCACATTGTGGAAATTATTAGCTGATAAAGAAATACTAACAATTTTGAAGTTGTTCGAACATTGAAAGAGGCAGAGAAGACGTGGGGATCTAAAGACAACTTTTACTTGCTTGCGGCGTGTACCTTTGTTGATAACTATCATTTTTGGACCTATTCATAAGACTGTCATAATTAATCAAACATTGTCTATTTTGGATCAGAGAAAGAAAACAAGTAAAAACATAGATATGTAACCATGTTATATACAGCACATCCATCACTAAAACACAGCGCTGCAACAGCCCTGTAAGGACCTCAGGTAGGGCGGGTGGGTCACCAGCTGTCACGCCCCATGGAAGCAAGTTAACGGTGTCAAGCTGAAAACGCGACAGCCCACCTCTGCTCTCTGCATCCAAACAAGCTCGGCGACAACCTCGAAACACAGAGCTTCACCGAATTCTCATCTCCCGAATCCCTCCATCGCGTCTAAATTAGAATTCTGTAATCACCCAATGCCGCAGCCACGCTGATGGCCCCGCCTGCGAAGCGACGCCGGCGGAACACCGTCCAGGCGTCCGACGACGAAGACGAGCCCCCTCGAACCAATACGCTGGCCAACTATCTTCTTTCGTCTCCCAGCTCGCCTGTCAAGACGAGAGATGTCACATTATCACCTAGCCCGTTGAAGGGCAAGTCAGGGTTTGGTCAGCCGGCGAAGAACGGTGCCAATCGCCGTGCAGCGCCTAAGAGCTTGGGCAGCCCAAGCCCAAAGAAGGGCCGTGGCTTCAGCCAAAGCGACGAGCGCGGAAAGAGTGGTGATCTTAAAGCTCTTTTCTCAAAACAAGTCCAGCGGGCTTCGAAACCTACAGCTACCGGTGGTCAACGACCCCAGGTTCTAGACGACATCATCAGCGATCCGGTCTCTGACGACGAGATTTCCGAATTGAAAGCAAGTTCGTCCAGTTTAGTTGGTCAACATGCACGAAAGAGAGTTCGAAATGGAGGACCTGCATTGTCCTTTGAGAATACAACAACTAGCAATCGGTTTTTGAAGCCGGCAAAGCCGCCAGCTCCGACAGCCGACGACGATCTCCGTCCCTGGTCAGAACGATTCAGTCCTAGAAACCTCGACGAGCTCGCTGTACATAAGAAGAAGGTTGCAGATGTTCGCAAATGGCTAGAAGAAGTCATTGCTGGCCGGATGCGACAACGAATGCTCATTCTCAAAGGTGCTGCTGGCACTGGCAAAACTACGACTGTCCAGTTGTTGGCAAAAGACATGGGATGCGAAGTGCTTGAGTGGCGAAATCCCACTGGTAATGCCGGAACTGGGTTCGTATCAACGTCTGCACAATTCCAAGAATTCTTGGGTCGTGGAGGCAAGTTTGGGGCACTTGAAATTGACGAGTCGTCTCCGGCACCTACATCTTCGGCCGCCAATGACAATGCGAAGAGAATCATGGTTATTGAAGAATTCCCCAATACCTTTTCAAGATCATCGTCCGCCCTGACTTCTTTCCGCAGAGCTCTACTGCAATATCTTGCCACCCAAACACCTCCAATAGGCATGTTTGCCCATAGTGCCGCCAAGGAGCCGATCAAGCCGGTCGTTGTCATCATTTCAGAAACTCTTCTAACGACGTCATCTGCATCATCTGATAGTCTCACTGCACATCGCCTGCTGGGCACTGAAATCATTGGTCATCCAGGTGTCGGTGTCATTGAGTTCAATTCTGTCGCGCCTACACTTCTTGCGAAAGCCCTTGAGCTGGTGGTTCTGAAAGAAGCCAGGATATCGGGTCGAAAACGCACGCCGGGGCCAATGGTTTTGAAGAAGTTGGGAGAAATTGGAGATATCAGAAACGCTGTTTCATCCTTGGAATTTCTCTGTCTCAAGGGAGATGCGGACGGTGATTGGGGAAGCAAAATTGCATTTACAAAGCAAAAGAAGTCGGTCAAGGACGGCATTTCTCTGACAAAGGGTGAACAAGAAACTCTAGAGATGGTATCTCAGCGAGAAGCTACACTGGGCATCTTCCATGCAGTTGGCAAAGTCGTGTACAACAAGCGCGAAGATGCTTCTGTCACAAACGGCTCTGAATCGCTACCGAGCTATTTGCAACACTGTTCACGGCCAAAACCATCACAAGTGTCAGTGGAGTCGCTCATTGACGAAATCGGCACCGACACTCATACTTTCATCGCCGCACTTCATGAGAACTACGCACTGTCCTGTGACAGCGGTGATCCGATGGACCTATCCACATCAATCGATTACATGAACGACTGTTTAGATTATCTGTCCATATCAGATTTACTCTGCGCACCTCAAAATGGAAACCAAGGGTTCACTGGTAAAGATTCGGGCAGTCACCTGCTGCGACAGGACGAAATAATGTTCCAAGTTGCTGTGCGTGGCATGCTTTTTTCATTGCCATATCCAGTTCAACGCAAGCCGTCTACAACTATGCGCGGCCCAGATGCCTACAAGATGTTTTATCCGGTGAGCCTGAGAATCTGGCGTGCAAGAGAGGAAATCTCGTCTCTCCTTGATATTTGGTCATCAAAGCTGCTCAGAGGCGAAGACGACATGCCAACCAAAGACTTAACGGCTGGCGCCAGCATCTTTCGTCGAGTGAAGGCAGAAAATCAGTCTCCTTCAAAGACGCAGCGATCTGCTCCCGCGCCAGAAGCCGAGCCCCCGACGCCGCTTTTCTCCATTGGCAGTGCCGCTCGGCGAGAGCTGCTGCTGGAGCGGCTCCCGTACATGGCGCAAATCAGCCGTGGGCGCAAGTCAGGCTCCCGACAGCGTGACTTGGAAAAGATGGTATCCTTCCGCGGTGTTACTGCGGTAGACGAAGATTCAGATCCCGAAGAGGATGAGGCTACGCAGGCGCAAAGCGAAGCCTGGGCTACAGACAAGCCCTATGATGGAGCAAGCCCTCGCAAGAAGAAAGAAAAGATTAAGCCTGGTGCTGTAACTAGCATGTTGGCGCAGAAACTGGTGCTGAGCGACGACGACATTGAAGATTAACAAATGTACGAGTACATACATATACATGTAATTGCAGGATGGTGATTTTTAGGGGCGGTAGTCATGGTTTGAGGATGAACCAATGCATAACGAGCGGTGTTTTGAACAGGAGTTTTGCTTTTACATGTCACGTTTTTTTCCCAGTTGCTATTTTGCAACACCTACACAAGCTCAAACGCAACTCATTTCAGATAATTTCGGAAAGCCAATTACTACTAATAAAAAAAGAATATGGGTATATACAGCGAAAGCTCGCTACACGTCAATCACGTTGAGGTGACAGAGTAGAGCTTCCAAGTCGTGACTAAATCGTTAAGAAGAAGCCGAGAACGTGCCCCGGCCATTGTATATTGTGATATTTAGATATATTTTTGATTGTGTTGCCTTCCACACGCTAGTCTCATAATCTCTGAGTCTCGTGACGCAACATGCCCCTTCCTCCTTTTCTTTTATTGTTAAACGGACATCATCAAACCACTTAGTGGTGGAAGAGACGGACGTTCTGCTCAACAAAGGTGATACCGAGCGTGGTGGCAGTGTCGTGGACGGGGCCATCGTTCTGGCTACCGCTGGGAGCGGCAATGTACTTAACGCCAGACTTGGCAGCGCGGAAGACGTTGTCGATGAAGGGGAACTACAGGTCAAGAGGTTAGTAACGAACACACGGTTGGTGAAAACGGTGTGGAAGGGGAGGATTCTTACGAAAGCATCGCTGGAGACAGCAACATCGGTGAGCTGCTTCATCCAAGCCTCACGCTCCTCCTCAGTGAAGGCAGCAGGGACCTCCTCGAAGACAGCCTCGAAAGCCTCGCGCTCAGGGCCGTCCTTGGGGAGCTCGCCGCTGACGAGAAGGTCGATGGCGTTGGACTTGTCGGCACGCTTGGTGCCCTTCTTCCACTTGAGGCCGAGGACGCGCTCGTTGAAGCGCATCCACCAGTTGTCGGCCTTGTCACCGGCAAGACGGGTGCAGTGGATACGGGACTGCTGGCCAGCACCGAGACCAATGACCTGGCCGTTGGTGGCGTAGCAGACAGAGTTGCTTTGTGTGTACTTGAGGGTGATGGTGGCAACGGTAAGGTCGCGGGCAGCAGCCTCGGAGAGAGTACCATCCTTGGGGGTGATGATGGTGGTGAAGCTCTTGGGGGTGATCTCGACGTCGTTGCGGTGCTGCTGGAGGTTGATGCCGTAGACGGTGCGGGTCTCAGTAGGGCCGGGGTTGTATTCGGGGTCGATCTGGAGAACAAGGTACTTGCCGCCCTTCTTCTTCTTGAGGATCTCGAGAGCAGCCTCCTCGTAGCCGGGGGCAATGACACCGTCAGAGACCTCCTTGGAGATGATGGTGGCGGTGGGGACATCGACAACGTCACTGAGGGCAATCATGTCGCCGAAAGAGCTCATGCGGTCGGCACCACGGGCACGGGCGTAGGCCTGGGCGAGAGCAGAGTCCTCAATGCCGGGAATGTCATTGACAAAGTAGACCTTGCGCTCAGTCTCGGTCAAGGGAAGACCGATGGCAGCACCAGCGGGGGAGACGTGCTTGAAGCTGGCAGCAGCAGGCTTGCCAAGAGCCTGCTTGAGCTCCTTGACGAGGGGCCAGGCGTTGAGGGCATCAAGTAGGTTGATGTAGCCAGGAGCGCCGCTAAGAGCCTTGAAGGGGAGAGCACCCTCAGAGGTGAAGGCAGAAGCGGGCTTCTGGTGGGGGTTGGCACCGTAGCGCAGAGTAAGCTGCTTGTCGCCGGCGCCGGCGTACTGCTCGCGGAAGAAGCCAGAGATGGCAGTGTCGTAGTCGGCAGTGTGCTCAAAGGCCTTGAGGGCGTATGTGTTGCGGCTGGCCTCGCTGATGCTGCCGCTCTGGAGCTCCTTGAGGAAGCCAGCGTAGTCGTTGGGGTCGCTGAGGATGGTGACGCGCTTGTGGTTCTTGGCAGCAGCACGGATCAGAGTGACGCCGCCAATGTCGACCTCCTCGACAGCCTCGGGGATGCTGACGTTGGGCTTGGCAATGGTCTCCTTGAAGGGGTAGAGGTTGCAGACGACGTAGTCGACCTTGTTGATGTTCTGGTCGGCAAGGTCCTTGTCGTCGGACTCGATATCGCGGGCCAGGATACCGGCGTGGACAGCGGGGTGGAGGGTCTTGACACGGCCGCCGAGCATCTCGGGGGCCTTGGTGATGGCGCTAATGTCCCTGTTTGCAGCATGTTAGCTTCATGTTGTGTATATAAAAAGGAAAGAATTGGTTGCGTACTCAACGGCAAAACCAGCCTCGCGGAGCATACGAGAGGTACCGCCCGAGGCGAGGATCCGGACATTCTGCTCAGTAAGGCCCTTGGCCAGGTCGAGCAGACCAGTCTTGTCGTAGACAGAGAGGATGGCAATCTTCTGGGAAGCCATTGTGATGAATGTGTTGATGTACGTTGACTATGTAGCGACAACAGATGGGTGGAAAAGAGAAGCAAAACAGCTCAACAGAAAAAAAGGTGCTGCGCGACGAAGCGAGAAAAAAAAGTTTTGGCGGGGTCGCTTGCACCATCGCGGGGCAATCCGGGAGCATCACTTTTGCCGTATAGGGTAAAGTACGCCAAGAGCGAGTCACTGACACATGGAGAGCTGCTGCGAATAATATTTTTTTATTCCAAGTTTAAAGTGATTGGTGTTCTTATTTAATTGATGTCGACGTAATTTCGTTACAGATCTTATTCTATTTAGAAGCTCGTTCGCATGGTTAGCTACACCCTCTTTAGCTCATAGCCCCTCCAGGTTCATCTAAGCCGCAACACATGCTCCTTACACCAGGCCGCAAGCTGTTCTACTTAACTCCTATAAATCAACTCAACAGGCAAAAAGAGGATAATATATTGCAAAAAGATTTAATACACAGCACAAGGCAGTGCATTATCAGGGGGGCAAAAATGACAAAAAAGGCAAAAAGATATTTGATGAGACTGGGACTTGAACCCAGGAGGATTGCTCCACCAGGAAACGTGTTAAGGTAACCTTAACCTGGCGCCATAACCAACTCGGCCATCTCACCGATCAACTTGTTGAACACAAGAGCCTTAACATTCATTATAAACTTCTCAAACCCATGCTTCGCTCCAAAACACCGACGAGCTGCCCCTGGCCCTCAAATTATTTCTCCTATCTAATACTTTCAATTTTACAATATTGGCGACATGTTTCAAAAATATTTATTAGAGCGCCTTTATCCCCCATCATGCGGCGGCGCCGCGCACTACTGTCACAACGCCCGCCCAGGTCACAGGCAGCAGCACCCATGACAGGCGCTGGAGGTACCTAGAGCCAGCACCAATTACCGCGCGGCGCGCATGTACCCCGAGCCGCCTGTGTCGTTCGGTTAGATGCGTACTACAGCACATACTGTACGCCAACACCGCCAGCCAGGGATTGCTCTTTCATCTTAACAACAACAACAACAGCGGCCAACTCACTCTGTCTACAGCAGTGTAACATCTTCCAGTACTACGTCTTCTCCTGGACCATAGATCTTTGCCGGCGCATCAAAAAAGCCACTACTGTTACTCCCATCACTACCGTGAAGCGCACTAGACTACTCACCATGGGCCGCCCCGTGCTCCGCATCCTCTGCTTCGGCGACTCCCTCACATCAGGATACTTTCGTTGGGGTTGTGGATCAAAGCCATATTCTGAGGTTTTGAGCAGTCGGTTACAGGCCGAGTTCCCGGATCTCGAAGTCAAAGTGACCACAGATGGTGTCCCAGGCGACGTAGCCAGCCATCCTAGATTCTACGACAGATTCCGAAGGCAGTGTAAGTATTTAATGCGTTATGAATAGTCTATTCTTTACAGTATGAAAGCTAATATGTAACTAGTTTCATCACAATTCACATACGACTGGGTTATTGTGCTATGCGGAACAAAGTAAGCCTCAACTACCCCTCACGCGACATCTAGCTAACCGCCGGGTAGTGATATTGCGATACGCGCCTCTGACAATTCCATATATTCTGGTCTGCGTGCGACCTGGGACTATGCGCTATCCAAACGAAGCAAGGTACTAGCTCTCACAATACCCGAAACCAGCTTCAGCGCCGACTGGGTGACGATGGCCCGCGACGACGTCAACACCAGAATACTCGATCACAAAGCCCCGCAATAGTAAGTCAACAAACACCCATCCAACATACCATTCGAAGTTGGCTAACCAGTGACGCCTCGCAAAAGCTACGCCTTCGATCTCAAGTCACACATCCCGTATGCAAACCTCACTGAAGATGAACGCTCTCTGTACTGGGACGACGGCGTACATCTTACTGATGATGGGTACGACTGGATGGGCGGGCACATCGCTGACCACTTGATACCTCTCATCGCCGCCAACCCGCCAGTCGAGGAAACGCCAGTAAAACCAACAGCCAGACGCCAACGACGAACCCGATCTAACGACGAGGTCGTGTGGGAAGAGGAAGAAGGCAACCCGAAGCAAATTAACCAGGGCTATGTTATAGTTCGGCGCCGAGACTTGGACTGATAGACACGGGGCACTTGATAAGGTTTTAACGACAACTTGGTTTCATTTATTTCGTATAGAGCATGTATCAGCGACAGCATAATGGTCTAGAAAAGGCTTTTCTATAAATCTGCGCCATGTAAACGTAAAGTGTAGTGTCTTCTTTACCAATTCGCATTTCTCGCCCATCCAACGCCGATGCAGTGCAAACGCCAAAAAAGAGAAAGATATCAAAACTGAGAGGTTCATAAGAACCGCTATGCAAGATTGGCAGCTACAAATTCCTATAACAAAGATTAGCAGGTAACGCTAGTAGGGCTTGCAGTTCTGAAAAAACGTACAGGGAACTCCTTTTGCAGTGCGTTTGTCGTGGTTTCCACGTCTTCCGCCAGGCTCTCAACGTTTGCATCCCATTTGCGCATTTCTTTGCCAACCATGGCTTCTGCGCGACTGCTGCCCTTTTCGCCCGAAGCCTCTTGGCGCTCAAACCATACTATGCCGTCGAGCTGGTCCATGCGGCCGACAAGACGACCTTGCTCAATCATCTTGGCAGTAGTCTCTTCAGCCTTGTCGGCATCCAAGCCTAACAGCGAACCAAGAGCTTCAAAACGGATGTTGCTGTAGAGTCGGGAAGCGCCCAACAGGTTGTGCTCTACGACGGCCCTGGCCAAGACAGTAGATCCGTCAGCGGTGGTAGCCAGCTGGTGCGGCTGGAGACCTTCGGCAAATGCCTTGACTTCTTCGGGTGACAGCAAGCGGTCAAGGAACATCTTTTCGAGCATGCTGAACTCGTCCAGTTGCGGTGCTCTCTCGTCCTTGTACAGTCGGCCCAGGGAGCGGCTTCGATTCGGGCCAGCAGGTGCAAGAATGGCACACTTGATAGCCATACTAAGGGTATGTAACCGCTCCTCCTCGGCAATGGAATGGGAGAAGCTGATTTCGTGGTACCGTTGTGCTGCGGAGAGAAAGTCGCGCTGGGCATCTTGGATACGAGCCTGGGAGAGTTTGAAGTGAAGGTTGAGGTCGGGGTCAGAGACAGTGTGCATGATATTCTTGAGCTTGTTGATGTACATTTCGGCGGCGGTCGAGTCGCCCACCTCGAGATAGTTGCGGACGATGCGGATCCAGATCTGTGCCTTGTCGGCGTCGGACACCTTGCGCTGGGAGCTGTCGAGAGAGATTTCGGCGAGCGACTTGGCAGCATCTAGAAAGTCTTCGTTGTTCTCGTGAGCCGTGGCAACCAGCTCATGCAGCGTGGCGGCAGCATCGAGAAAGGATGCCGGCTGGCTCGACAAGAGTGCGGCGGTGCGGTTGCCTACCTCGATCCACATGTCCTCATTCTTGAGCTCGCGCAGCGTCGATATGAAGGCGTTGAGAACGGATCGTGTAGATACGACACCGAGGGACTGGGCAAAGAAGGCGTCGGCAATGGCATTGAGATCGTCGATGGCGGTGGGAGGCGAAGAGAGGTTCTTGATGTCAGCGAGGACGGCTTCGTACGCGGGGCCTTTTTCGCCAGCAACAGACTGGACACGAGCCAGGGCCTCACCGACCTTAGGGTTGGGGGCCATGATTAGACTAAAAGAAAAATAGATGTAGAAATAATAGAACTAGAAAAGACGCTATGTGCGGATACAAGCCGGACGTGGCGGTGGATGGGCGGACAGGTGGTGGTGATGGTTGGGAGATCGTGAAGGCGTGCAAGGCAGACGTTTGGCGGGGGGTGGGGCAGACAGCTACTGTAGCTCCAAGGCTTTTGGTGGCGGGGTTGCAGCCTGCTACCAAGATATTACTATGGGAATAAAGCTAGGAACCTAATTTATAGTAAAAACAATTTTTCTAAATATATTCAAAAACCATAGAGCAGGATGGAAATAAAAGAACAAAAAATGTATATATGTAAAAAGACACAGAGACATAGAGAGACATTTGTTCAACGCCAAAGCAAAGGCTTCCCCCCCCCGTCTACCAACGATTGTATATCATGCATTCGGTATCGTAATTGCCACAGAAAACGTTCCTCCACTGTCAGTTCCAGAAAATGATGAAAAAAAAGACAAAAACAGGTCTATATGTCGTTTCTTCTATTTGTTGTGCCACACCAATGTTCTCAGCGAATCCCAGTTATTGCAGTCCTTGTAGATATACGTCATGCTGCTGCGCAAGCTGGGCTGCAGGTCCTCTGGGTGGTAGCGGAACAAGGCCATGACGGCGCCCCAGGACACCGAGGCAAAGACGGGCCAGGCGTAGTAGCTGATCTGGGAGCTAAGAGGCTCGTTGGACACGACGGGGAAGCCAGTGCCCTGCTTGACGGCCAGGCGGGCGAGGGCCAGCGTGACGCGGGCAAAGATGTAGATGACAATCTGCTGGTTGACCGACGAGATCTTGCCGTGGCGCGAGCGGGCGCCAAAGACGAAGTAGCCGCCGACGAGACCGGCGAGGAAGCTGTCGTAGGGACCTAGAGACGAGAGCAGTGTTAGTTGCGATGCGGCGCTGGCGACAGAACAAAGGCAACGTACCCTCCTTGCCCGGTGTAGGGCCGTAGTACTTGAGGGCCAGCATGACAATCTTGTAGATGCTGGCGAATCTGGCCAAGTTCATGGCATGCTTCTTGGTGGCTCGGAGCACCAGCTCGACCTTTTGTCGGAATCTGCCGAAACGTTAGCCGGGCTTGCATTTCCGGGAAATTGAATCTTAAAAATAACTTACGTGCCAGATCGGAAGAGGAAGATCATGCTATACAAAACACAGAGTTAGCTCATCCGCGCAACATGCTTCAGCCTGAAAGCGAAAACACCTACACAAGCGCATGTGGGAATCGGACTTTGGTTCCATAGACAGCACCATTGCGCGCCGTCTTGACCAGCGAGAGCAGATCATGGTAACGAGGATCGAGGATAATTTGCTCCAAGGCAGCCTATATCCATTGCAGAGCGCAATCACCAATTAGCCATTCCAGTCGTTGGTACTGCAGCGAGTTGAGTAGCCGCATCGCCACCACCACCCGGCGGGCATAGCCGAGCAGTGACGTCGCCGCTCGCCCAAAAAGAAACGCACCTTGATTTCCTGCAGAGCCGCCGACATGGTGCGCGAGTGTATATAATGTGTATATGATTTCGTACGGGGGGACAATCGCAGAAAATTCAGTCGTCGTGTTGTTGTCGTTGCGTGAAAATCGATGTTTTGGCGTCGCAGAGAGAGATGCAGAGAGGGCGGCGGCCGGTTGACCGAGGCAGCTTCTGAAATCCGCGACCGGACTTTTCGGGGCAGCGAGAACGAGAGTCCGGGGAATAAGGCGGGACAGCGCAAATGGAAAAATGCAGGGATGCAAAAATGTGCAAAAGGTAGACTGCGAGGCGATGGAAGAAAAACCACGTCTTTTTTCTTTCTTTGTAGATTCGTTGTGTGGGAAGGGAAAAAGGAAAGCAAAAACACATGAGCAAGAAAAGGCCGACAGAGTGTCAGAAGCCAAGCCTGCAGCCTGGAATGTCAGCAGCTCCAGCACCCGCAGTGGATCTCGTTCTTCCCCCAGAGCCAAATCCCCCACAGCGCATCCGCATCTTGCCCCCAGCGCTGTCAGCCCTCTAAACCCACTAAAATACAGCGCATACAAAGCACGCTAGGCCCAAAGCCCACCACCCGCTTCCCCAGAAAATGCAGTGAGCGAGCAGAACAAGCACATGATGCTGACCAGCGTCTCTCCATCTGCCCTTTTTAGCATGTGATTGCTTAGCCCGCCATCGGCCGTACGGATATCTTGCCTGTTTAGTACAAAGGCGCACGTCAGAGAAATGCCACACTTTGTAGAATCGTTAGTGCCTTTACAGGTGGTTATGCTCTTTTTTTAATTTCATTTGATTGCATTGCATTCATTCATTTACTCGTCAGCTTGTAAAGCTACGGTTGTCTATCATCATTTACAATAATCATCATCATCAACACCATCTCTCCTCTGGTGGCCGCCATTTCACGCCCAGCACCTCAAAGATCTTGCGCTCACTTCGACCTTCCACCAAGTCTCCCTCATTTGCTCTCTCTCCCTCGGTTCCGCGAACAAACAGCCCTCGCTGGTTCAACCGCATGCCCTTCTTACGTGCCAGCAGACGCAAGCTCCGATTAAAGATGTCGTCACCCGTAAAGTAAATCAGCGCTCCGCCAATCTCGCTCTCTGGAACCAGCAAGAAATCGATACGGCGCCATGTCCCAACACCTCCCAGAGAGGATGGGAGCACACAGCATCCATGCCACAATGACCCGTCACTGTTGCGATGGAACCCTCCCGATGCCAGCTTTGCCGTAAGAAAGCCATCAGCCTCCAGCTTTCGCACCAGCCGGTTGAGAAAGCTTTGAAGCTCTGTAGATTTGGCCGTACCCTTTTTAGTGATGATAAAGTCAACGTCTCCCGAGTCCTTGGCTCCTCGTCGATAACTGCCGCCAATGATTACCTCTACCTCAGAATCGATCCTCTTGGCAGCCTTAGTAACAATTTTCCCCAGTTGAGTCATCTCCTCTCTTGGAATCCGAGTGTTTAGATCTTTATAGTACTCGATGCCAATCAATTGGTTTTGATTTAGTTTCGCATGCGCCAAAAGATCCTCCAACGTCCGCCAGCCTTTACCAATCCATTGCTGCGCAGTCCGAGTTCCAACACCATAGACCCCCAAAAACAGCTGCAGCAGACTATCGCTAGGATCGTCCGTTGTTTGGTCTAGTCGCTGTAACTTGTCTGTCGTAGCAATCTCTTCAATCTTCGCTGCAAGACTGGGCCCAATGCCCGCCAAAGCTACTGCTTCTTCTTCGGTGGTGATTCTGACGTCTTGTCTCTTCAGCGTCGCAATAGCCTTTCGATATGCCATGATCCGCCACTGGTCATTTATCCTGATATAATAATCCAACATCTTCTGTAGTATTTCAATAGTTCGGGAATTAGGATTGCTTGTATCCTGCGACTTCAGCCCAGCATGATGGCACGCAAAGCGGTCTTCTACTCGGAACTCCTTCCGGGTCACCGGTTTTCGAGCTTGTTTGCCCTTCTCTGGCGATGGGCCCAAAGCTTCGTCTTCACTCTCCTCTAGCATTGTAGACATTGTAACAGATTGGCCGTCTTCGTCATCATCGATATCGAGCGGGAGGTCCTTATACTCTGCCATGATGTTGATAAACGATGAAAGTTCATCCTTACTGCTAGTCGCCTTTGGGGTTGTTATGATTTCAAATGATAGCAGGTCTACACTTCCCATGCGCATAGATTTGCTAGGTGTCAAGTCTAGCACCACAACTTGAGATTCTGGCACTGCATCTGACGAGTCGGCTAGGGACTGTGATTGTGATTGTCCGCTCTTTGGTGGAGTCGAGTCCACTCGAGGAGCAAAGTCCCATCGTCTCGTATCCTGCTGCGGAGGCTTGAGAGGGAGAATGGGCACGAGGTTAAGCGGCTTGACCTTTTCTTTGACAGGTTCAAGCTCCACGGCTTTCTTGGGTGTCGTCTGTTCGGTGTTAGTCGGCTGGCCTGGAACAAGGTACTTCTTTTGCGACGGAGTTAACAGTGTGCGGAATTGTATGCACTCAACAGGATATTCTTCGTTCACTACAACGAGATCCTGTCGCTGACCAATCAAATTCTCAACGTCTTTGTAGGCAATACGTTTATCAACGATCATGTGCGTAGCCTCGTTCACCTGCCTAACCCAAGCAGCGCCATACTCTCTGGCTTTGTTGATACGCATTCTCCTAGCTGGCGCAATGTCGTTGTCAGGAACAAAATAGAACTTCAAGTCTTTGAAAATTCTATCTTTCTCATGGCGCATCTGAAGAGATTCTTCTTTCCTTTTTTTGCGAATTCCGCCAGGCATGGACGGGGATTCTGAGCTTTGGCGTGATGTTCTCGACAGGTTCCGTAACGACGCCGTCTTAGATGTAGTGCTGCGTTCTCTTGATTTTTGCGCGCTGATTATGGGGGTTTCTCTAATAAATTCAACGTCATCATCTGGTAGGAAAATCGGTGCTTTTTGTCGTGCACGGAGTGAGGAGGATTGTGTTGCGGCGATGGTCTTTGCGGCGGCTGTTCCAATTGGCGTTGTAACGGCAGCAGAGGGGCCAGGGTTCGTAGTGGATTCCTCTCCCGTATTATCATCAATCAAGATAATCTGCTTGTCTTCGGTAATGCTGTTGTCATCATGGCGAGCATGTTTTGAAAAGAACCTGCGGTGTCGAACTCTGCGTCGATGCTCTTGGGGTTCGCCAGCATCTGTAGGATCGTGGTGGAAGGCAGCGCTGAGATTTTGCAGCTGTGAAAACTGCGCTACCTTTCTCTTCAAGTCTTCTTCGACCATGTCCATTTTGAAACGTTAAAATACTCATGTGCAAAGATAGCAGAGCAAATAAATATCCAAGATGGGTCGTATGGGTTTCATAAGATAGCTCCACGTTAGCGCATTATCCAAAAAAAAAAAAGAGATGGACCGTGTCCAGCTGGTTCCGAGAAGACTGAGGTTTATATGTACAGCTTTACTCAGTAAGCAAGCATTGCTGCTGGTGCCTTGCAGCCGTGGCGGTGCAGGTGATGCTTCTGTGATGCTCGTGGACACCTTTGACGAGACGAACAAGGTTCACGGTAAAGCTTTCCGAATCAGGCAGCGTCCACACACACCGCACGCTACTCTGCTGCACACTCCCACCACACGCACTACGCACGCCTTGGTTTAGCGCAGCCTCGTCGTGCTATTAACCCAGTTAATAGGTAACGGCCGCTGCTGGTACTGATGATGATGATCTACAAAGCAGCTACGAATCAAGGGTCACATAGCAAAAGATAAAAATAAAAGTTTGTCTTGAAAGTATCGTATTGCTCAATTCATGCTCTCAAACATCATGCCTCGCTCCATTATATAAGGATAGACATTACTACTATAAACATTGAAGCCCATAAATGTGAACTAAAAAGATACCGTTCAGCAGGGTTCTCTGCAGCTTGCAAATGTTCAAAGCCTGGGGTCGGGAATCCCAACCAAAAAGGCGTATGAACAGTAAACGGATAACAATATAAAAACGAATCAACTCCAAATCCCAATCCGGTGTATAAAGTGCGCTGGTATTCCTAGACAACCTTCCATAGGCGTCTATTTTGTAAACCCAAAGCGTCGAGCAAACCTACTCGACGCTCAAATGCAAAGGTAGGTGGTAAAAAAAGGTAAAAAAAAAAGTAATTCGACAAACTCCAGTTCCAGTAAAATGCAGTCGTCGTCTTCCGGCTCGTGATATGTGCGGCGTCTTTGGTAATTAAGTAAAGCATTATATTCGTCGCGCTACTTCATGCTGGTTTGTTGCATGATGTGCATCTGCTGTTTAGGCAGCCATGCCGAACATGCGCAGGGAAGAAGCAAAGGGGCTGGAAGCCTCTTGCTTGACCAAGGCCTGGAGGCGCTTAGTCTCGCGGATGGCGGTCTCACGCTCCTCCTGGAGTGTCATGACCTCGATCTGAGCCGAGTTCATCTTACCAACCACCTCCTGCATCTCGTTCTCAGTGTCGCTGAGGGCGCGCTCAAGCTCACTGACGCGCTCGCGGAGCTTCTTGACCTGAGTCTCGTCTTCAACAGACTTGCTGGCCATGTTCTGGGCGCGGGCAAAGACACTGCCAGCGGCCGAGTTGAGGATGGGGGACTTGCGAGGGCCAGTCATGCCGACACTGCCACCTTGGTGCAGGCGACGGAGCTGTTCATTGTGAGCCTCCTTGAGTTTGGTAATCTCTTCCTCGTGACGACCAATACGGTCCTCAGACGAGGACTGAGCAGTGACTAGTTCGTCCTCGAGGCCACGAAGACGCTCCTGAAGCTCGGCAATGCGACCAGAGTTGGCCTTGCTCTGAGACTCGCCACGCGAGATGGCATCGGAGAGACGCTGACGCAGCTCGGCATTGGTGGCGAGCTGAGAGCGAACATGAGATGCAAGAAGCTCGACACGGTTAGCAGACTCGCTGAGTTCGTCGGCAAGGGGGCGCTGAGCGGAGCCGGGGCTCATGCTGTCGTACTCGTTCTGAAGGTTATCAGTAGTAGCGGGAAGGCCATCCTTGGCAGAGAGCGCTGCATTGAGAGACTTCTCAAGGCGCTGGAGGGCCATTCTAGTGCCCTCATCATTGGTGCTGACTTCGAGCTGCTTAATGCGCTCAATGGAGTCGTTGTACTGAGCCTGAAGCTCGTCGTAGGCCTTTTGCAGGGATTCAGAGGTGACACCAGTGGCAGCCTCGCCGGCTTGGGGCATGAGGATGTCCTTCTCCTTGAGGAGGCTGCGCAGAGTGGTGATTTCTTCCTCGGCTCTATCGAGATCCATTTTGAGTCCACCAAGACCCTTCTCAACCTGCCACTTCTGCTCAAGAGCATCTTCAGCGCGGCGTCGGAGGGTGTTGACTTCTGTGCGGAGCTTGGTAATATCGCGCTCGAAACCAGCCTTCTTGGGGTTCTCACCGAGTAAGCGTGAACGCTCCTTCTCGAGAATCTTAATCTTCTTCTGGTTCTCGCGGTTTTGGAATTCCTGTCGCTCAAGCAAGTTCTTCAAAGCGTTATGAAGAGCATCACGTTGGGCTTCTACATCCTTGAGGCGTTCAGCAAGTGCCTCGCGGGATTCAGACTGCAGGTTCTTGGTGCTGTCGTTTCGGGCAGGCATGACTGGTCGAGGCATGCTGCGGGCAAGGATGTCATCCATGCCAGCAGTAGAGCTGCGGAGTGTAGAGTTCTCCTGTTGTAAGGACTGAAGCTGATGTTGCATTTTTGTTGATTCATAGGTAAGGTTGGCATAGCTAGCAGCTTCGGCCTCTAGGCCTTCCACACGAGCACGTAGTTGCGGTACAACTTCGTCACGCAGGTTGTCACGCTCGTTGGCTGCGTCGCTGAGCTCATTCTTGAGCGCGCTGAGCAAATCCTCAAAGTTTGTCTTGGATTGGCGCTCGTCGCCAAGCTTGCGGCGAAGATCCTCACAGGTGTTTTCTAATTCCTTTAGGCGGCCGTTGGCGTCCATGTTGTTCATTTCTGCCAAATCCATTTGGGAAGCACGGTCCTGAAGCTCTCTAACTTGTTGGTCAAGGACCTTTCGTTTTGAGCGCTCATCTTGGAGCTTATTTGTGAGTTCTAGGCGTAGTGAAGCCTTTTCTTGCTCAGACCGGCGTTGAATCTTTTCAATCTCTTCGCGAGATTGGTCATAGTCACTCAGCTTGGCCGAGCTGTAGCCCGAGTCTGAGAAGTAGTCGCTGGTACGCTTGCCAGGGGCCTGTGGGTTGTTGACCTGTTCCTGAAGGCGATCGACGAGATCTTCAAGGTCGATCTCGCGTCGAATAGACGACGCCAGCTCGGAGCTGATTGCTTTTAATTCGTCCTCCATTTCTTCTAACTGCACGGAGGCGGCGTTTGCGTGGGGAGGAGGGGTAGATAAGTATGATTCACAGTAGCCGAGCGGGTTGTTGGCAACATTTGACTTTGTGCTAGGATCCGCCGGCTGGAGAGTCTTGGTCGACGACGCCGTGTGGCCGGGGGTGGACGGCGAAGGGATTGAGGAGAATTCAGTAGCCGAAGGAGAAGTGTTTCCCCAGTTGAAGATGTTGGCGATGACGGAGCTGCCTTGGCTGGGCGATTTCGGCAGGGGTTTATTGACCTGGGCGGTTGCTGATTCAATGGGCGACTGCAGCGGTTTCTGCGGAGGCGAGGTGTTCACTTTGTCCAACTTTAACTGAGGAGGCAGTGGTTTGGGAGCGAACATGGGCAGGCGGAAGGACTTTGTAGGCGTTTCGGCAGGCTGAGCAGCAGCAGCGATGGCGGCAGCTTGACGGTCAGTCAAGGGACTAGCTGTGCTGAGGTCAGGCGAGGTCTGCTGGGAAGCGAGATCGTCGTAGTCGGAGAGGATGTCAGAGTGGCCGTCAGTCGAGCTGCCGTGGGGGATGTTGGTGTCGCTAGATATTTGGGGATTGTCGGTTCCAGCCCGATCAAAGTCAAAGTCGAGCTTCCTATAAAGAGAGAGCGCCATGCGCGTTAGAGGACTTGTTTCAATGCCCGCCATGGCGATGCGTTTGAGGAGAGGTTTGAGGAGCGTTTGGGTTTGGTGGATTTGGGGGTGGCCATGAAAGGAAACGGAAAAAAAGCTGAAACGGCCGTCCGAGCGGCCGCGTTTCGAGGCGGCGCCGACGGAATAAAAGACTGGGGATGTGCACTTACTCAAACGCGGGAAGCTGATCTAGAACAGAAGCGTAATAGTCTTCTTGATCGTGTCCGTAAAGAATTGGACTATCGACTGATGGCGATCGGGAGAAGCGATGGTCTGGCTTGGGCAGATCCACGGAGGGCGAGGGAGAATGAACAAATGTCGCGGCGAGCGATGAGGCCCTAGCAGAAAGGGGTTTCCGCTTGATGGGAGTATGGGCGACTGGAAAGGAAGAGTGATCCTGAGCAGGAGAAGCAGCAGCAGCAGCAGGACTATTGATAGGAGCGGTCGAGACAGCGCAGCCGATGGTCTCAGCACTATCAAGAACCTTGGACGGCTGCTTGCGAAGGTGGTGATGTTGATGATTAGGGGGGGCAGGGAAGGAGTCTTGAAGAGGCAGAGGGGGGTGCTGCTTGTTGATGAACAAGGCTTCGGTCACTGGAGGAGGAGGATGTGTAGTGTCAAGAGAGGTAGCATCGGGCTTGATCGACGTCGAAGACTTGGTAGAGTCCATGGCGTCTTTTGGTCCGTGATGAGGAAGATTAGGATTAGCCAGAGGAGAGGGTTCCATTTCGGGCGTTGTGTGGGCAAGGCTGTCGAACCGCCAAGGTATCTGGTACCTGTCCGGGTCGTCGTAGTTACTGCTGGCGCTGCTGTAACCACGAGAGTGTCTTATCGCCGGGGCCGAATGAAATTGGCCATGGGACATTGTTTTTGGGGGTGGGAGGGCACGGTAGTACCAACGAAGTCGTAGCGTGGGTAATGACTAGACTAGGCGGTAACCCGTAACCAGGTTCAGGTCAAGGAAGCGCCAGTTACCACCAAAAGCAGAGATTTGATGGCCTCTGGGGGGTGGTGGGAAGGGGGTGTCTGTCCGATTGGCCCGTAGGTACCGACCGAATCGCAGGTGAGCAGGAAAGGGCCCTGAGCGCTTCTGGTGAGAAGGAGAGGAGGAGGAGGGATGAGGCCGTCAAGACGCGCTGGGGGTGGTGTCGAGGGGGCCCGAGCTAATGCAGGTGGCAGGCAAGCAACGAAGAGGCCAGGTACCAGGGCCAGCCAAGCAACGTGCTCCAGGTACCAAAAAAAAATCCTTGGGGGGAGGGGGGCCGAAGGACGGGTACTCTACGGTGGTAGTTTGCCACTAAGAGATGTAATAAAATAGGAAAATAGGAAAATAAAATAAAATGAGGACGAATAAAGGGCGCTGGCAGGTGAGGAGAGGGCAGGCGGAAAAGTGGACGGCGGTAATCTTAGTCGAGCCAATATGCACGCAAAGGAGAAGGCGTTTTGCGCGTGACGATGTTGAAGAAGGGAAGAGAGGAAAGGGAAAAAATGACAGCCTGCGCTGAATGGTGAGAAGACCAAGATTAAGAGATATTCACACGAGCCAATGCGGCCATTTACCCCCCTTCCTCGGCCGACAGTGCGATGCCTGACGCCTCTTTCTCTTAAAAAAAAAAAAACACGTCGTCGTGCATACCGGCGCGAGGCCAGGTACAGTGGTTTAGGTGAGCCCGCGGGCGCGTAGATGGAGCCACTATAGCGCCCTGTAGAGTGGTGGCTCCGCCCACCGCAGCGATCGCCCTCCACAACAAACCACCCACAGGTGGAGGAAGAGCTCTGTGAAGCTCTGCTGCAGCTGGCTTCTTCAGTGGCCGCCATGCGCTGCAGCACCACTGCCCAATGAGCGCAGAGAAAAACCAAGGGGCGGGCCACCCCCGAGCAGTGCCTGGCGCTAGCGCAAGGGGTAAAATGAGGGCGTCCCCACCGTGCCTTGATTGGCGGACAGAGTGTGTCACGCACAGCCACCACAACCTCGTTGCCGGCGAGCGAGCCAGGACGACAAAGCGTCTCGCTCACGGGCGAGGCCTGGGCGGCGGAAACCAGACAGACAGACAGCGGTCTACTGTATTGCACCAGCAGTCGGCGTAGCAAAGACGTTGCCTGTGCTGTGTTTTGTGTAGAAACATGGCGTTCTCGCTCACCGCAGCTTCCGACGTCTCTCTGTCTCTGCTCTTCTCTATCAAATTTATCCAAAATCACCCACCGCTCATTCATTCAAACGCCTCTTTTTTGTCTTTCTCATCTTCGGTTCCCAAAGAACCCGTTACGCAGGCGAGAAAGAGGCGAATTGTACAGGGGTGGTCTTGCTTGACCAGGGCCATCTTTCAGGGGTTGGATGCTGCTGGCTGACCAGGGCTCGGTGGTCAGTCGAGCTAAGCACCAAGCATCTCTTAGTTGCCTGTGAACCCGGCATCTCATCGCACATCACAAAGTAATATTTACCACTCCGTGTTCATAGCATCGTGCATCTTGACTCGTAAATCCTTTACGCGGGATACATGCCCAAGAATAGAAGCAGCTAAGTTGCATCGACATGTGCCCTTCGTGAGGCGCCAGCAGATGGCTCTGCGATGTATGACACATTTGCAGGCTACGCTACAGTGCCATTCCCCCAACGCTCGGCAAATCACCCATACTACTATAGCAGGCAGTAGACTACCCTGTACAGTACTTCGTATGGCCGTTGGACTATACCGGCTTCCAGTAAACACATGCAAAGTGTTGTTTGTCTTTTTTAAGATTTAGTGTCTAGCTGTCAAATCTTAGATGCTAGCGGGAAAAAGCAATGTTCATGCACAATCGCAATCAATCGGACATTTTCTGTCGCGGGCGCAGAAGCAATTCTCACCGGCGCTCCAAAAGCAAACATGCGCCGCGCTCCTCCTTTTTACAGCGGAGCGGAGGTAGGAAGTATCGGAAAAATAACGAAGGGCTCGTACAACGGTAATAGGAAAAAAGAAAAGAATGCACCTACATCGCATGGCAATCTGGACAGTGCATGCATGTTTATTTCCCGTATGCGAGAAAAAAGGTCCCCTAAGAAGTTTTTTTTCCTCTTGCTGGTGCACCAACACGGGCACAATCCGTCTGTTATCCCCGTGCTCCGAGACCTTGTCGTTTCAGATTCGCTGCCAAAAAACCAAGACAAAACACTACGCCATTGGAAACGTGCACATCCATTCGCTGCCTGATTCACAAACTAAGGACGAAAAAAAATAAACAGGATAAAAATAAACAAATGGGAAACGAACCGCACAGATCTAAACACAAAATAAATACACGGCCATCGTATCGGATAGCTTCAACAAGGCCCTGAAACGCTTGCTACCCTTGCCCACGCCCATCGATCGGACCACGACCGACTGAACTGTGCACGTTTCAGCATCAGCATCACCACCAGCTGTAGCAGAGAGATCCTCGCCACCCCTATCCCCCGTAAGCTAAGCACACTCCGCCTTTCCCACGGATCGTCCAAACAAAAGAAAGCACCAGTAACAACAGCCGCCTGTAACGCGTATGCCATATAGTGAAACGACGCACCCCGTCTCTCTGTCGCGCCATTCTTCGTGCTGGTTTGCGCATTGCTTCTATTCTCGGTTCACAAACTTATATTCTGGCATCATTGGCAATCCGACGCAGAGCGGTGTATTGATTTCAAGAACCTGTCCAAGTACCTGCTACTTACTGTACCCAGTCGTTGTACACTGTACCTTTTTCAATCCCAAGTGTAATTAAACTATTCTGCGGTAGCTGAAGTGCTATCGTCGTTTACGGCCTAGCTCACAATTAAAAGAAATCCTTTTTCATTATTTTTCTGAGAGAGGAGCCCTCTGGTTGGCCCTAACTCCTTTAGCTTCGGTACTTGGGCTGGTCACAGTGTAGCAGACTGGCCCGCCACCGCCCCTCTCCAATCCCCAAGATACATGAAGCGAGAGCCAATGATGTCTGGATGGCGCAACATTTGTCTGCAAACAGAAGACTTGTCAATGATGGAAAGGCCCGAAAGGAGCGGCCCTCTCCCCAAAAGGGACCGGACTACCCGTCTAGAGCCAGCCCTGTGTTCTTTCTCGGGTTTGGTGATGGTGGTGTTGTTCTACGCTATACAGACACATCGCCGTACCTGCAAGGCCCTAAAAATACCCGTAAATATAGAGAGAAAACACATGCTGCTATTGTAACTTTACCCTCACACCCCGTTTCCACTAGTGAGAATTTAGTCATTACATACTCTGCACTTCACTTCTCCCTCCTTCATTCTGGAAGAGCGCAGCCATCAGCCACTGGCTGGTCTTTCAGGGCAACCACCACTAAAATACCACTGTAACAGCAGCAACCACAGCTAAAGCAGTGCTGTCAAAAGGGCGCGCTGGCCAATCACAGCGCCCAGATCGCCTCCCGCCTCCTGAATTGGCTCAATCACCACTTACACGCCCGCCACTGTCACCGTAGCGCTCTACATTGCCCATTCTCATCTTCTAATTTTTAATGAAATGTTGCATTTTCAATTAAACCTATGACTCGCCTCGTGTCACCGTGCAACCTGCGTCACCTTTTACACAATTTTTGGCTCCCTATTTCACAGGGAGCGCCCTTTGGATGGGTGGTGGTCAAGGATCTCCCTCTAAATGACGTCGTCTCCCTTCCCCGCGATTGCCAACCCACCGCCCTTGATCCTGTGGAGGAGTTCCCCTCTATGCTCAAATGTCTTATGTGTGTAAATATTTCATATTTCATTTACGGGGATGTCGATATACACTGCAAAGGATGCGCACACCGCTAACTCTTGGAAATCACAACGCCACGGCTTTGAGCCACCTCCCATTGTATCGTTTTTTGTTTTCGCCGCTCTAATCAAACATTCAGCCCCTCGTTCAAGGTATCAACTTGTCATGGGCTAGAAGTGCCCATGTTCCTCCACATGAGCACTTGCGTTGTAGGCTAAGCACAAATCGGTAGCCGGGTCGCTCAGCAGCTGCGTCTTCCATGACGGCGGAGCATCGTACGCAGCGGCGCCAGAGCACCTGATTTGTGCCCAATCGCAGCTCCGTCTTGTTGAACAGGTCAACCCATACGTGCCTCTCCTTTCTTGTAGCCAGACTCTTTGGATCGTCCTCCTCGCTTAGAAGGCTAAAGTTGTAGAAGAATAGGCTAGCAGGATCAGTCTGGGCTCTGAACGCAGGCAGCTCCTTTGCAAAGAACTTGCGGACAACACCGACAAATGTTGGCGCCGGTGCTTTGGCTAGTAGCATGTGTAGCTCAAGTTGAATCTGCGCCGCCTTCATGGCAAACTCCATGGCCTTGCCTTGCGGAGGGTTGGGCGAGTTCTTGACAACATTGGGCAGCATGGTGTGATACATGCCCCGAATATCAGCGCCCAGAACAGTGAGCAGCTTTTCAAATTCGCCAACCTTGATAAGCCCAGAAGAAGTCACCTTTTGCATCTTCTGATAAGCCTGCTGAAGCTGGACGCTTTGTGGCCGCTGAGCAGCGCCTGGCTCCTTTTGAGCAGACTGTCTCCAAAAGTTAATCGCTCTCGAGCTGATGTCTTCCAGGTGAGCAATGCGACGGCAGATGGCTGTTAGAAAGCTGCGGCTGCATGATGAAAGCACAAGATGAAGAGATATTTCGTTTCTCTCGTATAAGAATGGTGTTACTTCTTGGAACCGCTGGGGAGTAAGCAGGTCTGTAAAGTTCTTGTTTGTCATGAGTTCAAATAGACTCTCTGTAATCCATGATAGCAGGTCGAGTGACCATTTTGCACAGCCTGCCAGCGCAAGAACAACTTCTAAACTGGGAGTTAGTCGAGATATCTAGGTAATACGCTGTGTTTGTTCAAATCCCGTACCTGGTTCATCAAGAGGGTTCATCTTCTCCTTCATCGACACTGGTGTATTGTTCGCCAGGGAGATGAGGATGACAACATTGCGGATGTTCAACTTGACGCTTGCAAACTTGCTTTGGAATGATCGAGGGGCAAACTCGCCCTTAAAACCGAGGTTATTCATGATACTCAAGCATGATTGTAGCTGCGAATTCCTCATCAGAGAATCGTGGTGCAGCTCCTCGACATAGTCTACCTGGATCTTGAGGATTCGAATCAGCTCACCGACCCAATCTTGGATGAATTCTGGTTCCGTGTTAGCATACAGAAATAGCGTTATGACGTAAAAACTATTTTCTTACTCTGCTTTTCTGCAAGAGGGTGCATCACAGCGACAAGATCGTCAAAGTTGGCCATGTACCATACTGCTGATGCCGTAGCAATCGTTGCAGCAGCAATGGAATGAGAATATGCATCTGTCATCGAGTTTAGCCAAAAGCCATTATAGTCCGGATTTGGAGGTACATACTGTCTTGCATGGAATCTCCCATGCCATCTAGCGGATAATGCAGCTTACTCCATCGAAGTCGGAGGTCTTCTCCTAGCTGAATCTTGGAGCTGCAGGTCGGTGAGAACGCAACCTGATGGCCTATGACTTCTGTTAGCACGCGGTACAATGACCAATAATATCTCAAAACATACAGGATCCTTCGTCTGTAAATGTCCAGCCGACTTGGCGAAGGTCGGTGACAGTGTCCGTGTCCATCGTTGTATATATTTGCTCAAACGAGGTACGATCTCGATATTCAACGCTACCATCAGCCATGGCCAGAACAAGGACTTTGCCAAAGCGAATAGAATGCAAAGCCACGACCACCTTGTCAATGATAACTGGCTCGAGCTTCTTCAGTCTTGTTACTGTCGGCAACTGGAAGTCTCCAGAGATGCTATTTCTGCGCGTACCAAGTTGTTCAAAAGTAGAATTCAAACTTTGGCGCTCTTCAATAGCCTCCCATCTATCGATAATAGTTTGTGCAATCGTAAATCCTGCACCGCCGCTCTCGGCACGGATGGCGAGAATCAGAGGCGGCGACGTATTTGTACCGCTTTGGTCAATGACTGACGGCAGCGTGTGGAGCTGTGTTAGGTCTGTTGCAATACCATCGATACCAATGAAAGCTTCCTTAATGTCCACTGAGGCAAGATGACTTTCAACCAGTGATGGGTTTAATCGAGACGCTGCTGTGAGCTGTGACTTTTCCTGTACTGCACCAGGACCGGCCCATTGAATCTCCAATTTGGCAAAGCGCAGTTTCTTTGATGCCGTAAGCATGGCAACATTCAGATACTTCTTATCCGATGCCATGGCAGCATGCGTGAGGAGACCGTCTGACGAACTGACGCTCTCCAGCTCCAAGCTCGACTCCTCGATGCGGCTGTTATTCTGTGTCCAAAACATTTTCAGCGTACCACCCATGGTAACACTGAATAAGGCACTCTTGCCAGCATGGGGATGGTGGGGACCTCCAGAAGGGACAAATGTATTTTCGTACTGAAATGTGTTGCCTTGCTGCTTGCCAGGGCCATAAAGAACATTGTACGGTTTCTAGCCATCGCGTTAGTTTCTGTTACCAGTCTATAAAACATATATTCTGTACCTGCTGATTTCCGGGGGCGACACTCAACCAATGGCAGCCAACGACAGCGTTGAGATCCTCTATTGGGTCATTGTCCCACTTGCGAGTTGCGACACCGTGGTTGAGAGTCGTAGGGAAGCTGACGATAGTGACCCTACCAACAGCATCAAACACGGCAAGCTCTGATATGACGGCAAGGCCCCATTCTAAATGAACCAGCGGAATAGTGGGTGTTCCCTTCACAACACCACAGGTGGTAGGCTCGCTGAGACCCCAAACGCCAGTCTCGGGATGCGCTCGGAGGAAGCGCAGCTCCAGCTGTTCGCCATCGGGCGTAATGGATGCAATGGCACCGGATTTTGACCAAGCTATTGTCCTATAAACGACCAAAGTTAGAAGAATGACGAAGGGCGACAAAATAGCAGCTCTATTTCGTTTGCGACGTACTGCTGGCATCCCCTCGTTTTCAGTGCTTGAATGCGTTGTTGTAGCTGCTTCCCCGAGCCACCCGAAGGGAGACCCAAAGTATTGACGTCTCCAAACAAATCATCAACGATTGGAAGGCCTCCACCAATGCCGGAGTCAAGCAAAAGCGGCATCTTGTCGGTTGACATTGGGAAGGCTACGAAAGAGTTGATGAGTAACGTTGGTGAATTGGCATGATACTACGGGCGTGATAACGGAGATTGTTGCTGGAGAGAAATGTATGGTGGCCAAAGAATGAAAAGCAACAAGAAAATCCAATGCGCCGATAAAAGAACCCTGATCAATCGTGAAAAATGGCGATGACAATCAACCTCGTGATGATGTTTTGGGGCTGGTGGTTAGCGCGAGCCTACAAAGCGCTACCAGTATCCTCTCTCTCCTGGTAATAGGCGGGCCGGCAAAACTGCGGCGGCTGGTGAGTATCCGCTGAAGCAACGGAGTTTTACAGGGAGCATGGCGGCGTTTATAAGACGCTGCGAGATGGGAGTAACAATTTAAGAAAAGAAACATGAAGTACAGGATTTTAAAATAGATGAATAAAACTCGACATGTGTTATATGACAGCATATGAGCTGCTAGCTTTTACCTCAGCTTCTCCTCTAGCGCTATAGCTCCGTAAGCTTCGTTTTGCGAATAGTAAGCCAGCAGCAGTGGTCCAGTAAGCTTTAAATTTTCATCTACAGTGGCCAATACATAATAAAGCATTCATATATGTAATTTGTGAGAAATATTTCAGCTGAATATAAACTAGTGTATTAGGCTATGTACTTGTTATCAATTCCTTAGTCCTAAGTCGATGTATGCCGACACCGCTGTCGCTGTAAGCCAGCGCTTGTACTCCGCTAAAAGTCCCCGATTTAGGCCCTGAATCCGCCCACCACAGCTCCCCCGCTGACGCCGCGCCGGCCGGCCCCGCCATGCTATCAACCCCTCCTCAACCGCATCCTCAACCTTTTTCTTTTCCCTTTCTTCGCATCGCCATTTGAGCTTGTTCTACTTTTCCAATCCTGCTTAACACCTCCAATTCAGATAATTACTCCCTTATTGACATTTACCCGTGATCTATAGTACCCAGCCATCCCAATACACCCTCACCGACACATTCACCGAAATGGCGCCTAAAGCAATCATTGCGCCCTCCATCCTCGCTGCTGACTTCAGCAAACTCGGCCCCGAATGCGCTACCACCATGGAGCGTGGTGCCGACTGGCTGCACGTTGATATCATGTATGTCGAACCGGAGCTTCCACGCCGGCTGAATTTCTGTGATTACTGACAGTGTACACAGGGATGGCCATTTCGTCCCCAACATCACATTCGGTCCCGGCATGGTTGGCGAGATCCGAAAGTTTGTCACGAAACCCACAGAGAAACACGGCCGAGGAACATTTGATTGCCATATGATGGTTGCAGAGGTAGGCTTAAAACTAATCTTGCCATGGACGATTGCTAATCCTGCGTCGTCTCTAACAGCCTAAGAAATGGGTAAAAGAATTCATCAAGAGCGGCTGCGACCTCTACTGTTTCCACTACGAAGCTGCGTTTTCCTCGGCTGCCGAAAACCCCGAAGATGTTACCGACGAAAAGACGAACCCTAAAGACCTGATTCGGTATATCCACAGCCAAGGAATCCTTGCCGGTATCGCCATTAAACCTAGCACCTCTGTCGATGTCCTGTGGGAGCTCCTCGAGACCGCAGACCCTGCGGAACGCCCGGATGTACGTATACCTACACGAATGTTTCTTTAAAACCAGTACTGACTCTATTTCTTGACAGATGGTTCTGATTATGACTGTCAACCCTGGCTTCGGTGGCCAAAAGTTCATGGCTTCTGAGCTGCCCAAGGTGCAAGCCCTCCGCGAAAAGTACCCCGATCTTAACATTGAAGTCGATGGTGGCCTTGGCCATGGAACTATCGACCAAGCTGCAGAGGCTGGCGCAAATGTTATTGTGGCTGGTAGCGCTGTCTTCCAGGCACAAGATCCCGCTGCCATGATTAAGCTGCTCCGCAAGGCTATCGAGGACAGAAGCTTTGTCGACAGCGCAAAATTGTAAAGGATGTAATAATTTAATACCACCGACATATCCTGAAGGAGTTTATGATTACGAAAATAGAAGAATATACGAAACATATAATATCATGACTTGTGAGCAAGATTTATGTACTCTTTACGTGGACCCAGGGACAGATTCTGCTGATGTCAAAAGCTTATCCATAACGCCGATAAGACCTTGGATTTCCTCTTCTATGTAATGATTAGCATACCAAGGTCTTATAAGATATATAATGATTTCAACTTACCAGTGTTGTAGTGAACCATGCTAACACGAATGACGCCCTCCGAACCAAGTTGTAGGGGCCCACGAACTAGGCGATTAGAATAAAACGCTCCCCATCGGATGCCATAGTTGCCTAGCTTCTCTGTTGCCTCTACAAACTTCTTGGAGCTCCAGCCACGGATAGTGAAGCTAACGATGGGAAGGCGGACTTGAGAATCACCAGTCTTGGATCCGTATATGGTGACATCAGGCCTCTGCGCGAGATACTCGAGCAATTTTGTCTGTAGTTTTGCCTCGTGATCGATTATACCATCCCAGTTGATGTTTGTGTTTGACGTCAGGTATTCAACAACCGAAGGTACCGCTTGGATAAGCTCGTAGCTTGCCGCAGCCAGACCAAGTTTATCAGCAAGGCTAACATGCGGATTAAAGAAATGGCCCAAGGACTTCATCTTCAGTTGGGCAGACCAACTGGCATACAGCATTGATACGTGCGGACCGTATACCTTGTACCAAGAGAAGCAGTAGAAGTCCACCCCCAAGAGCTTCATGTCAATAGGCCGATGTGGTGCCAAGGCAACGCCATCGACACAGACCAAAGCGCCATATTGATGTGCCAGCTCGGAAATGCTGCGGACATCAGTAATCGTTCCAAGTACATTGCTAGCATGTGTCAAGGTCACCAGCTTCGTTTTAGACGAAAGAAGAGGCAGGAGGTTATCAGGCTTCAATGCGGGGTCATTGCCCGAAGGCTCCCACCACTTGATGACAAGTTTCTGGCGTTGTGCAAGATCGACCCATGGAGCAATGTTGGATTCATGATCAAGGGCTGAAATAACGATTTCGTCCCCCTCACTAAACTGGAGCGTCCAGGATAGGTTGCGGAATAGTTGTGTGGTGGACGCGCCGTATGCAATCTCGTCGACGTTGGCGTTGACGTATCGTGCACTCGCCTCGAATGCTATTTGATACCGATCCGTTGCCTTGGTACCGACGTTATACGAGGCACCCAACTGAACATTGGTGTCCATCAGGTAGCGCCGGATATCTTCAATCGACTGGCCCAGGGTCTGGCTACCACCGGCATTGTCAAAGAAGACTTGGTCTTGCTGAAGAGCAGGGAACGACTTCCTCACATAATCGATAGGAAATGCCATGTTTTCTCAGTCAGAAAGCCAGCATACGGGTCCTTGCTAATTTGGTGTCTCAGGTGTTAGGCCTGCACTTTGCAACGGCGAGAGGAGCTGACGTGCAGAATGACGCTGGCTCGAGCCACAGTTCAGACATCCCCACATTACGGGGGTGAGGTGGTGGCTAACCACGGAGCTCCGGTCCGGGGGCCACAAACACACATTGTACGCGCATAACGGCGGAGAAGAGCGAGCTTCTTTGGCCCAGGATGCTGCTGGGATACGGGTGTGGCGTGGCCGTGGACTCCCCTGATGCCCTCCACTACAGCAAGACACGGCCGTAGATCGTCTGACAGCATAGACGCATTTGGGCCGTAGGTGATGGGAGGTGCTGGCCTTTGCTTCCAAAACGTACCACTGCCTCGAACGGTATTTGGCACATTGGATACTTTTTGCTGCGTGCCCAACCATCGGCGCTGAAGATCACGGCGGTTGCATCAGTATTCGGTATAGTTAGCATGACCTCATTTCTGGTTAAGATTGTCACCGAGCTAGCCAGGGTATCTGTGCGAGACGGTGACCACCACGCGCGAAGCTCAACTGCCAATGAAGCACGCGAGGGGAGGAGAGGCTCGTCGCAGAGCCAGGGCTACTACTATTGAAGCCTCCATAGACGAGGGCTAGAACTGGTAGAAAGCTCAGCCGCTGGGCAACATTGGCACCCGTGTGCTGAAGACGACCATGTGCCCAGCAGCGCTAGCAAGAGACTTCGGAGCCTTCCAAAGACTGGTTTAGCGCGACCCATTTAGTCCCCCACCAATACGACTGGGTGAGTGTTTTCGCTACCGTTATCTTCTGAGTGGACCGTCGTGAGGGCGAGGGAGAGGGCTCTAAAATCCCAGAATGCTACGTCAGTGGCTGTGGTTTATTTGGATTTTCTGTTGAGCCGTGCCGAGTCAAGGCAGTAATCTATATGTAGTAGGGGCGCTTAAGCATCTGGTGCCCAGTGTAATTAGTAACAAATGTCGTCCATTGCGGAGGTCTAATGTTAACAAATATTAGAGGCGGAGCATAAAAGCAGCCACTGTGGCGGCTAGATGCTGAAGATTCGCATGCAAAGCCTGAAATGCCAAAACTTTGCCTCTGCATCTCCACCCACCCAACCCCTGATAGTCGCTGGCGCTTGGCACAAAGGAGTTTAGCTTAGGGGGGAAGCTAAGCACAAATCGGCCAGGCTGGCTCAAGCAACAGGCTTCTATGGAGCATATTACCCGGGTTTGATGGACTGTGCGTCCATCTAACAATAGCTAGGCACAAGGTTCCTGGCACCGACCCATTAGGTGGAGAGTCGAGCACACACTAGGGACAGGCTGTGAGCGTGGTGAAAATAAACATCTTCTGGAAGCCGCTTCCCCTCCTTTTTCTCCTCTGTAGAAGACAAGTAACGATCAATGGCAACATGAAGGACGCTGTTGTGTCGCAGGTGCGCGACATCCATATCGAGTCTTACTCGCCCGACACCGTTGACGCTTGCCAGCGGTTCGACATTGACGCAGATGCCTTCAACTGTGGCATGATGGGTACCGTAACAACTGTGATCACGAGCGACGGCAGCGCCAGACATGCGACGAAAACGTTGGAATCGCCAACCATTAAACGAAATGCTCACCGGAGCTCCATGCTCCCCCAGCTGCGCAAGTTCAATCTATCCAAGGGGTATTCTGCGGACAGCACGGACGATTCTGTTAGAGGCAAAGGCCTGAGACTGCTTGACCAAATTCTGTCCCATGACCAGCGCCTTCCAGAAAAGTCGTCAGCGGCGAACTGGAACAAATCACGGAACCGAAGCCCAACAAGCTCCTTCAATTCCCTTGGCAGATCGCTTGACGGAACAACGACGACGACGGCACCGAGCGTGGCGCAGACACCAGCTACATCGGCTTCTTCGACACCGAGCATGAGCAAAGATGAGTTTGATGCTCTTCCCCCTACGATTCAAAGAAAGGTGAGTGGCTCTGGATACCAGATAACCCAACATTTTTATGCTGCAAGCTTGCTCCGTTGCGGGTGAAGCATGACAAGCCACGAGTTGTGGTTTATGCTTATGATTGAGCTGTTGTTTCGTTTTCCTGTTTTGTCTTTCTTCGTTCTGTTCCAAGATTGGATTGCATGGCTGCTTGCAAAGTTGCATAGCTTGGTAGACCCTTGGTAGACCTGAACAGCCACGCGCCGACCATGGGTGTTTGGGTTAGCGCCAACTAATCCCGAGACAACTACATCGTCAACCGGCAATGGGAGAGTGGCCCGCAGACAAAAGCGCCGATCCAGTGGTCGTACAGATATTGAGCGGGTTCCGAAACAGGTAGTTTGCGTGTGGCGTCGTGGCCCCCCTTCTTTCTAGAGTGGCCTGCGCTTGCGAGTCGTGAGGCACTAGTGCAGTGGTGGTGCCACGGCACGCAGCTTTGCAACTGCATTATATCGAAGAGGCCGAGGACCAAGCGGTTCAGGGCCAAGGATGCTGCCAATGGCATTTTGCTCGAGACATCCAGGACATGGGGCAAGTTTGCCCATGTTTCCCAATGGTCTGTATCGAGTGTCTTGGACTGCTTGCTACTTGGAGAGACATGGACGGCAGTTATTTGCTTTTGCCATTCTCTACGCAAGCCAATGTGGCAAGCAAAATGAGCGGCTGCTCTCTTTTTTTCCAGCGTCAAGCCACCACCGTCTGCTGGGTTCGGTGGCATCGCCTCGCGGACAGATCCCACACGCTGTGGCGGCGACGAAAGGCGTAGAGTAGTATTGCTTTTTTGCCATGCATCGTCACGCTGCCAAAAAGAAGAAAGCATACTACTCATAACCAAGGGCCATCCTTGGCTGACAAACAATCGGCCTTGACTTGGCTGCTGCTACGCCGCCTTTCGAAGGATGAGCTACTGCGTCGGCATTGTCGCTTCTTTTTTCTTTAGCCGGGAAGTCCAGCTTTCGATAAGCTATAGCAAGGGTCAGTGTACAAACAGTGCATTCCTGGCTACGAGACCACAATTAGTATTGTTGCCTCACTTGCTCATCACCGCACATTGTTCTCTCTCACGGTCGCCCATTACCTGGCGTATCGCCCATTCAGTCGAAAACAACGCCAGGCGTCCTCACTATTGCCCCAGCCATTGTCAATAGTCGCCTACCTGGCGGCTGCAGGCGTGGATCGACTCCATCCTCCGCTGCAAGCCTTTCTTTTGTTTTCTGTTACGGTGAGCGCTTGCCTGCAGCAAGTGGGTTGCATTGGCTGCCACCTGGACGAGACAAGCCAGTACAGCGCACATCCCCTCGCCTGTAACCCAAGAAAGGTACCGCTGGCCAGCAGTAGCACCGCACCGAAAAAAGAAAGTTGCAGCAAGTAGCTGGGAACAAGCGAGAGGGAAAAAGAAAAAAAACCGAGGCGCACCGATGAGACATTTGCCGTTTGCAGCATAATTTTGTATGGCCGGAACCTTTCCTTTCTTTTCCCTTTGTTTCTTTTTTCTAGCTTTATGCGTTGTTCTCTACCTTGCTGTACCACCGCAGCACTGTAGAGTACCTCAGGGCATTGAGCACTGTGCCTCTGGCAATGTCCGCAAAACCCACTATAAGCAGCCCACTACAGCGCATCACTCTGCCCACTGCGGCTTCTACCGCCTGCCCCTGGCATATCACCGCCACGGCAAATATATTGGGCCTGTGTCCGCCCTTGTCTATTGCCCATTACCACCCTTCCGTTCCTGTCCTGCCCTGTTTCTGTCTTGCTACGCATTTGATTTGCATTTTTGGTTGAACAAGCGTTTCCATCTTTGCTTTGAATGTACCGTTTCGGCTTTCTTTGCAGCACAGACTCGACTTTACCTCGTCATCATCAGGGCCGCCAGCTAATGCAAGGATTAATATAACAGTACTTTTCCACCCTGGAAAGATTGAGGTTTGCCCAAACTCCTCCAGGCTCTGCTACTTCCATCGACACCTTCGAAACTGCTCCAGAGCTCCCTCAAGACGAGTCTACCACCCTCGACAGAAACCAGTTTCGCCCTGTTCTCAAGTCTCGATCTACTGAAACGGCACTTGCTCGTCCACGGACAAGAGCCTCTCGAGTCTTCCCAAACCCGTCAGAACAGCAGCGGGCCTTGACAAGAGACGATCTTGCCATCAACGCCAAGCGAAAAAGCATCATCTTGGATGCAACAGACGAGGCGGTAATCAACTGGGGAAAGCGTCAACCGTCACGAAGAGAAACACACAAGCCACAAAACCTTTCTACCTCATCCTCCGTTACTATTCGACCAGGCAGCCTCTATAAAGCCGCCTCAGTAGACCATCTCAGACGCAGAATGCATTCACAAACAGGACATGAAGGCTGGCTGGATGGCCGCCTCAAGGCCACGGAGGATTCCATCTACGATAGCTTTCGCTGGTTCGATGAGGACGACAGTCTAGACTTGCGTCTCAATATGGAGGACTACCACGATGCCCTTCGACAAAACTCACAACCGAAAAGCCAAGCTTCATCCCTCCGCCGACACCTTTCCATCTCGAGCAAGTTGACATTTAGACAGTCAATATCGTTGAGCCGTCCTGGCACCAACGATGCAAATGGCCCGTCGTTCTTTGGCGGGCCAGGCTCAATTTCATCCACGCCTAGTTCTCCTACACATGGCAGACGCCGCTCCAGGGCACTCTCGTTGATGTCGCCCACCAAGCTCATGATGCCAAGCCAGGACGCACTTGCATCCCCCACAAACGAGCCAGTCATCCACTACCAAGATCCCGAGACAAGACTGAAGCTCCGAGCCTATCTTGCATCACCCCACAAGTTTGACGAGGCAGTCGAGTTTGGATTCCCATCCGTTGACAAGCCGCAGGAAGTTGAAGACAAACACCCGACTCGCTCAGATTCGCTCGCTATGCCCCACGAGGGTGGTCTGCAAATCATGAAGACATTGCCCGAAGACCGCCGTTGCTCCATGTACAGCGATGATGCCACAACCAGCGAGCCTGATTCTCCACGAACCCCTAATACGTTGGAGAAGCCAGTGCTCCCACAGCTTCTACAGACTGAGGTCGCCCCTAAGACAGCGAACAAGGGAGACTACGCCCAAGCCCCAGCTGCATCTCGCGAAATGACACTCCGCATGACTCTCACGCGTCCGGACCTTCGTGCCGATGAAGAAAAGATCTACGGCTGGCAGAAAGCCAAGATGACAGCCATCCCTACTGTCGACGAACCCAACTCTCCCACCACCCTCAAGCGCGATGGCAACTCCAAAGAGAGCATCGAAAGAGAACTTGCGGCTATTGACCTCGAGAATCTCCTCTCTGGTGACCACGGCCCTATGAGGCGATTCTGGAACCGCGTTCGACGGGCATGAAAAAAACGTCGAACTCGAAACACAACCACCACCGTACACGACACTGTGACACTCTTCTTGTTCCCTACTGTGTTTTTTATTGTTTTGCTATAGCATGCTCATTTATACCCCTTATGCATGACCCTGAATTTTATCTATATACTCAAGCTGTCTTGTTTTTATTATTACCGTGGGCCGCCGCATGATCATCTGGCACCCGCTCTATAGCCGTTGTTTTTGTCCCACCGCTTGGTGGTAAGATATTGCAGTGTTGGTTTATACTGGTTCTGAGGATATGGGGAGAGTAGATATTAAGGTTTAAAATACAATAAATACTTCCCCGTTCAAATTACAAAACTTGGTCACCTGGCCCATAGGATCCCTCTATATGTACGTGCACGGACATATATATTAACACATGTGACGCTGATAGGGACTAACGAAATGAGATATATTGATACATGTACTATTTTACCAAAAAAAAAAAAGATGCTCGCATGTATCCAAATGTAATATGACGGCAATCATGACGCCGAGAAAAGGGACCATGCCCCTTTCCATGTAGAAACCCTCTTAGAACTCGTCGTCACTGTCTTCACCCAAAAGTTCACCCTCCACGTCTTCCACCACTGTGTAGGCTCCGCGACCGCGGGAAAAGCTGTCTCTGGTAGTAAAGCGCGCGGTGCTGGAGAACCAGCTACGGCTGTTGCGGCCGCCACCAAATGAGCTCGAAGCTGATCGGACCAGGCTGCCCACAAGGAGAGGCAAGCTTGCGAGAACCGCGGCCGCTGCTGAGATGGCAATGACGGGGTACTTGATCCATGGCTGATCGCTATCAAATGTCGCTGACGATGCCTCTCCCAGACGGATCTGGCCAAACTTGCCATTCCAATTGCGGTAGACGTACGAGCCAATGGCACCAGCAAGCGCAAATGGGATGACGACTGCAAAGAAAATGGCAACGCCAGAGGTAGGAGGATGAGTGCGGCCGTAGTCCTCTTCAAATCCAGGGCAAGCATGGTCGTCAAGGCTCTTATCAAGCTCCTTACCGTCCTTACAAGTTGTCGATGGGGCGCGTCGGAAGCCTGTCGGCGTGTACCAGACAGTTGCATTCGGATTAAGCTTGCACCATTCCTTGCCAGAGAGAGGCTGGAGACCTGGCACCAGTTTGCATTGACCATCGTCATGGAGTTCATAGTTGTACGCGCATTCAAAGTCGGCACGTGTGCACTTGCAGTCCTCGATTGTATGAAGGCGTCGGATGTCTTGCTCGTTGAAGCACGTCTTATCTACCTTCTTGCGTAGGTACTTGGACACATGACCAAAAAGACAGTCGTCGCTTTGCGAGGGGTGTCGTGGAGTCCACAATTCGTAGTCTGACTTGCTGTCGTTTTCATCAAACTTGCAGGGTTTGTCAGATAGACCCGAGAAGTCAACATTGATAGTAGCAAGCTTGCCACTTTCAGACCGCGTCCAAAGAACAATGTTTCGAGAGGTTCCCGTTTCGACGGACGTCATGTCTAGAACAGATACCTTGTCCTTTGAAAACTCGTAGTCTTTCCAAGTGTTACCGTTGTCAATGGAATAAGACAGGATATTTGTCTTGGCGTTCTTGTCCTCCTTGGTACTCTGGACTAACACAATTATAGACCCTTGGTCGGCAAACTGCCACATCCAGCGACCCTTCTTAACGCTCTTCCAGCTAATGCCGCCGTCCGTGCTGAGAAACGTATCGGCATCGTCTTTGCTGGACAGAGCAGGTCCAACATTACCATGCCCGGCAATGAAACCAACAGCAGCTTCTGCCGAAAATCTCTTGTCCTTGTCTTCTCTTTCTGTGTAGTGATGTAAATGGAGGGCACAGCTACCGTCTCCCTTGCCGCCGCCACATTGGTATGATTTGCCATCAGCGCCCTTGCTAGGAGGCGCGAGGTAAAGCCAGTTAGCGCCGTCGTTGTGGCTAATCTTGGTTTGTATGTGCTTCTCTTTGTCTTCTCCAGCATTAGCCACGATGTTGATAATTGTGACGCCTTCCAATCCTGTGACCTTCTCGAAATCCACCAGCGGCTGGCTGTCCGCATTCACGTTGGCAGCGCTCAGCACATATGAAGTACCATTGGAATTGCTCTTCATAATGGATCCAGAGCTTCGTCCGGCCTTGTCTGATGTCAAGACAAACAGGTTAATCGCGTGGTTGGAGCTGTCCAACACTGTGTACTTGGCAGTGTGTGTTTCGTGGAAGCTATGAGGAAACAAGGCTTGCTCGAACTTTTTGCCATCCAAGCTGGAGAAGGCGTGCAAGGCACCGGACGAATTGACTTGCGCCACGACAATGAATTCGCTCATGGTTGCAAAGTTGGTGACCTCTCCATCAAAAGTTGTCCATTTTTCATCAGTATCACGGACATCATTTTTCGTCACCAGTGTGAACTTTGAGTCATCGTTCTCCTCTTGACGAGCCAGGCATACGATTTGCTTCTCAGGGCGGAATTTATAGTCTGTGTTTCCAGTAAATTCACAATGATCAACATGTCGTCGGATGGTGTCCCAGTTGTCTCCACGGTCAAAACTGACGGAGGCTTCGTGGGTACAATCCTCCTTTCCTCCAACCTTGTCACACTTTTTTCCAATCCAAAGAAGCCAGTCTTTGCGATTGGGATGGAAAGAAAGCGGAGCGCCGTCTCTAGGTGGTGTCTTGGCTTCAAAAGTGTGATAAGACTTGCCTGAATCGACAGTGTAAATAACCTTTTTCTCTTCACCAGTAGTAAAGAAGACAACATTGTCAAAAGTGTCATGGGGATAGATGCCAGTCACCTTTTCGTTCTTCAAAATCTGTTCCCAATCTTTGCCGTGATTTGTCGAACGGTAGATTTTATCTTCAATCTTAACCTGGCCGCGTTGGAATTCGGCTGGGCGGGCAATAATCACCTCGGTATCTGAGGAGCCACCATCTCCCTTACCGAGATATAGCTTTTGAAAGTCTTTGAGATCTGAATCAAATTCCCTTTGTGTGTGAGAAACCTTTCCATCCGCAGGTTTCGACGGTTCCGATGGCTTCGAGGGTTCGGAGGGAGTCTCCTTTCCAGAGCAATCCTGTTCGACAGGGTCGTCCAGCTGCTTACCGTCCTTGCGTTTACAGACGTTTCCAGGGATAAGGCGCCATCCTGAAGAGCCCTTGAATTTGCCATTCTTGTCTTTGCAAGCACCTTCAGGTATAACGGGTGGACCACTAGCTTTGCACTTTTTGGCATCTTCAGAGTCTCTCTCAAAGTTATAGTCGCACTCGAAGTCCACATCTGTGCATTCGCAAACGTCCGTCTGAGGCAAAGGCTCCTTAAAGTCGCTCTGGATAAAGCAGTCCGCATTCTTCTTGCGGCGACGGAATGTTTGTTTCTGACCCATGATGCAGGTTGCCTTGCCAGAATCATCGGCTCTCGCATGCCAGTCTTCCATGTCTCCGTCGCCACACTTGCGTTCATGGAGGCCGTCAAAGTCAATTGCAAACAAGAAATAGGCCTTCTTCTTTTCGCCAACGAGAACAAACTTGAGACTTGTTGAGTCTTGCACGGTCGTCAAAAACAGGGGTCGTATTTCCTGGCCATCTGGCAGCTCTGTCTCTTTCCAATTGTCGCCATGGTCCAACGAGTAGGAAATCTTCTTCACATCTGCTTCTTTAGAGTGCTTGACAGCCACCAAGATCGAACCCGAGTCTCCAAACTCGTAAATATGATGGCCGCTTAAAGCCTTTTTCCATGTCATTCCCGCATTGTCAGAGACATACAGATCCGCATCACTTGTTGGCTTCAAAGATTTTCCGGTGTTACCGACACCCATAACGAGACCAGGTGCAGGGCTAGAAAAGACTCGACCGATGTTATCGATTCCGTCCCGGCCATGAAGAGAGCGCAAACTGCTCACTGAGTGCAAGTGTAGTGTATCATCGCCAGCCTTGATATGGTCCATAGTTCGGCCATCGTCAAAGGAGATCTGGGTGATGATTTTCTTGTCTTTGCCATCCGCCTCAACTTCAGCGCCGTTCTCTACAGTGTTGATCATGAAAACTCCTTGAATGCCGCTGATTTTCTCAAAGTCAACGTTGCCATCTGCGTTGCGGTTCGTGTACGGCGCGTTTTCGGTGAAGTAGGTGCCGTTCGAATTACTGGTGAAGAGCACGCCCATAGGCTTGGAAGGGCGAGACGACATTACATCTAGCTGAATACTGTAATTGGTGCTTTCCAAAATAGTGTAGCCATCTTGGCTGATGATGTGTGAGTGGTCATGGGTATCTGCTCTAGGAAACATTGCTCTGTGCCATTTCTTCGTGTCATCGGTCACGAATAAAGCCATTTCGTCACTGCGAGAGGAAGCTGTGGCGACGAGGATGTATTTTTTGACCGGGGCAACACTTGCAATGCCTTTGACAACCTTGTTGGTGTCTAGTGCAGGTTCGTTTTCTTTGTATTCGTTGCCTTCGACGGCAAAAAAGTCGTCCGACACTACCAAGTGGTTGCCGCCTCGATCGGAAACTCGCTTTTCTCTGGCAATACAGAGGATTCTCTTCTTGTCCAGCTCTTTGTCTCCGGTCGTGAACTCGCGGTTCGACTTTGCCCACCAGCAGCCTGCTGTTTGATCGCGGAGAACCTTGGTCTTTCCAAAGTTGTCGGTTGTATATTCGGCCTGCTCGCTGCAGAAAAATGTGCCGCAATCCATTGCGTTGAAGATGATGCGCTCAGGATCCTCGGCATTGAATGACAGAATCTCGCCTGGTCGCTCATCGCTTGGTCTAGACGATGTAGTGAAAGAGTCCCAGCTCTTTCCACCATCGGTAGTTTTGTAGTGCTTCTTGCTATTAGTGAAGATGTAAGCCGCTTTTGGGTTGAACGGATGCATCTGCAAAGCAACAGCCTTGCCATCGGGGACCTTTTCTACACGATCCCATGTCACGCCGGCATCTTTAGAGAAGTGTATATTCTTGCCTCTGATATCTTGGTAGATTATAGAGTCGCTGTCTTCAAAGTAGTTGAGATTCACCGGCAAATTCGCAAGCTTGGTCTGCTTAATGACGGGATTGCTGTCGGCGAGGACAGAGGCACACAAAGCAGAAAGGGTCAGGAGCTGCCCAGTCTGCGCGGCCGCGCCCCAAAGTTTCATTTCGATCGATTGCTGGGGCGCACGCTGATCATCAAATTATTGCTGGATGATTACGGAGATATTGAGGATGCAGTCGCCTGATGTTGGTGATGTTGGTTGGAACAGGGCTGCCTGCAAGTCGTGACGAAGCTGGAAACGTGCACTTACGTGGATTGGGCTGGGACAGCTTGGCCATGGTTGCGTCAAAGGAGTGGCTGACGTAGCTTCCAACGTGTGTGGCTAGTGCGCTATGCCACACCCATTCAGGCACAATTGAGGCTTAAACCGCTGGGTCTAGCCGTTTTCGGTACCTGTGCAGCCAGGGGCCGTCCGCCAAAGGTAACACACTGTGAAAAATATATAGCATAAGTGTACCGTCATGCTATAGAATAATGCACCTAATTTATGAATAATAAAATACGAATCTGCAGATCTGATTTGCACCCTTTGTAGAGCAATGGCCTCTCAACCAGCTTGGTGGGAAGTACCCACGCCCAACATCGGCGAAGCGCTAGAGTTGGTAGGGATGCTCGGTACTGTAGCTTGTCGCCTAGTTTCAGGTTTGCTAGCCTGCTTGACGACGATGTAAAGGGATCTCCGGTTGGTATGGCTCTTTTAGCTTGCCGTTCTTCAGGTCATGGTTCTTTTGCTGAGAGATGCTTGCCCTGGTGAGGAATATGGTATAAACAGTCTGCATCCGTATAAGGCTATTGTGCTACAACATAGTCACCTTAATGGTGTCACATCACATTTGAGCTATTCTATAAACTCTACGACGGAAAGGCAGTTGGATTTTTCGTCAATGTACAAAGAATAGTACACAGAGCCTGACTGGCAGTCCGTCCAGCGTGGATGAAACAGCCGGTGGGGGCGCCTCCCTTGCGAGGCCCAGGCCTGCCATGATGCCGCCCCTTTTTGAACTTGCTTTGCTGCCAGCGGGCCGAATTGAGTGTTCAACAGCGTAGGAAAGGGCACAAAGTTGACTTGGTGTACTGCCTCTGCCGGCATTGTGTCGATGTAGATACAAAAGTACCTTTGTTTATAACGTGCCGCATTCACTAGCCTACGCAACCTAGACCACAGACGCTAGGCAACACATACACTCTTTATTTGGCAGCCTTGGGGCGTAAAAGAACCGTTGGCTCTTTCGGCAGGATTAGAAAGAAACGGCTACAAACAACGCCACCTTAGCAGGAGGCGTAGGCAGTAAAGAACGGCTCGGAAGGGTGGTGGATGAGAGACACGCACGTGTACACACCCCTCCGCATTGATATAATTAGAGCGCGCTAAGAAATGCACATGTCTGGTATTGGCCTGATTTCCGTTGCTTTCCCGGTCCGTAGTGGCCTCATGTTTGCTATATTGTTCTGTGAGTCCTCAGGCCACTTGTAGATGGTAATCGTTGATGTTGGCGAGCTTCCAGCCAAACGTCTTGTGCATACTGTGGTCTGATGATTACTGTAGCAACGGCCAGATGTACGCGGCCAAAACAAAGGATAGAGCGCGACTCGGACGCGGGTTAGAGGTAGGTGGCCGCCTACGCGGTCAAAGGTTAAACAGTATTCAGCAGCAAGGAAAACGCAGCAAGTCGACAAAAGAAAAGACAAAAAAACAACAACAACAACAATGGAAAGGTGTGCATGACAGAGTTATGCTGAGCAGGGGACTATTAGCGTTGTTTTTCTCATCCTGCTTTACATGGTTCTGGTGTAAGTACCTTGTGTATCTATACAAGGGTTATATAGTACGTGCTGCGCTGATGAGGGTGCTAGACGAATCCGTCTTAGTGGAAAGCGTATACAGGGCCGTACTGTAACTTACGGTACTTTAGTTGTACACCCAGTATTTACACTTCAGGCATCACTTACACCAGGCAAACAGGCAGCGAACCGTAGAAACAACAAAAAAACATGGTAAGCGAGAGAGAAGCCTGCTGTAACCTTCCATTCATGGTTCCTTTCTGGCGGACAAGCCCCCTAAAAATAAACCCTGCTAAGCCCAAGCCTCTGACGGAACCTGCTGGTCCTTTCATTTCAGCGCGTCTTTCCCCACCACAACCTCAGCGGCCTACAGGGGACCATTGTACCTGTTTCTAGCGCCCCGCACGCCGCTGTACCCCTCTACGCACCCGCTGTAGCGTCACTCGCGCTCAGCGCAGTCCTGCGCAGTGCCGTGTTATTCGCCTCGTCCTTTAAAGCCCTGCCCCCATCGTCTCCTCCCTTTCTCCCCCCTTCTTGCTTTTCTCGTCTTTTTTCTTCCGCTGCTGATCTTTTTTGTCTTCCGCAACACGCCCCGACAAGAGCTTTCCCTCCTCTTATATTTCTCGTCTCCCCCGCCGTTCCATCATCCCCTGGTTGGAACAGTGTCTCGCGTTGCCTTTTCACCCCACCTTATTCCACCAACACGATCCCTGCGATTTCGCATTCCTCGAACCGACACAATGGCCGACACTTACAAGCAATTCTTGAAGGCGCCTGCAGCTGCTCTGCTCGCTGACAATGCTGCCCTGCACTATGTCCCCACGACCACGACATTTGTTGGCGCCGAAGACATTGTCAAGCACTTGGCTGCCCTGCAGCGCCAGGTTGCTAAGAAGCAGGAGGAGGTCCTCCAGATTGTTGAGGGCAGCGATAGCCTCGTATACGAAGCTTCTACAGCTCTCGAGTTCCTCACTTCTGGCGGTGTCTACTTGCCTGGTCTTGAAGACAACTTCCTTTCTGACCGCATCGCCTACCTCTCCATTGTACGTAGCTTTCGCACATTGACACACCAACAAAGCTGCCTGTAGTGACTAACTCTTGTATGCTCCTACTAGATTCACATTGTTGCTTTTGACGCGACAGGCAAGATTTCTCAGATCCGCCTTCACTGGGACCAGGGTGCTTTGCTCAAACAGCTCGATGTTATTAGCAAGACGGGCCGCAACTGGCCCATCAAGGACAGCCGCGATCAGCTTAAGCTGATTGAGTCTTCTCTCAAGGGAGCTGGCAAGCTAATTCCCACCAGCACTAGCCACAACGAACTTGTTGTTCATGCTCGCCAAAAGTCTACCAACATTCTTCGCGATCCCCATGCGACACTTCAGCTCTTTGGCAACCGCGAGGAGCTCGAGGCTGCTCAAGCTGCGGAGAGTGTGAAAGCCCCCAAGGCCGGAAACAGACCTCAACAGAGAGACTTTGCCGAGATCTTGGGCGACAACCCCCAGGATCAAACAACTGATGCACCTTTTCATCGCCCCGTTTCTCCTACCAAGATTGGCCAGGGCAAGAACCACCAGGGAATGCGCTTGTTCGAAGGCTCTGAGACCGACGCCCTTCCCGACCAACCTCTTGTTAACCCCGAGCGCTTGATTCGCCCTCACCCTGGTAAATACAACCACTTCGAATTTGCCGATGGATCCGATCCTCAGGATGCCCCCAAGCGCGGAGTCGACTTTGACAAGAGAGAAAAGTCCAAACATGATAGCCAGTGGTCATTTGACGACTTTACTACCCCTCATCGCGCCGGACCTACCCGTGGTATGCGTTCCCAGGATCTCCGCCACTGGGATCCCGAAACCCTCAACGAGCCAGCAGAGAAGGAGCTGCCTCTCGGACGTGCTAGACGAGATGCTGAAGCCCACTTTGAGCTGCAGGATGATGGCGAGAGACCGGCCGACGAGGAGCTGCCCAACCGCCCTCCTCGGGGCGTCGGTCACAACGAAGGCCTTGGCCTATACAAGAACCAGATTTTCGACAAGGGAGATCCTGCCGCCGGCCCTGAACGTGCGCTTGGTAACATCACGAACTTGAAGGACCGTGGAAAGGACTTTGACGCTCATTTCACCATGACGGACAACTCTCCTTCGGGCTCCAAGGTGGTCCAGAACGTCACCGAGACTCGTCAAAAAGTTGTCAAGATGATGGACCACAACTGGGAAGTTTACGAGCAATCTCCCTTGAAGGAGAACCAGCCTAAGCCTACCACCTCCAACGCCGCTCTTGGCATCATGCACATTGCTGGAGATGGCATGGGTGGCAAGAAGGGCAGCAACAGAAACTGGCTTTACGGTGACGATGATGAAGCCAACAAGCCGGCCCCCAGAAATGCCCAGCCTACTGGAGGCAAGCAAAGTTTCTGGGACTTTTAGACGCCCTGGCTGTACCACCACAAGCCCAGCGTCCATAACCTGTGCGATCTGGACTAAGCCTCTCAAGGCTGTGTTTTGATAAGACGTTGCTCAGTATATTTTTTTGCGTGCTGTTTTATACCTTGTATTGGATTTTATGCCGCTATTGTTTTCTGCGACGAGCTTAATGTGTAGACGTCACTCATGAGTATTTTGAGGTGCCTCGCCGCGTATTGATTATTAGACATCTCATTCGTATCATAGCCACTCTTTTGTTAGAACACAATGAAATTGTATCTTTTCTTCTGTCATAAATAAGAACATTTTTGCCGTTGCCCGTGCTACTTTAACAAACAAACTTGTAGAATCGTTTCCATTGCGGCCAGCCGTCTCTCTCTTCCTTTTCTTGCGCAACAAGAATGGGAAGATTCCAATCCCGCCGTCCTGTATCAATGTCCATATCTGCAATTCGAATGATACTAGTGCGGTAGTATAGTTTGTGAGCCAAGTAAAACGCCAGAATAATTGGCGCGCTCATCCATTTCAAAAAGAAGTTTTCTGCAATCTCACCCACCGGCATCGATCTCCAATTTATAGGGAACGCGCCGACCCAGAACTGCGCAATAAGAACGGACACATTCAGAGTCAGTCCAATGTACGAGCCGGTAATTCCAACTTGTGATTGGAATGGGAGCTCGCTGAGTTTGCGACCACGTGCAGCCCAGGCTTTGCGGAATCGGATATGACACAAACATATAGATCCCCATGTAAATATAGAAGAAAGGCCAGACATGGCAAGCAGCCAGTCGAGAACCTGCCCCTGATGGCTTACATCCGCAATATATGCCAGTAATCCTATAGCAGCGGCTACAAGGATAGCGACAAGAGGTCGTCCGCGCTTGTCCACGTAGCCCAAAATCCGGGGTGCCTGGCGGAGGTTTGCGAGAGCCGCAAGTGTTCGAGATGATCCAAAGACGGCAGAGTTGCCGACAGACAATACGGCTATAAGAATAACGGCATTCATAACTGACGGTAGGATTTGAATGCCTGCTTCCTCGATGGCGATAACGAATGGCGAAGCTTTGGCGTCAGAGCTGCTCTCGCCCAAGAGCCGCGGGTCGTTGTAGGGAACCAAAAGGCCGACCAAGGTAAGAGCAACAATATAAAACAATGTTATGCGCCAAAAGACTTGTTTTATGGCGCTCGGGAGCGATTTGCGCGGATTAGCAGTTTCAGCAGCAGCTAGGCCGACCAGCTCAGTGCCGGTGAATGCGAAGGCTGCAGTGACAAAGACGCTGCATAATCCTTTGAACCCGTTGTTGAATGCCCCTGGATTAATCCAGTATTCACCGCCAATATAGCCTCGGTCGACGGTGCCGCCGCAATTCAAGACGATACCTAGAAGTCTAGTGACAAGTTAGATTGACAAGAGCAGATACTTTGTGTCAGGGAGTAGCAGCTGACCACTTACATGAAGCCAATGACTGCGGTTACTTTGATCAAGGAAAAGGTGAACTCAGCTTCCCCGTAACCCTTGACACCGAATAAGTTAATAAATACAATGACGCTCAGGAATACGGTTACAAAGATGGCTCTGCTCAGGTCTCCGTTCCAATAACTGATTGTCAAGGACGCGGCAATAATCTCAAGCGGTAAAACTGCCAGCCATTGCATCGCATAGCTATCACCCCAGTATGTTAGCCTAGTACAATTTCTTCTGTTTCTCTTATACTCACTTCCAACCCATTGCGAATCCCCAGGATGGATCGAGAAACCGAGTTGCCCATGACGAAAAGGATCCGGCCAGCGGAAATATCACAGCAAGCTCGCCGAGTGCTTGACAAGTGCAAAAGAGCATTGCGCCGACTATTGAGAAGGCAAGCAGCAGAGACGCAGGGCCACCAGAGCTTAGCGATTTGCCTGAGACTACAAATAAACCAGTTCCTGCAGAAAGAATGTTAGTTTAACCAATGAAATGCTGGGCTGATTACCGTACCTATGGATCCACCAATGGCAATCATCTGTAAATGGCGTCCTTTGAGCCTTCTTGAAAGCCCGATATGTGCATTCTCGAGCGTCGCCATATGGAGATCGTAGTAATGCGAGTCGCCGTCTTGCCTTTGTCGTATGGCTTCGTCATACTCCTCCGCAGTGAACATAGTATTAGGGTCTCGTCTAAAACTGTCGATGAATCGCTCGAGGCGCGGCGCAAGGCGCTCATCGTAGTCGGGTTCCCGCATCGTGTATGAGCTACCCTGGCTAAATGACTGTTTTATCTTGTGGGTGCTGGAAAGATGATTGGCATCCAGTTTCGAGGTCATGTTTCCAAATCCTCTTCCCTAGGAAGGAAGGAGTACGTGTCAGTAGAGTCGCTGTGCGACCCGGCTATAAGAGACGCAGATTCTCGACGTGAGAGTGCTGTGGTTTGAGGATAACTCGTATACAGCAGACATGTATATGGGTGTGTGTATGTATATGATACAACAGACAAATTCGTTCGTATTTCTCGGGCAAGCCCTCACCACTGTATGTAGATTGAGTGGTGGCGGCGAACAAAGTGGTTGACTCGGCTGGTGGGTTTATAGGAATCGTCGCGGGTGAGCGGAACGCCTGTGGTAGATAGGATACCATCAACCAGTAGACCAAGAATGCCTGTACTTGAGGAATTCACAGGGTGTTATCTTATTGGAATAAATGAAGAAAATGAACCCAAGAGTGATGATGTTGGACTGGACAAAGAGGCAAGGCTGTCTAGAGCGGGCGTCATAGCACCACCATGCCTTTCTTCGAGCCGTTTGTTATCGCTCGGTACTCCAACCGGCTTTCTCCTTCCCCGCCAATTCAAACGAGGCGCCCAAACCCAGATAAAAGACCGCGCGCTGCACATGGCGTTTGTGGCGGACCAAGAAATTTACAGGTGGCGGCCATGGTAGTGGTGGTGGTGCTGAGGGCGTTGTAAGGCCCAGGCGCGGCGTTGGGAGGCATCCTATCGTACGAGGGGCCAGCGTTTGCAACAACATTAAGAGGGTGTGCTAGAGTTATTAACTTGAAGCGTGCCCAAGACTATCTTCTGCAACAAAGACATCTCAAAGCAACTAACTCATCGGTCGTCTCCGCATCTCCTGTCAAATGTCACTGCTGGGGAGCGGCTACAGCGGTCGGCCCACTAACCGCCGGCAAGTAACCCCGCCTGTACAGCGCCTGACTCGTGCCGCCGTTGGTCGCGTGCAAGCTGCTGAAGTTGAAGTCGCCTCCCGTCTTCAGCTGCCCCATTATGGCTGGAAACAGTACGAACTATTGGTGTCTTGGTGGGGATAGCGTTCTATATTATTCTGAAGCTATCATGCTATGCATATAGTGTCTATTTGCGAGAGAGAGAAACAACAAAGAAACCAAAACTATACAAAATCCCAGCGGGCCACGGTTACAAGTGTTCCGTTGTCAATTACTCTTCAACCTTAACCTTCTCCGTTTTTACAAACTCCTCTTTGATTTTGCCTGAAGCATCACGGGGCTTTCTAGACCAGCCCGTCGAAAACAGCGGACCCATATCGAATCGAGGGAAAGGATGAGCCTCGGTGTTGAGAACGATCTGGTCCAGAGGCAACAAATCATCAGGCGAGAAGAGCAGGTACATGTACTTGAGCGTCTCAGCCAACCAGAAACTCTCCATGTTGTCCTTGACCAGAGGCGGTACTTGGTTCGCGTCGCTCAAGCTTGTGAAGCCGCCCTTATCTTCCACAGCGGTGTGGTTCATGAATGAGCGAAACATCTCCCATCCCCACTCGCGGTACTGGATATCGCCAGTGATACGCCACATGTAAAACAGACTCTCAACAGTCTCAGGGCGCTGAAGATTGTGCACATCATTAGAGTGGACTTCAAAATCCTTACGCCAAGCAGCATTAGCATGGCCGTCCAGCTTCCTAGGTGGTACGGGGTGGCCTTTATCAGGGCTAGCTGGTGGGTTGCCAATCTTGAAGTAGGTGATTTCGGCGGCGAGGCCTGTCGCCATATACTTGTACATGCCCCAGCATGTCTGAGTCAACTCCCGAGCGAGCTTCATGTCTTCTTCGTGCTGCTGGCTCCATGTTGGTCGCTTGCGGGCTTCCTCTAGCGTAAGACCGCCAGTTGCAGCAAGGGCAATAGTGCCAGGCAAGAAGCAAACAAGATGATCCATCTTGGGAGACAGGGCGCTGTCCAGACCATTGGGACGCTCGCCCAAAATAGTAAAACCACTGGGCTCTGTGTATGTGAGAAGATGCTTGCGCATGCCTTGTAATGCTTCTTCCCACATCGTTTCGTAGACCTTTTCCTTCTTATTGGTCTGAAGGTATTGTTTGATGAGGTATTCGTAGTAAGAGTCACCACGGCTACCGAGACGAATATTCTCGCCGCGGAATTCGCCATTCGTGGCGTAAATGTAAATAGGGACTAAACCGTCCTGAGCATTGTTCTCATCGATGATTTCCATGACCTTTTCGGCCTTGTCCCAAAAGTTCTTTTCGCCAGTCAACTTGGCAAGGTATTTGAACTCAAGTTGGAGTGTCGTTGCTTCTGCGGTAGAACTGGCTCCCATGTCAGCATGGGAGGGAATACCCTTGAATTGTTCCAAGTTGACGCTGGCATAGGGGATACCGGAAGGTGAATCAAACGCGCTCATCAACCGGCTTGCCAGGTCCATAGCCTTTTCCAGATACAAGTCCTCGCCCTCCTTTCCTGGGTCATCATCGGTCTGTGGCGCCAAGTCGGGGAACTCGGTAGATAGATAATGAGCCGAAAGAAGACCGCCGAGCATACGAATAGTAGTCTCAAAAGTATTAACGTCTTGGTTCTGCTCCCAAGTGAGAGAAGTAGAGATCCACTCGCGAGCATGCTTGAGGCGACTTGTCTGGTTCATAAGAATCAGTGTATCTAGAGAGTCGATAATAATCCAGCCCAGACCCTTGGGTGCCATGTGTTTGCCAGTCTTGGCAATTGGGTGATATTCGTCGTACCCCCAGCCATGTCGTTCGTAGGAATCCCAGCTTAATTGGAAAGCCTCAACCACCTGCTCACGTCTGTGATCCCAATCCACAATCTCCTTCTCGCCAGACATGCCCAGCCACGTCCATGCCGATGTAGTGTGGGCTGACAACTTGTGCTGCCAGGGCAGCCAACCCATCATCCAGCACAAGATGAAGGTGAAGAATGTGCAGATCCATGTTCGCTTCCGTCTCCAGATGGGGCGATACCGTCTCGAGGGCTCGTATGCGTAAGGCTTATCCTTGTACATGGGAAGGCCTTCGCTGTCGAAGAGGTTGCCGACTTTGCCTGTTCTTACGGCGTTCCAGGCCTTGTCTTCCAAGTTTCGGTACGGATCCTTGAAATTCGGTATGTTCTTGGGCATAGAGAAAGACATTTCCAACGCATTTGTCCCTACTTGCGTGGCGGCGATTCGTATGTTATGTACGGCCTGCGATGCTGCAGTTTTGAAGTTATTCTTTCGGTGGATGTCGAACGGGTCGCGAAGCATGGAATCGATTCCCCGGGTTCGAGTTGCCGACAAAGAGAAATCGACAAATAGGTTGCTTTCGGTGTAGAAAGCAACAGGATCAGGAGAGGAATTGATACAATGCACCCTTCCCCCAACGGATTCGGCAGAAACGACAAACGAGAAGAGACGAGGAAGAGAAGAAACAAAAGTGGATGAGCGCTGCGGGAATGTAGCGGGCGGCAAAGGGGACAGTTTGGACGGATCTCCTGGCGTGTGTGTGGTGGTTGCAAGTCCCACCACAGTGGGCGGCTCGCCGAAGGCTTAGGGAGGCTAGCGAGCTTAGCGTGGGGAGCTGGCCAAAGAGGCCATGTGTGCTTTGGAGGAGGTAGCATCACGTGCATGTTGAACAATACTGTCAGCGCCCATGGCTTGTTTAATTCGTGCTGATTTTGTAGGGGTACGTTTTAGAACAATGTAAGCTGGATAGTCTTTGTATCTAGTTCAAATTCAGTACATATTCCATTGGTGGCGCTATCAAGTTGCGAACTCAATGGGGGCTATGGTAGTTGTGCTTTTGGCGTAGCGGGCTATCCACACCTCCTCTATACCAAGACCACGGGCGCAAACGAACGATAGACATCTTCAAGCTCTATATTCGGGGTTCTCAGAAAAATGTTCATTACATTATCAACTTCATGACATTGGCGCTGTTGAAGAGTGACACTGAAGGAAATATAAGACTGATCTAGCCACTCAAGAGTCACCGTCTAGCAATTCTCGGCCATGGACATTAAAAGATTCCCTCAGCTCGACCATGAAGAATTCACAGAGGCATGCCACTATCTAGATCGGCAGTATTGCCAAGCCAAGTTAGGATCTGTCCGTCGCCAGTGGAAGATGAGCCTCTGCACATCCTTGGATCTTACGTCGCAGTTTCCAAGTGGGCAGTCGTCCTATATACAGATCATTCGGCCATTAGAGACGCCTAATGACGACCTCAATCTCTTATCCACCATGAAAGGATTTTCCTTTTCAGAAACTGGTGGAGAAGGAGAGGGCACATCTACAGATGATGATATGATAGAGGCTGAAGAGGCTGACATGGTAATACTGTTGTATTTCTAGCTCCATGACTTCTGCTAATTTTCTGCATAGCATGTCATAGAACGACGACCGTCACATAGTGATGTAGGCTACGTGACCTATGAGATTCATTTACACCCAACATACCAAGTCCCGTGTTTGTGGTTTTCTTTGCACGGGCTCCCGCCAGACGAGCCTGCCTTCAACATTGACACTGTATTCCGCCGTTTGGTCCCAGATGAATACAAGAGCGGCCTGCGCCAAGGAATTGGCGGAATCGGCGGTATATCGGCCGATGTAAGTTGCTACCCTGTGCACCATATGTTGTCTGACACCAGCGCTGACTCTCGAAGCATCATCCCATCACGGGTATTCCCACATTCTTCATCCACCCGTGCTTGCTGGGCGACGCTATAACGCCATTCAACTGTACCCGAGAGAACTATTTAACGATTTGGCTGGGACTTGTTGGTGGCTGTGTGGGATTGTGGGTGCCAAAAGAAATGGTGTCGTAATGAAGGCAAAAAGCAGACGCTTATTATACATATATAGCGGCAAAGATGCAAGAGCCTCCTTAATCATCAGCATCACTGTCCTCATCCATGGCCATATCCTCGTCACTTTCGTCGTCTTCCTCGTTTCGCGTTCGCTTTTGTCCACGATTCTCGTCGGCTGGCGCATCCTTCATAACATTGTCTTGGGCGGCCTTCGGCGGGGGTGCATTGAAGATGCTTTGCTGTAGCTGCGTTTGTTCAACACTAACTGAGCCCGTTGCAGTCGAAGGAATTTTGAAAGTGCCATCCAACTTGGCAATGGCGTTTGATTTCGACTTGGCGTACTGTATTTTCTAGGGTTGCCGGTGTTAGCATGTGTTGACAGTTTTGAATGCAAAGTGTACTCACCATAGGTCTGCCTAGGAAATCCTCCCCATCCAGTGATCGCATAGCTTGTGTTGATGCCTGAACATCGCGGAATACTATGTGTGCTTGGCCTCTCATGGCCATGGTCTTCAACGCGACAACATCGAGTACAGGTCCATAGGTCGAGAAAAGCATGTAGAGGGCGGTTCGCAGGTCATCCTTTTGAATTTTGGAGGAGGGAAGATTTGTGATGTATAGCCTATGTATATTTTAGCAGCTGTCAAAGCGGCGCGAGCAAGAAAACGTCTTACGTCTGGTTTGGTGGAATGGGCTGCACCTTCGCGGGCAGAGAGGCGTTGGGCTGTAATGTACGTGGACCGGCCATGATGGGCGTGGAAATAATATGTGGTGGAATAATAGGGTATAGGACTTTTAGTATGTTTTTATAAATTCGAGGTATTATAAGGCTGGTCGGAGCAATGGGACTGGTTCGATGCGGTGAAGTGGTCGTGTTTGGGCGTTGGAGTTTTTTCGTGGTCGCTACTAGCACTGTTTGGCTGGCTTTGGAAGTTGGCCCGAGCTTCTCCCATGGTGTCCCGCACGGGTACGTAATGACCACCCCGCCATCACAGCCACGGAGCTCATCCCACGACCAACTCTTTGTTCTACATACAACAATCTAAAAAGAATAAAGCCGATAGTAGAGAGCTACTCCTATCGAATTCGATTAAGTATCATCATGGCATCCCCTGAAGTTCATCATCTCTTCCACAACCCCATCGCCGACCATTCCTTCTCGGCCGACCGCAGCGTCTTAGCTGTCGCCAGAGATACTGCTGTTGAGCTGTATGCGAAGAGTGGCAATGCTTTCAAGCTGCAGGATGAATTGAAGGGTCATGATAAGATTGTCACCGGCGTTGATGTGTCCCCCAGCGGCCGCATTGTGACCTGCTCGCAAGGTGAACTTGGTGAAACATTGTGAAGGTACAGAGCAGCAGCTAATGTCGGGAACAGATCGCAACGCAATTGTTTGGGAACCCTCGCCGACCGGTTACAAGCCTACCCTTGTCCTTCTACGAATTAGCCGTGCGGCTACCTTTGTCCGATGGTCACCATCCGAGGCTAAATTTGCGGTTGGATCGGGCGATCGCGTCATTGCAGTCTGCTACTTCGAGGAAGAAAACGACTGGTGGGTGTCTAAGCACTTGAAGAAGCCCATTCGAAGCACTATTACAAGTGTCGCTTGGCACCCGAACTCTGTGCTTCTGGCGGCCGGTTCTACAGATGCACATGCCCGAGTCTTTTCTGGCTTCATCAAGGGCGTTGATGAAAAGCCTGAGGCTAGCGTTTGGGGCGAGCGCTTGCCTTTCAACACCGTCTGCGGAGAATTCTTGAACAACTCCGCTGGTTGGGTTCACTCTGTTGCCTTCTCTCCCAGCGGCAACAGTCTGGCCTTTGCTGCTCATGACAGCAGCATCACCGTTGTTTACCCCACGGCCCCAGATCAACCTCCCCGTGCCGTCATCTCTATTTCCACCCAGCTTCTTCCTTTCAAGAGCTTGATTTGGAAGTCTGAGGACGAAATTATTGCTGCAGGCTATGACTGTGAGGCTTTCCGCTTCAGCGGTGGCGAGGGCGGATGGCAGCTGACTGGCCCTGTCCAAGCTAAGAGCCAGGGCGGCGGCGGTGCACAGCGCGAAGAGTCTGCGTTGAACATGTTCCGCCAAATGGATCTTAAGGGCAAGGTAAAGGACGACACTCAGCTCCAGACGATTCATCAGAACACCATTTCTACCATTCGACAATACGCAGGCTCTGGTAGCAACGTTACCCAGTTCAGCTGTAAGTAATTCTTCATTGGATTCTTGATATATTTACTGACATTATATACAGCCAGCGGTGTCGATGGCCGAGTTGTTATTTGGAATGCTTAGACATGTCACAGATAGAAATAATCTACATCTACTACTTTTTTTCTAAATCTTCTATCCGCGGTGTTGTGAGTGAGGTGTTGCGTATCACAGTGGTTGCTATGGCCTCAGCAAATTTTACTTTTATTACGATGCTAGTCCCGCCATAGGATTAAACCCATGGCGTGAAAGACTGTACGGCCATTTAAGGGAGAGCGATGCACTCGATCTCGACGTCGACGTTCTTGGGGAGGGTCTTGACGGCGACACAGCTGCGAGCGGGCTTGTGGGCGAACCACTTCTCGTACTCGCCGTTCATCTCCTGAAGCTGCTGTTAGTCATAGAGCGTAGGTTGAGCTTAGAAATGCGTATACTTACGGCGAAGTGAGCCATGTCGGAGATGAAGATCATGGTCTTGACGACCTTGGGGATGGAAGAACCAGCCTCCTTGAGGACGGCATCGAGGTTCTGGCAGCACTGGCGGGTCTTGTCGGCAATGGAACCCTCGACGATAGTACCGTCAGCAGTGAGGGGGATGGCACCAGAGCAGTAGATGGCGTTGGGGGTCTTGACGGCCTGGGACTGTTTTCCTATTTGTCAGCTTTTTTGGTCTGGCTAAACCCAGTGTGAGGTTCTTACGTAGGGACCGACGGCTGCGGACTGCAGTTAGCGAATTGGAACAGAGGGTATTAGAAGAGCAGCAAGTGGACTTACGGGCAGGGGCGCCGGTGGTGAAGATGTTAGTCTGCTCAGCCATTGTAGAAGTTGTGTGGAAAGAAGCTGAAAACTGAGTCAACTTGGTATTCCTGGAGCAGAGAAAAGGGCGCGAAGCAGCAGCGACGAGCGACTGAGGCAAACGGGATCTTCGCAAGACAGCCAACGCAGGCGACATACCTGTTTCAAAGCTAAGGTATAGAGAAATTGTTAGGTTTGAGTTGGAAACGCGGGGCAAGAAAGGGTGATTTACGAAGACCTACAAAAAGGCGGGTTGGGGATGGGGTAGCTTTTTAAGGCAAGAGGACCAAAAAGGTTGTTGGAGGGACAGCTCCGACTTCCGGCATTGTTTTTGGAGGGGCTCTCCCCGCCTGGGTTGGTGTTTGGCGGTTTCTGGCGGCCCAAAGAAGTGGGTTCCAGGTGCGACTTTAGCACTGAACGATTACCAAACCAGAATTACTCGCGCGCAGGAAGATTTTACGAGAGAGAGGGGGGAGGGGGGATGAACTCGGGAACTGGACGGGTGATGCACGGTCTAGATTAGCTGGTTGAGAAGTATATCGAATCCCAGGGTTTGTTCGTGGTGTGTCAATGAGGGGTGGCCTGGTTGGAGGGGAACCTGGATATTGGATTCACGGGGAGAGAACTGCTTTCTTTTCTTGCTTTTAGATTTATCTGCAAGGGAAATTGACGACTTGATCGTTACTGGTAATTCTAGCCGCTTTGGTCAAAGAAGAGCAATACAATCGTCGCTGATCGCATCCAGTATTTGCATTAGTTGGAGGCGATAGCGAAGGAACTGTGGCACGTTGGCCAGATGTTAAGCCAACCAAGCATCCAATCGCACACATGTTGCGCAATAAAGGGTATCCATCCCACTAATGAACCTCTGCGTACAAGAAATGATGTTGATGGCAACAATTTACTTCCTTCCGGCCTCTGGGTTGCTGTGCTGATGTACCATACGTCACTAAGAGGCCCGCCGTAGAGGACCAAGCATACGCCAAAAGCTGTCCTGCTCAGGAGTGCTCAGCCTGGCGACTTGGACACGTCGCGACAATCCGCCAGGGGCTGCGGCGCCGCTTTAAAGTCGAGGCTGTCAACTGGCGAATCGGCCAAGGAGTGTCTTATCAATGTAGAATAATACACATTGGAAAAAAGAATAAAAAAATACAGAAAGAACCAATTAATGTTATCAATTCGATTTCCACTTACAATATGCTCTATTAAATTGTGAAATTCTTCCAGACACCGCTATACCAGAAACTGCCCTTATAGCAGCGACTCCACTAAGCCCTCCCTGTCCAGTGTACAAACCTCCTCAGACACGGAGCCAACTCTTGCTTCTTGAAGCTCTCTCCTCCCATCGCAGCGTTTCCGCGACGCACTTTTATCACGGCTCTTCTTTTCTTCGTTTGCTCCTTTTCTACTTCGTACCTTCTTTACGCTCTTTTGTAACCTTTTCTTACTCCTCTTTTCTTCTTCTACTCTTGTACTCTTCTTCTTGAAGTCGACGACACACAATGTCGGCGCAGGGCGCACAAGGCTCCCTTCGCCAGCGAAATGTTGGCAAGAAGAGCGGCTCACCTGGCCCGGTCATCACGGATAATGAGGTCGACAAGCTTGCCAAGGCTGCTGCTCAGAAGAAGCAGGGCGCGGGCCGTGAGCTCGACCACAAGTTGGCCTTGTCCTTTGTCACCGTTCTAGCTTTCTTTACGCGATTCTGGGGCATCAGCCACCCCAATGAAGTCGTCTTCGATGAAGTCCACTTCGGAAAGGTACAGCGATAACTTCTCTCAAAGGTGGCTTCTATACTAATCCCATTGATCTGCTAGTTTGCATCATACTACCTCGAGCGAACCTACTTCTTCGACGTCCACCCCCCTTTCGCCAAGCTTCTCTTCGCCTTTGTCGGATGGCTTGTCGGTTACGATGGAAACTTTCACTTCGAAAACATTGGCGATTCCTACATTGCGAACAAGGTCCCCTATGTTGCGTACCGAGCGTTGCCCGCCTTCTTGGGTGCATTGACTGTTTCGGTCACCTACTTGATCATGTGGGAGTCTGGCTACAGTGTCCCCGCTGCTCTCATCGCCTCCGGTCTGATCCTGCTCGACAACGCCCACATTGGCCAGACTCGCCTGATTCTTCTTGATGCTACCTTGGTCTTGGCCATGGCCTGCAGTTTGCTCTTCTACATCAAGTTCTACAAGCGCCGCCACGAGCCTTTCAGCCGTAAGTGGTGGAAGTGGCTCGTTCTTACTGGTTTCGCTCTTTCTTGTGACATTTCCACCAAGTATGTTGGTCTCTTTGCCTTTGTCACCATTGGCTCTGCTGTCATCATTGATCTGTGGGATCTTTTGGATATTAAGCGCCCTGGAGGTGCTCTTAGCCTGTCGCTCTTTGCAAAGCATTTTGCGGCTCGTGCATTTGGTCTCATCATTTTGCCCTTCATCTTCTACCTTTTCTGGTTCCAGGTTCACTTCGCGGTTCTCAGCCGATCTGGCCCTGGCGATGAGTTCATGACTCCAGAATTCCAGGAGACACTCAGCGACAATGTCATGCTTGCCAACTCGATCGACATCAACTACTACGATACCATTACTATTCGCCACAAGGAAACCAGAACATACTTGCACAGCCATACCGACCGTTACCCTCTCCGCTACGATGACGGCCGTGTTTCCAGTCAAGGCCAGCAGGTTACCGGCTACCCCTTCAACGACACCAACAACTACTGGCAGATTCTCCCTGTGGACAACAATGGCGAGACTGGTCGTCCTGTTATGAACAACGCTGTTGTACGCCTTAAGCACACCGTCACTGATACGGTTCTACTTTCTCACGATGTTGCCTCTCCTTACTACCCGACCAACCAGGAATTCACCACTGTTTCCCAAGAGGAGGCCTTTGGCGCCCGTGAGAACGACACGCTCTTTGAGATCCGCATTGAGCATGGCAAGGAGAACCAGAACTTCAAGACCGTCGCTGCACACTTCAAGCTCATTCACTTCCCTAGCAAGGTTGCCATGTGGACTCATACCAAGCCTCTCCCGGACTGGGGTCACAAGCAGCAGGAGATCAACGGCAACAAGCAAATTGCCCCTAGCTCCAATGTTTGGATTGCTGAAGACATCACCTCGCTTCCTGCTGAAGATGTTCGCCGCGAAAAGGAGGAGAAGAAGGTCAAGCATGTTCCTTTCCTCAAAAAGTGGCTCGAACTCCAGAGCTCCATGTTCTACCACAACAACAAGCTTACCAGCAGCCATCCGTATGCCAGCCAGCCTTACCAGTGGCCATTCCTCCTTAGTGGTGTCAGCTTCTGGACGAACAACGACAGCCGCCAGCAGATTTACTTTGTCGGTAACCCTGCTGGCTGGTGGTTCGCCAGCGCTCTTATTGCCGTCTTTGTTGGCCTGATTGCTGCGGATCAGGTCTCTCTCCGTCGTGATGTCGATGCTCTCTCTCACCGTAAGTGCCACTATTTCAATGTTTTGTATTGTGATTCTAACGTTATCAGGTACCCGCTCGCGCCTTTATAACTCGACTGGCTTCTTTTGGCTTGCTTGGGCCACGCATTATTTCCCCTTCTTCCTCATGGGCCGTCAGCTTTTCCTCCACCACTACCTCCCTGCTCACCTTGCGTCATGCCTGGTTGCAGGCGCTCTGGTTGAGTTTGTGTGCACCTCTGATGGCGAGGAGGAGAAGACAAGTCCCAAGGAGCACGTCACGGCCGCCAAGCGCTTCGCCGGCCAGAGCCTCTTGGTTTGCTGGGCCACCGCTGGAGTCATCCTCATTCTTGTTGCTGCCAACTGCTACTTCTTCCTGCCTCTTACATACGGCTACCCTGGCCTTTCTGTTGCGGAAGTCAATGCCCGCAAGTGGCTTGGCTATGACCTGCACTTTGCCAAATAAGCGCTGATATCCCCCCATTGGAGGACTAGTACCAGCGCTCAGGCTAGATGGATGATGACTAAATATTATTGGTCTTTTTTTGCCAGACGTGGAAAAACAATAATTAAAATAGACAATGACATGCTCTCCCATATAAATCTCTACTTTTTTTAGCATGTGGTTTAGGACCCTGGGTTACGTTAAAAGATGGGGGGCTATCTATCCGTCAATCGGGGTGTAAGGTTAGGACAGATTTGCCAGATAACGACAGATGACGTAGAGTAACGTTGGTTCGGATGAACTGTGTTAATTTAAACCGCAAAATTTAAAACATAATACTTTCTACTACACCTTAAAGCCGGTCCGCTGTGCTGGCTGCGTCCCATAAAATTAAATTCCGGCGGCCTCAGCCAATTAGCACGGCCTCGTATTTGGAGCAGCTGTCACTACATGGTAGCTCTTGGCTTGGCCCCTAGGCTGCATCGCAAACTTAAAACAGGCCACCTCTCATCACTTGTCGGGCCCTCGCCAGCATCGACACAGCCGTCATGTATTGGCGACGCAATTCAAAATATTCACGTCACTCCTACGAGCCCGATATCGAGACGAATACCGAGCAGCGCCGCAGCAGAATCAGGCTACTGTCGCCGGGAACCAAGCTCTACATCAAGCGGCTTCTCCGCACACGGGTGGCCCGGGTTGCGCTCTTCCTGTTTGCCGTGGTCAATTTCCTCGAAGTTTTCAGAATACACAGTCGAATAGCAGAGGAGCATAAGCACCATGTTGCGCCGGCGCATCATAAGGGAGAGCGCATATACATTGCAGCGATGCACTTCAATGACGGTGCCTTGTTGCGCAGCCATTGGCTCTACTCCATGCTCAACTTGACTGAGGCGCTGGGTCCGGAGAACATATTTATTAGCATATATGAGAGCGGCAGCTGGGACGACACCAAGATGCTGCTAGAATGGTTTGACGGGGAGCTTGAAAGACGGCAGGTCCCGCACCGAATCGAGTTGTCCGACACGACGCATCTAGAAGAAATTAAAAGCGAAGTCCGCGGAGTCGGCTGGGTTGATACACCAAAAGGCGAGCGTTCGCTGCGACGTATCCCATTTCTATCAAAGATGAGAAATAGGACGATAAAGGACTTGGTGGACTTGGACAGCCAAGGGACACACTTTGACAAGGTGCTCTTTGTGAATGACGTCGTCTTTACGGTATGTTATTGTTTCAAGATTGGCACTCCTTATGTGCCAGCGCTAAATTGAGCTTTAGGTCGACGATATATTAACCCTACTTGATACGAATGGAGGTGACTATGCCGCAGCATGCTCTCTCGACTTTTCGCTTCCACCGATATACTACGACACCTTTGCGCTGCGGGATTCCAATGGTCTTCCGCATGCTACGCTTCGATGGCCGTATTTCCAGTCATCAGAATCGCTCAATGCAATGATAAGCAATTCCGATGCTGTTCCTGTGACGAGCTGTTGGAATGGAATTGGTAGGTCTAGGAGGGCACGACTTGTATTGTGAACTTGACGCTAACTGTTGGTAGTTGCTATGCCTTCTGAGCCCTTCGTATCGTCCACACAGTTGCGTTTCCGTGGAATTCCGGATTCTCTTGCAGCACATCACCTTGAAGGTTCGGAATGCTGTCTTATACACGCGGACAACCCTTTGTCCAAGACGCTGGGCGTCTATCTCAACCCCAGGGTCAGAGTCGGCTACAACCCTCGAGCGTACGAGGTTACGCATCCAAAAACCTCTTGGGTGTCCGCATGGCGTATTTTCTGGGGCCTTTGGACAAATAGAATAACGCGCTGGGCCACCTTTACATTTGACCAAGCTGTGGTCCGCCGGCGTGTCAAGCGCTGGGAGAAGGAAGACATGGGCAATTCAGAACCTGGTGTCTTTTGCCTCATCAACGAGATGCATGTAATTGCTGAAAATGGGTGGGCTCATGTATAGACTGTTTCAAAATGGCGTTATTTTTCATTGGAGTTGATAACTTTTTTCACTCGAGGGCATGTTATGCAGAATTTACAATCACCAGCCGGAATCTATAGAGACAACCGCCCGATGCACATTTAGATCACGCTATACAATGGATAAGGTTATGTTCTTTAGTACAAATTCAAACATGCGATTAACAAAACAGTTGCTATAAAACATCAGTAATACAAAAATAATAAATAGCACTCACCTGAGTATTGCGACCGTCAGGGCCTTACCGCAGCCTTCCTACTCGTCATCAACATTCATAACTTGGGAGAGTCCACCAGACTCTCCTTGTGCAATGCGAAACAGATTTTCCATTTTTTCGTCATCCTTGAGTTCGGCATATCCGGGGCATGTTTCCCGGTAGTGCCTGTTGACGCGAGCCCCAAACTTGTGGCCGTAGTCCTTTCGGTAGATATTCGTGACCGTATCCACATCTTGGGTCCTTCTACTAGATACAACTCTTAGCATAGAGTCGATGGTTTCATCGTTCCAGATGATTTGGTTCATGTTGAACAACACATATTTGGTCCGGACACGTGGATCGACGTCGAGCTCGCGCACGAAGTTGCCTTCCTCGACGTAGCCGCGCGGATCGGGGAGTGTGTTAAGCGCCATGTGACGAATGAGCTCGGGGTTTCTAGAAAGATAGTCTCTTACTTGGATGGGAGTAAAGGTATCTGGAAGCCCGATACCTTTGCAAATGATCTTCAAGCTCCTCTCTGCTTGGCCGGATTTGAGAGGCCACTTCTTAAAGTCGGGCACGGCGGGAGAGGTGACATCTGGGCCAGGCTCAGGAACAAAGGCTTCAACGCCGGCCCCGTTAGACATGCCTGGTGGGAGGTAGACATGTGGTTTGACCTGTAGATCGAATTCGGAAGTTGTCTCTGTTGTCTCTGTTGTCTCCGTTGTTTCGGAGGCGGCGTCTTGGTGGTAGGTCTGAGGGGACCATTCTCCTTGAGGCAATCGTCCAGCCATAGTGCACTGTAGTTGATTTGTTGTGGTAGATGTTGTTCTGATTGGTTTTATGGGGTAAATATGTTGATGAGCTTCATTATTTCGATGCTATCAACACGGACGGTGGGTGCACTTTTATACAATTTCTGGTAGTATGGCTTCTATCGCTTCCGTCTTTATCACCATCGATCATTCATTCAGGATGCTGTGCTATTACTGTACTATCGTATCAGCACAGTATGTCCCTTTCAGGAATAGAGTTCTCATAAAAGAAATTCACAGCTTTGTCTGTTTTGTACATTGTGCTGTGTCGTTTGATGACACGACTATTAGAACATAAGGCGCGAACACCAAAACACTCCTTGGACTATCGAAGCGTATGGTTACTGTTCACTTTAGCAAACGAGGTTCAACATCGCAGGTTCCAGTACAGTACCATGTATTACGGCCACATACAATAGCACACAGCAACCTTTGAGCGGGAGCAACGCCATTGTTGATTGTGCGGCTACAGGCCACATACATCAAAGGGCGCAGCACACAGCACAGCTTCCGAGCACTCTCCGGTGTGCGACACTGCCGTTCAAGATTCTTTGGCTTCTGAAACGTCATTTACTGTGCTGAAAATCAATTCTGTGGACGGCGGCTGTGTTTGCCAAGACGAACACAGAGCTATCTGCAGGGGAGTCTGAAAGGCCACCGAAGGCCAGTCTCAAAGAGGCATGGCGCTTCTGTTATTTCGATGCCTTGCGCTGTAATGTCTTCCGATGGATCCCTTTTGGCTAATGCTATCCTAAAAGAGCAATCGGATCGTGGGAAATGCAGCAGCCTAACGTTAGCTGCAAGCCTGTCTCGGTGTAAAACGGGTTGAGAATGCTGGTGCCTGGTGGCAGTGGAGCATCGCAGCCACGCAACAAACTGGGAACAAGTCCCCGAAAGACCGGGCCGGTGGTTTATGTGATATTTCAAAAAAAAAATTGATAAAATAATGGTAATAACACTAGACTTTACAATGTATTAACTGGGAAGGGCCGGGAATTAATTCCCCGGATTTACTGCCGCCTGGCATATGCTCCAGGCAGAATACGCATCTTGATATTGAGCAAGGCATCGCAATGGGTATAAGTATGGGCACAATAACATGCCCAAATATATGCAAGTTTTATCACATGTCCAATAATACTCGCCAAATTCTACTGGCAAATAGGACCTTTGTGCAAATTTCCCATTTGGAGATCACAGCTTCCTCGCTCTCGTCTTAACCACATGCCCGCCTCATCACGACATCACGTCAGAGCATCCCCAGCACCCTGCACCACGTTTTCGGTTAGTTCAATGACGGACATCGTACATCAAAGAGCGGAGCCTCCAAAGTAGCATATTGGATCTAGTTAGGACAACAAAAGCCCATGGCTCGTGGCCAGAAGATCCCACCTGCGCTAGCCAGGGTTGCCAAAGGCAGCCGAATAAAACGCCCCAATAATTACCCATTAGGATGATTGATACATCTTTTATCTCCTCTCAGTTTTTATTTGGTGAGCCTACGATGGATATGTCTTCTTTTACGAAATTTCGCTGCCTTGACCGTATTTGTTGTTGTCCACTCGGCGCCCATTTCACAGGGGAGACGTCACGCCGCCGTGGAACCAAGCAGGCTGCACGATACTCTGCATCGCCATTGGCTATCGGCTAGGGGCAGCATCACAACTTCCCAGCCGGCGCTGTGGCTTTTCGTTTCCCTTGACTGACAGATCTGGCTGCGACATGGGCGGCCGCAGAGCACAAGTACGAAACATGCTTCATTTCCAGACCGCAAGACACCGCGCCGGAAATGGGTGACTCAGAGTAGCAACTCTCCCGAGGTGCAAGTCTGCTGAGGATTCCCATTTGGCAGCGATTGCAGACGCCAACAAGCCCGGCTCTAAGCTTCCGTCGCCGTGACCGTTCCAAGCTAGAGCCCCGACGGAGACGGTGGCCCAGTAAATTAGTTGGCCCGCGTCCAGTGGATTAAGCGCTAGGCCTTGTGACTTGTTACGCGAAAACGGTGATCGATGCGCAATTGTACGGGGAGTAGCCGGTGCTGCTCTCTGCAGGCTCTGTATGCCAATCATTGGAGATCATGGCCATCTCTCTTTCGCTTTCGTTTCTTATTCCCTCTATCTCGCTTTGGACTTTTGCTGACTGTGTTGCACGCTGCTGCTGCAGTAGCTAAGCTCCAGAGACAATCGCTCGGCCTTCTAGGCCTCGTGTTTTAGGGGACTCCTCCACTCTACCGGCAAGGCGATCCCCTAGGCGGGCTGCCTTTCGGCGCTAGCGTCAGGCTCTGCAGGTGGGAACGAACGCTCAGCTTCCTGTGGTTGGCCGTTGCCCCCTGCTTAGTGCATCAAAAGAAACAGTCACAGTGGTATTTGCTCACAAAAGTCCGCAAGCTTAGAAATGCGGGTGCACCACAACCTCCTGGCAAGGCGCTGTGTTGGGCGTCCCGTGGGAAGACATCACTGCGCCTCTTGGCTGGCCGGGGGCTCTACCGCAAAGAGGGATTTTGTTGAACCATTCGTGTTGTGTTTGGAAAGGGCAAGATGGCATCGTTCATGGCGCTATTTTTCAAACACTGTATTTCTTTTCTTTTAGGTCTTTATGGCAGCAAACGGGAATGCATGTTGTGTGCGAATTCCGTTTGCTCTTATGTGCTGACCTCACCCAACAGTGAGCCCATAAAGGTGCATCGGCGACTACAATGCTGGTATAGAGGTACTTGGTGCAGTAACAGGGTCATGCGCGCCACGGGTTCTGTAAACGCTGCGGAGAAGGCCATGGAATCGGAGTCCGCCCGCTATTGAGGGAGCCGTGGCATAAGCCAAGCGAACAGCCGTGGTAGACGGCCAAGTACCGACAACCTATGGCGAGTGCCAGTTCTGGGCTGACAGCAGCCAGTGGAACCACTGTTGCGCTCACCACTTTAGCGCAATTCGTACGCATCGCCCCCTTTGAACGGCGCTAGTCCACTTTGGGACGGCGACCTCCAGGCAGCAGCGTGTGGGGCTGAAGACCGTCTGGCCCAGTTTCACCGCGCCCGCCCACATCCGCTCAAGCCAAAAGCACTTCATCTTGACCACCGTCTCCCTCGTCAGCCTTCTTAACTCCAGCATCCTCCGCTTTCTATTTCCTGCTTTCCTCAGGCCACGTATATTTCCTGTTGTCAGCTCGACTCAGTCTTCCATTCAGTCTCGCAAGAACGTTTGCTGTCACCGCTCGTCAATCTTTTGTCTCTTGATTAACGACATTTCATCACGCATTCGCCACCATCCAACCGGGCTTTCCGAATCACCTCGTTGGACGCGTCAATCTTGCAGTTTCGCTCTGCAAACCAATCACCGCATTTATATTTATTCACTTGCGTCCCTGCGATCGCCTCTTGCTCGTCTCCGCACTCTCCTGTCGGCGACGATCTAGGCGTTCCAACTCAGCGCGTTTGCTGGGTAAGCACACATCTCTCTTCCCAACGGCAGGTTACCCAAACCTTGCCTCATTCCCATTTGCCTCTCCCTCTCTGCATAAAGTCGAAACGCGAGTGTTGTCCGCCTCGCCGCATCGCTAGCGCAGCCCACCCCAGTCTACTTTTATCTGCCCGTTCTCCCGCCGTCGTGACTCACCATTGTTGAACATCTGTCCAACCACCTATCCACACTTGCAGCTAACACTCTTCCTCTTGCAAAAAGGTTTTCAAAACTATTTCATCCTACGCATAGCCGTCCCCACCATCCTTTCAACTTAAAACGATGGCTACCTCCAACCCTCGCCGGCGGACCATGGTGACTCGGTCAGACAGCGCTGCCGAGAACGAACTGTCTACCACCACAACCACTCTCCGCAAAGGCGCTACATTTCACAATCCCGCTACTTCGGTGGATTCCCCCTTCACTCCTCCTCAACTCCCACGTGCTCAGTCAAACTACGATGACTGTGTAGATGCTCGTCGCCGTCGCATGGCCACTACCCTCAACGACATTGATGAAGCCCTGTCCATGACCGAGAAGCTCTCTCTCTCCGACAGCAAGCCCACTCGAAAGATCGCCCTGAAGGACCACAGCGCCCTTCCCCTACCTCGCGGATTCCTCGAACTACCCATCGTTGATCCCGAAATGGCTGAGCGCAGAGTTCTTCGCCCGCGCTCCGCTCGCCGCCAGCAGCACGCTTCTGATAGCGGCCTCGGCAGCTCTGTCGCTTCGTCTACCAACGACAAGCGCGCCATGATAGAGAACCAACCCAGAAGCCAAAAGGCCAAGACACAAACAGTGCCTGCCTACAGAACTCGATCTGTCACCGCTTCTTCCACAAACACCTCTTCCCTCAGCCCCCGTGCGGTTAACCGTATCCAGGAGCACATCCTGCGTCCTCTTTTGGACAAGCCCTCTCTCAAGCCCTTTGAAGCTATCGTTCTTGATGTTCCTCGTCGCATTCGTGCCCAGGAAATCATTTGCCTTCGTGATGTTGAGAAGACTCTCATCTTCATGGCACCGGTAAGTCAACTTGAAACAGAAATTGGTGTCTGGGGTTATACTTATCGAACTTTGCGCATGAAGGAGAAGGCGAAATCTGCTACGCTCTACCTCGACTTCTGTCTTACGTCAATTCGCTGCGTCCAAGCCACGGTGGAATACCTCAACGAAAACGACCAGATCCGACCTGATGATCGCCCCTATACTAATGGATACTTCATCGACTTGAAGGAGCAGCTTTACCAGTATGGACGACAACTCGCCACCAAGGAAAAGGGTGACGATATGGATATCGACCAGTATGTACCACGATTTGTACCAATCAATCAACCCACTAACCCCCCGTTCAGAGGAGATGAGATCAGACTGCACGGTGGCATTGCCATCAATGGCCGCCCAGCTGAACTCGTTCGTGTCAAGAAGGATGGCACTGCCATCTCTATGGCCACTGGTGAGCCCGTCGACTTGGACGAGGCTCCCCTTAAGTACAAGCGTTCCATCAGCCAGCAGCTCGCCGATGACGAAGAGATCATGCGCTCCATGGCTCGTCGCAAGAAGAATGCTACTCCCGAAGAGCTCGCTCCCAAGCAGTGCCGCGAGCCCGGATGCAATAAGGAATTCAAGCGCCCTTGCGACTTGACCAAGCACGAGAAGACGCACTCTCGTCCTTTCAAGTGCCCCTTCCCCACCTGCAAGTATCACACCTTTGGCTGGCCCACCTCTAAGGAGATGGACCGCCACGTCAACGACAAGCACTCTGATGCTCCATCCATCTACGAGTGCATGTTTAAGCCTTGCCCTTACAAGTCTAAGCGTGAGTCGAACTGCAAGCAGCACATGGAGAAGGCGCACGGATGGACATACGTCCGCACCAAGACCAACGGCAAGAAGGCTGTCACCAAGCCTTTGACGCCTCCTCAGGAAACTCCTCAGCTTGGTAACATGCCCACTCCCTCCAGCACATCCAACTACAGCGTCCCTACCCCTCCTCAGGATGAGATGCTTCAGGGTCTTCCCAGCGATTTCCCTACCTATGCTGGAGAGAACGCATGGCTTGGCTCTGCCCACGTTGCCCAGCCTCAGCTCGAGAACATGGACTTGCTGGCAGACAACCAGTCTCCTTCATCCTCTGCATCCTACGAGCAGTACCCTGCTTACCAGAACGGATCAACCTTTATTCTCAACGATGAAGACCTCTACGCTGCTCGTGTTCAGCTTCCTCAGCAGATGCCCGCTCCTCTCTACAACAAGATGATGCCTCAGCAAATGCAGCAGTTCCCCCAGCTTGCTCAGCAACAAATGATGCAGCAACTTGTGCAACCCGCTATGGAACTCCCGGCTCACTTCTCACCTGCTGGCCAGGAAAACGCTATGCTCTACACTCCATCCTCTCTCCAGGAGGTTGATGACGTCTTTGAGGATCCCAGCATCAACACTGGAAACGATTTCCAGCTGTTCCCTGTGGACTTGAACAAGACCACCGACTTCCAGCCGCTATTTGGAATGCCCAGCGCTGACCTCGGCTTCTCCCAAGCCACGCAGCCCGACATCCTCCAGCACATTGACTGGTCAAACGTTGACTGCGGCAGCTTCCAGGAGTAAATGACTTCCTGAAGATAGCTTGGTGACGAACACGGCAGAAAACCTTGAAAACCCTATCACAAAAACATATTTATGAATGATGATTTGGATGCAGCGCAAGAAGGCGCGCAATACGCACTGGCCTGAGGCTATCGATTTATTACCTGTTATTATTTTTCGTTTAAACACAAAGCCGCAGAGGCAAATATGATGTATAATTGGGAGGACTCATGGAGGCGCAAACATTGAAATCGGTTTGCTGTTGTATTGATAGATAGTTGAGATGATGCATTTCATCTCCTTGGAACAGTTTGGAGATTTTCATACTTCATAAGAACGCATTGTTTCCACTCACAATATCCCATCTTCTTCTATGTGCATGTACCGCCGCCAATATAAAGGCTGTCTCAATGTAGTCGCGGTTTTGCATCGCCATGGAATGCAAGGGCCAAAAAGCAACCCTGGCGCCCTACCCTGCATGGCATCTGCTGCCACGTTTTTCGCCCGATTCAAGGTGGCTTCCCGATCCTGCATGGTGATATTGGAATTCAACGGTAGAGACGGATTTCGGCGTGTAGTTATTCACAAATCCGCATGTAAGCTTCTAGAAGCATTCTTGTCTGCAACGGTGTGATGCCCCATCTGTCGGCGAAGGCGAAAGCTTACTGCTCCAAGGAGCCTTATGCTTTATGTTCGTAAACAAGTTGTTTTTTTCGTAGAATAATACAATATACAGACAGAAGATTAAATAAAAATAAAAATAAAAATAAAACTCGACCTTAGGTTAAATATTCGTGCTTAGACAATAGCGTGGATAGCTAAGCTCTCCCGCGCTCACAAGCGAAGTTTTTGCCAATAGGGCGTAGTGATGTGATGGGTGGTCGTCGCAGCCAAAAAGTGTGCCCACCTGGCCGGAACACCTACAAAAGAAAAGAAAGATGAAATCACCCCCAAAAAAATAAATCTCCGGTACAGGGAATCGAACCCTGGGCTGCTCGGTTCTTACATGAGAGCGAGCGATGTTAGCCACTACACCATACCGGATGATGATTTTCCAAGTCGCTGATTGGATGGATGCTCAATGGCGAGCTAATATCATAGATAAAGGTTACCAGGGCTTTGCTCAGAAAGAAAAAAAGAAAAATTGTTCACTGTTACCCAGACTGGCGTTAGTGGGGCTGCTGTTAAGGCAGTGAAAAAGCAAAAAAGAAAGGTCTCCGGTACAGGGAATCGAACCCTGGGCTGCTCGGATCCAACTTGAGAGCGAGCGATGTTAGCCACTACACCATACCGGATGTTGTGCTTGTTGGAAGTCTGAGTCTTATTTAGCACTATGAGTGTATAGCGGGAAACTCAACTGCCAACTCCTCCCGACTTGTGTTCTTCTCAAGCAATATTGGGGATAGGTACTTGGTAACAATGTCTGTTCTTAAACAATAGGTGTTATATACATAATTTAATGTCTAAAATACTATGCCATATATAAAATTATTCACATCATCTTTTGTCGCGCACTTTCTACTAATTTCCCATAGGGTTGGGCTTTGTAAGGAAGCCCTTGGATTCAGCGCCCTTGATCGCGCGGTACCAAATCTTGGCCATTTTGTTGTAGCCGATATCGTTGGGATGAGTATTATCCGCCATTTCATCAGGCTGGGGACCATCATCACCGTGCATTTCTGCGAGGATGATTTTCTTTCCCTCAGCTGCCTTCTTCTTGGCAAGAGCTGTGTACTGGCTATTCACCTTTTTGACTCTGGCCTCGATAGTGGTATTCAGATTGATAATGAGTGTCGATAGGATGATTGTAGAATCATCAGAAGTATCCCAAAGATATTCAAGGAGGTCATCCATGCGATCACCGACAGTATCAAGCTTGTGGTTTTGTGCACAATCATTGGTGCCGGCGTTAATGGTGAAGAGGCTGGGCTGTAACTTGGGAACTGATTTGACGGCCTTGCCCTTGACTTGATCGACCCGGAACCCGGACCAACCCTCATTGTCAGGGTCTGTCATATTGCCACCCTTATGAGAGCCGACCATGTCCACCTCGAAGCCATCGTCAATGAGCATGTCGCGGAGGTCTTGTCTATATCCGTTGCCGTCGGTGGAGCGGAAACCGAATGTGATGGATGCGCCTAGAGGCATCAGGCGTAGAGGAACTTTGGCGGAAGCCTGATCAGTGCCAGTCGTAGACGGGCGAGCCTGGACTTCAATAATGTTAGGCTTCTCACGGAAGTGAAGTTTGATAAGGGGAGGCGTACCATTGGTCATGAGAGCGAGGCCGACTACGGCAAGTTGACTGAGAGATTGAATGAAAGGAGCCATGGCAGAGCGTGGTATTGCAATTTTTGAATTGATATGTATAGGAGGAATGCTGGTACGCTTATTGAGGCGAGAAGAACGGAACTATATAGACTTGTTACGATGGTCTCGGTGACATTACAGCTCGCCGGTCTCTTGTTCTGGCGCCGCCCCTCTGTGACGCATCAGCACTATGCTGACAGGGGCGGTGGTCAATGGTTCTGGACGCCGTTCTATCAGCCTTGCCATATTTTTGGAATGATTTGCAATAGTCGTCGATCATGAAAGATAACGCGTGTCACTTTAAGTCCAATGAAAGAAGCGACTTTGGTTGGAGTAAAGTGGCTTTAGGTGGCGTGGGAGGATGGGTTATACTGGATCTGTTGGCGCTGTGGCTACCTGGGGCTTGCTGCGTTTGCCGCGACAGCATCGTACTGCCTGGCTAAATGGAGCCGATTTTAATACGAATAGAGCGAATAGCGAGTAAAATGGACAAGCCAGAGGTTTTTAGGCAGAATTAAGAAAACTGCCATCAGCCTCCTTATGAAGTTGGGCAGTCGATCTGGAGCACGGATAAGGTGGGAACGGGGCGATGCTAGCACCCTGGCGCGGGTGCCAAACTGCCACCGAGACCCGCTAACGACTGGCAGCACCAAATTTTATGCTGGACGAACAACGCACGCACGCACCAACTACGTTCTTACCAGCGTCGCTGCAATCTTACATCACCGGTGAATTAATACCAGGAAATGTGCGGCATTCATGCGGTATTTTCACATACACAGCCCGGCCCCATTGAACCGCAACTCTTGCAGCGTCTGCGCAATCGCGGCCCCGACCACCTGGGAACCGTGGCAGTTGAGTTTGAGCGAGATGACTCGACGCGTGTATATGTGACCCTGACGTCGACAGTTTTATCCCTGCGAGGAGACAATCTGACGGAGCAACCCCTTGTTAGCAACGACACGGGTGCAGTTCTCTGCTGGAACGGAGAAGCTTGGAGCATAGGAGACAAACCGGTTGTTGGAAATGACGGCGTAGCTGTGTTAAACCATCTGGTACATGCGAGCCGCTCTGGCCACGAAGCTATCTTGTCGTCTATACGAGATATTCAGGGACCATTTGCTTTTGTGTTCTTTGAAAAGAAGAGCAAGACGCTGTATTTTGGCCGAGACCGTCTTGGAAGAAGATCACTACTACGTGATACTTCCGAGGGTTATGCTCTGTCTAGCATCGCCGGGCAAACAGCGCCATCATGGAAAGAAGTTGAAGCCGATGGATTATACAGCATAAATCTCGCATCTAGCGAGATTATTTCTAGCAGACACGATTGGATCAGTGACGAGTCTCATGTAAGTTACACTCAGTTGGTGCGCCCACCAGAGCTAACATAACGAACAGGTATCTGGTATTGGGACTTTCAATTCCACCGTATCGTCTGAACCCGAATCATTATCAAGAGAATCTGAAGCATTGAATCTCCTCCGTGCTCACCTATCAGACTCTTTGCACCCACGCGTTTTAACCGTTGCAGTACCACCAAACACGAGCACCACAGATTCGAGGATTGCAGTGCTCTTCTCTGGAGGTCTTGATTGCACAGTACTTGCGCGTATGATTAATGATATTGTCCCCCCTGGTCAATCTATCGACTTGTTGAATGTGGCGTTTGAAAACCCGCGTATAGCATTTCATAACAAAGAGCTAGATCAGGCGGCTTTATACGAGTTGTGCCCTGACAGAATAACCGGCCGAAAATCTTTCACCGAATTGATCCAAGCATGTCCAGATAGAAGATGGCGATTTGTAAATGTGAGTTTACAATGATTTGGAAGAGCTTAAGCTAACAAGTTACAGATTAATGTACCATATACCCTAACAACAGCTCATCGGAGCGACGTTATAAACTTGATTTACCCGCACAATACTGAAATGGATCTATCCATAGCTTATGCTTTATATTTTGCAGCCATGGGCGTTGGAAAAGCACAGATTGCTGTAGATGCCGAGCCAGAAGACTATGGTACCACTGCGCGTGTTCTTCTCTCTGGCTTGGGTGCCGATGAGCTATTTGGCGGTTACCAACGACATGAGACTGCTTTTCAACGACATGGATACCCTGGGTTGATTGATGAGCTCAAACTGGACGTCTCTCGCCTTGGAAAACGAAACTTGGGAAGAGATGACAGAGCCATGTCAAACTGGGGCAGGGAGGTACGGTTTCCATATCTAGATGAAGCTTTTGTGAAATGGGCCATTGGAACCCCTGTCTGGCAGAAGTGTGATTTTGGAAATGGAGAAGATAAGACAGGAGTAGAACCAGGTAAACGACTACTGAGGCTCCTGGCGCAAGAGCTCGGATTACCATCTGTTGCAACAGAGAAGAAGCGTGCGGTGAGTTGCTAAATGCTAGTAAAGTGCGAAATATATCAGCTAACAACTTCCAACAGATTCAATTCGGAGCACGCACTGCCAAAATGGAGAATGGAAAAGTTAAGGGAACAACCCTGATAGCATGAGAATAGCATACAGTGGCAAGTCCCACTTGAGCAACCCGGCGATGATGATACCCAGATACTTCCGAGTCTAGCTTCGCCCTGGGCCCGAGCAGTCGTGGCGTTTTGCTGCTTAGCAGCATAACCCTTCATGCTCGGGTGCATATTTACGCGAGAGACAATGACGTCGTAAAGGCAAGTCTGAGCTGATAATGGATTGCCAAGTTGCTTGTATATAACGGCCATCTATGCTGCAGCACGATGGCAAGGGGTATCTTTGTATACGTCTATATAAAATTATAATACATGATAATGATGGCACATTCAACCGAACGCGCTGACAGCATTGAGAGCGCCCAGAGAATCGACCATGAAGTGACTAAAGGCCTCATCCTCATTATCGTCATCCATGTAGGCATTGTCGTCGGTTTCCACAGGGAGTTTGGAATAGAGCCCATCTCCTGCCCGAGGCCATATGTCGGGTAATGTATCCTCTTCCTCCTCGTCTACCTCGTCATCGCCTCTGGCGGCGATTGCTGACTCAAACATGCGTTGTCTATTTATCGATTTCTTGGAAGCTTTGTGACGTTGTCTCATCCGCGGGTTGATCAATGTATGACCGTGGCGCCGCCGAGACGAAGTACTTGATGCTGCAGCCATAGCCATGACTTTGTTCTCAGCAACGGCTGCTGGGTCCCAGTCTGGAGAGCGGAAAATAGGAAGCCCGGGGTGTCGTTTTGACACCGAAACCAGGATGTCCACAAGAAGGCTAGGATGCAGCTGGTCGCAGAAAGTTAATATGTTGAGGAGGTCGCTGCGTTTTCTCGACGCAAAGTACTCCGACCGCTAAATGTTCTTGTTAATAAAAGATGTTCGATGAAGTGGGTTGGATGCTGTACTTACTGCTTCTAGGGATGCCTGACCGGCTCGGAAGCCCAAGAGCTCTGGGCAAGCAGGTGTAACACTGCTAGGCAACATGGATAGATTTCTGCGACGCATTGTATCGATTTCCAATTCATGTGGCGTCATCTGCGACCGATCTCGCTTAGGCTGGTCCTCATCGTTTCTTACAGATAGAGGTTTGATGAGGGCAGGCAGTTTGATAGTTTGATGCGAGGCATCAAAGGGCTCTCTGGCATCGGGTTCTCCCTCACCATCATCGTCTTCTCTCTTTCTCTTGGTTCCGGCCAAGTTGGTTGGGCGTGGCGGGACTTCTCCAGGAAGCGAAAGAGTTGTCGTCTCATCCAGCACTGCGGCAGTCTTCTGTGGTACCGGCGACGTATTTAATGAATAGATGCGCTGTGATATGAATGATTTTGAGTCTTGAAACTGTGCCTTGTATGTCGTATCCGGGCCAGTGCCTTCTAGGGTTGTGAATGAGACCGGAAACATGGTTTCTCAGCAGTGCCGTGTAACACGACTAAATATACACAAGTTCAATGCAGCTCGAGCCCGGTGATAGAATATGTAATGCTGCTCTATGGTAACATAGGTTCGTAAAATAGAGTGAAATGTACTTCTTTGAGATGAAGTACTGAGATAGAATATGGAGTGTTCATGAGCTCCATGATTCGCAGATTGACGGATTGAGGTTCGAGTCGCATCACGTGACAAGACATAACCGCTCTGTTGGTGGTGATATCTGGTGAGCTGCGACCAGTGTGGGATTTAGTATATGAGTGACAACCTACATTTGGCTCTTTTAGAGACTGGAAATATTTATGAGTATTTATATAACTATTTTATCCTTCAAATGGCAGTGGCACGGAGGAGATGAAAGCCGCCATCCTCGTTGGGCGATGGTGCAACTAGTATTATGAATCCATTCTCTACATTATCAGCGTCTTATAAATACTTTTAAGCTTCAAAGTTTCCAAGTCTAGCTCACTATACCCTGCTTCTTCAACGTTGCAATGTCTTTGTCAGACATGCCAATTTCAGCGAGAACCTCGTTTGTGTGCTGGCCGAGGGTGGGAGGAGCGGTGCGCACACCAGGGTTCGCGTCGGAGAATTTAATGGGAGTGTTGACGAGCTTGATGGGGCCACACTCCTCATGCTCAACCTCCACAACCATGTTACGGGCCTTGGTGTGCTCATGGTTTAGTGTGTCTTGCACGTCGTTGACGGCAGCGTAGGGCATGCCTGACCCGTCAAAGACTTGGAGCCACTCTGCTGTCGTCTTTTGCTGCGAGACGCTCTCAATCTTGGCTTCAAGTTCAACACGGTTTGCAACACGGTCCGCATTGGTTTTGTACTTGGGCTCGTCCTTCCATGAGGGTTCGCCTAGGCCATCGCACAAGACGCCAAACAGGCGATCGTTGCCACCTCCAAAGAGGATATCTCCGTCCTTTGTCTTGAAGGATTTGTATGGAACAATAGAGGCTGTATAATGTTAGCTGAAGCACCATATTTCCTTTGCGATTGTTTACTTACGGTGAGCAGTGCCCCATCGTCCAGTATCACGCTTGCCACTGATCAAGCAGCTGCTAGCAATGTTGGCCAGAGTAGCTGTCTGACAGTCACTTAGGGCTACATCAATATGCTGTCCCTTGCCATTTTTAGCTCTTCCTAGAAGAGCAGCCATGATGCTGTTGCTTGCGTAGAGGCCGGTAGTAAGGTCAGTCACGGCAACACCAACCTTGACTGGCGGGCCGTCCCGGGAGCCGGTAATGTGCATAAGACCAAATTCGGCTTCGACCATGACGTCGTATCCAGCACGGCTTGAATAGGGACCGGTTTGTCCATATCCTGTAATGGATGCGTAGATCAAGCTAGGGTTAATCTTTTTTAGTGTCTCATAGTCCATCTTGTACTTCTTCAAGGTGCCAGGGAGGTAGTTTTCAACCAGGATATCACACTTGGCGACCAGCTTGTGTAGAATCTCAACACCTTCCTTTTGCTGGAAAGATAGGCCAAGGGACTTTTTGTTTCTATTCGCCTGTTTTGTATAATGTTAGTCCACAATGTGAAACATAGAATTGAGGAAGATGGGACGAACACCGAGGAAGTAGGCCGCTTCACCAGGGCCAGACTTTGACGACTCCTCTGTATACTTGGCATAAGGAGGTCCCCAGGCTCTGGTGTCATCACCTCTGACAGGATGTTCGATTTTGATGACTTCAGCTCTACATTGATGGCGTGTTAGTGATGGTGAGCTTTTGGCGGCCAGTGGATAACAATGTTTGGTTAACATACCCCAAATCACCAAGAATTTGCGTGCAATACGGCTATGGAGAATGATTGTTAGCATCTGTTTTCCTTTTGATATGATACAGAAAGGCGTCTACATATGCAGCTAGGTGACGATGATGTTGGGGACGTAGCAGCACTTACACCGGCCAAAACGCGGGTCATATCCAAGACACGGTAGCCCTGCAACGGCAGCGAGCCATTTGCCGGAGCACTAGAATAAAAGCGAGAACGGGAATAAACAGCAACGTTAGGATGCGCCGATGCGATGCGTGTCTGATTGGCTATGCGCGTGATCGCGGAAGCGGTAAAACGGCGAGGAGTCCACATTGTGACGGTAAATTAGCTCTCCCCGGATTTTAGGTTGTTTATCGGTGAAGCGAGAGGCGCGGGGACGCAGACGGGCTCAATCCTTGCAATTGATATATTATATTGGAAGAGAGGCAAAAAAAAAAGGCAAAAGGCTTAAAAAGCGACGCAATGCAGGAGTTGGCAATTCAGCCACGCTACCACTGACAAGGCAATCCGGGGGTGTTGCGGAATTTGTTAGATGTAAGAAGGAAGGAGCAGGTCGGGACGGCATCGGCTGGGAACCCTTTGGTGCGCCGTGGAGCTAAGCCGGCCGGGGCCACGGCGGCTTCGGCACAGTGTTGGGCCAGTCAGAGAGCGAGGTCGCTTGGAGAAGTTCCCACAGTGGGGGTCTCTTCCCCAGGCTGAGTGTATTTGGTTCCTGGTTCGGACAGCCGCGGGTACGTCCCAGCTGATGCAGCTGGCACAGCTGGCAGAAAATCAGGCCATGATTTTGAAATAAGGCAAAAAGCTAATGACGAAAGTCTGTGTCTGGAACTACCTGATTTTGTAACGAATTGGCATGGTTTTGTCTCCGGTGGGTTGATACTAACCAGCCTGTGTTGATATCTGGTTGTAAGGTTATCAATCTCGGCATGGATCTAACTAAGGCGGGTAACCTCGGAATTGTGGCTTGCGAAGAAGCGGAGGGATGTCCTGTGAGTGGAAAAGAAGAATCAGAATTATCAGAATAGCACTTTGTATCCCTATTTATAAATACAGTTTGCCGTGGCAGCTTCTGCATTTCCATCACGTCGAATATCCCCTCGGCTTTGGTGCTTATAGTCAACTGCAAGACGAGTCACTACAATGCTCCAATATTGTAACAACACAGATTGGCAAAGAGAAGCATCAAATACGGAATAAATACCAATCTGTAAATTTATATGTATCTTTATTATAACAAGATTTATGATATATTTATCTTACTTCCTATGAATATGAATGCCACAGTATGGAACAAAGACATACAAATGGAACAACCGCTACTTGTCTACGTCACTGGGCTACACCCAGCCCACATGGCTACCGATGAAATCTTGTCTTACCGCTCAATACCAAACATGCAGCACCCAAATAACCAAGGCCCGATAGAATTGTTTACCCAGACAATATATTCAAGACCTGCAACGCAGTCCTCAAGGAACGCCCGTCCGTGCACAGCGTGGTGGTGAAACAAGCCACAGCCCTCTGCCCTGCAGGTCGCCGCTAGAACAGCCACGCTGGCACGCACGCACCCTGCGAGCAGCCTGGCTTTAGGCGGTCTTCCGTGTCAAAGCTCAGCTCAGTCACCAGCCAAACGCATCATCAGTCACTGCAGGTAGCCGCCCTACGAACAGCAGTGCGCAGGTATTCACAGCCTGTTTCTTTTTTAATCATCGACTTCAGCTTCTTCGACTTCTGCTACTATGTATCAGCCCTGTGTTTTTTTTTCGGCCGTCGTTTTCTATTCTGGGTGTTCTCAGCAGCGTTGCTCTCGCTTCCTATTAGCAAACCCACGACTAAGACTGTCCCAGACCAATGCTGGGCGCCCAGCACCACGCCGTTGTAACGCCACTATGACGCCCTGAGAAGGCGTAGAATAGTGCTTACAATCGCTCGCGGCTGCTGCAAACGCAACGCCCGCTCACTGCGAGGCGGGATGCAACCACTAATGCACAGAGGCGAGGTCAACGCGCTGCCCAAGTGACTGTCCGCCTCCGTGCCACTTTGGTAAAATTAGAAAAGGGAAAAAAAGACCCAAATTCTTTTTAAAACGGGCCCCTGCATCTTCTTCAGCTTCTGTTAAAGTTGTTCAAGGCCCCTCCGAACAACCCTGGATATATTATTCTCGATCGCCATCTCGTTTCATGTAAAGCCACCACTTCAGCTGCGCATATCCCCACCTTCACGCACTTACACATAAACCAGGAGCAAACCCTCCCCCAAAAGCACGTCCATTTCACTATTTTCTACCATATATTCTCTCGTCTTCTATCATAAGAATCAACATGAACTTTGCCGAGACTCGAGTTGAGCCAGCCCCGGTCAACACCACCACTACCACCACTACCACCCGCATCGAACCGTCCATCATTATAGTGACCGTTGTGATATTTGTTGTGGTCATTGGTGTGGTCATCGCTGGGCTCTTCTCACTACGACAAGAAAATATTCAAAAGAAGAAAGTCGCCACATCACCACACCGTCGCAATAACAGTGTTTCTACAATGTCTTCCTTCAACTCGCTGGATCTAGAAAAGAATCCAGATTGGGTTCTGGAGCATCAACGCCGCCACATCATCCAAAAGAGCTTGGCATCTCGGTCTGCTTCTCCGGCTTTTGACTTGAGACCTCCCACTCGAGCCCTCACCCGTACTTCTAGCAACGGTACGCTGAGAAGTGACTGGAAAGAGCTCGAAGCTGGTATGTATGCCGGCCTTTCATCAACCTCACACCCGGCAATCCATGCTGAGCAGTGACCGTATGGTTGGTGAAAAGAAGAATATGAGACCAGACATGTAAATACGCAGGGTCACTGGATGGAATTTTGTGGAATTTGTCTATAAAGCGCGCACAGGGCATACATTATGGCGTTTATTATTACTCCTTTTGTTTTTTTAGCGTAATGAATCTTTATATACCCGGCGAGGATGTCATTCCCGATGATCTTCCTCCCTTTTCCTTCTTCCTATTTGTCTCCCTGTACATATTGGTATATATTTACTGTTTTTCTTCGTCGACAATCTCGTTTGTGACTTGGACAAACGCTCCCCACTGCTTCCAAGCCTCGCCACTCTTGATTGCCCATCTGGCCCGTCTAACACCCTCCTTCCAGCGCTGGCCACCTGGACCGCGCTCAGTGATGACTTGACCGTCATCGCCAGCGCCCATGTTGCTAGAGTCAGCGTCGCAGATACCAGAAATGACGAAAAGAGCGGCAGTGTTGATGAGGATGAACTCGATCAAAGGATCATCCTCGGCAAGCTGCCCTTGCAGAATCTGGCTGAGGATAGCAGCGTTTTCCTCCGGACCTTTGCCAGACGATACTGTGTTGAGTGGGTGTGTCTTTAAGCCAAAGTCGTTGGGGTTTACCAGGAAATAGTCGACGTAGATTTCGCCTCCGGGTGTCTTTTCCTTGAGCATCCAGCAGTGCGAGTTGCCAGCACAGCTGAGCTCGTCCAAATCTTCATCACCGCAAACAATCATAGCCTTGCGGCATCCTGCCTGTCTAAGAGCCTCAGCAAATGCAGGGCCAAGATCCTTTCTACCAACACCAATCACACGGGCCTCTAGGACGTCCTCAACAGGGTTGGCTAGCGGGCCAACATTGTTAAAGATTGTTCTCCAGGGCAATTGTTTGCGGATCGGTGCAACAAAGCGCATACCAGAGTGGAAAACGGGCGCAAATACAAAGCTGTAGTTTGTGGCGGAGTACACGCGGACAAGGGTATCGGGTCGAACAGCAGCAATGACGGGCGCTTGAGGCTTCATTACGGCGACCATGTCGGCGCTGCCAGATTTCGACGTGCTTGCCTTGTTACCGTGCTTGGAGACCATGATAAGAGCAGATGCAAGGATTGATGATGTTGTGCTAATGTTGAATGTATCGTGTCCATCGCCACCGGTTCCGACAATGTCACACTGTTTCCGCTGTTAGTACGTTGCTGCAGGACTTATACGCCGAAACGTCATGAGTCTGGTAGTCAACTTACAAGTCCACCTTTGTAGCTTCCCTCTGGGCGACCTCTCGTCGCAATGACTTCCTGGAGTTCCTTGACTGGAATAGGTGCGGCGACCTTGAGCATGGCTGCGGCACATTTGGCGAGGACGGTGGGATCAAAGTCCAATTGTGTGAAATGCAGGGCCATTAACAGCGAGGCAGTCTGGGCCTCAGATACCTGGTTGGTAAAGAAATGGGAAATGGCATCTGCGATCTCGTCCGCTGTTACTGTGTTTGTGGTTGGCCAGAGCTTCATGAGCAACGGCTTGATGTTGATCGGCTGCAGGCCATCGATACCGGTGCCGATTCTCGGGGAGGCGGACGACATGGTAAGTGTCTGTGGTTACCAAGGTTGTGGTATGAAAATAAGGTCGAGTGGGTTATCCGGAGAGGAGAGGAATGGCTGCGTCTTGTAAAAAACCAGGTCGATATGGCCGAACTCGAAATGCCAATTGGCTGTGATGTGTCCTTCAAATCCGGCAGGTCGACATCGGAAGCCGCAGAGTCATTGTCGCCGTGTGTGTGCCCCACGTCGGAGCCTATTGGCCGCATGCAGGCAACCTGCAGACAGCCTAGGCACGGTGCGTCACAGCGCAGACGGGCGGTAGACCAAGTGCCGGATTAAGGCATTTTCCGCCTTACCTGGCAGCTTACCTCAGCACGCTTCAGCCTTCGCCACCTGCGACGTTGATTTCAACCACCCTGCCACCGCCCTTGATTACGCTTTTTTCTTTCCCTTTCATCAACCCCTTCACAAAGTCTTCCTCCTGCACGAAGTCGTTTGGACCACGATATCGCTTCTTCCAGCGCTTGCGAACCTGTTGCTCCTTTGCCAGCGACCACGCGACGACGACTTCCTGACCGACAGTTCCTAGATCTGAGCTTCCTCCGCGAAAACCTCAGACGCCTTCATTGGTTTCCGAACAGTCGGCGGAGCAGAGTAGGCTCATTCCCTCGTTACACACGCGCATACGGTGCCCTAGTTTTATTCTGGGCGCTTTTCGAATCCCTTTCGCCGTCATTTTCTAAGCCAACAGAGAGTGCAAGCTCGGCAGCTCGTAGTTTTTGTTTTTCACTTGTTGGTACCTCGCGACCCTCTTCGTGAAACCAGCGTCCTGCAACATCCTTTTTGACATTTGACTAAGGCACATAAAAAGCATCAAGTTTTTCCTCAAAATATAAAAAAGAACACAAAAAAAAAGAGGACAGAGCAAAGCAAATAGCGGCAGAGAAACCACAGTTGCAAGCCATCAGCAACCTGCGTCACCTCCCACATTGCTGCTACTCTTCGTCGTGATCCCACTCCTCGTGCAACCAAAAAGCCCCAGCAATCACACAGCAGCCTCAGCTCTCCGCTGTTCCAGTGAATCTTTGCGAGGCTCACCGACCAGCCCTTGTTCTTCTCAACCGTCAAGCTGCATTCGCCACTCTTTGTCCAGTTTCATCAAGATCGTCTCTGGCTTGACGTTGATCGCAGTAACGCTTCGAAAATCCTAAGGGCTGTTAACAACAAGGCATATCAGCTTCGCATTAAGAAACGAGCGGCGAAAATTTCACGAAAGGTCTTCAACGAAGTCACCAATATCTATACGCCCAAGCCGTACGAAGCCAAGATGGTGCCGCCACCGGGTGCTGATTCCGGGGGGTATCAAGAAGACTTGAGCAATACGCTATGCTGTCCTGACTGCCGAGAAATTCCACCCAATCTGGTTGAAGAATTCTCGAGCGGCGATGTAGTGTGCACTAGTTGTGGTCGCGTCGTTGGCTCTCGAATCATCGATACCAGATCCGAATGGCGTACCTTTGCAAACGATGATCAGAATGGCGACGACCCCAGTCGTGTTGGTGGACCACGAGACGAGTTTGTGGATGATGAGCAGCTCGCAACTACAGTGGCCTTTGGTGAATCAAAGGCGCACAAGATTCTATCGCGCACGCAGAACAATGCCAACCAGGACAAGCAGCAGAAGGGATTGATGCAGGCATACAAGGAGATTGTTTCACTCTGTGAGGCTATTAACATGGGCCAGAACGTCTCCAACGCTGCCAAGCACATCTTCAAGCTTGTCGACAAGCACAAGTTTATGAAGGGCAAGCCTCAGGAGGCTGTTATTGCCGGTTGCATTTTCATTGCATGCCGACAGAACAATGTCCCTCGTACGTTCAGGGAAATTTTCAACCTAACCAGCGTCAGCAAAAAGGAAGTTGGGAGGGTCTTTAAACAGCTGCAGAATTTCTTGCAGAAGCTCCAAGAAACAGAAGGCGAGGGCGCCACTGGTCTCAACACAGTCACCAACTACGAGAACACGTCTGTTGGTGCCGAAGATTTGTGTGGACGTTATGTGTCCCAACTGGGCTTCAAGCAGCAGCAAAAGATTGCCAAGGTGTCCAAGGAGTTGGCAGAGCAAGCCAATAACATTGCGGCGCTGGCTGGACGATCCCCGCTCTCTGTCGCAGCGGCATGCATCTACATGGCCTGTCACCTTGTCGGCGAGAAGCGACCTTCTGCTCTTATTGCGAAGCAGGCAGGCGTAAGCGACGGAACAGTTAAGACGGCGTACAAGTTACTCTTTGCATCTAGAGAGCAGCTCGTCAAGCAGCAGTGGCTTGATGAGGGCATGAGCATGGATAACATCCCCCAGGTGCAGCAAACTTAGAGAACGCGGCACCGGGTCTTGAACATGATAGGGCATTGTCAAGAAATGCCATTGGTGGTGTGATTGAGGATGCTGTGAGCTGCAGGCCAGCTACTCAATGCGCTTTTGGACTTGTTTTTCTTTTTGCGTTTTGTTTTCATCTCGAGGCATTTTGCTTTTCTTCACCATTCTGATGGAAAACGGGGAGTTGTTCTTCTATTTATAAACATACAATACCGTGGGCGTCTTTGCTTTTATATTTCATAGTGTGTCGTTGCTGCTTCGATTGCTTTTTATTCGATGAGGAACGACGTTGAGTGTGGTATACCACAATGCTAGCCACAGGGGGACATTTTACTGCAAATTTATGCACGTTTTACGCATTGCTATGCTTGTTTTTCTTTTGATAAATCGTAACAATGGACAATGTATTTCGCCGTTGCAGACAGAATGAATACACCGTATAGCGGCCTGTGCATTAAGACGATCAGTGCTTTGGTGATGTGACTCGCTCTATTTGACACGCTGGCGATTGCGCTCCGAGACCCGGCCCGTAGTTTTTTTGGTTTTATGATGCAGCCTGCATTGGTGACACGATTGCTTACATTGGCATCTTTTCCGACCGCTGCTACAGTAGCCCATTGAGAATACTCAGGCCACGGTGCATGCTTTTCAATGGTACTGATGTGACGAAGCTTGCCGCTCGATTTACGCGATTGGGGCATACGACATGCAAGACAAGGCACATTTTTGGAGGTTGGGCGGTGCGCGCAAGGCAGTGCAGGCTAGATGCGGGCCACAAGAAGGTACGAGGCGCTGGATTTAGTGGGGAGCTTGTGGGTGAAAGCCACCGTGGCACAAGCACGGCCTTGCTCTAGCGGGCGCCACGCCGCTGCAGTGTATTCAGCCGTCTGCGTGTCCCCCTGGGTTGGTTGTGCTGGGCGGGGATAGGCGCCTGTAGGAGGTGCAGACGAGGCTCTGGTTCTGTGTGTTTTGTTTTGTGTTGATTTTGGCATGACCAATACTGATTGAATTCGAATTTGTTTTCCCCTTTTTACAGAAATTGTGAACTTTTCATCACGTACTAATAACCGAACACGCAAAATCAACAGCCCAAAAAGCAAAAGCACGGAAATCCCTTTCTGTTTGTAACAATCAGGCTGCTTGCCCGCCCCCACGTGGGTCTTTGGCGGTAGCAGGATTGGCGACCACCAACCAAATGCCTGCGTCCAACCAACAGCGGGTGGCACGCTCCAGGGCACTTGGTGTGCAGCGCTCCCCTCGTGGCCCGCCGCCACATCACCTGCACCATCCGTTACAGGCTATAGGCCCGTTTGTACAAGCGGGCCAGGCACTTTAATCTCGTGTCGAGCTTTATTTTTGGCGTGGGGTGAGCCCCAGAGATATGCGCCGTTTACGGTGGATTTTTTGCAGGCAGGTGGCGGGCACTGACACACAAGAGTTGCCAGCTGCGAGTTGATCCTTGGCACTCGCGTTTCGTTTTCTAGGGGGAAGTCTTTTTTTTTTTCGTTTCTTCCTCGTACATTGTCGATTTTGTCTCTGTTTTGCCTGTTTGCTGCTGTGTTTATTCACTCGTCCTCGTTTCGTTGAGCGTCTTGCATCTTGCATCTCCTCAGCCCGATTCGGTGCTAACAATAGAAACGAGGCTGCTCTCAGATCAATCAGTGTGCGAGCGTGTCCAACAATGACGGCGCAATAGACCAACCAAGAAATACATACCCAAAGACGATATTCGTGCCGCTTTTCTCACAGATGAGGTTCGAATTTGCTGACTGAATTTGAAAATTAGCAAGTAGCAGCAACCTTGCCACGATGCAGCTGGAAACGCTACCCTCACTCGTCTCCAACCCGTCGGGGACAGAGAAACAGCCGCCGGGTCATCGCCGACTGGCGCAAGACTCGAAAGAGCCCTGGACGAGCAAAGCCAAGGGACTCATGAACATGCACTGGCAGTCTCGACTCGAAAATGCAGTCAGTGGTGTCTATGAAAACACCTTAAAGCCAATCTTCCACAAGAAACGCATCGAAGCGTCTGCTCATGGAAGGCGAGTCCCTCTCAATGTTGAGAACGTGGAGCCGCTCATTGATGTTCGCCGTGGACATGCCTACATTTCCAATGACATTCGCACCTCACGATACACAATATTCGATTTTATACCAAAGCAGGTATTGTTTCAATTCTCCAGAGTTGGTAACTTTTACTTTCTCTGTGTCGGTATTCCTCAAACAGTACGTTGCGTCCTCTCTCTGCTGAGCTGCCATGCAATTCATGGTGCTTGTCCTCTGCCCTAGCGCTAACTGCTGCGCACAGATCCCTGGTTTATCGACAACCGGTTCCTTCACCACCATTCTCCCATTGCTCTTCTTTGTGCTGTTAACTGTCATCAAAGAGGGCTACGATGATTATCGCAGACATCGCCTGGATAAGGTAGAAAACGCCAACTTTGCGACAGCCTTGGGCCGAAAGGACAACTATACGGGCAAGCTAGACACAAGCAGGCCCCGGGACAAGTTCAACCCATTCAAATCAAAGCTCAAAGCGAAGCCGAGACCTGTGCCTTCCGATGAATATGACGGCCTCAAATGGGTCCCAAAGAGATGGAGCGAGCTCAAGGTTGGCGACGTAATTCATTTGTCGCGCGACGAGCCCGTTCCTGCAGATATCATTCTGCTTCACAGCAGTGGCGAAAACGGACTGGCATGCATTGATACCATGGCTCTAGACGGAGAAACAAACTTGAAAAATAAGCAGGTCTCGAAGGCATTGGAATCTTGCTCGTCTATTGAAGGACTCGCCAACTGCAATGCGGAGTTCGTCGTTGAGAATCCCAACCCCGAGCTATTCAACTTCGATGGGCATATTACGGTGGATGGTCAGAGTGCGCCATTGACTTTGAACGAAGTTATCTACCGTGGTAGTGTCTTGCGCAACACGAGCCACGCGACTGGCATTATTTACAATACTGGCGAGGAGTGCAAGGTTCGAATGAATGCCAACCAGCACCCTCGAGCGAAGAAACCAGCTCTCGAACGAGTCGTCAACCGAATTGTCATCACCCTGGCACTTTATGTCGTCATCCTTTCCGTTGGAGTTTCAATGGGCTATATCCAATGGCAAAAGTCCTATGAGCAGTATTCTTGGTATCTGGACCAAGCGAGCGTGCCCTTTCACGAAATTATTATTGCTTTCATTATTATGTTCAACAATGTGGTGCCATTGGCGCTTTACATCAGTCTTGAAATTGTCAAGATTGGACAGCTGCTCTTTCTCAACTCTGATATCGAAATGTACGATGAAGAATCCGATACTCCTGCTCGTTGCAACACAAATACGATTCTCGAAAACTTGGGCCAAGTGGGCTATATCTTTTCCGACAAGACGGGTACTCTCACAGACAACGTGATGAAGTTTCGCAAGATTAGCGTTGCTGGTACTGTCTGGTTACATGAAATGGACTTTGAACAACCAGACGAGACAGCCCTCTCTACGACGGAAGAAATCGAGTCGGTGCCAGCGACAGATATGGAGGACTCAAGCCGCGAGCCTTCAATTTACAAGCCAGAGCCAATCAGGCTTACGACCCCTGTAACATCGCCAATGAAATCTCCCAGATCAACAATCATAACCGAAACTGCATTGTCCCCGTCGCGACCCTCTATGGGAGGGCGACGATCATCCTCCCATTGGCGTTCGACTGGCCGACCCGATCACGTTCAGCCCGAGGTGAATACGGAAGACCTGCTAAACTTCATTCGTCTGCGCCCCCATTCTGCTTTTGCACGGAAGGCGAAGGAGTACATTTTAGCCATGGCACTATGCCACACATGTTTGCCCGAAACTATCGACGGCAAAGTCGAGTATCAGGCGTCTTCACCCGACGAACTCGCCCTCGTACGAGCCGCACGCGAGCTAGGATATATTGTGGCTACACGCACATCTCAGTCAATTTCTGTGGACTTGATGGAGGCCGATGGCACGGTGCAGACGCAGAAATTCGATGTCCTTGATGTCATCGAATTCACGAGCACGCGCAAGCGCATGTCTATTGTCGTTCGATACCCAGATGGCAAAATCTCCGTCATTTGCAAAGGAGCCGATTCTGCGATTTTACCTCGACTGAAACTGAACTCTCTGGCGAAGCAAAAGGCTCATCAAGTGCGAATGAGCGCGGATGTTGAACATGAGAAGCTTCGACGCAGCGAGCAGCTTGAACCTCGCAGCAGCCTTGGAGGGCGTAATAGCTTGACCATTCGTCATACTCCTGGTGTTTCCAAACAGCCCAGTGGAAGTCGCGTCTCTATGCTCAGCAGACGCAAATCCTTTGAGGTTAACAAGTTGATGCGCAGATCCGAAGATACGTTCGCTCCTATGGCTGACCGCGGTGGTTCCTTTGATATTAGCAGGCAGCCAATGCGCAATACAGCTACCACAACCGTTGAACCTCTTCCAGAGAACCTTCAATTCCTCGAAGAGCAGAGCGTTTTCGATGACTCCGACATCTTCACAAAATGCTTCAAGCATCTTGACGACTTTGCCAGCGAAGGGTTGCGCACTCTGCTGTTTGCCCAAAAGTTCATGTCTGAACACGAATACCGAGCGTGGAAGAAGGTGTTTGACGACGCAACAACCAGTATCAAAAACCGAAAAGAGCTCATCGAGGCAGCTGGCGATATGATTGAACAGTCATTCGAACTTGTCGGTGCCAGTGCCATCGAAGACAAGCTGCAACGCGGTGTTCCCGAGACAATCGACAAGCTGCGCCGTGCCAATATTAAGATTTGGATGTTGACTGGCGACAAGCGTGAAACCGCCATCAACATTGCCCATTCTGCCCGACTCTGCAAGCCCGGCTCCGACTTGTACATTCTCGACGTTGCAAAGGGTGACGTTCAGTTTCAGCTTTTAGCTCTTGCAGAGGATCTCCAGGCTGGCTCCATTCACAGCGTAGTTGTTATTGACGGCCATACCCTCAGTGTCGTTGAAAAGTCCCCAGAGCTGTCACAGCAGTTTTTCTCCACCATGGTGCACGTTGACTCTGTCATCTGCTGCCGTGCCTCGCCTGCCCAAAAGGCCCTTCTCGTCCGAACTGTTCGATCTAGCCTAGGTGGCTTTCGCGAGCAACGCCGCCGTGGCCTAACTCTTGCCATTGGTGATGGTGCCAACGATCTCGCCATGATTCAAGCCAGTCACGTTGGCATTGGTATCTCTGGAAAGGAAGGTCTACAGGCTGCCCGTGTGGCAGATTACTCGATTGCCCAATTCCGTTTCCTGCAACGTCTTTTGCTTGTCCACGGCCGCTGGAACTATGTACGCACAGCCAAATTTATCCTCACCACCTTTTGGAAAGAAATGTTCTTTTATCTCCCAACAGCCATTTACCAGAAATACAATGGCTATACTGGTACTTCCTTGTATCAGGATACCAGTTTGACCGTCTTCAACACGCTCTTTACCAGTCTGTGCACGATTTGCATGGGAATCTGGGAGCAAGATCTATCAGCCGATACACTCCTCGCAATGCCCGAGCTGTATACTTATGGACAGCAGAATATCGGCCTCAACGCTTGGAAGTACTTTAGATGGATGCTTCTCGCAGCTATTGAAGGCGTTGTTGCGTGGTACGGTGTTTGGGCTGGATACAGCTGGCTTCAGCCAGCAGTCCGAGACCAGGGTCTATACGCCCTCGGAACCTTGGCTTTCACTGTTGGTATTCTCTGGATTAACTGGAAACTATTGTGAGTTGACATGCAAATATCTTGTCTTTTGAAATATAGCTAACAGAACTAGCATCTTTGAAACCCATTACAAGTCTTCCGTCGTCATGTGGAGCTTCTTTATTACGACCATTGGTTGGTTCGCGTGGCTATCGTTCTTGGACGGCGTGTTTGCTGCTACCTCTGGTCCGTACTCTATTCGCGGAAGCTTTACAAAGGAGTTTGGCTTAGACGTTGTCTGGTGGGCCACTCTGTTTGGCGTGCTTGCTCTCCTTGGATTGTTTGAGATGATATTGAAAACTTTGAAACGCGCACTACAGCTTTCTGGGCTTTGGCAATTCCCTCCCTGGAATAGTGTCGGCCTAAGTGAGGATCTCACTCAGTGGGATCTTGAATTGTGGCAGGAGCTGGAGCAAAATCCTGCCGTCAGAGAGCAATTGAAGAAGATGGCACAAGATGAAGATGACAATGATGACGATGCCGGCATCGATTTAGAGGAGGAAGAAGATGTTGGCCGGCCCAATGACAACGACAGTGCTACGCCTCCGTCCCATTTTGCATATTTAATTTCACGATGTCGCCAAATGATACCCTTCAGACGATAGAGTCTGAGTAGATAGCTTTTATCAAAGCACACCTTTTGTTTCCATTTTGTAATGCATTTCTTTCAAATCGCGATCATGTCTAAAGTGAGGTACACATATGTGTGGTGAAAACTTTTTGGTAAATTTGTAAGCAGATTAAAAGAAGTGTTACCCAGTACTAAAACAGTTGAACAGAAATACAATTAAACAGATGCCGCTGACTCGTTCCCTGAATCGGCTCTCTTGAGCACTCTCTCGCCGGGAGATGAAGCTACTGGCTCTGGCTTACCGATGATTTCCATGCTACGGAAAAATGTTACAATGACAGCAATTGAAAGGATAGCAAACCCGAAGTTGGTCCAATTGGCAGCCCGAATTCCTGCCAACGAAGCATCATCGCCTTCAATAATTGGGCCAGCGTCGGAGACGCTTACATTGCGATGCTGAGCAATAACCGCTGTGCTCACTGCTGTACTAACCGCCAGGCCAATGGCACGACCAAACTGACTGGCGGCATTGATAAGAGCGCCGCCAACTGCTTGGTCTTCGGCCGGGAGGGCTTGAGATGTGAAGAGAGTAAGGCATGGCCACGTCGTATCGGCGCCGATGACAGACAAGCACATAGCAATGAAGCCAAAGGCAAAGTATGATGTGGATGGTGGGATGGGGACAGCAAATAATAAGCAAGAAATTGCAATGGAGCAATTACCAACAAGATTGATAAAGAATGTCGGTACTCGGGTGATAACATAGGCAATGCAAAACGAGACCAGAATGCCGCCGACGCCAGTGGGGATAAAGCGCAACATTGTCTGGAGGGCAGAAAGGCCTTGGTAATCCTGGAAATAAATCGTCGCAAAGATCAAAAAGTTGTTGAAGGACGCAAAAAAGAGCATCATGATAACCATGGCAGCGCTAAACCGAGGGTTCTTGAAGATGGACATGCGTACCAGCGGAGGAATTCCAGTTGGCTGGCGCTCCAAGCGAATCTGCCAAAGGACAAAAGTGCCAATAATCAAGAATGAGGCAATCAGGATAACAGGAATCCATGGCGTGGTCCAGCCTACGACATTTCCTTCTGTAAGAGCAAACATGAGCGCAATCAGTCCAATGGTGATAAGGGCGCCACCGATCCAGTCGACTTTGCCGCGCTTGCCAGCAGGACGGGCTTGTATAGAGTTTTTAGGGATAAGCATATATCCTGCAATAGCCACAAGGCCAGTTGCAATTGAGCAGACTCCGAACACCCATCTCCAGTTGGCGTATTGCGAAATAATGCCTGAAAGAAAGTTACCGCAGATGCTACCGAGAGGCCCGCCAGCCGCTACAAACGGTGTAAGTCAAAGATCAAGTGAAACGTAGGTTAAGGAACTTACCATAAGCTGTGAAAGCGTACGTCTTGGCTTTTCCAGGCGGAAATGTGACACCGAGAATGCCAATGGCAGTAGGGACATTTGCAGCCGCTCCCTATAGATGTGTTAGAGAGTGATCTTTTGTTGGCTTACCACGACTTATAGGTACTTACCAAACCATGTAGACCGCGAAAGATATTGAATGCTATTTCGTTGGGGACAAAGGGATTTACTGCCGCAAAAATAGCTGCCCAAAGAGACCCGAGAATAAAGATAACTCGCTTTCCATAAATGTCGGCTATCCTGCCCCAGAGCAGAAGAAAGCAGCCAAAGGTCAGCGAATATGACGAGACGACCCATTGCAACCGACTGCTTGGAATATCGAGATCTCGTCCAATGCTCGGAAGAATAATAATGGTGCTTTGAATAGACAAAATCTATACATAGACAAGGTTAATTGACGCTTGGAAATAATAGGCAGCCGCCTGTTCTTGGCTAGACTCTTACATTTAGAAATGCTGCTCCAGTCAAGGTCACCACCAGCGCGATTGCTCGACCTTTGCCAAACGGTAGTTTGGGCTCCTGACACTCAACCTCGTTGCGCACCTCATGGGCGCTATTTTTGTCGGAAAATGAGTTTGACCTTGTGGGTGATTGCTCAGAGAATCCGCTTGGAGCATAGCTCTTCTCATCGGAAGGCGAAGGTGTCATGGTGCTGTGTGGAGGACGATCGTAGCCGATCTAACGAGGCTGCTTGTTAACGAGGCTGCTTGTAGAGAGGATGGGGAACACAACAGCCCAAGGGTCGATATGCCAATGAGACAGAGAGATGGAAAGGGTAGCGAGATTATTTTTCGTGCAGTCTCGGCTATCCTTTATGCATATCGTTGCCAATTCTTTTTGCTGCGTTTTCAATGGTGTGCGGTTAAGTTTGCACTACACGGCGTCGATGCTTGCTCTGCGATCTGCTGTGTTAGTAGCGGCAAGGAAGTCGTAAGAGCTGGCCACTGCCGCAGCGTGCAAACAAAGGCGAAAGACGCAGTTCGAGATCAGTTTGCGAAAGGATGAGTATTATTATTGAAACAAGGGAAAAGAAAACGAGAGTTGCCAGGTGGGCGGAGGGAGGACAGATGAACCGTTCGCTTTGCCAGCTGCTGGCCAGGTGCAGGGCCAGTACAGTAAGTTCCAGAAATGGTCGCGTAACGCTGTGGTGAACCTTTTTTGAAAGTGAAGCTGACCTGGGTGACCATTCAAAAGAGAGAGGAGAAATTAATTGCGCTGGAGACCGGCTGTTGCATTCTATTATACGAGCGCTACGGGCCCCGTTCAACTACTCGCAAAGGCGGCGCACCTCGAGTCTCGTTTTCGCACCGACGAATGCCCATGACATATCACGATGCTATTAATTTCGCTTCTGCTTTCTGCCAAGCACACGAACCTTAGACAATGAACCACACTCTTGTGGACAGCAAGAAACGGCAAACCCACCGCCTGTGGTACCGACGTTGTATGGCGCTGCTGGCCCCTCGACCGTTCAACGTCCAAGCCGTCACGTAAAAATCACACCTCATCCACCATGCCGATGCTACCACGAGCAGCCCGGCTGCTCGCTACAAACCACACGTCATTTCAATGCCAAATCGAAATTAGAGACTTCATCAGTCATCGCATAGAGGGCCATTTATACAATTTGGTTGCGGCCAGGTACCAGCGTCTTTGCGCCGCCAGCCACAGTCTCCTCCTCCTCCTCCAGCTCCCGCCATCCATCCGCCCAGGAACCGGTTTCGTTCTTCTTTCCTTCACACACGCCCGTTTTTATTCCCGCACTCCCTAACCTCGGGCCTTTCTCTTACATGATCTCAGACTTTCCAGTAAAAGCTCGTATGTTTCTCGTCTTTTGCCCGCCTCTGTCCGCTATGCTCTTGTCTCTCCACCCGTCGTCTCACCATGCCGTAAGACCCTCGCAGCCGCTTTGCTACACTCAAACAAGCCGTCCACTTCCGAGTCTTTGCCCTCTTCCCATGTGTGTCTCGAGCATCTGTGTGAAGCCTTTCTCGTTTTCCGTAGCCAGAATAGACGTCGTGTGTTATCATATGAAAACCAATCCGCAAGACAATTCAGAGGTAATCTGCATCCGAGTGTCTTGTTTCTAAATTCTCGACTACCCATCTACCTTGCCTTTTCTACTATGGTTGCACTGTTCACGTCATTCACATACGGCATAGATGCCAATATTCTCGTCAAAAAAGGTTGCCGTTTCATTTCTTCTTCCTCTGGTCATTGAAAACTATACACTCCAACTCTCCTCACTTCCCCATTTCGGTACCTTAGACTGACGAGCCCTTTTCTCTCCGGTTTGATAGTATCCTCAGTCTTTTCCTCGTTCTCATTGGCTCGGTTCGTCATTGTGAAACCCATGCGGTTGCACCGCTCGGCCTCCCCGTTCCCTAAGCAGTCTTGAGTCCATAAAGCATAAAAATCGGTTTTTAAAACAATCCCAGGAGAGAGGAGGGAGAAAAAAAGATGTTGTAAAGAAAATCAAGAAAGTAGAATGAAACCGTTGAACAAAATCGTACACGTTATGCATGAGTAAGTTGGTGGTGACAGTTTCCCCTCGGTTCTCCCGTTTCGCGTAAGGGTAGTGTGGTTAATTTTTTTGGTTGTTAAATATATAGCATGACGTTGCTCTCCGTTTCGGACCAAATCTGACACTCAGAGCCACTTATCTTGGCAAATATCGCATCAATTTAGTCTCGCGATGGCTGTATGTAGCTGCGCGTGTTCGCCCTTCACCTCCTATTGGCTCAGGTTCATCGTCATGATGCTGCGATCGCCGCTGTGTTTCGCGATGTCTACCCCACTAATGGTAGTTTCCTCCCCAGCCTCGCTGCTGCTGGCCACCGCCATAATAGCCGCTGCCGCCAAAGCCTTGGCCGTAGGAGCCGTAGGGAGCATTACCATGCTGGCTGCTGCCAGCAGCACCGCCCATGCCATAGCCACCACTGCCGTGGAGACCCTGTCCTTGGTTGGGGTAGGCACCGTAGGCAGCACCCTGAGGGGGAGGGAGGCCGCTGCCCTGCGAACCAGCAGCGTTGTTTGCTGCAGAACCAGGGCGGGCACCGCCGAGAGAAGGAGAGGGGCCGGAGCCAGTCTTGTTGTCACCAAAAGGCTTCAGGTCATCAGCACTGGAGTTGGCACCCTGCTGAGACTGGGCACCGTACGATTGGCTGCCAGACTGGAAAGAACCAGATCCGCGCTGGAAGCTATCGTGCGACGTCGTGCCAAATCCAGCTCCTGCCAAACCGGGCTGACCTGCGGCCTGCCCGGCACCAGTGCGACCATAGTCACCTAGGCCACCGCTGGCGCTGTTATCGCGATGAAGAGAAGAGGGACCACCAAAGCCTCCCTGGGACGATGCCTGATCGTAGGGACCGTTAGGCGAGACGCCGTAGGGCTGACCGTACATGCCGCCCTTACTGCCATAGGGGCTAAAGCCTCCCTGGCCGCCGTATGCGGAGTAGTAGTTGTTAGGGTAGTAGGGGTGGTAGTAGTGGCCATAGCTAGGGTACTGCTGTCCATGGCCTTGAGGTTGAGAGCCCTGGGCGCTCTGGCCCTGGCCCTGAGATTGTTGCTGTGCCTGCGCAGTCGGGTTAGGGGTCGAGTGGCCACTGTTCTGGCTGTCACTAGCTCCACCAAAGCGCGGCTGCGAATGCATGCTGCCACTTTGAGGGTACTGGCTAAGGTTATCAGTTTGAGTAGCGTGGTAGCCACCGAGAGGGCGCTGCGCAGCAGCACCGTCCTGCTGGCCCTGCTGGTGCTGGCCATACTGTTGCTGTTGGCCATAGTAGTTGTAAGGGTTTCGGTCGGGTTGGTTTGCGGTGTAGTAGTTGGAGTAGTCGCCCGGGGCAGAGCTGAAGGCTCCATGGGTAGGTGGTTGAGAAGTAGCGGGAGTATCGAAGGGGGGTTGAGAAGCAGGAGCAGCCTGCTGGTTGAAAGGGTCCAAAGGCTTCTGGCCAGCGGCAGCATCCTGGGCGCCGAAGCGACCATACTGTTGGTTAGGAGCAGAGGTTTGGGGGGCTAAATTGGTGTTAGCGTAAATGAATTGAGTTGGATAGGTACCTTGTACAACTTACTTTGGCCGGCAGGAGCCATACCAGGAGGAGGAGCGGGAGCGTTTGGCTTTTGAGCAAAAGCATCGGGGACGGCGATAGACTGGGACACAGGAGGAAGTGAGGCGCGGGGGTGAGAGACAGGGGAGTCGGCGGGGGGCTGAGCTCGGGTCTCAGCATCCTCGCGTTCACCATCAACATCTTCATCACCATCGGTCAAGTTGAAAGCGCCAAACTGGACAGCGGTACGATCAACTTCACGGTTACCGGGCATGCGAACGGCCTCTTCCTGGTCAAGAACTCTGCGCTGGTAGCTGGGAACACGAGAAGTGCGCTCAGCAGTAGCCTTAATTGCAGAAGCAGCATATCCGCTGATGGGGGCGCGAGACTGGTGCTGGTGCTGGGCGGCAGACAAGGGTGTGGCATTGGAACTAAGCGGGCTCTGTCGAGGATCCCAAGAGTCAGCGGCGGTGCTTGCGGCAGTACCTGTGGCAGGCGGCTGGGAGTCATCAATAACCTGTTCTAAGTTGGTTTCAGTCAAATCATCTCTGGGTGGCGGCAACGCAGGCTCCTCAATGACTGCAACGGGTTCAACTGTGGCATTTTGAGCGACGGGAGTCTTCTCTTCCTCTTCAGCAGCAGGTTGCTGTTCGATCGGGGCGGGGGCAACAGGTTCGACAGGCTTGGGGGTAGGCTTCGGTGCGGGCTTGGGAGGGGCAGATTGTCGTAGCATGCTAGCCCAAGTCTTAACAGCAGGAGCTGCAGGCTTGGCTGGCTCAGGAGCAACATCTTCAACGGCACTGGGTGTAGGCTCGGCCTTTACTTCAGGCTTGTCAGTCGACCAAGCAGGAGACTCCTCAGTGGGAACTGAGAGTTCACCATCCTTGCGAGCACCGTTGGGTCCAGGCTTCTCAGAGCGTCCGCGCGGGGCACGGCCACCACGATCAGTAGCACGGCCGCGGCCTCTTCCTCCCTCAGAAACTGTGCGGCCGCCACGAGTGGCTCGGGCGGTCGAAGGCTGTTCCGTGCTGGTGGAAGCTTCCTTTGCCTTGGGACGAGTTGGCTTCTTGGCCTTGGATACTTCGCCCCACTGGGAGATGGTACCTAAAATCCCAGAGTTAGCAAATCTGTACTGTTGGAAGGGTAGGTCTGTCTGTTTGGCGACATGAGCCGAAACACCTACCGTCGGCAATCTTGGTTGCAGCCTCAGTCTGGTCGCCGTTGGTCTCTTGCAGAGCGAAGAGAATGTCGGCCTCAGACCAATCGGGGAACATTTCACGGATAGCGGACGTCTTGTCGCCATATTGCTTTCGGAGTTCGCTGAGATCGCCGTCATCGTCGAACGCGCCCAGGGAGTCATCGGTAGACTGGTGGCTATCGCCATTAGCACGTCGGCCGCCGCGACCACCAAAGCCGCCTCTGCCTCCGCGGCCAGAGCCACGACCGCGAGATGCGGAGGACCGCGATGTAGCTTCAGACATGGCAGCGGATGTGAGGATGTGATAAGTTGTGTAGAAGTGAAGTGTGTCAAAGGTGGGAAAGGGTCGAGCGTGGCCGTGTCAGTAGGCCTCCGCGAGGTGTGACAGGCAGAAAAGAAGAAGAAAACGACGACCAGAGACGGGATCCAGAATCGGCGAAGGAGAGCAAGTGGATGGAAGATGCCAAAACGGCGATGGCAGATGATGGGGTTGTTGGTTGGAAGAAGTCAAAAGGTGAGGGCAAAGGGAGAGACGAGAAAGAGGTTTTCCCAAAAAGGACACACACAGCTAAGTCGAGCCGCCTGTGCGACGATGGGTTTAGTGGCCTACGACGCCCACAGCGCCCCCCTGAACCGCGTCGTCCAGGCGCTGCTGTGCTGAATGCTCCACTGTTGGTGGACGCCTAGCGCTGGGCTGTTACTACTTTCGGCGGCGGCTGCCCCTTGCCGCCTGAGTACATGTACAAACTTGTATTTTGACCTACTTTTTTGCCCTGGCAACGCTGCCTGCAAGGTACCAGTACTTTCAGGAGCTGCCGAGTGTTTGCCCCAGCCCAACCTAATGCGCACACGCATTTCTTATTCTGACTCTGAGCAAGGCCAACAAGACATAGTATTTGAAAAGGCGATCGATTAATTGCAATAAAATTATTACATTTCGTAATATATTTACCTTACTCTATTACTGAATTTACAGCACTCAATGGCAACGTATACGTCTCCAATTTAGATAGCAGAGCGCAAGCGAGCTCCTGCCTTATCTTCCACTGTGCGCCATTCCTATGTCACTATACCTTCCACCTGCTTCAGCCCGCAGCTCTGTCTCAGCGCACTGTAAAATCTTCCCCGCCAGACGCTTACGCCAGTCGGCCCCCCACTAGCTTCGTACTCAATCTGTCCATCACGTGACAGGGCGCTTTCGTGATGCGCTAGTCGAATGGTGACCCAACCATCGACTGTCTTCATGAATATCTTAACTGCACGACTGCCATTTCGCCCTCCGCTCCATCTGTGAATAACCCAAATTCCGAAGAGCCTGCCAAGTGCAGCGCCTATACCTTGGCTACGCGCCCTACTACATCATGTTTACCACGAAACCGGTTAGCTCTCTCCGACGCCTTTTTGCTGGATATCATGAACCGGCAGGGCTGTCCAAACAGCAGTCGCAAAAGTTGCTGGATGGGCTGAAGACATCGTTCCGAAACCAACTCGACCAAGAATACGGCGAATCGGCAACTGTGTCAAAGCAACCACTCTCCCAAACCTCTTCCGATGCTGCCGCCGTCAACAGACATTCCGCCACAAGTCAACATCTCAAGTCCATCCTGACAAATCCGCTATTCAGCTATAACAAGACGCAAATCATTCCACCAATTGCCGCAACTGCTTTCTCAGTTCCAAAAAGAGCCCCCATGGAAGTTTTCGATCATGCGGTTGCCAGAGGACTGATGAATCTGAAGGCTGCTACGGGATGTTTGATGGCTGAACAAAAGGATCGCTTGAGCGCCCAAACATCATCAACACTTGTTTCACCATCAGACGTGGCTGTTAAAGTAGTCAGGTGGCTACGTGCTTCTGGACTAGAGAACGACCTAGCATTCCTTGATAACCAACAATTTGTCCGATCACTTACGCCGTTTCTGGTCGCGGAACAGATGGACCATATTGCCTGGGAATGGGTATCGAAAGCAATGGAAGGCGCCTCAGCCAATAGCAACGACGACATTGGTCTGCGACGGGCTTCATTCCTTCTTGCACAGCTGGTTCATGTCAAGAGCCAGCCTCAGTATGGCAACCTCGATGCTGCCATATCTGTCATCCTCCAAGCAGAGCAGCTTCTCGCAAACAGTCCCCTGTTGGCAAAACTCTTAGTGCTGCCATGGCGATCAGTTTCATGGCTCTCTACTGTAGAATCCTACAGCAGGACCACGCCTTCAGAGGAGCTCTTTGATGCACATCTAGAGACGGCTAGTCGCCTCTCACAGCCATGCGTACTAGAAATGTCCCACCTGCACCTTTATCACCCTACTCGACCCGATCATACACCCGCTCTTGCATTCTTTCAAGATAAGAAGCGGATCAGAAGACTTGTTCAGAACCTCGACATGGAAAAAGTCAGCTTGGCAAGTCTCAAGGGCATGAGCCGCTTGCGCTGGGTGACGTATCTGGGCCGTGACACTGTGACCTATCTGACACAATCCGGCAGAAACCAGGACGCCCAATCCCTTACTGAGCTGCTCCAAACTGAGCTTTCTGAGCTCTTTGTCGATCAAAACATGCGCCCAACATGAGCCACCATCTCCGCTATATCTCAACTTTGTGTCGCATATAATACGCACACAGACATCTATGATACCCATTAGCAGTCTACCCAAGTGCTGGGAGCTTTTGCTACTATTGTACATTAACATCATACTTTACTCAAAATTTATACTCTGGCGGATAAGTGTGATATTCTCATTATTTAGTTTGCATACTTAATCAAACGATATCTGATCTGAGACTCTATGTGCATTCTATATCCCATTCATACAACTTGGCATGTTTGCAACCCTTTTAAACGAAGCAACTTTAATCAGAATCGCTGTCTTCAGAGGCAGAGAATCCATTGAATTCCTCTTCTTCAGACTCATCCAACACGCCACGGCTGCTCGATTCACCATTTCCAAGAGAAGCTCCGCCCTCCTCATTGTCTTCATCCTCAATGTCATACACGCCGGAAATATCCCAACGGTCGCCAGGTGCCTTTCGGCTGACGTACTTGACAAATTTGAGAATGCCAGCATCACGAAGAACAAGAGTAAGCTTGTTCCATGCTGTAGACTGGTGGAAAAGAATATTGTCCTCATCGTTGCTAGATTTGTAGACGGCTGCATCTTCATCAGCCTCATCGTCACCAGCCATGTAAACTTCATGACCCCCAACGTCCTCAGCATCCTCTTTATCTGCAGACTCAGACACTGACTTCTTCTTCTTCCCTGGCTTCTCTTTAGGGATAGCCTTAGCCTTGCCCTTGCCCTTGCCTTTGGGATCCTCTTCAGGCTCTTCGTCGTCGTCGTCGTCTTCATCTTCATCTTCAGCTGTTTCATCGACTTCGTCAGGATCTCCCCATCCATAGGTAGGGGTAATACCGAGATTCAGCTCAAGGCGGGCGTTTCCTTCATGCCCAGTGGCAAGAGTGTAGTCGTTGCCCCGACGGAATCGACGAGCGATGATGTCATGAGCCTCAATAGTGCAGCCAGTGGCCATGGTCAACCAGTTGCGGAACGGGCGACTAGGCAAGAAGTTGTCAATCAACTCAGTAATAGGTGATTCCTCTTGCGATGTTCGTAGTTCGTCAGCCTTGGTAGGGTTCTGGTAGAGGTACGCATGCTTGTGAGGAGGCTTTGCAACCTTCCACTGGGTTGATTTTTCAATCTCCTTGCTATTCTTTGGAAGACCAGCCTTTTCTTGCTCTCTAATGTAGTTTTCAAGGCGTTCGCTAAACTTCTTGGACAGGATTTGTGGTAATGAGATGCTGGATGTGTTTTCAAAGTGCTCTGAAATTTGTTCGAGAGTGTCCGGTGTAAGATATGATGGAGTCATGTACTTGATCAGGTAATCAAGATCAGACTCCTCGAATGCCTCTTCCGCATTCTTGGGTCGTGTGACTTTGACAGGAACAGCTTGGGGAGCGTCGTACTGGGCAGGGTTGCCTTGAAGCTGCATCAAGCTGCTGTTTTTCGCATTCTTCTCTTCTTCGCCTTGAACAAAGCCATCTTCACCGGGTTGGGGGATATGGAACCATCCACTGATAGCCATGCGAACACGGCCACCATTTTCAGCCAATTGCTCCTTTGTGTTGGCGTGGTAGACCTCCTCGACGTCGTGGAAACTCTCGCCAGGCTGCACCGCGAAGAAGCTGAGCTGGTTCCAAGCAGGCGGGATAACCTTGACAGGATCAGGTAGTGGTGTTCTTGCCACCTCTCCATCCTTGTTTTTAATCTCTTCCACGGGAAACAACCGCAGTGAACCGCCCCATTCGGCTTGCCAGGGCTGGTCTGGATCGGTAAGGTAGAGGATGTAGCTGACCCGTCTGCTGCCAATGACGTCGTCATGGCAGAGTAAATAGCATCCGGGGGTATATACATTGATAGCCATGTCGGTTTTGCGTCCACTGAGAGGGCCACAGCCGGTGATGTCTGCAATGTATTTTCGGAAGGTTTCGGAGTAGATGGCATCGCGGAGTGAGAGAAGCGACGGCAGCTTAGCAAGAGATTCGTCATCTAAGCCATCCAAATTGGCTAGATCGCCGGATTGGTCGATCTTGTAAATGTCGGTTTCTTTGCGAGTGAATTGGACATTCGCCTGGACCTCGTCCCTGACGGAGCGAAGCAACTTATCGCTGACGAGCTCATGAATGACGGCATGCTTGTAAGGGCTGGATGTAGCATACTCTGTAGTGTACTCGTCCAAGACCTTTTTGTCGAACAATCCATCTCTGAACCGCTTTTGTGCCTCCTCGGTGGGCAGACCTAGCGAAAATGTTTAGTTGGGCGGTATTGGCTAGCGGTGGCAGAGGTGCTTCGTACTGGTCTTTGCCTTTTTGCCATTGATTGCCTTGCCGGCGGGTTGGGTCTCTGCCTTTCTCTTCATCTTGCTGGTAATGCGTAGAATCCAATCCTAATGAACTTGGAAACCAATTCAGCGTGTGATGTTGGGAAATTCAGAGGATGAGAAAAGGTGAGCAGCATCAGTGACCTTTGAGAAAAATCTCCCCACCAGCCTCAACCCACTGGGTGCGCCAAACATTTTTGTGGGTCGACAGAGGTCGCTCTTAAGCGCCGGGCTTGCATAGACACTGATGGTCCAACGCGACGCAAAGGGGGTCCAACCATGGAAAAGCACGTATATGGCGTTTGGTTCGTGTTTAGTTCTGATTTGATAAACCCTTGAGATTCAGGGGGGACTCCATCTTCTATTTTTATCATTGCCGATCTGCTGGGGCTCCTTCTGGCGGTAACTCTCTCGCAAGGTCATCTCGAACGGGAAACAGATGTTGGACTATCTTGCCAACTAGAACCTTCAGTTATATATCCTATCTATTAATACAATAGAACATAATACATATATAAAGTACTACGATTACTAGATAAATAGGAAGACGATAACCTTGCTGCTATACATCGTGTCAAGCTCTACTACCCTACATCAAATTATCACTAGTTGCGGATGTCTCTACAAGCTCTTACAGTAGTAAAATAAGGTCTACGACAAGGTGAAACGATTTAATACGGGGTATAACAAGTCACAGCTCATACTATTTGAGTGTTGGCGCGATATTATGACATATTGTATAACAAAGCGCTGGGACGACGAATTTGAATGGTAAAGTGTTCATTAAGTGGGCATTTGGCCCGGTATTGACGTCTATATATTGCTAGTCACCACTCTTTCTTGAGCCATCACCACGAATAGTCGCTCGCTCAGGTCATTATCATGCGTAGGCATTGTTCAAATAGCAAACATCATCCATTTACAGAGCCATGAGGAAACCGGCAACGGCGCCGAGGACACCAGCAGGGGCGCCAACAACAGCAGCACCGGCCTTAGAGGAGCTGGAAGAAGCAGCAGCAGCGCCAGAGCTGCTGGCACCGCTGGCAGCCGAGTTGGGAGCAGCGGTAGTGTTGGGGGCAGAGGTGGCGGCGGGAGCGGTGCCCGAAGCGGTGTTGGGAGCGCCGGTAGCGCTAGCAGTACAGGTAGCCTTGGTAGGGAGAGCAGTGGCATCGGCGCCGCAAATGTTGTGGGCAAAATTGATGATGCCCTGCTGCTTATCGGGAGTGCAGCCCTTGAAGACACAGCAGCTGACGTCGCTGAGGAACTTCTGGTTTGTGCAGACACACTTGTAGTCGAGGGGAGCGCAGCCAGCGATGTTGTTGTTGGTGACGTACTTGTTGATACAGGTTGTCTGAAGAGGAGAAGATTGTAAAGTCAGTCAATGAAATGCGATAGCTAATGCAACACGTGCGAATTGCTGGTTACAGTGCCGTGATGATGGAGGCGCGACTTACGACGCAAGGGTCGAGGTCACCCAGCTGGGCAGAGACGGCGGTAGCCAGGACAGCGAGGGAGAGAACAGCAGTCTTCATATTGGCGATGGTTGGGATAGATTTGGCGATAAATTGAGAGATGGGGATAATTGAGTATACCGGTTTGGATAGAAGAGAGGAAGAGTTGAGAAAGGGAGGGAAGGAAAAAGGAAAAGAAAGTGGTCGGGTACGTAATTGGCCGAGTCGCAAGCTTGATCCAACGAGGGTTGGCGGAGCTACAAACTTTCCCCAGGGTTGGCTTCGGGCAGCTGACTGCCGTATTCGCTGTTGCACTTCACTGGACAGGTCTGTCTGCAAAAGTGGAGAGGAGGCGATTTGCTGGGCGGACAAGTGCCATGCGCCGGCGATCTGTGACGGGAACGAAGCTTTTTGGAGCAAGACCACAGGAATGCACGAGTTTTTTTCTCTTTTCTCTTTTCTTTTTGACTTTTTAGATTTCATTTAATTATTGTGAATTTATTAAAAAAGTAAAGAAAAGTTAACTAGCTAGCCATATGCATTTGGGTTTATACTTGCCAGTATTTGTTGACCACCACTCACTCCCTCGCCGTGTGAAACATCTACCAAATGTGTTGGTTGGCCAGTGCAAACCAAAGCCTTTCCTTGTAGCCAGACCAATTACAGTGCATTACCCACGTAAAGAATTTCATGCACCTTTCTCCAACTACCCCTCAACGGTGCAGGTTTTTACAGGCACGGGCATCCCCGACCTCCTTTTAGGTGTTTTCTCCGGCGGCCGTCACACGCTAAAATCACCGCTGAAATTGGAGTCCCCGCTCTGTGATGCTCCCCCGCCATTTTTGCCTTCATCCCAACTTGGCTTCGATCGTGTGCCCATTACCCGCTGTCCTGGAAAGAGGTTGGCGCTTAGCTGCAAAGCCAAGGTTAGTGTGGTGCTACGAGAGATTAGGCGACTTAGTATTTCGTACAGAATGGTTGCGTTTCAATGATCCTCCTACGCTGCAAATTGGCTTGAAACTACAAGGAGCCGAGGCTTCCGCCTGGTTGGTTGGCCCCCAAATTTGGCTTTCTCAAGGCGCCAGCCAATAGCACCGCCGCCCACTACATTTGCTACCGAATGGTACAAGCCATTGCCCATGCAAACAGCACAGGACTCAATCAAAGGCCCCAGGACAAGTAAACGACGGTAAAAGTCCAAGACACGGACGTAACGTGCCTACAGCCCCTCAATCACGCCGAGAGGCCTCGGTCAGGATTTTCAGATGCGCAAGCCACGGAGGAGCCCCGTCGACATCTGCTAGGCTCCTTCAGGCAATGGCAGCGCCAAAATGTGACGCTAGACGGCGTTGTGCAACAAAATGCACAGCACGGGTTTGTCGCTCAGCACGTACCAAGCGTTCTGTAAAGGGGGCATGGCCCGATCACCCGATTGCAGCTGAGGCTCGTACTTGTACCATGTTGCATGTGTACCCGGCCGCCGGTGCCCATACTGTCGGATCCATGCAGCCAAGAATAGCGGCTTCTTGCATGAAGAGTTCAGCTCCTGTGAAGATTTCCAAATATCCTGTGATTCGCCATGGCCTGTGCAGTCCGGCGCGAGTCTCAGGCCAATCTCGTCAATGGAGACCCGTTAAATCTTGATCCCTGGAATATCCCGGCAGTTCAACTCAGTGGATTATATCGGCCGAATATATACGGGAATACTGTTACTTGGTTTAAAATTAGACAGCTATTGCTGGGCTGCCTTAGATATATTGGTTTGTTAACTTCTTTGTTTACACACCTCTATGTATACGTTGTATTTATAGACCTTGCAAAGCGGGGTGTTGGTCATAGTGCCAAGCCCTTTTTTTGCTCTTCTCAATTAAACCTAGTCGCTACTAGACTTTCTTGCCCTGTTTCAAAAGGTCGGCAACTTTAGGTGGCAGTACCAAAGCGCTTCTGTCGTTTCGTCGGTGAAAGTCGGCTAGGCTGATTGCCGTTTGTTCGGGAATGTCTTCATGAATAAAGTGACCTGCTTCGGGAAAGACCTGTAATGCATATTTCCCTGTATAATTCGAATATTAAAATCACACATTTTTGTAAGTTGGCTTGTGTAACGCGTGTCATACCTTGCATTTGTCCAATCGTCAATTCTGTATCAAGACGGTCTGTTCCGGCTAGTAACAGCAATTTTCCGCCACGGGCGTTCAGAAACTTTTTGCTTAACCCGACAAACCATCCTTCCCAGAAAGGTTGCGTCGCAGCTAGATTCGTCCTCCAGCGCCACGGTCGTGTCTCGTTATGGCTTTCGTCCTTTATCAACAGTGCTGGCACTGAAGATCTCGCCGACACAGAGCTCCGAACTGTCCTGGTTCGAATGTGCCAATCAATACCAGACTCCACGGATGCAAAACCGGTAGGGCGGGTTGACAAATATGTCTGCATGCTATGCAATGCGTCCATTGCTGAACCCTCGACAACATCTAGGACCACATAACCGAGCAACGAGTTACCCAGCTTGCCTGTCGACGCCAGGTCCGTGATGACAGCGCCACCAAGAGAGTGTCCAACTAGGATGATGGGCGGTAGTGTTTCCCATTGCATTTGGGATTGAGTTGCTTCGATGATACTTAAAAGATCGGAGGAAAGAGTTTCCAGCCGTAAATCAGGCTCAGAATCCGATCTGCAAGTTGTAGATCCATGACCTCGGCAATCTATAGCTAGAATACCAGCGTTCGGTAGACGTTTTCTGAGCTCATATCCAACCACAGAAAATGATAAGCCTGACGAGCCTGCTCCATGATGCATGACAAACAGTGGCCCTTTATCAACTGGTGAGGTAAGATATGCGTGATAGACGACATCAGATTCCACCTTGGAGGGTAGATACAACTCCCTCTCAAAGTATGTCGTCCATGGGATCGGCTGTAGTGTTCTTCCTCGAGAGAATCTAAGATTAGTTAGGTATATTTGGCCTTGGTCAAATATCAGACGGCAGCTCACCCTTGTGGTCTGGCAAAGAGGTTCTGTGTGGGAGTGGGCACTACAGTGCCTGTTGAAGAGACGGAGGACGCCGAGCTAGCAGACGACGAGTCGTCGTCTTGGATCTCGGGTACGTCAGGAATATGAACGTTCAATGAACTTTCGCCCACATCCTCGAATATCTCGGACAACGCGGGATGCTGCGGTTTGAACACAGATCGCTGTAGGTCGCTCATTGTCCCCTCACGCCACCTTTCGGCGGCCACTCAACCAACCTTTACCGCCGATTGCCGATAGTTGCGGTACAGAGCGGCTGGCTTGATACCCCCGGCTAATTTAGATGCAGGATTTGCCTACGTAACAGTAGCGAGTGCCGGACAACCTGTATTTTTCGGAGATGGCCTTGCGATGCTGGGTGCAGCAGGCCCTGCTCCGTGCGGCGAGGGCCTAGGTGGGGGTGGTGTGTGATACTACCATGGCGGGCCATTCAGGCGTGCGCCAACGCACAACGGGCGATCCAAAATGATACCGGAAGCAAAGGACAAAGGAACCGGTGTATAATTCCCTCAAAACGCCAAAAATAAATTTCTTACTATGGGGATCGACTGCCGATGGACCTATATCAGGAACGAGCTAAACGGCATGATTGCATGATTTGATCATTCATGCCAGGACTCGGGCTGCCGCCGCCGCGCCGCCTGGCGGGCAGTAGACTGCATTAACCGATGCCGATAGACGCATCGCCGCAAATTAGTGCCTATGCTAGTAAACGCAATCTACAGAAATCTGATGTGCAAACCCGGTTCTTTGATTGGGAGGTGACATGAGCCCTTAGGGCGGGCCTGCTGCTATATCTGAACGCCCAGACCCGACGGCTTACACCCGCTTAAGTGCGATGCGTCTCCGAGAAGGGAAACTGCAAATTGCTAAAGGAACGAATGTAAAGAAGGGGTTACAGCAGGACTGCTTACACCACTTGAATTTTTTTTTAGTGGAATTGGCCTGTTAATTTCGGTGGCGCGACTGGTATTATTATGAATGCCAGCGACGCAAGGTTTGCTTTGAGGGCGTGTGCATTGCAAAAAGTCCTCGCTGGTGGCCACTGCACTCCGAGACAGAAACATGACACATACTAATGATGAAAAGCTTAACAAAGATGACCTTTTGAGAATGGCAGTTTTCCAATCATGCTTCTGCTTACGCGTGGAACGTGAGCTACGGCCGTTGGGAACGCGATTTCTTATGAATAGGCATCACATTTGCAGCTCAACTAACGACCGAGCTGTGACTGTCTGGAATGCGATTTTTAACAACATTGTAGGGCTTACCCGCGACATGTCTCTGCGACTCGAGATCGGCCCTGCTGGGCGTCTCGGGCACCGCTCGTAGGTCTATTCCAACGGACCAGTGGGCTTGGGACTGACATGGAGGCTTGGGCCATTTCCAACCACCACATGCCGCGCCCACCCCTCCTGCCCTTCCGGCGAGGGGGCGGAGATGGAGCTTGAGCCGACGTGACATTGAAGGGTCCAACGTTGGCTCAATTGAAATCCCTCCTCGTCTATTGAATACGCACAATTTGGCAGGCGTACTGTTGCGCTCGACAGCAACCTAGGGTAATAATCCACGAACCAAGTCTGGTAGACTTTCCGAGGTCGTAGGCCTAGTGCAGTGGCCAATGGCATACTGTGTGTCTGGCACCGCTGGGCTATCTGTAACCTCAACAGAAAGGCCAGCAGGTTGGCGCCCTCTAAGAGATACTAGGAGATGTGCAGCCGATTGAGCAATGCTGTGCGCACAGTTGTGGGCAATGTCTATGACCTAGGGGCCCACGCGATGATTACCTGCATAGTGTAAGCTGCAAACAAACAAAAAGACAGAGAAAAAGAAAAGAAAAGAAAAAGTAAAAAAATAAAAAAAGTAAAAAAGTAAAAAAGAAATAGAAATAGAAATAGCGTTAAGATAAACATACTTTGTGTCTAATTTGGAGACAAGCCGAAGGGGGGGCGCGGCGAGACGGAGAGGAGGAGGAGGAGGAGGAGTGTAAGATGCGGACCTGTCAGTCCTCGCGCCGCGACAGCCACATCCGCTTTGTCTCTGCGTACAAAGTACTGTAGGCATTGATTCCATTTTTATTCTAGGCAACGCTATCTACGCTGTTTTGCTTGAAACAAGTGGCAAGCCGCAAGGTTACATCCAGCATGCAACAAGGAGCTAGCTGAAAACGAAATCGTCATCGACTTCCGAGAGGGTATACTGTATACGTTTTGCGCCAAAGAAACAGCGCTGAAGGATGGTGCTAAAACAGTGGATCTTAGTGGCAGTAGAGGCGCTGAGGCCACCCTCCTTCTGCACGAACCCACCACGCTAGCAAAGTTTCCTTGCGTTTCTCCACCCCTGCCTGCTTGTCTGTTGCCAGACCCCCGCCGCGCCGTTCTGCGCCGAACATGAACGGGGCTCGATCTCGAACACCATCTCAGGACGGACCCTGTCCTTCTGCGCTCCGACACGGCCACGGCTAAGATCTTGACAGCTAGCTAACTTTGATTTAGTGCTGTGCGTTTGAAACTCTCCCGGCACGCTCACGGTCTCCTGCATCTCAGACGGCTAGTCATGGGCTCAGGAGACCAAGGGTCGCGTTTTGCTTTGTGCTGAGTTAAAAATACAAGAGCTGTGTGTTGCCCGAGTAGGTACTTTTTGACGATACGATGCTCTTTGCCTTTCTCAGGAATAGTGCAATGACAAATCATGGCGCCTGGAATTGGCAGCCGACACGCGCGCCTGCTGCGAGATTAGCGTTTTTTGCCTCTGCTGGCGAGCGACGCTTTTTGGAAATGCCAACGTTGGGAATACGTACAGCTGCGACACCACGTCTGTTTACGAAAGCAGGACTATCTTAAACATGCCAAAAATAAACACGCCCAAAAAACAGAACGCATACATGGGCCTAAAGAGGTTGGGCAGATCACGGGCGCGCCAGTGACGCGAACAATGCAACTTGTCTCCAGCCCTCTGATTCACCCCGCCTCCCGGCTAGTCTGGATTACACGGTGCTGCCATGTGGTGAGAAGCTAGCATCCATCGTCCCGCTGCTGCACCCGGAAATGCATCTGTAGAAACGATGCTCAGGAAACCCAGAGTAGCCTGGACCAAGTACGTGGCTCCCGGACCCGAGAAATTGGGGGCTGTTAGATGTGTGCCTGACGCATCATAATACAACCACAATCACCTCAGCGTCGTAGAAGTCCGAAGACAGCTGTAACTCGGAGTTGCATCGACCTCCGGCTTAGTAGCAGGTTAATTTCGACACCTGGAGAGATGCCACGACAATGGCTATTAACGACGGAATAACCGGCTTCGGTGGCGGATGGCTGTGTGTACAATGAGCAGCGGAACCACTGCAGCAACCTAACTCTGCAGCCAATTCATTTAGCGCCCCGCGGATAGCTTTCCTTCGCTGATGGGGAGATCACGACAGGCCAAGCACTGTATTTTAGCGCAGTTGTACGAGTGCCAACTTGTTGCCAGCGCATATGGTCGTAGGTCTGTTACAGCCCATTTGCATGGCGCGCGCGGCTGTCTCAAGGAGCATCTCCGCGATAAACAATAGGCGGACCAGCAGCAGGGTCTGCTGGACGATACATTTCCACTATGGAAGGGAAGTCAGAGCGAAGGTCACATATGTTGTGGCGCATATTAGTGGAAAAGTATTTCGCCAATAACAGTGTAGTCTCAGGCTTATTACCCTCCACTTGCAGCCTTATCCACGAACGAGAGACATTTTCCATTCCCTACTCAACGGTGCCCAGACTCTCGAGTTGGATAGTGAGCAGGTGAACCACCGACCTAAAGAGGGGTAGTTGCGCTGATCTGGTACGCATCCAGCAGCAAGGGTGGTAAGCCTCGGCGCCAGCACCATGGGACCAATCTGCAGGGCAGCCAAAGAGGAAGGACAATTCAACAACATCTCCCAGCTATCTGGGATTACTGGCCGGTTGAGTATTGCAGCTACCCAGCTCAGATGGGGCCGACCAAAACCGTGGTCATGGTTTGGCGAGAATGCGACCCATAGCGGCTGCTGATGTCTGTCTGAGGGTTGTATTTTTAGGGAGCATCGTCGACTCAGCTCATCGAGCAAAACTGGGGCCGTAAATCATGGCGGAAGGGACCATCCGATGGGCCGCGGGCAGTTTCTGCATGGCGTGGCCCACACCGACTGGAAACCAGCGTCCCATTTTACGTTGCTGTTGGAAACGTGAGCTATTGTAGCGTTACAACTAGTTGCGTGCATTGCCATCCGACTACTTGACGCTCGTTCAACTGGGCGGAAGAAAGTGGAGGGCCAAGCAGGGTAAACCCGCTAGCCAACCGCGTTGGGGTGCAGCGGAACCGAATTGGCGGAAGATTTGGCGAAGGCAACTCGCCGCAATGGGGGAGGGGCAAACGCACCTCAGCCGACATGCTGGAGCAAAGGGGGATGGGACGTTAGCCTGAATGGTCAATGGGTTGTGAAAAAGTGTGTGTCCATGTGTGCGCCGCCATAGGATCAAGGAGCCGAAGCAGCCAGCATTTCGATACGCATCCGAGGAAAAGTGTCAAGTTCAGCGGGCCCGCCACCCTCCTTTTCGGCGCCTAGTCTGGAGAGTGGCCGAAAATGTGGCTGCACTTGTTTGCTTGACAGATCGAGCTCAACCCCGTCGTTGGTCTGGCGAAGTGTGTCCGAGGGCCTTGACATGACAGGGGACTTGGCGGCGCTGGTATTGGCGCACCCAAGATTTATTGGAGAACATTTCTCAGACCCACACTATTGCTACAGTACGCGCCTCTCTAACAGTTAATTCTAGTGTGGGCAAAGGCCAAATGTCGCAGACCCCCCTCCGCCGGAAGTCTCTTTCTCGACGACCGCCAAAAGGACCGCTGCAGCATGTGTTTTGGGCAAGGTAGCCAGCAGGAGGAACCAGTCAGAGTCTATGCCGCTTACCTCTCGCATTGACTTTGGAAAGCCATCTTCTGCGCAGAAGAAAGGGAGCCCAGTATCAAAGCCAAGATCTGCAAAAAGGTAGCAGCAGCAGGGGCAAAACCTGCCAGTTCGGCACCCACCCCCGCCGGCCTTCCCGCTGTAAGATGCTTTGATGAGCCGTAACTGTAACTTGGGATGAGAATACACGGAGGGCTCACATGTACATTGTGTATGGCTCTATTGCTCTCCCATTGAGCCCGCGCAACGTCAGTCTCACTTCGCCTGCCGGGGGCCCCCTGCTGAGGGAAACTTAGCGATACAACACCAATGAGCCCAAAAAGCCAATGTGGTGGGACTTGACGGGTTGGACTCTGTTGGTTCTGTCGTACCCACTTGAGACAGTTGATTGCTGCTGATATTGCCACACGGGGGGCGTACGGTCTCTGAACGCACGGAACGGCCTAGGGTATACGCCTCTTTATTTGGCAGTAACTTTGCTGCGCATGGTACGTAGTCAGAAACGTCTAGCCTGTCCTATCCCGAAACTTTATTAAGCGCCGCTCGCTGGAAATCTCTGTTGGGGTCGCCATATCTACTGCCCGTTGGTCGCTCTCCCTCGCCGTTTTGGTGGATGCTGTTTGCGGTTTCAACCTCACTTTCCATACGCTACCATCTCCATAGCCATTGCTCATCCAAAAGCAGAATACCTTGCTGGTTTTTCAGATACATCCCTGGCAACCGCAAATATCACGCCCAAACACGCTCTATTTTGGCTTTCCCTGGTCTGCTGAGTACCAATATTGGCGAAGATCTGTAACACAACTCGCCTTGGATCCGCGCAACACAACAGCGATTTGTACCAGCATATTTCTTTTTTCACTCGGAGTAAAGTTGTCCATTTCCAACACGGCTGGAACATCCTGCTCTTCAAAGCAACAAAGTCTTTCTATGCGAAACTTGTTGGCGGCTGGCCTAGGCTCTTGTGTTGTCGGACTTTGCGTTTCTCTTGGGATGGTGTTTTCGTTAAAGCCACTCGATTACACTCGGTTTTAACATTACGCAGCCAGGCAAACGTATTTCCACTCAATAGAGTTTTTACATTTAGTCTTGATGGCCATCTCACCTTCTTTTGATTACTTCTCGGCGCAAGCAGATGAATCATCTTGGTTTCCCGACGCACTCACAGCCCAACACCTTGTCACAGAATACAACGCATCTCTCAAGCAACAGCAGAACAATCCGATAGCTTTTGATACTTCGCGATTAAGCCCATCGCAGCAATCATCGACGGCTTCGGAAAGCATGTCGCCCAACGACTCATCAGGGAGTGGTCTCGAAGGTTCCCATACACCTACCGCCTGGAAAGAGCGGCGCGATTCGAATTTGGTTCTGAAACGCTCGCATTCGACGCCTGCAGTAAAAACTATGGCTCTTAATTCTAATGCCTTGGACCAAGGCGCACAAGGCGAGAAGAAGAGAAACAAGCTCGGCTACCATCGCACCTCCATTGCTTGCAGTAAGTAGCTTGGACTGAATAATCTCGGGAGGCATATCCTAACACTGAATAGGCCACTGCAGACGAAGAAAAATTCGATGTATAGTTTCAGCAGACATGCAAAACAAGTGCATTAACTGTGTCCGCCTGAAGAAAGACTGTAGTTTCCATCCCGTGGATCAACAGCACTCGACCGAGTCTCGAAGCAAATCAACCATCGCCATTCCCGCCGGGGCCGTGTTGCCCTCACAAACCCTGGGCTCAGCAGCATCTTCAAAAACACCAGATAGCACAGTGGAGCTAAACTTTCCGGACCTGACGGCCGCAAGGGGTCTCAACGGGCCGGTACCGATTCTACCCTCATCAACGGCGTCCATCTACAGCGACTGTAAGGAACCTCAATACTGATACGTGTTCGAACTATGCTAACACCATTATAGCACCATCTGTTGAAACAAATGAAACGCAAAATATCGACCCGTCAGATCCCAATGCCTTGAACTGGCTCGCGGCGCCTCAAGTTGCTGGCAGGCTGGGAGGCAACGAGCTTGGTATGACTTGGCAATCGATGTCATCCATTTCTCAAGATTCTTCCACCACTGAGGGTTTTAATACGTACACATTTGGACCTAATACCGTCGGTCCCTTTTCTGCAGGAAATTCCGAGTCGAGCTCTCAGCCAGACTGGGCATGGGCGACAGGCCCCAACAGCCGCTCTATGTCCTACAGCGGCGAACTTCTTGGCCATCACCAGCAAGGCAGCCATATGTTGTCGCCTGCTACTACACAGGCTTTCGATTCTAACCACTTTATGGCGGTGTTCCCGAACCAAATGAATCAACCGAATTTTATGGTTCCTCAGAACTCATTCCCTATGGATGCGGTACCAACGACCACGGCCGGCGCATGGGATGCACAAATGGCTAAGCAGCCGACGGTTGATTTCAATAACTGGCAATTTCCAAGTTCAGGAACTGGACCCAATTGATATACTGTGCATATCCGAACTGCTATGCGTTAGTCTCGAAGACATTTCTTGTTGAATCCTGGAGAAGTTGCTCGTGATAGAGCCAACTCTCCGCTTTCAACACCCATCAACGAGGCAGTTGGCGATGGCCGACGACGTCTCGTTCATCCACGTTTTCTCTCGGGAGTTTCTTTTCTATTATGTCTTAAATAAATCGGTGTTGGCAGGTCTGGCATGAAAGGAAAGGTGCGCATTATATCTATTTGATTCGTTTTGGATTTTAAAGACTGGGGAGACAATGTTTTGAGACGGCTCTCCCAAATGAGTGTATGACTAGAACAGCAATCTATAGGATTTTGATTTTTTTCGGTATTAGACGAAGGCCCTTAAATTTGGATGACCACTATTATGGAGACAAGACTTTTATAGAGTTTTACATTTTGTCTATTCGCCTCACCTGCTCTCTACTTCCTCCTGCACCTCTGCGAATATTGTCACGTAATTAGTCGCCATGTCAAGACTAGTAATGCCACATACGCAAATAAGGTGAGGACACTGAGCATTGTAACGCTATCCCCCGAGGTGCGAAACTTTCGTCTCAAGACACCGTCGGTACCCTCATCCAAGAAGAACTGCCGCTGGCCCTCGAAGCGGCGATACGCTGCGATGAATAGGATCGCCGTACCATAAAGCGAAAATAACGCTCCTATCGGATAAAATTCTTCCGTAAAGATACGCAAGATGACGAGGGCGAAAGAGAATTGTCCAAGCGCTGTACGCATGTACGCGCCTTCAAAGGTGCGCTGTGCTGCGCGGACCTCGACTAGCCTGCAACCATCCACACCCGTTAGGCAACATATTGCGGCTCGATGATAGAATAATGTACTTACTCTGCATTTGTGAGAACTATAGAGCGTGCTCTGTGTAGCCGCAGATGGAGATGCTCTTCAGGATGTGGCTTTTTTGGAGTGAGTTAGCACGCGCGGTAGCAGAAGGCAATTTTACGTGCGTACCTCAAACATGACGAGTTTCTCTGAATGTGTTCAATTATGGTCAGTAAGAGTACCGTATTTTACATGGCAAATATCAAATTACGCATTTGTTGAGGCCCAGCAACTGTAGCCTACCGATGCGCAGCATTGCACAACAAGTAGAGGATGATGCGATTGTAGCGGGCATGGTGACAATCCGACATCACGTGCCGCGGACGAACTGATAACTGGCATGTCAAGTTTGGTGTGTCCTTTTTGGCTAACTTTGGTGATTAAAGCCAAATGGTATTAAATTAACAGAGTCACTCGTTTTAGTAACTAATCATTTGTATCACTAGTTCAGGAGCTTCTTTCTGACCCGAACCTTTGTGGTCGCCGAAGGACCGGACATGTTGTACACGGCTAGGCGATTCTCCTTGGTCTGCAGCAGAACATCAAGATGTAGATTATTTAATTTATCGATAAAGCTTGTTACCGTTGATACTTTATTTGGCGGCTTGTTTCCGAAACATACCATTGAAAGAGGGGTTGCCTGCCGGTGCTCATAGAGCCGTGGGCTTGCTGTCCTTGCTAAGCCTTCGTCAAGCTGCTGCGCCTTGCGGGAAGAGCCGAGGGTTTGATAGCTTGTGTTGGTTTCAGCCCTACGGAAACGACGACCTCCAGAAGTTCGATGTGAAAGGATCGGGATTGTAACTCGGCATTGGAATGACCGGCGGCCTGTTGATTTGAACAGTGAAGCTGTTGTTTACGCAAAAGGCAGACTGATAACAGCCGTTGTTGCGATACGCGGTGACGCCGTGCTCGTTGAGGATGGTCACGCGCAAGGTGCTTAGATATGATACTTTCCAGAGTTGGAGATAAGACTAGCAAAGGGCTTTACAGAAGCCGCAAATGTCTATGACGACGGTGCTCCCGAAACGGTGGTCCAAAACAGAAAAACACCGGCCATAGCCCGTAGATTCGAGCGAAATCCGCCTTGGGGGCCGGGCGGATCGAGGATCCAGCACCGCCAACCGGCCGGTGGAGGTCACTAACTAGCTCTGTAGGCTACGTATGATTCTAGAATATCGAATTGTTTTTTTCCTACTGTTCGCTTCATATCGGTGGTTCAGGGGTGCATAGTCATAGCTAGGCCCGTTGAAACGCCCAATGAGGCTGATAGCGAACTTGGATGAAATGCGAGCATATGGCGAGGCAGAATGCAAGAATTATGGGGGAAGAGTCAGGCGTATTGGGCGGCGGCCTCGCTGGCGCCCCACAAAGCTGAAAGTTGGGCGGCCGCTAGCGAGTGCCGGGGTGCTGTGATAGCAGTGTCGGACAGTGGCTTGCGGGTGGGACATTGTGGCTCGTGTTTTATTGTGTGTGGCTGAGTATGAGGGAAAAAGAACGAGAAATGGTAAAGGAGGATAAACTAGGGGTATTGGCAAACAGAAGGTGCATAAGATGAGATGCTGTTTTGGTAGTTGGGTGCGCCTTGATGTTCGCCTATGACGCGTTGGTGTGATCGGTTTTAGCGCGCGGGCGGGACGCAGAAACAGTGGTGTTGCGCTGTGTGCTGATCGTTGGCCGTACTCTATTACCAAGTTGGAGGGGGGGGCCACTTGAGATCATCTTTTTTGTATTTTTTTCTTTAAAAAAAAGAAGTTAAAGCATAGAGTAGAACTAAAAGCTAATTATATCAGATTTGGAAATAATATAGACTATAGAATAGAAACCTAACTTTGGCGCTGTATGCTCAGTTAAGCGCTGGTGCTTCTCTCCCCTCCCCTCCGCGTGGCCCCCGCCCATTGTCCGCCCAGTTTAATTTCGTCACACTTTTTCAGCTTCCCGTCAGTGTGTGTTCCCTCCCAGAATCAGGCTGCCTGGCTGCTGTAGCGCAAGGCTGGTTGTCGTTACAGCGCATCATAGCGCAACACCATTTCTGTTTTTTCCCGCTCCACTGCAGCAGACGAGCTTTTTCCAGCCGCCCACCACCCACCGCGCACTGCCAAAGTCTCCGCTTCGTTTCTTTTTCACTGGGGTTCCCCGTTTAGTCTCAGTGGATGCGCTGCACCTGCACAGCACAGCACAGCACCACAACCACGCCTCGGGATAACGCCTAACATCTCCAAACCACCACACACTCTCTCGTTCGCAAGCTCCCTCCCGCCCATCACCCTCTCCCTGCCCTTGTCTGACGTCCGCAGTCGGCGCGCCGTTTACATCTCGTGCTGCCTCCGCTAATATCGGATCACCCAGGGCGTACTTGTTGGCAAACTACCCCCCGCCTTCTACGACGCCTTCTCCCGCCTTCTTTGCTTCCATCCTCTTCAGACACTCCTCTTCCCCCTACAGCCTTCACTTGTCTCGGCTATCCACACACCTCGACTTCGCCTCAAATTCTGCCTTCTGGGGACATGTATCCTGGCCAAACAGATCATCTTTGACGACCTTTTCTCAAACATCGACACACCACCAGCCCGCCAGGCAGTCGCACCAGTAGATCTTGCGCGCGCCGTTGCTCCTCGCTCACCGGCTTTGACCGCTAGCACAGCCCGTCTGCAATATCGCATACTCTGTTACGCCCGGTCTTGCTCCGGGCCACTTGATTTATAAACCCCAACATCTGGTCCACGGCTGCTGCCGTCGCTCTTCGCCATGGCATCCACCTTTGCCCAATCGCAGAGCGACCCATATGATCTCGACATCCAACCAAGTCCCAACCAAGATCACTTAGACGACCCTATATCTCTAGGTCGAGTAGACAGCGAGTCGTTGACACCATCCATTGTTCATCTCGACACACCTGGAAACGAGAGTATCAGCCAATATCAGCCAAGCGAATACAGCGAGCTAAACGACCCTTTCTACGGCACCAACTTCAACGACGTCGACGGCGGCCTACCTGACTTCCTAGCCGAAGCTGATAATACCTGGATAGATACAGACCTCTCGAACCCCCCTCAGAATGCAACCGACGGTACATCTTCTTCATATCCTCTGACCCCAGCACAAACTGCATCGATTCATACAACCTCCCCCGCTGTTCCCGGGTCGACGAACAATCAGAATCCTGCCGCTGCGCAACGGTCAAGCATACCTACTTCCATTTCACCAGGAGATTTACAAGTGCCTTTCAAGCCTCCTACCACCGCCGGACCCTCACAACTCACACCAAACCTGACAAATAGCGAACGGTCAAGTGTCGACGGCCTCGCACCCGCACCCAACATTATGCCTGCTCGAAGCCCTCGTGTCACTGTGTCATACTTTGATCATGATAGCAATGATCCTGTACATACCATTGAGGGTGTCCTAGACGATCAGTTATCGTCTCGTGCCGGATCTACAGCCAATGCGTATTCTGCTCATGATGGCTATCATGGCCATGGCTCAGTAGATGATTGGCAGTCTGAAAACGGACGAGGCTATTCAGGAATTGACCCGCCAAACCGAACAAATGATGAAGTCTCCATGAACTTCAACGACATGGCCAAACGCCGCGAATTGGAGGAACGCAACAGCGAGGTTGGTGATTGGCTTGCCCACAGCATCGACGATGTATCAGTCCCAGCTGAAAAGTCGGCCGCTGAGATTGATGCCATTAATCGACCCGGCCAGGCCAGTAACGACAATATCGCTTTGGGACATACGACAACAAACCGATACCAGCCTGGGCAAACGTACATCGACCCTACTGGTGGACCTTTGAACGAAAAAGATCTCCAGATCCTGCAGTCTCTGTCAAATTGGGGCGATGCACCAAGAATTCATGCCATTCGCAATGGTACGGACAGCAAACATCAACCCGAGTCCTCCCAGGCGGCGATTGAGCGCTATCACAGAATGATGCGTGACAACGAATCTATAATATCTAGGCAAGCCACATGGGGCACGCGGCGACGAAGCCTGCCTAGTATCATCGACGTTGATATGGAGGGTATCACCAGCGGCAACCTTTTCAAACGACTTGCCATCAGCCGAGGTAACGACAAGAGCAGCAACAAGCCAGCCAGCCTGTTCAAAGAGATAAGGGAGTTAGTGCGTCGACCAAGCGCTTCTGGGCTTCGAAAACGATCCCGGAGTGCCCAAGGTCGGGCATTGGCAGAGGGCAGTGAGCGAAAGCCTTCACAGGAGGAGAAGCGTCGTGATAGCAGCCCACACCTATCGCCCATGTCCCGAACTTCCAGCTGGGGCAAAAAGCAACCCCCAAGCTTTACAACGGCCTTGGTTGCAATGGGCTCTCCCCTCGCATCTGTTGGTAGCGGTACTCACTACCGTAGCGGCTCTATCAGCGGTGGAACTCCCTTGATGTCTCCCAAGAATGGCATACTTGCCGGTCTCTCTGTTTCGAATCCACTGCGCCGGAGAAGCAAGTCTGAGCTTCCCAAGCCAACACCTGACATGCTTGGAGAATCTCAGTCGAAGCTTGGAGACTTATGGAAGATGTCTGGCGGTCCACCAGTCCCAACCCTTAATACTACGACGGCACTCGATGACAATGACGACGACGATGATGACGATGATGAGGAAGACAACTCAATGAGAACAAACCCGAACAGGATTGATGGCATTACGGCCAACTTTGCCGGCTTCCGTCAGCATGTCTTGCAGCTAAATCCCACTTTGGAGAGTGCTGCAGCCTATCTTGCGGATCGTATTGCGCACCAGCAACTCGTCAGGTACAAGCAGTTGCTGAACGTCAAGGTCAAGCACTTGGGTATGGGTGCCAACTGCCCAAGTGGCTCTGTTTGTGTCGCTCTGGGTGGCTCTGCCATACCTATTGATCAAAAGGGCAACTCAAAGCCTGTCAATCCACACTCACTGGGCTTTGATCCTGATGATGAAGGCGCTCCACCAGAGGGGCTGATCAACCAAGAGAGCTTCCCGGCCGATATCCCCATGCCGCCAACACCAGCACTACCCGCAGAGTTTGAATGCCAGCTCTGTTTTAGCCGCAAACAGTTCCAGAAGCCATCCGACTGGACAAAGCATGTACATGAGGATGTTGGACCGTTTACGTGCACATGGCCGGGATGCCGCGAACCCAAGACCTTTAAGCGCAAGGCAGATTGGGTTAGGCATGAGAATGAAGGACATCGCCATCTGGAATGGTGGATGTGCGACGTTGAAGAATGCCGACACAAGTGTTATCGTCGAGACAACTTCTTGCAGCACTTGGTCCGAGAACATAAGTTCCAAGAGCCTCGGGTCAAGACCAAGGCTGCGATTAAAAAGGCTGGTGCTTCAGATCCAACCTGGCAAAAAGTTGAAAAATGCCATGTCAATACAAGCAAGCGGCCCCAAGACGAACCTTGCCGCTTCTGTGGCCGAACATTTGCCACATGGAAGAAGCTCACTGTACATCTTGCTAAGCATATGGAACAAGTTGCACTGCCAGTCCTGCGACTTGTCGAAGCCAAATCAAAGGAACTTGCCGCCGACACGATTATTAGCCCTGTTCAGGATCCGCCACCCCGACAGATGATTCCTTCACCGGTAGAACCTGGATCGCACGCAAGCCCCTTTCCCGATATATACACACAGGCTCATCCAACTGTCCTTCCAGGATCGATGGGTGCATTTAATCAGCAGCCATCTGGCTTTATGTACCCCGTGGGGGCCGACGCCAGCATGAACATGCAGTTTTACAATAACAACCATATGGCCCAGACGATGCCTGAACAAATAGCCAGCCTGAATGCGGCCATGAATCCAGGTTATCAGAATGATCGCGGGCTGACAAACTTGGACACGTCATCTCCATGGATGCAGCCTGCAGATACGTATATGGCTCCAGTCAACGGAGGCGTGGAACCGTTCCCAGATTTGGGCCAAGTGCCGTCGACAAATCACCTAGGCTTTGACAATACGATGCTAGATAGGCAGAGCATGGAGGGTAGCCCATTTAGCGGCCAGGAGTCTCTATCGACCTATTCCCACTCGCCAAACGCCAATGCCAACACCAATGCTGGCGCGCATCCGCCGAATATGGGATGGGGAAACCATCAGCAACAGAACCACCACCACTATCGATGAGTCTTGCGATGAATTTACTGCAGCGGATTGAGTTATTAGATATGTAAAATTGTAGCACACTGTATACTTGCAGATTGGTTTTTAGCATTGGGCAGACATAATGGAGTTGTTTAGTTTGGATTTTCCGGGTCTACTTTTGCGGGAGATGTTGCAAGACTACACATCACCCATGATCTCAGCTACGTTGTTATTTTCTTGTTCAATATACCACGCCCAAAACGGCATTTGTTTACTGAATAGGCTTCACTATGCTTTGTAATGTTGAGTGTGTGCGCTCTAACAGGTGCTAATGACGTGACTGTCGTTCAGTACAGTACTCTTCCACAAGCGCATTACTCTGTACTGGCTGATTGCTACCACAATAAGTAATTTTATAATCTAGGAAATGCTACGGGCTTGGTAGTGTGGTGGACCGGGGTAGCACGCGCGTGGTTGGATGTTTATACAGAGAGCTAATCTTACAAGCTTGCTTGGGACAGGAAGCTGGGGATCAGGTGAGAAATGCCAGGGGCCAGTGAGCCAGGACTCTGGGCCGAGCAAAGTGGTGAGGAAATATTAGCCGGCCTAGACTTGCTTCAGAGGTAGCCAAGACTTTGGCAATACGAGGACAAGAGACGACTGCATGCAGGGACAGAGGGATTCACTGTGCGCCGTAGTTTTAGTCAAGCGACTCTTGAAGCAATACTGTCGTCACGAGCAAGACGGATGCATTGTTGAGACTGGATGCTGCTGTCATCCCGACACGGCGATTTCTACTTTTGTCGACTTCATACTCATCCGTTAGCAAAACAATTGGACGTTTCTCCCTGCCCCAAGGAGAATGAAAGAGTCGCGGATACAACAACAAAGCAGTGGAGTCGGCAAGCAGCCAGCGCCCAAGGAGAAGGTCTCCTCTGTTTCAGAGATAGCAGTTCGTTGACAGCCAATGGGACGGAGCAGTTGAAATTACAGTGTGGGCTCGACTGCCACTGTGCGCACCAGGCGCCTGGGAGGGCGACTGGCACTGCTGCGGCACTGTTCTGGCGGCTCAGCCAGGGAATAAGATGGGGCTTGGCTCCACTGAAGCCGCAGGGTCCCGGCCCGGGAGGCCCATTTCTACCCCTGGCGCTAACGCAGAGAAACTGGGTTGGGCACTGTGTTGCTTGCTTGCTTTAGGCTGTTGTTTACTGTAGAAATATTTTACTTGGCGGGACAGAACAGCATGTGTTTTGCGCTTGGTACGCGAAACAATTATGTAGTAACATAGGTGAATAAATATTGTTACTTGGCGATAAAAAAATTAAAAGAGGTTTTTAAATAGGATTTCTTTCTTTTACGTTCTGCGCTGCAAAACACAATAGACAAAGAAAACAGCCAGTGGGCCCTTTTCCTTGATTTGAACCGTGGAACTGTCTCGCCCCCAGGAACGTGCACAGCGCGCGACAGCAGATCGGCAGCCCAGAAAAATGTTCCAGCGCGTCCAGCGATCGCAGGGGGGACAGCCAGAGCCATGTTATAGTGCTATTGGCGGTGGAAGGAGCCCTGTAATCTCACCAACACACCACTGGAACCTGTTCGTCTTGGCTTGGTTCCAGTACCGTATTGTACTGTACTGTGAACCTGGGGCGTACTGTACCATCCCCTGTTTCGGTGGCGCCCCCTTCTTGGGGTGCCGTTCCTTTTTCCTCTCTTCCTTCATCAAGCTTCGCCTTTCATTCTTTTTGCTTTGCATTGCTTCCACTAACCAGTAGAATAAGAAAAAAAAAATCAACAAAAAAACACCATCGCGCTACACTCCTTCCCAGAGGTCTCGAAACACTGTCCCGGCGCAAGAAAAACAAGTGTCGTGTCGAGGCCTCCTGGTTTAACCGCCCGCCACTCACACTCTTTCAAATCAGAGACATCCTCATCCACTCGTTTCACCATCAAACGCCAACCCCCAGATATGCTGTCCACTTGACGCGGCCAACCAAAAATCCCGTCATTTAGCAGTCTTTCTCGACATTCATTTATCCTGCTTTTTTATTCTGTCACGTTCTTTGCATCTTGCATCTGAGCTTAGGAAATATATCACCAAAAAGGGATCCTCCCCTGACAATCATAACGCTTGGAATCCCTTTTTCTTCGACTATTTGCAAATCTCTCGCAACTTATCGACCCATTAAGCGTCTTTTTCTTCTTTTCGACACCGGAGCTCCAGGTTGATCCTGGAGGACTCGTTTTGCCTTGATTTTCATTGCATCGCATAAACAAGCCCTGGCGGCTATACATCTCAAACAGCAACATTTTGCATACATCTTACATACACCTTAGCACTACGCGTTCCGACTCGCTCTCTCCAGCTATCCGGCCAACCCTGTTCGAAAGCACAAATCATCTGCAGGACGATTTTCGACGACTCTTGTACTCTTTCGAAGACGGTCTTTTACTCGACACAGAGCGACGACATTACGCGTATATCGCTTATCCACTCCTTCTAACCCGATCTCACTCTCTTTGACCTCGATTTTTATTCTACTTGTCTAGAGTCATATCATGACTCAAAGTGGAATGACATGGAATCTCCGAAAGGCCTTGTTGGCCTTGACTGCCCTCGTTTCTAGCGTCCATGCTGCCGACCTGCTTAAGACCACCGGCTTTACTGACTGTGGCTCTGACACCTCCATCAAAGTGCAGAGAATTGACATCAGCTACGACAAAGACAACCGAACCGTCATTTTCGATGTTGCCGGAACCAGCACCAAGTCCCAGAATGTCACGGCTGTTCTCGGCGTCACCGCCTACGGAAACCAGATTTACTCGCGAAGCTTCAACCCTTGCGATGCCGGCACGTTTGTAGAACAGCTCTGCCCCCTACCTGTTGGCAACTTTGCTGCCAAGGGCACTCAGGAGATTCCTGCCGAATACGCCGATATGGTTCCCTCAATCGCCTTCCAGGTCCCGGATATCGCCGCTCAAGCCACTCTCGAACTCAAGGGTGACGACAACAAGAATGTAGCCTGCATCAAGTCCGCAGTTTCCAACGGAAAGACTGCCAACGTGGCTGCTGTTTCGTACGTCGCTGCCGGTATTGCTGGTGCTGCTCTCATTGCCACTGGCGTCTCGGCCGCTGGAGCAGCCCTTTCGGGAGGCGGCGCTGCTGCATCAAGTGGCGGTGCAGGTACAGGAACCATTAGCCCCAGCTTCACGGAAGTTATGGGCTGGTTCCAAGGCATGGCTATGAACGGTATGTTATCCGTCAACTACCCACCTGTGTACCGCAGCTTCACCAAGAACTTTGGCTTCTCCGTCGGCATGGTCCCTTGGGTTGGCCTCCAGCGCTCCATTGATTCTTTCCGCGGTGCTACTGGCGGTAACACCACAGCAAGCAACGTTGATACACTTCGCAACACCACCATGATCTACTCGGACGGATCCGCTGGATCTGCCGACGACAGCCTTTTCCACGTCAAGCGAGGCCTCACGCTCCTTGCTCGCGCCATCGAAACTTCAGTCAACGGCACCGCCGACGCCGCTGCGCACCCTCAGGATGAGACCAAGCTTCAGCAAACTGTCCGTGGTATTAAAGCCTACGCCCAGCGCGTCACAGTCCCCGGAGAAAACGTTTTTATGACTGCCCTCTTGCTCATTGCCGTCATAATTGCCGCCATCGTCCTTGTTCTGCTCCTCGTCAAGCTTATTCTGGAACTCTGGGCTCTCTTTGGCAGCTTCCCCAAATCGCTAGCCGGTTTCCGCAAGCATTACTGGCAATCGATTGGCCGCACAATTACCCAGCTCATTCTTCTCTTGTACGGAGTGTGGGTTCTGTACTGTGTGTTCCAATTCACGTCAGGCGATTCCTGGTTGGCCAAGACTCTGGCTGGTGTGACCCTCGCTCTCTTCACTGGCGTCCTCGCCTTCTTCTCTTGGAAGATTTACAGCACAGTTCAAAAGCTCAAGGCAGCCGAGGGCGATGCCAATGGCCTGTACGACCAAAAGGAGATTTGGATGAAGTACTCGATCTTCTACGATGGGTACCGCAAGGGTTACTGGTGGCTGTTTATTCCCGCCATCTTCTACATGTTTGCCAAGGGCTTCGCAATTGCTGCTGGTGACGGCAAGGGTATGTCCCAGGCCATTGCCCAGCTCGTCATTGAAGGACTTATGCTCTGTCTCCTGCTCTGGAGCCGTCCCTTTGCCCGCCGCTCCAGCAACATCATCAACCTCACCATCCAGACCGTTCGTGTTTTGTCCATTGCTTGCATTCTCGTCTTTGTTGAGGAGTTCCACGTTGCACAGACCACCAAGACCGTTACTGGTGTTGTCCTCATCGTTGTGCAGTCTGTTCTCACTGGTATCTTGGCCGTTTTGATTTGTTGGAATGCCATCAACGCTTGCTGCAAAGCCAACCCCCACCGCAAGCGCAGAAAGGATCTCGGTATGTACTCGATGCCTAATTAACTACGAAATGTAGCCTTTTGCTAACTCGACTTGAACAGAAAAAATGCGCGAGGATACCCTGACTCCTCTTGATGCCCGCAACTCGCTGCTAATTCCCCGCCCCGGAAGCGAGAAGTCTTTCTACAGCACATCGACTATGGATGCGAAGGATCCTCACCACGTCCAGAACACGGATTACAACAACGGTCACTACTACGCACCACCTCCTGTCCGAAACGCTGCTTCTCCTCAGGCAGCTGGTGCTGTAGCCAGCCGCAACTTGACAAACGATGCGCCGGCTCGCGACTACTCTGCTTCTAACAGGGAGCCTCGATTGCCAGAGCTCGATTTTGGTTTCGACAACAAGCCGGCCAACCGCGCGCCGAATGGTAACCACTTTTGAGAAACCCAGGCTAGCAAACCAACATTCCCCGACACGGCTGATTCTCTTCGATTGCATAACTCTACCCGTGTTTTGCTTGCTGTTAGAATACCATTGTTACATAGACGCACATAGACAATGTACCCCATCGTGATGGGACACGGGTATTGTTGTAAAAACGGGTTGGTTGGCACATTTTTATATCTTGGGAGTCCTTGCGCCTCGCTTACTCCATTCTTTGGTTTTTTTTTAATCGTCGGCAATGGGTTATTTTGGATATACGCACGGAAACCAACTAGCACTGTATATATATTTAGAATGCCAGGGTCCATTCACTTACTCTGTTTTTTTTTATACCAAGACCACCTTTCAACTATGGGTGCTTTGACCTGTAAGCCATCAACGCTGAGACCCCACGAAGGAGGCCAAAACGCCGAGATGAAGACCTGTAGAAACGAGTAACTGCTGAGAAGTAGAGCAGGGAAACTTGCAAGGAAACTTGAATTGTATCATTCGTATGCCACTTAATTAATTTCTGACTGATAGTCAGCTCCCTTGGGGAAAATCCGTTCTCTAACATGGCCAACCTAGGCGGTCACGGATGAGTTGCCCATCACGTGCCCCAGGCGTTTCGTCTTGGGTGTCACAGCGCGGGGAGACACCTCAGCCTCGTGGAGTGGCGGCGAGTGTTGGAGTTTTTGCTACTATAATAGTACTTAGGGACCCAGGCGCCTAATTCGTGAAGGCTTGGTTGATTTCTTTGCATCGCAATAGCTTCCATATTGTCACCGCCGAATGCTTCACTCAAGCGCCCCTTGGTCGATGTTTCAGGTGGTCGGTTTCGGAGCCGCTCGCTAAAGGAAACACCAGGCTGCTACGACGAGGGCCATTTGGTCAGAAGGCCCATTCTCTCGTCCTCAACATCTCAGTCGATCCAGGAACAATGTATTCCATGACCCAAGGGTCGCCGCGGCGGCCAATGGCAACACCCGTTATTGCTCCTATTCACGGCTCGTCCACTACCACATACGCGGGCAACACGATTCCCATCTCACTCGCTCGGCGTGCAGCTCCCCATGCTATTGAAGTGGCGCCTCATCTGCGCAAAAGAGGATGGATTTCGGTCAAGGAAGGCGGCTTTGTATCGTCTTGGAAGCAGAGATTCATGATGCTGAACAATGGCTGGCTGGACTTTTCCAAGTCGGAGGACGGCAAGCCCATATACACTCTCTACCTCAACGAAATCACCGAGATTGGCAGAGCGCAGACACCGGTGCCTACAGTAGAAATTAAGAGGAAACTGGATGGCACATCATCGAGCCCTGGAGAGAAGGAGGGATCGTTTAAAGTGCTGCAGCTGAGGACGAAGACAGACGAGGCGCTCTACGACTGGATGGACTTTATTCACATGGCTTGTCCTGATCTTGGAGGAGTCAGCAATCCAACGAATTTTTGCCATGGCATTCATGTTGGCTTTGATCAAGGCACGCAGGAGTTTGTTGGTATGCCTAAGGAGTGGATGCAGCTCTTGAGCGCGTCTGCCATCACTAAAGAAGACTATGCTCGAAACCCGCAGGCCGTCATCGAGGCCATTGACTTCTACACAGACTTGACAAACAAATCAAATCACGGAAATGAATATCTCGCTCTCGCTCCGACAACAATGGCCCGAATTGACGAAGAGAAGGCCCTGCCAGATCCTCATTTTCGCCGCCCAAGTCCACGCCAACCTTCGCCGCCACGTCAGCCCGTCTTTCATGAGCTGTCGGGAGCAAACCCTCTCCCAAGTACAACACGACCTGTTATGGCCCCATCAGCACATCGACACGAGGGGGGAGTGCCACCCGCTGCGCTGGATGCTCGCCCGTTACATGCTATGCGTCCTGCGCCGTCCGCGCCGAGGACTCCTCTTGTTCCACCACCGATGCAATCATACAAGCAGCCATCGCCGCCTTTGCGACAAGAGTCACCGAGATACCCAACCGAAAAGGTACAAGAAACCAGATATGAGCCTAGTATGATATCTGAGCCATCGCCCCCACTGCAATACGATGGCTCAGCGCCATCACCAGATATCAAGCCAGCGGAGGTTAGCCCGTTAGAAGTCAAGCCTCTGAACCTCAAGTCAGCAGAGGTCAAGCCATTACAGCCGAAACCGCTGCAAGTAAAGCCACCTCCTTCAAAACGACCTCCTTCGCCGAAGGAACCTGCCGAAAAGGTCGAAAACAAGGTCACGCCAATTCCTATCCCCTCCCAACGACGACACGGGCTGCAGCCAAAGAGAACTTCCGAGGACGAGGTATATGCGAAATTGCGAGAGCTCGTTTCTGCAGACGACCCTAACGAGTCCTACTCGCGGCAAAAGAGGATTGGCCAGGGTGCGTCGGGTTCTGTATACGTTGCTAAGATTAAGCCAACCGCCGTAGGCATGGCGCGAGAAGTGGTAAAGGAGCGTGGTCCAACGGCGCAAGTCGCGATTAAAGAAATGAACTTGGCTCGACAGCACCGCAAAGAACTCTTGATTGACGAGATTCTCATTCTACGGGAGAGCAGGCATCCCAATATCATCAACTTTTTAGAAGCGTTTTTGATCAACGAGGGCAAGATGCTCTGGGTTGTCATGGATTTCATGGACGGTGGTGCCTTGAACGAGGTCATCGATAACAATCCCAATATCCCAGAAAGGCTCATTGCCACCATTTGCAGAGAGGTACGTACATATAATTCTTAGCGCTCTTGTCGTGTCCGTCTTGATGCTAACGTAGGAAACAGACATGTAAGGGTTTACAGCATTTGCATTCGCGGCGCATCGTGCACCGCGACATTAAAAGCGACAACGTTCTCATGGATGGAAACGGAAACATTAAAATTAGTACGTTTTACACCTATTCTGCCTCTGTAAGGATAACTACTGACTTGTCTTTTCTAGCCGACTTTGGATTCAGCGCCCAGCTCACCGAACGCCGATCTAAGCGTGCCACGATGGCCGGAACAACATACTGGATGGCCCCCGAGGTGGTCAAGCAGAAGAAATACGGCTGCAAGGTCGATGTCTGGTCTCTGGGCATCATGGCCATTGAGATGGCCGAGATGGAGCCGCCGTATATGGAAATGGAGCCTATGAGAGCGCTCTTTGTCATTGCAGCAGGCGACACACCGCCGCTGCGTAACCCGGACAAGCATAGCGCTAAGCTCAAGGCCTTCTTCGACACATGTCTCCAAGTCGACGTTGACAAGAGAGCCACGGCGGACGAACTGCTCGACCACGAGTTCCTGGCGTGCGGTGGAAAGCCGTCTGAGCTTGCGTCGCTCCTTGCATTCAAGACTGAGTCACTGTAACACAGTGCAGCATATCTCTACACTGGACTTTTGAGGCGTTTTGTTCATCTTTTTTCTTTCATACAGCGGTTGATTCTACCCGACGGTGGTTTTGTTCAGGATCCGGATAGCATCATCATCTTCCACATTTCTTGCATATATACAGATACATATAGCTAGCATTGCATTACATTGTAATCCTTTTATTTCATTATAAACGTGTGTCAGTAACGTCTATTTGCCTGATGCGCCCTCTCCGCCCTGCGAAAAGTTGACGCTATATCCACCCGTCGCCTCATCCTTGACCATTTTGAAGTTATCCGTGCTCAGCCCAAACGGCTTCAGAATACCGTCTCCCAGGCCCTTGAGCTTCCCCCACATCTCGCCTACCTCCTTCTCCTGAGCCGCCTTAGACCGCGGCGGAAGTAATCGTAGTTGTGTCTGAACGGTGCGCCGGTCCGCGGGCGTCAAGGACTCAGGGTTCTGCGCAAGCGTCTTGTAGTCTTCCTCTGCACCAGCAAGGTTCTGCCAGCCTCCTGCTTCGGAGCGGGCACGGGCGCGGCGTAGAAGTGCTTTTGTACGGATGCGCTGGATGTCGGCTTTTTGTGAGAGCAGCGCTAGAGAAGCCTCTTCATCGGCTGTGTCGGGGAGCTCGACGACGCCGGATGCATCTTGGTCCGCGGGCTGGTTTGCAAGTAGCGGGGTTTCGGATTGTAGCTTGGTTAAGAGGTCGAGGGAGGCTGTGGCTGCTTTTATGGCTTCTTTCCATTCTTCTAGCTTGAGATGCGATGCGGAAACGTTGCTTTGTAGAACTGCGCGGGGGAAGTGAAGGTAGTTTGGGCAGGATTGTAGGGCCTCTTGGTACTTGGTAATGGCGTCCTGGTACTTGCCGGCACCGAAGAGATCGTTTGCTTCTGATTTTAAGGAATTTGATTCGTCAAGAAGTGTCTTGGAGAGGCCGTTAGTGTTTGGCGTTGAGGCAGAGGGTGGTTGAAAACTCACTTTTTCTTCGTCGGGTGAGAACCGTTGCTGCGGCTCTTCGGCTGTGGTGTTGTCAGTTACAGCGTCATTGTTCGCCTTCACTTCCTCGGGTTCCGACATCTTTTACTAGTTTGCTGTTTTTGTTCCTGAGCAAAGCGATGAGCGAAGGTCGTTGATTGGCCTGCGTGCTCGTGAACCTGGCAAACGGCAGGCGGCTCAAGCGAAACTGCGGCTGTGCTGACGGCGGAGTGAATGTTGGCGATGTCGTCTCAGACAATCCGCGATTGTGATGTTTTGTTGCCAAAATGAAGGTGAGTAACGAATTCTACTCTTTCGCGAGCTCAGGTTGTTGCTTTTCATGACGACACGCGTTCTACCCTTCTAGGCTCGTAACCGATTCCTTTCAACCCCACCATCTTCCAGCAAACACCGCACCGCTTTTCTGCACAACCACCATCCAAAACATCACAAGCCATCGCCAGCAGTCTTCACGCGCGGTGCATCAATTACCACTCTTTAACAGTATTGATTGTATCATATTTGCGCTTTATTCCCTTTAAGTTCTGCTAGATTGACCATACAAGCGGCCACATCCATCATGGCACCTAAAACAGAGTATGTCAACCTGAAGCATCGTCATCTTCTCACTTCAATCTGCGAGTTGAGTTTGCTTCATTCTCCTCATCTCATCTACATACCTTTAACCCTTCCTTTACTAACATCTACCAGCTTCCCCCGCGTCAGAGCCTGTCTCTTCGACATGGACGGCCTTCTCCTCGACACCGAGGACCTCTACACGCTGTGCATCAACATCATTTTGGAAAAGTACGGCAAGCCTTCACTTCCCTGGTCCATCAAGGCCCAACTCCAAGGCCGCCCTGGCCCAGAGGCCAACAAGATCTTTAACGACTGGGCCCAGCTGCCCATCGACTACGACGAGTACATGCACCAGCTCACGGCGCTGCAACACCAGCTCTTCCCTACTGCCAAGCCCTTGCCGGGAGTTCCTCAGCTCCTCAAGGATCTTTCTGGAACTGAGAAGAGCGATGCTGCTCACCGTGTTCACATTGCACTCGCCACAAGCTCACACGCTGCCAACTTCAAGCTCAAGTCCGACCATCTCCAAGACCTCTTCAGCGTCTTCCCCAACGAACGCCGCGTCCTTGGAGACGATTCGCGCCTAGAGCGTGGTCGTGGAAAGCCTCTTCCGGACATCTTCTTGCTCTCTCTCAAGACCATCAACGATTCGCTGCCTGCTGGCGAAGAGCCCATCAAGCCTGAGGAGTGCCTTGTCTTTGAGGACTCCGTTCCTGGCGTTGAGGCTGGCCGCCGTGCTGGCATGCGCGTCATCTGGTGCCCTCATCCTAAGCTTAAGGAGGAATTCGCTGGTAGAGAGGAGGAAGTCTTGGCGGCTCGCACTGGAGCTGGTGGTGGTGTTGATGTTCACCAACTCGGCGAGCTTTGCGATGGGTGGGCAGAGTACTTGCCGACACTTGAGAACTTCCCCTACGAGAAGTATGATATCAAGATTGCAGCTTAATTCACTACACCTGAGTCGATGGAAACGAGCTCTAGATCTGAACTATACGCAGAATACAGTAATAAATAGATGGTACAACTCAAACCGTTCCAGATTGTTACGAGATATTGCCAGATCATTCACACAGAAGTTGAACGCTCCGTCATTACAGTATCTATTGCCCTTAATCAAGAATATAGCTTCTTTTAATTCACCACTACTGAGACTACAAATATCCAGTTCCAAGAATGAACAAAGACCTATCAACTCTATACCGGCACCGATATGGCTCATACTGCAACTCTCGGAGTAGTTACGGCAATAGACACGCTATCCGTACTACACATTAAGCTCCAGTACAAAATAAAACCACTGCTTTGTTCTTAGAACGGCATGACAGCAAATTCAACACTATCCTCTTCGGTTACAGACTTCAGTCGCACTTCTAGCCGAGCTATTTGGTCCCGGAGCCGAGGAAACGTCGGTGTTCGCCGTAGCTGCTGCACCGGTACCTGGTCTGAGATATCCCGACCAACATTCGCGACCGAGCGCATGGTAAACCCGGCAGCCGTTCAATCAAGGACCTTCGGAATCGAGATTTCAGGACGGTGCAGCTGGGGGGGCGTGCTCTACCAGACGGAGGGTTTCCCAGTTCAGTTCCCATGAATTGTCGCAAATAACATTGGCCATCCAAGCAGCATCCAACATGACAGCAACAGGTAATACATTGCAACTCAACTCAAAAGATTGACTTATCCAGCGCTGCCCTTGGGCAACCACCATCTCGCCAAAATGTAGCAGAGCAACCCAAAGCGGAGGGGTGTAGAGTCGGGCTCACACTGATCGCGGCTGAAACGGCACTAATCTAGCCCGGTAGAGCCTTTAGGGTACACTTTGCCGCACTAAAACTCTAGGCAGACGAATAAACGGCGAATGTAGAAGCATGCAGAAGATCCCTAGCAGCTGTGAGCAATCGGCTAGTGGGCTTGGTGGCGGCATGCTGCTGTACCACACTGCATGTTGGTGCAGAAGGGGGTGTCTGTGTGTATCAAAGATGCATCCACCCAGTATCCAGCCACTTTATTCAAGTGATACGTCCTAGTTCCGAGGCTGGCCGGGGGCTAGCCAGCCTTGGGTGACAAATAGCTGACTGTTCGTTCAACCGGTCGGACTGCTGGTGGTGTGTAGCTGATCTGGGGCTTTCTTTCCGTGATAGCCGTTCCTTGGCCGCGGATCTGGCCTCTTTTTCCTCGGGTACGACGGACACAGATGCAAAAGTACGCGGATCATGATGACGGCAGGTGTGCGTCGAAGCAAAGGACCATGGCATGAAAAACGGGCCATACGACGAAGGATGTGCTTCACCTGTGTTGGTTCAGTTTAGTGCAGTTTCTTTTGTCTCAATAGTGCATGTATACTTGTATCGCTACGAATTCGTGTGGCTATAGGCAAAGACCCTCAAATTTCATGCTCAGTCATGGATTACGCGGGCAGAGGCTGGTGGGCGGCTGATGGGCTTTTTCTTTGACGAGAGCCGAGAACAGCTACCGAGCGTAGTCATCCAGGTGAGCAGGTTTGTGTTCCGATATAATCAGTTGTATTATATCGAGTCGATGCTGCTAATTCCCTTCCCCTCGGCCACTGGCTTTGTTGGACAAGGTTGCTTTTTTTCTTCTACCATGTACACTGTTGGCCATATCACTACTCCAGCCCTCCCGCAAGGTACGAGATTCCAACGACAGCCGAGGTGAAATGCTCGTGCGTTCCTTGTTTTTGCTGCAACAGTGTCCCCGCTTTGCCGGATATCGCTAAACTGACCAGAAGCCTTTGGCGTTTATGCATCGATTGATTCCTCATGACGCTTAGACCAGTTGAACCCAGATCAGCTTGAGCATGAGAATCATTGTTTTATAAAGCAAGGCAGAAATTAATCAATCTGCATGGAATCATGGACAGTGTTGAAACACGGGAGATCACCGGCGCAACCATGAGCGTTGAGGCTTTGAAGCATGAATGTGCCACTGTTTCAGCGACCTTAAAGACACAATCCACCAACACGACCAGTACGACCAGTGTGACGCTGGTATGCTCGTTAGGTTTAAGCTGCGTTAAACCAGATGTTCTGCGCATGGACTGGGCCTTAACTCCGTATACACTCTTCATGCAGAATGATACGCAGCAGTTGCCCTCATGTTCTCATCACATCACACCACCCCGTCGAAATATCGGTCACAACAAACAACTATGGAGCAAGTTGAGCATAATTCACGACCTCGGCTTATGGAACCACGCTGGATGGGCTTCAATCCATTATGATGCAGTCTGTTTGCAGAAAACGTGCTAGTTTGGATATGGGTAGCAGTGGCTATAGCATGGTCGTGCATACTGCTCGGATCACCACCACTTGACAGTCTCATTTTCTACCGAGTACGCCCCCTCAGCTCTTGTTGTCCCTAGTCGCTGACAGAAGTTGCGGGAAAAGCTACCTAAGCAGAACAAGGTCTGTGGCAACCAGGGACTGGCGCGCGGATCACTCCAAGGAAAACATGGGCTGGTCGGATGTCGGGACACTGTCGGGGAACGTCGACTTGAATTCTGACAAATCTCCATCGAATCCTCACCCACAAAGGGTCTCTTCACTACAAACTCGCAAGTACCAATGTGGATAGCAGTTCGCGGGGCTCTTCAGCATCACTGGGATACAATTGGGGGCCGAGCAGGAGGCCTAACAGCCTAGTCGACGCTGGTAGCAAGAGGGGCCCGGTAGGCTCTCCCTATTGACGGTCTATCGTTAGTTGCGTGAAATTCGATGTGTTGCATCTCTTGTGGATTCTTCTTCGTTTACCACTGGTCTACTTCCAATCGAACTACCAGTACGCCCACGCCCCTTCCCTTCCCCATCCGGAGCTTATGGGACGGGTGCCATCTGTGATGGCATCGTGGGCTGGTTCCAGGGGATAGACTAGCCAGTCAGCTAGTGATGAGCGATGTATAGGGCAATGAACGAGAAATGTCCCCGGTTTTCCATAATTCCATCAAGTCCCAGTTACCCGAATACACGATGGGAGGTGGCGCTAGAATATCGTTGATATGTTGATCCGCAGCAGCTCGCAATGCGAATGAACCTTGTAACCCTGTTTGAAGTGTACCAAAATTTTATCAACCAATTCCTTCAGCCCAGTAGAGTGCCAGTACTACGCATCTACAGGGCTCGTGCTTATGCAAAAGCTTCGTTGTTTGGGGCCGTCTTACCCACGTTGTCCCGCGAGAGCCGGGGCTGGCCCTGTACCTGTATTGTAACTGGGTGCTATTGTTCGACTTGGGGAAACTTGGATCATTTATCAAGACTGATCTTCATATTCGGCGCTTCATGTTGCCTATATGTGATAGGATACTCGGTTATAAAGACTGTCGAGTTTCTATAATGTCACACTCAAGACTGGCGTGTAACAGAGGTAACATGCCATCGAAGGCTAGCTAGCCACTGTTTCATAACTTCAGATGGCGGCTTTCTTGTACAGGTGGAACCGAGAACTTGCTATGCGGCCGCTATACAATCTCCGCAAAGTCCACCGCACGCTTATGTGCAGTTTCAGTGAATTTGCCTGAGCAAAATCGTGCTGAGTAACCAATTTGATAGTCTCGCTTCCAACTTCTGCATATAGAATATCACATTGCCATGGTAGCAGACTAGGTCATCAGCTAACGACCATGTAATTTCTTGAAGCGCATAGATCTTACAAAAGAACCAGACGAGGCGCTCGAAAGTTGCCGAGCTGTGCTATAGGTGACTGAATGGCGGGTCAGCAGCAGCTTGCAACTGGGCGTCGGCCGCTCCAAGATGCACCGAGCGTGGCTACCACACCAGGACGGATGTAGGCTAACCCATCTGACACCACGCGCATGTCTAGAATCTAGGCAGCAAGATTTGGTACCACCCTCACAACCATGGCTGCATGGTCCCTGCGGCAGCCAGTGTTGAGGCGCTGGACCAGAGAGGCGCTAAGACGAACGAATACTCCACGAGCAGAGCCTGGGTAAGACTTAGCCGCAGCTGGCCACTGTTTCATGTTGACCACGCCCCGAGTACGTCGAATCATTGCTCAGTATTTCACTCCAGAGTGACACGGCTAGCTTAACGCAAAATACACTGGCTATACGTCGATCACTCGCTGCTTCGCAGGTACTTTGCCATGTGGTATTCTGGCGTCGTCTGTTGTGCTAAACCGCGGACTTCCGTGGTACCGCGCGCCAGATTATGTCATTGTCCACCTGACAGTCTTCCAGAGCGATATTCGACACTGACACTGGCGTTTGGATACGACGCTGCGGTTTCAAGTAACGCCGCACCTCACCATGCATACTCGACTCACTAACAACCATGATATATGCATATCGTAGTGTCGTCTCCGTGAGGCGTATAATCGGGATACGGTGTACTATCCCGCCCCATTGGTAGCTTTTTGCTTTGCCCAGGTTTGGGATGCTTCCGAGTTTGCATTGACTTGGATGTGGCAGGGGGGGAGGACGCCAGGCTAACCCGCTGGTACACCATCTAATACAATCAAAATAAGTTACCCCATCGCACCGTGAGAGCAAATATGCGCGGCGCGAGCCATTTGGCGCGGGATATGAATCATCCGCTTCTGATTTACCGTTAAGGTGGCGTGTATTGGATCCTTTTGGCTTGCACTTGGCATCCCTTGTTATCTGATGGATTAATACGCCCTATGCCCATCCACCACTGCGGTCAATGCACCGGCCAAGGTCGACGCCGAAGCGATAGCCGTGACACTGTCGAGTCAGGTTCGTAAACCACGCTGTTGGGTTGCGAACCAAAGAGGTGGCAAGGTGCTGATTCGCGCGTAGACGAGCTTTACGGTGAAGGAAGGGGCGGCGGGACAGGGGCGTAGAATGGGTCGGGCTGATGCAAGGCGAGAAGCTGAAGATGGGTGAGACGGCTCCCGTCGATCGACCGTGTGAGGGATGGACGACTGCCGCGAGCAGCGAAGCCGTTTTGGTGGGGAGAGAGGTGTTGAACGAAGTGATGCGCGTGATTTGTACGATGAAAGCGAACCCTGATGTCGGTTGCTGCTCTCACCTTAGCGATCGCTGTACTGCACTTGCTTCTTTGGGCTTCTCGTGTAAAAGCCCCTACTTTGGGAATGGTGCCAAAAAAGCTCGGGCCATCTCCCTGCCACGTTGATCCAAGGTCGCAACCAAGTGCCATTGCCACGCTCGTCTCCACCATGCTAAACTAGGCTTGTAATAAACGGCCAGGGCTTCTCTGCAGTCTGAGCGCCCGACTTGTTTCGCTGCTAAGCTCATCTGATTTTGGAAACCATGACGGCGTGTGTCTTGTTGCTCATCTCTCACATTGTCGATTGCATGCCGTTCCTGGCTGCCGATGTGACGCACGTGTATACTCTGCCCACCTGCAGCCTGCAGGCACCCGGCAACACGGCTGCCCGTCCAATTATCGATTTTAGACAGGTTTCCAGAACCCTTGAAAGAAGCATTTTGGTTCAGAGAAGGCGTGGGTTCGGCTCAACAAATGGCCCGTTGTTGGTGCGACGGCGACAGCTCCCTCGTGTTTACTAGTACGGAAATAAAGTTTGGCGTTACAGTTGAAAGCTCTTAAGTCAAGGCAGCTAAGCAAAACGGCCTTACTACTGGACATATCTTCCACTGTATCGTGATTATACGATCCCAGACCAGGCCAAGCTTGCCCTTTGGTCGTGATTTGCGAGCGCCTCCCCCACGGCGGCTTGAACGCCAGTGGATTCTGGCTCCCGTTGTGCTGGGCTGGGCTTTTACCGACATCCAGGGCTATTGCTCGCACCCGTTACATAGACCTAACAAACGCAACCAGGCCAGTCGTGCTGGTGTCGCAGAAGATTGGGTGCTGACTCGTCGCTGAGAGCAATGGTGTACGGTGGCCCAAGACTTGGCTTTGCTTGGTCCGGAGGCACATTTGGCCGGCAACATCCTCAGTGGACGGGGAAGCTCGCCCCGTGCGTCCATCAAGCCCCGCTAGGCCCACAATGGCCAGAAGAGTGGGGGTCCAGAAGGACACGCCCCCTTCGATGTGTCTTCCACGCAGACTAGTGCCTTAGCGTGCTTTAGAGGACAAGTACGATCCAATCTCTGCCCCCATCCTGTTTTGCTCAGCGACAGCCGGACCCGCCGAACACACTGACCTTGTTGTTTTACAGCGGCCCCAGTAAATTTACAGTACATCACAGGCGTTGCTTTTTTTGTATCCGCACCCCGCTGGAACCACGGCGTCTAGTGATGCTGGGAACGAGGGCAACCCCAACGACCCCAGGACCCTTTTCTGGGCAAGACAAGCGAGGGGAAATAACAAATACTACGCTTCGCAACTTTTTAGCGTCTTGTGATGGCATGCACACCATGGAATTCTTCTTACCTTGGTTCGTTTGTGACTAGCGCTTGTCCTCGCCCTTTCGCCTTTGCACACTGGTTTCCGAAATAGGAATGCTGGTCTGCGAAACGTTGCAACGCTGTAAAATGAAGGTAAACCGCCAAAACTGTACCAGTAGTTTCGGCTAGCGTCCGCTACGACAGCCCCAACACTCTGGATTTTGCCCACTGTTCTCGGCTGCTAGTACCACGCTCACGCCAAACCCAAACCCAAAATTCTAAACACGAAACCTTCTAGGAGCTTTGGCCAGCTCACAAAGTGCCAGGCATGCAAACGGAACATTCCAATTGATGGTCCTTTTGGCGATGCTGCCTTGTGCTATGAGGTACCAGTAGGTACAAGATGGATGTACTTCACCTTAGCACCAGCTCTTTGGTGCACACCTGTAGCAGAGGCAGAGCTCGAGCCACTAGCGCATCACGGCACCCAAGACATGCTTTAAGGGGCGACGAAGGCGTCCCCGCATGTCGCAATGGGCAGAGCAGTAAGTAGCAGTCCTTGTTTCGCGCTTCTTTGCAGAGTAAATGCCGCTTTGGGTACCTGGCATACTGGCTCACACTGGCTCTTCAGCGTGCCGCTCGGCGGGTTCAGTGAGCCTGGCGGGCTGGTGGCAGCGACAACCACGCGAGACCTGCAAGTGTAACGCCACCAAATCGCAAAGGCGCCCTAGAGAGAGCCACTTGCATTAGCCTGCATGAAGAAAAATGTCGCTGCCTAAACTTAGTCTCATGCTGTGCCGTCTGTTCCAGTAAAAGGCGCAACGCCTCGTTTGTTCTACCGATATTACGCCTTTTTGCCATTCCCAAGCAATCCGGGGTATGGGATAATGAGGCGACCGTGGTTGTGCTTTAGACGACGATTAGTCGAGGAGCAGCCAAAGCTGAGGGGTCGCCAACGAGGCACGGTTCAGACGGCATTGGGGATGGGACTGGCAGACGATGAGACGGTAGTACGCTGTCATCATGCCTCGGGCACACTGCAAGCTTGTTGCATCTATTCCTCGGTTCTCGGGCACGATGCAAAACTGCTCTCCGAATGCAACGCAGCCGTTCAAATTCTGTTCGCCGACAGTAATACCGCATGGATATTGGATATTGGAAGCCACCCGAGTCATCAAACGATGTCTATCGGAAGCTTTTGAGCCAAGAATTGGGATCAATCAACCGGCGACGATGGGATCGGCTTCCGCTTCATCGTCCAAGCGATCATCGGCCACTGCCCACCAGAGTTGGGCAATTTAGCCAAAACAATGTCGCCGAACTCGGTGAGAGCCTTTAGCGAAACCCAACTCACAGTGTAATATTGGTCTTTGGTAGATAAAACATGCTCTACATGCAGGACTACATCACAAAACAATGGCCCTATAGCCTTCTCGGGTAGCAGCTTGCACCTCAAAACTTGCTCGCAGGGTAGCGGTCGTCGTTCAGAATACGAGTGCAGTAGATCTGGGAAGGGTGGGCAATGGTAGGGAGCCACTGAGGATGGACAGGGAGACCGGATGTCGGTACAATTACGACGAAGGCAGGTCCCATGGATTTGGTGCTTGGGCCAAGTTGGATGGAGGGTTGCGCTTGTCAACCCCCATTTATTCTGGCCATTTGTATGGGCCCAGCAAGTATCTAAGAAATTAATGCCTGTTAAAACCAGGCCAAAACAATAGCACAGTTGACTGCCGAAGCGTGGGCGACTCTGGCATTGAACAATCAACAGACGCATATATTTTCTGATAACACTCAGCTTTGTGCAACATGAAACGCCACGGCCAGCCAATAAGATGAACATGTAAACGTCTCTCCACGTGATGTCCCACTGGAAGAGCGGGATGAATCGCTGCGTCATAAATTGCCTGAGGGGCTCTCTGGTTCGTCCCTAGCACTCAGAGTGCCAAAGTAAGGCTGATCGTCCCCTCTCAAGGCTGTATCGAGTAATTGGCAGCGCGTGGTGGCTGGCTGACAAGCGTCACTAGCCTGCTTGTGTATCCGCTGTAAGTGGACAGCTTTACAGCTGCGTCCCAGGGGTGGCAAATGGTCTACTACAGCAATGGTAATTCTTGCCCTCCCAAAATATCGGATTAAATTATTCGAAAATTAACCAGTTGCTGCCCTTGAGATAGCGTAAAACTCGGTTCCTAGCACGCTGCACTAGCACCCCCATGAGGCATTGAGGTGTGGGTGTGTGTGTCGCCTCCGCCGCTGCTGAGCGCTCAACTCGGCCAGGCCGATCTGCTGTGTGCACACTCGCTGTCTGCCAGCCAGTAAAATTAGGCCCCTGGAAGAGATTAGCCCCGGGAGCGCAGCAATGGGAATGTTGTTTTCCATGTACGACAGACACGGAGGAAAATAGGAATAAGAGGACCCGTTAATTTTAGACAAGCGTATTGCAGCCAGCGTATTGCAGCCAGCGCCTTGAATGGTATTGTAGAGGCTTGTTGTTTTTGTCTGTAAAGCGAGCAAAATGAAGGGGGAACAAGGGCCATCCCCCCAAAACAGCCTACACGCGAGAGATTATCACAAGCAAATTAGAAGTGAGGCTGGCCCGAGGAATAGGATGCTTATGTTTCTCGCTAGTGATGTTTCGCATCTATTCTTGTTCGTTGTTGTGGCGAACTGCAAGGCACATGGAGCGTGGGTGCACGATGTTGACTCGTCGTGTCGGCAACGCTTGCACCGCCAAACAATACCAAAATACTTTGCAGACACTTACATGGCAAAAGCGTAGTTACAAATAGTACTTTTGCAATACTGCCAAGCCAATAGAGGGGTGTGTATGCAATTGTCGTTTGTGTACATCCTCTGTCTCTAGCAAGCTTGGCTGCATCGTGAGCTAGCCATGGGATTTACACATCTAGATGATAGCCAAATTTTCGTCCCGTCCGCAGGTCCCCCCCCACGTCTTTTGCTTTGGCGACATCCGTAGTGTGGCGGTGGTGCCGGTACTTGCTGGGTGCCATTTTGGGTGCTGCTTCGGCGGGGACACCTTACCCGGGCACCCGCCCGTAGGTGTTGGCTCCCCACACTGCTAGATTTAGTTACCGTTTCCCACCGAGGGAGGACGCTTAGAAAAATTTGTCTGGCTGCAGCGGACTAGTGACGCTCGTTCCGAGTAGCCAATGAGAAGCTCACATTGCAACATGGAGATCCATTGGGGGACGAAAAAGAGTCGCGAAATCTTCCTTTGAGCGTATCGCGAATGGTTACGAAAAAAGACTAGCAAGAAGAAAACAAAACTAGACAAAATTATGGACAAAAGCAAACAGTCTCAAAGTCCACACCCATGCACACCGAAAGTTGAACTTCGTGTGTTCTGGACCTACTAGATGGCGTAGGAAGCAGTTGCATCCGCTTGGCGCAGGACATCTCGCGTCTGGCATTCTTCAATATGATTTGCCCAGAGCTTCGCCTAGTGAGCTCCTTCGGCCAAGCCTATCATCTCCCCTTTTTTTATTAGATCGTTGCTGGTTTCGGCAGCCTTTGCCCCGGTTGAAGTGGCGATTTCCTCAAGATCTTTTGTGTTCATAGATAAGAAATGGCCTGATATTCACAGTCTCAAATCCCTTGTGATTCTGCGGCGACTCCTTGATCCGAGTCTAGATGCAGTACCAAGACAACAAGCACAATATACTTTTACTCAACACGAACAAAAAAAAGTGACATGGCATGCGAAGTATCCGAATTGGCCACCAAGAGATGGTCCTAGCTGAGAGACTAGCAAGGCTTAGATACCTTTGGTGGTACACCGCAAGCTATCAAGTTTGCCTCATGCATAGC